TTTTGTATTGCATCGATCTTTTGTCCTGTTGATATCTTCCAACATTCAATGGATCTGATATCTATCTGTAGTTGTTTGCAGATGGATAAAAGAAGAAGGTAACGAAGTACCCCGAGCATTTATTTGTTGAGTGAAAGAAAGTAAGCTTGGGGACCAAGCTACCCGTACCTGCCAACAGGCAACAGATAGAGGTAAGAGATACGGGTAGACTACTCCTACCCTCAGACGACACGACACACAGGCAGGGAAGAAGGGCTACTTCGGGTTGAGCGAATCAAAGTGACAGAGATAGGTTTGGAGTGTTGGGTATGAAGGCAGAAGTACCGAAACCGGCGATTGAGCAGTACCCCATCCCATTCTTTTGTTCTCCCCACTTGGACCTAAACCTTGAATAAAATAATTTTCCGTTTGGTTATTTGTTCGTATCCTTTTCAGGGTACCTTGGAGCTCTGGTGCCTTCCTTCCAGTCCCTGTCCCTGCCGATTGATTGATTGAGGGCCGTGTGAGTCGTGCGCCTCTCCTCCATATTTCTCAGTTGCCATGATCGAGCGGAAAATTTTCTCGTCAGATCCTGGCGTTTCTAATGGAAGGAACACATAATGGGAAAAAAGAGAGAAAGAGAGTTTTTTTTTCTTCTCCCGCCCGGAGCTGAGCAAGATCGTTTAATTGTGCGGATTAGATGTAGTCGCGTCAGGCACCGATCACTGTTGTCTTCTTTCTCTGGACTGCCTGGGAACATGAGGGAATGGCAGTGTAGGATAGGGAACGCAGGGGCAAGTGAGGAGGCTGTGGTATGTTTGTTCGTTTTTCTCCCGCTTGCACCCCTGCCGTTCTTTTGGTATCATTCCAATTGCTTCGCTTCGCATATACCCTTTTCTGGCATTCTGAACTACGCATAAAGTAAAGCTTGGAGGGAAAAAACATACACATAGCTGGTATTCCTTTGCATAACTTCCTGAGAAAGAGAGCGAAGAGGGGCTAATTCATTCTTTCAAGATCCATCCATTCTGAGGGGAAGGTCGGGTAATTGGTCAATTGCAAACAATAAAAAACAGAGATGGAGGAATGAAAGGGTGCGCGATTAGGGAGCGAACAATTATCCACCCCTTTTTCCCATTCACCCACTGCGGTAGCAATTACTTCCCTCAATCCTCCTATACATCTCTTCCTCTCGACCCCTGATGGCCAGGCCTTTGTCCCAAGAAGCGCTTGATGCTATGCAAGAAAAAAAAGGAGATGTTGATGTTGTATTGTTGCTACTGTTGATTTTTTGCGAATAGTCTTTTCAGGAAAGCTGACCGTTGGGACCAACCCCTTTTTCGCTTTCTTTCATGGCATCTATCTTTGTTTGCCTCTCTCTCTCTCTATCGACCTTGTAGGTCAGGCTGGTGTGCTCGTTCTCCTTTCATACAATTATTCATGTACCCACCCACCCCTTGTTTTTTTACACCTTCCTCTCACTCACCACTCATATCAGTTATCCCCATGAGCAGGGCTGAGAAAATATGTGGCCCTATCCTAGCCTACCTTCGTCCTGTCCAGTCGTATCCTATGTCGTTTACCCGTCATATCGCCTCTCTCATTCGATTCGTAGATGGGCTGGGACAAATAGGAGTGAAGCCAATAAATGGAAATCCCTTGTTCAGATTCATTTCTCAAGCCCCAAACCACCATCCAATCTGTGCTTTGCATCTAGGCAGGGTGGTAGTTATGATTCTTATTTTTTTTTTCTGTATTTGCTCAGTTGTTTGGTGGCCTTTTGACCTTTCTGCTCTGTTGACGACATGTATTCGCCGGAGTGTTTTTTCTCTTGTTTGTGTTTGCATATTGTGGTTGTGTGTGTTTTGCGTGCGTGTTCGCCTTTGTTGTGTTGTGTTACGCCCTTCCCTTGCCTTCTGCTCTCTTTGTTGTTGTTTAGCGATCGAACAGGTGTCTGCGGAAAATATTTCCTCATAAAAAAAGCCAAGAACAAAAAAAAAAAGAAGAAGCGTGCCTCGTCCTCGTTCTCTTTCTCCAATCCAACATGTAAACAAACCAGCAGGCACTAAAAAAACAACAAAACAAGGACCGACCCGCCGAGACGAGAGTTGTAATAAAAAGGGGGGCAGTTAGGAAGGGCAACGTGAACAAATATTGAGCAAAACAGACCAACAGAATCAGGGACAGGAGAGGGACAAGGCACTGAGGATGGCAAAGACAAGGAGTGGATGGTATGTTTCTGTCTGCGCCAAACCTCGGGCTATTTTTTTTCTATCATGTCCTGTTGTAATGCCTTGTCGTTGTAGGTTTGTTCTCATGCGATGCGAAGATCAATTGACGAGGATGGAAAAAGAAGGGGTGAGTGAGAGTGCCGATGGAAGGGAACCAAAACAAAACAAAAATACAACTTCAGGGACTAAGCCGACTCATCCAGTGAACAAGAATAGAAAACAGTTTGGCGACCCAATAGGCTAGTATGAACTATCGTTGATGAATGATGATGGATGATGGACGATGGTTGTATAAAGCTAATTATTCTTTTGTCAATTGAACGAGGGTGGAAGCGTTCCTTTTAGAAGCTGCTTGTTATTATTGTTGTGAATGGAAGAGAAAGAAAAAGGTTTTGAAATGATTTAGCGCACGCAGCCCTTTTGTTTCCACGTCGCCGATGATGATTTTGATGGCGGCCATTTTTGGTTCCCATCTATGTTCTCGCTGTGAAAAGTGAGTGGGTGGGTGAGTGCGAGAACAACAGAAGGAAAATAAGCCTTGAGAGCTGTGAACTATCTGTGAGAGAGAGCGATAGGAAAATAAAATTGCGTCTGAGGGAAGGGAAAACGAAGGAAGAAGGAAGGACCACAACACCTGTCCGCAGCCAATTGAAAGAGGGAACTGAATACAACGGATTGAATTGAATCCCCTATGTCTGTGTGAACATGGTTTTGATTTGAGTTAGGAGAATATAAGGGTAGGCTATCCGAGAAAAAAAGCACAAACAAACAGACAGGACAGAGAGAGAAGAAGAGAAAGAGATGGGCGCGGGTATTGGGCGAAAAAAAAAGAGGGGGATGAGGAAGAAAGAGCGAGAGGGGTGATGACTCTTGTCATCTCCAATTGTACAAAGTGCTGTCTACTCTTATTCATTCTGGTCATTCAATTGAAGGGAAAAACAACAGCAAAGGGCTGGACCATTTTCATTATTCTCACACTATCGCTTTTGTATCGTTATTCAGTTGCATTCATTCATAGAGTGCATTCATACATTCGAGTTTTCCCTTCGTTCTTGTTGAGAGAGTGTGTGAGAGAGAGAGCGAGTCTCGAGTGCGCATATTCTCCGCTTTTTTCACACCAGGACCACCTTCATCCCATCCCTTCCTTCACTCGCTTTCATTTTTATTCTCCTTGTGGGTAAAAACTGCAACTGCCTCTGCCACCAAAGAAAGTAATATATATTCCTCCTTACCCCCCCTTCCACCTTTTTTTCCTCTTTTTCTCTTCTCTTTCTCTTCCGTTCCTTTTGCTTTTCCCTTTCCTTCTTCTTCTCATTCATCATCACTTTTCATCCTCTTAATCTCATATACCTCTCTTCTTCGCCACTCTCTGACTCTCTCTATCGTCTTCACTCACTCACTCTTCACTCTCTCTCACTCTTCACCCTCTCTCACTCTCACTCTTATTCAGCATACCCCCATCTTCCCCTTTAACGACCTCCTTCTCATTCCACTCACTCTCGACTACTCTTTGCCAACTCACCCTTTTTCACACAACCCAAATCGTAAGTGGTTCGACACCAAACACCAACAAAAGCACCCTCCTTTTCTGTCCCTGACTTCCTTTACTACCTTCCCCTTCCCCTGCCCTTCCTTTCTCTCCCTTCGACCTTTCATTCCCCCCTTTACACTTCGACTTTCTTCCCCTCGCCTCTTCTCTTCTGACTGACTGACACACAAACATCACATCACACATCGCATCAATCGGGCACATATCACACATCATTCATCACCAGTCTCCTCCCTTATCACCATCACTGCACATATATCGTCTCTCAACACTCTCAGTCTTCTACATAAGCCTTCGCATTGTGTATGTTCTCGTTCATTCCTATCTGCCTTCACCTACATCTTTCCTCTCCCCTCAATTCCCTCGAACAGTGTCCCCATTAATCTTCGACCACTCCAATCAGACGATTATTGAATTGCCCGTGTGTGTCGCTTTGTCACTGATTTGTTTCCTGTCCCCCGAGCACGCCTTATCCACCTTGCCCCACACAACTTAGTCTGAATCGCAGCATATTATCACCCACCTTCTCTTCTCATCTTTTTTCTATGTCTCGTTCTCTTTCTCTTCTCTCCTCCCTCCCTCTATACTCTCATCCCCGGTAGAATTGAACAAGAGACGGGTACAGAACACATCAAGCCCTCCCTTTACTGCGTTCCTCATTCATCCCTTTGTCTTATTTTTATTATCCGTCCCCTTTCCAATGCAATGCCCAAATGCACATACACCCGCTTTCATTTTCACCCCTGGCCTGCTCTACTGCGAATGCCCTCCTTTTTCTCATGTTTGTTTATTTTCCGGGTCTCTCAATTCGAGATACTCGAAAAATAAATTTGGGGCCTTTTCTTTGGTCGGGATGGACATCCGTTCTTTTCTTTCCCTTCTCCCCTGTCCATCTTCTGTCACTGTGCTTGCCACTCGGCGTGTGTGAACACCGCAGCAAGCAAGCGTCAATGAAAAAAAGAAAGTTAAAAAAGAAGACGGAGACTTTAGGCAGTTGGCCCTGAGTACCTTCTCACCCTCTCTCTAGTCTCGATGATAACAACAACAGTATCAAACCCAACTCGCTTAGTGGTCTCCCCCCTCCCCCAGTCCATTATGTCATATAAGGGGGCGACCACTCATCCTCGTGTGACATTCTACCTCTCACTTACTTACCATTGGCGAAGAATAGCCCTATTTTTTCCCGTGACTTTTCAGTTGACTGACATCCTTCTCTCCTCCTACCGAACAGATAGTCCATCATGAAGGCAGCATTCGCACCGGCCCCAGCCGATAAGCAGGCCCACCACGACCCTTACTACAACCACCCCAACACACAGCCACATCATCCCCACGGGTCATCTTCATCTTCATCCCACTCCCATCCTCATATCCAACACAGCCGCCCTTCCCCTCCTTCACACCAGCACCACCACGAGGCTTCTTCCCCTCGCCACCAGCACCAACATTACTCTTCATCATCCCCATACTCCTCCCATAACGACCAGCACCGTCACCGCCACCAGGAGCAGGACCAGCAGCAACATGCTCATCATACCCAAGAGTATCGCCCACAACAAGAGTACCCTCCTCGGCCACGGAGTCCTTTCCATGCTCCTCCCTCTTCCAACAACTACTACAGCAACGGCAACAACAACGAAGAGCAGCGATCATACCAGCAGCACTACCAGTCTCACTATGCATCCAACTCCTCCCCACAACAGCCTGTTGTTCGCCACACCGAGGGTTACGAGGGCAGGGTTCGCAACACCAACAGAGACCACAACGACCATTTGTTGACTAGCGAACACCATCACAACATCCACGACCAGCAGCAGCACCACGACCAGTACCGCCGCGATCCCTATGGCTTCCTCAAGCACCCCTCCTCTCAATATCCTTCGTCCCACCCCTCCAGCCGGACAGCGGCCAATTCTGAGGATGATGTGAACAAGTTCCACTTGCCTCCCATCCTGGCCCCCGAGGAGCCTTTCTACCGCAAAGATTTGCCCTATCGCCACATGCGCTACTTCCGGAATGTCACCAGCAAAGACCGTGAGGACAAGCAAGGCTACTATTCCTCTGCCCGCCATGTCATGCCCAGCAATACCACTGGCAACTTTGGTCATGGTCCCCCCATCGGCGTAGCCCTCGATCGCTTCGCTGCCAAGCAGGCCCAGCAGCACCAGCAGCACCAGCAGCAACAGCAGCAGCAACAGCAGCAGCATCAGCAGCAACAGCACCAAGAGAGCCAGAGTGTCCGTCTCCCTCCTTTGTATACAGCTTTGCCCGACCAGCGCCCTTCCGGTCCTTCCAAGGTCTCGCCCTCCTATGGCCACTCGGATTCGAGTCCAAGTGACCAATCGAGCCCAACGCACTCTCCCATGCAACACCGTCCCTCATATGGCGGTTCGCCTGTCCAGTCTCCCATTGAGAAGCCAATGTCCTATGGTCGTCAGCACCAGGGCCATCCTTACCATCAGCAGCAGCAGCAAGGCCAGATGCTCAAGCCCAAGGCCATCCAGCCTCGTTCGATTGCCCCTGCTCCTATCAGCCCTACTTCGCCTGGCATGCAGCAGTCAGAGGTCTCCCCTCGTGCTGCCTCCAAGAGGGCCGATCGTCAGTCCTATGTCAAGATCGAGCCTAAGGATTTACCTCTCCAGTACCACCAACAGCAGCATCAGCAGCAGCAGCACCCTTACCAAAGCCAGCACCGCCAGTCAATTTCTGGTCCCCAGGTCGTTGCCAAGCGCAAGTGGAGCCGCGAGCACTCGCCTGTTCGCCAGGGCCCTCGTCTGAACACTGAGACCGTTGCTCCCTCCAACGAGCTTGCTGCTCCCGCCGATCGTGTCGACGATGCCTCCTCGGCCGAGCTCCACCTCTTGTCTAGCCGCAAGCAGTCCCGCTCTGTTGCCCCCATCTCTTCCGCTACTAAGGATACATCCAAGAAGAGCGCACAAAAGATGAAGATGCAGCGTTACCAGATGACCACCATCCGCTGCTGGCACGGTGCCATTGCCCAGAAGTCCTATGGTATTGAGAAGCGCTACCTCTGCCCTCCTCCCATGGTCCAGGTCTCTGCCGGCGTCAACGCCAAGCAGGTCCGCTCTGAGCAGCCCCATGTCACCATGTCGGTTATCCACGAGAAGGTCGATATCCGTGGTCACCACGGCGAGAACTTGATGGAGCAGGATTGCACCCTCGATGATGCCCTTCGTTGCTCATTCCGCAACTTGCACGTCACCGGCACTGGCTCGGACAGCTCCAAGCGGTTCAAGTTGGGTCTCCAGGTCTTCTTGAACAAGAACGCCAGCATGCCCACCGCCATCATGGATTCGAACCCCATCCCCATCATCTCCAAGCCCTCGAAGAAGACTGCCAAGGCCGGTAACGCCTCCTGCTTCATCCTCAACGGCATGAGCGTCTCGCTCCTCAACCGCATTAACGCCCAGACTGTCCGCACAAAGTACATGGCTGTCGACAACAACGCCGTCTGTGCTAAGATTGGATCCTGGTCATCCTTCACCATCAAGATGGTCAAGCCCCCTCCAGCTCCCCCAGTCAAGTTGGTCCCTGCCAGCATGGGTGTCTTCCGCTCCCCCGGCCACTCGACCAAGTTTGTCCCCATCCGCATGAAGGGTGAGAACCCTATGGGTCCTGCTCTGGCCCCTCAGGCCGTCCCCATGGTCCGTACCAACTCGAACGGTGGTAGTGGTCGTGCCGATGTCGGCGGTGTCTCTCCCAACGGATCTGCCCCTTCGTCTTCGTTCCAGTTCCGCCACCAGCAGCAGTTGCAGCATGAGCCCGTCTATGTCTTCTCCAACTCGGAGCCCGTCCTCTATGGATCCGAGATTGTCCTGATCAACGACTTGACCGGCATCATGACCGACCGTCTGATCATCCGCAAGGTTGAAAACGGCAAGGTCTCGCGCTCGGGTACCGGCCCCGTCAGCCAGATGCAAAAGATTGTCCTTGAGCACCCTGACCGTGTCCACCCCGAGGATGGTCGCTCCTACTACTTGAGTGCCTCGTCGATCGGCAGCCCCAAGATCGAGGGCAAGATCCCCCTCCAGGCTGCCATGGATCGTAGCCCCCTTCTCGAGTACCGTACCTCGTCCAAGAAGGCGTCGATCATGGACATGACTGATGCCCAGGATGACGAGGAGGAGGAGATGATGGAGGAAGATGACTACAACGGCCAGAGCAACAGCATGCCTCGCCGCATGGGCAAGAGCCAAGACAGCGTCGCCGTCGATGACTTTGTTTGCTGGACTATTGCAGGCATTGGTACGTTTTTTTCTCTTGATGTTTCAAAGGACTTTGTTCAATTGTTTCGCTTTCAAGCACGCGATAGCTAACATTTATTTTACATTATTAATTGAAACTATTAGCCAAGTTCGATTACACCTACTTCGGCCCCATCCCTGCCTCAGTCGATTCGGACGTGGACCCCACCAAGGTGCCCTCGATCCAGAGCTGCCCCCAGTACAATGCCAACACCAACACGATGACCATGCAGGTCAAGAACGTCTTTGAGAAGCTCACCCCCACCGAGGAGGCCCGTCTCCTCAAGCACCAGGACGACCCCTATGAGCGCAAGCTGACCCTTTCCGAGTACGTCTACAAGCGTTGTGAGGATATTCGTCAGCCCATGAGGGATGAGGAGGGCCCGATCCAGCTTTGGTTGGCTCAGCATGGTCCCATCCGCATGCGCCGTCGTCAGTTGGAGGAGATCTTACCCGAGGGTGTCTCGGCCGCTGATATGGCTGTTGATGGTGAGGAGAGCTCGGACGATGAGAGCGAGGATGATGATGAGGAGGGTGACAAGGCCGAGGATAACAAGAAGTCCAACAACAAGGCTCCTGAGGATCCTCTTCCTAAGATTGCATCCAAGTCTTCCTCTGCCGCCGCCTCAGCTGGCTCTACTACCTCGAGCGTCGCTGCTGCCGCCGCATTGGCCAACGCCCAGGACGCCGCCGCTGCCGCCGCCCTCGCCTACGCCGCCAAGCACCAGACCCAGTTGAACATCATGAACGGTCGTCACTACGGTGGAAGCCATCTCCCCGCATCCATGAACCCCGCCCTCCAGAACCAGAAGCGCCGCAAGCTGGTCAAGAAGTTGATGGGTCTCGAAGCCGAGCTCCCCTACGGTTGCGAGGTCCGCACTGCCCATGACGCCCAGGGCCATGCGCGTGCCGAGCTCGACATCTTGATGGTTGAGCGTGCCTCCGGTATCGCCTACCGGACAGGCTACAAGGTCGTTTACTCGCGTGAGCGCGAAAGAGCCGATTGGGTCGTCGAGGTCCTCGGTTAAATTCATGTTCTTTATCTTTTTTTCCGTATGTCTCTTTTAGTTTAGTTTTTCTTTCGCTTTCATTTTGCTTGCAATGCCTTTTTGTATCAACAAGTTCTACTTCCTTGTACACCACATTTACACTACTTTTATGAAAAGACACACACAAAATCTGTACGATTTGGTTGTAGTACTAGTAACACTCTCTGTCTCTTCTATTAAAAACTTGTAACGAACAACAAACAAAAAACCTGTCCATCATCTCATGTCTTGTCCTGTCCTGTCCTGTCCTGTACTCCTTTGGTGGGATGCGGACCAAATTATAATTATTTGGGATGTCGTTTACTTGAGTGCTTTTCTGGGCGTCTAGTTTGTTGAGAGTCCTGTCCGATTGTATATTGCAGTTCTTCCTAGGTCACAGATATATTTGCTTATCTTTTCTCTCTAGGACAAGTCGGCGGTACGGAAGGGGAGGATCTGGTAGTGCTCCCAGACCTTTCCGGTGACATAGTAGTCCCTGTTGAGTACGATATCGAAGAAAGAGGAGAGAGAGAGTGGGACCTTTGTCAGTATTCCGAATTATATTTTCGCAGATCTTGCTTTTTTTTTTTCTTTTTTTCTCACGCTATCCACCCAGGACAAAAAACATCACCACTTTGCCCTTCCACCTTCTTCTTTCTTTCCGTCCCTTGCATTTGTAATCTCTACTACACCCCTGTAAACATCCATAACCTAGAAAGAAAAGAAAAAAAAAACAAAAAAAAACAAAGGCACTTACTTCTCAACAAGCTGACGGACCTCCTCAGCGTTCTCAGCGCTGAAGATCATAATCGATCCAATCATCTTTCCCGAAGCCGAATGATCCGTCAAGAGCGCACCTCCGATTTGAAGTTTTCCAGATTTTTTGAGTTCCTTGGCTTCGACGAGGTGTTTGGGACGGACGTCGAGGCGGCGGGCGAGGGCTTCGGGGTCTGTGAAGTCCCGGGCGATGACTATGAATTGGTTCTTTGCTGCGTTCACCGTTGCTGTGTATGATGGGAGGAATGTATATTGTAGGTGTTAGATATGGTATCAATTGAAGAATGCCAATTGAATTGTGTGTGTGTGTGTCTGTGTGTAGTATTGTTGAAGACACAAGTTTGCATCCTGCGATGATTAAGTGAGAGGAGAGTAATGAGAGTGGGATGGTGATGCGTAGTATTACCAGAAACGGAGAGGGTGCGGTGCTGGTGGATGCGAGCGGGGAGGGTGGCGAGACGCGAGGATGGGATTGCCTTGAACATTGTTGCTTGATGTAGAAGTAGTGGTGGGTATGAATGAGAACAAGGGGAAGAGGAGAAAAGGGTGTGGAATGTGTGGGAAGAAAAAAGGCAGCTTTTCGCGTCAATAATCAGAGATGGATTTCGATTCAATGCAAGGTGGGTGAGAGTGTGGCTGAAGGGTGCCACAGTGTGATTTTTACCTCTCTCACCCACTACCGTCCTCTCTCACCTCTCCACCAAGGACCCTCCAAGTCTCGGCGCTCTGGTGCCATGAAGCCTTACCACACCTCTACTGCACAGGCGCCATCAACAAGCGAGACGGCATCCGCCCTTCCCTGTGCACCTCCCCGCCATCCTATCCAACTGACACGTCATCCACCATGTCCATTGGTTGGAGTATTTTTTTTGTTCGTTACTGAGCTATCATACTGGGGCATTGCGAGGGCCAAGATTTTTTTTGTAGGCGGCACCGCATGCGTTACTGGAAAATTGGTCTACACTTGGACACTTTTATCTCTCACCTTCCTCACGTTAACACACTCACCCGTTTTTAACTCTTCACAACAACAAGGATGCCTCCAAGGTCAATCCCCACAGAGATACTCATCCTTATTTTCCGCAACCTAAGCCATCAAGACCTCTATCACTGTCTCTTCGTATCACACCGTTGGCACGACCCAGCCGAGGCCCAGCTCTACAGTATCGTGACACTCTACGCGCTTCAGAAATCCTACAAGCCGCTCATCACGGCCCTCAAAACCCGTCGACATCTCCTCCGCAGTATTCGGTGGTGTTTCGCAAGTGGTTGTGAGTTCCTCGAGTCGGACTTCCGAGCCATCCTTTTCGACAATCGTCCAGTGAGCAACACTCATGACGAAGGCAGTCAGGATCAGTGGCCCTGGAAGCATGGATTGCAGACTGGGCGGCCGGCGTTGAGGACGTTTTCGTTTGTGGGCGATGGCCGATCAGATTGGTTGTTGGAACTGGTCATGAGTAATTTCACGACGGCGGCCTTGACGATGACGACGTTGACGACGCTGACGCTGCGCTTTGCGTATGAGAGTGAAGCCGAGGCGTATATTGTGGATTTGGACAGGATTTTGGCGACGTTTCCGTACCTCAAGGATCTGTCGATTGATGGGTGGATGCATGAATATGCACCAGCAGCATCGAAGGATACGGTGACAGGAACGGAGTCTCAATGTCGCCTAGAGTCGTTCACCTTTGACCCGCGACTGGTGTGTCGAGAGGGGCCAGATGCGTTCTTGTTCTTCAAGCGGCTGGGAAACTTAAAGATGATCCGAGTCAACCCGACGTTGTTTACTTATAAACACTTCCAAAAGTGTCGGCCATGGGCGCTTGGTCGAGCATTGAGGGAACACTGTCCAAGGCTCGAGTCGATCTATACATCGGGTGCGGTCGCGCTGTGGTTATTTGACCTGCCTGTCCTCTGGCCCAACAAGATGTCGCACATCATTTCTTTGGCAGGACAAGTGGACACATCTGTTCAGCAGTCTGACGGAACACCAGCCGAAGCTATGCCTGCGGTGGTCACTGAGGAACAGTTGAGGCAAAGACTGCACGAGCAGGAGTACAAAGAGTTATTGGAGGGCAAGGAGGCGGTACCGTTCTTCCCGCAGTTGAAGAAGTTGGTCATTGGGGGTAACCATTCCTTTTCGTTCCAGGATCTGATCTCGCTGGGCGTTCAAGCATCGCTTCTTACACACTTGGAGATCTGTTACCAGCCTCACCGCCGCAACCTCATTTGGGGAATGTACGAGAAGGACTCTCCAGCTGCCGGCCATACGGTCACCGCCACCGGGAATACAGCGAACGACACGCTGGTTGAGGCTAGACGGCTCCGGAAGCGACGACCTTTCACCAAGCGGCACCTGATGCTGTTCATGGAGCTGTGTTCCAGTCTTCAGTATTTCGACTTGTCCGACGGCAGCATTACATTCGAGGACCTTATCGACTACGACAACAGCAACAACAGCAACAACAAAAAGCAACAAAGAGCAGCAGCGACAGCTGGAAGGACACAACAGTTCATTCGACCCTGGGCTTGCGAAGGCACCTTACAGACACTCAAACTCAGCCTGGACATGTCTGATGCTCAACTCCAGGAGCAACATGCACTCGTCTGGAGGCACCTGGGACGGTGTTCGAGGTTGCGCTCTCTGACCTTTGAAGAATCATCCCTGATCACGTCTTTCTCGTACGGAGTTGGGGGTCTGCTGGAGGGAGGGATGGGAGAGACCTTGGAGGAGATCCGCTGGTTGCCAGTTTGGTGGAAGGAGGCGGATCGGCGTGAGATGGTGTTGTGGTTTGCGAGAAGGTGTCCGAAGTTGATGGTTCTTGGACTGGGGTATTATAAAGATTCCGCTTTATGTCAGTTTCTGGAGGATGAAGATGTTGAGCAGTGCTCGATTCATCGAGTGTTTTTAGAGGGAGCAACCAAAAGTAATAAGCGATCCTTATCATAAAATCAGTACGCCGCATTTTTTTTTACGGACAAAAGGATAAGAAATCTGTCCGCAAAATAATTTCTTATCCTTTTGTCCGTTAAAAAAATATATATGTGGTATACGCGTTTAATAGTCTCAGTTGTTGGCTGTAAGCTAATTTCAGTACCTTTTCTCCGCGATTCCTCACCAAAAGTGCCTCTTTCATTTTGGTGGCGAGACATTCGTTGTTCAGGAACCATCAGTCGTCCGTTTAGACCTTCTGGATTATCTGATCAGGATCCAGGCGCGATCAATGCCAATTGATATTGTTTTCTTCACGGACATTTTTTTTGTCAACCCTATTCTTGTCTCTCCTCGTCCCCTTCTTTTGTTTGCTAAGCACCCCCTCGTCTCTTTAAACTTCACGGACGACTGCCACATACCATTAGCTGAGAGTATTTATTCTTCTGCACTGTTCATAGTCAACTTCTTCTCCTTTTTCTGAGAGAAATGAGTGTTTTTATGTTTGGTGGCGAACCTCTTGTTAGTCCCGGTGCAGATGCGCCGCAGCTCAAGGACAGGCACGCGTCGCAGAAAAAATAAATGATTTTCCTTCGCTTGTCCATCCTAGATCCGTTCACTTTTCCGTCCCACACCATTTCCATCCTCATTCAACCTTCTTGGCATCACTCAAACACGACATGCAGGAACAACAACAACAGGAACAAAAAGGACAAGCCCACTATCGACCACTCCCACCTCTACCGCCCGAAATTCTCTCCCTCATATTCGCCCACCTCCCTATCACTTCCCTCCTCTCCTGCACCCTCGTCTCCCGTCTCTGGTACCACGAATCAAAACCCCACCTCTTCTCCGCAGAGACCTTCCGCCTCGAGCGCCTCCCACACATCTCCTCAGACGGAACAAGATTGGACCAGGCTTATGTCCGACTGTACTCGCCGGCGTATATTGCGGCCATCAAGGATAATAAGCGGTGTTTGCGTTCGGTCTCTTGTATTTTGACGAGGCGGAGTGATCTCCCGATTGCTGAGGTGTTGGAGATTTTGTTTGACTGTCCGAGGGAGTTGTTGCCGTTGAGTGTGGGTGAGGCGGATTCTGGGGACATTTGGGTGAACTTGGATCGTGCCACTGCTGCTGCTGCCGCCGCGTTTCACACTAATGCTACCATTGCTGACGACAACGGTGCTGTTGCCACGACGACCACAACTCCTAGTTCTTCGAAGGTGGTACCGGGAATCCTTTTAGGACAGAACCGTCCAGCGCTGCAGGTGTTTATGTACGACGGCAAAGTCATGTCGAGCTGGCTGTTCGAGACGATGATCTACAACTTACCGACGTTGACGACGCTGGATCTCTACTTGGGTTGTCATTATGTGGACCTCCAAGAGTCAGCTTGTCTGGACATCGACATGATCTTGGACGCCTTACCCCGGTTAAAGTCGCTTGTTATTGATGGATCTGGGTACCATTACACCGACAACGCTCCTTCTTCTTCCACATCAACGACGGGAACGACCACTATGCCACTCCACCCACTCGAATCGTTCAAGTTTACACCCCTCCTGGTGATGCGGAGCACAGTCAACACACTTGCGACATTTCGACGTCTCAAAAACTTGAAGTCCATCTTCATCAATACTAACGACACCTATTACAACCCGGTGACTCGACAGGCCAAGCCGGGCGAGTTTGGGCAGATCCTGCAACGGTACTGTCCCAAGATTGAGCGAGTCGAGACGGAGGGTTCCTTGGTCCTTTGGTTTTGCCGTCTGCCGCCCACTTCCCTTCCTTGCGAGGATATCCGGTTGTTAACCAACTCAGGAACAGCATCAGAATTAAGTGTAAGGGAGTTGGACGAGGGACTCAACGTTACCTTGACACACCAAGAACGAGAGGACATCTTGACAAACTATCAAGAGATCACGCTATTCTTCCCGCAATTGAAGGCCTTGATCGCACGAGGGTACCAATCCATGGGGGTTCAGGATCTGCTTGCGCTCGCGGTGAGTCGGTCCCAGTTCTTGACACACCTCGAGATTGGGCGTGGCAATTATTGGAATAATGCCTTTGAACTCCTCCAGGACGCTCGTCCCGACCTTCCCTCCTCCCCCTCTATCGAAGGAATCGACCAGATTACAGTTTATCCGCCTGGGCCGATGACGAGTAGCGAGATGCGATGGATGAGGAGGCGGAGGGCGATTTCGAGTCTGGATTACCAACGGGTCTTGGAGACCTGTTCCGCACTTAGGGTGGTCTCCCTCCCTGGTGGGATGCCCTTCCGACACATGGTCGACGACCCTTCTGACATCAACGGTGTGGAGACAAGGATGACACGCAGGTGGGCTTGTGAGGGAACGATAGAGACGCTCAACATGGGATTCGTGCTCTCCACAGCTCGCAGGGATGACCACCGTCTGATCTGGCGCCACCTTGGTCGACTCCGCAAGCTCCGCTGTTTGACCCTGACACATTCGAACTTGATCCCGTCCCTCGACTTTGGGATCTCCGAACTCGTCGGTCGCGACTTTTCACAACACGACAATGATAACCATGACGACGCGCCTCTCACAGGAGAAGGAGACGACAAGCAGCGGCTACGGGAACACAACACCACGCTCGAAAAACTCCATTCTTTAGGAGTCGCATGGGGAGTCGACGACCGAGCGACGACACAATGGTTCGCAAGATCCTTCCCGAACCTCCAGACGGCCGGGCTGGGCTTCCGATGGGGGACGGCTCAACATAAGCGTGTGCGGGGGTGGTTAGATGAGGTTGGGTGTTCGTTTGAGTTGGAGTTTACTAATGATAAGTACCGACAAAAATAAAGGTTGTATACGTTTTGTCTGGAAGGTGATTTATTTAGCATTGAGAATAAACGCGTTTGGATTTCTTGTACAGGTAGAGAAGGAGAGAGAAAGGGGGGGGGGGGGGGTAAGAGGGAGGGCTATAGACAGGGAGTAGTATGGTACACGGGTATTTCTGGCAGGAGTGATTCAGAGCGCAATAAAAGTATATGAACAAAAGGGTTGTGTCCTTTCTCTCGAAAGAAAGAAAAAAAATGGACTCGCGGGTTAGGTCCAAGTCACCATCTCAGCAAATGGATGTGTGTCAGTCAATCCCATCGCGGCATTAATGCTGTGATTCTATGGTCGTCGTAGTCGTAGTTGTTGGTGGTGGTGTTGGTGCAATTTCCAATGCAGTGGCAGTTCCCTCTTCAAGAGTCCTTGGATCAACAGCAGCTCCAGTCCCAGTTCCAGGTCCTGTCTCTCTAGTTTCAGAGGTTGTACCGGCAGTCGACTCCCGATTGTTGTCAGAAGAAGAAGTCGAGGATCTGGAGTATGCCCAAGGGACCATAAGTTGGAGGAAGGTCATAGGTGGGCCTTCAGGGTTCATCAATTGTGGCATCTCGGTGATAACCCACTTACTGTGCATCCATACACAAAAGAATGCGTAGCACTGGATCACCAGCTATTGTCAACAAGAGTAAAACGTACAAAGGAGGGTTTAATAACGTGGACATGGATTTTACGTCATACCAGGTGAGAAAAAGAAAGAAAGAAAGAAAGGAGCAAAGACAAGACGTACGATGAGAAAGTTGATGGCGTAGTGCCGAATGATCTTGGAATCGTCCATGGAGCCGAGATCCTGAAAGATTACGCCCAAGGTCGTGTGCACAAACTCGAACGCTGTGTCAAGTCCAAACAAGATATTGTATTTGCCCATCCATCGCAGATTGAACTATTCCATGTGTATCATAAGAATAAAAAGTAGTAAAGTTAAAACATAAAAGTCTTTCTGGTGAAGACTCGTCAAAAAAAGGACAGGTCCAAGAAAGAAGAAAGTAGTAATATCATCCACTGTGCTGTACCTTGAAGTTGGCACGAAATCCAACAATGGCCTTGAGGGCCATGAAGACCAACCAGATCGCATAAGCGTACTGTGCGACCATGTAGGCGACATCTTTCCGGGATATCTGGATGGTGCCGTTGGGGAGGGTTGTAATTACGGTCGCGGGGAGGTTCTGGACCTGCTTGGCCAAGTAAACGACGTTCTTGCAAAAGTCCAGAAAGATAATTAGCAGGACCTATTTTGACATGCATGCATTGGATAATGAGGAATTGGGCCTGTGAGTGAAGGGCGCATGCTGAAACTGAGGGTTTGGCGTATGCACATGAATGATATGGCAAAGAAATGAGGACGCCATGGTCGCTTGGCTTATCGATCGGATCGAATGAATGCAATTTGACCGACTTTCCTTCCTCCCTGCCTTGCCTTGCCCCTGTATCTCTTCTCATTCACCCAACGTGTTTGATGTTTGAGTCTAGACTTTTGTTCTTCCAGGCGCATCAAATAGACATCACAGTGCACAATCCCCAAACACCCTCACTCATGACGAACAAATCCCATGTAGAGACAAACAAGCACGCACAGCGCACAGAACCTTTCTGATTTCACGGTTAAACAAACCAAATCTTTACATGTTGAAAACAGAACAACAACAAAGGGCGCAAGCAAGGAAAAAACGACAACAAAAGGACCAAGTGCGGGTGAATGATCGATCAGCAAAAAGGAGACAGTGAACCCTGCTCCGAGGGGCGAAAGAGAAGGACAGTAGGGAAGTTGGTTTGTTGGACTTACACCTTGAGTGAGAGGTATAAAGAAGAGCACATTGGAGTGAAACCGATGGACTTGCACCATGATAGTAAGGATATCGATATTTGAACTTCTCCAACTAATGAGTTTTGAGGGCGTATGGCGACGGGGTTGCTGAGAGGTTTCGAGAAGAAGGGCGGCTTCCTGTGAAAGGAGTTGTATTGCCTATACGCGTTTCTTGATGGTGGAATCCTTAATTGTCGGCGTTTATGTTCCACCTGCAAAAGGGTTTACAAGTCAGGGGCGTTGAAAAAGGAAAGAATGATTTTTGCGGGGTTGGCGAGAAAGAAAGAAGGAAAAAAAGTGAGGAAAGAAGGAAGAGTGTCCCCTGGAGGGTTTCTTTTACTGAAGAAAAGGAATAAAGTATTCTGAGGTAGTCGTCACCGACGGTGGTTTCAAAAAAAATGAACAAACGGTCGTCGATTCAGGGACGAGAGAAACTCATTCAACTTTGACGAGGAATGGTCGAAGGCAATGAAGAAATCCGAAAAACTTCTCGGGATCTCCACTTTTTTCTATGTGGACGACGGCGTCGTGGCTCTGATGCGAAGGAAAGAACAATAAGAGCAAAGGAGAAGGAAAGGGAAAAAGTGGAGAGTGTGTATGTTTCTTCCTGGGGACTATCGAAGAAAGAAGGGAGGGAGTGAAGAATATGGTAGATGTGTGTGTGGAATGAACGAGAAACTGGGTATGGGTGGGGATAATTGTGAACTGGCGGAAGTAGAGAAAGCAAGTAGGGGGAAAGAAAGAAGCAATTGAGGGATAAACAAAAGAAAACAGATAAACAAACGCCTTTCGTTGTTGTAATCGACTCGTTGGTCATCAACTCCACCTTTATTCAATCGCAAAAAGTTACTAAGGACGACCAAGTAGGAAAGGGCGTAAGGGGTTACCCTCCTGCATCGCATAAAGACTAAGGAAGGGCTGGGTGAACAAGAGAAAAGAACGACTATCTGCAAACTTGCGCGCATGTCCTTGTTGACTCCTCTCTCACCTCTTTTGCCATGCCACTCTCATATCTCACTTAATTGTCATGAGGGGTAGGTGAAGATATGACATGGAGTCGTGTTGTCGTTTACCCCGCAAAAAATCAGACATCATCGAAACTCTCTTGAGAGCATTTTTTTCGTGGATGAAAAAAGTGAGGAAGACTCATCTTCCACTCGTGTCTTCCCTTTCACTGATGCCATGGAGAAAGAAGAATGAAGAATGAAGAATGAAAAGTTCAATTGCTCGATCAAGTCTTCCTTGAATAAAAAGACAGAGAAGAATATCATTATCACCAATGCTAGTGCCAGCGTGCGAACTGAGCAAGCATGGAGATAAAAGGAACGAGGCACTCTTACCCCAGGTTTTCCCCTAAAAGGGAATCGACCGAGGAAGAAAACCTTGCATGGTGCAGCATCAAGGTTTAGAAGCGCCCTCTTCTCTGTCAGATCACACGCTCACAAGGGGAGTTGGGCTGGAAGCACAAAAAATAAACATACCGACCGACCGCAACAACAACGTACTCCTTTCACCTATCAGGGACACACACACCTCAGGTTCGATCTAAACAACAACACAACGTCAAACAATGACAATGACAACGGACAAAGAAAAGGCGGGCAACCTCGCTCTGTCGCTGTTGTCGTTTGTTGTCGTCCTTCTTGATATCGATTATGAAGCCAGCACTCACACATGGTCACGAGTACTTTTCCATTGAGCAATTGAGAAACGACAGGGCTAATCACAAACAGGTTCACCCATCGCTTTTTTTTTACTATGCGCTTGTCGTTTCAAAACCTTTGCATTGCCTTTTTCTCACCTAGCCGAGAAATGACCCTTTCATCTTTTTTACACAATACGCGTCTGCTTATGGATCTCTATGCTAGAATGCTCCATGTCGTTTTTTTAATTCTTTTGCTGGGGGTCTGTGTTTGAAGATAATAATGAAAACAAAAAACGAATAAATAAATAAACACCTTGTCAAAGTACTCCATGCTTATTAATGTTGAGAACGCATGTTTACAACCACCCTTCAATGACTCGTCTTAGCCTCCACTGTCCCGCTACGAAGGTCTAAACATCCTTGCTCTCATCAATCTTCATGGTCTCCATCTCGCGCAAAAACCTATATCATCAGCAACAATAAGAAGGAAACCAAAAAGGTAAGCAAAACAAGGTAAAGAACTTGAAACCCTTAAGATCAAGAAATGAACCAGAGGTGACTTACCACTGAACAGCGACAAAGAGGGCGACGGCGACGCCGGTGAGGGCAATTACATGTCCGTTGCCGCCAGAGGCAAAGATCAAGAAGCCCAGGGACAAGAACAGGGCCACAAAGACGACGTTCAACATCTTGACAAGGCCAGGGTTGACACCCTTCTCAAAGATCGACGAGATCGTGCCTCCAACCATACCCGAGGGTCCATCCCTCTGGACCATCTTTGACAACTCTGAATCCTTAGCAGCAGCGACCTTCTCAGAGGTCGATTCCGAAGCTGGAGCAGCAACAACCTCCGAGTTGGTAGTGGTGGCAGCCTTCTTGGCCTTGCGCTTGGTCAGCTTGGGGGTCGACACCTCTGCAGAGGAGAGAGAGGTCTCCTGCTCCTTATCAGCAGAAACGGCAACAGGGGCAGGAGTGGAAGCGACAGCAGCAGCAGCTTTCTTGGCCTTCTTGCCTTCCAGACGAGGCGAGTTGGCGGCTGAGGTGTTGTTGGAGTTGGACTTCTTCTTGTTCTTCTTTCCGCCGAGCTTGGCCTTGGCAGCAGCCTTGGCTAATGCAGCAGCGCGCTCCTCCTGCTCCTGCTCCTGTCTTGACCTCTCCTCCTCCGAAATCTCTTCCTCGTCGCTATTTTGCTCTGTGATACCATCCTGCTGGAGGACGTAGATGGGCATACTGGTGCTGATCTCGACGGCAGCGGTGGACGACCCTTGGTTGGACGAACGAGTCTTGCGACCCTTCTTGGCCTTGGACTGCTCCTGCCATTCGTCGATCTCATCCTGATCCTCGACACTGTCGCCCTCAGACTCCTTTGCGTCCTCCTCTTCGGCGATTTGATCAGCGACCCTCTGTGCTTCTGCTGCAGCTTCGGCCTCCTCAGCAGCATGAGCGGCTTCGATGGCGGCATCCCTCTCTCTCTGATCTCGCTGTGCTTGTTCCTGTTCCTGTTGAAGTCTTTGCTGCTCCTTCAATTGGGCGTCCTTCTCCTTGGTTTCTTTCTCCTTCTTCTTCTTGGCATCCTTCTTTTCCTTTTGTGCAGCAACCTCCATCTCCTTCTCGATATTAGCCTGTGCTTCCTTCTCCTGTTCGCGCTTGAGCTGTTCCTGGAGCTGACGCTGACGCTCCTGTTCTTGCTTCAATAGTTCCTCCTGGGTATGTTGATCAGCCTCCTTCTGGGCAGCAGCACCAGCAGCAGCGGCGGCGGCGGTAGCGGCCGCCTTCAGCTTCTCTTCCTGCTTTTCCTGCTCTTCCAGTTCAGCCTGCTCCTGAGCAATCCTCAACTTTTCCTCCTCTTGCTCCTTCTCGATCCGCTCAACAATCTTGTCAGCATCTTCAGCATCCTCAGTATCTTGGAGCAAATCAAAGTAACTGGAGGTCGAGACACCAATCGAGGCGTTGGGGCGATTGGTCTGGGTATCAGCGGCGACCTTGCTAGCGCGGGCCATCTGCTTCTTGGAGACCACGGGCTGGAACTCGTCTGTGCCAAAGATCTGCTTCTTTTTCTTCTTGGAGGCCTTTTCGGTTGTCGTGAACTCATCTGCTACTGGCGCCGGTGCTGGTGTTTTTGTGGAGGATTCTTGTTGTTGTTGTTGTTGTTGTTGTGGGATGATGGTTTCGTCAACGGTGGATCTAGGGACGATCTGATCCTCCTGGGCTTGTTGGATGGGGGTGAATCCTTGGCGAGCAGATGAGGATGATGATGGCTTGTCCTTGAGGGAGGAGGAGGAGGAGGAGGAAGAGACGACCTGCCAGCCATCGTCGTCGTCCTCTACGGTCTCGTGGTATCCGAAGGGTGTGTTCTTGGACGCATCCATTGTCTTTGTTCTTGTTGTTGTTGGTGTTGTTGGTTGTCGGAGTGGAGAGTGAGCGAGTGGGTTGGTGTGAGTGTAAGTTGGGGATGATGAAGAAAGAGGAGAAAATAGATGATAGAAACGCGTGCTTTGAAAAAATGGCTTTGTGTGATTTGTGTGCCTGGATACTTGCTTGGCTGTTTGCTGTTGGTTGGTTAATGTGATGGATGTTTTGCATACCCCCCGTGTCTGCTCTGTTCAAATTGACAGTCACGCTAGAGTCGATATTGGGCCATCGTGTTCAACATGCTACCCTTGTAATCGTGGCAGAATAACACGAGGGGGGTGAAGCAGGCACAGTCAGGTATCTGCTTAAACATCGCCATTTGATTCACACCATCGCGTCAGAAAGCATCAAATCAGTTCGGCTCTATTTTTGGTGGCGTCTGGTCAGTGATAACGTTCGTTGATCTTCAGGAAGGAGGGGGGTTGAGAACTGGACGGGACAGACCCAAGCTCGTCTCATCTCCTATCAATGATGACCTTGACGAAGATATACCCTAGACCCTGGTGTTGCCTTTTCTTCAATGACCTTCTTATGACCGTCTGTGCCCTATCGTATCTAATTATATACTCTTTGCTGTTTGCTTATGGCTTCAAGAGTTTCTTCCTTTTTCGATACCGCCTTCTTCCCCAGCACTCCAACTTCATTCGCAAAACAAAAATAAAAAAAACGAAGATCGCGCCATTCTTCTCGTCATCTTGGCCTACCTGACCAACCCCGCCCCATCAGCAGCCGGCGTAATCGACCAAGTAACTGTTATAGCAGCAATGAATACCAACCATGCAAAACGCGCGCCAGACCTGTGCTGTGGAGTGCATCCCTGTACGCTGACACCTTGAAGTACGCAAGTGCGTGGAAGTTTGCCCACTTTAATGCTCAGTCAAAGGTTAAAGACAATTCCGGCCATATATTTCCTGTTTCGCCATTCCTTTAACTATGCATGAGTTGTATTCGTCTGCCAGCAGTCTAGTTTTTCATTTTACTTGGAAAACAAAACAAACTAGTATGGCGAGACCTTGAATACTACTGACAAACCTAACGACGGCATCGCCGAGGCAATTAACTCATGAATATGGGAGTCCTCCAAGTACAACTGCAAGCAGCCTGGTTATTCTGCTGCGATAGGCTCTTACAAGCACTTTCGATGGAAAACAAAGGGTGAAATGAACCCTCCTCCTACGTATGAAAACTTAGCTGACATTAACCCCCTTCCTACTTTTTCGTAGACGACTTCATGCAGGTTGTGCGGAAGAGCACGATACAGGCGACTTGCGTCGAGGCAACATGCACAAATGGGACGATCGATAAAACATGACCTGTCATTTTTGTCGCCTCGCACACGGAGTGTACCATCTTCTTCAACAGCGACTTCTTTTTTGTGTACTCTCCTCTTGTAGCCCCTCCCCCTTGGTCTTTCGCTTGCCCGCCCTCTTGATAGACTCCTTTTCTTACACTTTCCTTTGCAAATCTTCTTGCCACCATTACCTCTCAATGGCCTCCTAATCCTTTCCGCCCCAATCTCCTTTCATTTACATTCAATAAACACCTACCTTTAGTGACGCTATCCTCTCAGTAACCTCCTGATATTTTTATGCGTATTCTTGAACCCCAAAATTCGACTCACACATCACCACCTCTCTCTCACTCTTCATCACCACTCACTCATTCGTCCACTCTGCACACGGAATACACTCCCAATCCCTTCCTCACCAACCTCAAAAGGCACAACCATGAAGGTCGCAGCCATTGCCTTCGCCTCTGTCGCTTACTTGGCCAGTCTCATTCCCCGCCGATGCCGATGCCTTTTCGGACCAAGTTCTCGCAGCCCATAACTCTGTTCGAGCACAATATGGAGCCAGACCTCAGACACGGAGTGGTGATCTCTGCGCTAGTGCCTTACAGCACGTCCAGGCTTGCAGATTCGCTCACCCCTTAGGGACGGTAAGGCCAGGATCTTTTGTTCAACCCTTTCTTTCTTTGTCTTTCAATTCTCTACCTCCAGCCATGTCTCTCTTTACAGCTACTATCATTGGTCTTCTCTTTGATGGCAGACGGTATCCTTTCGATAAGTCGCGCTCCTCCTTTTTTGTGGTTGTCCTATTCTTCCGTTACCGTTCTCTTGGGATGAATAACAACAATATCAAAACGGCGAGAACCTCTACGTGAGTGGAGATCCCAACTCCATGGTCGCGCAGGCAATCGACGCGTGGATGGCCGAATCGCGCGATTACGACTACAACAAGCCAGAATCATCCTCCCAAGCTGAGAATCTACAACGATTGTAACTCATGAACCTTGAAAAGACGTGTTTGTAATCTTAATTTGATGTGAACTCAGCACTCACACTACCCCCTTTTTTCCATTCACCATTTACCATGTGCCACTTACCGATCTTTTTTTATATCGGATTGATTCGCGTAGGTGGTCTGGGAAGCCACGATACTGGTGGTATGCGTTCAAGCGAAAAATGGAGCAGAAACCATCCTTGCTCAGCTACCGTCTGTCGACACGGTTCTCCCAAAAATGTTATAGGTGGATTCCAGGAGAATGTTGGTCATGTTTAGAAATCGTCTTGACCTTCTAGTCTCCTCACCGGCGATTTTCTTCGTCGTCGTCGCTGTGTGTGTGTTTTTTTTTGTTTACTTTTCGCCTCTAAACTCACGCCCTTTTCTCTCGCAAAAAAAAAAAGAAAAAAAGAAGTGCACAAGCATACTCAGAAATGGTCCATGCGACGGTAACGCCTGAACTATCCTCTACATGTGTGACAAGGGTAAGAACTTGCTTTAAAACGAATAAAAGAAAAAAAATGTGTGAAACCTGGAGGATTTTCCCATCACGCGTTCTCATAGTGCACCTTTTCGTCCATTATTATTCTTTTGCAAGCAAGGCTCACTCCTGGCGACTTTGGAAACGCTCGTCCATGGTGGCCAAGAGTAGTAGACATTCATGCGCATAAACCCCAAAACAAAAATAAACACGCAGAACTATTTGTACTCCTCTGCCGGAAAACTCAGACCCAGATCGTTCAAAAAACGAAAGAAAGTGACCCTGTTCGATCTACGTTACACGTTCCACAACCACTACTTATCCCTCTCGGGCACTCCCCAGATCTAGGCTCGACTGCATTGGAGTTTTTTTCGGTCTCAAAGGCACAGTTCATCGATGGACAACGGCTTACGCCAACCATTGGGGTATACATCCTATCTCCGCGGGAAAAAACATCGGACCTTACCGGGGATGAACCTCTTCTCTCTTTCTTATTTTCATGCTGAATGTTACATGGAATTGAAAGAGCGACCTGCGCGCATCTTCAATTTGTATAAAAAGGAATCCCCCCCCCCCCCTTCCTTCAGTAACCTCCTTCTTTCCAACCACACTCTCTCAACCTTCTCCAAAGAGACCAACCATCCAAGCAAGAAATGAAGATCACAGCCGCCGTCATCGCCTCCGTGGCTTACCTTACTAGCCAGGTGGCAGCCGCTCCCTATTCGTTCGGCCAAACGCCCATGACTACAACAGATGTCTACTCGGATTCCGTGCTTGCCATCCACAACAGTCATCGAACCCAATATGGCGCCAAGTCGTTGACATGGAGCCCCGAGCTGTACACCAGTGCGCTGCAGTATGCCAAGCTGTGCAAGTTCGCCTCCAGTGATTCTCGTGGAAAGGTACAGTACTGTCAGGTTGATATTCGTTTTTTTTTTTCTTTGTCCCCCGCTGCGCTGTCACGTCACATGTGCTGCATCGCATAGCATTGCTTTGTTGGTTCCTGACCAGTTTTTTTTACCTCGCTTACGCGTTTTGACATATAGTACGGTGAGAACTTTTACGCAACGACGGTGCGTGGCACCAATGTCGCTCAAGCGGTCAACTCCTGGATGGCTCAAGCACCCAACTACAACTACAACAACCCCGTCTTTACTCCTAACGCAGGTAAATGCTCCAATTAGTACAAGTCGTCGGCGCGACACCCTCCTGTCGAGATGTGAAAAATATATAGTTGACTCACACGTTATTTTTCTTTACTTTGTTGTCAGGTGGATTCACACAGGTTGTGTGGAAGAGCTCAACGCAGGTGGCATGCGCCCAGGCCGAGTGCGCTGCCGGGACGATTTACAACCAGAAGTCGACTATCACTGTCTGTCGTTATTCTCCACCTGGCAATATGCAAGGAAAATTTGCCCAGAACGTTGGTCGTCGTGTCGCCTAGATCCCTTTCATCAGGAGGAAAGCTCCGCCATGAACTCAATTGGCACAGCCATTCTCCATGTCATGGCTCTTTGGTTCCATTCAGTTTGAATTAAAAAAAGGAGAGGAAGCTAATTGCATTCCTGATACAAGTATATTTTGGGGAGGGGGCTCAAAAGGAGAACAAAAAATGAAAGTGTGCGTCCGCACACTGCAAAAGATGGCGAGCTTTACCAGAACTTCGGGACATTTGTGTAGACATGTTTGTGACAAATGCGCCGCGTCTCTGTTCCCTAGATTTGTGCTCTCTTTTTTTATTTTTTTTGTTGTCATATCCTTTCTTCATAAGCAAGTAATAATGGATTGAAAACATAGGCCATTACACAAGCAAGACCCTATATTTGCTTGTTATGGGAGGTGAAACTTCAATGCGTGTGTTAAGGTATGAGCAATGGCCTGAATTAGTTGCCAGGAACGACGCTCGGGTCTTGTCCATTTGGGTTTAGGCGTTTTTCATTCACCGCGCCCATAAAAAAACGTTGGCGGGGGTCCGGAAGTGCCGAATGGGTGTTTGTTCAACTTAGAGACAGCCTGAGCCACTCTCGGCATTTTTCCTCTCGGATTTTTTCATTCTCTGTTCTTCTCGGCATTTTTGTTTCCATTCTCTTTCTTTCTACTTTTCCACCCTCGTCAATTCTCTTCTTCTCACCATACATTCGCAGCTCCTTTTCTCAGCCATACCCTCACACGCGACAACTCGAGTCGTCCACTACCAGCCCACCTCACTCACACCACACCTACGCACATTTCGCAGCAAGCAACCATGGCACCAGGAGATTCAATCACTGGGGCGAGGCTTTTCATGGCGCGCTGCAACCAATGCCACACCATCAGCGCAGGCGGGATACACAAGGCCGGACCGAACCTGCACGGCGTCTTCGGTCGTCAAGCCGGCACGCAACCCTTTTATTTCTACTCTCAGGCACACACAAATAGGAATGTGGTCTGGACGGAGGAGAACCTGAACAAGTATCTCGAGAACCCCAAGGCATTTGTACCGGGAACCAAGAAATCGTTTCCGGGTCTCAAGAACCCCCAGGACCGGAAGGATGTCATTGCCTTCCTTAAGGAGGCTCGTTAGTCCGAACACTTTTGTGTTTTCATGTTCTTTTTCTTCTTCCTCGCGTCAATCTGACCTGGCGGGTACTTGCCGCCCGTTTTGTTAATAGTATCTATCATGCCCCTCTGTTTTCTTTACCACAACATTTTTCATACCAACCAACAGAATAAACGAATCCACACCCTTGTACATGCATGCATCCACGGCTTTTTTTTCCGAGTCTGCCTGTCGAATGTGACTGCTTCGTCAGGAGGGGCGAGAACCATCCCCTCCCCTCTGCCTATGCCGCTCCGCTCCCCTGACAACGTGGCGGTTTTTTTACTCGACTTCAAATGGGACCAGTTTCTCACCTAGACAGGACTCGTCAGTTCTCTGATACACACCCTTTTGCAAATACTAGATGGCCAACCTTATTTCGAACGACGACGGCCCATTTCTAGCTATCCTCAACATCATTAGCGACCAGTGAGAGGGATGGCGAAGGACGAAGGATTAAGAATATCTGACACGCTGTTGGACTATTCAAGGACAGTTCATGTCTGTCTGTTTGATATCTCAGGTAAGAACAGCTTACAGCGCTCTGCCTTACTGTATCCAAGTGCCCTCAAACTTACCTAATCTGGTTTGCTGACTGGCGAATACAGTAGTTAATGTCTGACTAAATGGTATGTTGTGGCTGATAAAAAGTGTACCAGCCATTTTGAGTTATGTTTGTCCTCCTCCCATCTCACAAAAAGTATATCTCACTTTAAAAAGGGCACGATTCTTGTTCTTACTCACATTCTCCCTGCCCTTCTTCTCTTCTTTTCCTTCCCGCCTTTCGTTCTTCTTTTTCTCACTCTTGCCCCTCTTCTTCTTTTCTTTGCCCTTTCCTCGTCTCGCATAAGACACCAAGAAACACTCTCACCCCCGTCCTCCCTCTCTTCTCGGCCAACAACACCCTTACCCTAACCCTGACACGCACCCTTACTCGGACCTGTGACTGACCCCCGTGAGAGAAAGGCGAGATGAACACTGCACCACCTTCTGGCAACACGGGAACCGCTGACCAGGTCCTCCCTTCCCAACAGCAACAACAACAACCACATCGTCATCACCATAATGCCATCGACGATATGCTGAACGACGAGGCCGTCGAGGAGGCCGACCAGGCCATCGAACGTGGCGAAGAGGCCGACAGCAAGCATCGCCTCGGATTGGAGGACTCCCAAAACGTCCTCACCAACCGTGCGAACAGCAGCTATGCCGATAGCTTGGGACTGGATCACACCAACACACTTTCCAACCCTCCTTCGTACGACCAGACGTTTGGAAATCGGTTGAGGTGCCACGGCAAGATCATGCGGCACCATGGGAACAACAAGGTCACCAACGTCGAACTCTTCTTCGATCTCGTCTTTGTTTACGCAAGTACGTTATTATTCGTCCTCCCTTTCCCGCTTATGCATCTGTTATGTTGTTGTAGTTTTTGCGCACCTGTCTCCGTGCATTGCAGTTGTACTTGCATCCACTGCTGCTGCTGTGGTGGGTTGGCTAAAGTGAAACATGAATAACCCAATTGGAGTGGGTATCGGCAGTTATTCTTCACATACTGACTCTTTTTTTCATTCTCCAACAGTCAGCGCGATCTCTGAGGCAATGGTTGAGCACCTCACCTGGCAAGTCGTCCTCCAGTCATTGCTCATCACCCTCGCTGTCTGGGTAAGTTTTTTTTTTCTTTCTTGTATTCTTCTCTCCCTCATCCTTTCATCTTTTTGCCTTTTTCTTGGTGCTCGATTGCGCCCCTTCCCTCCCTTGCCTGCATGAGATTTATTTTTCTGTTGTTTATTTTTTTTGGACGGTGATAACGGTGGACTAACATGTGGATGGCTTCCATTTTTGTTTATTCGGTATAGTGGGCCTGGGTCTTCAGCGCTTGGGTCTTCAACTGGTAACGTACCGGGGGAACAAGCAGGTCGTAGCTTGCAAAAATGAGTTACCAGATATCCATCCATGGTCTCTAACCCCCTTTCCTCCCATACCAAAACAAAAAAAAAAACAGGTTCAACCCTGACTCGTACCTTGTCCGTCTTCTCCTGCTGTCCTTGATGTTGGTCAACCTGATCATGTCTGCCGCCATCCACGGTGCATTTGGTGACCAGAGTCTCCTATTCGCAGGAATGTATGTCTTGATCCAAGTCGGACGCAACCTCGCCGCCGTGGTCGCGTTGCATAAACACAAGCTGCAAAAAAACTTTATACGGATGACGTTCTGGTTCGTCCTCACGGGAATCCTTTGGATTGTTGGAGGAGCGATTGGAGGAATCACCAGGAATGTCCTCTGGACGGTCGCGATTGTGTTTGAGTATATTTCTGCGGCTGCGGGGTTCTATACCCCTGGTCTTGGCCGCTCTATGACCACCGACTGGGAGATCCATGGAGGACACCTTGCTGGTAAGTTTTTCTTTTTTCTTGATGATTTGTGTGAGCAAACAAAGTGTGGGAGAAGATATGAAAAGTATAATGGTGCGCGCACATGTAATACGAGTACCTTTATTTAAGCATCCGTGTCTGTACACACTCTTACTCTTCTTCATCTTCTTGGATACCTAGAACGTTGCTCGTTGTTCATTATCATTGCGTTGGGAGAGTCGATCGTCGTGACAGGAGAGGCATTCAGAGAACACATCCACGATCCAGCAGTCGTCGGGATGTTTATTGTCTCGTTCTTGGGCGCCGCAGCCATGTGGTGGATCTACTTCCACACCGCATCCGACGAAGCCATCAACTACATCGAGCAATCCAACGACCCCGGTAAGATGGGCCGTATCGCCTACACCTACATCCACGCACTTATGGTCATCGGAATCATCTGGTGCGCGGTCGCCGACAGAATCAGTATGGAAGCACCCTACGAAATCCCGCATCACGAGGACGAGCATGGATCCGGGATGATCAAGGTTGCAGTCATGATTGGTGGACCCGCCCTGTTTGTGTTGGGTCATGCGTTGTTCCGTCGGGCGTTTTGTTCAAGACTTTCGTGGGCTCATTGGGTCACCATTGCGGCTTTTATTTGCGCGACGCCGATTGGTATTTTCTGTCCGCTCTGGGCGACTGCGCTGACGACGACGACGATCTTGTTGTTGTTGGCCGGGTATGAGTCGTTCTTTAGATCTAAGATCCTGCCTGCTGTTTCACTCCAACAGGTCCATGGGGAGGTGTAACATCTTCTTTTGTTGTACCTTGCCTTTTATTCTCCTTCTCTTTTTCTTTTCCTCCATTCATTATTTATCCAAAAGTAATAAATTAATTGCGCGTCTGTTTTTCACTTGTGCATCGAAACGAGACGAAAACGAACGCTGGGCTGCAAAACAACAACAGAGCGTTTCTTCAGAGACGTTAACATGGGTAGCAGGTCAGTCAAGAATGCGCCAAACAGCCATCGTTTTTTTTTTTTTTTTTTTTGGTTTTCTTTTTATTCGTGAACTATACAAGTAAAAAAGAAAGTGGACGGGAGGAGAGCGTCATGTGTTGGATGTACCACTGCAAAACGACGGTGTAACATAGATATGATTACATGGATTAGAAAATGAGTTGCGTTTCTTGATGAGGAGTAGGTGTGCACCATAAAGTCTCAGAAAGGCCGGCTGGTCGGGGGGGGAGTAGCTTAAAACATGTTTTTGAGACTGGGCAATGGTTCTTAAAAACAACCTCGGATCTCCCCTGGGGCACCCTTGCCTTGTATGAGGGGAGGAAAGAACAGGGATGAGAAAGTGCGGATGGGTCCTTGGCGGAGCTTATCCAGGAGGGTGGAAATGAAAAGCCGCTTACCTTTGGTTGTCCCATGGGCATTCAGGTGTAGAGAAAAAAAAAGGGTAAGGTGATAGTGACATAGGGTGTGGAGGGGTGGGACACAATGTTGGTGGTACAGGGTGTGTGGGAAGAGTGTAATGAAAGATGAACTACAGAACAGAGGGGTGTCAATATGATTGCGTTGCGTCTCCATTTGCTATTCTGTCTGCTCGTGTAACTCACATGTTGTTTGTACGATGATTGGGATGGATGAATCAAGGGTGTCCAATGCGTAGTTCAGACGATAATGTGCATGTCCAAGACGGCCCTCTTTCATCCTCCTCTTCATCGCACTCGGTCGAATACTCAACTCCATTTCATTCAGGTTCATTCATAGATGATGTCGTCCGTTGATTACAAAGAGCCTAGAGTGGGAACCTGGCCCAGTCTAGAGCTAGGACCGGGCCGGAGTTCAAGTGGCCAATCCGTTTCCCTTTTCATCACCCCATCGTTTTCTAGCACAGACCAGAAACAACCGCGGACCAAAGGTAGAGAGCGCAAAGTGAGACGCGCAAAGCAAAAATAGATCAGTGAACAGGTAACGGTAAGACAAGAAATCAACGTGGAAGAAATGGCTTTGTTTTTTTCCGCTCATCCATTGATCACCTCCCTCGCCCTCTTTCACTTGGTCCTGTTGTGCATCCTCTACTGCACCGTGAATGTCAATGGGATGAAAAAGGTGCAGTGGTGAGAAAGAGAAAGGACGGGAGAAAAGCGCGGACGCTCAATTGAAGGGTTGTCTCTCGGTTATGACACATGCGATACTTTTGGACACATACACATACTAACATGCACAAATACACAAACGTCGCCCTCGTTTTCCTGTGTTTGTTTAGTTCATGTTTGTCCTTTGTCAAAATAATGAATACCGCGTGGCCCTTTTTTGCGGAGAGGCAATCCACTCTGTCATTTTTTTTCAACTAAATGCATGCGCATCAATTATTGACAGAGAGGCATGGCATGTCATGAAGCTTGTTTTAGTTTTTGTTCACATTCCGAAATTGCAAACGGATGGAGACAAGAGAGAGTTTTCCGTCATGCATTACCAACACTCAGGTACCCAAATACCAACATCACCACACGCAAAAAAAACATTGGAATTGTCTGTTGGTTGGCACGTTAAGACGGATGCAAACGGTGAATCAAAAATATCTCTAGACCATCCCCCCTTTTTTTCTCTTCACCTCTGCGGAAAAAAAAAGGCAGGAAAGAAAAAATATAAAAAAGGACAAAGGGCTTTCCTTTTTGTCTCTGTGTAACATCATGCATCCGATGTGGTAGATGAATAGATCCTCTCTTCTGAATGTGAGGTCAAAAGAAAAGAGGGGAGGCATTTATTTGCCACGAGGCTCGGAGGAAGTACAGCATGAGGTAATCATATCTCTAGCCCAGCACAGGATTTCACTCATGACATGGCTCATCCTACTTATCCGTAAGTGAACTCCCAAATTTTTTTGCCCTCAAGCTCGAGGTTCACTGTAAGGAAAGAAAGGGGGGAAGCGGAAAACTGTGTTCACCCAGGTTGAAAGCTCTCTCTTTCGTCATCGAGGTTATTTTTGTTTACAAGGAGAAAAAAGAAAGAGGATGATGGTGGTTGAGATTTTTTTATTAAGGAGATGGAAGGACAGACAGACGCCAATGATTATTGCTGCTCTGCCCTATCCAGTGAATGTCTTCTTGCTTCGTCGTTTTGGCGATTCTCTGTCGCCTTTTGGCTATTCTTTATTTACACATCCCGACGAGAAATTTTTTGAGCTCTTGTCTTGCTAGCGATATCGATCGTTGTGGAAGGGTGCACGGGAAACAGTCGCAAAGAGAGGAGGACGAGGAAAGGGTTGTTAATAAACATGAGGACTCAGACATAAAGAGCGCCAGTCTTGTGAGTATTTGCGGGGTGAAGTGTGTGAGCTCTGAGTAGACAAAAGTGCTAATCCTCCTCCTTGTTGCTACAAAGAGAGGCACTTGGTGGTCTAAAAAATAAATAGACGCATGGTAGGTTGTCCGATGGTGAGAGTATGCAGACAGACCAGAGCATGTTTCAGATGCGTAGACTGGGCTTTCCAAGAAAACGATGGACAAGAGGGACATTGGCGCTAGAAGGAGACCAACAATTGAGCGAGTTGGTGAACACAAAGGCACACTATCAAGAACAAGGACTGCAAATAAAACTAAAAGAGTCATCCGCACATCCATTCCCCCTATCTGATGTTTAGCTAAATTGGTCCTCGATCTTTTTTCACAATTGTGGTTATCGTTGTTGTTTGGTTGTTGTTTGGGAGAAAGGGCAATGGCGGTGGGTTAGAGTTGCAAATGCGAACGACTGGAGAGTGTTCCTTGTTTTCCTTTGCATGCGGGCAGGCGGGCTTGCAAAGAAAGGACAAAGAGAGGTGTGAATGTGAAGGAAGCGGGGTCTGTGCGAATGAAATTGGGTCGGTCATTGGATCGAAGGACAAAAAGGTCAGCAGAAAAAACAAGGTTTTTGTTGGTTCGAAAGGAGTTATTGCTATGTACCTCATCCCATTATATTTTTCACACATGTTGAGTGGATCGTGAATGGAGAGGATATCCCGTTGGTCGTTTCTTGAAGTCGTGATGATTTGGGTTTCCTCCTCTTCAATCCGGATTAGTACATATAGTCGACAAAAAGTCCGTTGCGGTTTCTTGTTGTCGTTCTTGTATCTCTCGGGTCGATCGGGAAGCAAGAAAAAAGGGCAGAATGATGATGAAAGACTAAAGAAGAGCGACAGCGAAAGAGGCAACGGACGGTGGTAAAAGATTGACCGAGAAGAAGTAGAAGAGGGAAACAACAACGTCAGAAGGCTAAGAAACAGAGGATCAAGGCGCTGCGGGAAGTGTAAAAAAAAAGAAGATAGTGTGGGCTAATTGGGGTGGAATGGAATGGCAATGTTGTCAAGGTACTTTTTTTCTGCATTGAAGTAAATCAACAACGACAAAGACAGTAACAGCAAAAACATGCAAGCAACCAAGACCACCTTTGTTTTTTGGGTTTATCCCTTGAGTCAACATACATATATGTCATCGCAGTAAGAAAGAGATGAAAAAAATACGCAAACACACAAGAGGACAGAAACGAGAAGAGATCTAACAGCGAGGTATACTTTTATTTATGCGCGAAATCAATCAATGCCAATGACAACCATGATTCATGGGGTAGGTTGTCCTATGCTTTGGATGTATAGAGATGGTGACCAATTTGTTGTTTGTTGCTAATACAAACAGCATCAACAAAACAAAATGGCATTGGCGACATTTTTCTTGTATGATGAGTCTTCCGTAGAGAAACAAGAAAAATAGAAGCGAGCAGACACTCTCGTTGTAGCTTTTGATTAGTTCCTTACTTTCGAGATCACCTAGGCGCGAAGGGAGCGCTCATGAGCTTCATGTCGTGCCATGACCGAATGAGAAAAGACAACGCGCGCGGAAAAGGGAACTGAAGGCTGAGAAAAAAACTTTTCCCCCAATGGTTCCTCTAAGAGATAAAGGGGGGCGAGGAGCAAAAAGAAAGTGAAAAAAGGGAAAAAGGGAAAAGGTGAGAAAGGGAAGGGAAGCGAAGGAAGGGGGTCGTCAAGGAAGAAAGAAAACACAAGGGGGATCTCATGTTTTAATACGATCTGGCGTTCACTATTGGCGAATATCGATCATGAGCGAGAGAGGGAGGAACCAGGGTTGGTGAAAGGGGAGCTGCTTGTCGATACGTTAGGACAGGATAGAGAAAAGAAAGAAGGGGATAGGATAGGGTAAGGCAGGTAGCTCAGAAACTACTTGGCAAACTGAAGATGACGATGGACGGGATCAGGGACACTGGGGGTTCATTTAGACTGGGTTGCTCCTAGTGGCAGGATGCAGGAAGAGTACATTAGAGAGCGAGTTAGTAACGCTAGGATGTAAAGAAGGTTCGTAAAGGAGGACCACCCTAGTACCCGCGGCTCTTTTGGCTCAGAAAACAAACAAACAGGTTAAGAGCAGCAAGGGCGAGCCCATTGGTTCGCCCTTTCGGTGCTGGGTGCAATTACTTTTTTTTTTACTTGGACACTCTCCAGTAGGAAAAAAAAGGCAGAAATGGGTGGATATGAATGGATGGGTGAATGGGGGTCGACGTGGCTGGCTCTCTGGCTCTCATGGTGTTGAGGTAAGAGAAACACAAGGGCTCAGTTGCTAATGCAATGCAAAGACTAAAGAAGGAGGTACCAATGGGAGGACAAAGGCAAAAGGTAGAAAAAGGCGAATGAGCATCTATACAGCTAGTGGATGTGAGGAGGGGAACGATTAGCGTCGAAGAAAGACAAGAAAGAACGAAGGGCTTGTTTGTAGGGAACAAACAAACAAGCAGCGAACGATCGAAAGCGGAACAGAGCAGAGAGAAAAGCCCGAGCGGACCTTTTCTTTCTCGTTTCTCTTTTGTTGAACAACTTTCTAATTGACGGATGGAATGAGGGTGAAGAGCTAATTAGTCTTGATTACTGATGATTGTCTGATCATTGATCGTAATAGCTGATTGCTCAATTGAATATGGTATCAAAGGCACCGGGGTGGTCTGTCGCTAGGACTATCATCACCTGCAAGTAAGTGATAACTGTTATTGTTTTTTTTTGTTCAACGGTCGTCGGGTTATCCTCCCTACCTGGGCAAGAATAGGATGTTACTGTCCTCCATCAGTTAGAGCATCAATCCAAAAGATAGAAAACCAAACAGGCACTGCTGCAAGGAGGGAGTGGATGTGGTGTATGAAACCAGCTTTGTCTTTTTTTTTCTCTTTTGCCTGTTTGAATCGAAGGAAAGAAAGGTGCATGTAAAAATAGAAACATGGCATTCGATCTACACGCACCTTTTGAAGTGAAGAGAAAAAAATAAAAGATTTTAGTTTGATTTGCTTGGGAAGGGAGACCAATGACTGTGCCAGAGCCATAATAGCGTTTGATGATGATGATGCTGCTGCTGCTGCTTGCTCTCTCCTCTTCTTGCTGTTGTTGTTAGTTTGTCGACAATAGTCCGCATCGGAAAAGGTACCAATCGCTGCTCTGCTCTTCCCTTCTTCGTATTTCCATTCATATGCCCAGCCGTACACATCCAGCAAGTCAGTCCAGTCCAGTCCAGTCCAGCCTGTCAAAAACCCAAAAAAAAAAGTCATCCAACAGTCAGTCATCCCTCTTCTTCTCTACTACTATTCAATTCAATTCAGTCTTTTACTGCCTCCTATTTTCCTTGCGCTCAATATGCCATGCGATGTGCATCCAATAATAAACAGCCGTCGATTGTCCCAGCAGGTCATCCTCCTCTCTTGCTGCTGTTGCTGTTACTCGTCCCCCCCTTCTTCCCCCTTCTTCCCCCTTCCCCCATATAAGATGTGAGCTGTCCCCCCCTTTTTTTTCTTGCTTTCCTTTTCTTTTTTTTTTCTCTTTTCTCTTTTCTCGTTTGCTTCCTTCTTCGTCGCCTTCCTTCACTATTCCTCTCTATTTTTTCTACTTCCTCCTTCAATTTTATACTCACACTCACACTCACACTCACACTCACACTCACACTCACACTCACACTATCATTCTCCCATCCCAATTGGCCCTCTTCCTTCAACGCAAACAACACCTTTTGTTACTCCATCCTTCTCTTTCCCTCTCAACCGTTATCACCTCACCTCCACTCTCTCTTTCTATATTTCCCCCAACCCAAAAACCACGCCCCCCTCTAAACAACCAACTCTTTTCACAGTGTCGCCAACCGCTCGTCAACCCCACAACCGATCTATGACCGGTCCCCTCACCATGTCTGCCTCCCATATCCTTCATCGAGGACGCAGCGTCTTCTCGAAACTCAACAAAAAATACAGACTCCCCGCCACTTCCTCTACAACAACCTCCGAATCTACTTCTTCTTCTATCAGCTCCTACTCGACTCCTTCCTCCGATTCTATCATTACCACCGCTTCCTCAACAGAAACCACTCCATCTACCACTATCACAGCTCCCGCACACCAGGAGCAACAGGATCCTCAGGAGGCTGCCAGGGCTCAGCAGTTTTTTGAGCTCGGTCAGCAGTTGCTCTTTGGCCGCTACGGCCAATCCAAGGACGAGGCCGCAGCCGTCGAATACTACCGCATGGCCACCCAACTGAGCCACCTCGAGGCCCAGGGGGCACTCGCCTTCTGCTACGAGTTTGGACTGGGAATCCAGGCCGACTTTGTCGAGGCCGAACGTCTCTATATCCTCGCTGCCGAGAAGAACAACGGTCTGGCTCTTTCCCGGTTGGCCTTCTTGCGCAAGTACGGTCGTCCCTCGGTCAAGATCGATCGTATCGAATCCGAGTACTGGCAACAAAAGATTAACCAGCAAGGCCCCGGTGCGTTGACCTGGCTCATGGAGGCGGCCTCAGTCGATAACCATGACTGCTGCCAGTACGCCCTCGGAGTCTGCTACCATGATGGTGTTGGTGTTGAGAAGAACCCTACTGAGGCCTTCCATTGGTACTTGAAGTCGGCTGAGCAAGGGAATGCTCGCGGGCAGGGTATTTTGGGCTACTGCTATGGCGAAGGGTTTGGAGTCGAGCGGGATAGACAGAAAGCGATGTACTGGTACGGAATCGCAGCGGAGCAAGGAGACTCGGTGGCGCTTTATAACATTGGATACTGCTATGAGGATGGGCTTGGTGTCGACCGCAACCCAGAGGAGGCTGTCAAGTGGTACCGCCTCTCTGCCGAGCTCGGTAACGCCTTCGCTCAAAACTCACTCGGCTACTGCTATGAGGACGGCGTCGGAATCGAACAGAACCTGGGGCTCGCCGCCGACTGGTACACTAAATCGGCAGAGCAGGGCTACCCCTGGGCAGAGTGCAACCTAGGATACTGCAACCAGAACGGCATCGGACTCCCCCGCGACAACGCCAAGGGTGCCTATTGGTACCGCAAGGCCGCCCTCCAGGGCCACGCCCGTGCCCAGCACAACCTCGGATTCTGCTACCAGAACGGCATCGGTGTCGCCAAGGACCCTGTCGAGGCCGTCAAGTGGTACATGAAGTCTGCCGAGCGCGGCAACATCTTTGCCTTCCACTCGCTCGGTTACTGCTACCAGAACGGTATCGGTGTCCAGCAGAACCTCGACGAGGCCGTCTACTGGTACTACCTCTCGGCTGAAGAGAACCACGCCCCCGCCCAGCTGTCGCTCGGTTACTGCTTCCGCAACGGTATCGGTGTACCCAAGGAGCCCAAAGAGGCCGTCAAGTGGTTCTACCGGTCCGCTATCCAGGGCAACGCCCTTGCTCAGAACTCTCTTGGCTTCTGCTACGAGGAGGGTCTTGGTGTCGAAAAGAACCGGGAAAAGGCCGTCTTCTGGTATGAGAAGTCAGCAGCGCAGCAGAACCCCTGGGCGCAGTGCAACTTGGGCTTTTGCTATGCCAACGAAATCGGAGTCGCCCAGAACTACGAGATGGCCGTCAAGTACTACTCCCTTGCTGCGGCCCAGAACCATGCCCGCGCCCAGGACAAGCTCGGTGTCTGCCTCCAGCTCGGCCAGGGCATTGCTCAGGATGTTAAGCTTGCCGTCCGTTATTTCCGCCTTGCTGCTGAGCAGGGCCATCTCGCTGGACAATATCACCTCGCCAACGCTCTCGTAAGTCCTTTGCTGTTTCGTTTTATTCGTACCAAGGTGGCTTCTTGCTTGTTTTAAGTCAAGCATTGATATTCATACTGCCTCGTCCTTATGATTTGATCCTAATAGGAAAAGGGCTTGGGCTGTGAAGTTCACTTGGAAGAGGCATCAATGTGGTTCGAGCGCGCCGCAGCCAACGGATGCAGGACGTCACACGAGCGTCTCCAGCGGCTCTTGGCCCGTGCTTGCCTTGAGAACGGTCTTGAAAGTAACTACAACGGATTGTTCCTCGGCGCTATCGGACACTGCGCCCCCGCCGCATAAGCCTCGTCCTTTGACATTTCTTTTTATTTTGTTTCGTTCCTTGTTTTTCGTCTTTGCATGGTTTCCATTCATTCATATATCCTTGCCTGCATATTTTTCTTTTTTTTTTCCTTATTTACTTTCGCGCCACCTTGTACCTTATTACTCTATGTACCCGCCCTTTGTCCCTTCTCCTCTTCTTGTACTTGTATCTCGACTTTTTCTCTTTATCTTTCTCTAAAAGCTTACAACCAACCCATGATACCATTAGAAATGCAAAAAATAAAAATCCGTAAACAATTACTTGCATCGCTGCCCAACATTGCTTGAGGTGGGGCCAGAATGGTGTCATGCCAACTATCCTTAGGAAAGCGGTAAGGAACGGATCGGAGAGAACGATTTGAACGAGTGAAAATCGATGGCAAAGGAGAGAAGAAGGGAAGGGAAAGAAGAACTACAAAAAGGGGTATGTCAAGGTAAAGGATCGGCATGATTCTCAGTCAGCAAAAGGAGTACATGCAATCCGAGTGTGGTCATGAAACAAAGACGCAATTTTGGCGGGGCAGACATCAGTTGTGGGGAAAGAGAAAAATGGTAATCTGTTACCCAGTCATCCGAGCATGCCACTGTGTTTTCAGTGAGACCGTTGTTGGTTGCAACCTCCTCCTCGAACCCTTGCACCGCCCTGTCAAATTGGGTTTTCTACCATGTGGGAAATCGAACTTTTTTCATTTCTCTCACCGTGCATGATTCTCACCCTGGAGGCTGTACTTCTTTCTCCTGAAGAAAAAGAAAAAGAAAAAGACAATAGAAAACCAAACCCAGCTGTACAGCACAAGTAGGAGGCAATCAATCAGGCCGGATAAAACCTTTGTGTTTTTGTGTGTCACACATACCCTCATCACACTTTTGTCAGATCAAACCTTACCGTTGTGTGCTTTATCTCCTTTCTTTCCTACTTCTCCTTTCTCCTTTACCCAACCTCTCCTTCCTTCCAGCCCTTGCATCGAATCGCTCTTTCTCCTTTCTTCCTGTTACTGATCTCTCCATATCCGATCCGATCTCTCATCCATACACGAATCTCCCAATATACCATCCAACTCTCTTCACCAGCCTCTCTCACTTTTTTTTATTTCTCCACGTGTCGAGCTCCATAAAAACAACAACAACAACGCAACTCGAAAACAACCACAACAAGCGACGCTTTGCATCCCTATCCTTCAACAACCATCACCAGTCGACAAGCAACCACCCACAAAAGCATATAAAAATGCCATCAACGCGCTCAATCCTCGAAAATGTATTCGGGATGCTCGGTGTCATCTTCTGGTCCTTCCAACTCCTCCCCCAAGCCATCGACAACTACCGTGCGAAATCCACAGCAGGCCTCTCATACTCCATGTTCTTCCTCTGGACCCTTTGTTCCCTAGGCTTCGGGTCCTATGGAGTTGTTGAGGAGTTGTCGATCCCGTTGATTGTCCAGCCGCAGATCTTTGGTGTGTTGTCGACGGTGTGTTATTTGCAGTGTTTGTATTACGGCGAGACGACTCGGGGGTGGTGGGGTCCTGAAAGGGGGTTGAAGAGGATTGGGTGGGCCGCTGTTGGAGGGTTGGTGGCGATGGCGGGGGTGCAGGTTGGAGCTGTTTATGCTACCAGGGTAAGTCCTTCTTTGTTGCTTGTTTGTTTTATGTTATTTTGCTCGTTCCTTATTTGTTTGATGTGCAGTGCTTGGATGATACAGAGGTGTCCATTATAGGAGGTGTAAAGCATCAATCCTCAGGACCTTATTTTCGACATCGACATGGAGTGACAAAAAGTTGATTCAGGATCAGGACAGCATTCTCCATTCCAACCTGGGGCTCATCCCGCTCTCTCACACTCCACTCAATCACACGCACATACTTCCTCAGGCATGAGTGGGCAAAATGGACAAGGGAAAGGGCGGAGAAGGGATTGCTGAACGAGAAGTTCACTGGTTGGTGTGAAACGAACTGGGTGTTAAAACAAACATTGCATGGAGAAGCGACACTCCGCTAAGCCCTGCTGGGAAATACGTTGATGGACGTATAGTGCTGACAGAAGGAGTCTCCGTGATGGCTACTGACATGTGTCTGCTCACTTGAGCGGTCGTACAAAAACAAAAGAAGGGGAAAGGAAACAGGATCGTTGAATATCCCGTTTGGGTACCAGAATGTTCGTATATGCATGAATGGTGGAATCACTGGTGGTGGTGCTCAGAAGAGTGTCCGCAACAAAACATAAACTCAACTCAGGAACTTGTTCAGTCACCCCCTTTGTGCTGCATAACTAGCACAAGCACTGCGTTGTACCTCGAATTACCTCCTCTTCCACGTTTGCTAACATTTTCATTCTATACTCATTCTTATTAGGCGGGAGTTAAAAATGATGTCAAGGGAACGGTAGAAGCCGCAGGGATAATCCCCATCCTCCTCCTAGTCTTGGGCTTCATCCCGCAATACTTCGACATCTACCGGGACCGTTCCGTCGTCGGCGTATCCATGGCGTTCATTTCAGCCGATGCCGCGGGAGCCATATTCTCGATTATTTCGTTGATTTTCAGGAGCGAGTTTGATCTGCTGGCGACGCTGAATTATTGTGCAGTGCTTGTGTGTGATTTGATTGTGGTCGCGCTCTGGGTGTATTTTAACAAGATGCATCCAGAGTTGGCGAAGGTGAAGGAGGTTGGACAGAAGGATTTGGAGAATGGTGAGAATGAGAGTGCGGTTGTGACGATTGTTGAGCCACAGGGTGAGGAGGGTGAGGAGAAGGAGCAACAGAACGGGCATCGTCATCATTTGCATTTGGACTTGCATGGTACGACGGTGCCTAACCATCTTCATGCCGAGCCTGTTGCCAAGACAACAACAGCGTCAGCAACAGTGACAGGGTCTGCATCGCAGGTGTCGTTGTCAAGTGCTCACTCCAACAGCACTGTTGCGCAACCATAAGCCGCCGCTGAAAAATAGCCACCATAGACACGTTCTATTCTTTTCTCCTAGCATGCCTTTCTTCATATTTTTTTACACTAATCCTTTGCATGGTTCACACCATTAATAGCGCACACTCATTGTCATCGTCATCGAAGGAATCTACAGCGACACTTATTTACATGCAATTGTTGGGTGATTAACGTGGCGGCTTACTTAGAGGATGTGGGAACGATAGTAACAAATCAAAAAGAGGTGAAGAAAGGAATGTCGTTGAAGATCCCAAGAGTAATCCACATCTCCCTTTCAACTATCAACGGTTCCTCAATTCCCCTAAGAAATATTCGCGTGTTGTTTGATTATCGCGTAGAATTATGCCGCCTCCAAGAACATAAACGCGTTGTTGTTTGTCTTGGCGAAATGGTATATACGATCGTATTTTTCTGTGTCCAAGATAGTTCTTTAGGGTGGAAAGGAGAATCATTACCACATCTTCGGACGCCGGATCCGAGATGGATACATCAGCGTTGTCCGAGCACCGGCATTTGTCGTTGTTGCATGATCTTTTTGTTGGAGGATTGAAAAAAAAGAGCGAGTATATTGGATCAGGCCATGAAAAGGAAAAGAAGAAAGATGTAGAGTTGAAGGGAAGCGAGGATAGAAACAGAAACAGGCGCTATAAAACAAAAAAAAAAGTACGATTTAGGCGAATGGGTGCAAACAGGTTTTTGTTATGCCTTGCTTTGTAAAACGCGAGTGATCGATGGACATGGGGCATGGTGCGTGGTTTAATGTGGCGTTTCTTTTTTTTTTTTTTTTTTTCGGAGAGAAATAGCAAACAAAAAATAAGAGATGTGTAAGGAATGCAGAGCAGCCTGTGCCTGAGAAAAAAAATCGACAAACACCCGCCCATATTTTGCTCCTTTCACCGTGGCGCAAAGGAACAAAGATAAGCAAACCTAAGGGCAGGCAGGAGCAGAACAGACAGCTGGAGAGAACGCTTGGTTCCACCACAAGGGTGAGACCGTTCTGTGGTTGCCCCCTGTCCTCGTCTTTTTTTCACACTGCTTACTTTACCCCACCTTGATGGCCGCATACCTTATTCTGTATTTCCGACCTGAAGGACTTTCGTACCACAGAAGGAGTGAGAAAAAGGGCGGAGAGTAACGAGAGAAGGGTAACAAGCAAGCACGTACAAAATACGTGCTTCCTCCAACATGAAGTGAGGTGGGTGAGAGAACCTTGAAGGGAGTACGTAGTGTAGGCTGGAAAAGGGGACTTTGAAAGTGGTGCGTTGTCGGGGTTGGCCAATAGGAGGTCTTGTTAATGTTTGTTTTGTTTATCTTTGGACGAGGGAGAAAGGGGTAAAAAGAACGCGATCTGGCAAACGTAAATCGTAATTATAAATTGACTGCTAGGTACTGTATGTTGGTGGTCGGGCAGACATTCGAAGGAAGGTTGGAATGACAATCGGATGATATGATTGAAGGTATTGCTGTTGGCGTTGTTGTTGTTGTTTTTGTTCAGAGAACGCTGTTGTTGGCGATGTTGCTTGGCGGTTAAGAACGATGAGAATGAAGCTGTCAATTGTGTTGGTTGTTATGGTGCACAGACGACGGATGAACCGATAGGGTCACAAAGAAATAACGTGTTCATTTTGAATGAAAGAGGCGAGAAAGATATTAGGAAATGAGCAGAGCAAAGTGACAGAATAAGGAGAATGATTGCTGTTGGTGACTGATACCATTGCGGACATATATTTGTTCCTTGTCTTGTACAATGGATGGATGGTGCACCAAAGAGCAAGAAGAAGAAGAGCTGAGTTGAGGCCTGAACACAACATGTGTGTATTTTTTGTTTTACTCTGGTACAATGAACGATCTCAAGAGGAACAGGGAAAAAAAAGCCTGCAGCGGGAGAGAAGAGAAGAGAGGCAACAGTGAGAGAGGACGAGATGAAGAACAGCAGCGACAGCCTTCTCAGTCCACGCACGGCTATGGCATGGCATGTATGTCACGATGGTACTATGGCTCGGACCAAAGTAAACTAGCCGTTGTCATTCATTAGTGATCAGTTCAGTCCAGTTCCCATTCCCCAGGGCGAGCAGACAATTGGGTGTTGATCAGAGACAGAGAGACATAAAAAAAAGAGAAGTGGCCTGATCTTTGTTGGGCGTCTCTGTCAATTATAGATATTTCGTATTGTAAACACTCCCTAATTGACAATCACCGTCCGATTCTATTACTTCTCACTCATTCATTTTATATTTTTTCTTTTGTCCCATTTTCAAACACAGATCAACCGTTTCTCTCCTTCGTCTTTCCTCTCTCCTCTTCTCTATTTCTCTTCTCTATTTCTCTTCTCTCTTCTCTCTTCTCTCTTCTCTCTTCTCTCTTCTTCTTCACCTCTTCTCAATTCTCCTCCTTCATCCCTCCTCCTCCTCGTTCTTCTTCTCTCCACCTCTCACCATCTCCATCACTTTTTTTCTCATCCCTCCTCTCTCCTTCCTTCCTTCCATACCCAAGAGAGAATAAGCGAGATAAAGATAAAGATGACGGGAAAGACACATACCCCAGAGTCGAGGTCCCACAAGCACCACGACGAGGACATAATCGACACCATCGCTCTCGACTCGGCCTACCGGAACTCGGCCCTCCGTCGCTTCCTCCACATCCTCGCCACCGCCACCACCCAGCACCCCATCGAATCCATCTCCTTCTGCCTCCTCGTCGCCTCCTTTGCCTATTTCACCCTCTTCAACACCATCCGCCACTCGACCTTCTTCGACTCTAACAACGTCGTCGTCTACCAACCCACCACCGTCATCGCCCACCCCGGCCAATCCACATTCCAGCACTTTGACCGACGCTTCTCAAAGATCCCCCGCAATGCCCAGCAGCTCCAGCTCAAGCAGGTGGTAGTCACCCCCGACTCTTCCGTCTCTTCCTTGATTGATACCGATTCGACATCGATGAAGAACTCTGTCTTGGCCTCTGTCCTTCAGCTCCAGACCATGATCGAAGATCGGGTCCTCGTCTCGCCCATCCAGCTCTGGGACAGGGATCTGCAATCCATCATCCGGGACGGCAAGGTTCTTGCTACTGTGACCGAAAACACCGAGACCGTCGACTATCTCTTCAAGGATCTTCGCTCGACTGTTATTATCACAAACAACAACAATGCAAGCAGGACAACTGCCATTCCTGAAACACCCGCATTGGTTCTTTCGTATGCGTTTGATGCCAACGGCCCCTTCCAGTCCCGCCTTGCCCAAGGATGGGAGTCCAAGGTTGCCCATCTCGACACCCCCACGATGAAGTCTCAGTCGCGTCTCCTTGAGGACGAGAAATCGGCCATTGCCTGGATCGGAAGCGCTCTCCTCGATGTTACCTACAAGATTCAAGGCCTTGTTCAGGTACGCTTCATTTTCCTTATCTCCTTCGATCGCGTCTCTTTTTCTCAACACACACATTCACATACCCAACAAACAAACAAACAAACAGCACGCAACGACAGCAATTACTTCCCTTACTGCCTTCTCTCCCTTTTGCAACACAACCTTCATTTTGTCGATCCGTGCTCCTCTTTCTCTCGTTCGTATTCAAACAACTAACAATTTGTTCATGTTAAAAAATATCAACAATTAGATTGCGAGCACGATCGACGTGTTTGTCATCTTGACCGCCTACTTCATCATGTTCTGCTCGTTCGGACTCCTCTTCCACAACATGCGCAAGCTCGGATCCCAGTTCACTCTCGGAGTCTCGGTTTTGGTTGGCGGCGGGTTCGCCTTCATGGGCGCCGTCATTACCGTCCACAACCTCGGTGTTTACGTTAACCCCATCCAGCTCTCCGAGGCCATCCCCTTCTTCATCATCACCGTCGGCTACGAGCGCGCCTACACCCTCTCCAAGGCCGTCCTCCGCCCCACCCTCGCCACTGCCGAGCGTGTCCCCGAGTCGATTCAGAAGCACGTCGTCACCGCCCTTGAGTCCGTTGGCCCCATTCTCATCCGCAACTGCGCTGTCGAGATTGCTGTCCTCCTCTGCGGCTTTCTGTCGGGCATTCCCGGTCTGAAGGAGTTCTGTCTTCTTGCTGCTTTCATGCTTTTCTACGACCTCGTCATCCTCTTCACCTTCTACACCGCCATCCTCACCCTCAAGCTCGAGTTGCGCCGCATCCGCGAGAGCAGCAAGTCACCCGTCCACTTTAGCGAGTTGACCTTGAAGGCTCTCTTGGGCAACACTGGATCTGATGACAACAAGCAGGATAACAAGAACAACGGTGACAACTTGAAGAGGAGCAACGGCTCTGTTTCTTCTCTTTCCACTACAAAGGCCGAGACTCGTCTTGTTGCTCAGCTCAAGTTGGCCTTGATCGTCGGATTCGTCGCTATGCACTTGTTCAACGTCTGCACCACCTTGACTACCCCCAGCGCTGCCGATATCCCCACTGGATCCTCGGTCGATGTCACTGGCCCTTCGATCGCCCCTGTTCTCGAGACCCTCTTGGCCATCCACCGCACTTCGACCCTCAAGGACATGCCCATGATCGTCGAGGTTGCCCCCGCCCTCTCCTTCCAGCACCTGGCCCCCACCTCGAGTGCCGTTGCCAACTGGACTGAGCGCCCATTGGAAAAGATGTTTGCTCTTTGGTCGTACTTGATTCAGGACCCCGTCATCTCCAAGTACATCTCCTTGACCTTGGCAGCTTCGCTCTTGCTCAACGTCTTCTTGCTGAACGTCGCCAAGCAGTCTCGCCAGGCCCCTGCTACTACTGCCACTGTCACCTCTGCCCATCAGACCACCAACGTTACCTCGCCCTCGACCACCACTGTCACCACTGTTGTCGCCACGACGACCAAGATTGCCGCCCCCGCCTCGACCCCCAAGCCTCAGCCTACTCATATTCAAAAGGTCGAGTCCCTTGCCGAGCCTAAGGCCGTTGTTGACGCTGTTATTCTCAAGGAGGGCGACTGGGCTATGGTCCGCTCTGTCGATGAATGTATTGCGCTGATCAAGTCTCCCGCTGGTGCCACTGCTATTTCGGACGAGGAGATGGTTATGCTGGTCACCAACAACAAGATCCCCTCGTATGCTTTGGAGAAGACTTTGGGCGACCTTACCCGCGCTGTCAAGATTCGCCGTGCCCTGATTTCCCGTGCCACCCACACCAAGACCCTCGAGACCTCGCTCTTGCCCATGCACTACTACGATTACTCCAAGGTCATGGGCCAGTGCTGCGAGAACGTGATCGGATACATGCCCTTGCCCGTCGGTGTTGCTGGACCTTGCAATATTGACGGACAGATGCTTTACTTGCCCATGGCCACGACCGAGGGATGCTTGGTTGCTTCGACTTCTCGTGGATGCAAGGCTATCAACGCCGGTGGTGGAGCGACGACTGTTCTTTTGGCCGATGGTATGACCCGTGGACCCTGTGTCGAGTTCCCCAATGTTACCGAGGCTGGAGCCTGTAAGAGATGGTTGGACACTGAGGAGGGTCTCCAGACCATGCAGGATGCTTTCAACTCGACTACCCGTTTCGGTCGCCTGCGCAAGCTCAAAGTTGCTGTTGCTGGACGTCTTGTGTACATTCGCTTCTCGACTACCACTGGAGATGCTATGGGCATGAACATGATCTCGAAGGGATGCGAGCGTGCCTTGGAGATCTTGGGCGACAAGTTCCCCTCGATGTCGATTGTGTCATTGTCTGGAAACTACTGCACGGACAAGAAGCCCGCGGCGATCAACTGGATTGAGGGTCGTGGCAAGTCTGTCGTTGCTGAGGCCGTGATCCCCGGAAAGATTGTCGAGAATGTCTTGAAGACCACAGTCAAGGCCATGGTCGAGTTGAACTTGTCCAAGAACTTGATCGGATCTGCAATGGCCGGAGCGATGGGAGGATTCAATGCCCAAGCAGCAAACATCTTGACGGCTGTGTACTTGGCGACTGGTCAGGACCCCGCCCAGAACGTCGAGTCGTCTAACTGTATTACGTTGATGAAGGCTATCAACAACGACCAGGACCTGTTGATCAGCTGCACGATGCCTTCGATCGAGGTCGGTACCTTGGGAGGTGGAACTGCCTTGCCTCCCCAGGCGTCGATGTTGGATCTGTTGGGTGTCCGTGGTTCGCACCCTGAGACCCCCGGAGCAAATGCCCAGCGTCTGGCACGCATCATTTGCGCTGGTGTTATGGCCGGTGAGCTCTCTCTTTGCGCTGCTCTCGCTGGTAAGTTGTTGTTCTCTTTTTGTACTTACTTTCTTAAGTCATGGTTGTTTCTGACAGAGTAGGCAACTAACATTTTCATTGTAACTTGTCTTTACTACCAATTAGCTGGACATCTCGTCAAGTCGCATATGGCCCATAACCGCGCCCAGCCAACTATCACCGCCGGTCCCTCTACCACTACAGCATCATCATTAACAACAACTACAACCACCACAACCACATCCTCAACAGCATCACCATCCACAGCATTACTCCCAGCATCATCAGTAGCACCCATCCTTGGATCCTGCCTCAAGTCATAAACCAATTCAGGAAAGAAGAAGCGAGCAGCTTTGTCCTGTATCTATTAGATAGTACTCCCCACTCCAAAAGAAAAGAAACCACAATAATACATTTTTACAATTGTGTCTGAAGCATTGAAATTGTCGTTGTCTTTGTATTTTTGTGATGTGTGTATGTGCTAATGGATTCCAATCTGGAGAAAGAGAAAAGGTGTATTCCGATTTGGCCGTCATTTTTTTCTCTCTCTCTCTTTTCGCATTTTACTCCAACGGTCCTTTACACTTTTTACATACCGCGTCATCATTCTTGCCTCTCTCGTAACGAGACGGAGGGAAGCTGAAGAGACGACAGAAAGAGAGGAGACGGGGATGAGAAAATCATAAGAAGGAAGCCAGGCCAAGTCGCTATCGAAATTTCTCATATTAGAGGACAGACTGTTGGATGGCATAGCTACTGAGGCATTTGACACCACAGCCTTGGATACAGACACACGCAGACACAGACACAGACACAAATACGTCCAGATTATTAGGCCGGGATCGCCACCTCGTTCTTGGATCGGCCTTCTCTTCTCTCACACTCTTTCTCTCCTGCTCTTACTCCCGCTCTCTCTTACCTCACTCTCTCACCCTCACACTCTCTCACTCTCTCACTCTCTCAATCTCTCTCCCAATCCCTTTTCTTGCCCACTCTCATCTCTCTTAAACCCTTCTTTTTCCCTGTCTCTCTTCCCTTTTCTTTTTCACCTTGCCCTGCCCTGTCCTGCCCTGTCCTGCCTTTATTCCTTGCCTTAATCACTTTACCATATTACGCATTAGTAACCCAACATGGCACTGTCATCATCCAATTACACAGACCTATCTCACTCCATGACCTCCTTCCTCTCCTCCCTGGGTTACAGCTCCTCCTCCACCTCTTCCATCTCTACTGACACCCCTTCCTCCACTTCGACAGCAACACACCCTGCAACAACATCTTCTCATACTTCACCTGAACAACAACAAGGACAACAGCAACTACAACAACAACAGCAACACACACCCACAGCCACCGAAACCAACAATAGCCAGGGTGGAAGCGATCTGTTTCAACAGTCGTGGAAGAGCGAGTCCTTCATGGGTCTCTTGAACTTGCTCCATTCGCAACCACCTGTGAGCGCCGCACAGACCACCGTCACCAATAATCACATCATAACATCGGACAGCACACGTCCCTGGACGGCACTCGATAACAGTGGTGGAGCGGATTGGGAGAACGAGCAGTTGCGGTCGCTTTTGAACTTATCGGATGCGGATATGGATCTCTTTCAGGGTAACCGTGGCGGTGGTAGGCTTCTTGTTGATGAGACGGCTCCTCTTGGTCAACAAGCGCTCCATTTGAGTCCTTCGATGACAGTCGGTCAAATGATGCAGCAGCAAGGGGTTTTGAATGCTCAACAGCTGTACCAGCAGCAACTTCTCCTCTATCAGCAACAACTACAACAGCAGCGTCGTAAGAGCTCTCTTGACGGTACTACCACTACCACAACCTCTCGTCGCCACAGCAGCACTCCCCTTACTAACCCACGCCACGCGACATGTATGACGCCCTCCATCCCACCGGCCGAGATCAAAAGACCCGATACCAAGGAAATGTTCGTCCACCCGGGGTTCTACTCCCTCTCCTGTCCCCCCCAACAATCTCAGTGGCCTTCATCTCAACAGCAGCAAGGGGCACCGGTGAAGATGGGTATGAAGCGGTCTTTTCAGGAGGATGACTCTTGCCCTACTACCAACAGCACTTTCAGCTCGTCGCCATCCCCCTTGTCGTCACATCGTCACCATCACCATGAGGCTATGATGCAAGGTATGGATCTACGCCGCCATTCCGTCGATGGGTACCACGTTGCTGCCAAGGCAGCCGCTTCTGCTGCTGCTGCCAGTTCTAAAGGCGGCTCGGCATTACCAGCGCGTCCACGCGCCGCATGGGCATACTCGACACCACCCAAAACACCCCCCACGTCCATGTTCCAACCCCACACAAGGGCCTCGACAGTCGATTACTCGCAAGTCCCGCTTGGACAGCCTTACATGGCGAATAACACACACGTCGTCGCGTCTCCTCTCATAAACCATCACCATCATTATGGGACTGGTAGTCCGGCCTCGTCGCCCTTTCAACCTGCTACCCATTTTGTTCGGTCACACTCCTCACCCGCTGGAACGAAGCTCTCTTCCGCCGCTTCTGCGTTCACCAAAAACTCTCCTATTTCCACAACCGACACCAGCGGAAGTAACAGTAATTCAGGTACACCCAGGAAGCGTCGCGCTTCAAAGTTCCGAATGGACTCTACTTTACCCCACACCAACGCGTCAGCAGGGATGATCCCGTTTGATCCAACAGCGCTGCTGTCACATTTTGGGCTTGCCAACACTCTCCCCCCACCTTTACAGCAACAGCATCCTTCGACCACCACTCAAGGTTTTCAACAACCTCAGTCAGAGCATGCGGTCTTGTTCCAGCAGCAGCAGCAACAGCAGCTCCAGGCTGCAATACGCCAACAACAGCATCAGCAGTTTGCGGCCGCCGCCGCGGCGGCTATCGGTGCCGCTGGCGGTGTTTGTAACCGTAGTGGGTCAAACTCTATCGCCGGCCAGCAGAACGCACACGCCTTCTTGATGCAACACCTCATCTCCGACCCCCGTCTCTCCGCCGCAGGCCTCTCCGCCGCAAGCCTCCCCACCTCCACCAAACAACAGCACTCAACCACGGCAACAGCCAACCGGAGGAACCCCGGCGAAGTCCCTTCGAGCACCCTGCCACCAGATCACTTCATCTTCCAAGAGGCGTCACTTCTGAACCGGAACCGGCAACAGGCTGCTCAACAACACCATGCGCAGCAGCAGCAGCAGGCGAAACAAGCTCTGCAAGCGAAGCAGCTCGCTCAGCAGCAGGGTGGTGGTGGTGGGTGTACGCGGTCGAATTCTATCTCGACTACTACGACGGGTGTGGATGTGGTGAGTGGTAAGGCGGCGATGTCGAGACGTCGTTCGGAGCCTGTGAACCTCTATCAACAGCACCACAAACATCAACAACTTCGTCTCCACCAAGCACAACAGCCACAGTCTCAGCAATACCAACACCAACACCAGCACCAGCACCAGCAGCAGCACCAGCAGCAGCAGCAGCAGCAGCAATATCACCTTCAGCAACAACAACGGCATCTCACAACAGTCAAAGAAGTCAACTTGCCTCACGCGTCTCCTACCCCCACAAGCTCCTCATCTTCTGCGTATGAGTCGGCGATCCCTTGTGGCACCATCGCTCCTTTGACGACTAAGGCCATCATGACCACTGCCGCGGAGGATGTCAGTGTAGGCGGCGTTGACGATGCGGAGAAGAAGAAGAAGAACAAAGCCTCCCAGCCAGAGGTTGAGTTCGACATATCCTCGATCGCGATCGCCGCAGAAGCCGTCGAAGCCACCACACTAATCATTGAGTCGATGCCAGATCAAGAGGTTGCGGCGGCGGCGGCAGCGGCGACCATCGACACCGAAACCGAGATGTCTCTTATGTCCACAGCTGACCATGTCCTCGAGTTCGAGCCCGCACAGCAAGTCGCCAAGTTGATCACAGCAAAGCCAGAGCACCAAGTCGTTGAACAGTCGATCGAGCAGGACGAACAGCGTGAAGAAGGTGAGCGGGAGGAAAAGAAGGAAGAAGGGGAGGAGGAACCACTAACAGCAGCAGAGGCGTTCGCAAAGAGCCTGACAGCCGTCACCACAACCATGGACCCGGCAGCGACACAGCTGATGGACCAACTGCGGCTCCAGGAGTACCTCTGCGTCTCTGTCTCCTCAATTTCCCTCCCCACCGGTACTCCTTCAACAACAATGCATGGATGCAAGAATTAAATAGTCGAACACCTTTTCATAGCCTTTTAAAAAGATATATATACATTTTTTTTAATTCAAACTTCATTGAGCACACAAGTGAAAAATAGTGTTTGTTTAAGGGTGAGGAAAACCGAGTTGCAGCATTACGGCCTCATTTTGCCATGGACGCGCCTGATCCAGAAGCCGCAGAGGCAGCAACCGCAGAGGAAACCACCCTGCCCCGCAGCGGCAAAGTATCAACACGTAGTCTCGCCTCCACACTCGCGCGACCAGACGGATCTTGATACTGCCGTTGCTGATGCTGCTGGTGTAAAGGCGAAAGCGGAGGAGGTGGCGCCGCCGCCATCCCCATCGCAGGCGACCTCGGCCCCCCAGATCCTGCAGACGCAAACTTGGTCGCCTCGTTCCTGGCAATCATAGTCCAGAGTCCATGCATCGACTGTTCTATCTGAAGGATTTTGTTGTCCAGGAACTCGACCGATTCGATTGCTACTGCGGCATAGTTGAGGGCGCCTTGTTCTTCTTGTTCAAGGGAGGCTAATTGGCTTCTGAGATCTTGGACTTCTTGGCGGAGCATTGAGGTTTCGCAAGTGCTTGTGCTAGTGGCGCTGTGGCTCCTGTGCCTCTCCTTGATGTCGGTGTGGTTGTTGTTATGGGTGTTGATTGGAGCTATGGAGGCGGCTGCGATGGTGGTAGTGGTGTGGTCACCCTGGATGACTGTTTTGGGTGTAGAGCAAGTTGCACTGACAATGTTGCTGTCGTTCTTTCTCCTGCCGAGACGACCGTTGGGGGCACGACCGAGTTCGTAGGAAGCCCGAGAGACAACTCGTGACGGGGTTGCAGAGACTGCGGGTGGTATCGAGAGTACATGTGGCTCGGGCGTACAGGACAATGACGACTGCCGCTGGTTCTCTTCAGCCAATTCCAGGTTGACACGCTCCAGTGCCGCCAACTTGTTGCGGAGACTTTGGTTCTCTCGGCGAAGTCGATCAACGTCATTATCCTTGCTATGGCTAGTGTCGTTGTTTCTGAGGGCACCGTTGGCAGCATCCTCATCCATGTTAACATCCATATTCGAGTCCATATCCATGCTGGTGTCCTTGTCCCGCGAGAGGGTGTCAGCCAGGAGCGTTGTTGCAGACGCTGGTGTAGCGAATTCAGACTCCTGCTTCTCCATCTGTTCCAGAGACGCCACCCTCGCACACAGTTCTTGAATAACCTCTAGAAGACTGTCCGTCCCATTATGCAGATTATGAGACCCTGTGGCGACAGGCACTTGTACAACGTCCGTCGAAGAAGCCGTCAGATCCAAAGTCGAAACTCTACTTTGATTCTCTTTGCCCTTCCTGGTGACTGGACGAGTGGTAGTGGTTGTTTCAGTTTGCGTTGTTGTTTTCGTTGACGCTTGGACGGTCTCCTGAACCTCGAAACTTTGAACCTCCTCATCTTCCGCCAACTCTTGAGCTTTCGTAGGCACCCTCGCCTCCACCACCGCATCAGCAACCATCGCCTCCTGAAGCTGCGCCGCAAATTCCCTAAAAGCCGACGAGGACAAGACGGGGTGCTTAACTGCAAACGTATGGTCAAACCCGGTCTTCCTCTCCCCATCCTCCTCCGGCTCACAAGCCATCATCGCCGCAAAGTCCTGCAAAACAACCTTCCTCAACCCCGCCACAAACAACAAATACCGAATCTTCGGAAAATCCAAATTAACATACTTGACATCCTTATCCTTGTTCGGCAGCCGATCCGTGGCATCTGGTCGATCCATCATAATATTCTCCACCCACATCTTCCAATCCGCACTATCATCATAAAAGTCCTCTATAAAGGGGAACAGTTGTCGTTGGAGGTCCGGGGGCAAAAGGAGTCTGCTCCGTGGGAGGTGAAAGACGGATGGTTGGGGAAGGGTTGTTGTTAGGATAGCGGGAGTGGCTACCTTGGTGCTGTTTTGGTATCGAGTGGGTGATGGGTTTAGGAGACTGAAGAAGGAGCTGTAGGGTCGTTCTTCTGTGTTGGCTTCAATGACCTTTGCGAATAGTGCTGCCGAATTCGCGCCTCCATCCTGTTCCGAGCTGAGAATTATGGCGCGGCACAAAAATTATAATATGTCAGTGATCCTGAACCCGTAAATGATATAGTCAAAAAAAAGGGCGAACAGTTTGCTTACATGTCTGGTGTCGTCACTTGCCTGGTATTCTCTCCTGCCTTTGGTGCATCTTTCAAAAACTCGATAGGTTCAGTCGCCCAGTTGTCACTGCCAAAGTTTGGGAACGACTTTTTCTCCTATACCAACAAACACAAAGAGCATTAACGACCGTAGTGTAAAATAGCTGCGAGGTACATAAGACCGAGCAAAAACAACAACAGTGCAAGGGAGTCATCACATACCGTCCATTTGCCAAGGAGAAAGAAGGCGAGCGCGCCAATAGGGCAGACCTGCACATCTTCTTCCCGCAGGAAAATCGAGTACCGCGAAGGGTCGCCATATCGCTTCCTGGAATGAAGCGTCACTGCGACTCCCTGCGTTGGTATCTGGTCTTTGTCCTCTGGCCGTATTTGCAGGTGGTGGAGTTGTGGTGGTGAGAGGGTCGCAAAGTCATTTCGAGAGTCGGTCTCAAAGTAGCCGAATGCCAGACGTAACCGTTCTCGATGCGCAATCATCCACGAGTGTCCCCGCGAAGATAGTTTAGTCTGAGGGTTCCAAAGGGATTTCATGACCATTTTGAGCTGGATTATGGACGGTTCCTTGTTTCTGCCGCTGACCTGGGGATTCATCTTCTGGATAGTTTCCTCTTGAACATTCTCCTCTTGTACATCCTCCTCTTGTACATCCCCCTCCTGGACATCCTCCACCTCTACATCTCCCTGCCGCACATCTTCCTGCTGCACATCCTCTGGCTGCACATCCTCCCGCGGGGTATCATAACGGAGAACTCCCTGATGCTCATTCTCCTGACTATAGGCCTCCAAGTTCTCAGGCTTCTGTTGAACAACTTCCTGGTTCTCATTCTGCTGGTGCTCTTTCTCCCGCTGTAAAACTTGTCCATCAGGGGTAATAATGCGCGGCAGACCAGGACATTCTTTCAACCTAATGCGTGATGAGTGAATGAGGGGGAGGTGTTAAAATACCACGTCAGAATGAGTCGTCGACAAGCATCGATCCGTGCACTTTGTCTGAAGTATCACCCTTACAGCTTTTCATAGTTGCTCATGATGACATCGATCGAAGTTTTTGCCAGATCCCTATGAACATTCGGCTCGACGTTCTCGACGATGCACTGATCCAAGTAAAGTGCTCGGATGGCTTTCAGAGCCTCCAGAACTGTCCCCTTGGAAGCACGGTGGGCATTGGCTCCTCTGTGGATGTGGATATGTGCAATGAAGGGCTTGATGCAGAGGTGAGGATTTTCCTTGTCGTAGTACTCGTCCCGTGCCGTGAGCTCTCTTATATAGGTAACATACTTTTCGGGGGTGACTCTGTGTCCATCAGTGTATTTCTTCCTGGTGCACCACTCCTATACCAAATACAGTAAGTAGGGTAGAAATTGTGTTAGTGGGTCGTTAGGAGCAGATCGCTGAGCAATGTTGGCACAGTGAGCAGATCTTTTTGAGTCCTACCTTCCACTGTGTTTGATAAGGAAGGTGGCGTGGTCGAGTAGTGCCCCTGAAAACATAAACTGGGTCCTGACGCTGTGAACCCGGCGACAGTGCCCGTCCAGACCTTTTACTCCAGCGTTCCTTCTTGGGCTTCTCCATCTTGCCTGCCTCTTTTCTGTTGTCGCCTTGCTGCCTGTTTTTCTGTGGTGACGGTGCGGTGGATGAAGCTTCTGTTTCTTTACTTGAAGTTCCTTCCTGTACAGGGCTCCCCTCACCACGCGCGTCGGCTAAATAGTGGTGAATGATAAAAAGCGTGCATAGGGTTAGGAAAGCAATACAAACGTGACGACTACAATTATGGAGTGAACCAACACCAGATGCAAGACGCGGCCATTGTCCTTGTTTTAACTTACCTTCGTCCATGGTATCCTCGCTAGCGCTATACTCGTCATCATCTTCTTCCTCCTCGTCGTCATCTTCCTCCCACTCATCGTCATCACTACCCTCATCAGTCCTCGCCGATGCGCGGCGACTAGTAAGAAAAACAAAATATCTGATCAGCTAGCAATTCCAATATACAAAAAGCAAGTCTAAGCAGAACAGCCACCATTCAACCACATATTTAGTCAGTTGGCTTATCACGTTTGTGTCAACTTACCGATCGTGACTCTTATACGCACTCAGAATCATGTCAGCCTCGTTTTTTCCCAGACTGCCATCGGGGATGATCCCGTCCACAAGACATTGCTCCCTGTAAAGGGATCGCACGGCTTTCATGCAATATTTCAGGGTCTCTACGGAGGCTCGACGGGTACTGCGTCTGTGGTTGGACTTGACCAAGAGGGGTTTTATACTGAGACGCGGGACGTCGCTGTCGGTATACGGTTGTAGGGCCGTTAGTTCCCTGAGGTAGGAGATAATTTTCTCGAGCGTCACCCAGTCTCCGTCTGAAAACTCCTTGCGGATACACCACTCCTAACAAATCGATTACAAAAAAGTAATAATTGTAGATGCTTATCAGTTAAAAAGAATTATGTTGGCAGAATACAAGTGCAAAGGTGTCAAAATTTCATTTCTTTACTCACCTTCCAGTGCTTTTGGTATTGTGCATAGGCCTTCTTAATGCGCTTCGTATTGCTTGGTTGAGGTTGTGCTTCGGGATGTCGCGATCTACTCTCAGGTACCGCCTCCGCTCTCCTTCCAGCTTCCGTGGTTGCGGTGGCATAGCGTCCCTGGGCGTCGTCCCGTCGAGCTTCTATTATGGGCCGGACATAAGTCATTAACGAAGACGATGGTGAAGTCCAAGAATCTCTCTTCCTCGGCGATTCTTCCTCTGCATTTTTTCTCTTCAGACTGGAAGGGGATGCTATTTTCGATGGATCCATAGGAAAATTGAACAAAGGTCATGTTAGAAGATTCCCACACCCTACTGCCAACGTAGCCGGCAGCAAATTATTTCTGCCCCGCAATATGTTGTTATTAAAAAGTCAATTATGTTTTACATCTGTTAAGCAGATCGCGGTAGCTCTCTGGTCGCTGTTGCCCCACATCGCCTTTGCCGGTTGTCGTTGTCGCTGTTGTAGGATATGGCCACTCCCCGTTCTGAAAAGCCATCGGAGTCAGAAGTGGGACAGTCCTAACCGTTGCTGCAGCTATAAATGAAACGCGCGTGTTTACTACTTCAACTGAGCTCGAAACATTATTTAGCTTGACAATGACGGTACACGGAGCAATAAACCCGATCCCTCCCTACCTTCTGGAGCTGGCCTTTGGGAGCGTGAACGTGTGGGATTAATGGCCATCGACATGCTTTCTGGCGACTTCTTCATGGTCTCAGGAATGGCGAGACCAGAGTTGATGGGGAGGTGTGTCGACCCACGAAAAAGGACTGTCGACGAAGGTGCCGAAGAGGAGGGTATAAGAGGAACGAATGGCTTTCAACCAGGGATGTGATTACAATGGTTGTTGAAGGAGGCAATGCTGCACTGGGGGAACGACACAAATAACAAAAAGCGCGAGTGCGAGAGACTGATGCGACTGCTTTTTCAAGAGTAGCTGGGAGAGGTTGTGACCTCATTGCTGAGAGGGATTTTTCCCAGTCGCTTTTCCCGCTTTACAAAGCCCCCTCTGATATGCGGTCCTGTACCTCTCTCAAAGAGGTCCAAACCCACTCTCAAAGAGGTCCAAACCCACTCTCAAAGAGGTCCAAACCCTCTCCCAAGAGTGGGACATCCCACTCGAGATGTGGGCCATTCTCCCTTTAACAGAGAAATAGAGTCTGTACCTTAATTAAAAAATAGCTTGTACCTGAATTCCTTTGCTCCCTTTCTTCTACTCTTCATCACTTTCGTTTTTTCTTTCTTTCTTTCTTTCTTTCTTTTTATCCCTCTCCCATCCCCTTCCCTTTCTCTCTTTCCAACATCGTCCTTTCCCATTGCGTGCCTATTTTGATCCCAACCACTGTTTTTCTTTCGTCTTCTTTTCAAAGTCGTCCACTCACCCTTCCAGTCGATTTTCCTCGCCAACTTCCACAAACGGATGCCAAGACTCGGCCGACGAACAGACTGAGGGCAGAAACTCTTGCCTACAGAGAGCTTATTCGACATTCTGCCAACAAGGAAATAGAAGGATGGAGCAACCATGAAACCAGCAAGCGTAGAGGCCAAGCCGATGATTTTTGCTGTCATTCAGGACTGGGCCGTGAGCGCTCTATGTGGGCCTGATCCCGTACAGACCGATCCTCAATCCCACAAACGCCGACTCTAACAAGAAATATTTCAAGAACCCGCTAGCTAGCTAGCGTTTTTGGCGAGCCAAGGAAGAAGGGGCTGCTACAACTTTATCGGACTATGTGCCGTGGGCCCGAATGTTCCTGAGCATTCAAGCGACTTTCTCAGAATCGGAAATGACTCTTCAGCAAAGCGGGAGTAGTATATTTCAGCGCGTCGATCGCGGGCTTTCAGATGACAGCTTTCGCAACATCATTTTTTTTTCCATTATTTGGAGAAAACCATTTTGTCAAAGCTTCTCAGTCTGAATAAAAAGTTTATTATGAACACTTTAACAGGTGCGGAAAGAGAAGGGGACGGGGGAGAGGTAGAAAGAATGAAAGAAAGAAAGAAAGAAAGAAAGGAAGTGATGAGGAGTAAAAGAAAGGGAGCAAAGGAATTCAGGTACAAGCTTTTTTAAATTAAGGTACAGACTCTATTTCTCTGTTAAAGGGAGAATGGCCCACATCTCGAGTGGGATGTCCCACTCTTCGGAGAAGGTTTGGACCTCTTTGAGAGTGGGTTTGGACCTCTTTGAGAGAGGTACAGGACCGTATGTCAGAGGGGGAAAAGATTGCTCTGCAAAGCGGGAACAAAAGTTTGTGTGACCAGGAAAAATCCTTCCCATCAATGAGGTCCCCCTCCAAAAGAAAGATTTTGACCCTCTCTCACAACCTCTCCCAGCCTCTGCGGTCCAAGCCAAGGGTCCAAGCGCCACCATCGCCATCTGAGGTGGCTGGGTTCAGAGCTTCGGAAGACAACAACATTGGCCAATGTACCTCCTTGAGGCTCTTTCGTATCAGTGGAAATAAAAGGCGCGTCGCACCTGGTAAATCTTGATCTGGAAACACACTGAAAGCTCCTTTTATTATTATATTATATACAAGTGGAGAAAGAGATGAAATGCACGCGTGTTTTAAGAACGCGACTTGCGGTTCCCACCGAAACGACGCAAGAACTTTTGGAACTGACGATCATGGCTGATATCATACTCGGCATCGGCACCCGACTGGGACTCGGACTCGGTTTGCTGTTGCTTCCAGGCATCAGACGAGGAGTTGGACTTGTCAGAGGGTTCAGAGATTCGAGACGACATGCGAGTCGACTCGGTGGTGTCGTGGGTATCCCACTCGGCAGAGGTGGCAAAAATATCTTGCTCGGCAATAGTCAAGGCAGCGGTGACGGTAGTGGAAGTCATTATTGATATTTTGGGCTTGTATGGCTTGAGCGATTTGTATGTCTTGGTGAAGGAGGAGGGGGGGGGGTGATTGAGTTGGTTTTGCTTGAGTTTGTTGGATGATGATACTTGGAAAGAAGGGGGGATCTCTTTATATACTCCACAAAAAGATATTTCGCTTTGGGCCACAGAGTCTGTTGGACTTCTTGGTGCCAGAGGAGCCGCCGTTTACTGCGACTTTGAAGGAGTGTCCCAGTCGGGACTGTTGGAGAAATGGAGCTCAAAAATGAAAAGGGTGCCCTGAACCTAAAAGCAGCAGTTAGAAGTTGGATCTATGGAGCACAAATCAAAACAATAATACGTCAACGGCGCACTGTAAACGTCCACACAATCCTCATTCTCGCTCTCTCGCTCTCTTCCTGGTCCACGTTCAATGTATACTAGCACACGCGTACAAACCCCAACGCTTACATAAAAAAACAAACTAGAGCATGATTTATTCAGAATCTGGATCTGTTTGCTATTCCTTTACTGAAACGGTCCAGAGTCTACCATTCGACCTTGCAGGCATTGACGGTGGCTCCGTGCTTGCTACAGTATCCCTTGTTGTCCAATGAGAACGCCCAGTTGTGCTTGTTGCAGAACAATGTGTTGCCAACAACAACACCCTACAAAGAAAAGCAAAGAGGCGGTCAGACGACTATAGCACCAAAGTATCAAAAGTAGATGATCTACACAAAAGCCACTCCACACAAAGCACATCTTCAGATGACAAAGAAAGTCTATGCTCTTCTTACCTTGGTCGCAAGATCAACGTTTTTGTGAGGGCAGTACCGATCAACCTCATATGTGCTTCCGTTCCCTGCTGTCACACGGATACGGTTGCCCATGGGCTGGATCCGTCCAGGTCCGGGCAAAAGTGCACTGTTTCCCGACTTGACGAATGGCAACTTTGCTGAGGACATTTTGGGTGTATTTGCTTCCATCTCTGGATCCGAGTCCGAAGAAGACGAGGATGACGACGACGAGGAGGATGAAGATGAGGACGAGGATGAAGACTCGTTGCCGTCATCGCCTTTGGACTTTTTTTCCTTCTTGTGGATGGCGACAAGGCCGTCCTCGCCTGTCCTCGTCGATGTCTCTGCTGTCGTCTCTGCTGATGTTGATCCGGTCTGCTCTCCCTCTGCAGTTTTCTTCTGATCCTTCTTGACGGACTTTTCCTTGCGCGACTTCTCCATCTTTTCCTTCTTCTCCTTCTTCTTCTTCTCCTTCTTTTCCTTCTTCATCTTTTTCTTTTCCTGCTTTAGCTTTCCATAATCTAGCGAGACAATAGATTCCAGATGTGTTGTTAGGATCCAAATGGTATATTTTTGTAGTTGTAAAGGATATCATTTGGTTCTCTACACAATCCACAACTCTTTTTTAGTGATGGGTACGGGAAGTTGAGAAGTGGGAGAGAGAACGTCTTCACTTCTTCGTTTTTGACGTACCGACGACGGGAGGGTTGACAGAGAGACGCAAGAGATCCTTGACCAGAGGCAACAACTCAATTTCCTACAACGATGTTAGCAATCCAGCCAAAAAAAAAAAAAAAAAAAAAAAATCGGCAAAAAAATTCCGAGGTCAGCAAAGCAATCTTTTTTTTCCTTGACTCGGAGCAGCTCCTGCCTCCTTCAAATCCGCAATTCCAAGTATTCACACGGTCAACAGGTGAAGTATCCTTCGTTCTATAAGGCAAAGTGGTGAAGTGACGACAACGATATTTACCTTCCAGCTCTCTCCAGAGAGGACACGGAGATCCTTGATGGTGTATAGTCTGTTCCGCTCCAAGATATCGGCATCCTTCTCAACATCACGGCTCGACCACGATCTCTCCGATCCAATGCGCTCCAGCAGTGTCGACGCTTTCTATAGTTGTCAAAATGAAATTGGACGAGAGCGACGAGTAAGTAATAAGACCTTTGACGGCAAAATGACGTTTGAGGGGAAGGATCGTTTGCCGGTCTATTCCTCAGTAAAAAAACGGGTTCTCCATGATCCATGCATGTCCTTGCGTTTTTTTTTATGGAGGTGTCGTCCTTGTATTACTATGTCCAAACCGTCCTGTGTTTATCCTTTCAGTCCAGTCGGTCGACTGGTCGTTCGTCAGTAGTGAACTTCTTGAGTTCTGGTGTGAATAAAGATGTATTACCATCGAGTCTGGCAAGTACGTTTCTATTTTGATTGACGCCCACAAAAAAAAAAAGAGAGGGAATGAAGATGGGTAAGTTAGCCGAGGAGAAGATGATCGAGAGGATCAAGTAAACCATATGCTACTGTCTGTCCTCTGTCTGAAGGCAGTTGTTTTGTTGTGCAAGTAACTAGAGAGGAAGGGTACCAGTGTCTTCGGCGGGTTTGGTTGATTCGGGCATGGCAGCGAGGTAGGCGGCAAAGAGTCCTCCGCCATCGGCTCCGTTTTTCTTGCCCATTGTGTAAAGAGAGGTTGAGGGTGTGAAGAGAGAGAGAGGGAGAGGTGGGTGAGTGAGTGAAGGGAGCTGTGACTCTAAAATGGAAAGTACGAGTGAGGAGTTGAGTTGAGTGGAGTATGTGAAGAGAGAGAAGTGAAGAGTTGAAAAAAAGTCCGAGATATTGTCACCGACAGCCACCATCAAAGTAGGACAAGCATCTGTACTGTACACAGCAATCGTTTATTTCCGCACCTTCTTCCACTCAGTCTTGACACCGCCCCCTGGCTTGCGGAAGGTATCAAAGAACCGCAAGATGGGCCCCATGACGACCAACCGCATCCTCCACCACATTCCGTCCCCTCTTCACTTCTTCCCCAACCACCCATCCTCAACCGCAACAATCACCTTCAACGTCTCATAGACAATCCTCTTCTTGAAGTTGAGGTAGTATGTCTGCTTGACCTTCGACTCCTGGTGCGTTCGCCAATTGGGCGCATGCTTATCCAAACTCCAAATCGACGACTTCTAACCTATTGCGCTGAACCACTCTACCCAGAACACGAGAAAGGCCGCATCTCGTTGCTCCATCACATACGTCGGGACCTTGGCCCTGACTTGTTCCGCCGGGGACTGTTCATAGAACCCAGCAATCTTGTCCGCAAGGAGACTCAACGCCCTTGTCGCGTCATAGTCGTGATGTCGAGGAGTGAGTCAACTCCATTCGCCCAATCGCTCAGGCTTTGACGTCGGCGGCGTCTCATTCTGCGTCTCCTCTTCCTCCTCCTCCTCTTGCTGGTGCTGCTAGTGCTGCCCGCTATCCACAACCTCCACAACCAAGGGGATCGAATGTTCCCGTGCTTCTTGAACGCCGTTGACTTCCTGACCCTCAACATCAGATACTCCTTAATACGAAGATCCTCCTCTTCATCCAAAAACGACTTCCTGTGTAGTTTCTTCAACCTCGACACCGCCATTCCCCCTCTTCCTCCTGCTCATCCTCGTGTCTCGGGCTCCTCTTCTTCGGCTTTCAACGACCTCTTGCTCCATCTTCATCGCATCAGGGTCGTATTAAACCTCCTGATCGAGCTTCTCATGGTCGTAATCCACCTCCTGGCACGCGTCCTCCGGTAGCTCCTGATCAATCTCCTTCATTGAGTTGTGGTGCTCAACCAACCGCCTCATCGTTCTCAACTGCTCCCCCTGACGACGATGCCGTGTCTCCATATCGTCCATAGCTTGCTCAACAAAGCTCATCCCATAGTCGTCCAGCTTACTCCAAAGTCCCTGGATCGACCTCTCCATCCTCGTTATCCTGCCTTGAAGTTTCCCTACAGACTCTTCTGCAGATTTGCTGTGTTCGACACAGACACCAATGGCCGCCTTTGTCTCGTCGCGAAAGGTTTGCATGAACTGGGTCATGGACGCTAATGTTGTGTGGATCGTTTGGATCTGCTGACTTAGATCTGGGGTATTGTCCTGTTGCTGTGAGCTGTTATTGATGTTATTGGTGTTATTGGTGTCATTGCTGTTGTCGTTGTTGTCGCTGTCGTCGCTGTCGTCGCTGTTGTCGCTGTTGTCGCTGTTGTTGCTGTTGTCGCTGTTGTCGCTGTCGTCGCTGTTGTCGCTGTTGTCGCTGTTGTTGCTGTTGTTGCTGTTGTCGCTGTTGTCGCTATTGTCGCTGTTGTTGTTGGCGACAGTTGTTGATACTCTAGAAGTCGATCCGCGAGGGGAAGTGATGGGCGTAATTTCGCTAGCACTATCGTCCTTTAGTAGTGGTGGTGGTGGCGGAGTTGTGACGCTCTGTCTCGGTGTAACCTTCCGAATCTTCCAAGACTTGTTCGTAGCGGCGATGCTCCGTTTCTCCTTCACCCCATCTTGCTCAAGGTCCTTCTCCTTCCCTCCATCTTGCTCAGGATCCTTCTCCCTTTCCATCTCAATGGATGTCGAGCCTGTAACCGCCTTTCCGGATGTCATGCGTTTACTCAGTCCAGCTGTTGACTTTGAAGTCGACGAGCGGCTCATTTTCCCAAGCCTATTGGGAAACAAAAAAAACAAAAAAAAAATTATATGCAAATGACATTTTCGAGAGGTAAGCAAAGATTTCCGGGGCTGTAGCCCATAAGAAACAAAACATCCACTAGACAAAATCACACGTTTTTTTTTTCTTCTTTCATCCAGACTGTACCGTGTGAGATACTCCTTTATCAGCCCTTCGGTACGCTCATCATTGAGGACATCCTTGAAGTTCGGAACCACACTGTCGGCGAGACATTGACTGATGTAGAGGTAGCGCAGAGCTGACTTGTGTGTGTACGCCACAGGTCGTGAAATTACGCCACCCGCTTGTTCATCAGATCCATCTATGCGGGGAAGAAAGAGGAGTTCTTTCATGTATCCGTAATACTTTTCACGGGTGATTTTGTGTCCGTCCTCGAAACGTTCGCGTTTGCACCATTTCTGTACGATGCCAATAACCCAAAGGCATAAAAGAATAAAAAATAATTAATAATAATTAGAAAGCAACTAGTTTGTGTGAGATACATGTCGATATGACAAAAGCTTTTTTTTTTTTCTTTTTTTTTTAGTGCAAACGTTTGTCTCCGAAATGTCATTGAAATAAAAAAAAAAAAAAAAAAGGTCGCCGTTACCATGAAGATCGCCTGGCTCCGCTTGTAATGGATTTGAGTAGAGGGCCTACAGGCCTCCTCCATAGTCCGAACGTCCACATACTTTCTCTCATCCTGGTCCCATTCCAGATGAAGATCCTGTTCAGTCTCCTCCGTTTGCTCCTCGGTACCGCCATCCCGTTGACGTTTCGTAGGCAACTCCTTGGTAATCTCTTGGGGAGGAGGAGGAGGGAGTCGCCGCTTCCGTGTCGGTACTGTCGAGAAGTTGACTTTGGCAGGCGGCAGAGGTAACTTCATGAATGGAGTGTATCGCGTCCTGATTCTATTGGCTGTCCTTGCTTTGTTCTGAGTCTGAGGCTGTGATCTCGATACATCAACACCACGTCCTATTATTATGTGGAGCGATCAAAAAACCGCCATTATTTATCAGTATAAAAAAAAAAGGGCAGAGATTTTTCCCAAACACCTCAAAGTAACGGCGCGGGGGTAAAAACACACATACCATTGACTTTGTGCACAGTTTCAGCGACGTTCTCAGCAGACTCAGGCTCACCGCTGGTATTATCTTCTGAACCAATGGCATCGTCTTGCCTCTCATCGTCCTTTTCCTGAATATGTGCTGTGAAAAAGAAGAAGAAAAAAAATAGGAGGGGTTAGGAACTCCTGCAATAGTTAAAAATGGTATGCACAAACTACTTTCAATTGCCGAACCTCGTCTACTTGCGAGAACACTGTTTTCTCCTTGTGCTTGACTAAGGCGGTAGCGGTGGCGGCCTGGGGTTTTGATGACCTCTCGAGTCATGGAAGGCGGAATCAATAAAGAAGAACGAGTAAAGGTGGTTCTTTTTTGGGATGCTTTCCAGAATCGGTTAGGAGATCGATGTGAATGTGTTGAACAGAAGTAAGGAATGAAAGGTGTTGACCAAGGCTTGACGCGTGAAACAAGGAAAGGAAGGTCGGGGCCCAAGGAAGGTTGGTGCAGGTGAACAAACAACAGCAAAGAAACAGACCAGAGCTGTGTTAATCTCAAGGACAGTCACATTTCTGACATTTAAAAAAGTATAGTACTGTACTGTACTGTTACATGGTATTGTAGAAGTATCAAAACTGTGCCAAAGCTAATTATTAATCTCCTCCTCCACCTCCACCTCCGCTTCGCCCGCCATCAACCTTCTTGATCAGCCCCCTCCAAATATCCCGACTGACACCCGCACCAACCCTCCACAAGTCCAACCTCTCGTTCGGCGGCAACGGCTCCGACGACTGCGCGCTGTCCACACTCAGCGCCCTCGCCCTCCGCGGGTTCGACTGGGGCACGAACGGTCTGTCGGCTGCCCCCGTAAGCACTTGTTGATGTTGGACACTGGCTAGGATCCGCTTCTGGGAGGCCTTGATCATATCCCGGTCAAAGACCGCTCGCTTCCTACGGGAGTTTTCCCTGTCCTCCGTATGGTCTGGTGTTGCTACCACATAGGCCACCGCGGTACTGGTGACGGCCACCCGTTGAGAAAGACTGGTCGTCGGCGTTAACATGGGTCCATTTGCCTGAACCAGTAGTCCACTCTCAGAGTGGGAAGGGGTTATTGTTGGTCCCGACCGTGTAATGTATCCCTGGATCCCCAACGTCTCCTTGGATCGTCCTCTCTGTTCCTGCTCCTGCTTTAGCCCCTGCTCTCGCTCTTGCTCTGCCCCTTCCTCATGAACATCTTCATCCAAAGCCTCAACACCAGTCTCCGTGACACCATAACCTCGCTCCGACGCAAGACTCTTGCCCTTGGAGTCGGACTGGCTAGTAACAACTGGATCCGATGGAGTCGCGGATGACGAAGTCTCAGGAGGAGCATCAGAACTGTTGAAAAGTGAACTCAGAACAGTCGATGCGGGGACTTCTCCTCGCAAGAAGGCCAGAGCAGATTCACGACCGGTGACTCGTCCAAGACTTCGGGTGACCGAATCAGTCGACATCCTCGACCCTAGACCTCCATGGAATGAGGTTGCTGCTCGCGTCTTCCGGAAGACTTGATCAGTACTCGCTAGTACATTCGATGCCGATCCAGATCCGGATCCAGAGCCTGCGTTGAAGTATCCTGCTGTAAAGATGTTCTCCTGAGGAGGCTTGGCGTCGTTGTTAGGTCGGGTTGCGTCGGTTGATGAAGACGAAGTTCCGCCAGAGAGCCGCTTAGTATCAAACCATGATGTTGCCGACACAGGCGAGGAGACTGTCGAAGTCGAAGGTGTCACCGCAGTCAATCCGGACCGTGTGATGAGCGTTGGCTTGGTACCATGGCGAGTAGTGAGGGAGGCGGTAGCTTCATTGGTGGTAGAGTTGGAAGACAGCGAAGCTGTTGATGAAGAATTCCTGTAAGGCTGGCTGGCAGGAATACCCTCTATGATGCTTTCGGCATTCGACCGTCTATCGCTATTAGCCATCGATCCTGAAGCCGACAGAGAGGGAGATGTTGATGTTGCCCAATGATCCTGGAAGACATCCTGCTTTGTGACTACATTAAGCGCAAGCCCGCTGGTCATGGTTGACAGTCCAAGCGTGCGAGGTGCTGCTTTGTTGGCGTTGCTAGATGCAGCTACTGGATCAGATGAGCGCGTCAAGACCTCAACATGGTCCCGCTCTGACTCTGGAGTGGCGACAAAGACCGTGTTGGCATCAGCGGTAGATTCCTCTGGCAGGGACGACAAACTCTTGAAGGATCCTAAATTCACGCCCAGCGCAACAGGGGTAACAGAGGCGGGATCGGTCTCTGCAGACAACATTCCAAAAGGTTGCGTCTGCGGAAGTGAACGTGAGAACAGGCCCTTGACAGACTCCGCCACAGGAGACGAGGCAGGCGGAGAATGCGGCATGTTGGTTCGCTTAGTGTTGGGACTGAAGCGGATGTCGAGTGCCCTGATCATGACAGTCGACGCGGCAGTGCCAGTAACGACACCTTCAGCGACATGGATTGTGTTGGACCGTGATGGTGCCGGAGACATCGTTGCCATGGTTGCCAAGGACGTGGTCGCAGAAAGCCTCGAGCTGGGTAGGACAATACCTCCAGCGCTGGATATCCGAGTTCCATCCGCCACAGGAACACCCTTCGGTGCCGTTTGTGCTTCGGCTGCCTTGTTGGGGGAAGAGATCCAGGCCGACTCTGCAAAGACCCTCGATGTCTCCGCAATGACAGGTCCAGATTTGCTTGTTGACATAGTAGGTTTGTCCCTGGGGGGCTCCTGAGCCACCGCCGCAGATTTGGCGGCATCGGCAGCTTTGGTGTCATCCTGCGAGGGCCTGTCGCTTCCTCCGAAGACCTTGTTGAAGAACCCAGAGACTCCTGTTGACGCCGATCCAAGAATGCGGGGACGATCCAGCATACCACCAAGCACATTCTTGAGCTGGCCTGGCTTTTCAGGTGCCTGTCCCGCTTTTGTCATAATAGGCTCGTCGAGATGATGATGGTGGTGGTGATGATGATGGTGTCGATGACGATGTTGGTAGTCGAAATCAGTCTCATCCTCCTCCTCCTCCGACTCGAGGTCCTCCATAAAGGCCTTCTCGGCATTGATACGGTCTTGCTCCACCTTGAGAACATAGCTCAGCTGCAACTCGTTGATCGTCATGCGCAGCTTCCCAATTTCTGACAACATCTCCTGGACAACATGCGCCAACGGGAAGAACTCGGCCACGGAGAATCCCCAGTCCTCGAACTCGTCATCGTCATCGTCGTCCTTGCCTGCCGCTTCGCCTTCGTCCTCTTGTCCTGAAGCGATACTGCCTCCATTAACGGGTGTATGCATGCCAAGGTGTCGATCCAGTAGCTCATCCACAGGGTTGGCCACCTGGGCCTCCACCCATCGGAAACGCTCTCCAAGGTTGCTGACATCCGTCAAGACGTTTTCGATCACAGAGTTGGACATCTGCGACAGCGCCTGGATATCGAATGTCCTCCTCAGTCGGCGGTTCATCTCGCGTGTATCAGAACGAGCCAGTCGCTCGAGGAGCTCAGTCGAAAGAGTGTGAAGCAGCTGATACGGCCTATGTTCCTGATCGTGACGGCGATTCGAGAAGGCCTCTGATGCTGCGCTCGTCTCCGAGGGAAATCTCCGTTCGCGAGCCACGAGCGGTGACCTGCCCATAGGAGAGTGAATGAAAGAGGACCGGAACGACTTGACAGAACGGACACTGCGACGTTTTTGTTCCCTGGTGAGCTCGACATCCTTGGAAGGTTTGCTGGCCTCAAAGGCGGGCGTTGAGCCAGTAGCTGTGTCGATGGTGAGGTGGGTCAGGTCCTTGTAGATCAAGTTTGGCGCTGACGACTCTGCTACTGTAGGCAATTCAACGGCGATACCAAGGACTCCGCTGGTGCCGACATTCCTGGAGGTACCGTCCGAATCTCGGCGCTCCTTGATCGTGCTTTCAGAGATGTGGGACGAAGGCATCGATATTGCAGGCTCAGCAGCCCCAGCGGCACTGTCGTCCGAATTTCCTGGGACCTGTCTGCCGGCAGGTCCCTTGTTACGCCGCAGAGATGCCTTGGATCGGATGCTGATAGAGTCGGCATCCTTGCTCTGTTCTCCAAAAGCGACCACTGCATGGATCGACTGCTGCTGAGTGACTGCAGCCTCAATCACACCCACCCTCCATACCTCCATCATCCGCTGTCGCCTCTCTGTTATCATCTGCTCCACCACCTCGGTACTCTTGCATCGTTGTAACTCTGGCAGACATCCAACGCTTCCAGTAGCGACATGTCCCAAGTGCGTGCAACAACCGTCGGACGACTCCAGTCGGTGACGAGGTCGCCGGATACTGTAAATAGATCCAGGTCGACTCTTCTTCGTTGGGATCGAATTGACGCCGGCGATTTGGTGGAGGGGTTCTGAAAGTCGTCGACGTTGACGCGTGTTGAAAATGCCTTGGTCAGACGATGATATCTCATACTGCGTGAAACGGCTATGCTCCGGCTTCCAGGTTGAGGAAGGAGTCGAAGGTTCGTGAACTTGGTCCTCTGCAATGACTTCCTGATCCAGTCTCGTGAACGATGTTGACCGACGCCCCTCCAGGGGATGCATCTCGTTCTCGCCATTTTGTGCAGGTTCCCAGTCCCCTTCCATAAACAGATCGCGTGTTGCCTCGCCTCCGGTCGCTTTTTGGAGCTCAGCCGACAGGAGAGATATCGAGCTCGTTCTGGTCTTGAGATGGCTCTCTGGGCTAGATTCAACAGCCTCCTTTGAATTAATATGTACAGTGTCGGTTGTTGTCATTGGTGTTGAGATAGCCAAGGAGCCAGATTTGATGAGTTCGTCTTCCAAAGTTGCTGGCGGCAAGCGCGCAAGTCCGCGGTGAGATGGAGAGGTGGGTCTGCTCCCGCTTGAGATTGGTTGAGACTCCTGGTATAATGAACGCTAAGTTGCAAAACCCAATACGAGTTAGAGATGTAGTTGAAATAAAAAATGTTATATTCATATCGAGGTATAGAAGAATGGTATAAGATCAGCAAGAGCAGCAAGATATGAAGGGAGAGAGGGAGGCAAAAATGATTGGGAAGAATGAAGTTGTGAGGCAGCATCGGCGAGGGGGGAGGGGCAAACACCAAGAAAACTGCTTTGATTCCATTCCACCCTCTTCTTTTTTCTCTTCTTCTTTCTCTTTGTATTTTTTCCTTCCACCTGTTTTCCCCTTGCCCAATAAAGAATGATGTCCTCTTCATGCCGGAGCTCCAGAGACCGGCCTCGCAAAGATAGCCAAGAGTGACACGGCCATGAAAGAAAAATAAAAAGTGTAATCCAACAACGGGGACAGAGAACATATGGAAGCATAAGAGAAAACAATGATGGACAAAGTGATGCGGCTCAATGAGTGCAAAGTAAAGAGTCCACTCCCGCCCATATCCCACAATGATGACAACTGAAAAACTTACTTCAGCAAAGGCAGCAACAAATCCACGTCCTTGCTCGTCCTCTGATCCGGCAGCATCACTTGAGAGGGCACCCTCGTCGTCTCTGTCGCCATCGCCCGAGTCGCTTCCGGATTCCAGCATGTCCATGTCTGCGTCCGTGTACATGGACCGACGACTCCTGTTAGTGTTGGACGCAGGGCTGGATCCTTCGATTCCATATTGGTGGCGCAATTTGGAGGGCGTCGGGTTTGGAGGCGATCGAGAAGAGCTCATGAGCGGAAGCGGTGTGGATCCTCTCCTGATCTCTGGTGTGGATGTGGATGTCGAAACTGTCGTGGTTGTATGAATGGACTCTGAGGGCGCGCTCGATGCAACTGCTCGCTCCTCCTCGTGGCTTCCTCTGCGCCTTGGTGATTCCTTGGACGAGTGCCCACGCTTGTGCTTGCCCGATGATGGCACCTGGCTTCCTTGGCTGTACAATCTCTCGAGTTCTCCAAACACATTGCCGCGTACTCCTGAATGACGACGATGGTGATGTCGATGCTTGGAGCTCGAAGTCATGAAGGGTGGGGGCGAGCCTGGGATAGATCCAAGGGTGCCGATATGGCTCACTGCGTCGAGGCCGCCACCAAAAGGTATATCCACTGCACTCCATGCGCTCTTGGAAGTGAGGAAGCTCTCTGTATCATCCTGTCGACTCGTGCAACATTCGAATGCATGTCCTTGCTCATAGTCCTCAACCTGAGTCCTCAAGGTCAAGACCTCGTTCCGTGTGTCTTGGAGCAAGTCCCTGTATTCGTTAAGCTCTGACCGCAGAGTTGAGTTGGTTGTGGCGAGTTCCTTGATGAGTGAGATGAGTTGGTTTTGAGCTGCAAGTGGCGGATCGATGAACGAGGACGGATATGGCGGCGAGGACGAAGGTGAGGTCTGGTGGAGCCCATTGGCGGCAGAACCGTACGACGACCGCTCCTGCTGGATAGCCTGGCCCAAGCTTCCTTGCGGTGGCGAACACAATCGGTCTGTTGTCTCCTTGAGCCAAGCCAGGGCTTCCTTGCTTTCCCTGGCGAGTTCCAGCTCTTGCTGTTGTCTTTTGAGGTTATCATGTCGCTTGTTCAAAGTCTCGTACTTGCTCTGGATAGTAGTGAGTTTTTGTTGGAGCAGACGTTCTGACCGCTGACAATCCTGAAGTTCGTCCTGGAGGGCCTCGATCTTCTGAATCCCAGCATCCTCGCGTTCTTGAAGGGCCTCGCGTTTGGTACGTTCTATCCGCAAGAGGTTGGAATCCTTTTGGCCGTCGTCCCGCTCCTTGGTGAGGTTGAACAGTTTTTGTTCGGTGTATTCGAGTTGTCCTGAGACGAGTAAGAGGCGTTTTGCTGTCCTGGCCTGGTCGCTGACAGCAAGCCTCCGAGAATCCTCGAGTTCCTGGTTGACTTTGGCAAGGTCCCGGCTCATCTTTGCCAATTTTTCTATTTCAAACATGGCTGTGCGAAGCTATTGTATAAAATTCAGGGCGGGCGGAAGTTTAGAGGAGAGTGGTGAGCGAAAGTTATAGGTTGTTTGAATGAAGTAAAAAGGAGGAGAGAAAGGTAGTAAAATGTTAAGAAAGGAGGGAATTTTATCACGACGGTCAGGTCAGGTCAGGTCAGGTCAGGTCGAGTATTGTTGATATTCTTGTTGTTGGTCATGCTTTTTGGTGTGCAAAGAGGTCAGGTTGGGTGCTCGCTCGTGTGTTTTGTGTGAATAAGCAATAAGGAAGTGCATTACATTGGCCCATGCATTCATTTTCGCAAGCAGACAGTCAGACTATCAGCCAGACCGACGGCCACACAAACAATACGCAATAAGGCTGGTCAGGGTCAACAACATCGAGCTGCATTAAAATATGACGCTCAGCTCTTTCTTATTCCCTTGCTCTTCCCTCCGCGCATCTCATCATGCGAGAGCGCCCTTTTTTTCTTTTTATTGCCCACCACTCAAAGGTACACACGGAGTAATTGAAACAGCATTGATATGAAGGAGGAAGACAAAGAGATGGCAAAGACGAAAGGACCACTTCTCGTTTGTTTGTTTTTGTTTTGTATGCGCATCTCCTTTACATCCTCTCCCTTTTTCTTTTCTTTCTCCATATCATTTTGCCATTTTGAGAGCTTTCTTTGCATGCCTAGCATGTCTTTCTGCTTCCCTCCCTATCTCTTCATGTTACTGTTGTTTGTTGTTATTTCGATCGATGATGGTGGCGAATATTGTTTTCGTCTTTTTGTGTTGTGCTTGCTCTGCTCTTTCCCGCTCTTGATTTTTTTTTCCCTTAGATCTCCCACGATCTACTTCTCCCGCTTCTGTGCTGAATAGGTTCTCCGGCACAAAATAAAAATAATATGGCAAAAAGGCGAGGCATGCATGGGGACGGGTAGAATGAAAAGATGTACAAGGCGGTGCGGTAATGGTGCGATGGCAATGGCGTAAAACGTCTTCCTTGAGTTTCGGGTGGATAAAGGGCGGGAGACCGATTGGTGTTGTTATCTTCTCTGCGACCTGCGGGGTGCGGGTGGGGCAGGTGGTAGGTGTGTGGGGATGCTTCCTTACCTCTCGCTGCAGCTCGTTGACGACGGGCCGATGGTCTGCTTGCTGCCGCTCTTGTTCTATGAGTGAGGAGGTTCCATTGGGGTGTTGTAATAAAAGGAAGAAAGAAGCCCGAGAAAGAAAAGGGAAAAGAGTAAGGAGACAATTCAGAAATTATCGTGTTGCTGGCGAACAAGCTCTTTTTTGTGTTTTGTTTTATGGTTGCCGTCCTGCCTCTGTTTGAGACTCCACTCGCTCTCGTTCCTTTGCTACTCTCTTGAGAGAAAAAAAAAAAAAAAAAAAAAAAAGTGTCTATTACTCCTCCTTTTAAGACAAACGTGCTTCTGTTGTCGTCCGTCCGTTATCCTGACTTCCCAGGGGTCCAAGTTACGACAATAAAAAGAATAAGTAACGCCAAGAGAGGGTTGTTGTCGTTGGTATGCTACGGTTGTGGTTGCGAGTTTGTTTTTTTTTTATTCTAATTACCAAAGGTTTTTGTCCGTTCATGTGAATGGGCCTTGGCGGCGAGGAGTCGACTGTCCATCTTGGTGGCGATCCAATGAGGGCAGGCCTGTGCCTGAACACAATAGCAACCCTCCTCTGATGAGTCCTCCATTGGCTTAAGTAGATGGCTGACTGGCCAACTGCGCGCTTTCTTTCTTTTGTTTTGTTGCCGAGGCTTTCTTCAGTGTTATTTCGGTTGTGGCTGTTCCTCCTTGTTCGCAGTTGTTAGTGTTATGGGTCGTTTGTGGTATTTGTCGAGCGGAGGCGGAGAGGCAGGGAAGAGTAAGAGAGAAAGGAGGAGCGGGGTAGGGATAGGGGTATAAGAGAAGAGTGGTTGTTGTAGAAGGGGTATGTGGATGGAGAGGGTGGGTGTGTGCGTTGGGTTTTGGGTTGCAGGAACGACAGGGAGTGAGCGAGGAAAGAGGAGGAGAGGAAAGAGGAAAGAAGGAAAGGGTGGAAATAGGGAAGGTGGGAAGAAAAGAAGGGAAGAAGGGAAGGTGTGTCAAGAAGAAGGAACGGAGGAAGTATAGAGAGAAGGACAAAATGAGCTTCGAGCAAACGGCGGGGTTGTCAAGAAAGGCTAAGTTGGCTGACCTGACTGGTGCGACCAGGGGAAAGAGAGAGCCACCTTCCCCCACCAGACGGAAAGATCAGTCAGCGAGCGTCAAGGCCGAAGGAAAGAGCAGAAGGGGTCAGTCAAGTCAAGAAACTAATAATATTCGGCATCGAATCGATCCTCCAACAAAACTCTTTTCGTCTCGCTCTACAAAACGAAATAAAAAAGAAAAAAAAAAAAGGAGGGAAAAAAAGAAAAAGAGGAGCTCCATTCCTTCCTACCTGCTATCTCCACTAACACCTACAAATATGTACGCCGAAAACCGAGAACAATAGGACAATAGGACAAAGGACGAAAAAGGACCCCTATTTTTGTCGCTCTTCTTTTCTTGTGCTGCTCTTCTTTTCTTTACTTGTACCCTTGACCTCGGCCTATTGTTGGTATTGTTTCCACTTATATCTGAGGTATGCTCTGAATCAACCATGTCTGAGATCAATTTGAAAGACAACAAAGAAAAAACCTCAAAAGAATGACCACAGTAAATCATTATACATCGTGAAGAGAAAGGGTTTCGGCAGGAACAGGACTTTTTTGTTTTTTTATGGTACAAGGCAGAATGGACGCACGCAATGGGGTGAAGCAGCAAATGTGGATAAAAGTACAGAAAGTGGAAAGAAAAGAGTGTGAAAAAAAAAAAATTGAAATGTACGGTCCCTTCAACTTGATCCAAATGAAAAAAAGCAAACAAATAAGCAAGTAAGCAAAATAAGCAAAATAAGCAAATGTAAAACGGCTATGTGATATGACGGAGGGAGTTGATAATGACAATGACGATGATGGATCATGTCTGCCGGATCATGGTGGATATGACTGCGTACAAGATGTGTGAATAAAGGGGAGGGGAAGCGAACAAACGAAGCAACCAAACACACACACGTATCGTTGGTGTCCTCTGCCGTAGTGGTTGAAGCTGCTGGTCCGTGGATTGTCGTAGGTTGCGGAGATTGTTGTCGACTGATTACAGTCTCTTCTTGTTCTTTCCAGCGCCATCCACGCCCAATCCAACGCCTCCCTGTGCAATAATCTTGATGTCCCGAGCAAACTCGTTCTCACTGCTTGCCAGTCCCGACCGAGGGCTGGGGTAGGCGTCCGGTGCGTCCAAGTCCCGATGAATCTTGGCCTTCTTAAATTTGCGATTCGAAGGAGGTGGAGGAAGAGATGGATGTGCACTCACTTGCCCGCCACCATTGCTGTTGTTGTTGTTGTTGTTGTTGTTGTTGTTGTTGTTGTTGTTGTTCATGCTGCTGATATTGCCGTTATTGCTGTTGTTGCCGTTATTATTGTTATTGTTGTTACTGTTCATGTTCCCTGAGAGACGGCCGCCGTGGTGGGGTGGACCCTGGTGTGGAGGAGGAAGGGGACTCTGATGACCATTTGAGTGAGGAGGTCCTTGGTGACCTGGACGATAACCATTGCCATGTGGTCCAGGCCGGGGCATGGGTGCCATATTGGGTCCCATACCAGGTCCCATACCAGGTCCCATACCAGGTCCCATTCCTGGACCCATCCCTGGCCCCATCCCGGGTCCGCCAGGTCCCATCCCTGGCCCACCTTGTCTCATACCTGGCCCCCCTTTACTCATCCCAGGGCCATTTAGTCCCATACCTGGTACCCCCTTGCCCATTCCAGGGCCATTTGGTCCCATACCTGGTCCTCCTGGTCCCATACCTGGTCCTCCTGGTCCCATTCCTGGTCCTGGAGGAGCATGCCCATGCTGATTGCCTCCTTGGAATGGAGGTCTAGGTCCATGCATTGGTCCTGGTCCTGGCCTCTGGTTGTTCTGGAAGGCAGGGTTGATGGCTGGCATGTTGTTGCCCTGCATCCTCTGTGGCTGCATGCCGGGTGCTCCGAGTCCTCCAGGTCCTCCTTGCATTGGGATTGGCTGGCCAGGGATGCTCACCACCTATTTTTTATTCAGTTCATAAGAGATATCGAAAGTGACTGTTAGGCACGGTGGACGATGCAAAGTTGATCATCGCACAATCAAAACATGAGCAGCTTTGTTGGTGTAAAGAGTATGTGTGTTGTATGTCTTACCATGTGTTGGAGTTGTTGGTCCCAGTACCACTCGCTTTCCGTCCAGTAAGGGATCTCATGGAAAATCTTTGTGTCGCATCCTATCCGCTTGAATCTGTTGTTGCCTCTGGTCGCGTTAATCTGGATGTTCATCCGGTTTCCTGGAGACTTGACCTCGCTATATTTCGAAGGAAGACAGAGAAAACAGCGGGTTAGAGAAGGAATAAAAAGGTTAGGATGACAATCCACACAGTATGTACCCATAGAGGGACATATGTAGGGGCGTATGTGGTATGTGGGTGAATGTATCCACAAAAGGAGCAGCAAATCGAGAGGAGAAGATGTGTAACTTACCAGTCTTGGAATCGAACAATATCGCCGGCCTTGAACTGGTCGGAGGGGTCGAGTTTGACAATCATGAGGATAGATCCTGTCTCGTCTGCGACTCTGTATGTTGCGATAGCCATGCTGTCCATCCTTGGCTTGAATTCGACTAGTGAACGAGAGAAGGAGAGAAAAAGGTGGTGATGAGGACAACAAAAAGTGGAGGGGAGGAGAGATGAGGGTGAGTGTTTTGTCTTTGCAGCACGGACTTGTGTTTATAAGTGGGGGTGAGTGAGTGTAGGTAAGAGGGCGAGGGGTGGGTGGTGACGGTCAGGGAAACAAAGTTGTCTCTCCCTCCAGTTCCTCCACCTCACTCACAAGCTCCCTGGAGAGAGACGCACGCACACATAAAAAAAGGGGGAGTACAAAGATATATAAGACATACGTTGTTCGAGGATGATGCACTCGATTGTGATGTTTCTCATCGCGGTCTGGACCCGGTTGATGAGAGTCAGGCCACCAGGGTTGGTTATGGGAGGCCTGACCTGTCCCATGTGTGGAGGTGGAGGGTGATGGTTCATGGGAGTATGTATGTTGTTGTGTGTAGGAGTGGAGAGGGTGCTGTTGGAAGAAGGAGGGAGAGAGGGGGGGGTGTTGTTGAGAGTGTTGCTGAAGAATAAGCGTTGTCGAAGTTCAAAAGAAAGAAAAAAAAAGTTGAAGAAAAAGAAAAGAGAAGAAAGAGAGGAAAGAGAGCGGAAAAGAAAAAATGGAGCGCGTTGCCGTCTTTTATACGGATTTGGTGACGCTCTTTTTATTTTTGTACAAATTCCTTCGCTCCATCTCATTGGCTGCCCGTCTCCATCACTGACCTTGCTGACTTTTCATCATCATTGCCTCTATCCTACGGCGCTCCGCAAGCACTCGCTGGCCTACCGCACGCGCAGCACTAGAACGAGGAGGACTCTGTCCTAGACTACTTGAACCGTCATTGGCAATCGACACGGCCTTGCTCGTAGTGGTAGCTGTAGTAGCTGAGGCTGAGGACTGTTGTTGTTGTTGTTGCTGCTGCTGTTGTTGTTGTTCTTGCTGCTGCTGGCCTTGCTGCAAGCAAGGGGGCGATGCAGATGATGATGGAGATGGAGCAGCAGCAGCGCTAACGCTATCCGATAGCGGCGAGATAGGTGAAATCGGTGACACCAGCGATGGTTTCACCGCTGCAACCATCTCGACCACCACAGGAGTCGCCACAGTGATCTTTGTATTGCCCTGGCTCTGGACCTCGTTCTGTCCGATGAAAGAAGCGGGCGGCGAATCGGGTGTGGCCAAGGAAGGAGCTGTCAGAGAGGATGACATCGTCGACAATCTAGAAGAGGACGGTGGCGGCAATTGCACCTGCACCTGCACTTGTGATGCCGGGTCTTGAGCCTGAACAAGGCTAGGAAAGGTTCGAGATCGGGTCGCTCCCAGGGATGGTGAAAGAGGGGTCTCGCCCGGTTCTCGGACAAGTAACACAACCAACTCGACTTCAACATCCTGGGTCTGCAGCCCCTCTCCTTCCACAATAGCCTCCTTTTTCTGCTGCTGCTCCCCTTCCAAGGCTGATTCCAAAGACGAGCCCGCCTCTGTTGCTGCGCCTAATCCTTGTTGGCCTGAAGTAGGATGTTGTCCGCCTGTCATAACAACAGGACCTGCTGAAGCGGCAACGGTAGAGGATGTCAAAGCCGTGGAGGGAGAGGGAGTCACCATCATAAGCACTGTTGTTGATGCTGCTGTTGCTGTCTCTGTCGTGGAGGGAATAAGCTGGGTCTGGACCATACTGACTTGCCATTCGCCAGCAGTGCCCGGGATAGGTCGCCCCCAAAGAGACCGCATCTTGCTATTGAATTGAATCCACTCCGGCAATTTGCGCCTAGGCCTCGCCGCCAAATCCTCCCGCTCAACATCAATCGACGACAGACTCGCAGACGGACGATGATGATGTCCACCTCTTTGTTGTTGCTGGTCTTGGACTTGGGCTACATCGTTGGGGTCAGAGACGAGATAGGCGCGGTATTCGCCTGGCAGGGGAGCAGTAGTTGGGTCTGCAAAAAAGATGGATGACCGAGGAGACATTGGTGGTGGGGAGGAAGGAAGGAGAGGAGGGGACATTATAGGAAGTAGTGGAGGGGACATGGCTCGGGAGAGGCTTGTGTGATGAGCTAGCAATCGAGGGGATGAAGGGGACGACGCCATGGGGTCTCGGATGGAGGAGGTTGAGTGGAAGGCGGTGCCGATGGCTGCTTTGACGAACCGGCGGGGGGTCACTGCATTAGCGATAGGGGCGGATTCGAGGATTGGATAGGAGACGGGGCGCATGCGGTCCATTGAGTGGCGAATTAAGGGTTGGTGGTGGATCGAGGACATGTGAGAGAGCCCGTTGCTGAGGGAGCGCGAGGGAGGGCTTGTGGGAATTACAGGAGGAGTGGCTGAAGAGGACTCCTTGGATGAGGCCAAAGTCGCCTGGCGTGGTGGCAATGGCGAGTCAACAGTTCCAATTTCATAAGGAAGAGAGCGATGGCGCTGGTCATACTCATCCTGGTTCCGATCAACAGCCTTGCCATGCGTTTCCTCCCTCGCCATCCCACTCTCGCACATCACCGGGTCTGAGATCCACTCAGACGTCTCCTTCTGCTCCTTATCACCGCTGTTATTATTCTTGCGCACAGAAACGCTTCTGAATGTCTGGTTGCTAGGAACAACCATCCACTTGGTAATCTCGTGAGGCCCCTCCTTGCCGATCGAGTAGATCGAATCACGGTTCTCGTCACTGGCACTGCTGCTCTCCTCTTGTGACGACAGCGCACTGTTCTTGAGAATGCCCTTGTTGCTGCTGCTGCTGCTGAGGGAGGAGGATGACTCAGCAACGTGAGACCAGGAGGGTAAGCTGGCAGAGAAGGCAGAGAGAGGCGAAATGGGGTCGTCGTTCGACTGCAGGAACTCGACGATTGAACGGCGCTGAAAGGATCCGGGACCTGCGTGGACACTTGACTGACGCTCCTTTGTGAAAAGGACCTCCGATCCGGTGACAGGCGCTGTACGGGTCGATGACAGTGATGCTGTGCTGTCTCTGTCTGAATCGAGGCCAGGGACCTGCAGAGCCGATGTCCAACAAGGAAGAGGTGTTGAAGAAGCACGGCCCAGGTCCAGGAAGGAAGTCTTGATCGATGGGGGTGCCTTGGTGTTGCTGCGAGGACTGTCCTTCACGAGCTCAGAGAACGCCATGCTGCTCGAACCAGTCATCAATGCCCCAGAGTCAGACCGATGAATACCCTCACTCAGGCCCCGATACTCTGGCTCGCTCTCCTCACTACCTCCAACAAACTCCACATCCCGGTTGGGTCGCAACCCCTTGGGCCTCATCAAGAAGGTCGATGGTGTCCATGGTCTCTGACTCTCCTTATCCGCATTCGATCGATCCACCCGCCGGTCCTCCTCCGTCTCCTCATCAGAGTTCCGCCCGCTGTCTTGTCGCTCATCAATCGAAGTGTTGCACTCGCTCATACTCGCCATGTACCCCGTTCCAGTCGACAAGAACGAATGGCATGGTCGTACAGTCTGGTAGGCAGAATTCACACCCAGCTGTCTTGCCGCTGCCGCTGTTGCATCTCGCTTTGTCGCATGGTCTTTGATGGCATCCTTGTCCTTGACCAGCTTGGAGAGACGCTTGGACCCCTTCTTGAAGGCAGAAGAACTCCTGTTGGATAGCTTTCTTGATACCGACGCTGAGGGAGGCTTGGAGCTTGGTTTTGTGCCAGAGGCGACTTGACCTGGCTCGGTAGTGTTGTTCTGTTGGGTGGGAGCTGAAGGGCTGGAGGCATTGGTGGAGGTGCCTGCACCAGAGTCATAGAGACTGGTCCTGTTACCGTTGACAAATCCAAACCTGTTGGATTCGAAAGGGTAGCCGACCGAGATTCTCTTCAGACTGAACGTCAATGGCTCACTCATCCGCCGCCGATTCATCTCTGCTGCCGCTGCCTGTGAAGTATAAATAAACAAAAAAGCAACGTCTGGTTAGTTAACATTCATGTTTCTCTTTCGCAAACACGTTTTTTTTCTTCTCACAAACGGTAATACTTACAGCAGCAGACAGTTCCTCTTCACCAGGGTTCCTGTCCCCAAAGATCCATCCAAGAATCGAGGTCCGCTTAGAACTACCACTGCCCTCGCCTTCATCGCCCGATGTCGTCGTATAGATATGTGGACCGTGCTCGGCGACATACTTTTCGCTGTAACTGTCATGATGTCCAACCGAAGGGTCATCCTCATAGCTCGACCGGTACTCTGGCTCGCCGTTCGGTAAGAACTCAGACGTAGGCTGTCGACGACGCTGCGATCTTACATCCAATCCGTTACCGCCATTCTCATCACCACCACTCAGAGATCGGATCCATCCTCCCTCCAAATCCTCGCCCATCGTTGGCTTGATGGATCCATCCTGTCTCCTCAACCGCTTGCAGTACCGTGTGATCATGAACCAGATGGCGATCATGACTGGTGTCGCACAAGCAATACCCACTGCAATCTTCACGCCAATGAGGCCAATGATGCCGTGGTGCAGGTTATTGGGTTCGTCGACGTGGGGTTTGACGACGTGGGAAGGTCCTTGGTCGTTTGCCCAGATCATAAACTCGGTCGAGGCCAGTTGGCCTAGGCTGTTGCGTACAAGCCACCGGACACGAAGGATCATGTCACAAGGAATATGACCCTGGAGTTCGATCTTGCCCGCTTCAGAGGGAGTTGTTGTTGTTGACGGTGGCGATGGTGTGGGCAGGTTCGATGTGAAAGAGGTGCGATTGAACCAGTTGGGAATCAACGGAGAGGGACCAGCCTCTCGATTGTTCTCGCTCTCCTGTCCCCAGATATCTGTGTATGAACAACCAGACGAGGTTTGGGCGTTCAAGAGCGGGTTGACAGGGTTCTTTCCAAGCTTGGTGATGGTCGTATTGTAGGAGGAAGAGTTGACTTGAGATAAGGGGGTCATGTCGATGGGCTCAAAGAGAAACTTGTGTTCGACTGGGAGAACGGTCGCCTCGGTAGGGTATGAAAGGAGTGAGGCGAGCAAAAGGTCGACATTGAACAACTCGCCTCGCTTGACCCAAACATCTGGAACTGGGTGAATAAATGAGAAAGGTGTAGTGCTAGAGAAGATTTGGAACTTGAAGACAGCAGACGTGTTGAAAGAATCGACAACCTCGACGTCCAGGATAAGTCTTTCAGGGATGCCTTGAGGGAGGTCCCCAGTCAGAGTCCAACTGGTGTGGTCAAACGAGAGCCAGTTCGGAAGAGTGTTGTTGAATAGGGAAAGTTCCTGGGTGCTCTCTGTTGAAAGGGCCATGTTGATCCGGGAGATGTACGGTGCCTGATACCGGATAGGCTGTGATTTTGTTGATGATTCGTCTTTGCTCGTTGTGTTTGATGTTGGTGAAGAGATAGCTGCAGCAGCCGCAGCGTTGCGTGCTGGTTGTGAACATCCGTCGACGCGAAAGATATCTGCGCCCAGTTGAAAGTTGACGTGCTGCTGTTGGGGTTCAAGAACCAGATCAGGGAGGTATCTTTGCCAAGCCAGGTCCCACTCCTGAGAATAATAGAGGTTGGAGGACGAACATGATCGCAGAGGGTATGTTGATAGACCCAGTGAATGGACGTGGATCTTAATGGTGAAGCGGTCTGTTGCTTGGGTGTAACCTGGAACGGAGGATGCGGCGATGGTCACGGTGAGGATGGTGGTTCGTTTGTATGTCCCGATGGGAGGCGTGCCTGAAAACTCGAGTGTAGACATGTCGAATTTGAGCCAGAACGGGAGTGTGGTTGAGCCGTCAATCTTGACATAGTAGGTGGTAGGTCCTGCTGAAGATACCTCAGCGGTACTTGCAGCTGCGGTAGTCGATGGAGCTGCAACAACGAATGTCTGAGGGTCGATTTGAATCCTCAAGGGGTTGGACTGTCCTTCCCAGACTTCTGCATCTGCATAGGGCTCAAATATCGAGGGAACTGCCCCTTTCATCGCCCCGCTGCTTGTTGCTAAATCACCTTGGTCCACCCGCCGCTGCAGATGCAGTACCTGCAGTGGTTGGTGGGTCCGTTCATGCTGTTCATGCTGTTCCTGCTGCTCCTCCTGTCTGTGTTCCTCTTGTGGGTCCTGCTTCTGTTGGGAGATTTGTTGTGAGATGGGGAGAGTCTGAATAATCTCGGGGGGTGCATCGACTCCTGATGCTGAGGCAACCAGGAATGGGAGATTCACAATATCCGTTGTTACTGTAGTAGCTGTTGACGGCGATATGGCAGATATAGATTTAAGGACACGGAGGTGCACGTTATGAAACCCAATGTCTGCGTTGGTGGGTGTCCCTGAGAATGTCAGTGTGGCGGCATCAAAGGAAAGCCATGGCGCCAAGGGTTGGACAATTTCGAAGCCCCATGTGTCTGACAGGGGCGAAAAATGGTCCTGGCTGTTGAGTGAATAGAGAAGGGTGTCGTGTTGGAGTGTGAATGTGAAGAAGGAGGACTCGCGTGCAAGAGGGAGGAGTAATAAGGGATGAGGGTCGACGGTAGGGTCTGTTGTGGAAGAGGAAGTGGAATGGGCGAAGAGGGGAGTCGCGATGAGGAAGAGAGTCACGCGAATCTGTCGTGAAAGGAACCGGAGGATCATTTTTTTTGATTGGTGAGCGAGGTTGGGTAAAATGAGTGTAGGAGGATGTGTTTGGTCCTAAGTGGGTCGAAGGTTGTTGACAGGGTATGGTTAGGACATAGTTACATCGAAGAAGTATGGGAGGATCGACAGAGGGAGATATTGCAAAACACGCACCTAGTCGATGAGTGTTTCTTCGTTGTGTTACTGAAGCAAATACGAACAACAGACGAGAGAAAAGGGAAGGTTCGATCGGGAGGATGATCGTGGGTGAATGGGTAGGATGGAATGATATGATATTACAGTCGGAAAGGATATTGAAGATGAAAGAAGGAGAAAGTAGATAGAAGGCGAATGAAATACGAAACAAGTTGAGGAAGGAGAAGAAGTAAAAACGAAACGAAAGAAGGAAAACTAGAGAGAAAGAATGAAAATGCAAGAGAAAGAGAAGAAAGGATGAAAAGAGAAGAGATGTAAAAACAAGCAGGAGCAGGAGCAGCGGCAGCATTGACCGCGATCAATGAAGGGGCGACATGGAGGAACGGATTGGGTAATTATCTTTTTCGTTTGTCACAGAAGGAAAGAAGGAAGGAAATAAGGCAAGGGTGCATAGAGGTGGTCCTTGATGCGCCTTGGTGCGGTGTGTTTTCTGTCTGGCGAGAGACTTAGACAGTGAGCGATAAGGGGGGAGTGACAGAGGACATGTATGGCTGACGATGAGCAGCAATGGTGTGTTAAAAGAGGGGCCACAAGTGAGTGGGGAGAAGAACACGCATACACCAACCTTTGTGGGGGACACACCACTCAAAGGGGGCCGTCTATACTCCCCCTCTCTTGCCCTCTGTGTCTTTCTACGCTTGTCTGGCGCTATATCTAGCCGTCTGGTTTTCCCTGTGCTATCCTTCCTAAAGGAAAGGAAGACGGTGACAACGGACATATCAACAGCCTCAGTTGTCCCTCTGCACAATCCATTCATTCACCTATTCAATGGTTCCTTCTCTCCATTTTCCCCTTTCCTGCATGGTAAGCCGTGGAGACTATCGTTTCTTTCTTGTCGTGTCCAACCCCTTCCACTTTTTCGTCCTTGCTCTGTCCCCCCCTTTCTTTTTTTCCCTTTTCGAATCCTCCCTCCCTTTTTTTCTTTCACTTTCTCTCTTTTTTTTCAATGGCCCTCTTTCTAACCCTTTTCCTACTCCTTGACCGTGTTTCTCAATCTCGGGATTTCTTCTGTAGTCGTTTGCCCCGAAAAAAATAATGTCGAGAGCCCTTTGTATGCGTTTTATTTTTGAATCTCACGGAGTGGGGCACACACAGCACCAAACCCTTTTACAACAGCTGAATCTGGCAGCTGGCAGCTATTTTGAAGATTTTTTTTGAGGGTGGAAGACGGGGGTTGTGAAAAAGAGTCAAGAACTCCGTAGATAACAGAGAGAGAGAGAGAGAGTTGTGAGAGAAAGAAAGAGAGGGAGAGAGAGAGTGGCAAAAGGGGGTGAAAGTGGATGTAGTGAAAGAATGGCTTCGGAAACACAGGAGTTTCTATCCTTTGCGCTCAATTCGGGGGTTTTTTATGTCTCCTTCAGTTTTTGCCGTTTTTGCACGCCCTTCCTTTGTTCTTGTCTATCCTCTCTCTCGTTTGTGACACGTCAACGTCGCATTGGAGGCTATGTGCGACGAGAATGGTGTACAATGGGAGAGATGCCAAAAAAGAGAGGCATGGGGGAAAGAGAAGAGTAGAGAATAGGGCCAGAATGGGAAATAGAGATAGGGCGAAAGGTGAGACGTAGGGGGTAAGGGAAAGAGGAAGAGATAGTAGAGAGGTCGGGGCACCGATGGAAGAAAAGAAAGGAGTTTAGTGGGACAAAAAGAAGTAGATAAGCCGTCCTGGGAGGAAGGTATCTACCACACGATAACAAAAAAAGAGAGGCCTTCGAGGCAGCATTGGAGGATTGAAGAATCATGTGCAGGGAGTAGCCAGGTAGGTTTGGGTAAGTTTGGAGAATGTTCACTGCTGGGTATTTGGCACTTTGACAGCGATTGTAGTTATTGTGTCTATCATGACGCGTTTTATTCAGTGTGAACAACATTTAACGCGTATGGAAGTAAACAGCATGGTGGCGCATTATTACAATACGCGGTTTCTCATGCTTGTGACTGTTCTGAATGTATTCTTACCCGAGTCCATTGGAGTAGAGTTCTAGCTTGTCTTCTGCCTGCGGTCTAACTCTCTCTCTCTCTCTGCTGAAGAATCCGCCCTGCTCCATTGGATCCAACGGCAACTCTCTTCTTCTTCTTTCCCTTTAAAAGCTTCTTCCTTCTTTTTACTTTCTCCCTTCTTCACTTCACTCCACTCCACTTCTCTACATCACTTGCTAGATCTACCTCTTTCACTTGTATCATATACATCGCACACAACAAATAGCCACGATGAACAACAGCAATCACCCTATAGACGACAACATCCACGAAACCGCGTCGTCCACCTCTACCCACGCAGAATCAAAGCACGCAACCACTACCGCCACAGATGCCACCACCACCACAGCCTCCGTTGGCCCCACAGCACCCCTGTCAGTTTTCTTCCTACCCCAAGACCTAATCGCCTCCCTGGTGCCCCAAGCCCCCTCAGACACACTCGGTCACCTCCCCCCTCTTCCACTCGAACCCACACGCGACACTGGTAACACCGATACCGACGGCGCCACGGCTCAGAGGTCTGCCACCTCGCTGGACTCTGCAGTGCCCTCATGCCGTATCTGTGGAATCGCCAACCTCGAATCGGTCGAGAAGCAGCGTGAGCACGTCCGACTCGACTGGCACCGTTATAACCTCAAGCAACAGTTACTCGACAAGTCTGCCCGGCCCATTACTGAACACCAGTTCGAAAACATGATCCAGGATCTGTCGAGCATATCTGGGTCTGACACCGATGACAGTGATGACGATAACCAGCAGAGAACTACGGGAACTGCGGCTGCTACAGTAGGCTCTAATAATTCGACCGCAGTCAACTCTATTCGTGCAGGAGGAGACGACCAGGAGATTCTGATCCAGTCGCTGATGAAGAAGTTGGAGTTGACGGTTAAGCAGAACCAGAATGCTCGGAACCAGGATCCGGTCTTGGTGCTTCAACAGCAGGCTTTGGAGCGGCAACTTCAGGAGGCGAGGTCTTCGCCCTTTATCTGGTTTACGAGCACATTGTACGATGAGACCGTCCGGTTGGGCATCTACAAGAATGCGTTGCCAAATCGTGGGGTGTGTGAGGATGTGGTCGAGTACCTCAAGACGGTCCAGTTTGCAGTCGCGCCTGTGGTCAAGAAGCAGAAGAACAACAAGCTTAGGAGGGAGGCCAAGAGAGCTGCTGCTGCTGCCGCTGCTGCTGCTGGAGGAGAGGCTGGTGCAGGACAGGAACAGGAGCCGCAGCAGGCGATTGCTAAGCAGGATTTCACTCCCTCTTCAGCCGCCGCCCCCGCCTCCACACCAGTGACTCAGCCTGACGCAGAAGATGACGATGACGATGATGAAGAGGAAGAGCAGGACCAGGACTGGGTCCAGTATCAGCTGCAGGCAAAGCAGCTGCAACAACCCGCAGCCTCGATCCAGCCTCCCAAGCAGGCCAGATACTGGACCCTGATTCTGATCGGTGGTGGTCATTTCGCCGGTGTTGTGATGGACCTTGCAGGACAGGCGTCCTCTCATGGCCGTGATATGAAGGTTGTCGCCCACAAGACCTTTCACCGTTACACTGGTAAGCCCCTCTTGTTCGTGTGCAATACGCGTCGTCTTTTTTTTTTCGCTTTCCAACTTGGTAATAGGATGGAAATTAACATTTTTCATTTGACATCGTCCATTTTTTCACAACAGTCCGCAAGAAGCAGGGAGGCTCACAGGCGGCACATGGAGTCGCGAACTCTGCAGGAGCCCGAATCCGCATGTACAACGAAGAGGCCCTCAAACTCGAGGTCCGAGAGCTCCTCGAGGGCTGGTCCCATTGGATCAAGCAGTCCGAGTGCGTCTTTGTCCATTCACCCGGCAACAACAGGAAGGTGCTCTACTATGAGAACTCTGTTCTTTCAGCGGCCGAGAAGCAGGGCCGTTTGCGGTCGATTCCATTTATGACCCGGAGACCTACTTTGACAGAGTTGAAGAGAGCGTTTGTGGAGTTGACAACTGTTAAGCTGTCGGTGTTGACCAAGGGGGCGCTGGAGCGACAGGCGCAGGCGGAGCAAGATGCTCTTGAGAAAGCCCTGGCGGCTTCTGCTTCTGCTTCTGCATCCGCATCGCCGAAGAATCATCAGAAGGCTGCAGTTATCCCTGAGGCACCGGCGGAGCTGTTGAAGTTGATCGAGTTGGTCAAGAAAGGTCGTGCTGAGGCCATGTCGACCCATCTGTTGAAGCATGGTATCGACCCCTCCCAGCTGTTGCCTCTTAGCACCAGTACCGAGTACGATATCCGACGCACGCCGACGATCCTCCATCTGGCGGCGCATCATGGTCAGGCGCATTGTGTCAAGCTATTGTTGGAGAAGCATAACGCGGATCCTACCACCACTACGCTCTCCGCGGCCAAGGCTGCTGCTGCTGCTGTAGACGGGAATGGCGAAGAGGAGGAGGAGGAGGAGGAGGAGGAGGAGGAGGAAGCCGGAGCATTGACGGGTTCGTCGTTTACGGCGTACGATATCGCAAAGGACAAGGAGACCAGGAACGCTTTCCGTCGTGCCATGGCACTGTCGCCCGAGAGCTGGGATTGGGTCGGACTCGCCCATGTCCCCTCGGCTCTCACCCCCGAGATGGAAGCCGAGCAGGAACGCAAAGCTAAGGAGAAGACCCGGAAACTCCTCGACGCCGAGCGTGAACGTAAAAAGACCAGCAGTCGTCCCGGCACACCCGTCAACCGTTCCGTTGCCACCGCCCCAACGTCCACTCCTACATCAACGTCGTCTTCCTTGCTCGGCAAGAACCTGGCCACGGCCACATCTGCAAACTCGCATTTGTCGCCCGAGATGCGGATGCGTCTTGAACGCGAGCGACGCGCGAATGCAGCCGAGGCCCGCATGACGGCCATGAAGCAGCAAGAGACTATCCGACGCGCGGTCCAGGAGGGCAAGAATGTTTGCGTTGCCTGTGGGAAGTCATTGGATGGTTTGACGCCGTTTGATAAGTTTGGACGCAAGTTCTGTACCACCGACTGTGTCGCCAAGGGACCCGCTTGAAGGAATTGGGCGACTGTTGTGGTTGGAGTTGAAACTACATTCCATACAATACACAATACACAGGCAGCAAACTTTCAAAGGAAAAAAAAAAAAATGTTTTTTTTTGCCTTAACTAATGTACAACATGGGTGATTCTTTTGAGCTTTGATAACATGAAAATGTGCGTTTGTTGGATGCATAACGTGTGTGAAAGAAATAAAAAAAATAAAAAATAAAAAAAAAGGAAACGAAACGAAACGAAACGAAAAACGAAAAAGAAAAACAAAAATCGTAATTAAGAGGTGGATTGAGGAGAAGAGTGGCCAGAGGCATAGAGCCAACGCATCATCATGGCGCCGATATAGGCCGTCCACTCGTCCAGTCCCAGGGTCGGAGGCATATCGTTCCAGACCAAATCGTGCTCCTCGTGTTCTCCTGTTGCCGTAGCTGCAGTTTCGGGGATCGCGTCGCTGTAGAGTGAAGACGACGATGAAGGCCGGAATGCCGATGATACCGTAACAGGCGTAGAGTTGGAGGTCTTGCGAGAAGCAGCGCCCTCAGCAGTAGAGGGGAGGGCGCTGGTAGAGGGGATCATGGGCGACGAGGTGGCAGAGTGGGCGGTGGTCCGGTGGGTTAAAGTATCGGTGGTCCAGACAGTCGTCGTGTTGTTGCTGCTGGCCGCATTGCCACCGTGGATCGGCTGTCTGACATTATTGTTCCAGTCCGGGAAGGAGATACTGCTGGGCATCGAGAAAGGGTCCAGCATCGCGCCCTGTTTACTGCCGCCTGAAGATGGCGTGTTGTTGACGATAGGCTTGCCGTTGACCAAGGGGCTGTGTCCTTCCGATCGGCTTCCGCCGTTAATGCTGTTATGCACGCTACCAGCAATAGGCGAGGTGAGACCACTCTGGGCCAAGGTGGTCATGGTCATCGGCGTCAGTACACCATTCTCATGTCGGATGAGTCCAGTAGTCGAGAGAAGAACGCTCTCGGACTTGATGGCAGGGCTGTCCGAGAGACCAAGCTTGGCGGTCGAGAGAACCATGGCGGGGTCGCTCTCCATGGGAGGCAGGCTGGCGCTGGTATCCGTCCCTGCAGAGACTGGGGACGACACAGAAACCACAGACGAGTGCGGCGAAGACTGAACGCCCAATCCGATGGGGGGGCGGCTGTGGACAGGAGAGAGAGAAGCCGATGACTCATTGACGGCCGATGACTTGGAAGGTCTCATGAACGTGTCATCCTCGGTATTCTCCTGCTTCATCTTCATATCCTCGCCATCATCATCCTCCTCCTCATCCTCATCGTTGTTGGCGCTGTGTTCATTGTCGTCATCATTGTGGTCCTCAAAGCTGGAGCTCCTCCGCTGCTGCATCTTCAAAAAGTCCTCGTCATTGGCCAACAACGAATGAATCGTCATCGCCTTGGACCGACACTGCTGCCGCAACTTGTCCTGCCTCTCCCTAGGTGCGACTAGAGTCTCCTTGTATTGAGACGAATCCATAGCCCATGATGGTCCAACAGGTGAGGTCTTGAAGGTGTCGACCTCGAGGTCCTTGAGGCTGACATGCTTCAGATCCAGCAGATCCTCCAGAACCTTGGCGCGGTTGGCGGCACTAACCCAATGTGTGGCGAGGAACTTGAGCGCGTCAATGCATCGCTTGAGGTTGGTCTTAGCCGACTTTGTGTGGTTCTCCTGGGTCTTTCGTGCACCTTCAGAGAGGACTGGGCTGGTGGCGGCGGAGGCAGATCCCTTTTTTACACTGGGGATGTTCATAAAGTGAACGATTCCGGCGGAAAAGATGGAGTATATACAGCTGATAAACATGGACGTCAGAGCTTTGGCGTCCATGAGAATTTCAGTAATGTCCGTGATAGTCGCAGCGGCTTGTGTGCAGAGTGAGGCAGACGTTGGCGAAGTCGAGATCTCGGGTCGGTGGAGGAGAATGACAAGGGTGTTGTAGTTGAGGTGAAGGAACAGGCCAATGTGGGGGGACTGAGCAGTAGGGTTCTGTAGTGACTCAGGCAGACCTTGCCTCCATGTTGTCAGAGCCTTGTCCAGTGCAGAAAAAGCCGCCACAGTGGTGTCGACCTGAAAGTCCCGATCCTGTTCTGATCTACCGTTAGGGCTTTGAGAGAAGCAATCAAAGTTGTTGTTGGGAGGTGGTGGAGGACTGAACTTGGCGCGAATGTACTCGAGGACATTGCCTTGAATCCTAGACAGGGTAATTAGCCGGACAAAGTTTGCGATCTGCCCGGTCCTTGTCGACGCTGGCCTGTTTGTTGGTGTTTCGCCCTCATCATCCTCGTATTGAGGGAACCCTGCCTCGCAATCCTTGTGAGTAATCATGAGTGGTCTATACGAATGATTGTCAATAAAAAAACGGCGTTAGATGCATCCGCTTATCGCTCACTAAGATTAATAAGAAATGACAGAAAAATCCATACCTTCCCAGGCCAGCGCAGATGAATCGCTCAATGACATAGATGGACCACCAGGTACGCTTGCGCAGCTCGCATTGTAACCTGTTTCTTGACTGCTCCTGCTCCGTGGGCTCCTTGTTGAGACCCATGCCCTGGGCCATACGAGCGGCCATGCCGACATACAACCACGCACGCTGACTCTCACAGAATCCCATCTGCTGCACAGCCATCAAGAGGAACGTTTGAACGGTCGCCATCTGAGAGCTGTCGTACTCGTTCTTGATAAAGTGCTTGGCGCGCTCGTAAAAGATCGTGCAGGGAGGCCTATCCAGTCCTGCCTGAGGAACACGGAAAGTGGGGTTGTCACTGAACCGAGAGGCGAGACCCAAAACAGCGAAAAGTAAGTGAGGTGGGGGAGACTCGTTGTGGTGAACTTGATCCGAGATGGTTTGGAAATGAAGGAAGGGGAGTACGGGGTGGACGGAGAGAAAGTGAATGTCGAGCAAATGGTCGATTACATCGACCGAGGGCATGATGAGCGCCTCCTCCTTGATGGGGTTCTCAAGGACGGGCATGTAGCCTGTCAGGGGATTCGAGAGCTGGTGAGCTGACAGAGAGGGTCGATGGGTGACGATACGATGGGTCTCCATGCTATAGTGTCCATTACGGTGGGAGGAGGGTGGCGGTCCTTGGTGATTGCTTCCAAATTTGACACTACTGCTTCCATTGCTATGGCTACTGCCTGTCCGGTGATGGCCATCTTCATGTGCCAAATGGCCTCTCTCATGCGCTGCCGAATGAATCTGGCGGTATGACGACGACGACGAGCCTCCTCTGTGGTGCGTTGGTGAGCTGCTATAGTTCGACTGCTGATTAGAGTGCTGGAGCGACGCGGGCGAGTAGGGTGAAGGCGAGCTGTACTGGGAATGTTGCTGCGGAGGTGACTGCTGCTGTTGCTGTTGATGGTGGTGGTGCGTCGGGTGCTGCTTAGAGTAATTGCTTCCTGCGCTGCTGTGCGACGTGGGAGACAGGTTGTGTTGCAGGGTGTGGGGAGGCCTATGGTGCGTCTGAGGAGGCTGTCCATGGCGAGAGGTGTCGTATGGATGGTATTGGTTCGACCTAGGGGCTGCGGACACGGGAGAGGGCTGGAGCATTGGCTGAGTCCGGTTGGAAGTTGAGCTCTGAGAAGGCGAGCCGGTATCTGAGTGTGCAGGAGTATGTACATGAGCCCGATATCCAGATCCCTGTTGCGAGTTGGAAGAGTGGCCATTTGAAGATGGGTGTTGGTTTGCCAATGCTGACGAGTGATGGCGCTCCTCTTCTTGTTCGATCCGTGTTTGCTGCAATTGCTGCCGCGGCTGTGGATGTTGGTGAGGATGCTGCGACGATGACTGGTATTGCTGCTGAGGAGGAGGGGGCTGTTGCCTTGAGATGGCAGACATTCCTGGGACTGAGGAGTTGCTTGACACCGTTCCCGATCCTGATCCTGATCCTGCTCCAGGCTTTGCTGCTGCCCCATTTGACGAGGCAGAAGCTGACGTCGATGACGCTGAGGACGCTGCCATAGCCTATGATCGATCCGATCAAGACAACGAGAATAGGAGAGGCGACGGTTAAATGCTTGTGCGATATGCTAATGGGAAGGACAGGCGCTTGCGTGTTGTTGTGCAATCCATTGGCCGATTGAAAAGACTACAAGAGATGATTGCGTCTTACGTTGTGGATTTCTTCGTAAGCCTTGGACCGTCGTAGTTTTAGTCCGGTCATCTCGGCCTCGCGGGCCATAGCATCGAGTTCAGCGCGGACGATCTCAGCGCGAGGGTCCTTGTCCTTGACGAGACCTCCAAGGAGGCCCTCCATGCGATGCAGTCGGGCTTCAATTGCCTCGATGTAACCTGTCATCATGGGGACAAGTTTGCCTGACGATTGTTAGCAGATGTAGTGGATGGTGAGTCTTGAGGAAATAATGTAGATATATCGTTCATCGTTCATGACAACAGCGATTCAATACAGCAGAAAAACAAATGGGTATATACCTTTTGGAGGGCCACGTTTCTTGGTGGGGTCATTGTATGTACCTAATTAGGAACGAAGGAAGGACGAGAGAGGTACAGTTTTGGACGATTGGGTTAGTCTCGGTTTCGTAGTGTATGGGTATGAAAATACAGAAAAGAACGGGAAAAAAAGTTTGCTTTAAGGCAAGTTGGAAGGAAGGAAGGAAGGAAGAGAACAAGGATAAAAGGGCCTAGACTGAATTGTTCATCCGCCGCTGGTCTGAAATACGGCGGCTGTCTCCCATGATTCCAGGACAACTTACATTCATAGTTGAAGGTCTCGCAGTTGGTGCAGAGGGGGTGGATAGCATCTATTGTTTTGCAATAAAAAGGAGCAGGAGAAATAGGTCCGAGAAGTAAGAAGTAGAGGAGAAGTAATAAAAGAACAAAAGGCGATTAGGAGACACTTCTTTGTTATTGTTGTTTTTTGACAACGTTTTGTCATATGTTTTCCTTCATTGTTTTATCCAGAAGGGAGGGAGGAAAGAGAGCAGCAAACTTACCGCACTTGACTTTTTTCCTCCGGCAAGAGTCGCAGGCCTATTGTATTATTGGTACATCCGGGCCAATAATAATAACAATAACATAACAACAGAGAAGAAAACGAGAGCGATGGGCGTCGTTGTTTAGGGTTAGTAAATCGTTGTTGCTGTGGATAGGAGTGCGACCCACTGGGAGCCGAGGGTAATCATTGTCGAGTGAGAGGTGAGTGGGAAGGGAACAAAAAAAAAGTCTAAGGAGCTTAAGCAACAAAACAAAGCGCAGAAACGGAGCAGTTGAGCCGAAGAACAAGAATAAGAACAATCAAGGGTAAAAAGGGAAAAGGTGGCGGTGGTCATTAAAGGGAGAACGGACCTTAGACACTCTGAGCCGTTTGTTATCGGCCATTCTCTTCGAATGAGAAAAGGGTTGTTGGAAAGAGTTGAATGGTAGAGGGCTTGATTGGAGTTGGAGTTTGAAGGGAAAAAAGGAAAGGAAGAGATGAAGAGAGAAGGGAGAAGGTAAATGAGTCGGGTAAAAGTGAAGGGCTGAGTTGAGTGGCTGGTTGATTATGCCGGTGGGTTGTGGGTTGTGGGAGAGTATGAGAATGAGAGTGCTGGTGGTTGTGGAGAGGATGAGACAGTGGAAGGGGAAAAGGGATAGCGATGGGGCGAAGAGAGAAGGAGTGAGGGAGTAAGGAAGTGGCAGGGTAGAGAATAAAGTGGACTAAAGGTGGAAGAGCGAAAGGGAAGGGAAAGAGAGAGCGTGAAGGTGGAAAGGAAGGAGGAAGGAAAAAAGAGAGAAAAGAGAAGGAAAAAAGACTCGATCAAATAAAGAGGCAATTATCATGGTTAATCACCCATTAATCACGAATAACGGGTGAACGGAAGAGAAAAGAAGGTTATCAGTGCACTCCTGATCATCAGTCCCTTGAGAGGGGAACCGAACGAGAATCCACTCTTCTTTTCGTATTTGTATTCTGGGCGCCGACGTAAAAAAAAAAGGACCCCATTCCTTGTCTTTCCGTGCTTTTCTTTTCACGCGCACCATTACTCTCTCTCTTCTGCTTACCATAGAGGAGATAACAAAAAAAAAAAAAAAAAAAAAAAAAGAAGCTAATCGAGATATGTGAAAAATCGTCGGTAAAAAAACAGATACAAAAAAAAAAGTGTTAGTGTTACATTCTCCTCCATTCATGTCCTTCAAAAAAATATATAAGCACCCCGTGAATTGACGCACGAGTGCTGGCGGATGGACGGTAAAGACAAATAAAGATCCTCGCCGGGAATTGGATAAATATGAGCCATCATCTTTCCCTGTTCGATATCGCCTTTTATCTTCTTTTGCAGGAGGACCGGCATTGTTAGGAAACAACGAAGAAAATGTTTCCCCCATTTCAACCATCATACCAATTGAACGCGAAAAGATAATGCATAGATGCTGCAGTCATTCAACCAAAGAAGAAATAAAAAGACAAGGTATATCGAAGACCCAGCCCAACGACACTTCCGATCGACCGGGTGAACCTCGCAGCTTCATTTTCCCTTACGCGTTCTTAGCTGTTCGTTTTTCAGTTCTTATTTATTTATTTATTTTTTCACTCAACGAGTGGACAATTGTGGATCAAAATGACCTGTGGCAAAAAGTTTTTCCATCCGTCTTGTCCGCGAGTCCTGCCTGACCTTCATCCAAACCGAGCCAAACCGAGCCATACAGGAAAACTGTGAGTTCATGTACCTAAAACCCTAACGCGCTTTGCTCTCTCCTCCACCTGCTGCTCTCAGTCCTCTTCCACTAGTTGTTAGGTCTGAGGATTGTTTGTACCCATGATTCCTGCACTCCGTCCGTCTGGTTTATGCGAGTGTTTACTGTCAATGGAGTAAGGACGGCATGTCCTCCAATTTGATGCGATCAAGCTGCACTGACTGCTGCAATAAAATACCATACATGCTTGGTCGTTCATATTCTGTCTTGCTATCTCTTTGTTATTAATTTGTTTTAGGCTGTTCTTTGGCAGGTTTTGTCTTGTCTTGCGGACGTTTTGTTTGTGTTGCTGTCTTTAGTTTTTTTTTTGCAAGTGGAAGGAAGGGTGGGCGTCCGACGTCAAGCAACTCTTCGCGACAAGACGTGAATAATGGTATCGATGATGACTGGGTCGTTTAATTACGGGACAACTGTAGGGAAAGAAAAGAACCATTTTAGTCTGCGCCAAGGCTGAAAGGGGACCCTGGCAAGGAATGAGGTCATATCATTTTTTTTAGCCGCACGTGATATCGTTCTTTTTCTTCCATATGTCATGCCGCCCAACAGAAAAGACAAAGCCCGAGCGACAACCACGCAGCGGTTTTTTCTTCCTCTTCTCCACCTTTTCCCTCCCTTTTCTTTCCTCATCCGTCACTCCAATCACTCATTGATCCTCCCTTCTCTCTCCCACACCTCTCTACTCACACTCACCGCATCTCAGCAACACAACCAACACACAACTCACAATGTAAAGCAACAACTCTCATTTATACTCTTCCTTGTGTACCCTCCGACTTTGTCTTGTCTTCGAACGGACAACGGCCACATCTTTATTTGCTCGTGTGGAGAGAGCAAACAGCAATAGACCCTATTGCTCAACAACAGCTCTGTCTAATGGCCTGTTCTCTCTTTTTTTAACAACAATTTTATAGGTCGACTCCTTATGATCCTCCCCACTCTGGACCTTCCAACAAGACTGCTCAGCTCCAGCAGCAGGTCAACGATGTCGTCGGAATCATGCAGCAGAACGTATGGTTTGCTCTTTTCTCAGGCATTTTTTTTTCTAAAGGAGACATAACAGCGTCAACTGCAGCCAAGTTAACATGGGTTGCCGTTTTTTGTGTCATGATATACTAGATTGACTCTGTCAAAGACCGCGGAGAGAAACTTGACACACTTCACCACAAGACTGGTAAGTAGCCCTCTTTTATTTTCTTGGTCATCAACCACGGCTCAACAGACACCCTCGCATGGACATAAGAGCAACCACCTGGAGTTATTGAGCCCAAGGACACCACCAACAGCAATAAGAACAAGAATATCACAATGAGGAAAGGCAAAGCTCGCTCGATAGCAACAAGGATCACAGGATTGGAACAATTATCCGACACTCCACTGCCCTTGCATACTGTCCGATGGGATGGTCGTACGGGATTACGATCATGTTGGCATCAAAATCCATCAATGGCCGATAAACGACGTCTTTTGTATCAAAGGATATCCAGGACAGAACAGAATCGACTCATTCTGGATGTCAGCAGCAACACTTAAGAAAAAGATTGACAGTGAACACCATCTATAAACAGCGCAGACAGCTCGAACAAGACACGGGGCAGAACAACAATACCTCCCTTTTTCGTTTTTTTTAACGCCAAGCAAAGTCCATGAGAAACCTTTTTCCATTGGTTTGGTTGGACAAGGAAACTGACCAAAAATATCTTTCCTTGTCACACCAAAAAAATAGCCGATCTCGAACAGGGTGCGGTTCAGTTCAGGAGGGGTGCCTCGGGAGTGCGTCGCCAGATGTGGCTCAAGAACATGAAGTGGCGTATCGCCATTATCCTTGGAGTCATCCTCCTCCTCGTCATCATCATCGTCCCCATCGTCAAGTCCAAGTAAAACCGTGGATTCTTATGTCTCCCAGGACTGGCCTTGGACTTAACAGCAGCCTCTCCTTTTGCGATAACCGTTGCGGACGCAAAACCCTCACTACTATTGCCAAATATTCCTTTTTGTACTATCATTCCTACTCTTGTTTACATTGACAAATAAAAAAAAACTTGTATTGACCTAACAAAAAGACGATCGTCTCTACGAAGACGTGTATGTGAAAAAAAGAGAGATGATGTAACTTGAAGCAAAGAGAAAGAACACCAATTGGACTTGGGACACGATCGCTCGAGCCATTAGCCAGTTAGCAACCCCTCTCACTTTCCCAGACTAGGGACTTGATCGGACAAGCCATTAGCATGTTAGCAAACTTGATCGCGCCCAACCAATTTATCATTTCCTTCTGCTTTACTGTCCATGCACTGACACATTGACAGTAAAAAAAACGGCGCAATGAGAGTAGAAAGTAAAAAGATGATCGTTTATTGATGCGAAAAAAGGAGAGATATGGTACAAATCAAAGTAAAGAAAGTAGGTTACGTCCCTTTAGAGGACGAGGACGGCAACAGCGCCAAGGGCAGCGATAGCCAATACACCAGCCGACTGGCTCTTTCTCGAAGCAGCATTGGGTGCAGTAGTGGGAGAGACTGTGGGGGTAGCGACGGTGGGAGTCACAGTTGTGGCCGAGGGGTTGATGGTGGGGGCCGAGACGGTTGCAGTACCGTTTGTGGTAGGGAAGATGGGGTTGATGGTGAGAGAACCGGTCTCGGTTGAGACGGGAGCGGTGCCTGTTGCGGTTGCGGTGCCAGTTGCAGTTGCGGTGCCGGTTGCGGAACCAGAGGGAAGGACTCCCGAGTTAGTGGCGGTTCCAGTCTATGTGGTTGTGAGAAAATAGACGGAGATGGAGGGTGTGAGTGAGGGGAGTGAGGTGAGTGAGTATCCTCCTTATGATGCAATCGGACACAAGCACGGACACACACGCGCGAATAATTATAGGAAAAAAAGGAGACTTACGGGCTGGGCAGATGCAGACGAGGAAGATGATGAATCAGGACCAGAGTAATCTCCAGGGATAACAGCCGCACATCCATAAGTCGACTTTCCAGTGTTACAGTCCTTCTTCTCCTTACAGCAACGAATGCACATGGTGTTCGAATGGGGCTCAATCAAGTTCACGTAATGGTTATAATCAGCACAGGCACTTCCAACGGGGGCCTTGATATCATACTGACCACCGCGATCAGTCGCCGAAAGCGAGTACTTTGAAGCATCGATCTTGCCGGTGATTTGGACGTAGCCGTCACCCTTGGCGAAGTTGGCGGATTGGATGAAGCCGTCGGGGAAGATGCGGGCGGCGGGGGCGGAGGAGGAGGGGGAGGTGCAGAAGGCGATGGCGCTGTCCTCGTTGGCGGCGATGTCGCCACCGGCTTGTGGGGGCATCATCATGCACCAGTTTGTGGAGGATGTGATTTGGACGATTTGGCCGGGTTTTCCAGGTGCAGCCGAAGCGGAGAGTGAGAGGATGGCCAGAGCTGAGGCAACGGATGCGACGTTGAAGATCATTATGGTAGGGTAGTGGATGTGAGTAGTGGGATAGATTGTGGAGTGGTGTAGAAAGGAAAGTGAAGAGTGAGGTGGTGAGAGTGGAGAGTTGAGAAGAAGATGAGGTGTTGATGAATAAAGTGGAAAGAGACAAGAACTCTTTGTTTCTTTTATACAACTCGCGGAGGGGATGAAGAAGGTTACGAGGAGGGTGCCTCGGTAATCAGCTTTACTAGGAATAGGTACATAGAGACTATGCAAATGGACCTATGTCGACCTACAAGGTTGTAACAGTAAAATAACTGCACAATGACCTGACCGTTATGTTTTTGTCGTCATTGGTTTTGAAGGGTGGAGGTGGAGTGTGTGAGTATGGTAAGGAGGCAGACGAAAAGGTTAAAAAAAGTCTTGGACTAGGAAGTAGACCGGGGTATGAAATTATGGGCATCTAGGGATTCGGTCATCAAAGAAAGAGGCAACTCCAAAGGACAAAGGGGGTAGAGGGCATGGAATGGCAGAGGCGATCTAATTGGAGGGTGTTTGAGGGGGATCAGACAGGTTCTCTCTAGAGAGAGAGAACTCAGGAACCGTCTGTTTGCCCGATCGAGTCTTACTTCTAAAGAGACGCGTCCATCAGTGGCGAAGGAATGTACACTGCGAGACGAGCGTGGGGCCTGATAAGAAAAAGTCGTATATGTGTGTAGCTGTCAGCATGACAGAAAGAACACTCTTCTGCACACTAGCATGGCATGCAGAAAAAGAAAAGGGGCGAAGAGCAAAAACAATGATCCAGCGCGCACAAACAGAAAGAGGGTTAACATGACAATCGATCCACTTCTTCACAGCTCAGCGCTAACACTCCAAAATGCACCCAACGGTATGATGCCTCTGTCTCTTTCCTTCCTTCCTCGCACATGCTGGTGCAAGACTCTTTGTAAGAGCGGTTTTGAAATCCCACACACCAACACTCACAAACGGAAAAGAATCCACTACGCTTCCGGTTGAGTCATCATCATCGCCTCATGCAGGCCTATCCCTCCCTCTCTGAGGAAGGTTTTGTGCTATCCCCCCACTAAGTTTTTTGTGTTCTGCGTTGTTATGGACTTGTTGGCAACCTACAGGATATCATAAGCAAGCCTGAAAAAAAAGCCAAAATAAGGTACATGAGCAGCAGGAGCAACATAAAGCAGGAGCACAGCGTCATCGTCATCGTCTTGTCTGGCATTCATTTCTCTATACCAACCAAAGAGAGTTTTTTTGAGTTGAGAGATTCACCTAGACTCCCCTATCCTTTATGACGAGAGGTATTTTTTTTATCTTGGGGCTTTCGCATGATGAAGATAACTTATTTTTGGCACTGCCACTGGGAACATGGTAGGTTGCACTGTGCTTGGACTTTGGCCATGCGACGCCTCCCCTGGCCATTTTGATCGAAAGACAGGACAAAAGGCGGTAGAACAGTAGTAGATGATCGGCCTGGACATGACCTGTGCACGAGATAAACAGAGCTCTACTCTCGCACTTTGTCCATCGATCCTCACCCCTGGTCAATGGCTGAGCAAGGCCATGCCTAGAAGATGAACGCGACAAGAATATAACTTCCAAGGTGACCAAATTTGGTGTGGTCGAGGAAGAAGAAGGAGAAGGGTGATCAAGAGACGATCGATAGAAAAAGAAGTAGCGCAGAAGGAAGATGTGTCCTTTCCCTAGAGAAGATGTCGCAGGGGCTATGATAAAGAGCCATCGATTGCTGTTATCAGTGGATTGGATGTATTTATGTTAGTGTTGTTGACAAATACGAGAGAGGAAGAGAGGAAGAGAACAAGAAGGTTGGAAGGAAAAGGTAAAGGCTCACACATATCCAATGGGTCTAGGTTGTTGTTGTTGTCGACTCCACCTGTCCACTCACCCACCATGCTTGTGGAACGGGGTATGCTCTCTTTTCATTTTCACCCAGCCAATGCGCCTTTATTATTTTTTCCTGTTGCCCTTGTTTTTCCTTTTTCCTTTCTCCTTTCCCCACTTTCTCCACTTTCTCCTTTTCACACCTCTTACTCCCAACACACAGTCGACTCTCATTGAAATCAGCAAGACACTTCGACACCTCCGAAACTCCTTCTTAAGACCAACGACATCAACAACACAGAGCATCATCTATGACATCACATAAGATCGGAGTCCTGGTCGCCATCCCTATCAAGGGCAGGAAGCTTGTCAACAGGACAGGGGGCAAACAGTCCCCCTATGTCCAGCTCAAGCTCGGCGAGCAAAAGAAGCGCACCCGCGCATCTCTTGTCGCTTCCGTCGAACCCGAGTGGGATCAAGAGGCAAGTCCTTCGATCCTCTCCTCTCTCTTCCTTTTCACCTCACAAGACATGTTTCTCTCCGGATAAACAACAACAAAGCTGACCTGCGGCTCTCCATTACTCAATGTCATCTTCCACTGTATGTGTTCAATACAACCAACTAGGTTCGCGTCGATGTATTTCAGGACCAGCTGGACATGAAGGTGTCTGTCTTTGACGAGGGCAAGAAGGGCGAGTTGGTGGGCGATGGTGTCCTCCTTTTGAACGAGGTCATCGACAAGGGCGAACTCGATGGTAAAACATAAGAGAAAAGAAGGACTTTCACCGCTGCTTGTTTATTTCTTTCGCCTTCCTCGGGGGAACAGGGCTTGTGTTCATTTTTTACCCATCAGCTGAAGCAATGGCGAGTGGACAAAGGCGTACGGATGGATTGGATTGACTGACTGACAGTTTTCTCTTTGTTCCTTTCTCGTCTTTTTTTGCCCGCCCTTAGTGTGGTTTCCTATCAAGCACAACGGAACCGCCGCAGGAGATATCTACTTTGAGCTCACCTTTTACGCCGCGGTAAGGACCCCACGCAGCCATGCAGCACAACTACTATTGCAGTACCTTTTTTTTCTTTTTTTTCAAAGAGTCCGTTCATTTCATTACAAGACAAAGGATACCGCAGGCACAGCCTGTTCTATCTCTGGAGCGAACCAACAATACGGAGTCATACGAACAAGGAAGAAAAATAATCATCACGCCAAACTCGACCACTAAAACGTTTTCAATATCACTAAACTCAAAAAATCTAGGCCCCTCCACCAGCTGCCGGCAGCACGCCACCCCCTGCAACCCCCCAGACTCAGATCCAGACACCCCTCAGATACAACCAGCCAGGATTCCAGGGTGGCGCTCCAGGCATCCACCCTTTGCCCCACACGCCCCCAGTTAGCGGGTTTGGTAGCCCAGCAGTAGGCCATCTCGGTGGACCCCCAGCTCCCTATGCTGGAAACGTGTACCACCCTCCCGGTCCTGGTGGTTATGTGCCCAATGCCTTCCCACAAGCCCATCAGGCGCCCTTCACACCTCAGCAACCTGCCGCTCCCTTGCCCTTCGGTGGTCCTCCTGCTCCTGTCTCGGGTCCTGGATTCAACCCTGCATTCGGAAACAACAATTCTCCATTCCGTCCTCCGGGTGCTTTCCCTAACCCGGCCTCACCTCCCTTTGGACAGCCTGGACTCCCTGGACTCCCTGGATCAGGACCTGGCCCTGTTGGCGGTTCTTTCCCCATGCCTCAGCCCTCCTTCAACAGCGGACCTCCCAACAACAACTTTTCGCCAAACAACAGTAACAGTGGACCCAAGTTCCCAAGCAACGGACCCAACAACTTCCCAAATAGCAACAACTACCCACCAAACAACAACAACAGCTTCTCACCGAACAACAACAATGGAAGGTTCCCAATGCCTCAGGGTCCGAGCCCTAACATGAACAACGGACCAAGTTTCCCTCAAGGCCCTGGCGGTCCCAACAACAGCTTTGGTAACAACAATGGTCCTCACAACAACTTCAACAGTGGACCCAACAACTTTGGCAACAACAGCGGACCTAACAATTTTGGTAACAACGGACCCAACAACAACTTTGGCAACAACAACGGTCCCAACAACTTCAACAGTGGACCCAACAACTTCAACAACAACTTCAACAACAACAACAACAGCGGGCCCAACAACAACTTCAATAACAACATCAGACCCAACAACTTCAACAGCAACAACAGCAACAACGGCATCAACAGCAACATGCCATCAGGGCCTTCATCCGGGAACGGGCCAGTGACACCTCTGTTGCAGTACAACTACAATCTTGGAGGCAGCTTCCCTTAAAACAGAGCATGCGTTTTTTTTATGCAAAAGACCCACAATAATAACATCCATAGCACAATAAGCACACCTAAAAAAAAATAAAAAAATAAAAAAAAAGATATAGAAATGAAAAAGTCAACGGTATGAGGTGCTTAAAAGTAAAAAATGAACAGTTTGATTTTTTCTATCCTGGTTTTCTTTAATGTAGAGGCAGAGTATCAAGAAGGTAGGCAGACTGAAGTCATTCTTGTTTTTATGTATGTCAGCGTGAGAGTGTGTGTGAGAGAGAGAAAAGGGCTTAGAAGAGGGTGACATAGCCGAACTTGTCGTTGTATCCCTTGGTGTCCCACTTGCTCTTGGCCAACTGGGCATCGACCTTCTCAGCGAGCTCGGGGCGAGACTTGAGGACATCATCGACCTATTTTTTTTTTTGTAGAAGGGTAAAGAGGTGTTCGATGTTTGGGGGTTAGGCAAATGTCGTGGTCGAAAAATCGGACCACCAATCCGGTTTTTGTCCATGTCTAACGCGTTCCCATAGTTATCATGGTAGGATTTGATAATTGGGGCGAGCATTGGCAATTGGTGACCCGCAACAGAATGCTGCTGATTTGTGCCAGAATCGCGAGAAAGCAAGAAAAAAGGCAACCAAATGATAACGAGATAGAAAAAAGAAACGTACGGTGAGCTCATCGATGGGGCGGGAGGTCTCAATGTTCTTCAAGGTGGCCTGGAGATCAGCGAGCTCAGACTCGACCTTGGTGGCAGTGAACTTGGCGCGGTCAAGCTGTGTGATATTCATATCAGATGAAAGAGGAAAAAATGAGGTCAATTAAACGGCTAAATTTCGTGATGAAGTGATACTTTTCATTAGGGGCGTGTTGTCGTTTTCTCAGAGATCCTGAAAGTTGATGTAAGTTGATGCTGGACTCTTTGTCGAAAAAAAAAATAGTAGATCCATCCATTCAGTGGATTTCCTATGATCTGAAATCCTGTTCCTGAGTCACGTCGTCTTGCGTGTTTTTATCCGGGTCGTGATTGATGGAATGGAGCTGCAAAAAAAAACTACGATCGCGGCGCGTCCGTTTTTCTTATGTCGTGTAAAAAAGTGTTGTTCCTTTGCTTTCAGGTATCAGGGCATCACCGCAAAGTCAATTGAACTGTTGCTGTGTCTCCCGATATTTTGCTGCTGTTCGTTGTGCGGTAGATGTCGTTGTACGGGGAGTGGTGTTGAAGGATGGAAGTAGATGGAAAGAAAAACGGGTGGAAGTAAACGTACAGCCTTGGCCTCAACAGTCTCAATAGACTTGATCTGAGCCGAAACATCGTAGGTGGTAGGCTTGAAGGCCTTGTGAGCCTTCTCGACCTCATCAACAATGGCCTGGTTCTTGAGGACCTTGCGGTAATGAGCAAAGTCGACGGCGGTCTTCTGCTCCTTGAGATCAGACAAAACACGACGGGCCTCCTCGTTGCGCTTGCGGAAAGCGCCCAAGGCAGCAACGGTCTCGGTCTTGAGACCCAAAGAGGTCGAGAGCTTGGTCCAGTCGATGTGGGTGGCGGCGGCCTTGACAGACATGATGGTTTATGAAGGTGGAGTGGAGGGGGAGGAGGATGGGTGTGAATGCGATGATGGAGCAGTGAGTATTTCGCTGCAGGACCCAGTCGGGTGCAACACTCCAATCGCCTGCACTGCGTTCCGACCGCATTTTTGTGACGTAGAATAAGCCACAAGCCACATGTCAAATGTTGCCACCAACTCGACCATTCGCTGTCCAGGAACAAGTGAGGGTGATCTGTCAAGCATAGAAAAGAAGGACATAGACATATATGGATGGGTTTGTTTTATCAAAGAGAAAGGTGTCTAAAGTAAAAGTAATTGTACAAGGTGGAGAGAAAAATGATGATACTGGATATCGGACAGCTGGCTTCCCGTCCTGTTTCCTGCTGGGGCAGCAAATGTTCTGTTCAATTGGTTCCTGTTTTGTTATTGGTGAGAGTCCATTTGATGAGCGTGCTGGGTTCCGTGCAGTGCGAACGTAAAGAAGTGATCCAAGAAATTATGAAGCCAACTTCTCAGGGACAACAGCCTCGACCTTGTTGAAGTAGTCCTTGGCAGTGAAGGCTCCAGTGGTCTTCTGGGTCGAGCGAGAGACATATGGCAACAGCTATAGAATATGGAGTGAATTGAGGAGAAGTTAATTGATTGTTCCAGTGTGAGCTCTCTCCATTCCTGTAGAAACTTGATAGTCTGGTGATTGTTTGGTTGTGACTAGGTGGGTCGTTGTTCTCTTGAAAGTAATGGATCGGTACCTTGAAGTCGGTCAAGTCAGGGACGACAAATGCGCGGACTTTCTCCCATTCGATGAAGTAGCCTCCACGCTTGGTGTGACGACCCATAGCACCACTTCCGGTACCTAATGATAAGCGCAACGATATAGCAAGCAACATAGAGTGACCGAGTAAGTGATACGTTGCAAGTATGGAGTTCAAACGTGCGGTGATTCCGGTCACTTGTACATCCAAATGAGAGAGGTGATGTTGGTAGGCTCCTTATGTACCCTTGTAGTGGTTGCGTCCGCGCTTGGAGGTGAGCTGCTGGCGAGAGGCGCCACGCATGATTGCCTTTGTGATTCCGAACATGGTCGTCTGTGTGAATGTGAGTGTGGTTGATTGAAAGTTGATCTCTCAGTCGTTTATGCCTCTCTCTCACACCTCCGAGAGGGTTCGAACATTTTGTTGTTTGAGAGACAGGAGGAGAACAAGAAGCAGTCTCGGTCACATGACAAACACAACTTTTTGTTTACATTTTTTTCTTTTTTTTTCTAAGCTTTGAAGCTACTCTTGTTGTCTTGTAGGCTTTGCTTCTTCCCCATTCAACAGACAGAATCCCCCCCCCCTTTTTTTATTCTTCCCCATCATGGCTTTCAAACCTGGCAAAAAGGGTGGAAACCACAACAACAATAACAAGGGCAACAACAACTATGGCAACAAGGGAGGCAAAGATATCAAAACCCACAGCAACAACGACACTGAAGGTTTGAGTGAGGTCAAGAAGGCCTTCGCCTCGGTCGTCAAGGGTCCCTCAGCCAACGGCAGCATCCCCAAGAACATGCTCGGCTCCGTCAAAGCCAAGCCCGAAAAGGTGAAATTGACCTTCAAGCCATCGCCACAATGGTACAACAACACCCTCCCCGAACTCGAGGACGACGGCAAGGATCACCACAGGCTCGAGACCACTCTCGCCCAAAAGACCACCCAGGCCACCCGACTTCTGGAGGAGGAAAACACCAAATACGACGAGAACCCTAGCTTGTCGTCATCTGACAAGAACTTTGTCTCGACCATCATGGCCTCGGGTACCCTGAACGATCGTGTCTCGGCTTTGACCTTGTTGGTTCAGGAGTCCCCACTTCACACCACCAAGAGTTTGGACAAGCTGATGGCTATGGCCGAGAAGAAGAGCAGGACCGAGGCCGTCAAGAGTATCGAGAGTTTGAAGGATCTTTTCATCGGTGGTATGCTCCCAAACCGCAAACTCAAGTAAGTTTTGCTAGAACCGTGGATCGCAAAAAGCAATTGGTGTTTTCAATCCACTCGACAGTGAGAACTAACGCGATTTTTTATGGATGGTTCCTAAAACCATAGGTACTTCCAGGATCGCCCATTGACCCACCCCGACGCCACCAACGAGCATTTGATCTTGTGGATCTTCGAGGACTACTTGAAGAAGACCTTCTGGAAGTTCGTGCAGCTGCTCAAAATCCTCTCTGACGATCCTGTCGTCCACGTCCGTCACCGCATGCTCGGTTTTATTGCCGAGTTGATGAGCTCCAAGCCCGAACAGGAGAACACCCTCTTGGAGATGCTTGTCAACAAGATGGTAAGGCTCTCGTGATTGTTCAGTGAGGACTATTCCTCGATTCAACTGAGATCATGAACACAACTAACAACCATAGTTTCGCCTTGTTACAAACGAAATAGGGAGATAACGAGAACAAGGTGTCAGCAAAGTCATCGTACGAGATTCAGCAGTTATTGAGGGCACATCCAGGAATGACCATGATTGTGGTTCGTGAGATCGAACGTTTGTTGATGCGTCCCCGCATCTCTGAGCGCGCCCAGTACTACGCCGTCATCACCCTCAATCAGACCATTCTCAGCGCCCGCCAGGTCGATGTTGCCAACAAGTTGATCGACCTCTACTTCATTTTCTTCAAGCGCATGTTGGGCGATCAGGAGTCACAGGTTAAAAAGACCAAGAGCTTCTTGAAGGAGAACAGGAACAAGGTCGACAAGAAGCGCAAGAAGGATGCTGGCAAGACCAAGGGAGTTCAGAGGACGGCCGGCGAAGTTCTGGACCTTCAGGATTCCGAGCACTCCAAAATGATTGCTGCCGTTCTTACTGGAGTCAACCGTGCCTTCCCCTTCGCCAAAGTCGACGACCAGGTCTTTGCCGCCCACATGGACATTATTTTCCGCATTACCCACACTGGAACCTTCAACACCTCGATCCAGGCCCTGCGCTTGATTTTCCGCGTCTCGACCATCCAAAAGAACACATCGGACCGATTCTACAGGACATTGTACGAGTCGCTTTTCGACCCTCGCTTGATTCTCACCTCCAAGCAGTCGATCTACCTCAACCTCATCTACGACGCTATGCTGGCCGATCAGTCCCTCCCCAGAATCAAGGCGTTCGTCAAGCGTCTCGTCCAGGCGTGCGCACACCACCAACCTCCATTTATCTGCGGAGCCTTCTACTTGGTCTCCAAGCTGATGACCTCCAAGACCGGACTGTCCGACATGGTCAGCCAGCCCGAGGACAATGAGGAGGAGGAGAGCTTCAAGGACGCGCCCGAGGATGACGAGAATGAGGACAAGGAGGAGAAGAAGGATGAGAAGAAGGATGAGAAGAAGGAGGATGCCAAGAAGCCCGAGGGAGCCTTGAAGTATGATGGCAGGAAGCGTGAGCCCCTTTACAGCAATGCCGACAAGACATGTCTCTGGGAAATGGTAAGGGATCACATCTCGCGCGCGCGCGTGTGTGTGTGTGTGTGTGTGTGTGTGTTTTTGAGGTAACAATCATTCCCCTCGCTGTTCAATTATCTAATACGTTTTGGCACCCTTTTGGCAATTTTCATTCTAGGCCCCATTCTTGTCTCATTTCCATCCTACAGTGTCCCTGTACGCTGCGCATATTCTGTCAAATCAACCTATTGAAGGCAAGCCCGAGTTCTTCCAGCACGCCTTGATCCACTTCCTCAACCGTATGGTCTACAAGAACCCCAAGAAGCAGCGCGATGATGTCAACACTGCCTTGGGTACCAAGGGTTCGTCTATCATGCAGCCTATGGCCGCTCACCGGGGCACCAGCATCATGCTTAAGAAGTCCGGAGGAAATGATGTCAATGTCAACACCGAGGCCTTCTGGCAAAAGAAGATCGAGGACGTCCCAGTCGACCAGGCCTTCTTCCACAAGTACTTTACCCAGAAGAAGATCCTTAAGCCCGTCGCTGGCAAGAAGGGTGCCAAGTCTGCAGGATCGGACGACGACGAGAACGACTTTGGTGGTGCCAAGAAGCGGGGAGTTGATGCAGATGATGATGGCGAGGATGGTTCGGATCTGGATGAGGACGAAGTCTGGAACGCAATGATGGGTGATATGCCCAAGGATGCCTTGGAGGATGTTGACGACGATGATGAGGATCTGAGCGACGGCGAGTTGGAGGAACTTATGTTGAGCGATCTCGAGGATGAGGAAGGTGCTGGTGACGATGAGGATGAGGATGATGAGGATGAGGATGAGATTGACAAGGAGTCATTTGGCAAGGATGAGTCTAACTGGAAGGACGATGACGGCGATGATGAGGAAGCTAATATGTTTATGGACGAGATGGACGATATGGTTGCCAGTGACGAAGAGGCAGCAGCCGAGGAATCGGATCAGGAAGAAAAGGGTAAGCGTCTCTTGGTGGCTATCTGTGTATCTGTATCAATGTCAATGTATATGGGTGTACGATCCACCGGTGTGGTTGGACCCAGATCGTTTAGCCCTCCCCAGTCTCAGTTTTTGGTGGCGGCACTTCTATGTTTGTACAACTGTGAGCATGTATTAAGACTTTGTTATCTTACTTGTGAAAATAGGACGCGACAAGAAGCGCAGAAAGAAGGTTGCTCTGCCCATGTTCGCCTCGATGGAGGACTATGCCCACCTTATCGACCAGGAGGACAGCGAGTAGAAACACGTTGTTCATATTTTCTTATTATCATCTCCACCACTACACCACCGTAACATTACCATTCACCTCCCACCCCATTTTTTGCTTACATATACACACTTTTCAATACATTACAACCCACTTTGCATGTTTTTTCATTCTTTATCCATTCTCTGTCCCGGTCAATTGGTTGCAGGTCAGTCTTCTGTTGTTGTAACTTGTTTCGTTTAACCTTTTTTCTTTTAGTTTGTTTGGGTTGAGGTCTCTGAATGGAGTGAAAATGTCTCTTAATTGAGTTTCAGTTGGTTACCAAGGAAAAAGGAAAAAGGTTGATGCCGTCAGGTGCAATCAATCATTCGCTCATCCCCATGGTCTCTCCCCGTGTACCGATCGATCGCCGTGGGTGATAAGATCTCACGGCTCAGTCTGACGCGACCGCCCAGCTCCTGTTTCTCTCTCTTTTTTTTTTAAATCATCTCCTCTCCTCTTTTCTCCTTTTCCATTCCTTCGTTCTTTCCAACCACCGTCTTCCACGTTCTTCTCATTCCAACACGCACTGTGGTTACATAACGTTATCCGCCGTCATATCCAGCTAACAAACAAAATTTACAACGAACGAACATACACGCAAGCCTTCATCCCCTCCTCCTACATCCTCCTTAACTAACATCAACACCAACATCGTCAACAACGGCTCTACGTCAACAGCCACCATCCCACCCACCTAACGCAAACCAATCGGCATGGCAAAGAAAAAGGTGATCAGCAATGAGCCCGAAACACCCTTCCACACCTTCACAGTCGACCAGACTGCCGAACACTACTCCACCAACACCCTCGAGGGTCTGACCTCCCAAGAGGCCGCCGACCGACTCAAAATCTATGGTGTCAACGAACTCCAGGGTAACGGGGGTGTCAAGTGGTACAAGGTCCTCTGGCGCCAGATCGCCAATACCCTTGTCGTTATTCTCATTATTGCTACCGTAAGTTTTTTTTTTTGTTGTTTGTTGATTTTGGTTGTGTGTGGAGAAGGATGTGAGCTGTGCGTGCATGCATGAATTGTTTGTGTCGCGAGGGTTGTTCCCCTCCGTTCAACAAACCCTAAACAATTAGCCGATTGGCCTGTGCATGACGAACAACATGAACAACACCAAAGAGCTACACACATCTGAACCCCTCTCTTCTTCCTCTCCCTCTTGCCTACTTTCACTCTTCTCCATTCCTTTCCCATACCCAAAATCGAACCTATTGACGCGATGGGAAAACACCTAAAAAACAATAGATCCTGTCGTTCGCAACCCAGGACTTTGCAGAAGGAGGCGTGATCCTGTTCATCGTCATCATGAACGCCGGTATCGGGTTCTGGCAAGAATATAACGCCGAACAGACTATGGAAGCCCTCCGCAACATGTCCTCCCCAACCGCCAAGGTCATCCGCGACGAGACCCGCGCCACAATTCCCAACAACCAGGCCGTCCCCGGAGATATCATGATCTTTGAGGACGGAGATGTCATTGGTGCTGACTGTCGGCTCTTTGAAATCTTCAATCTTGAGACGGATGAGGCGCTCTTGACAGGTGAGTCTTTGCCGGTCCAGAAGAACTTGGATCAGATCGAGCATGCGGATCAATCGTTGGGGGACCGGTTGAATATGGTCTTTGCATCGACCACTGTCGTCAAGGGTCGTGCCAAGGGAATCGTGACGGCCACAGGGATGAAGACCCAGATCGGCAAGATAGCGACCACCTTGATGGAGGTCGATACCAACGAGGCGACTCCGCTCCAGAAGCAATTGAACAAGATGGCCTATTTCATCTTCATGGCTGCGATTATCCTGGTGATCATTGTGTTTGGTGTGCACAATTTCAAGTACTCGAACGAGGTGGCGATATATGCAATCTCGGTGGCGATCGCTATGATCCCTGAGGGGTTGGTGGCTGTTGTTACGTTGACGATGGCGTTTGGTGTCCGAAGGATGGCGGAAGTGAAGGCTATTGTTCGTCGCTTGTCGTCGCTTGAGAGTTTGGGCGCCGTTACCAACATTTGTTCAGACAAGGTATGCCTCTTTGTTTTTTTTTGGCTATCGAAAAATGATTAGTTGCTGCACAAAGAAATGGATGGAATGGCTCTCACATCATGTGCGAGGCGCTCTAATATTTTCTTTCTCTTTGCGAATGTCAAATCCAAATAGACGGGAACGCTGACACAGTCAAAGATGGTGGCTGTTCGCATGTGGCTGCCCAGCGACGGGTTCTACCGCATCACCGGTACCGGCTTCGTCCCCGAGGGAGACGTCTTCCGTCAGGGTGAGATCGACGGCCATCAATTCTTGTTGCAGGAGGAACAGATCCCCACCGGTTGCGGAAGCGACCACTACCTCCGCGCCCTCGAGGCGGCCTCGCTCTGTAACATGGCCGAACTCCGTCGTACCGCCCACCCCGATACCAACGGTGAATGGTCTGCGATCGGAGACCCTACCGAGATTGCCCTCCAGGTCCTCGCTTACAAAGCTGGTCTTGCCAAGCCCGATCTGATAGACCAAGGGTTCAAGCTGATTGCCGAGTTCCCCTTTGATTCCTCCGTCAAGCGCATGTCTGTCCTTTACCAGGGACCCGGTACTGAGGAAGGACCCGGTGACTACTTTATCTTCTTGAAGGGAGCCACTGAGCGTGTTATTGGATGCTGTACTTACTGGCGTGATGGCGATATTGAGCGCAGTTTAATTGGAGAGAGGGGGGCTGAGGGCAGTGTGAGTGGAGAGAAGGGGACTGAGCGCGGGTCGTTTGAGGAAATGATGACGGAGAAGATGGATATCCTGGCCGAAAAGGGTCTCCGTGTCTTGACCCTTGCCTACCGTCGATTCGAACCCCCACCTGGCATCGATCTGGTCCATGGATTGGACCGTGCCACTATTGAGGTCGATATGGTCTTTTTGGGTCTGGTTGGTATATATGACCCACCTCGTGCCGAGTCCCGCCCTGCCGTTCTCAAGTGTTACGATGCCGGTATCCGTGTCCACATGTTGACCGGAGACCATCCCTCGACTGCTGCTGCGATTGCCAAAGAGGTCGCCATTATCCCTGAGGACTGTGAGGTCAAGGACAACCCGCTGATCATGACCGCAGGACAGTTTGATGCCATGTCGGACGAGGAGGTCGATAGTCTTGTCGAGTTGCCACGTGTCGTCGCCCGCTGCTCACCCAACACCAAGGTCAAGATGATTGCAGCCCTCCATCGCCGAAACTTGTTTGCGTCCATGACCGGAGACGGTGTGAACGATTCACCTTCGCTCAAGGCGGCCAACGTTGGTATTGCGATGGGTCAGTCTGGTTCGGATGTCGCCAAGCAGGCTGCCGATATTGTGTTGACGGATGACAACTTTGCGACGATTGTCCAGGCCGTGGCTGAGGGTCGTCGCATTTTTGCCAACATCCAAAAATTTGTCCAGCACTTGATGTCTTGCAACGTTGCCGAGATCGTAGTCCTGATTGTCGGTCTGGCCTTCAAGGACGATGACCATAACGCCGTCTTCCCCATGAGTGCTGTCGAGATCCTGTTCTTGAACCTGATCACATCCTCCCCACCCGCCATGGGTTTGGGAGTCGAACCTGCCAGTGAGACCAATATGCACGAACCCCCTCGGTCGGCCAAGCAAGGATTGTTCTCGTTCGAGGTCATCATGGACACGCTAGTCTATGGTATCGTCATGGGTGGGCTGTCGTTCGCCAACTTTTTGATCACCCTCTTTGTCTTCCACAAGGGCCGCATGGGCCACGACTGTAACCGCGAATACTCCGATTCCTGTTACGGTGTCTTCCGCGCCCGTACGACCACCTACGCCTCCCTTACATTCCTGATCCTCGCCCATGCGATCAACTCTCGTGCCATTCGAGAGTCTACCTGGACGCCCAAGAGCCTGGCGACGTTGAAGTACAACAAGATGCTTTGGATCAGTATAGTAGTCGGTGTGATCCTGGTCTTCCCGGTCATTTATATCCCGGGTCTGAACCATAATGTCTTCAAGCATTCGGGTATCAGTTACGAGTGGGGGCTTGTTATTGCGGCATTGGTGATCTTTATCGCGTTTGCGGAGACGTACAAGTTTGTGAAGCGTAGGACGATGAAGCCTTTGGCGGTGGCTTCGAATGCTGATGCCGAGTTGGAGAGGATGAGGACGTATATGTCCCAGACTGACAGTATGGATGTCTCCAAGCAGTAGTAGTTCTTAGTTTATATTCACATTGCAATATCATAATAATAACGTTTCTTCTTTCTGTTCACGACAACAAACGATGATATTTGTGATGCAAACACGCAAAGAGCTCTGTTTTTTTTTATTCATGTTTAGAAAAAAATTGTTGCTTTGTGGTACAAGAAAATAGACAAATTATGAAAAAAAAAAGACGTGTGGGGTAAAAAGGGAAAGGAAAGGGCGACCCATCAACTATATTGCACGTTGTCGTACATGTAAGGGTCCAACTTCCTATCAATATCCTCATCCTCATCCGTCGCCACTGCTGCCATATCATCATCATCATCCTCTAGAATCTTGTTCTTCTTGCCAGTATTGGAAGTCGTGATGGGGTCATGGAGTCCACGCTGATAGAATTGTGACTTTTGGAGCTGCTGTTGGACAACGTTGTCCTTTGTCGCCATACTCTGCTCATCGTGCAGGTTGTCGTTGTTGTTGTGATTGGGAATGTTTGTTCCGCGATGAGCTTTGGCGTGGTGAGAAGAGTCGTTAGAGGAGGAGGTGGTGGTGTTGCTGTTGAGGCGAACATGTTCGTTGCCGGTTTGGGTACTGTGGCTGACTGTTGAGGCGGGGTGGGAGGATGACAAGGAGCCGAAGGAGTTGCGGGCGATTTTTGAGCCTTGGTGGATCCCTTCTGAGGATTTTGAGTAACGATCCATGGTTTCGTAGTTTTTGGGGTTTATCCGGTGTGGAGGGGAAGGGGAAGGTGTTTGGGTGTTTGGGTGTTTGGGAATGGGGGTGTGGAAAAAATAAAAGAAAGAGAGAAAGAAAAGGGCAAAAAAAAAACGAGGGTTGGAAGGGTCATATGACAGGAGGTGGGGGAAGGACGAGAACGACAGGGTCAGAAAGAAGAAAAAATGTCCGAGCGTTTTCGGATTTGATATTCTGGCATGGATAAACTGAGACAAATCATGCAAGAGAAAAAGGCGTGTCCTCCTTCCCCCACGGCCCCGGGAGGGAGAGAGGGGACAGCCAGGATGGTGACTAAAGGGGTCGCGTTATTGCTGTTAGTATTATTATTGTTACAACTGTTCTCCTATGCTTTATTGGATTCGAAGGCGGCTATTGTTCCAAAGGACTCCTTTTGAGCTTGATCCTTTTCTTTTGTAATCTACTATCTTGGCGCGAAAAAGATCAAGCTCACAAAAGTGACGGCCCTTTCGCGTGTCTTTTTTTATTTTCGTCCCATCTCTCATCCTTGGATGAACAAGTTGCAATGACTTCGAGGCTGCTACTCTGAAGGCGCAGGGACGAACATTGGGCTTTGCTGCTGGCCGCACTTGAGAGGGCAGACTACAGCAACATGGCCAAGGAACAGAGGAGCTACGGCCAGATCGATCGATTGTAATACGATGTCTTGAAAAGTCGCCATTCTCGTGTTTTTTTGCAACGTACATTCTATTGTGTGGGAGTTGGAGAGTGAGGAAAAAATGACGTCAAAGTGAGAGCAACAAACCACCTTTTATTTCGTGTGAGAAACTCCACTTTTGCAACTCCTTCTTCACACACTCTTTCACGATCAGTTTCGCGACAGACAACGACACATACACAATGTACCCTCCAACATCAACAACACATACACCATGAACCCTCCGACATCAAAAGCACAGTTGACAGAACTGGAACGAGCCTCGCCGCTCGACACTCCCGAGTTGCTCGACAGGATTCTCTCCTTCCTCGACCCTTACACCCTTGCTTCCAGTGCTCGCCTTGTCTGTCGCCGATGGTCCGTCGCTGGCCGCCGATATCTCAAACCCGTAGAGTACTCCTGGCCCGAATTCTTTGACGAAATCGAAGAGTTTGAGCAGGTGCTGGACATGGTTCCATGGATGGCACGTTTGCGATGGATCGCAAGCGAGCAGAGGTCACCAGCCATACTCGCCTCTCGCAAGACAGAATGGGCCATGCTGCTGAACGCGCTGGAGAAGGCTGCCGGGAACCCAACGCTCACCGACAGGAAATACAGTCGGACACTGCGACAAGAGTACCACATGCTCCGAGACCTTTTACCCACAAGTGCTTTCGACTGGTCGGCACTCCCGGAGCATCCCCTTCTTGCAGGACCATGGGCGAGGCTTCGGGTGTTTGAAGTCTACGGAAATGTCAAGAGCGAGTGGGTAATGTTAGTTCTGCCGCTGATGCCATCTCTGACCAAGCTGAAGCTGAGGACAATTAATGGGTTTAGTGGCGATCATATCCAAATCGAGCGCATTATGCGGGATTGCAAGCAATTAGAGTACCTTCACATCTCAAGAGTCGACGGGAGGGAGCGACTTCCAGGACCCTGGGTTCCCGTGGTGCCATCTTCGACTGCCGAGAAGGGATTTAGCTTCTCGTCTGTGTCACTCAATTCTCTGGTTCTGGAAAGGGTGGTCTTCAAGCAAGTTGTTTTCGAGACCTTCCTGGAACATGCGCCATCCCTTAAGGAACTCAGGATCTTTGACGCCTCGATTGAAATCATCTTCGATTCCATTGGTCTTGCAAAACTCCTCAGGCGCCTGTCCTTGCCGCTGGAATCTTTTCACATTTCCACCGCCGACCGAACTCGCGACAGGGAACTCATGCCAGACCTCTATCGCAACTCTCAAAGTCGAACGCTTTGGTCGAGCGACTTTACCATCTACAATCTCCGGATGAACGACCATGTGCACAACAACCTCAGCACATTGGAACTTGTGCCCAAGTACGGATACGCTGAGTACGACAACCCATACTCGGCACTTCACAACTTCCTTTGCTCCTCGCCACATTTGCTCCACCTCAAGGCGCCGGAGACATGCTATCCGATCGCCCACATGGATCTCCACGGACGACTCACCAAGCTGCTTGCGCAACCAAGAATGAAGCGCCCATGCAAGGCTTACCCTAAAAATGTTTCCTTCCCCCCTGGGATCTGGCAGTGTCGGAACCTCAAGACTCTCCACATCAGGATATTCTCCCCGGATAGATGGAATGAGGTGGCGTCGGAGCCCGTTTCGGAATTTGCTAGAGTCGCATTCGGATACATCGCCCGCGTCTGCCCCTTTTTACGCGACATCGCCCTGGGTAATGGTCCCTATCGTCCAAACACAGCCCAAGGTCAGCGAGCGATTCAGCCCCCACTCGACCTTCGCCTGCAAGGAGGGTTCTGTCTGCTGAGCCGACTCAAGCACCTGGAGCGGATCGAGATTGGTCAGTTCACGGAGCGGGCGGTTTTGTCCCCACAGAACTTTGAGTGGATGCAAGAGTCTGGACGGACGGAGGGTAAGAAGGTTGAGAGGCGGAAGTTGTTGGAGAGGACGTGGAAGAGTTTGCGGCTGATGAGCCATGTCCGCAAGAGTGTTGCTGCTGCTGCCGATGTGTATGACAAGACTGGTCCTGGAGCGCACTTTGACTGGACGGCGGTTGATCCAGGCTTGAAGGAGGAGCTGAGGTACTTGGGATGGGCTGTTGATGTGCAGAACTTTTTTGACGAGTTGGACAAGCCGGCGGTCAAGAATGGTGGCGGAAGTGGTAGTGGAGGAGAAGGTGGAGTCGAATGTTTCCCGGCTCTTCGCTACTCTTGCATTTGCGCCCCCAGTGGATTTTATTTGCCACCCGAGCAGGATTACAAGCGATTTAACGTTCTTCCTCAGGAGAACAAAAACACAATGTAAATGGAATATTAGCTAGGTTGAATAGCAAATATATCGAAACAATTGTCGTGGACTTGTCTCGTTAGTTGACTTTGCGAACAGGTTCGTTATCTTATTTGTTCCTGACTGATAGAGCCATTCGTCTCTCTTTAATTGATATTTTTCACGTTGGGAACTACAAGATACACTCGATTGCAGCGACCAACTCCATCGAACAACAGCCACAACAAAAACTACAAAGCTGCAGACATACCATCCAAGCTGCAAACATGTACATCGCCAAACATCCCTCAAGACAGGTCTCCACATCCACATGCCGTAACAGTCGCGTGTAAGCTGGAGTAATTTGACTTTCCTTGTCCAATGCAACTAGCTCTTGCGATCGCCACTGCAAAGGCCGATTTAAGTGGTGGGTAATCCATGTAATAGGCCGAGTACAGGACCATCAACAGGTTCTGTCGGAGCGCATGTTGGAGACCTTTGAACCTGCCAAATGCCAGGCAGAGACGCGTCCTCGTCCCACATTACTGGTTGCTGTAGCCACATTCCTGTTCGCAGTAGCCCTTCATCCAGAGGTACTTAAGCGCAGGTTTGAGTTTTGGTTTGTTAAAACAGTGCTTGGACAAAACTGCAACATACCCTGACTATTTACAAGTAAAATAGAAATTGACAGAATATATATTAGGGTCGCGAAGCATTCAAAGGACGCGCGGAACGGATCTAATCCAGGGTGCACGATCTTTGGGCGCCATCCGGATGCTGCAGTTTTACTCAGTCGGATGCACGTTGCGTTTTTTTTTGCTATCTCTTTTTCTCGGTATGTCCTTCTATGACGACTTCCTCGCTGAAATGAGTCTTTTGCTAATAATAACAGACACAACAGGCAAATATGCTAATTCAATGCCGCGATTTTTTTCTATTGATCAGAGACTGAAAGTCCAGCGAGAGCTTCAAACCGACGTCTCAAAGCCCTCCTTCCAGCTAAACGCTTGTATCGATGACAACCCGTTATTTCGCATATTAAAAAAAGGCAAAGCTTCATACTACTAATTTTAACTACTCGTATTATACTTCTCTCTTTGCTACGTAATAGGAACCGCATGGCAAATCCTAAATGTGTTGTTTCGTGGCGGGGCTACTACCTTCCGTCGTGGACAATATGATAACTCTATGACAAAGCTAGTGAACGAGAAAAAGGAGTTTGGCGACATTGTGTGACAACCCTGGCACTCACAAGATTCGGATTTGCCCTCGAAACAGGAACCGCGCTAGCCGAACTTTAATCCGACGGCGATGGTGGCTTTTAGCCACTGCAAACTGACTGGATCTTTTGTCCAGAGCGGCTAAGGAGAAGAAGGGCAGCGGCAACATAGAGTGTGCCGGAACGTCTATGATCCCTCCACCAAGTCTACAACGCCAGATCTTCCCTTCCTCAACGACATGTTCACCAGCCCCGACTATACCCAATGGCTGACCAACATCATGGCTGATCGACTCGAAAAAGAAGGGCGGTCCTGGCAGACTCGATCCGTCTACCCAGATAACCTGATGCCTGCGATCCGGATGGCGATTGTGCTGGTCTATCCATGCCGCATCATCTTGCAGGACTCAACGGTTTTGATTGCGTTTGAGGAGTGCGGTGGAGGGTGTCGATTGACAGAAGTGTATTTTGCGGATAATGCAGTTTCCTCGCCTGTGGGGTTCTAGTATTTAGCGGCTGATGTTCGGACTGCTGTTCGGGGCTGCCGTCAAGCTTGGCAAGGCTAGAGTCGCTGCCAAAGTTGTACGGACATCTGTGTTGGCTTCGAGAGAGGTTTCTGTGTCGTTGACGTTGGAAGAGACATTTTGTTCGTTGATACAAGTCAGCTCCTCGGAAGGGGACTCTGCGCCTGCGCGGGATGATCATCACCGGCGACATCAGCTACTTGGCGATACAGCTGAGGCGACTTCTTCAGCACCTCTCCCGTCAATAGTCTCCACCGACGATGAATCAACAGCTTTCTGCAAAGAATCTCAGGAACTATCTCCAGACCCATTCCAGCAACAGTCATTACCTGAACCGTTGCAAGAGCCATTGCCCAAGCCCTCGCCGCAGGCACTGTCGGAGCCACGACAAGAGCCATTACAGGAATCAACGCAAGAACCCGAAGAGGAGCGATTTCAGGACTAATCACGCGATGCATCCTGTCAAGGTTCGGTGATACCGCCATCACCCCATCCAAATGTCACGCGTCAAGAAGGCCGCTGCTCGGCGCCAGACTGTTGATGGTATCAAGACGGCGATAGTTTACTTGAACCAGCGAGCTCGCTCAGAGTCGAATGCGATGGTAGAGAGTTTTCTGCGTCAAAAAGGTCGAGTCCAAGGCTTCGAAAGCATACGGTTGGTCGTCTTGCAACTTTCAACGGCTACGAAGAATCGAGGTTCGTGTCACGAGTTGAACTGTGACATCATGTCTAGTGTGTGGTCTGTGTGCGATTCCAAGGAGAAAGAATTTCATTTTAGAGTTTGAGGCTGCAGCTGCGGTATGGAATTTTTCTTTATGGACGTCTTATTTTTCAAGGTCCATTTCTCCAAGTGGCGCCGTTCCGGTGGTAGCAACGGGTTCTTTGTCAACAACGGGTCCATTGGACCCATTGGCAAGTGCGTACTATTATCCGTCTTTCGTATAAAATGGGTCCATCATCACTCAACAGCTCCATCAAGCCAATTGAAGCACTCCTCAGGACAATCATACCACATCCACCTTGTCAAGCCAAACTAAGCACTCAAGACAACAACAATGACTTCTACTACCGTCTTTGTCACCTCTGCCGAGTGGGACGCCCAGGTCAACGCCACCGAGTCCATCCGTCGTGAGTCGTCTCGTACCCCTGAATCCTCCGACAAGACCTTCTCTTCTACTTCCGGGTCCGAGGCACAACAGCAACAAGAGGCCGAGTCCCAGTCGAATGATGCTGAGTACGATATTAACCAAGACCGCCAGTTCCAAAAGTTCATGCGTCGTTTTGGTGGCAAGCGCAAGTCGCGCTAATAAATGATAACTCGTTTTACTTTGCCACCTACCCTCGTCCTCCCTTGACCTGAATATATTTTTTCCACAGGAGAGAGAAGAAAGAAAGAAAGAAAGAAAGAAAAAGAAAATCTTTAGTTAAGGGTTGCCAATAGACGCACATGCGATTTCTGCGGAGCAGAATACGGCGCTCCTCTCTCTGTTTTCTCTTCCATTCTCTTTCTCTTTTTCTCCTTCCCCTTGCTTTCTTCCTTCCTGCCACCGCCCATAAACCACAAACCAACAAAAACGCAACCACCCTTTCGGCATCAACCTCCCGAATCTCATTGGTTGTCGCCCTCCTCCCTCCCTCTCTACTTTCGATCAGTCGTTCTCATTGGTTCTATACATTCAGTAGTAGCAGCAACACTCACACACAAAGACTTGCAATGATGGAGTACCGAGCCTCCTCTTTACGCCTCCTCGCAATGGCGGCACTTGCCTCCAACAGAGACGAAGGAGGCGCACTAGGGTCCCTTGACGAGCACCAGCTTGCCGAGGACTCTCGCGAAACAAATAGCAACCATACCACTGAGCATGGTATGTTTGGAGCTTCCTTCTTTCTCCCTGTCTTCGAGTCACTTTTTTCTCGTGTCCTCCCCCCTGTTAATTTTTTTTGTCCCTTTTCTTTTCTTTTCTTTTCTTTTCTTTCCTTTTTTCTCCTCGCTTTCTCCAGTTACACTCAATACACCATACCTTTCTATCGTTTGCTAGCCAAGAGTGACGATACTAATCAGACTCTTCCCCCCTTCCCCCTCTTCTGATAATCGGGGTGACCTTTATATTAGCTGCGTCGTCGTCCGACACTGTGCATGCGAAACGGAAGGTCCTCCTCCACGACCATCACCCGCGCACACAGCCTCCTGCAAAGCGCCAAACCAGGGCAGCCCTCGCTTCAAACTCGTCATCATCTGCCCAAGCTCCGGCACCAATAGCGCCAGCTCACACGCAGTCGGCAACTGTCGCGGCCTTGCAGGCTTATGCGCTTGCCACAGCGTCGCGATCATATGCCTCACAACCGTCAGCACATACACACATCGCGCCTGCACCGGTACCTGCATCAGCATCCCCACGGGCAGTTGCATCAGTGATTTCGCCACCATCACCACCTATACCAAAAACCATCGCTGCAGCTCAAAAACCACCCGCAGTTTCCACTGCTCCGATGTCAATACCAGCATCACAGCTTACACCTCAACCAACTCCAACATCGTCCACCGCAGTGGTCCCAGCACAGAAACCACCCGCAATCACGGCAAACAAGAGCCAGACGCGCCACCTACAGGAAGAGGAAGAGGACGACGACGAGGATGATGAAGAGGACGATGACGATGAGGTCGATGATAGTCTTCTGGTGCCTTCTGAAAGACATCTTCACAGCTTCATTGGGCATTGGCAGGTGCGTAAAGCAAGCAGGACTATGGCTATTTGTAATTGAACAAAGGATGCAATGTTGACTGTTTATTACCTAGGAAGTAATATTAACAAATTAATCTTGCTGCTTGATTCTAGGGATGGTGCCGCGGGAGACGCTACAAGGACAAGGATTATATCACACCCCAGAAGGTACTGGCTTACGTAAAGTCCATGATCTCCCCGGGCTTCCAGCTAGACCGACTCAATCCTCCACTTCACGTGCCTGCCCTTAACGGCGAGACTGAAAAGTACCTCCCGTCATGGACTACAGTGCACATGAACATCTTGTCGATTCAGGTCCTCTACATGCGACAGTGCGAAAGAGACAAGACAGCCCCCGACGCGAACGTCATTAACCATGCGAAACTCAAGTCGCTGCTCTACGATTATCGCAAAAGGTAAGTTATTTGATGTTGCAATTATTGCAGGCTATTACATTTTTTATATCATTGGCATTGAAGAGCTGACATTGATCTATTTATTTAACAAACCACTAGGTCGGCGCCACACGACCCCACCTCAAAATATATCCTAGATCCGCGTCTGTTCCAGCCTCGAGTGGAAGGCTCCACCGGATACAGTTCCAGTGTGCCCCAGCAACCTGGCAATGACATCGGGACACCACTGTCGCTTTCTCCTCCAATCGATCACAAAAACATTGGTCAGGGCAATGGCAACACCGCATTCGTCAATGGAAACGCCAACAGCAACGGTCACAGTGGCGGCAATAGCACTCTTGGTCACCTCACACACATCCCTAACGCTCATGGACCCTATAACCCACCGGACTCCAGTCCGCAATACTGCATGCACACTGCTCTGGCGACGATGGAGATGGAGATGTTCATGAGCTCTCTCCGCAACGATGTCATGGCGGCGGTCAACCAATCAGTTGAACACAGCAGGGCTTCACAAACGGCGATCGAGGATCTTGGCGGCAGGATGGACAAGATGGAACAATCGGCCCGCAAGTCAATGATGGATATCGCGGACACTGGATTATCAGATATGGAATTGCGAGACTTGGAGCTGTATTACAGGCGCCGCGCAACGCAGCTTCGACAATCGCGACTGGATCGGAAGAAGGGACAAGGCACAACAGGCATGGGCACGAACACGAGCACGCAGAAGAAAACGGATCGGCAGCTGCGAGAAGAGAGGGAAAGACGACAGGAGATGCACCCACACCAGCACTCAAACTCGTACCCATCACACCCAAGAAGAAGCCAGTCGGCCGAGTTTTACCACCCTGATGGGCACTCTGATGGAGACGATGACAATGATGGAGAGGAGGATCAGTTCTACGATATGCTTCCGGAAGATGAGACACCTGCTGGCAACGGCTATGCGTACCACTCGGATGCAGACATGGAAGGAGGTGACGGATACGAGTCTGAAGTGAAGCCCAGCGTTGACAAGTCGACGAGAACCAAACTGGAAAAGACCAAGGTGGACAAGGTGACCATGCTGAATGAGGACGACTACGATCTGTTGCCGAGGAAGAATGCGACCAGGAGAAGCTTTACAGCTGGATCAAAGGTCACGTCAGGCCAGCCGAAATGTGACTTGTTCACGACCAAGGAGCTAAACTTTCTGGCGGACGACATTGCGGGACATTACAACCAGATCGAGGAAAAGAAGACGGAGGAGAGCTTCAAGGAGGCAGAGTTGTTGCCCAGAAACGCGGGTCTGGTACAGCTTTGGAACGAGATGTTTTCGGCAGTGGAGAAGCAGCCGTCGCTGTGGGGGATGAACGTCTATGCCAATGGATGGCATCTGAAATTGGAGATGAAGGTTAAGCAACGGGTGGCGTTAAAGAAGAAGATTATTGCGTCTGTGCTGGCCAAGATTCAGGCGGAAATGGAGTATGCTGCGAGTGCACGGATTCCGGCCTCGAAGACTCCGAGTCTAAAGGAGATGGTCAAGAACGCGCTGATTGCTGTCGAGCTTGAGATTAGGCGGGACGGATCGATCAACGCCTACCACGACCGCATCAAGCGCCGAGGTAACCAAGAATAAAGAAACATGCTTCCCTTTTCGTAGGGTCGCGTTGCTTTTTTTTTTTTTTTCTTTTTCTTCCTCTCCTTGTCCCCTTGAACGTCTTAATTGTGACTTCTAATAATTGATGCATGAGTACGTTATGCATGGTCGCATGATGCGCATCGTTTCTTCTCACTTTCATCTTCCATCCTACAAACATCATCTCTCGTAATGTCAATCCTGAACAACGACAAAAGGGCTCCGCAGCAGCAAGAGCAAGAGCAACAACCTACGCGAGCCATCAGTACCAATCGTCTCCAGAGCCAGGAACAAGACCAAGACGGCTCCAGCAACGTCCAAAGGGCACTAAGGATCCCCGAAATCGTGATCGAGATATGTCACCACCTCACAGTCTCAGACCTGACATCCTGCCTCTTTGTCTGCAAGCTCTGGAACACAGTTGCTCAACACCATCTTTGGCGGTCAGTCTTTATCTACCAAAAGAGTGAAGATTTCCTGGTCTCACTGCAGCCGGGTCAGCGGGAGGCGATTCGACAGAACGCGCAGAGTATCAAGACTTTGGGATTGGTCCAGCATGAGACGGTTTTAGTGGGGTGTGAGACTTGTACGCAGTTGGAGGAGGTTTATTTCTTTGGACTGCTTGATAAGAATCAGGTTTCGGAGAGGGTGTTGATGGCGGCCCACGCGGAGGAGGATGAGGATGTGCAGGAGGTGGTGGCAGTGGTGGAGGGAAGTGAAGAGGAAGAAGCAATTGAGGACCAGATAGATGAGCCGTCAGCATTGGATCTCATTGTTCAGAATCCACGGCTTCAAAAGATCCACCTTTTCGACATTGAGGTCCTGGCACGGTTATGGACTCCGACACGACTGCGACTTCTTCGACAACACCCCAATCTCCGCTCGATCACCATGATGTTCGCCAACTATGTCTATGACCTGTACATTATCCGGAAAATTGTCGCGCATTGTCCGGATACGGTTCAGGAACTCAAGATTACCACATTCGGAGGTGCCATTTTGCAGTCGAGTGCCGGCGAAGAAAGCATGCATGATACGATGGTTAACCAGTGGAGACCGTTGCCGCAGATGCGAGAATTGACGATCGAGATGTGTCTGTACCCATGTGAGGCGACGGTGCTGCTGCCGCTGTTGAGGTGTTGTCCGAATCTTAAGAGATTGCGACTGAGTACGATGTATGTCGGGGATATGGATGCGTTGATGAGCGTCTTGATGCAGGAATCCCTTCGAGGGAGTGTCACACAGCTGGAATTGCCCAACACGCTTCAGGATCCGGAATTTGCGGTCCAGTTCATGGAGGGCTATCGTGGGTTGAGGAGTTTGACGATGAGGGTGTCGGTTGGGTATGAGAGAGTTCTTGCAGGGATGATTCAGCATCTGGGGTCGACATTGGAGCATATCCGGTTGATGGAGAGTACGGTGACTATCAGTTCACAGCAGTATGTGGCGGGGGTTGATTCGATCTTGGAAGGGTGCAGGCGGTTAAAGACGTTGAAGGTGGATGCTTGGAGGAATTATACTCCTGGGACGGGGGTGGCCATGGATCGGCTCTTGGGGTCTACGGAGTGGGCTTGTAAGGAGACGTTGGAAGAGTTGGCGGTCAGGATTGATAATCCGAGGGAGGATTTGGATCATTGGAGTTATGAGCGTGGGGTGATGCTAGTAGGTAGGTTGTTTGAGAGGTTGCAGGGGCTGCCGAAGTTGAGGAAAGTTGAGTTTTTGTGGGGTGGGTTGTGGAAGGCGATTCCGTTGGCGAAGGGACTTGAGGGGATTCGTGCCGCCTCTTTGAGAGGGAGTAAGATGACTCTTGCCGATGTTGAATGGATGGGTCTTCACTGGGAATAAGACGCTGTGATGCACTTGTTCAACTATTTGTTTGTGTAAAATAAAAGGCACTGTTTGCTTCATTTGCAATGCATGGGAGGAGAATATACTTTTATTTATTTATTTATTTGATCTCTTTCCAGTATACGGTCGCCGCCCTTGAACCCACTCTTGAGCAAGAACTGGACCATCCCCGGAAACCGTAACGGGACCGTGTGCGCCGTCACTAACCTCGACACACGTCCTTCCTCCTTCCCGCTCTCCTGCTTCTCAGCACCTTGCCTCGTCTTCCACTGGAGGATCTCCTGCTCCAGAAGCCTCAAATTCGTAGCCATCTGCTGGTGTCGTCTATACCCCGGGTCGGTTCCACAGATCCTAATCCGTGTCACGCCTCGTTGTTCGACGAGGTGCTGGATCCGGGAAGGGACACCTTGTTAACGCGTCTGGGCCTTCTTCGGAGGAGAGGGAATGGCTGGATGGTTTGGGTGGTGGGAGGAGGAGGTGGTGGTCGGTTTTGAGGCGGGGTTGGAGCTCGGGCATAGTGGGTTCGTAGCGCGCAAATAGGAAGCTTATAATTTTTTTCTCTTTCTTTCCCTTCTGAGGACGGTGATGATGTTGCTGTGGTGGTGGTGGTGGTGGTGGTGGTGGTGGTGGTGGTGGTGGTTGTACGGTTGTCAGTGTTGCGTTCTTGGTCGCGATCTGTAGTTGCAGAGGTGATTGAGACATAGATCACGCCGCCCGCTCTCGAGGTTGGCAAAGGCGGTAACCCCTTCACCTTTTTCCTGTTCCTGACCCTGATCTGCTGGTTCCTGATCCTCGCTGCTATTCAGGAATGCTTCCTCCTAGACAGCTTGCCCCCTCCCACTCTGGAAGGTTCCATTTCTTGGTAACCTCCTTGGAAGTAAGCTTGGGTGTGAGGTCTGAAGGCAGAGGGACAGTCTCGTGTTCGTGAAGGAGGACCCCTGCGGCGAAGCGGGTGAGAGATTCGAGGTTTATGAGTGAGTGGGGGTTTGAGAGGGACTTTAGTGGAGGTGGGTGGAGTTTGGTGAGGGTATTGTCGGTGAGACAGTGGAGTCTTTGTGTTCCTGTCATTGGTTCGGGTTGTGAGTGAGAGGAAGATAACAAGGGATGGGCTGCGTGAGAAAGAAAAAAAAAAGATGTAAAAGAGTGAAAAGAAGCAGACGACGTGGAGAAAGAGGGGGGAAAACATTCCTCTTTGTGTCAGGGGTATCAAACAGAAGGAGAGAAAACAATATCTCGCGATTTTCTCCTACAAGCATTTGCAAGGGATACCTTTTGACACTGTTCATTATCCCTTCCCCTTCCTATAAGGACGTTCGGGATCAGATTGACATGAGTATGTACTTACCTCTGGCTGGCGCGAGAAAAGGTGCGCTCCGTATCTTCTTGATGTATATTCTATATATGCTCAAAGCGACGCCAACACGGAGATGAACGAAATGAGAGGTGATTTAAAGAGAGTTTTGGAGCGATTGCTTTTCCACACTCGTATCATTCCATGGGCGCCCACATGGAGGTGTTTGCAACATTGCTCTCAAACAAATGCGTCAGTGTTTCCCGAGAATAAAAGGACACTAAGGTGAAATACCGCTAAAATAAAAAAGGGCTGAATAACATGGGTCATTCTTTCTCCTCTTGAAATGCAGTAATATCAGATATCAGAGTTACGCCTGCATACCTGCATGGCGCCAACTTCTTGGAGATAAACATTTCGTTGTGATGGTGCATTGGTGACGAAGATGACCATTGGCGAGGTAAACAAATGACAAGGATGATGGACGGAGGCTTATAGCTGGGTCATAGTCCGGCGCGATGATGCATTGGCCTTTGTTTGTTGTTGCTGTATAGAATGGCAGAGTGAGAAGGGGGACATGAACGCAATACAAGAATAAACACAAACATAAAGGGAAGAAAGGATGGCTTACAGGCTTACAAGAACACAAACTCCGAAGGGACTAAAGGAGCGAGATACCATCATCACAACGCCCAAGTTTATGAACGGCATCATTTCCCATACGAAAAGAAAAAGAAAAAGAAAAACACCCGAGGATGCAAAGTTCGTACGCCACAAAAAAAATGCAACCTTCAGACCCTCCCTCCTCCACCGTCATTCAACGCCTATTTTGAATGAAAGAAGAGCACACGATGGCCAGGCCAGGCGGCCTAGATTTTGTTTTCATTGTTCTAGTCTACTTTGACAACGATCGAGGCGATGTTGATGTTATTCTTTTTATGGTTTTCAAGGGGCAAAGTGTACACAAAAAGCAAGGAAGGTACTTTTAGTCGTTGCTTGTTGTGTTGAGCGGCAACAGCTGGTCGGTTGGTTATAGGTTATCATGTCATCAATGACCCCTTGGTCATCGTCGTTGTTGCAGACCAATGGATACACACAAACAAACAACAAGTAAGAAACGATAAGGGAGAGTGAGAGAGGTGGTGAGCATAATAATAACATGCACACAGCCCGGTCATGTTTGGAGAGCAGGTCTGTCTGGGCATTTCATGTCCATTAGATTAGTGTGGTAATCTTGCCGTTGCGGACTCTGTCTGTCTCTGCCGTTGCCCTACTCCTTTCTTCTGGTCTGCTCTCTCCATAAAAAAAAGGCTCTCTGCCTTCTCTCTCTCTTTTACGTCTCTTTCTTCCCTTACCCACCCTGTCTCTCTCTATCTCTTCCTTTTTTTTTCCCTTTCTCTTTCCCTTTCTTCTCCTCCACCCTCATCTCTCTCTCTCTTCCTCCTTTTCCTTCACTTTTCTTCATCACCATCCCTCTCCCTCTCTCCTCATCACTCTCCTCATCACTTTCTCCATTTTAATACTTTAATTTGACACTCTCCTTTATTATTTTATGTTGTGTTCCTGACAGTCTCACTTCCCTCCCCATCTTTAATCACACAACAGACTCTCTTTCCTCCTCCAATAGAACACTCTCCACTCGTCTTCTTTCCTTCTTTCTCAACTCTCATATCTCCAACTCACTCACCCACTCAGAACACAGACCACAAACAGGGAGCAGGAAACACAAATCCGACAGGCAGATAGAAAGAACATACAATGTCAAGTATCTTTGACCCGACGGCGAGCGGTGACAAGCTCCAGCCGGCGGCTCTCGCTGTCAATCTGGGCACCAACATCGGCCTCTCTCTCATCACCCTTGGTGCCTTCTGTTGGCTGCGACCCAGGAACGGAGGTAACTTTTTGTTTTCTCTTTCATCTACACCTGGCAAAAGAGTGTGTGTGGTTGTGGTGATGTGTGTGGTCCCCCTGGCTTGACTTTGTTCGACTGTCGAGTAGAGTACACAATCCCCTTGGCCCCTTTTATGATTGGCTACTGAAGTGCATGTTTTAACGACGAAACCCGTTCTCCTTTCAAATTGTAATTTCCCGCTTTTCAAACAGTCATTTACGCCCGCAAATATAAAGCATCCCCTGAAGAGTAAGACGCCCAACAAGGCTAAGGCACACAAACGCACACAGGATGAATCTTAATTGCTTATTACTCCTAGCATTCAATTTGGGCAACAAACACAACCACTCTCTAACGACCTTCCGCTTTTTCTCATTCCCCCTGCTTTTCTTCCTCTCTTCTCAATTGCAGAAAACGTGCACCAAAACTGGCCGAGGGTTACTTCGCATGGATGGCCCCTGTATGGCACTGTCCAGACAGCGAACTCGTCGAGAAAATCGGCCTCGACGCCGTCGTTTTCATCCGCTTCATCCGCATGTGCCGACAAGTCTTCATCGCCCTCACCATCCTCGGCTGTGGCACCCTCATCCCCATCAACATCATCGGTACAATACGCTCCGCAGACGGCGTCGTCCCCGAGGACAAGATCGGCCTCCTCACCATCTCGGGAATCAAAAATTTTGACTGGCTCTGGGCTCACGTCGGGGCCATCTGGGCCTTCAGCACCGTATTTGGTCTCGCCATGCTCCACGGCTACAGATCCTTCTTAAAGTTGAGGATCCAGTACTTTGAGAGCGATATCTACCAGGAATCGATGGCCTCCAGGACCATCATGCTGGCTGGTCTCCCAGATTCCCTTCAGGACGATGGCAAGCTGACGACCTTTATGAGCAGTCTTGGAACAACGGACCAGCCTGTCCAGGCCGTGGTGGGACGCAAGGTCAACAAGTTGCCCGAATTGATGGCCGAGCACAAAAAGATGGTGACCTCACTCGAGAAAATCATGGCCAAGTATTTTGCCGGTAAGCAGCCACTTTGTTTTTGATTTTGAGTTGTCCACGAGGGACTTCCTTCAAGATGCATTACTTTAAACGATGCAACAGCGTTTGTTGTCCATGAGACCGATTTTGACCTTTTCATTTGCATCTGCAACGCCTCTAGATCCAAGCAAGTTGCCAGAGAAGAGACCGACGGTGCGCATTGGACGTTTCTTCGGGACAAAGGTCGATGCCATCGACTACTACTCGCAGCAGATCGAGGAACTGAGCGAGAAGATTGAAAGGACACGCATGGAAATCTCCAAATCCCAGCCCACCAACTACGGCTTTGTCTCCTACCAAACTATCCAGGGTGCACACAAGGTCGCCAAGGAATTCACCAACCCCGTTGCCTTCAGAACCCGCACTAAGATGATCGACCCTCCAGAGCTGTTCCTCTCCCCAGTCCCCAAAGACATCATCTGGTTCAATGTCTCCAACCCCAAGCATCTCCGCAAGTCTCGCAGGGTCATTGTCAACATCCTCTTCTTTGTCGGATCGCTCCTCTTCTTCATCCCCATGGGGTTTTTGACCGCATTCGCCAAGCTGGAACGCTTCATTGGACTCTTCCCAGCCACCAAGCCATATTTTGACAACAACCTTTTCGTCGCCGGACTTGTTCAATCTCTGCTGCCAATCTTGGCCCTCGATATCCTGATGTTGTTGGTCCGCAAGCTGATTGTCTACCTGGCCTGGTTCCAAGGAAACATCACAAAGTCGAGCACGGATCGATCGACCCTCGCCAAGTTCTACCTCTTCTTCACTCTGAACAACCTCATCGTCTTTGCGTTCTCGGGCACCATTTTGGGATTCTATACCCAGATCAAGCTCTTCCTCGAAGACCTTCAATTCAACTCGGGGACCTGGGACGCCATCACGGCCTTTATCCACAGCCAGGACAACATTGTTGAGATTCTGTCAACGAGCGTCGTCGGCACGAGTTTGTTCTGGGTCAATTACATGTCTCTCCGCAACTTTGGCGTGCTCTTGGATCTCTCCCAGTTGGTCGCCTTGGCTGTTTACTGGCTAAAGTCGACTGTGACTCCACGCGAGAGCAAGGCTATGGACAAGCCCGACGTCTTTGACTTTCCTCTGTTCTTTTCGGTTCACCTGTTCACCCTGACAGTCGCCCTCCTCTACTCTGTTATCTCGCCTTTGATCCTCCTCTTCGCCGCCGTCTACTTTTCCCTGTCCTCGCTCGTCTACAAGTACCAGCTGATGTATGTCTTCCGTACTAAAGTCGAGACAGGAGGACGTCTTTTCCGAGTCGTCTACAACCGTATCATCTCCGCCTTGCTCCTCTTCCAGATTGTCATGATCGGAGTCCTCAACCTCAAGACCGCCCACAGACAATCCCTTGCCATCATCCCCTTGCCCATCTTGACCATCCTCTTCAAGATCTTCCTGGCGAGACACTACGACCCCAAGATAGATTTCTACGATTATGGTACTTCCCGCACCGATCTCCGCAGGAACAACTCCAAGTCTGGCAAGACTTTGAGCTCGACCTTTGAGAACCCCGCTTTGTCCTCTAAGATGATCTCTGCTCTTGTCCCCGATGCTGCCAGGAAGATGCTGAGCAGCAGGGTTCTGCATGGAGGACGCGACAATTTGGAGGAAGATACCAAGACGGTCAGCAAGGGACGACCTGGACACAACAAGCAACATAGCAGCAAGCAGGGGTCGACACACAACGTTAGACAACAAGAGACATACGAGATGGGACATATCGCCAAGCCGACCAACACTTACAGCAGCCAACACAAGAACAGTTACGACTCTACTAGACCGCTTTCGCCCCAGAGCGGCGGAGGGAAGCAGGAATACGGAGGGGATGACGTCATAGATGACTACTACGACAACCAGAAGCAGAGTCTCACCAAGGCTGCCGCTAATCCACGCTACGACTACAGCGACACCAGCAAACCTTATGGCTCTCAGGACATGACTTCGTTCGTCGCTGGTCGGTACAGAGCCAACGAAGATCCTTATGGCTACAGCAACAGCGGCTCAAACTCGACATCATTAGGAGCCACTGCAGCAGCGAACAAGCCCTCATACATGGAGCTAGCCAAGATGCATCAGACCGACAGCTACAAGACGACCGGAAAGGCGATGCAATACGAGGACACCAATGCCCTTCAGTCCCTGCACTTGCCGCCCATCAACTTCCAGAAGCCAAAGAAACGACAGCAGCAGCAACAACAACAACAAGAGCCCCAGATACAGCAGGAAGCGTCGGATTCGTACGATGTCATCACCGTTCAGGAGCAGCCGGATACGAACCGTGGAACCAGCAACGAATACGTCGAGTACCACGTCGAGCCAGTCTCCTCTCCCAAGACCTCTTCGCGGATGCCCAAGGCAGCTCCAGCACCCCGCCGTCGCGATCGCGATAACTCCAACAACACCGCCAACAACAACAATGGTCGTCAAACCTCTAGTAATAACAACAACAGGAACGACTCGTATACCAGCCAGGGCCGCAACAACAATAGCAGCAACCGCAGTCAAGGCAACAACTACCTGTAAAAAGGAGCGCTTTTTTTTCTAAACAATAAACATTTATTACCTGCAGTTGTATGATTGAAGTGAACACAAGGCAGGAGTGCATTGGTGACACACATGCAGGCAAAGGCATGGTCCTTGTTTTGGTAAATACAAGAATGAAAAGCAAAGGTCAAAACAGAGAGTGCGAATCGAGCAAACGGGGTGCATACACACATGTCGTTGAAGAGAAGGAGGGGTTTGTTGGGTGCAATGGTTACTGCTGATCCCTGCGCTCTAGCTTTTTGCGATATGACGATGGAAGGTTGCCCATTGACGATGGTGATGATCGCAACTGTTGACATCGTCCTGACGATATAGACACTTTGTCCGCCTCTCGTTGTCCACTCGCTCTCATTCCTTCTTTCGTCCTTCTCGCTCCTTTTGTTCCTCCGCCCCTCCGTCTCCTTTCCTCACTCCTTCCACTTAAAACTTCCTTGGAGAAATTCTCTCGCTCCTTTCCATTTCCCTTTCTTCCTTTCTTTCCCATCCTTCCCACAAACACACACCACAAACAACAGTCCAACCAACAGCCCTCGTCAGCTGCTAAGCACAGCGACGAGTAAAAAATCACCATCCCAGGATTATGACGACGGAATACATAGCCCCAACACCTACACCTACACCCTCCATCTCTTACTCGACGTCTTCCTCCAACTCTTCATCCTCCTCCTCCTCCTCCTCCTCACCTTCAATACAATCGGCACCATATCAAGGAACAGGATCATGGTTCGGAGACTTTAACGCCCTTTGTGCCTCGTCGTGTGTCCCGCTCCCGACATGTAACCTCCTCTCTGCCTCCGACGCCGAGACTTCAGCATCTGCTCAGGAAGGCACCGCTGGCAGGTGTCTAAACAGCGGAGGATGGCCTGTGCGGGATCTTGGGTCGGTGGTCATCAGTGTCTTGGGTCTCTTGTTCGTCGTCAGGCAGATCCTTATCAAATCTCGACGCATGTTCGCCGCCGTCGGTACGTTCTTTCCTTGACCTTTGTCTTCTTCAACTTGACTGTAAAAAAAGAAATGAAGAAAAAGAATGAAGGTTCAATATTACTATACCTTATTTTTGGTTGTCGACATTATTCGCATGCTCATGGTAGCTCACATATGTCTTATCTCCTGCGTTTTTGCATTATGAAAAATCTAAATAGGTCGGACAGAGATGGCACACTTGTACACGATCTACAGCTTCATCCTCTTGCTCCAGGTCTTTACGGTCGGAGGCGTGTTGGTGAACAATAACAGGACACATCGGACATTTCTGGTTTGGGCGACGGCGCTGCATTTGGGGGCATTGGTGTGTTTCTTCTGGACTCTTGTCATTACCATGCTCGTCCGTAAGTTTCCTGTTTCGAGAGATGAGAACATTAAAGGATGTACGGTTGGTAGTTGTGGAATGGGGTGGTGGAGAGGGGACGACAAAGGGGTGCATGCAGGGGGAGGTATGACAGGCTCAAACTAACCATAAAGCCACTTTCTTTTCTTTTTTGGTTCTAGTCTTTCAGTTCACGGACGACGGGACAAAGTTCATGAGGCAGGCAAGGAACCTCCCTTCTTCAAGTCTTTTGTGGATTAACGCGCTTACCGAATGTATTGCTTGATCTCACGTCCCTAACTGTCTTCTTCTCTCCTCCCTTTCAACCCAATAGTTCATAACGGGAACAAACACGATCTGGATGGTGATCGTCGTATTCCTGAGTCTGGATCTGGCATGGAACATCACTGGACACCATCACGGACACAGTGCTGGACTCTTTTTCTTGACCTTGGTCTTCCCCGTCGTCGCCGTGCTTCTCTACCTGGTCCTGTCATGTATCGTTGTCTGTCGCAAACTGGAAGTCTACTCCTCCCTCAGTAAGTTCATGGCCACAAAACGTGGGCGGACGCACCAGGAACTTATATTTTCCGCAATTCTTCTCCCCCTACTTTGCGGGCACTGATCTGACCATGACATGAAAAAAATAAATAGAGTATGTGGCGATGGCACTGGTGACATTTGCAGTAAGCCAACTGATCCTCTTTGGTGGGGCGAGTCATAAAATCGCAGTGGGTACACAAGGGCGCATTAATGGATCCATGTTTTCAATCATCTTCGACCTCGTCTCTGTCAGCCTCGTTTACAGATTCTGGAGCACCATCATCGACAGTAAGTAAGGAAGGAGGAAGGAGCCATGGAGACGAAAACATAGTGGGTGGGTTGTTGATACTAACATGCTCTTGTCCTTTTTTTTTTTTTTTTTTTTTTTTTTTGGGTGTTTAGATACTTGGGGCGATGAAGAGTTCTGAGGACGCAGCCTTCTTGCTTCTTTTGCATTTTCCCTTGCAATCGATACTTTTTTCCGAAATCCCAATTTGCTCATATCATTCTCTTGTACATTAAATACATTCAACTTGCATGAACGCCGACTCCAAAAAAAAAAGGGCAATAACTGGGCTTTGTATCCCCTTCCTGCCTCCGGAAACCGGAACAACCTTTGGAATAACGATTGAGGACTACAGCCCACTTCTTTCTTGATCAAAGGGGGGGTCGCCCTTGGATCGGAAGAAGTTCACACGATATTGGAGATTAAAGGGATTGCTTCTTCCTTGATCCAAAGACAAATGTAAAACCTCAAAGGAGACGCAGGATTGATATGATACAAGAAATGATAATTTAATTATTTGGTGAAAGTATGTAATGTGAAAAAGTACGAGAACCGCCAGACGGATAACGACTGTTTGCTTTGCTAAGTGAAAGGAGGGCAGTGTCCTACTAGGTTACGAGAAAGGGTTTCTCGGCGATGTCGAGTTGATGGCTTTATGGGTCCTGCTGTAGTTGTTGTGATGATTATCTTGGTTGTGCTAGACAAATCTGAAGCAGTCGGACCAGACATAGAAACTGCCGTTGCTGGGGTCAGGGCTGAGGATGAAGGATTGGGAAAAGTGGCGATCTGAGGTCTCATTGCTGTATTTCACTGTTCCCGAGACGTTCAAGATCATGCTTCCTGGTGTGCCTGGAGCCGTCGATGCTATATCATAGACAAGAAAAGTATGTGTCCTGTGTTAACTATGCGTAGAAGGAAATCCTCCCTTTTGTTTCCTGCAGAGAATCAAGAGCGCAATATCAATCAGATCCTGTCAAACGTACTTGGAAGTGGGTGGCAGTCGTAGGCGTTGACAGTGTGTTCACTGCTTGACAACTTGTTGTAAAACTCAGAGAAGGGTCCAATTCCACTGAAAGCGTTTCCTGTTCGAGGTTTTTTGGAATAGAGAAAGGCGGAAGAATTGCGGAGGTCAGATGAAGTCTGCGAGAGGAGATAGAAGGAAAAAAAAGGCGATAGGTGGTGCGAGATCCGATGTTATATCCTGTTTATCCCAGTAGTAGAGCAGTACCATTCCAAAGAATTGCAGAGGTATCGCGGTAGACGCGATTCAGGACCTAGAAAGAAGACAAAGGATAATAAATGAACGTGCTTAGATTGATGGACGGACAAGATATACACAACCTTTCCTTTTATGATACAGCACAATAGAGGTGTGAGGGTTACCGGTCGTTGAGTATCGAAGAGTTGGTAGTAGATTCCGACGAACGCATCGGCGCCATTGGAGGAAGTGTCAACATGTTCTTTGAGAGAGTTCTATTATTCCATTGTGGTGGGTTATGGGAAATGCAAAACAAGAGTGTGTGTGTGTTGATTCCTTTTGTTAATGGCGTTCCCTTCATTCCTTTGCGTTGATGTTAATGCAACGTGTTCTTTTGCCCACTTGTATCTCCTGTGAGCGAAAGTTTCTTTGACGTACTGCCATGGTGTGTTTGCTGTAGGTTATTGTGTGGAGCTTGGCTGCGGTTTGGTCAGATTGGGGTTGGAGGGCGAAGTGGATAAGGAAAGCGAAATAGAAGAGTGGTGGCGCGAATCTTTGTGTGTCCTGAGAAACAAAGAAAAAAAGAATGAGGCTACCCCAGCTCGGTGGCTTGGATTCAATTGAGACTGCCTTTTCCCTCCTTGATCCATCCACGAGATGTGCGAGAAAGAGAGAGTACAAAAGGGAGTGGTGCGCCGTTTCTCTTCTTTCTCACCTCACCTCTTTCCCCTTTTTACTCCACACCCTCACATATCACAATGGCCACCAAGTAAAGTCACCACCACTACGTTGTCGCACCCTTTTATATCTCTATTCGATACTTCCGTGCGTTCTCCTCTGTCAACGTGCACATGTGCGCACACACTCTCTCTTCTCTCTCTCTAACCATCAATTGCACCATTGCCTTGTCGCGCTGTTACTTCTCCCGCGTTGATAGGAAGATTTTGCTCCTCGGATCGGGTTTCGTCGCAGAGCCCTGCGTTGAGTACCTCTGCCGTCGTCCCGAGAACAAGCTCACCATCGGTAACGTGTCCCCTTTCATTCGTCTTGGAGAGAAGCGACTGGAGAATGAGTGTGGGAGAGTACAGGGTGATGAAGAAGAAAAAGCCTGATAATCTTAAGATCGAAGGGTTGCCTTTTGGTGGCGTATTCGCGATTGCTGATCAATAAGAGAATGAGATTGAAACCCCTTAGGTACCGCAGTTTCGAGGGAAATACGATCATTGAGAAAAGGCATATGTGAGGGTGTGAGAGTATGTGGAAAATGGGTTCAAAGGAGAGAGGGGGGGGGGAGGAACATAGGAGGCATGGTTTGGATGATTCATTCACACACGCTAACATCCACCCAAGAAAGGCATCGGACCAAAAAATGGAAATTAGCCGTGTGAGTGTGAGAGTGTGGTGTGCAGTATGTGAGTGAGGGTGAGGGAGTCGATTATCTTGGGGATCAAATCAAGATGTGCCAGAGTCAGCCTTGTAATCTTTTACTTTCAAACCTTGTCACGGTCAATTTGTCCGCTTGTCCGAAAGGGGGCCGTGGGTCTGGCGGGGAGTGTTCTTTGGTTTTCCCTTGAACACTTTCTATCCCACTCTCTCAATGGGAATACTAGGGGAAGGGGGAGGCATACTTATCGTCATAGCTTGGAGAAAGAGACTAGCTAGATGACAACTGCGCTAATTCATCCAAAAAACAGTACCCTTAGACAAATTATCTCATCGATATCCATCTTGGATCGGTGACCCAGGCTGACTAGAACCAAAAACTAACTCTCCATCTTCCCTCATATACTTACTTTCTCTTGTATCATATAGCTGCCAGACGTCTCGCCATTGCTAAGGAGCTCGCCGGTGGTTATACCAACACCACTGCCATCTCCTTGGATGTCAACGATGAGGTTGCCCTGGATGCTGCCATTGCCGAGCACGACATTGTCATCTCCTTGATCCCCTACACCTACCACGCCCAGGTCATCAAGTCTGCCATCAAGTCCAAGACCAACGTCGTCACCACCTCCTACGTCTCCCCCGCCATGATGGCCTACGACGAGGCGTACGTTACCTGATCTGGATGAATTTCGTTCAATGGTTACCTTGTACATGTATTGGACATCCATCTCACATCCAATTGATACCTTTTACTTTATACAATAGTGCCAAGGCTGCTGGTGTTGTTGTTATGAACGAGATTGGTGTTGACCCCGGTGTTGATCACTTGTATGCCCTCAAGACCATCAACGAGGTCCACGCCGAGGGTGGAAAGGTACTTGACAACATTATTTATTGATCCGTCAATGCTCATTTGGAATGTCGAAGGACATAACAAACAGGAGGGGATCTGATCCCAATGAGTCAACAGAACCTAATCTCCTTTCTTTCAAACATATTGTAGGTTCTTTCTTTCTTGTCCTACTGCGGTGGACTTCCCGCCCCCGAGGCCTCTAACAACCCTCTCGGCTACAAGTTCTCCTGGTCCTCCCGTGGAGTCCTCCTCGCCCTCAAGAACAACGCCAAATTCTACGAGAACGGTGAGATTGTCGAGTACTCAGGCAACGACCTTATGAACTCTGCCAAGGCCATCCCCATCTACCCAGCCTTCGCCTTTGTCGGTTACCCCAACCGTGACTCTTCCCCTTACAAGGAGCGTTACAACATCCCCGAGGCCCACACCATCCTCCGCGGTACCTTGCGTTATGCTGGATTCCCCGAGTTTGTCAAGACCTTGGTTGATATTGGGTTCTTGGATGATGCTCCTCAGGACTTTTTGGCTGCTGACGCCTCCGAGATCGCTTGGGTAAGTCAGAGTGAGGGTATTTTTGCTCAATGGATGGACCGTGAGAAAAAAAAAAAGCGATACTTTGATGATTTACTATTTGAGAGAGTTCCTCCCCCTCCCTTCCTCCCCCTTTTTTCTAACTTTCCATTACGTCTTCATGTTTCTTTTAAATAGAACGACGTTGTCGCTAAGCGTCTTGGTTCTTCCAGCAATGCTGAGGCGTAAGTACAGGGATTGACAGGATGAGCGTATGAGTCGGGCAATGAATACCCCAGGACCGATCACACGGAGTATTGATGACTGAAACAAGGCTACCTTTCTCTATATCGTTTCTAGTGACCTTGTCGAGTTGATCAAGGAAAAGTCGACCGTCAAGGGCGATGATATCGACCGCATCGTCAAGGGCATGAAGTGGTAAGTTGTCACTATGCACGACACTATCTAAACCCATGTGCCTTTCCTTCCTATGTCTCGAACATTGTCCGTACTCCTCAACTGACACGATATTGCTTCTGAATTCATGGAATGATAGGTTGGGTATGTTCTCGGCGACCCCTGTGACCCGCCGCGGCAACTTCCTCGACACCTTGTGCGCGACTCTTGAGGAGAAGATGATGTACGGCAAGGGCGAACGCGATATGGTCATGCTCCAGCACAAGTTCGAGGTCGAGCTCAAGGACGGCACTCAGGTAAATTCACACGCAAACTCTGGGAAGGAGGCAATTGGGTGACGCGACGACTCGCTGCTACAAAAAAAAGGAGAAACAAAAAAGAACAAAAAAAGATAATGGTCGACTCTCGTGTTCTGGATCATGGTTCTATTTATTTGTTGTTATTTTAGTTATTTTAGTTCTTTGGTGGACCCCCGTTTATTTTATATCTTTAACGAATTGTTTACTGATAACTATTTTCCTTTACTCTATTATTATACCATCCTCTTCCCTCCACACCACCCCCAACCCCCTATATTCCTGATGATAGCAAACCCGCACGTCGACGATTCTGGAATACGGCAACCCAGAGGGCGCCTCGGCAATGGCTCGTTTGGTTGGTATGCCCTGTGGTGTTGCGACCCAGTTGGTCTTGGATGGCGTTATCCGTACCCCCGGTATCTTGGCCCCCATGTCTGCAGATATTAACGATCCTCTGATCAAGGGTATTGAGGCCGAAGGTGTTGTCTGTCACGAGGAGATTCTGTAAATCAAAAATATCACATCTTGTACACACACACATTTATACATAATAAAAAGCGATTCAGTTGAAACGAAGACAAGAGAAGAGAGGAGTAGAGTAGAGTGCGGAAGAGAGATGGAGCGACAAGAAGCGAACGAAACGAAACAAAACAGAAGGGAAGGGAAGAGTGGGAGGGTTGAGGTCGAAGTTGAATGACAACATAGGGGACCTTATAAAACGGAGATCGGAAAAGAAATGAATGCGGAGAATGGTACTAGAGTGGCGTAATAGCAAAAAGCACAGACAGGCTCACCTATAATTGTGCGACGCCCTCTCATGACGATGGTTTTATCGGCATCCTGTCTGTCTGTCAAGGTTTGTTGTCCGCGCGCGATTCCATTCCTATCTTTGCTTATTCCTCATTCCAAGCGGGGAAAAAAAATCTTTTATCTTGGCGCACAACGGCTCGTTGGCCTGCCCGTCTGTCTGCGCCCAGGCTTTGCTTTGCTAATCGTTCTTCGCTAGTTCTGTGCAGAGCGAGATGGTGCGATGTGTGGATGCAAGGTGGGTGAGTGAGAGAGGTTGGCAGACCGAGAGAATAAAGAGAGAGAGCACTTGGCCCACATGGCCATGGGTATTACACATCACACAGCACTCTTGGACAAATAGAGCGAAGAAGAAACAAAAGAGATAAAAAGGAAAGACAAATGAGGGAACAAAAGAAGCATTGGTGTTCGTTTGTGAGAGGATAGCCGATCCTTCTTTTTGTTTTGTGTTTTTGTGTTTACGTGTGCATGCGTGTGTGGTTAAAACGTGTTGCTAAAGTGTACCTATTCTTCCTCCTCTTGTTCTCCTTTTCCTCCGTCCCCCTTGTTTGTCAGCAGGCCTGGACCACCTTTTCTCATCTTCAATGCGGAACAAGAATAAAACAAAAACAAACAGAAAACAAAATATAAACCAAAGCCCGCTCATCATTTGCAGAAAGGACCCTTGTTTCTCATGTCTCTCAATGTCTCTGTCTCTCGTCGTAGTCTCGTGTATGTTGTCTTATCGGTCTCGATGTTAAAACATAAACAACAGCAGAAAAGGATCATCACCCATGGACTCACGATCATCTCTCATCATCAAGGCCATTCATTACTGATCTCTCCCTTTGTTAATATCACACATCCTTTGAACCGACCGTGCCTCCCACCTCTTCCTTGGTTTCTATCCAGTCACCCGCACTCGCTATTTTTTTTTATCCGAACGTTCACCCCCTTCTTCTGTTTAATACCCCTGGACTCGCTTTCTGTCTCCCCTTCCTCTTGCTGTCGTCTGTCCTCCCTCAACCCCCACCGCTCTCAGTCCGTCCGTCCGCCCACCCTCTCCCTCCACTCCAGTCGCCACTTGTACCAATCATGACAATTCGATTTTATGACATTTTCGATCCAAATTCACTTTTCTTTTCACTTCTATCACTTCCCATTCATTCATTCATTACTCCCGTCGTCTTATTTTCCACCCTTCATCGACCCAACCCCCTCTGTTCGTTTTTCCCGCCTAACCAGTTTTTGTTGTTTTCGACGTTCTCACTCTTCTGCGGCTGATGAAATAGTCTCGCCCGACCAGACCCTCTCTCCTTTCGCTCCTTTTCTTTCCTTCAACTCCTTCTCTCCCTTTTCCTCTTTCAGAGTAAGTCTCGTTTGTTTTTGTTTCCTCTCACACTCGCTTACCATCTCTCGACTTTTGCGCGCGGATTCTCTCCTTTTTGTTACATCCACTTATTTGTTGGTGTTTTCCTTTTTTTGCAGTTGCTTTTTTTCATTTATTTTCCTTTCATCCCATTTTGTCGTCTTCCTTCCATCTCTCTTTCTTTCTTTCTTTCTTTCTTTCTTCTTTCTTTCTTGCTTTCTTTCTATCTCTTTCTTTTCTTCCCACTTGATTTCAATATTCTTTGCCCTTCCATTTTCCTTCCCTTCCCTTCCCTTCCCTTTTCCCTGCCTTGCCCCCATTGGTGTTATTATTTAATATTCTTTGGTAAAATCCGATTCAGTCCATCCTTCCACCCCTTCCTTCCAATTCGACGTCCAGTATCTTTTTGTATTTGCTAATTCATTTCCGTTCTTATTTTCTTTTGTATTCATCCTTCTTTCTCTCCTTTCTCTCCTCTCTCTCTCTCTCTCTCGCTCTCTCTCCCTCTCCCTTCCTTCCCTTCCTCCCTCCCTCTCCCTTCCTTCCCTTCCCTCCTTTCCACTCTCTGTCTCTTACCAATCCATTGATCGTCGTCGATCAGGTCGTTCGCCCTCCTTCAGACACACATATTCTCACACTCGTTCTTTATTTCGCCCAGGCACAGAAAAGCATACTTACCTCCACACTCACTCTCACACTCACACTCACACTCACACTCACGCTCGCTCAAAGCAACAACCATGCACCTTCGTCCTCACCTTGGGTCGTCAGGCAATCCAGAGGACCCCGAATCAGTCGCCCACCCTCCTCTCCGATCCTCCTCATATCCCTCCCTCCCAACAACCCCGCCACACTTTCGACCTGGGACAGACAGGGACGAACCCGCACAACCACCCCTTCGACAGACCACTTTCCCGCCAGATCGGACATCGATTGCCGGTCATACCATGTCTTCATCTTCCTCAGCAACTCACCACCACCACCATTTTCAACAACAACATTATTATCAACACCAACAACAACCTACGCTAGACCATTCACAAACACACCGACACCATCATCCAAATCAACCATCCACATCCCCCTCTTCCTCTCAGCAGGATCGGCAGTATTACGAAATGCCTCCTTCATTCGCTCTCCCGCAGCACCAATATTCAACCCATACTAGTCATCCAAAGCAACAAAAATACTTGCAGCAGCGTCGGCATGCCGGATCAGCCCCCTCATTATTATCGTACTACAGCGGACATGACCAGGATCAAGACGATAACTTGGTTCATATTCAGAACCATAGGGGATATCAACACCAGAATCGAGTGTTTTCTCAAACAATAGACGGCCACTCAGCTGAACAACAACAACAACAACAACAACAACAACAACAACAACACCAGCAGCAGCAGCAGCATCACCATCATCTTCACAATACCCGAGACCAGTACGATGATGATTCGTCCCGACTCAACCGTGCTTATTCACAGCATACCCAGCTCTCGCCTGCTTACTCATCTCACCCAGCTGCACACTACCAATACCAATCGATCCAACGGCAAGAGCAGCAGCAACAACGGATACAACAGATGCAGCAGCAGCAGCCTCCGTGTCAAGAGCAACGGCGGCATACTGGATCTTCTCCGTCGCATGATCAAACACAACGGGAATATTATATTAACCTTGAGCAGCATAAGCAACAGCACCCACAGCAACAACAAACCTTTAACTCGCAGGCGCTGGACGGACACGGGCCAGAGGTTGGTTTGCATAATGCTGCAAGTCAACAACAACATACCCATGGACCGATCGGGCGCGGGCAAGATTTCGGACTGACCTTGAGTGCACAACAACTTTTCTCACACCAACAGTCATATCGACTCCAGCCCCATTCAAATCAGCAACCATACCAGCATGCATCTTTGCCGTCTCCTTCCTCCCCTTCCTCGCATTCAGCCAACCCTTCCTTTACAGCGCAACCGTACCTTCCTCAATCTTCTGCGTTTACTTCCGCGTCAACTCATTCACCCTCTCCTGGCGCACCCTTCCAACGACATCGCGCAAGAACTCTTTCGTATGTTTCCCCTTACTTTTCGTCGTCGCCAAAACCCTCGTCATCTTACCCCTCTGAAGTCCCCATTGCTGCCTTCGACAGCGAGGCTTACGTGTCTTCCAACGCACGACAGCTCTCTCCTGAATGGAGTCCGAGGCGAAAACGGGGTCGCGCCAATCAATTCACAGTTTTTGGGAGCGGAGTGAGTGGTGGCGGCGGTCATAGAGACGAGAATAGCAGCGGCGGTGGTCAATTGACGCCTCAGGCGACCTGTCCCCAACGACATTCGTCGCAGGATGCACCCATGACCATGGCAGCTCCAATCACTTCAGCTACAACTGCATCAATGTCAACAACCATCCCAACAGGTCCATATGTTTCTTCTTATTCGAGCTCCCTGCCGTCTGATTTATGGATGGGTGAGCGCCTTATCTCTAAACCCTCCTCTGGATCGGACAACACTCTCCGGTCCCGGCCATTGGAACTATCTGAAGACCGCCAGTGGTGGCCACAGCGAGAGCATTTTGAATCGGCGACAGGTACTGGTTCTGTCGGATCGAGATCTGGATCTGGTTCAGGACCTGGCGCGGCTGGTGGGACGAGACAGGACGGAATTTCGGCGCTGGACATTCCCAAGACATACGGGCCAAACAAGCGGCCGCTCATTCTTTCGCCTCCCGTTGGATCCGACTCTTTTGCTCCCTTTGACCGTGTCTTTCCAACAACCTCATTGGGATCGTCCCCGCAACCACATCAACCACATCAACAAACACATCAACATTCACACCCACACCAAAGCCAACAACTTCATCAAGGGCAACAACGACACCGACAGCTCGCTCAGTCACAAGGGAGGGGTCTGGAAGCAGGGGTGGGTGGGTCAAGGGGGAACGAGACGCAGGAACTGAAAGCAGCTCAGCTACAACAGCTTCACAAGCATGACCAAAACAACAATAACAGCACAACGGCGACGAACTTAACAACAGCCGCCCGAGAGACGCTGTCTGAGAGCTCGCCTAGAACGAACCCCTCATTTTCGAGCCTTCGACGCACGACTCAGACTCTCCCCATGCCTCACTTCCGCGGACAGCTGGTACAGCCACAGTCGGGTGACAGCTCCTATCAACGCCGGTTCTATTCTTTGACACACCCATCGATCAAGTCATTTAGTTCACCCACAGCCACCGCCCACGCCACAGTCAGCGCTGGCATGGTATCTGCTGCTGGCGCGAGTGGCCATTCGTCGTCGGAGATGATGACAACGGGGGCGACACCATCATCAACGTTGGCGGGACGGCAGACAGGCTCCAAATCAGCTTCACCATCGCCTGGGTCATCGATGCGCAAAAGTGCGAGTGTGAAGCGACTACTTCAGCTGACGGATGCCTCAAACAGTGGCAACAATCCTTCGAATGGCGCTGGAGGATCACAGGACGCGTCAGGAATCGTCAGCACCCAGTTGGGTCGGTTGCTGATCTCGACTCGTCAGCATGTCAGAGGGTTTCTTGATTCGTTCATTCATCCAAGAAGCGATGGTACCTCCAAAGGTAAGTCGGATAGCAATTCCTAAAAAAAACAAGGATCATGTAAACAAATTAGCGGAATGATTCTTAACATCTCCCTATTCTTCTCCTTCGTCTTCTTTTCTTCTTTTCCCGCACTCCCCCTTGTAATTAATTCTATTCTTGACAACTCACTTGGCGTTTGCTTCTTTCTTTCGTACTCTTCTGCGGTATCATACTCGTTTATTTTGGGTGTCGTTTGCTTTTTTTGTTTTGTTATTTTTTCTTTCTTTTGGACTTATGTAACCAAGATGACATCAACGCGGTCCATCCCAATCTAGAACGCGTGCTTCTGGACCTGCTCAATGGCATGCTACAGTCGCACAACGCCTTTGCGGCCAGGGACAACATATCGTCTCAGGAACAGCCTATGACGTTTCGTCCTACCCTCGTCCGATCCTTGGCCCATCTGCAGGAGCTTTTATCTCCCACCCCTTCTTCTTACGCTTCTTCTTCCACACACAGTAGCCACATCAGCAATTCCACCCCTATCCCCATCCATGCGCAATCTTCATCCTTGTCCTCGTCGTCTTCGTCTCTGCTCGGCTCACCTTCGCGTTCTTTATCATCATCACCCTCGTCGCTATCTTTACCTTTGGCCAACAGGATTTCTGATGATGTGAACGCAGGTGACAATATCAGGCGACAAAGAATACATTCTCGCCATCCACCTTCGCGGCTATCGACATCCACTTCATACCAACCTGAAGCCATGGATACGGAGACAGATGTCGAATCGGATACGGATCTCCTTCTCGAGAGTGATTTAGCTGGAGGTCGCACGACGACATTGAATCCTGACATCCATCTTTGTTCCTTGAGTACCACGCCAGTTACCTCAGGAACAATCACTCCCGCCCCTACTACAGCAACTCCTTCATCGACCGGAGGACCAGCAGTGGCATCAACAGGTCCTGTGGATGACTTGGATGGATCGGCGTCAGCTGCAGATCTTTATAGGTCTACGATCGAGTTCTTGGCACTGATGACAGCCTTCGTGAGCGTTGTGTGCTGGCTTATGCAGACTCGTCTCCTCGATGGTGGACCGTCGAACAGGGATCCCTCAACAGTAACGGCGGCGATGGAGGGCATCGACATGGAGCAGGATGGGCCCGAGTCAGGTCGTCGAGACGGCTGCGCTCAGCTGAGAGAGTTTTTGAGACTCTTTGATGATCTGGATAACGTCCTCAGCCCGATCAAGGAGGCCCTCAGCCAGACTCACGATTCGCAACAGCGGTGGCAGCAGCAACACATCGATGAGCAAGAATCGGATGCCAGGCTCGATCCCATGGACTCTGTTGGGCTCTTTGCCTGGCATTACTTTCTGTTTTCATCGGATCGAGATAGTCCCTTTGAACGCGAGGCTCATGCGATCGATATTCCCAGCTTGCACTCGATCCATTTCGATGTCCTCCTCAACGAACTCTATACCACTCACATCCTTTCGATGACGGCCAAGGAGCACCAAAAGGACCATGGACAGTTTTACACACCGCCAGGAGTGGTGGACTTTATGTGGAAGCGCACTATCATTGATCGAGGCCGCCTTCTGGACCAATTTGTCGAGTCAATGCCGTCTGCCCTGTCGGCCCCTCCGTCTTTCAGCCAGCAAGAGTCCTTGATCCCAACGGCGTTGGATCCTTGTCTGGGCGTATCGACCTTTCTTTCGTGCTATGTCCGTCTTTTGATCCAAGAGGCCGAGCGGGACCATGCAGAGACAATATGGAGATCTGAGGCGGCTTGCAGACTCTTGTTGACTCAAATCTGTGAGAATGTCTGGGGAATCGAGCTGGACGGGTTCGCCTTTTGGATGGCACGGTGCGGAATTTTGGTGGCGCTGATGCCACTTGTCCAACACGTCGAGTCCTTTTCTCACCATCCTCACTACCACCATCCTCAACAACGACACCAACCCTATCAACAACACCAGCAACGTCACCGATACCAACAGCAGCAGCAGGTACAGCTTCCTCGACTCCATCTCTTCCGAAGCGACACCCTGCAGCTCACCGTCCCCGATGGGACCAGCCCCAAATCCGCTTGGGACCGGCATTGTATACTTCAACTTCGGACCCCATCGCGCCTTCAGTTTGACTTTATTGTCACCAACCCGCCCTACATGATCCGCAAGACTGGAACCTTCAGCGCCCCCGATCCAGAAGTCTATGACTGGAGTATCCTAGGCGCCAGCATCGCCACCGTTGCATCTGCTGTAGCTTCAGCAGCTCCTCCGGGGTTGTCCGAGGGTTCGAGTCCTGCTCTCAAGACAAAGTCCAAATCGTCTACCAAGGCTTCCAAGAATGGGTTTGAGGAGGACGAGCGATTGACGCCATCAACTGTCGATACAGGGGATGATGATTCTGGGTCAGAAGCGACGATGACACGCGGTAGTAGCGATCGGCTGAGCAAAGGTGCTACAGAGTCAGTCCTTCAGTCACCGCGGACAAAAAAGTTTGCGACTCAGGTACGACCGACAGGGTCCAAGGGCATGATGCAGGCCTATGGGTATTTTGTCTGGTTCGCTGCGCAGAGGATCAAACCTGGCAAAGGTGTTGTCTGCATGATCACTGGTGAGTTTCTTCTTTGTTCTCTTATTGTGAAGTCAGTTGAAAAAAGATGCAATATTATTTCATACTCAATTTTTTTACTAATGGACGCGTTCTTGTTCTTCTCTCCTTTAGCGAGTCAATGGTTGACCCTCGAGTTTGCCGTCAAGCTGCGGTATGTTAACATTTGGTACTATGCACATTTTTTTCCCCAGCCCTTTGCTCATGCGTTTTCTTACTTACACTTCTACCAAACTTGATCCCATTACTGCATGCTCACGCAATGCAGCGCATGGCTCTTCGAAAACTGTCTCATGGACGAGTTCTTTCAGTTTGAGCCCTACAAGGTCTTCTCCAAAGTCCAGACCGACTCGCTGATCTTCAAGATTCGAGCCATCCCACTCGACCTCTTGCCTTCGACCTCGTCACCCATGTCCTCGTCACCTCTGCCGCTTGGGGACCATAGGACCGTATTCCTTCGACATACCGATCATCATAAGCCTTTGGTTGGAATCCTGCAGGATTACATGGCCTTTTCTTCTGCGGAGGAACCTCAGGTCGCTCGGCCGTCCTCATCGTCTTTTGTGGTCGGGTCAGCCACCGCCACCACTACCACCAACAGCAACAACGATCTCAACATTATGGTGTCGAGCAAGACGCGCGAGGAACTGGTTGCAGTGATCATGGCGCCGTCAGTGACACCCACCGCCACCGCCGCTACTGCCACTGGCAAAGGCGATGAGGCGACAGCGCCTGCGACCTATACATACTCATTTGCTCCGATGATGCCCGCGTCAGTGTTGACGACCTATATGCTGGCATTGACTCAGGATCTCGGAGCGATCTGTTCAGCCGGAACCAAGAAGATGAATCGTCTTCGAGCGGTCGAGCCTCTCCTGTGGCATCGGGGTCCCAATACCAATCCCGTCTATGGCCTCGTGGTCCGAATGGAGTACGCACGGGCCATGTTTGGCGAGGGGATGACATCAAGGTGGTTCCGACCTGCCTTGTACTGGAACGGGAAGAACTCGCCCGAAGGTCCACCAACAACAGCAACAGGAGCGGCTGGTGGTGGTGCGTTAGGTGCTAGTGCCTTGGCGGTCCCGGGTAAGGTCCTGCATCGGGAGGGACAGTTCTGGCAAGGACGAGACCGTCAGAGGTTGAGTAAGAAGGAAGGATCACCCGCAGAGTCTTACTGTGTCCCGACCTCGGACCCACAGCGGATGTATGCGCTTTGTATGGTCGATAAAGAGTCTGTCAAGGTTCTTCGGCAGCAGGTGGAGCAGAAGGTTGAGGGCTCTCAGGCGCTGTGGAACTATTTGACGGATGTCAGGTCTCATTTCCAGCCGGGCTTGGCTTCCAAGAGGAAGGTTGTTTCTGGCGGTAAGGCGCAGGCGGTCGATGATGAGGGTGTCGCCTTTTGTTCGACCAACCAGTGCGGGTGAGTGTCTCTTTTTTGTTTTGTTTTGTTTTGTTTTGTCTATACTGGCTGTTTATTTTGTCTTGTGCATATGTTGGATCCTTTGCGTGCATATTTATTAACCAACACAGCGGAATTAATTTTGTGTGGATGTATATACGTGTGTGTAGGGCGGACGTGCCAGAGAAGATCGTGCATCCAATCAACTACGGCTACTTTTCAAAAACCCAGCCCCGCCAACGGTTCTTCCTCGACATGGACTCTCTAGCAGTAACCAACCAATGCATCTACCTAACTCTCAACAAACTATCAAGCCATTACGACGCCGAACAGTGTCCACCGCTGATGTATTTCCTCACCCTTCTCAATTCGACAACCCTCCAGTTCTTTGTCCTCCATCATTGCCAGTATGACCAGCAGGGGAGGATGCGGTTGTTTAGAGAGTCGATGGCCAAAATTCCGTTTCAGGACCGGGATGTCAAGAACTGTCCAGAGAGGATTCGGTATGTGGCGGAGTTGGGGGCTAGTATGGTTGAGTTGAAGGATATGCTGTATAGTGTTGTTACGGGGTGGCGGTTGACGGGGAGTCACCATAGTAGTAGTAGTGGTGGTGGTGTCTCTCAGTATGGTGGGGCTATCGGTGGTGAACGAAGGGGGTCTACGGGTGGTTTGGCATCCATTGCTCTTTACCCTGCGTTTGCTACTGGAGCCCCCTCGGCGGCGCCTACCTCGACTGGCGGTAGTAGTAACCAGGGGCTGATGGATTGGGTCCGAAAGGGCGGGAACCCACCTCCTGGCCTGTTGTCGCGTGTCAAGGATCAAGTTCGACGTATGCTGATCGCACAACAAGCCAGCCATCCTCGCCATCTATACCAGGATCCTGGACCTGCTGCCTCTTATACTGCTGGACTAGGAGGCGCCCATGGCACAAAAGCCCGTCCTTCTTCGTCAGCCCCGTCGTCGTCATCCTCGTCTTCGATACTTCACCTAAACAAGCCTCGCGGCTTCAATGCAGGAGCAAGGGTGAGCAGCGGTGGCGGTGGCGCAGCCTTTTTTACGGATACCGATACCGATACCAACACTTTCACGGACACAGATACTGATACGGATGATACCATGGACCCCTGGATGACGTCGAGACTCGAGGGCCATGTGTCAGCTGGAATGATGGGTCGAAGCGGCGTGTACGCCACTGACTATCAGAGTCAGAGTCAGAGTCAAAGTCAAAGTGGTCGAGGTCAGGGTCAGCACAGTCTTGCGCGGATCTTGAATATGCCTGGAGACGATAGGGAGATGTCGATGGATGAAAAAGGGACGACGACCTCCTCGATGCCGGTTCCCATACCTGAGGGAGGCTCAAGAGACCGCCGACCTTCTTTCCGAGCCACTGTGAGTGATGGCTTTGGTCGAGATGAGGAGTTTGATGAGACGGAGAGCAAGAAGGCGGCTGTGTCTGTGCCTGTCAGCACAGCTATGGAGACTGACTTGGATGAACTCTACCGTCACAACAAGCACCACCACCATCAGCAATACCAAATTGGTGGCGTCGCCTCCTCCTCCTCCTTTAACGACCAACAAATCTCTCACGACTCTGACCGGATCCTCCAAGCCCTCGAACGCGCCATAACAATGGTCGAAATGGTCCAATGGGCCGTCGACCAATACGGGTACATGCTCTACGGGATCCAACCCAAGTTCCAAAAGTTATTAGAACTAGAACTCAAGATTATATATGGGTCACGGTTGGAGTCGTTGATCGTTCCTTCGACTCCCCCTCCTTCCGCCACTGCGCCAGGGGCTGGAGTTGGAGTTGGGGTTGGGGAGGATGGACGGGCGGTAGCGGCGAGTTTGGGGATTACGGCGTGGGGCTTGTATAGGTGGGAGGGGGATGGCGAGCCCATGTCTTCTCTTAACCCTGCTCCTGGTTCTGGTCCTGCCTCAACGACATCCAGTGCGTCTAGTCTTCCATCTGAATCCGCTCCTGGGAATAATGGAAGAAGACAGTTGCTGCCAACGTATGCGTTACAAGTCCTGGAGAACGCCCAGTCTGCGACTCAGTTGCTCCGCAAGATCTTTGAACAGTTCCCAGCCCTTCCCTCTCTTTCGTCTTCTGCCCCCTTGGGTCCATCGAAAAAATAAATATTTTTGTCATAGAAAAAGATCAGATATGTGATGGTGATAAAATGATTTTGTTTTTTCTTGAATGTTGTTTTCAATCTATGATCCCAAGAGGACTACTCTAAAAAAAATATGCTTGTACTCCTCCGAGAGATGTGGTGTATGTGTGTTGTTTTGCTGCTATTATTTCGTGTTGATTTCCTGCTCCTCCGTTCATGGCTTGGGGGTGGCAGCGGCTCCAACCGCAGCAGTTCCGGCACTCGCCTTAACAGCGCCCTTCTTGGCAACCTCCTTGATCCATCCCTTCCTAACCAACCACTTGACCAGCGGAGGCGTAATCATACTGGTCGCAACAACCCTCAAAGGCACCAAAAGCTTATGGATCCCATAGGCAATCACAAATACGCTCCACAACCCAGAAGCCTTGTTATAAATTGCGCCCACCTGCTCATCATCCACCTTATCCAGATCCACTGCCTCGGGGTTGTTGTGAGCGTGAGGCTTTGGCTTGTACCCGACGTAATGACCATAGTGTTCGATCAGGTAATCTTGGCCTTTTTCGATTTTCTCCATGCCGGCGGCTTTGACGATGATGAAGGTTGCAGCGAGGTCGAGGGTGGAGATGCCGAGGTAGACGGCGACGCCGGTATAGCCGTATTGTTTGATCAGTTGCTTGATCTTGTCCATGAAGCCGCTTTTCTGGGGAGTGGTGGAAGCGACGACGGTGCTGCCGGAAGCGGCGGTTGTGGTAGAGGCTGTTGTTGCTGTCTTGCCGGCTGTTGAGGTGGCGAAGCCGCGGCGGATAATGGGTGCCAAGCGGGTTGCTGTGAATGGTGCGGGGGTGGCGCTGGGGAAACGTGCGGAGGTAGTAGGGTGGAGAGTCTTGCGGAGGGTGTTTGTGCAGGGTGGTGGTGCTGCTGATGTGACGGGGCGAACAGAAGTGGCAGCATAGAACCGGAGTCCGGAGGTTGAGGTACGCATGGTGGTGGATCGGATTGCGGCGGTGGTGGCGACCCGACGGATTGCTGAGGTTCCGATCGGGGTTGTCAAGGAAACAGGGATCATGATTTTGTCCATTGTGATGTGGTTATTTTGGTGATGGTGATTGTCGTTATTGTGGGTGAGTTGTTAATTCCTGGTTAACGGTGACAGTGGAGTGATCGATCCAGGGAAAAAAAAGGCGGGTGGTTGAAGAGAAAAAAGAAAAGAAGAGAAAAAGGAAGAGAAAGGAATGATAACTGATCAGGTTTTCACTACCGAGACAAGACGGGTTGGGTGTTGAAGAAATAAAAAACACCTTTTCTGGGGTCCGAAAAAGGAAATATCCGCTATCCTTCTTACCACACGACAATCTTTCCTCCTTTTTGCAAGCACCCTGCTGGGCGCCCAAATGCCTCTCTGCGTGTTGTGGTTGCGAAGAATGAAGCAAATGGTATCTCCAAGGTATGTTCGACTATCATGGTAGTAGGTCAAGTGTGTAGGTCTATTCGTGGGGGCCAAATATCAGTTTGATGCACGAGCAGAGGTGGCTGAATGGCCAGTGTGATATCAGCGATCGCAGAGGATGCGCGAGGGGCAATCGGATCCTCTCCTTATACACTCGTGCGCAGTGGAGAGGGTTTGCTTCAACAAGGACTTCTCGTTTTTTCTCGACGTCCCAATTACGCAAACACTGCGCATATCCTATTCGCGTTAAAATAACGGCGCTCCTAGTTCTTGCTACAAACCACTGCCACTTGAAACTCTCTCGACACTTGTTTCCTCCGCTCCAATGATCCATATTCCATACACATCTCTCCGAAGAGACAAAATGGCCGAATGTTTTTGTTTGGTTGTTTATTTCCGGTTTTCTCAAGCATTGTTGTTTTATTGTATGATTCGCGTCGTTTACTTGGAGGACTTCTTGGCGGGCTTGGCGGACTTAGCCTGGGCCTTGATGACCTTCTTGACGATCTTCTGCTCCTCGATCAAGAAAGCGCGGACGATTCTGTCACGGACGCAGTTGGCGCAGCGGGAACCACCGTAGGCACGGTTGACGGTCTTCTGGCGGCGGGAGATGCGAGCGTACTCGGTGGGGCGGAGAGCGGGGACCTAAGAGAAGTTGGGAAAATAGTGAAAAGAGGTTCAGTTGGTCATTCTGATAGAGACAATTGTTCCTGAAGACCGTCGCAGTAGGTCACTGAGTGTGGTGTTGAAAGATTGGTTGATGCGCATCGCAAATACACAATGTCTGGTTTGAGAGTAATGATATTTGTCCCAGTTCCTGTCACTCTCCACCACAATAGGTCGTGAAGGGAAGAGTTGAAAGTGCTGGAATTTCCTGATAGTCGAAATGTTTATGGCTTTGTGGCCACTCTGTCGCACATGGCAAATTCGTTGCTGAAGACCTCTCAGACTGCCCTGTTGAAAGATACTATTGATCTGTAATGTTCTCCCGTGTAGTCGAAGAGGACGCTGGGTTTATGTGTCACAACAGAACTCTGCAGCTTTGGTTGACAGACTGATTCCGTTTCCGACTCGTTTTTTGCTGATCGCTCCATCGGCACTTCTCCATGAGCTGAGCACTGGTCCCTTCTCAGTTCCTCCTCTTAGTCGCTTCCTGCAACACCTCCTGTGTTGGACTTTTGTATCGCTGCTATAGAGCTGGCAGCGTCAAAGTAGCTTATGGTCGACCCTTATCCTTCCCAGTCGCCCAGTCTCTTCCTACTCTTCCTTTTCCTCCAATGCTGTCCTGATCCTGCGAGATAAGAGGATACTCCTGCAGGGAAACTTACACCGGGAAGAGCGACACCACAGTCACCGCACTTGGGGGCGGTACCGGGCTTCTTCTCATAGAGCCAAGTCAAGCGACCACCGGGGGTCTTGACGACGCGAGTCCTGTTGGACTTGGTGTTGTACGACAAACGGCGGCGGTAAGTGAGACGCTGAGCCATTTCTAGATAAGGCGATAATGCAAGTAGGAGAGGTTGTCCGTATCAGTCTTCTGTTTGTTCGGGCATAGGTTCTCCTAGAGTGCCACTGAGGGAAGCACTGTTCGTTCCATGGTCTCTTCATCGAGCTGTGCAGAGTGGGTTGATGGGTTCTGGTGGATCATAGTTTCCATTCGTGCTCTTTCAGAGGTTCCTGATCGTTTGAGTGATTGGTGTATTGTTATTGTAGTCTTCCTGCATCCCGAAAGTAGATGAACTCTTCTCCTCCTTGCAGGCAGTAGAAGTTCCGTGCGGTAAAAAAGGGATCCCCGTAGATAAAGGCCGTTGGACATCCGTTTTTGATGGTTCTTTTTCGACATGATGATAGCATCTGCCGATGAAGATGGATTGGTGGTGAGTTGGTGTATGGTTCCTGCGGCATGATGGTGATCCGTCAATGGATGTTTTGTCGTTGGTACAGATGTCGATGGGTGTACATCCTCTCCTTCACATCGATTTCCTATGAGCCAGGCTAATCAGAAGGCCCTATTGGACTGCTGAATATGAAATTCGTTCGCACCTGAAATGCGTTGGGATAGAGGCAGAACCAAGCTCGCCCCACCCCGCCTTCAATCAAAAAGGGAGAAATCACGGCAGACTCCTGTCAGAGTTCTTAAGGGGAGCTTCATTCTTTTCACTTTCTTGTCATTTCTCTCACTTTCTAGTTCTACGCCTTATGCTATTCAATGGCCCCACCTTCAATTGCATCCTCTCCACTCTTGTTCGCCAGAAGAGCAGATTAAAAGGTTTTGGAATACATTTGACGATTGACAAAGGCACAAGGAAGGTGAAAGTGTGCAGACTGAATCGGAAGACCGTTTCCTTATTTCTTCCATATTGTCGCCATGGTCATCATTGGATCGGGTTCCTATCTCGGCGAACAATGGATGAGAAGGGGCATTATCGTGAATGAAAGATTGAGGGAGTGTGTGGACAAGAAGGGTACGTGTGGTAGAGTACAACAACCGGATGCGGAAACTGATACATGGGCATTTGCCAAGACGAGAAGCGAGAGTGTAGTGAACCGTGTTTCTGTGTTCTAGCATGTCGAGTGGACGGAGTTGCATTGTGGACAAAGGGGTAAGAAGGAAAGGATAGAACAAAGAGAGAAAGAAAGAAGGCGTTCTGGTTTCTGTTGTTGTTGTTGATGTTGTAAGAGACACCATTATCATGGTCATTATCGGCATGGCCAAGGTTGGATAAGAACAATGAAGGTTTTTCACTGAGTCAAACAAGTTGTTGACTGGCGGGTTGGTTGTTTTGATGGACGATCAGTGAGTGATCAGCGATGATATGAATGATATGTATCAGGGAGTGCTTCGCCTCATGTACAAGTGTCAAGAACACCATGGGGCAAGAATGAGAAAAGGATAAAAAAGAGAGCTAAAAAAGAAATGAAAGAGAGTGGCGATCGTCCAATCGTCCATTCCTTCTTCGTAACTGACTCAACTCAAGTTGTCTCTTATTTTTACTCACTCTGATTTTTTTCCCTCTTCTTTTTCTCCTCCCTCTCGTTTCTCTTCTCCCTCCTTTCTAATCACCTCACCTTCTCACTTTGTTCTTCCTGTTCATCCATTACTCTCTCCTTCTTCTCCCTTTCCTTCCCTTCCTTCACTCCATTCTCATACAACCATGGGCTGCTGTGGAAGCAAACACTCGGATCACGACGAGGTAAACACTCCCATCATCCTCTTCATTTGCACTTCTATTCTCTTCCTACTCACGCACTCTCTCCACACCCATGCTCACGAGCCATCCATTCTCTCATCCACAACTCACCCACATCAACACACACACCCGATCAACTCAAAAATCCACACATACCTCATTGCATCAACAACCTCCTCTTGCATGCTCCTCCAAAAAATCCTCCTTTGCCACCACTTTTCCTTTTAACAAGACCGTGCCATTCATCCAACCGCCCACTAGTACATACCTTGCACGGATGTCCCGCATCCCCTCAATGACAATCAGTTTATGCAATCATCATACCCACGTCCACACACACACTCTCTCACTGATCTTGGTCTCCTATCCCGTCTCACCCTTTCCCTGTTTCCCACTTGTCTGAGCGCGAATAATATTACCAGCTCTGTGAAATATGTGTGTGTGGTCTTGTCAATCGCACTTTGGCTCCGCCCATCCCTACTCTCCCTTTTCTCGTTTGTGCACCCCACCCCTTCCCTCTTTGACTCTGGCCTCTTCCCTCGTATGTTGCATGCTTTGGTTTACTTGGATTTACCCCCCTATATTCAACCCACAAAACAAACACAGCACAAGTGGGTCTATGCAGATCAGGCTGACTGTCAGAGTGACCAGAACAGCAGAAGACCGGTGATTTTGAAGGGTTGGGATCGATAGCTAAAAATGCAAAAAGCTTGAACATTTTACTCTTACTCCTATACTCTGGATCGGAGAGCGAACCCATTCTTTTCTTTTTTCTTTTTGTCAAGCTCAGGAGGAGGAAAAGGAGGGATGCAGACAGCGGGAAGAAAGGAGTACGTGTTCATTTTATCACTCCCAGGCAGGATGAGGGAAGGACCCAAGAATGAATTTGTCAAGAGGGGACTGGCAATTACTAGAAAACAAGTATTATCGTTGTTTTAGTTATGGGATGTTGACTTTTGGCAGACCAACATGCAAGAACACCAAGTATGAACAGAAGAGAGGCTCATCAATGCACCAATCCTGCTAGTCCTTCCTCTCTCCCTTTTCCCAACGCCCCTCCTTGTGTCTTTTGACCGAGGTAGGACACGGACCAGGACTGGTCTGTGGATGATTTTTCAATAGTCCAACGGATAGAATGGGATGGGTCAAGAAAAAATATGCTGGAACAAAGAGCAGTAGTAACACGGTCTCCCTCCAATGCCTTCACTCCATCGACCATTGTCATTGCCTACAATGAACAAAAATCCTTCCCTTCTTTCTCTTCCCTTACTTACACACTCGCAGTGCTCGCCTTGTTGATCATCCCGCCTCCTTTCGGTGATTTGAACTAGCGACCCGAAGAGGAAAAATGAAGGCAAAACAGCAATGAACTCTTACTAATCCCCTACTGCCTTTCCTTTTTCTCTTTCCTTTTTACTGATCCACTTTTGATTAGGCTGAACGGACCCGCCTCCTGAACGAGAGCAATGATGTTCTTTCGTACGGGTAGGTGCTTTTGTTGCAGTTGTCCTCCTCTTCCTCTGGTTTTATTATATTTTTGAATTCAAATCGCGACGATTGGGCTTGGTGAGCAAACAAAAAATACACTGAGAAAATACGAGGCGAACAGGATGTGAGGCATTAGCATTGAACGAGGATAGACGGCAACTCAGCACAGGACACACATGCCCGAGAGTGAACAAGAACCCCAATCACGGTCCCTTCCATTCTCTCTCTTTCTCTTTCCCACCCATTTGCCCCAGCAGGGGGGATTCTGCTATGAGTACAAGACAGGGCATACTATGAGAGCATCTCCAAAAAAAAAAAAATTGTTCGCGCTCGACCAACTGAAAAAGGAAACGACACTAAAAGGGGTAGTGCACGGGAGTTGCGCAAAAGACGACTGTGCTTTCGGTTACTTCTCTGGGTGGACCAACTATTCCCATATTGCTCACAAGCAAGGGTGCAAGAGAACCAGCAAGAAAGAAAAAAAAGAGAGGGAAAAACAAAAGGAACGGCGCAGGGCAGCGGTTACGATATTTCGTAATACATTATTATCATGCCATACAATGCAAAACGATAAGGGATTCCAATCCGACAGAATTGACATTGGCTCATCCATTCGGCTCATGCAATCATGGGCGAAGGTGATATAATTGCGACTCGCTGGCTGGCGGATAATGGCGGGAGGAGTCGATTGAAGAGGGTGAAAGAAATGCTGACACGCTTTTTGGACTGACTTGCTGGGACCCGGCCCGCTGAGCCAAACAATCCAAAGGAAGAGGGCAAAGATAGAATAACAGGAAACAAACAAAACACCCTTCCATGAGCGCAAATAGAAAGACGTGGTGTCATGGATATTGAACACGGCTTTTGAACAATTACTGCGCTTCATTGGCCTGGGTGGCCTGTTGCTCAAGTTCATTATCCTCCCAAAAACATTGTCGTCCTCCGAGGAAAAACAAGAGTAAATGAGAGGTGGATGGCGCAGTGTTGTAGGAGGGAGCTTTTATATGTCAATGGCAACGTTCTTTCAAGCTCTGGATAGGGGAATAGAGACGAGGCATGACGATCGACTACTATCGGCTGACAAGGGGGATATCATCATGACCAATCTCATCATGACCTTCTCTCATGCAAATACCATTTTGTTTTTGTTGATTAACACATTTTCTTTGGCCATTGTCGGCTATGAACAAAATAGAAACAACCGGATGGTGGCAGCAAACTATGGCGAACAGAACCAAGTGCGAGAACTCGAATCATTACAGCGCATCGTCGAAAGGACAGCAGGGTAAGTCAGCTCATCTTGTCCATCCGTTATCCGCGCCCCTTCTTTCCACCTTTGCTTTCTCTATCGAGAACCTCTTTTTTTCTTTTTTGCCAGTGGCGATGGTACCCCTACTCCTTGTAGGAGTGTTAGCTGTTCTCAGAACAATTAAGGATGTTGTTTTTTTCATCCGAATGGGATATATTTGCATGGGTGGTACTTTTTCTTATCGCGATGAGAGCTCGACACGGGAAGCACAAAAGAAATAGCGCGCTTGCAGTTTTCTTGATCCATATCCAGAAAAGAAAAAAAAAAAAAAAAATGGCATTGTGAAAGACTACGGTGCATCACCCTTGTTCGCTCTTCCCATTCTTGAGAGCACATTCTCTTGAATGAGAAAGAGAACTTTGTCAACTTGCAAAAAAGGTGTATAATTGCAGTAGGGTGTGGTTGGGCCATATGCAATTGGGCAAATGCAAACAAGGAATGAGAGTTCTGAGGAGGAAGGGAAGGGAGGGACAGGTTGCGCATGATGGTTTGATGCTTTGGTGTGCCCTTTGTTTTTGTATTCGCATTGGCGACAAAACCCTGCTCGATTGGACTCTCGAGAATAAAAAGAAATCAAACAACAGCATTGCGCGTTTCCTTTGCTTTTTTTCTTCTTTGCCTCTAATGTCGCTTTGCAAGGAGAATAAAGGAGACATGAAATAGGAGAGACAAGTATCAGCGAGAGTTTCTTTTGGGCAGTGGGAGAGTAGACGCTACTTTGGATGTGGTCAACATGCAGACCACCCCCGAATCCTTTTTTTGTTTGCTTGTGTTTCGTGTGTTTTTGCTGCTGCTGGTGGTGGTTCCTGTTGTTTTGATGAACGGTTGTGGTGGCTCGAGACCCCCCGCACCCTGGGCATAGGTATCATTCCCATTGTTCTCCCCCCCCCCCCCCCCGCTTCCCTTTGTGCAGACAACTAAAACACCCATGATCCCTATCTCATGCCGCTGTCCCTATCGACATTGACCCATCCTCTCATCCTCCGTCCACCATTGGTTCATTCATTTTTCTCCCGCCCATTGCCACCGCTATCAATCCTCCCTTCCCCTTCTCTGCCCCCTTCCTTGACAACTTGCCTGCCCGTGTCCTTTGTCTCTGCCTTTTTTTTTTTTTGAAGAATCGATTTGATTGTTCTGCTATGTTACTATTTTCGCCTTCTGTCTCCTTGGGGAATGAGTGAATAAGGTGGTAAAGGTTAACTGCTGCTCTTCCTCCTCCTAATGTGCACGACACTTGGGGTAGGGTAGGGACATCGGCCTGCCTTCGGAGTGATTCTGTTGAATGTGTTGTTGTTTATGATGTTTTCACGCCCTTCTTGTTACTTTTTTCCTCAGTCGGTGGTGTTTGTGAATGTCTTTCCTTTGTCTTTTCTTCTTCGCCCCCTGTTTTATGTTTCTTTAGGATGGTGGTATTGCTGTTGTTGTCTCCCACAATTCATTACTTTACATATATATTGTGTTGTACACAGGGCATTCGTATCAACTATAAATACCGCGGGACTTATTCGACGATCTAGATGTCCATTTTCCCTCAATACTAATCATCAAACCCTTCATTCTTCGCTCTTCTTTCTCTTTCCTCTCTTCTTCTTTTCCCTTTTCTTTCGCACTCTCTTTCCTCCCTCTCCCCCTACATCTCACTCTCACTCGCTGCCTGCAAACAATTCGAAATATTAACAGGAATCTGATCGATATCCCATCGACATTGCAACTCGAGCGACTCCAACAACAAGAAGCCCAATTGAGATCGAACGAGTACATCTCTGCACTCAACACCGTCAAGCTCCCTCAACAGACCATCAAGAAACTTCACAGTATGACCTCCGTCGTCAAGGCAGGCGCCGATCATCCGAGCGATCAACAGCTCCTCGAGGTCGGAGGCGTCAAGTCCACGGCATCCTCTGCTGCCAACTCACTCAAGGCTCCCTCCGTACGGGAAGTCTTGGCTGAGAAGACCATCGACTCTAAGACATTAGGATGGGTACGTTGCTTGTCTTTTGCTTTTTGTAGTTGATGGTGTTTGATGAGCGATAGAAAGGGGGGAGCGGGGTGATGGGATCATAAAACAAATGAGGGGCTCGGCTTTGTTCTTGTTACACACGACGCTTTTGCGCCTAATTTTTCCACAAAATTGGGCGGAGCGACACAGAGGCAACACTCAACTAACATGTGTGTTTTCCTTTCCTTCTGTTTCATGAATGATTTAGATGGCAAGCGCAATGGGAGAACTCCACCAGGCAACGGAGCAGATCGACGTTGAGGATGTGGGCGAGTTGATTGTCACATTGTCTCCACCCGTCGGGCAATAAGTTGCTTGCCTCCTTTCTGTCTGTCTTTCTCTCTTGTATTATTTTCGTCTGTCACTTTTTCCCACTTGCTTGTACTTGTCTGTTGTGGTCATGGTTGCTTCTCTCAGCGATGGCCGCATATGATATCCACCTTTCTTACCCTTCCTTTCTTTGCTGTTCTTTATTTTCTTCTTGTTTTTTTACCGCATTTTGTTTCAACATAGTATTCTCCCTTTCTTCTAATGACCCACATTTCTTACAAAAACATACACTTCATTCATCACTTCATCCAAAGCTATGGGCTGTCATCTCTTTTTTTCGTGTTGTTATGAATCTCTCCACAAAATAAAAGAAAACACTTTCAAGCGCGCACACACAGAGTTATATTACTGGTAGTTTATTCGCGTAGTGGTGGTTGTTTCGCAGGTTTGTTATGATGTGGTCCTTCTCAGGAAATGCAGCAGCAGCCAGTGGACTGCTTGGCAAAGGGATCTGGCCCGGTCGTGCCCCACAAGCTAGGTATGAGCGCGTCTCTCGTCGTGGTCACAAATTGAATCAGGCTATTTCACATAACCACGCAAGAACACAAGTGAAAGAAAGTGGTGGGTAAGTTCCAGTCCTCATCTCATACCTTTAAAACAAACATTGGGTGCAAAAAAGAGAAATAGGCAAACATATTTCGAAAGAGGGTAACATACCTTTTACTGGCCTCGGAGACAGGGATCCGGCGCATCTCAAGGTGTTCCCGTAGCCGCTGATTGTGTTCCAAGAACCGCTTTAACTTGACCTCGGACACGCCCGAGGGGCCCATAAACGTCGGTCCCCTCGGAAGTGCCCCCATCATCGGAGGAGACGTTGCTGATGGCATTCCCATCGCCGAGTCGTTCATTGCCTGTTGTTGCTGTTGCTGCTGTTGACGATACTGTGGCTGTGGCTGTTGATATTGATGTTGGTGTTGTGCGGCGTGGGCTGCGGCGGTGGAGGGGGAAGAAGGCGCGGGCTGCTGTGCTCCTGTGGCGGCTGATCCTGCTTGCTGCTGCTGTTGGAGGATGACGGAGGGTGTGGCCCCGTTGGTGATACTCCCGAGCGAGTTTGAGCCCTTCAATAGGCCGTCGTAATCGTGTGCTTCGACGTCAAAATCGGATCCTGAATTCATTCTTGTTTTGTTTGTTTCGCGGTGGTTAATAAAGATGGTAGGTCCCCGACTTGGGTTTTTGGGTCGTTGTCCTGTCGGTTGTTGCTCCGTTCAGTGAAATGATTGATCGTTTCGGGAAGAATGTGGTCGCGGTCTAATTTTGAAGGAATGAACGTTCAGCAGTCAGGTCTTTGGGCTCATTCTGGCGTCCTGCCACGAAAATTGGAGATCGTCAGCTGTCAAGCACACGTACCAAAAGTTCTCGATGTTCTTGCTCGGTCTTGGTGGTCTGGTTCACAGCAGAAGAGGTCAATCGGAGTGGAAAGCAAAGCGTTTTCTAAGTGTTGTGGAAGTGGTGAAGATGAAAAGAAAAAAGGAGAAAAGGGTGCAACGATGGTAAGTAAACAGCAATTCACCTTTATATAAAGTCGATTGGTTCCGCCGTTTTTTTTTGAGGGATGATGTGATAGGGGCTAAAACCCCAGGGTGAACGAAAAGTGTAATATTACTGCTTAATCCTAACGACCACAATGCGAATAAGAGAGGCGTTACATGTAGTTGGATGGGGGTTGCGGGAAGGATAAGGGGAAGGGGCAGATGTGGCCCATAGTATCTAATTGTACCTCAAACGTAGAACAGCCCTTTACGACAGAGGAAGGAAGGAGATGAGCAGTAGCACTTGTAAAAGAAAAGGACGGTGCGGTAATGGAGTTGGGGTGGATGACAAGTCGAAAAAAATCGTCAAGAGAAGTGAGAAAAGAAGGTGAGGAACTGTTTGCAGCAGGATCAAGGATATGTCCGTTCGGAGTGAATAAACACACGCCACAAAGGACAAACAGGAGAGTGGCGTCTGAAGAAACAGAAGCCGGGTGCCGGGGATCCATAGAAAAACAACAAACAGACCGACAAAGGCGAGAAATAAATAAACTGACAAGAAAAAAGGGATGGAATGAAGAGCAAGAGTGGTTCACTTTTTGCCGCCATCCCTTTGGTTTCCCTCCCTCTCTCTCTCTCTCTCTCTCTCTCTCTCTCTCTCTCTCTCTCTCGTTCCTTTCTTCGTCTCTTTCTTCGCTTGCTCGCATGTTTGTTGGCTCTTTTATCCTCTCTCCTTTCGCCTTCCTCCTTCCTCCTCCTTCCCCCTTCTCTTTTTGTTCAATCAAAGAAAACAGTGATTTCGTGCCCGGTCAGTCAGCGAAGGGGTCTTTTCCTTACGACTTTACAACTCCTCTTCTCCTCGTCTCCTTCATTCCTTTTCTTTCTTTCCTACTTGTCGTACATGTTATTTGTGGTGTTCATCCCGTTTCCCGTCACTCCTTGATCTCCACACCGGTTTCACGGTTTCCCTCTAACTTTCTCTCTTTCTTTTTTTCTGCAATGTGGTGACAAATGAGATTCTGAGCCCAAGGCACTTGAGAAGGGGGCAAGAAAAAAATGGGGAAGCAAGGGGGAAAGTGTGGCTGGCTAGTTGTTGCATGCAAGATGGACTCTTTATGTAGTGCGAACCCTTCATTAACCAAAATATGCAAGATGAGAAAGACGACAACGACAAAGCCGATGCAGATGGTGAAGGGGACAGAGGGAGGGAGGAAAAAGAAAGAAGGACGCTCTGTTTGTTTTGTTTGTTTGTTTGTTTGTTTGTTTGTTTGTTTGTTTGCCGACGGTAAATTGATGCAACACGATTTTGACCACAACAATAGCCTTCATTCAATTGATATCTCTATCACACGATAATCAGGCGGGACAGCGAAGCCGTCAGGGACCTGCACAAAAAAAGATATGAATATGGATTTGCGGTGGTCCGTGGAGGTAGCAGAAAAGAGCAACATGGAGGGAAAGAGGGATCCATGTTGAGGCAGAAGGTGAATATAAACGCGACAGGGCCCTTTCGGACGCGTTGATTTGTTGGTGGTTGCGGTGATGGCCAACGGCAATTGGGCGCGGGAACAGGACCCCAGTCCGGTCCAGTCCTGATGTTGCTTGGATTCAAGAGAAAGAAAAAAAAGTGACTGTCCGTGATACACCACATCTAATCTGCCTGTCATGCTACTTGTACTCACTCACGCATTCTCCTCTCTTTCGAGTTACTGCGAAAGCATGCGCTCGTCGTTTTTCTGTATATTACTGTCGGCTGGGTGGTGTGTGTACCGTGGGATGGGTAGATGATGTAAGGAGAAGCAGCCCTTCTCAGCTGGTCAGAATAGAGCCAAGAGAAGAAAGACGGAATGGAGTTGGTGAAGAGGATAAAGAGAAGGAAAATATTTTACCTTTCTGAATTGGTGCGTTGAGGAAGGTTGGTTGAGAGGGGAAGTTTCAAAAGGGAAAGAAAAAATAAGTTGATAGCGGCGAAGGAGTGGCGGTGGTTAACAAGGTTAAGCGGCGACGAAATGATTGGGAGAGGCTGAGAGTGAGTTTGGATGTTTGTTGTTGGTGGTGCGTGTAATCGGTGTGAGTGTGTGAATGAAGATCGAGAGAAGGAATTAAAAAAGAGCAATTGTTGATCTGGATGAGGAAGAGCGATTGCGAATAAGTGAATGGGAAGAAATAGGAGTGGGAATGAAGCGATCTCCTGATGGAGTGAAGTATGTTTATATAAGAGAAAAGGGAGGGAGAGGGATGTGAGAGGGAAAAGGAATGAAAAAGAGAGAGAGCGCAAGAGAAGGAAAAGTGGCCATGGATTGATAGAGAGAAAAGGCCAGAACGTGGTCAATGCAACAACCAGCTTGAGAGCAATACAGCCAAAGCATGTATGAAACCCATGTGCAGTTAAAAGGCTAATTTATATTCATGCACATCGAAAGAGGTGAAACACAACGCGTCGTTTTTTTTTTGGTCGCGTCCATCTCTCGACCTAAAAGCACTCTCTTGACACCCAGTTCGCAACCGTAGCCGGAACCGAAGATAACGATAGCTTGACTCCCGTTCATCCTGCCTGGTAACTTCTCTAGTGTCGCCGTGTTTCTTTTTTTTACGCCGCTCTGCTCAAATCAAACAGGTAAAACAAGGACGCATACAGATGAACCAAGGGATGCTGTGGGACTCACTCACCCTCATAATTGATACTGACCAATGCAACAAGCTCCACCATTAACGATCTCTTTGGTCGGAAAAGCCATATACCATTACCAGGATGGTCATACATGACTACCTTAAGATCATACTTCGGGGTTTTTTTTGTTCTTAAGGCCTTCAAGGCTCGTTATCAGTCTCCCTTTTTTTTATCTATTCACCATCTCGTTTCTTTAACACCCTTCAGCCGAACCACCCCAGTGAAATACGTCGAAAGCGCAATTTATCAACAGCTCAACCGCTCAGACAACTCTGATAGCAATTATAAAGACCGCTGCCGTACTGCGATAAAATAAGAATTATTGACGCAAACGACAGTCAATAACGAAAGTTGTACCTCAAGCAGGCAAAAAAAAGTGGTTGATCGTCGTCCTGAGTGTGTATCAAACGAAATGTACGCCAAGGAAACCAAGCATCCGCTTCAGAAATGCCTTGGGGAGAGAAAAGGCAGAGGTTTGGAGACGCCGTAGGAAATCTGTAATGATGTTTGGTAAGCTAGAGAAATATGCGATTGGACCACAAGAAATCGGTCTGCTTGCGAGTCGAAGACAGTCTACAACTCAGCATAAGAGTCAGGGCGGAGTGAAGTCCACCAGAGATCGACATGATGGATTTCTTGGTCAAATTTGAAAGGAGAACCGGAGCGGATGACGTCCAGATCCTCGCGCAAAAAGTACAATAGGGAACCAAAAACAAAGTTATGTAACAAAAAATACGAACATGTCGACTCGACCGCCGCTCCATGAAACACAAAAGAAAAAATGGGCATTGTAGTGGATGACCAAAAAGACGTTCAGAAGGGGTAAGGATGTGAAACAAGTATCGCGACGTCCAATCCACTGCTCCGCAGCTGCTTTCCAAGCGACATGTCTTCGCCCTATCCTAATCGATTGCCGAATATGATCAATATGTGAAAAGACAAAAGGGATGAAGAGAACGTTCGATCTTTGTTTCAGCAGCGGAAAAATAAATGCCTGGGTACGAAGTCGTCAACATAATACCCGCATCCGCCTACAACTATTCTCGTTTCTTAACAGAGGCAAGTCCATCCTTTTCAACAATTCACCTTGACAATCATCACGCTACCATCATTTACTACTGCAGAAAGACCGTTGTATAAAAGTGCACTGAGAAGACCTCACAAATTCAGGAAAGAAAAGGTTAAACCATTTGTGTATCCATGACCAAGGTGCATTTTTTTTGTCAATAGCTATCAGCGCGTATCGCCAACACAGTCTCCTATCCTCCTATATCCTCAAAACCAAAACCAACCCACTCCGTCATCTTCACAACCTCAATGTTGCATAATTCACCCTTGCAATCGACCTTCTTCATTGTCTACTTCAGGTCCATCAACGTCACTTAAAACGTCATCTGTCGATCCCATCGCCCGCGAGCTACCTAACCTCGACGCGAAAATGGAAAAAAACACAAAGAATGCAGCACTTTTCTCTGAAGCAATTCCGACGATGTGCGTCTGTGGCTCAATTTCATCCCCGCTTCTTAAGACGCGAAACCACAACTCTGAAAATAAAAAACTCGCCCTTTCTAACATCACAATGATCATCCACAGAAACGCCAACAAACCAATAAATACCATCATTCGAACCTGGTGATTCTTAGTCTCAACACAGGCCACTGCCCTACAGGAGAGGATTACGCACAAGCCAAGGAATCCTCCTACTCCTCCTCTGAATGCAAACTGAAATGGTGTCAAAAGGAGGAGAAAATATTATACATCCGCTCACGAAAAAAAAAGAGTAGAACAGCCGCCCTAACTTGGCAAATAACAAGTGCTGTGAAAAAACGAACAAGCAAAAAGCCTCACAAAAGAGTAAATGATATGTTCCTTCACGTCAAATCGTCCTCGCCATTCTCTCAAACATATCGTTCAATTATTTTTGCATTTTTATATTTTTTGTCTATGATCACAGGGCAAACAAACTATTCCTAACCCGCTAGCCGCTCATGTCGTCCACCGGCTGGCGTGATACCAAAACAATGCATGACCTTCTCCTTGAGGTCCTGCCACCGCGTCCCCCGGTTGCCCGAGACTAGTTCCTTGACCACCCAGAGTGGCAATCCTGAGAGTACAATCACCATCGACAGAAATGACTCCAATGGCGCCTGTACAAACGGCATCAGGAACAAAAAGAGCCCAAAAAACGTGAATGAAATCGGTACCACCATCCACACCTTGAACGGCCGCTTCAGGTTTGGCTCATGGTAGCGCAGATATAGTAGTCCAAGAATACTTGACAAGTAGCTATTAAAGTGAGATCGAGTCAAGAATCCAAATGTCAACATGTATGATCGCAGAGTAAAAAAGGCCATTGACAAATAACAAAACAGCCAAAACTTACAAGAACCAGGCGGCAACGGAATAAAAGTTGACAAGGGTCGAAAAGGTACCGCCAAGAATCATAATCGTCGTCATGACAGCCTGAAGTCCCAAAGCTGCGACAGGGGTCCTGCGCTTCTCACTGACCTTGCCAAATATCTTTGGCAAGTATCCCTCGCGTGCCGACGCATAGATGACTCGTGCTCCTGTAAAAATCGATCCGTTGGCGGCTCCAAAACAACTGCACGCTACACAAATCGCAAACAGCACGCCTCCCGTGCTCCCGAACATTTGCCTTCCAAAGTCCTATGAGAATTGAAGTAACATACGTGATGTTTGGTAAGTTTCGTCCAGCTCGATTATCATTTCTGAACAATAAGATTAAACAAAGTCAAAACCAAGGTTGAATCGATACTTACGATGGCGACGGTGTTGGTGTTCATGACCACCTCCTCGGGGAGAACGGCGTAGTAGGCAGTGTTGGCGAGGAGGTAGAAGATGATAACGATTGGCACGCCAGCAAAAATGACCCGAGGGAGATCTCTAGTCGGGTTCTTCATCTCGGATGACACATAGTTGAGGTTGTTCCAGCCGTCGTAAGCCCACAATCCTGAATAGAGTCCCAATGCGATGTCGCCGAGACTTGGTTGTGAGGTCCCCTCAAAGGCGTGGTCAAAGTTGTGGCTTGAGAGGGACTTTTGTCCCAATACCACCAGACCGGCGATTCCAATGACCAATAGTGTCACCACCTTGATGAACGTGAAAATGTCCTGGATCCTGGTTCCGACAGAGACGCTGATCGAGTTGAGTCCTGATAGGACCAGCACGCAGGCAATGGCGATCAGTTTGTTGGACCAGTGACGCATTGGTTGTGTTGGATCCCATGATGACTGTGCCACAATGTTGACCACATATTCTGCAAACACAACCTATTGTGTTAAAGGGTTGCAAATAGAAAACTTGTCAGTGCTAAGTTGCTGGGTCCTTATCTTATTTTGTCAATCGTTCTTGCTGATATGTTGTATGTTGATACGACTGGCAGAAAAATCGTCTAATGTCGGTCATTTTTTCCTTGCTGACGTTCCATTTTTCCTGTACTCTCTCTCAGTTGTCCAGAAAGCGAAAAAAGGGTGATGTGAATGTGCTCTCCACACTCTTCTCCTTTATCCACCATGTCCACTTGCTTCTTCTTAAGACCACAGACTCCAATGCTCAACTCGATGGCATCTTGTCCTCTGTCCATTGTTTTTCCGCGGTGAAATACGTGTGTCCACGTCCTGGTAATTTGCTTCCTGCTGCTGAATGTTGGGTCCTGCACTTCCATTCCATGCATGATATGCACTCTCTTCCTTCTGCTATTTCGTCAAGAGACTTACGCAAATGATGGCGTTTCCTGCAGGCTATAACACACACAGTTATTGGAATTGCGAGACACAGATGAGAAAAGAAAAGTTGTTAGTTGTGTAACTCTGTTTTGTGTTTTTTCCAAATTGGTTTCTCAATGGTTCGTCCACGTCTTTCAAATCAATTGAAGAAAAAAAAAAGACAACGAACACCAACATAGGAACATAGGGTTACCTTCAAGAGGGCAATTGAAGACCAACTGAACAAGAATGCAGGTAAGCTCCCAAAGGCATGATTCAAGTACGCATGCTCGCCACCTCCAGAACTGGGCATCGCACTCCCCAACTCTGCATAGCACAAGGAGCCCGCAAAAGCCAGAAGCCCCGACACGAACCAAATGATCAACGAGACCCCGACTGATTTGGAATAGGCGAACACAGGACCAGGGGAGGCAAAGATGCCAGATCCAATAATGACACCGACCACCAAGGTGAGGCCATTGCTGAAGGTGACATTCTTTTGTAGGTCACCCCGTTGCCGGTCGATGGCTTCTGAAGAGGAGAGGGGGATGATGTGGACGTCGATCGTGTCTGTGTCGGTGTCGTGATGATGTGACTGACTGAGATTAGAGTCGTCGGATGATGTGGAGGATGTAGGATGATGGTGGCCGTCGGTAGGGTGGAGATGTTTCTTGAGGAGAGCCTCTTTCTTTCCGGTAAGGGTATGGTGCTCATCAATGGCATCGAGGTCGTCGTCGTTGTCGCTGTCGGATGAGTCTGAGAGGGGGTCGATCTGGTAGCGGTTTGCGGCAGCTTGATGGAGGTGGCTGTTGTCGAGTTGATCTAGTTCGAGCGAGTCGTCGCGGTTGAACGGGTCGCCCTTGTCCGGATCGTTGTTTATCCTCGGCATTTGCTGTTGTTCTTGTCCTGTGTTGATGATGCTGGAGTGTAAATGAAAGTAGAAAGAGAAGATGGAAAGGCGAAGTAAAGCTGCTTCAAGAAGCGATGAGGCGATCAACCTTTTTTTTGTGAGGACAGGAGTGGAGGAGATTGAAAAATAAAATACAAAGGGGGAGGGGCTCACTCCTTCTCTCTGTCTGTGTGTCCTGGTGGACCCACTCGAAGCATTGGACCAGTCATCTTTCTTCTTCTGGCCTGTTGTTAGCTGCTACGATCTAATATAAGAACTTTCTTGCCTTCACCAGCTGGTTGCCTATTAAGCTGGCAAAGGTTGCCTATTAAGCTGGCAAAGGGAGTGAAAACGGCTGGTTGTTGTCCAAGAATCTTGTTCTCCTCCCCCTACGACGACCGGGGTTTTTTTTAATTTTGATCAGTGACACAGATAAAGTAATCAGCGATGGTGCCAGAGCCCAGAGGCAGAGAGGGTTGATGATGGTGATGGCGCCTGGATGGGGATCGTACTTCTGTTGATCATCGGTCATTCTTGGTGGGGAGGGGGGGGGTGAAAGAAAGGTCCCATCTATCCATCACCCACGCTATGAACACCTATGTCCTTTGTGCACGCCTGGCGAAAGCCGTCCTTCCCTTCTTCCCCACACGTTAATGGATCTGTGCCTGAAGTACTCTCAGTACTGTACATGCCATCATCAACACTGTTCAATGAGACGTGTGCTTGATTGATTTTTATTTGCGGAAGGGGTATAATGGACTTCGATACAAAATAAAATGTTATGCTTGGCAAACTTATCGGCGGCTAGTCCAAGGGTTGGGAGTAGCTGTGGTCCACTTGGCCATAAAACTGACAGATGCTGCTCGGATCAACTCCTGCCATTCAGCCGTCGACAGCCGTCCTCGGTCAGGATCATCCTGGTATGCCTTTTGTTGTTGTTGTTGCTGTTGTTGTTGTTGTTGTTGTTGTTGTTGCTGCTGTTGCTGCTGTTGCTGCTGTTGCTGTTGTTGGCGCTGTTCGCGTTGTTGTTGGTATTGTTGCTGATATCTCTTTTGGTAATAGGCACTTCCGCCAGGACCATAAGGAGGTGACGGTGATCCTGGACGTGCCTGCTGCTGTTGTTGCTGTTGGTGGTGCTGGCGGTATTGCTGGCTCTGACGCTTGACCTTGACGTACTCTTCTCCGGCCATCTTCTCAAGCGTCTCCTGAAGGACATGCTCGCGCTTCTTGAGGCTGTCGCGGATCCGTTGGCCAATCTGCTGATCAGAGTACCAGCCCAATGCATGGTTCGCCCCCGTTGAGATGTAAGAAAATGCAAACATGCACGAGATAAGTGAGATGCAGACCACTGAGGCAACCATGAGCTCGACAATTGACTTTGTCATCCCACGGACAGTCGGCAGCTTGAACACTGGCATGGCAGCCACAGGAGCAGCCGCCACAGGCGAGGTGACGAAAGGTGCGGCTCTCGAGTCGTCTGTCGTTTTGTGCGAGCGTCGCCTGTAGGTCTTGTTGGTACTCGAGCGCGATTGAGGTCGAGAGGACGACATAGGGATCTCTTCCTCCTCATCCTCGATGCGAACACTGGATCTGGTGGCAGATTCGGTGATCCGTTGTTGTTGCTCAAAGGTGTATCCCTCCGAGAAAGTGCGCGAAAGGTCAGGTCTCTCCCCTTCGTTGTCCTCCTCCTTGTCAAAGGAGCGAGGGGATCGACAGCTTGGGCGGGATGTTCGACGACGGTGAGTATCGCGATGAGAGGGTGAGGACGAGGGCGGGGAGGAGGAAGCCGGAGAGTGAGACTCGCTATGGCTATCTTGACTAGCATCGTCGTACATGAGGTCCTCGGCATAGCGTTCTCCGTAAGAGTCGCGACTGCTAGCGTAGGAGAGCTCGCTGCGCTGGTCACATTCGCTGTCGTCTCTTTCGACCTGTTCCTGGCCAATGATGAGATAATCGGACAGAGACGACGAGGACGACGAGAGCGAGGCGGACGACGATGACACAAAGGAACTGGAATCAGCCACAGTCGAAGCGTGAGCGTGGACATGCAGGGGTGACGGGCGGCTGCTCAAAGGTATGGACATAGGCCTGGCCATGGTGGGTAAGGGCTTTGGCTCATCAAATATAGACCGGGAGGTCTGCGAGAATGTTCTCTCGGCTATTCCTTGTCCCTTTTCACTCTCTCCTTCCTCCTCGTTTGTTGTGCTGCTTGGGACCTGTTGAGGTTGCTCTGTTACTGCTTCTACAGTCGCACTGTCGCTTGGCGATGATGAGGGAAGGGAAGAGGAGGTTGGAGTGGGTGAGGCTGAGCCGTCACAGGCCAGGAGAGTAACGACCTCGGGTGCATGCTCAGATGTGTCAGTCTGTGCCTCGTGTTGTTGGTTGTTATGGGGGATGATATCCGACGCGGCTCTGGTGGGGATTGCTGCTGTGTCCTGTGCTCGGTCAGAACTGTTGGGGTGATGGTGAGCCGCTGCCACGTCGACGGCAGGGGTGTTGCTTGTGTCAGCCTCGTGCTTATTATTGCTGATATTGCTAATATTGTCGATGGTGGTGGAAGGGAAAGGCTCATGCTTGCAGCTGATATTGTTGTCGGACATGCTGTCGCTAGAGAGCGATGAAGTCTCGCTTTGGCCAGTAGGAAGAAGGCTTTTGCTGTAACTTGTTGGCGGTGAAGAGGGAACGGGTGTTTCAGCTCTTGTCGAGCTTGTGTTCCCGATGGGGGTGTGGATGGTGATAGGGGAGTTCATTTGTGGCAACATTGGGGGCGGACTATTGTTGTCTGCTTTCATATGAGCGTGCGTAATGTATTCGTGAGCAATTGGCAGGGTTCTGTTTTCCTGTCACTTTGGCCGAGGTTCTGGCTGTTGGTTGTTTCTGTTATTGAAGGGTGAATTGAGAGTGGAGGAAGCTGTCCGCCAGATATCTTGTAGCAGTTGAAAAGAGCGATGGAAGAAGAGGAAGTAGATGTAAGGGAGGGTTGAATTACGGCTGTTTTCGGGTCGAAAGGGCTGGTTGGGAGAAGAGAAGGAGAAAAGGAGAGAGGCGGAAAGGGAGGCAAAGGGAGGTCGTGGAGAGAAAGTGAGGAAAGACAGGAGGAGCGCAAAACCGAAGGGAACGAAGAAAGAAAAGGGACGGAGGGGGGTATGAAGGGGTGTGAGAAACGACTTAAAGAGGGTGTGTGCAACGAGCGCGAGTTTCTGTTCGGTAGTTGTTTGTTGGCGGTGTTGTGCGACGACAAGAGAAGGGAATGAGAGAGAGTGGGAGAGAAGGTGAATGAATGAGTTAAGGAAAAGGAGTAGGTGAAGCAGAAAAAGAAGAAAGAAGGAATGAAGAAGTAGGGTGAAGAAAGAATAACGAAGTGAAAAAAAAAGAGAGGAAAAAGAAGAATAAGTAAAGGGGGGGCGGGCAGGATAAAAGAGCACAAGAAAAAAAAAGACCCAATGGTTCGAACAACAAAGAAGCAAGCAAAATAACAAGACGAACGAGCAAAATAACGACAGAATAGCATGTGCAAAAACAGGAGTAAGGGAAAAGAAAACTGTGCAAGGTCACTGTGGAGATATGGATTGCATGTCCAAACAATGGGCCTAAGAATATACCATTGCTGGCACTCCTATACCATTGGGGCTGCCTCTTTCTTTCCCTCTCTTCTTCTTGCTGCATTCGGTCACTCCCTCTTCCATCTCTGCTCAATTGGTCATCCAGATCCACCGCAAACGACCCCCTTCTTTCCTCCTCCCTTTCTTCTCACAACCACAGCCGTTGGTATCCTTCTTCCCTTAGACCAAGCCTAGCCCTTGTACCCTAGGCTGGACTGGCAAAGAAGAAATCGAAACGTAGGAGAGGGCATAAAGTTTCACGGGAAAAAAGGACAAGCGGGATCAAGGATGGGAAGTCAGGAAAGGAGCATGCTTGCGTTGTTTGTTGTTCTTTACCACAAGAAAAATGAAAAACAAACAAAAACATACAACACAAATGCTCGTACCTTTGTACTCTTGAGTCTGGGAAAACAGGCCTTTCGTATCCGAAATGTACAGTACAAGAAACTTCTCTTTCCCGATCATGGCCCTTGTTTTGCATGACACGTTCATCGTGCCTGTATTGTTTCATGGTGACGAGAGATAGCTAAGGAATGGTAGAAAAGGGGAGAGAAGAAGCTCAAAGAAAATGGCATGCGGAGAAAAAGACGTCCTAGTCGTAGCTGTTCTACATATCTCGCTGAAGCAAATAAACAACACAACATGAGTCCATAGCAAACATGGATTGCGCCTCCTCTTTTCTTTGTTTTTTTCCTTCGTTTCCCCCAGCTGCTATGCTCTTTTCCGGTGTTGACATGAAGTAAGAGTACAAGAAAGAGAAAGAAAGCGTCAATTAAAAGGGGGTAAGTGAGGATCATGACCAACCTCACAACACATCTCGTTTTTCTATTCCTTTTCCTTGTTGCCTTGACCCCTTTGCTACTCTGTCTACAGTTTATCTTTCTCTCTCTCCCCTTGACACTTTGACCTTTGGCCAAGACCTTGAGCTTGAGGGTGTAGCCATTTTTTGCTTTGATCTGCACAGGAACACAAACACATGTTTATGACCCTAGCCCTTTTACTATCCTGTCCTTCTCCCATTTTGCGTTCCGTGCTCGTTTAAGAAAGGTCATTACTCCCTTGAATGCGTATTTTTTCATTTGTCCGCAACTTGTGCGAGAGCAAAGGCGACCAAAGAGATGGAGAGGAAACCACTCCCGTTGAGCAATTGCGCATGGACGTAAAAAAGTGAATCTTAATGTGCCTGAAATCAAAAACTAAATGAAAAACGCGCAGACCGCGAGGAAAACATGTTCTACGTTTTCCTCCATCTTCAAGGTTTTAGCCCTACGGGGCATGGATATGAAGTAGCTATTCGTTTATTTCCCAGCAATAATCGACGCGCCCATAGACATGTTCCAAGAGAAAGAACCTTGCTACAAAATGATATGGAGTGTAAAAAAATGAGAGATATGCAAACAGCAAAACTGCCGCAAAATGCATTCAGACTTTGTGCTTGGTGTAAATCTGGGGACAACGCTCGAACTTCCAGGCGATACCATCAGCAAGGCCGAGATCGTCATGGTACCGTCGAATGCCTCCTTCACGCACCACATCAGCCTCAACAGCTTCCTTTGCAGACTCGACCCGCTCCCTTAGCGAAGCACCACCGTCAACGCCAGCATTGGTACCGCTACCTCGACGCCGCCGTCCGTTTCCCCCTCCTACGTTTCCTCGACCCTGCATCAACATTTCATCAGCACTCTCAGAATCACGTACCTTCTCGAGCACAGACCGCACCACCCTCTTCTCGACCTCGAACACCTCCTTCTGCTTCTTCGTCACAAGGGTTTTCTCCTTCCAATTCTTGAAGTACACCTCTAACATCCAGATCGAGGTCCGGTCCAGTTCGGAGGCGTGACAAGAGGTAAACCATCTCTTTCAGAGTTGGGAGACCGTCTTGCTTGGCTGGGAGAATGTCGTCACTGCTTGTGTTGTTGCTGATGATGCTGTAGTATTAGGGTCGCCGTTGTTGATGGTTTCGAAGTTAGAGGAAGAAGAGGCAGAAGAGATGGGAGTGGAGCTGGTGAACATGTAGGGGAGCATGTCTTGGGCGACGCGTGTAGGCAACTGTTCGTAAAGTCGTGCGATCCGGCTGAACAAGAGGTCGAGGTATTCGTCGTCAAACACCGTTGCTGCTACTGCCATCCCATATCCATGATCTCCCTCATCACCTTCAACGACATCGTCAGCAGGGTCATGGTCCTTGGAGATATACTTGATAACTTGCGGCATTTGAACTCTCCCGTAGTCTACAGGGGTATTTTCTCCTTCTTCTTCATGGACCTCCCTGTCACTACCTGCACAATCATCCTCCACCAGTATGGAGTCATGCCTGGGCGCGGTCGTCTCATGTCCACTGCAGTCGATCTCGCTGACCTCATGATATGCTTTCGGTTCATACTCTTGGTAGATCGCCCTCCGTACGCCTGACGCCTCATCCTCTGTCTCGCAAACCAGAGTATCCTCGTCCAGTAGTGTCACTCCCTCCTTCTTGCCTTGCTGGCCACCTCGGTAATCTTCAGTCTCCTCCGTCTCCTGAGACTGAACCTCCAACAATGATATCCATTCTCGGGCAGGAGTCGAGTTGTTGCCCTTGATCTGCTGAACTGGTTGGGGCCCGTCCTGAGTGAGGTCTATGGTGTCGTCTTCTGAGAAGTCAGTGTGACACGGAGTGCGGCCATCGAAGTGGCAGCCTTCCACGACGGTCTGATATTGGTGTAGGTTGTCAATACTTTTGGCACTGGCAGTTGAGGTGGCGTTTACGTTCATGCTTGACTGTGGGTGTTTGCTGTTGTTGAGGAGTGTAGATGGAAATAAGCGTGAGTGGTTGAAGAGTTGAAGAGAGAAAGACGTGCGAATGAGAGAAAGAGTGGAAGAGGTAGACAAAGGGGAGTAATCGGACCCGACATCATTTCTTGGCTTAGTGATAAAGATATAGACGCGAATTTGGTGATCTTTCGTGTTATTTATCAGTGGCGTGACAAATGACACCACGCGTGTGTCTGTACGCGCGCATACGTCCGAGGTAACGTGTCGGTTGGTGTAGCTTATATCTGGACGCGTTTGATTTTCTTTGAAGGCGGGCGTCGTCACACCAGGTCTAGAAGTGATGGAAACAAAAAGAGTATAAAACAGGGTCGCTCGCTTGTACTTCGTCGCATTCACATAAGGTTAATATACGCGACTGTCAGACAGGACGAGGACACATTTCATTGACAGGACGCGTTCGAGACAAGGGGGGAAACAGCTTTTAACCCCTTGGTCGTTGATGAACATCCAGAGACGAGCTCGTTTTTATCAATAATCACTAATCATTGATATGACGGCAAACCATTGTCGCTCACCAGGAAGGACAGGTATATGTGCCCCCTCCCACCTCCGCCTTCTTTCTTTCTTACTATTGCTCCTTACTATAACACACATATGCTTTTCTCACTATCTTACTATCCCCGTTCTCCTGTCCTCTCACACCTCGACCTCCGTGCGAGCTAGGGCCTTCCATTCCCACCCACACACCCAACATCCGAGTCATCAAGGAAGAAGGCATCCTCACCAACCAACCAACGCCCACAAACATGACCAACTCACAAGGAGGAGAGAGAAGAAACGGATGAAGAGATGAGTAGACGATCACCAACGAGGGCGTGAGGAGCGAATACTAGAGAACATGTACATGTCATTTAATAAAGAAAAGGTAACTAATGAACGAAGGCGCTGACTATGGTTTGTGATTGTTTCAAGTGATCACAAACACAAAAAAAAACGTCCACCTGGCTTTAGGGTTCAGTCCGCTGAACACAAAGTCCCAAACTTTTGCGTTTGTTGTTATTGACAGCAAAACAAGAGGCAATGTGGAGAAATGGTGGCATGAGCAAAAATAAAAAAACTGGGTCATTTGTATCTTTTGGGTTGTGTCGTTGTTTGGTCATTTAGGAATAGCTTGATCGCTGGTTGGTTGTATTGTGTTCATGTTGTCGTCCAATCGTCCCAAGGAATAAGCCCTTTGTTGTCCCTGAATAAAAAATCGTTTCGGAATCTTTAAAAAAAGTGGAGAGAAGGAAAGCGGGCAAAGTGGAGAGAGAAAGGGGGAGAAAAGAATGCTAGAAGAAATAAAAAGGTGGAGCCAAATGGGTCACACGCATATCATAATCACTTGTAGGTTTATGGTTCTATCCAATTGTGCGTCGCCATCGTCGTATTTCTTTGTCTGCTTGTCGATGGAAAAAATATAGGGAGGCCAGGTGTGCTCATCAGCGAAGAGCTTCTCATCAATGGTCTTGTGGTAGCTGAGTAAGGTCAAGACTGAGAAGTTGCGTTCTTGATGAGTCCTATCCTAAGCTTCGTTTTCGGCAGCTGTTTACTCGCGACATGTGTGGGAAAGTGCACAGATACGTAGAAATCATTTTTAGTTAACATGGCACCTGTTTGAGGTGACCAGCCGTTTAAATGTAAACACGGTACAAGATCACACTCAAAATTTCGGCACCAGAGATAGACAGAGTCCTTGCTTTCTCTTGAGTGCAAGCAGATAGAGTAGCAATAGAAACGGGGACCGACAAACATATAATGACACACGCATGTGCTTGTTGTACCCCGGTCGGAGGCGGGTATGGCGGAGTGAGCTTCTTAAGCTTCATATCTTTTTTTGCGTGCGTTCTTCTAATTCCTATCCTTCTTTGTTCTCCGCCCATCGCGACACGTTTACCCCGTATCGCACCACTTTTAGATACGAAGCACACTTTTGTTCACATATGGGCTTGTCAACAATGGCTGAATGTGAAAAAATGACAGGGAGGATGGTACTCAATCCGGAGGGAAATAACCCAAGAAGAAAACGAGCAACGAGCAGGAATCGGGAAGAAATGAAAAATTGGATAACTAGTGAAGGCTCATTGTTCTCGTTGTTTATGGTATGGTATGCGTGGAAGTTGTTTGTTTTCTTGCAGTAAAAGGTAGATTGCGGGGAGTGTTTGTGGGGAGAAGGAGAGAAAGGACGAGCCAGACAATGAAGGTGAATGGCAATAAAAAGACACTTTGTTGCCACATGATGATGAGCGGGTGGAGGGTAGACAATTGAGACGCAGTAAGAGTTGAGCGGCGGAGTGCGAAATGAAACGGTCATTCTTGCCTTCTTGTATGTTTCGCATGGAGATATGGTGCCGATATGAGCAATCCATGATGAGTCCGAGCAGTGTGCAAGGAACGATTAAGAGAGTGTGAGAGTGTTGATATCGATAGAGGGCGTGGCATGTATCATCCACGTCGTGTATCGTTCGTTGCACGATAATTTATCGGGAGGAGGAGGAAAGAAAGCCCGCATTGAAATGGGGTGGACAAAGGCGAAGAAGTTAGGGCAAAGGTGTCGAAGCAGGGACGTGCACATTGTCCATATAAATAGAGTCGTCGCTTCCCGATTCTCTCCCTTTCCTCTCTTGCTCCGTCTAGCTCACAAATTGCCTCTTATTCTCTTTCTTTCAACTACTCTTCTCGTTCACACTCGTCCTTGTTCCTCACTTCGCTTTCTTCTCTCTCTAAACTCCTTCTCTTCTTCACCTTTCTGCACAATCACCCTCATTCTCACTCTCCAAACAAAAACACAGACGCAAATCAAAAATGTCCGCCTTCTTGATGCCTGCAGCCTGCCGCTGCCCTCAACGGTCGATGCTCTCCCACTTTGTCACACCTCAATCAACCACCAGCCCATCCCTTACCTTGACATCCTCCGGATCCAGAACTAGAACCAGAGTCACCACCACCATCACCGCTACACGCACCCGCTCCTCCCTCGTTTCGTCTCCTCATCAGCAACATCATCAGCAAAAGCGCCAGCAACAGCACCATGCCTCGTCTTCCAACATCTCTGCCGCTGCCTCTGCAGCCGCCGACTTTGCATCACAACCATTCCTGTTGAACGGCTCCAGTCAGTCAAAGATCTTTGCACCTCAGTACCAAACCCACTCGCCCCTCCCACTCTTTTATCAATCTCAATTGCCCTACCAGGCTCCTCCTGTCCCCAAAGTCATGCCTTTTTACCAGTACCCCTCCTCGTCATCATCATATGTACCTTCTTCGTCATCTACACATCATACGACGGTATACCCCTCGCACCAGCAAAGAGTCAAACGCCAACCCTCCTTGAAGTATGGCTCGTATGCGTCCAGGACCATCCCCCCTATGATGTCTGCCCCCGTCATGGAGCAGAGACCAATCCAGTTCGACAGAGCGTTTTTGGACCTTGCCCGGAAACGATTGGAGGAAGGAAAGGAACGCTCTAGTCATCACTTTGACTATTGCAAAGACAAGCCCTTGCGCGAAGCTGCTGTCTTCATGGTGAGTTCTCCCTCGCTTCTTTTTGTCTTTTCTTACAATGCCAGATTCGATCAGGACGGTTCAACAACGAACGTATTTCTGTTTGTTTTTGTATCACCAGGAGAGAAGTATTAATATCCTGACATTCCATCTTCTTTTTGTGTGAAATTAGCCATTGTGCGTGGTCAAGGGAGTTCCCAGCGTGTTGTTCACCCTCCGGTCGTCAAAGTTGAGGAACCATCGTGGAGAGTGCAGGTAAAGCAAAATCAAATAATTGCAATCACCCCTCTGTTAATTTTCACCATGCATTAAAGAAGCATCGAATGATTGGTTCCACTCTTGCTATTCATAGTAGTGAGAGGGAACCACAATTTTTTTGTTTTGGGCTTATCCATTCAGCTCGAATGGACAGCTCACAACAATGGCAGAGAAATAAATTCGTTTGGGGTGGCGTGTTTCTCATTTTCCCGACCATTTTTGTTGCTCATACTCACATTCCTTTTTTAAATTCCTCTTCCAATAGCTTCCCAGGAGGAAAGCGCGACCCAACAGACAAATCCTGCCTCGAGACAGCCTTGCGGGAAATGGAAGAAGAGGTCTTTATCTCCCGGGACCAAGTCGAGATCCTGGGCGACTTTACACCAATTCCCAACAAGGACTGCACCATGCGCGTTCAACCCTACATCGGCCTCATCCGTCAACCCATTAACGATATCTCAGAAATTAAATTCAACACTGACGAGGTCTCCAAAGTCTTTACTATCCCTGTGGATGAGCTGTTGGACCCTGCCAAGCGCAAGAATTTGGTTCGGTTCAGGGACTCGAAATACATGTACCCGATCTACCATGCTGAGGAGGAAGGGTGCACCGTCTGGGGGTTGACGGCGTTTATTATGGATGGCGTGTTGAGGAGGATGTTGAAGCAAGGACCTGAGGGGGCTATGATCTGTCCAGAGAACGGAACCATTCAGCGGTACAAGCCTGCTCCCGTCCTTGCGCCATCTGCTTCTGCACCTGAACCCGTCGCCGTGAGCGCATGATTCATGCTTCGTGAATCAAAATAAACGACTTTTCACCTTTTCACTCACAAAATTGAAACTGTTGCATGAGGAAATGGGCCAAGTTTCGGAATGATAGAAATCACCATGGTTAACAAAAATCATGCGCACAAGAAGGGACATGCATTGGTCCGCCTTAGAACTTTAATTGGAGTAAAACAATAAAATAAAACTACCAAAAAGACTCCGAATGAGCTATCAGATCCTGAGGCCCCTGGGCGCATTGGGTCCCAGCATCTCACTGTACGTTTTAACAGGACCACTGGACCGCGTTCGCGTCGTCTCCTTCATATACCGGCTACTCCTCAGACTCCTCAGCCTTCTCTTCGCAACCGCTGCAGGCGTGTCCGACGCGCTTCTCTTTCTCGGATTCTCCTTTGCCCGGTCATCTACGTCGTTGAAACTTGACGTGATTGTCTTCTTGTCGGATATGTTGCTGGTTTCGGTGCTGGGATTAATGTTGACGGCGTTGTTGGCTTGAGAACTTCTCGTGATTCTGGGCAGGAGTGGCAGACGTGGTTTTGGTGTTGCAGTCGTCGTTGTCTCGTCCTGCCTGTACTCTATCATCGCCTCCTTCTTAATCATTCTTCTGCCCCTCGTGGTCGCCGTGGAGATCGCGCTGGTGGTGGTAGCAATGCTGTACTGGCGACTACGAAGTACTTTTGTGTTGGGTATCGGCCCCCGCTCAGGCACCCGTTGCTCCTCCTCCTCCTCCTCCTCCTCTTCCTTGTTTTCCACTTCTTCCTGCTCGTCGCTATTACTCTCGACTCGATCGCCCTCTTCCTCCTCGCTCTCCACTGGTGTCTCCGTCTTCGTCTCGTCCTTGATCCGTCGTCGCCCTCGCATCAGCCTCAGGGGGGGACCCCGGGCTGCTCCTGCACGTCTTGTGTACGTTCTCCTGATTCTGTTCTTCTGGTGAACGCTGCCATCATGTCTGAAGGGATCTGCAAAAGCAGAGGTGACCGGAACCTCACTCTCCCCACCAGCATTGTGCCTCCTGCTCCTCCGGACTGAGCGTGTCTCGTTGGTGATAGTCGACCGCGAATCCAATTTTTCCTTTGCCTCTTCCTCGCCATCGGACGCTCTTGCAGACTCTCCCTCAACCTCGCTATTGTCATCAGCGTTCCCTTCCTCCGGCTCTGGTGCAACATAACCCTCGGTCGAATTCGAATGATTCACTACAGCGTCTTTGTCAACAGGTGCTGCCTTGCTTGTACCAGGACCATAGTGTACGGATCCTGCGTCGGATGTCGAATCGCCTTGCTGGCTAGAGGTGGCACGCGTCATTCTTCTGGTCCTAATCCGGCTGGGAGGACTCTGTGGTGTAAAAGTTGTCACCTGCTGTTTGCTAGAAGATGGTTGGAGCAGTACAGGGTCCACTGCTGGCTGTTCTTGAGGTGGGCTCACTTCTGTCGACGCTTGCGAAGGCTCCAAGCTCGACTTTGACGATGCTGCCGGAGAGCCGTGGGACTTCTGAAGTTGCGCAAGCTGTTCCTCCAATTCATCAATTCGCTGAAGGTATTGTGTCGTCCGAGACTTTTGATCGGAATTCAGCTGTCGGACTCGCTGCTTGTGGCCCTGGATAATCTCTTGGTGCTTGGCGAGCTGTTGCTCCATCTGCTGCTGCCGCTCCCATTGCCGTCGCTGCTTCTCTGCCTGCCTGTCAAACTCTTGCTTAAGGTGCCGGTATTTCGTCTCCAGTTGATGGTGGTCGACAACGAGCTGCTGGACCTTCTTTTGGTCAGGTGATTGTATCGACTTTAGGTGCTGTGAGTTGACAGTCTTGGGTGAGTGTGATGTCGAGACTGGAGCCTGGGCAGCCTGTTGCTGCCTCTGGAGTTTCTGGAGTCGCTCAAATCGAATTTCGAGACGTTCAAAGTCTCTCCGCTCCACCCAAACTCCCTCCTGGTACAAATCCCCCCAATCAGTCAATTGTTGTTGTTGCCAGTACAACTGCTCCTGCATATCCACCATCCGCTTGTGCCGATCCTTCTCGGCTTGCTCGTTCTGTTGCACCCAATCCTGAAACCAGTTGTTCAGCTGTGTCTGCTCTCGACGTTGCGGATCCTGCTTCTGCTCGAGGATTGACAGGCGTTTATGTTGTTGATCGTGCTGGAGTTGGACAGATTCAAGTTGTTGTTGAAGCTTTTCGATCTGCTGTTGTAGCTGTCGCTGTCCTTGCTCCTGCTGATCCCGTAGAATATCAAGCCGACTGGTCATTGATCCTTCAGCAGACATTTTTCCGAACGGCAAAGTGGCGGCCATAGGTGTGGGCGGTTCGACGGGCGAGGAATAGTGCGCACTTGGTGTCGAGTCGTAACCAGGATTGCCAGGCGGCGATGGACAAGGCAACGTCTCAACCTGGTTGTTCAACTCGCCAGCGGAGGAAGGCATTTGGTGTCGCACCTTCGGACTGTTGACCATAATCACATCTCGTGGCACTGGAACCTCCTCTGGCGAGACGAACCACTCATTCGGGTCGTACAGGCTGTCGTCACTGTGCGTTTCATCAAAAGTTGGCGGTTCAGGGAGTGGTATCGTTGCCTGGTCTTGAACTTCATCCTCATCGCGCCCCAGACCTCGATCCAAGTCCAAACGCAGTTCTAGTTCCAACTCCAGCTTCTCTGGTGGGTGAAGATCCAGTCCCAGATCCATTTCCTGCGGCGGAGGTTGGGACATCGTGTGAATGTCCTTCAGCGCAAGGTCCTTGTCTCTCAAACGGTCCAGCAGTCGTAGGACTTTGCCCACGTTCGTGATGGGCGGAAGGCTTACGACAACATCCTCCGCGCTGGAACTCGAGTCATCCAACATATATTGCTCCCAACGATCCTGTAATGCCGTCAAAACACGAGTGGCGTCATTATAGCTCTCCGAATCCATGCACCATCCCAATTGAGCGTGTTGTGATGTCAAAAGTCGTCTGAGGACTCCCTCCCAAAGACTACAGAGTTCCTCAAAAGAGACAATGGTCATAGGAACTAGTTCTCCATGTGAGGGCCAAGGCCTTTCGCCAAATCCTGGCTCGCCTGGTCTGGTGATGAAGCGCGGAGGTAACGGCGATGGCGAAGGTGGCCGCGACGGTGTGGTAGCTGTTGTGGTAGATGATGATGGTGATACTGCTGTTGAGGGTAGGTCGGAAAGGTCCATGTCGAAGATAAGTTTGTCACACTGTGCGAGATATCCTGTAATTGATAGCACGATGCGCCAACCGTTGGCTGTACATGATCTATCCGCGCATGACATTAGTTGCGTGAGGTTCTTCACTCTAGATTTTTAGTCCAGAAAGCAAGTGAAAGAAACGAACAACAGAGACATCAGTGAGCGGCTCAATGCAGGAAACGGATATTGACACTTAAATAATTGGCGCATTCTTTATCAAGCGTGAAATATTCTTACGAGCTCATAAGGGTTTCGGTACAGTCATCAAGACGAGGTTCCAGAGCATTAAGGGCATGCTGTTTACTGATATCAAGGACGTCTGGCGAGGATGTACTCAAAATGCGGGCCCAGGCATCCTCTCCTGAGATTGTCGTTTCAGAGATAATCTTGTGTTGATATGCTACCCATATGTCGTCAAAGGCGTCAAGGAACTGGACTAATTGGTCCAGCGTCACGGGCGAGCCTATTCGTTGTTCTTTTAATGCCGTAAAGAGTTCGTGGGGCAACTGGTCCTGAAGAAGCTCCTCCTGCTGCTGTCGCGTCGACTCCATTGGTTCGTGTGTATGGGTGTGTGAAGGTGGGTGTTGAAGACCGTGAGCACTCTGACAAACAAACAGGTCACGCGTTCTCTGGTTAGTATCTGTTGTTTTCATGGATTGAATCTCGTCGCGAGTCCTGAGCGTTGTTATCAAAGTAGACATACATGTTGCGACGCGAGTTGGTTGGCTTTCTCAAGGGAAGTGACAGCGATGGACGTTGGAAAGAGTTGTGAATTAGGCTTCTTTTAATGAAAAACGTGGCGAAGATAGAGTTGTTGAGAATGAAGAGAGGCAAGATTACAGGAGACAGAGGAAAGAGGGGAGGGTATGCTGATGGTGTTATAGAAAGTGCTTGTGAGAGTGAGGATGTGTGGAATGAGTGAAGGTGAGAAGATGTGAACCATAAGAAGTGTAACGACAGGTCGTTGTAGGCGCTCGCTGTTCGCTGTGGGAAAATGAGCTTGGCAAGCATGAGGCAATTGGACCACAGTCACGCCCCAAACCAGACGCGCCACCAAAACTATAATTTAGCTTGCTCGGCACAACTCCCTCACGTCCTGAGGTATCTCGAATGCCTGTAAATGAAGGTTACAGACAACAGAGACGCGCAAGGGTGAGCATACATCATTTACTATCAAGAACTCTCAAGTCAAAAAAACTCAACGGCGTATTCTTACCTGGACCTGACTAGGCAACGCCAAGAACTGCATCATCAACCCCGCCGCCATATGCCAATCAATGTGACAATGAAATGCCCACAGCCCTGGGTTGTCACTGACGAACCTTAGGACCACGTATCCATACGGAGGGATAGTCACCGTATCGCGTCGGAGGGGGTTCTCGGTATGCAACGCAGATCTTCCAGGCATGTAACTCCCGTCTCCTGTCCCCACCACGTAGAATATATGACCGTGCTAAATAAGAAATAACAAAGGACGAGCAGTTAGTTTTACAGAGGCAATGTATGGTTTCATCTGTCATATCAGAGGAAGCACGGTTGAATTGACTCTACCAAGTGAAAGGGATGTGCTCCTTCATCCAAATCTATAAAGGCGATAGGAAAACAATATGAAAAGACATGTACGACGAGGTCAATTCCTTAACTACCGTAAAAAACAAAAGCGAAGGTCAAGATGCCGATATGAACGTGTCCAACTTACTGTTGACAACAAGCTCGACAGTTTGGACCGTCTCCAAAGTAACTACCAACTGCGACGCATCAAATACTGTGACCGAATTTCCTCCGCCGCCACCACCACCGTCAACAGCCTGCAACAGAGTCGGATTGTTGAGCTGCGGTCTCCAAGACGTCCTGTTCACAAACCCCATATTCACACGATCCCTAGTAATCGTCTGGAACGACATCTCCAACACCACCTGGATGTCCGCTTGTGGAGCGACTCTGGCGAAGAATGGTTTCAGCATCTCGGCCTTCAAGTCGTCACAATGCGGTGACCAAGCGCTTTCCTCCCAGTCCTTAGAGGCCAGTATTTCCTGAGGAACTATCCCTGAAGTCCTGCTGTTGTTGTTGGTAATGTTGAAAGGGACATGTGATATCGACGGTATTTTATACCGCAGGATCGCCCTGACAGAAGGATCCAAAGACGGGTTCTCAACATTAAAACAATTTGTATTCATTTCTGCCCGAATCCAGAACCCCTCACCACCACTTATAGATTGATCCGCGACCAAAAGCACCGAGTATCTCTGTGCGACATGAATCGGGACCCTCTCAACCTTCACGGGAACCATATCCACCCCATCGGCCTCGATCACCTCCAACTCATGCTCGTCCACTGAAACCTTGAAATCCGCAAAACTCCCCGTGTTAATAATACGGATCCTGTAGGTCAGCCCGTGTTCGACTTCCAGGACGGCCCGTGGCGCACCCGAGTAACATCGGTCCTTTCCATATCCTCCTGAACCCGGTGTTGAAGGGAACAATGCTTCAGCGGCTAGTGAGCAGTCGAAGGAGTTGCGGCCGTTGATGAGGCCATTGTCGGGGACGGGTTCGACACCCTCACTTGCGGTGCTGAGATACCAAGCGACGAGGGATGCAGAATCAGTGTGATAGTGGTCCGAAACCATCATGATCAGATCCTGGTCGTATTTGTCCAGATGGGGCTCGTCTGGGCTGTGGATGATCAACGGTCCTATTTGATCACTAAATTTCACCGATCAGTCTCAACGCACGGACATGTTGATCAATTCTTCGTGATAGCTTTTTGTTACTTACCCACGATTCCATCGACGTACTGGGAGGCTGCATGGGCATGCCACCAATAAGTACCCCATTGGCTCGCGACCGTAAAGTTGTACGTGAAACTCTGTCCTGGCGGGATCGGACACTGCGTCACTCCTGTCGTCCCATCCATCCAGTTCGTGCCTATTGTCATTCATGAAATGCAGGTTAGGCACCTTTTTCTCCGTTGCTGTTAAACAGACCTTCAGTCGAAAACAAAGGCAAAGAGGTCCTGTCGTTACCATTCTGGAACATGCCGTGCCAGTGAATGGCCGTGCCATGGGCCATATCATTCGTTACTTTCACCACAATCCTGTCTCCCGTGTTCGCCTCAACCAACGGTCCGGGAAACATTCCTACCATCGATAAAAATTTGGATCCAGTTAGACAACAAGGAAGCTCAAAACCATGTTCCTTTCAAAGCTACAATACTATCAATTACCATTGACAAGGAGCATAGGCCTCTCAAAACCATCAGGCGCAACAACATGCTGCGAGATCGTCCACTCATAATACCGCGTTGTGGGGACCTTCGAGATCGAGAAATTGTTCCTGCTCAGGTTATACTCCCAAAGATCGTCCTTGATGTCGTACGATGAATAGTCCCATAACGAGTTTGGATCCTGAGAGCGAAGCCTGTCGATGAGGAGGAGTGTAAGCGACAGGATCAGCGTTGTTATCGCCAAGACTGAGGTGATGACTAGGACTCTTCGGTACTTGTATTCTGGCTTCCTGGTGCCCGACCATGGAGTTATCATCTTGTGAATGGTTTGGGGGATGTAGACAATAAAAGAAAGAAAAAGAAGTGAAAGTAGGATCGAGAAAAATAAGGGCGAGAGAGGGGCTTCAAACAAAAAAGAAAGAAAAAAAAGGGGGGGGTGAGCGAAACACGAAGCAGGGATGAAAAAATGACTTTGAATTTGGCAGGGGAAGGATAGGAGAGTCGCAAGTAGTAGGGAAGGGGAAGACTAGAAAACGGCAGTAAAGTGTGCCTCATTGATATCATCCGTGCTGGCATAGCATCGCCCCTTTCAACAAGACAGAAAGAGAGATGAGAGAGGGAGAGGAACAAAGGATGTCACAGTGTGAGTAGTAAGTACCGTTTTCCGTTGGCAAAAATAAAGGAATTTCTCTCACTGGTGCGTATGACCCACTCACCTCTGGCTCATGCACGCAGTCGATTCTTTCTAGGGCAGGCACGGCACGCGACAAATCAAGTACCAGGGTTATCCAGGATCAAGTGCCTTTATTCTACATGTATGCAGAACCTTCTTGAGCCTGCTAGCAAACCCTCTTCGCACATCAACCATCATCTCTTTCTCAATACAACCTTCTCCTCTCCCTGTACCATGATAGCAGTAATGCTGAAAACACCACAAGAGTCCGGACGGATGTTTGTTGTCGTCATTTTTATGGTGCTCTTTCCCCTCTTTTTCGTCTGTCTTAATCTTCGTTGTCTGTCGACCCACCATGCCATCAAGGGGAAGTGAAGGGAGACCGGACTTGAGACAAAAATATTCCGATGTTGCAGAACCATGTTAACGGACATAGGCCAACATCCAATGCACCAAGCAAGGGGGCAGTCAACTACAAAGAAGGGATCCCCTCTTCTCTCTCCCCTTGCGACTAAAAAAGACCCCCGACCTCTTACCCCTTCACTCCGCTGCCCCCTCCATTCCCCGAACTATCGACAGGCTATGATGATTTCAAACACCAGCCTTCTTCGGTGTTAAAGAAAAAAGGCAACGAGAATGACCCCATCGTTAACGACGTTTCCTACTGCGTACTTACGCGAAGAACGAGACATTGCCTCTCATCGTTCTCTTTTTTTTCCCCCTCTTCTTTCGTTCTTGTTACTCCACACCCTCTGCATAATTCTTCTTCCTGCGTCTTCTCTTTTCTAACAAACATAATTGATCCCCCATCTCTTCCCTTTCGCTTCACTCTTTTCTTCTCTTCTTTCCTGCTTCTCCCCTCCACTCTGGTTTCTTCCTCTTCCCTTTGCACTTTTCCCTTTTTTCTTTGTCATCCCTTCACATACCTATACGGCAATGATCTTCACACAACTCCTCCAACTAGCAGCAATGTTTGCCTCATTACTCGCCACCTTCGCCCACGCCGCCAAACCAGACAACCCACCAAATAACCAGCAACAACCACCAAAGGGCAAAGCATTCGACCATATCTTCATCATCTTTCTCGAAAACACCGTAAGCGCATCCCTTTCAGATAAACGCGCTTTCCGTCTTCCCTTCACTTCTCCCCTATGACCACGCCCAATTATCTGAAAATGTCCACGCAACTCACACATACTGTTATTCTTCCACCTCTTCCCACCCTTTCCATCAACATTTAGAACTACGCATTAGCAGCTTCAGACCCATACTTCCAACACCTCTCTCAAACCGGAATCACACTCACAAACTACCACGCCCTCACCCACCCCTCCCAACCAAACTACATCGCATCCATCGGAGGGAACTACTACGGTATAAACAACGATCTTGAGACCTCCATTCCTGCAAACTACACCACCATTGTCGACCTCCTCGAACCCAAACACCTCACCTGGAAGACCTACCAGGAAGACATGCCAGAAGTGTGCTACAAATTCCCAATGACACCAGACGGGTTATATTTCAAGAAACATAACCCGTTTGTGATCCACGAGTCCATCGCAGGGAACGCGACCCGTTGCAGGAACGTTGTACCGGCGTCACAACTCCCTCTTGACCTCTTCGCCGCCTCTTCTCCAACAATCACTCCTGGAACCCCTCTCCCGAATTACATGTACTACACACCCAACATGCTAAACGATGGCCACAACACAACAGTCCGCGACGCAACCCACTTCCTCTCCTCTTTCCTACCCTCTCTCCTTGCCTCCCCTACCTTCTTGCACACCAACACCCTTGTCGTTATAACGTTTGACGAAACAGAAGACTACACCATCAGCGACAACCTCGTCTACACCCTCCTCCTCGGCTCCAACGATCTCGTCATCCCTCCATCCCTCAAAAACACAACCGACGCAACATTCTACACCCACTACTCCCTCCTCTCGACCGTAGAATCCAATTGGGATCTGGGGAACTTGGGCAGGAACGACGCGAATAAGACGTTGGCGAATGTGTTCAAGGTTGTGGCGGATAAGACTGGGTACCAGAATATCGAGGTCGCAAGTGCAGATGTGGGGGTGTTTAATGAGACGATTCCAGGGTTTTTGACAGGTGTGCCCCATCAGAGGTCGTCTCATGGTCCTGCCTCTTCTCCTTCTCATGCCAACACTTTTATTCCTTTGTCAACAAGTTGTCTTTTGGTCACCATCGCATTCATTGCCGCTACCATTGTCTAGAACATACATAGAAAATAGTGTAAAATTTCAAGGTTTATTAAGAGCATGTGTAGAGAAAAACGTGGAGCAAAGGTATATGTGCAAGGCATTATGAATATGAACAGTGTAAAGTAAAGCTAATAAAAATACAAGTGAAGGGGAAAAAAAGCAAGAACTTATCCGCTGCACATAACGCAGGCATCCTTGTTCTCCAACGAACACATGATCGCCTCCAACCTCCTCTTATCATCCTCGTCCAACTTGGGCGACTCGATCTCAGGGGTGGTCAACCCATTCGCAGATCCAGATCCACCAACACCAGAACCAGTCGTGCTAATAACAGTCTGCTGCTTGACAGCCTTAGCGACCAAAGCCTGCTTTTTGAGACTCTCGACCAGAGCCTGCTGATCGACCGTGAACTTGATAGCATCGACAGCGGGGCGCGAGCGCAGATAATACATGCCAGTCTTGAGCCCTTGCTTCCATGCGAAAAAGTGCATCGATGTCATCTTGCTCGCTGTGGGGTCAGACATGAACACGTTAAGCGACTGCGACTGGTCAATGAAGGGTGCACGGTCGGCTGCCATCTCCAAGAGAGACTTCTGAGGAATCTCCCAGATGGTCCTGTACAGCTTCTTGAACTCGGGCGTCAACTCGGACAAGCCCTGGATCGATCCGCTTGCTGCAATGATCTGGTTCTTCATCGACTCGTTCCAAAGACCCATCTGCGTCAAGTCGTTCAGCAAGTGGTGATTCTAATTCACAAATAAAACAAATCGTTAGTTATCACATTCTAATCAAATTCTAATCAAATGCACTGGAAATAAAGTCGAGGCAAAAAATCTTGGAGCAAGTCACGTACAACGACTTGGAATTCGCCGGAGAGGACGCGGCGTTGGTAAATGTTGGAGGTGTAGGGCTCAAAGCATTCGTTGTTGCCAAGGATTTGGCTGGTCGAGGCAGTGGGCATGGGGGCAACCAAAAGCGAGTTGCGGACACCGTGCTTCTTGATGTTCTCCTTCAGACGGGCCCAGTCCCAAAGGCCACTGGGCTTGACGTTCCACATGTCGTACTGGAGGATACCCTCGCTGACGGGCGATCCCTCATAGGTCTCATAGGGTCCTTCGACCTTGGCAATCTCGCACGAGGCCTCCAAGGCGGCGTGGTAGAGCGTCTCAAAGATGTCCTTGTTCAACTGGCGGGCCTCGGGCGAGTCAAAGGCATATCGGAGCATAATAAAGGCATCGGCAAGACCCTGGACACCAAGACCAATGGGGCGGTGGCGCTTGTTGCTCTTCTCGGCCTCGGGGACGGGGTAATAGTTGCGATCAATGACCTTGTTCATGTTCTTGGTCGCAACCTTGACAACCTCATGCATCTTTTCAAAGTCGAATCGGTTGCTCTTGGCATCGACAAACTTGGGCAGGGCAATGGAAGCCAAGTTGCAGACAGCGACTTCGTCAGGGGCAGTGTATTCGACGATCTCTGTGCAGAGGTTGGAGCAAGTAATCGTTCCCAAGTTCTTTTGGTTCGACTTTGCATTGCACGAATCTAGTTGTATTTGAAATTAATTTACATTGTCAGTGGCTGGTCGACTAGAAAGTCATTATAGATACGAATTCAAGAAAGAGGCGAGTGCTCACCTTTGTAAAGCATGTAGGGCATGCCGGTTTCGATCTGGGCATCGATGATGGCGAACCAGAGCTTCTGGGCCTTGACGATTTTGCGGTACTTGTGGGCGGCAACGTACTTGTTGTAGAGGTCAACAAAGTCCTGTCCCCAGACACGGTCAAGTCCTGGGCATTCGCCAGGGCAGAACAAGTGCCAGTCGCCATCGTCCTGGACGCACTTCATGAACAAGTCAGGGATCCAGAGACCCAAGAACAAGTCACGGGCACGGAGCTCCTCGTGGCCAGTGTTCTTGCGAAGATCCAAGAACTCGAACACATCTGCGTGCCATGGCTCCAAGTACCTATTCAGTGATACAGATGAACGCAACAAGATTCCATGGTGGTTAGCAAACATGTCGAATAGAATCAGAAATAGAATATATCGCCATGTGGCACAATGTCGATCAGTGCACAAACTCTCAAAGAAAAGCTTACATGGCGAAGGATCCGTTACGCTTTCCACCACCCTGGTTGACAAAGCGGGCAGTGTCATTGAAGACACGAAGCATGGGGATGATACCGTTGGAGTTTCCGTTGGTTCCAGCGATATACGAGCCCGAGGCTCGGATCTTTTGGAAGCTGACACCGACACCGCCAGCCGACTTTGAAATCAACGAGCAAGTCTTCAAGGTGTCGTAGATACCCTCGATACTGTCATCAACCATCTGTACCAAAAAGCAGCTCGACATCTGGGGGCGAGGGGTTCCGGCATTGAACAAGGTAGGAGTCGCGTGAGTGAAATATTTTTCCGACATGTAGTTGTACGTCTCAACGGCAGCCTCAATGTCGCGGCCGTGGATACCGATCGACACACGCATGATCATGTGCTGGGGGCGCTCAACCACAACATCTATCACATGGAAAGATTCGATCAACGAAGACATAATATTTAGTAACGCGACTTCTCGACAAAGTAGATCGCGACAGAAATGCACAAACCAAAGCAAAAGACGTACCGTTGATGCGCAAGAGATAGGACTTTTCGAGGGTCTTGAAGCCGAAAAAGTTATAGCCATAGTCACGGTCGTATATGATGGCCGAGTTGAGACGCTCGGCGTGCTCTGTGACGATCTCGTAGGTCTCCTGGGAGACGAGGGGGACGTGGCGGTTGAGGGTGGGATGGATGTGGGTATAGAGGTCCTCGATGACGGTTGAGAAGACCTTCTTGGTCTCCTTGTGGAGGTTGGAGATGGCGATGCGGGCGGCGAGGGTGGCATAGTCCGGGTGGTTGGTGGTCAGGTAGGCGGCGGTCTCGGCGGCCAAGTTGTCGAGTTCGACCGTTGTGATCCCCTGGTACATGCCTTGCACGACCTAATTGTCGTCCGTGTTGATTGAAGAGATACAGTAGATTAGCAAATACAGTTCAAGGTCGTGGAGATAAACAAAAGAAAACTCCTACTGGGTATTTTGGGCCAGGTCCGCAACTGTCCTTCACTCTGTCTTCGGGTGATTATTGTCATTGGATCGATGAAGTGTTTGTTTTCGTTGACGTTGATAGTGGCGTTTGTCTGTCTGTTGCCACCATAGTATACATGCGCCAAACATAACAAGCATGTTACTCTATCAACAGTAACAATTGCTCTCACCCGTCTTCATTGCTCACACACTCTTTCCTTCTCACACAAGGGTAGAAAAGACACCCCAAAAACAATAACGAATAGCAGTAGCGAAATGGAAAAGAGGGAACGAGGGGAAGAGAGGGAGGTGGCAGGTATAGAAGGGAACAGGGTAGAAAGGGTAGCGAAAAAACACATGAATAACACACAGCAAAAAAAAGTATGTTTACCTTTTGGGACACGCGAGGGGGATCAACAAAGTCGGGATTCAGACCATAGCAGAGCTTGGAGATTCTGGAGGTAATCTTGTCAAAGTGGACCTGTTCATGAGAAAAAGGATCGAGGAATGGAGGAATGATTAGACAACTTGCAATCAATATTGGAGAAGGGGTGCATAAATAATAGAAAGTAGGGTATGCAGAGAAGTGTACTTACAGATTCGTGTCTTCCATCTAATGTCATTAGAGAGTGATGCAGTAAACAAGAAGGAAAGAGATGGGTGTCAGAAGGACAGAGGAGAGCTTGGACCGTTCATTCAAGACAAAACAAGACGAGACAAGAAAACAAGTGTACAAGGGCTGCTTTACCTCGCTTGACGACAAACATGCTTGGGGTGAGGTAGGGGTGAGTGAAAGAAGGGGTAAGGGTGTGTTTGTATTGCTGTTGTGGTTTTGCTTTTTTGGGATAAATGAAGCAAGATGGATATGCAGGCAATGACTGTCCGTGTATGAGGATAGAGAGGGACAGACGCGTGGCAAGGTGGTCGAGAGGATGGATAGGAAAGGGTTCAAACGTGGAAAGGGCAAAGAAGAAGAGGAGGGAGAAAGAAGAAAAAAGAAGAGGGAAGAAGAGAAGAGCTCGTCAAGAAAAACATTTTATTTGTCAGGGCAAGAAAACGCGTCAAGCCAAGTCAAGCCTCTGACAATTTCATTTATCCCTTCGTCTGTTTTCGACCGCTTTTTGTGGTCGAAATTTATCCCTTCGATTGATTCTGCGAGCAGGGTCCTCTCCATATTTACAAAAAAAAACACAGAGAGCACCCACTCCGTCACATAAAAAAAGAGGAACCACCACGAGAGGAACTTCCATATCAACTTATCTTCCTATCACTTTTCCTTCACTTTTAAACGTCAGCGAGATGGGATAAAATAGTCTCAGAGCCGAGCCTTTATAAAAGATAATGTTGTCAAAACCCTCTGACAATTCAGACGCCTCTCACTCAAAATAAGAGAGTTTGAATCAACCTCCATAAATGAAATTGACTCCAAGACAGAAAGGAAAAAAAGAAGAGCGCTGGATCAAGGTGACAGACGGAGTGAAGAAAGATCAGACCAAGAGATGCGAAGTCAACTTATCATCGATATTTTTTGCGTTGGTGAACGCGCTGAGTTTCCATGAAACGGCGCAGTTCGTTGCAAAGTCGGCCCGACGTCATATGTCTAACCACGCAACAACATCGACACAGCAGACTTCATCCGGCCCAGAGCGAGCAACCGACGACGATGACGCGGGCATGTCTACTCACACAACAACATCTACACAGCAGGCTTCATGCAGTCCAAAACGAGCAGTTGACGTCGAGGATGAGGACATCGCCGACACTGCTTCCTCTAAAAAACGCCTCCGACCCCTCCAGCTCCGGCTCGTCGACTCTCATTGAAGACATACAGCGATTGCTGGCGACACAACCATCCCAGATTAGGTTCGACGAGAGTCCTCGTGATCTCCTTATTGCCTCTCCGCCCTCAAGATTCTATCTTGCCTTTCTCTTTATCGTGCTCTAAAGATAAAAAATCAACGCGTAATGTCTCAACACGACGCATCTATTGCCTCTATCGCACTTGATTTTTAGAAATGCTCCGATCTCTCATCACTTTCCCTCAATGCAAGTAATACTTGGATATCGTAGGTAACCATAATTTTCTCAGCTCTCATGTTCACTTCCTCTTCCCACTTTCTGCTCTTTCCACCCCTTCAACTGCAACACGGTCAACGATCGCCTCCATTTTGACTATTTCTATCCACATCCCTTCACGCACCAGTATCACCACCCGAGTCTGTCCCTTCAACGCAATCCCGCTGCTTTAGCCTCACCCCACACATCCTTCACCTCCAGTCACTGCCACCCCAGCAAAACCATCGCAAGTTACCACCAACACCCACCATGGCCACAACGAACATCGAGCGACAAGTCGACCAAGCCCGAGACGCCACCCATGAAGCCCCCCAGATCGTCGCCAGCAAAGCTCAATCGGCACTGGAGTCTGTCAACCAGATGGGTATAGTCCAGCACTATGTTTTCCCTCCCGCGGGATACCTCAAGAATCTATATGTCCAAGCTCCCACCAGTGTCAAGATTGGGGTCGTTGGGTTTGGAGTCATATCGGCTTTTCCTCTGGGCTGCTTCATGGGCTTCATGGGGTTTGTCACCCTTGGGTCCTTGATCGTTGGAGGGATTGGATTTACCATTGTTGAAGTGAGATATGTTTCTTTGGCACAATGACAATGATGATACGCACTCGAATACCAAAGCCTGATAGACGATACTGATCCGAAACTCCCTACCCTAACCCATCATCATCTACATGTGCCAATCATCACCTTATCTCTGTTTAGGTAGGATTCGCAATTTTCAGCTTGGTTTTCCTGCTCCCAGCCTTGGGAGTCTCGCTGCTGGTTGCCTGCGGCGTCGGGTTGGTCAGCATGGTCGCCTATGTCGGGTACCTCCTTTCCTGTGCAGTCCTAAGTATGATCTGGGGACATGGTGACTTGCGCAAGGCTAAGCGACAGATCCGGGAGGCCAAGCAGAGGGCTAATAAGGGCGGTCGACGAGCCAACGGCTAATAGAGTCGAACAATCACGAGGGACCATCGCACTAAACAGTGGAACCAGGCCTCGCTTATGATAAGGACTGATTGATCTCAACAACCCCTTGAGGAATAGAGAGCGTCTTTTTTTTTTCTTTTTTTCTTGAACTCGCCAACGCTTAAAACACTGTGGACAGTCATTCTTTTTTTTTTTGGTTTTAGCCTTTTGAAAAGCTCTTTGTCTCCACAAGCATCTTATAATTCTTTCACTTCCTCATAAAGCAAAAAAATAAAAATCAATACACGGACGCGGTGGTCACAACCAGCCAACGTTCACGGACACCCATCGTTAACTTGCATTATTTTTTATCGAAATGTAGTTCAAAACAAGCCAATCGGTATTGTGGGCGATGGGGAAGGGAGGTCGCACGAGTGCGGTTGCAGACAAGCAAGGGTAGCAAATGGCTGAAGGGCCGGGCTCACATAAACCACATCACCAGAAAAAGCAAAGCAAGACGAAAGGGTCAGCTTTCTGCCATGTAGATATCTCTTCAACGTCTTAGCACGGTTCGTATATAACATACCCTTCTGAAGCTGCTGCTTTACGGGCGCGTAGGTAATCGACTCACCCAATCCTTCCGAAGGCGTGGCCTTGCTCCAATTGACGCCCTTGGTGGAAACGTGCTCGCTGCGCGACCAGGTGGGCATAGTACTCCGCAGAAACCATAGAGACGGATCGAGTGCATCGAGCATACAGGTAGCATAGTCTGTAGGTTAGAGTCTGGAGACTGTCCGACGTAAATCAGCTCCCATCGCAGAGAACGTTGTGGAGGGCAGGTCTCGAAGTTCCAATCAGACCCGCTTGCTACTGGAAGTAAAATCAAATTGGAATGGATGAACAATGCCAGTGTCGACCACAGTTCCGGGCGGACAGTTTCCCGATCGATCGGCCTGGCCCTTCTGCATTAGAAAGAAGAGATTGTGATGGCGCTTCTGGACTACGACAGACGTGATCTTGGTGCAATGGTCAGACAGGACTTGGAAGAATGTGTATTGCTTTTGTTATATTTTATTATGAAGGAAAAGGAAGGAATACGAAGAGTGTGCAGAAGTAAGGCAGGGGACAGATGCAAGTGAGTTATTGCAGACTGGGGAACAAGACAGGGGAACAAGGGGTTTATTTATGCTAAGGGCCGAATGAACAGAAGGAACCAAGGCGGCGCTTGGACATTGGACGGGGCTTGGATGTTGGACGAGGCTTAGGACATTAGACGGGGCTTGGGGTTTGGGATCTTGAATGCTCAGCTGGCGAAAGTCACGTGACGAGAAATCAGAAATCCATGGCGCGTTCAACGGAACTAGGACAAAGCCTATTTTCGCATAACCTGGACAACCTGGGGCCTGGCAGCCTTGGGGCAAAAGTGGCACTTGGGAGCATACATAACTTGTAGCTTCTTGGAAGCCGACCGAATGGCATCCACTTCGACTTGGTGGGCTTGCACAAACTGACCCTCCGAGACTCTGTTGAGGTAGAGCAATATCCTCTCAGGCTTTTTCTTGGTCCTGCAAAAGATGCAAAGAATTGCCGAAAGCAGAGGTGAACGGTAGGTGAGTACGAATTCGTAGCCCATCCAACAGAATTCGACACTTTCTCAGATATACTTACGAAGCAAAGATTGCTCTCGCAAGCTCGACGACCATAAGTGTCCTCGAGGTCTGCGATAGTTTCTAGGCGCGCTCCTTGGGTTCGGATAGAGGTTGCATACTTGGCGTCGCGGGACGAAGGATGGTTAGTAATGACTAGGGCGGGCAGAATACGCCCGCTCAGTGCGCCCATCACGTTTGAGCAGCACAATCTGGTTAATGATGGTGACATCTTGATGGTGGATGTTGATGTTGGGGAGTGTTTCGAGCTCAAAGAAATTTGCGGACGTTGCAGACTTGGCCTAGATTGGCGTCGTGACGAGTTCAGTCAGCTTGATAAAGGCGGATATGGTTGACGCTATTGTTCCAGGAGAGTGTAGAGTGATGAGTGTGCAAATGTGTGGTTGACTTAAGGTTCGTTATTTGTTTACTGTGTGTACTTTTGTATATGGGCGAGAGATAATAGGGGCTCAAAGGGCCAACAAGAGAAGCAGAGATACAATGAGAGAGGCAAAACGAGAATATGGTTTGCGATGTTGACCATCACCCAAGGTACGAATAAAACAGGCCTTTTTTTTTGTTTTTTTTGAAGCAAAACCATAGCCCTGCCATTTCCACAATAAACTCTTGGGTTATTGTTTTGGTGACTTCATGCTGCATGGTGTGGAAACAAAGAGAGAGAGAGAGAGGCAAAAGGAAAAAAGAAAGGGACAATGAGAGAACAAAAGGTGTTTGTGATGGTGACCATCATCCACGGTATGCATGAAGCAGGTTATTGTGGAAATGGTTTCTTGCTGTATGATATGGAAACAAAGAGGGAGAGAGAGAGAGGCGAAAGGAAAAAAGAAAGGGACAATGAGAGAACCAAAAAGAGACATGAAAGAGACATGAAAGAGATATGAAAGAGACAAAAGGTGTTTGTGATGGTGACCATCATCCACGGTATGCATGAAGCAGGTTATTGTGGAAACGGTTTCTTGCTGTATGATATGGATCCACGGTATGCATGAAGCAAGTTATCGTGGAAATGTCAGGTTATTTTTGGGCTTTTATTTTGGCGATTTGTTCCTGAATGGTATAGATTATATCGCTTGTGTGTGTTGAGTGATAGTGGTCTCGACATGTAAGCCTTTGTCCTTTCCACTGCCCACTTTTCCTATAAAATCCCGCTTCCATTTTCCTTCTTCCCTCTTTCTTTCTTCCTCTCTAACCACACTCTCCTCAGCACACCTCACATCTCACACTCTCCTCCACATCCACCTATTCCTCCACATCCACCTACATACTACTTTACATATATCTTCGCCACACCCTTTCGAAGCAACCCACAACAGCCATTCTGTAAGGCCGATGCTGGATGTGATTGCGAACCGTACTCATTATACCCTTTCACAACTTATCAAGCAAGAAGACTCACACTAGCTCTCACACTTTTCTTAACATAGTTCAAGAATGGGAATCAGTGTCCTTCCTTCATGGATCAAGGAGGCCTCCGACGGAACCGAGGAAGATCTCACCCAAAAAACATGCCATGTGGACTTTCCGGCGATGTTTTTCGCCCTGTTGAACTCGCGTGCATTTTACGGAACCGTCAGCATCGAAGCCAGGCAGGCCCGACTGCACTACTCACTAAAAACAACTGTCGCTACCAACGTACCAGGCGAACAAAAACATCCACATTCGCCATCTGGGTCTGAGGGGACCGAGTCGGGGAGTCCATCCATCAAACATGCTCGCCTCACATTGGGAGCTCCCTCAGGCACAAGTACATCGACCGGTCCTGCGTTTGTTGCGATCCCTCCTGGCTCGGTTCCGACAAACCTTATGACACAGGTCCAACATCTACTGCAAGGAGGACCAGCTCAGATCTTTCTCGACAGCAATGGTACTCTCACAACAACACGTACCGAAAACAAAGGCATTGTAAGTACATTCGATTTTCAAATACAACCGGCAAAGACAAAGCTGCTGTAAGAAATATACCTAATACTATCTCATCGCTTTGTGTTTTCAATAGGACTATGGCCACATAGGCCAGGTTATTCACGACATCCTCATGAAAAAAGTCTCACAGGGGCGCACAACAATCCATGCCGACGGTCCCCGTTCGGTCGAGAAAGAGCACGCCCATCAGAAACGGGACCGTGATCTAACAACGCGGATGAGAAAACTCATGGAGGACTACGACGAAGACAAGATCAAAGGGACGAAACGGCTATACCGGCGTCTAAAGTCTGTTTATCGGGCACCACCCGATGCCGCGAGACAAGTGCTGGATGCTCTTCAGAATCTGGGGTGGACAATATGTCGCTGCCCCCACCAAGCCGACTGCTGTATTGCCCGTTGTCTCAATAATGCCGTCAAGCCGGAGGATGTACGAATCATCACCAAAGACTCTGACCTGTTGGTCTATGAGGCCTCTACATCGATCACTATTCCTGTCGGCAGTCAGTGGAAAACATTCCAGAAGCAGGACCTTATGGATCGACACCAGCTCCCCACTCCAGCCCACCTTCTTCTTCTTGGTATTTTAACAACAAACGACTATACCGACGGCGTTCCTTACTATGGCTTGGTGTCGAACGCTGACATTGTTCGGACGTTTACATTGGACGGACTCGACGGATTGAGCGACCAGGAGCGACTTGGACAATTCAAACACCACGTCATTCAGTACTTGAAGATTGTATACGACAGCGCCCACAAGCTCCAGGAGATCGCAGAGGAGTCCTACCTCCAATATGGGAAACACATGCAACTGTATAAGAAACACGCTAAAAGGTCCTTGAACAGGGTCGGGATAACTCAGTACCAGAAGAACGTAAAAGACAGCCAGTTCGATCATGCCCTTCAGGCGTTCGTGATGTGCACCGAGCATCCTTTACCTATGGGTGGGACCGAAACGACTTCCAGCACACCCGATATCCACAGCCTTGTCACGACTATCATTCAGGAAGTTGAGATGAAAAAGGCGAAGACCAACTGGGAGCGTTTCTCAAGGAGCCAAACATCACATACAGGACCATCAGCGCCCACACCTATTATCGACCAAGCACCTCCACTCTACAAAAAGAGTAGAAAACAAGAAATGCGCCATGGCTCACGCGCCCGGTCAAGGAGAAGGCAGAAATGGCAGAGGACAAAGTAAGTACTTTTTAGCGTCATCTTCAGTTATATCCAGCCACTTGTATTGACTTCTATTGCTTCTGTACTAATATTATTCTTCATAACATTGGCGCGTTTATTTCTAGATTCCGATCCCGGACGGATCAAGCAGATCGATACGTACCCCAAACGGTCAACCTTGAGAACGCCAGCCCCGTCGAGGACGTAGAATTGTCTGGTCTGAAACCATCAACCCCTCGACCATACAAGCCAAAGGATCCCGCTACCACCAACGAACAAGCTGCCACTGCCCCTGTAGCCAAGAAAAAGAAGAAGAAGAAGCATCTTGACTATCACCAGGACAGGCCTGGTTATGCTGCTCTGAAGAAGTCATTCAAGTCTGTTTTCGCCACTGTCACACTTACCACTGGATCAGTCAAGGGGTGCCTGAAACGAGCTACCGATCTCACCCCGGCGAACGTCGACATGGTTGCTCAGAGACTTGATATGGCTGTGTCTATCGTCAATACTGCCAAGCATTTTGTCTACAAGATGCTCGAAATGCGGATCCTTGGAGAGCTACTCTCTAGTTCGCCGCCGACGTCCTTTCTGGAGGATATTCTGGATTCAGACTGGGCAGAGATTGTTATTGGGAATCTGTTGTCGTTTGTTCTCCGAGATTCGACAAAAGCACTAGGACCTACAGCCAACAAGCCAAAGTCGAAGGAAGCACAGGCGGAGGCAGTGTCGATTTTTGCGGCCTTCAAGGGGTTCCATCCGGGATTCAAGGCTGTTAACCCATCCAGCATACCCCTCGGTGTTGTCATCGATGATCTGGCGCCCAAGATCTGTTTGGCTATGAAGTTGCATTACAAGAAGCTCCCACAGACTATACGCACAAAGGTACTAATCGCCCAATTCGTTGATGAAGCGCCATTGATAATTGGAGAGAGTGTATTGCATATTCTAATACTGTGCCTTTTTTTCTTTTTGCAATAAAATAGATGGAGAAGCTGGAGTTCGATCCCGCCCTACTTCCAAAAGTCGAACAGGAGGATGAAGACAAACCTGGTGATGACGGCACTACTCTAGACGATGACGGTACTATTCTAGACGATGATGCCGATGATGAGAACCCCAGGAAAAAGTCGAAAAAAATTGTCTATCAGCCTGGACACATCCGATCATGCTGGAACTATCTCATGGCACTTCCAGCGGCAAACCGACCACGTTTCTGTACCCAGTCCAAGATGGCAGACAGCTTTATCGACATTAGGGAGGAGGGACTGATGCGTATCCTTTGGGGAAGAGATGCAGGTCAAGTCGGATTGATTTGGAGCGGCAGCCCTCATAGCCACGACTGGGCCAACCTACAAGTCAATACGTCATTCGGGAACCTCATCAAGATGCTTTTCATTGGAGATCGAAATACGGTTCGGCTCGCAAACAAACAACAAACAACATACGGGAAACGAAGTGCTACAATGAGTGAACTCAAGGCTGCCCACCCCACCATCTATGACCAAGGACCACTTGCACGACACCTGACAGATCGAATTAACTATTACCGAACCCGACACAATGCATCCATCTCGGCCGGATCGTCGTCATCGTCTTCAGCATCTGCAGTGCCGCCGCCTTCCAACCCCCCACTATTGCCGACCCCTCCTCACATCCAAGGCGCACAGTCTTCCTTTCGGTATGCATTGAACAATTTCATCCGCACGGACGGCCATCAGCTGCAACTTTTGGCCTATGACCTCACCAAGAGTCGGCAGGCGCCGGGTCGTAAGGAGTTTCTACGACGTATCGAGAACCAGTACCCAACCCGACAGTCGATAATTGAAGCATTCGGTCAAGACTTGGAGTCGGTGGCGGTGATTGGCATCGATCCAGGCGAAGTCGTGAGCGGTGCGTTCTGTGTGCGTCTCGATGACAAAACTGTGGTCAACTTGTTGGTAAAGCGCGCATCACTGTATCAGCCAACACTCGCCTTCAGAGCATGGGAACAGGAATGGAGGCGACAACACCCAGCAGCCGGTCCCGCAGATAATGTCGACGCGAGCCTTTGGACGAGGAAGACGGATGACAAGAACAGGGCAACTTTTCTACCTTCGATGCATGATCTTGAGAATGCGCTCCATTCAACAAAATACGACTCAGAGGATGCCCTCAAATCCGCGCAACGGCAGTATTTCGAGTTGGAACCGATCATTCATGGATTCTACTCATCGTCGGACTGGAAGAAGGCCGTATACCAACATAGAATGGCAAAGTTGTCAGAGATGGACATGGCGGTGGCAGGCGTGCTCCGACTTGTGAAAGAAGCATTGAAGAGTAACCCAATGGGAGGGCGTAGGGTCCTCTTCGCGTTGGGAAACGCGACTTTTCGGACAGGGTTCAACCTTACATCGGTCCACACGACGTTCTTGCGCAGACTACAGCAGAAGGTAATAATGAGAATGGAGAGAGTAGAAAGAAGATGTACGGGTGGTCGTATCTACTAGTATCGTATGTCCCTTCAATACCATGGCGATCTGGATACACAAGTATATTAATTCATTTGTCCTTTTTAAAATTGATAGAGCTTGGCCCTTGGGTACAAGGTAGCGTTAGTGGATGAATATCTTACATCTACAATGTGCCCAACCTGCGTTTCCATGGGTGAGACGACAAGACTTGCTAAGCCCTCGATGAGAACCTGTGCGTGTGTGAAATGCAGGCGGTGGATTCACCGAGACTTGGTGGGTGCGCACAACATTGCTATCATCGGCAAGCATTACCTTAAGCATCTCGGACGCCCCCCTTCCCTTGCAAGACCGTCGCCGCAAAGCTCATAACCTCTATAGATTGAAACTATAGTTTATTTATCCTAGTCTGTCAATGACTAATGACGGACGAAGGGATATCCAAAAAAACAAACAAAAAAACCGGACGCGTCTCGATTCTACGTGCAGTCACGTACGACTGGTTAGCTTAACTTTTTTTCTTCATTTAGTTAAATGAACCTGTTTTCTTCTCGCCGCGCGCGCGGTACAGTACAACACCCTCGACACGAGACACAACAAACACGCTCCCCATTTTCTATTATTATCACTCCAAGTTATAACACTTTGCAAGTCATCATCCTCATCCATATGAACTTGTAATTGTAATTAGGCAACTGAACCGGGGTATTTTTAATAGCAAAATGTGGTATTTTTGTGTGTGTTTTTCTTGTTACATAAATGAGCGACAGGAAAGCAAAGAACAAGCAAGTAAGAGACGACAACTAGGTACAGAAAAATGTTAAACTACGACTACGACTAACAAGAACAAACGGAAAGAGAAAGAGAAAGAGAAAGAGAAAGAAAATACCAGACTCGTGGGAAAAGAAAGAAGTAAATGGTGCATGGAAACCATTGATGAACCAAGGCAACAAGAAAATACATGTACAGATGAAAGCATTGTAGTGGTGGAACTGGAAGGGGTAGGGAATGTGGGAAAAGAACTATACAGGAAAGTCGGAAGAAAGGAAAGGACAGCAAGCAAACGAGCAAAGGGAAAGCAATCTAGCAAACGACAACTGAAAGGAGAAGAAAAAGAGAAAGGAAAGAACAGCATACAGAAGGAGAGGACTTGATGAGAGTGAGAGCGTCCCTTGATGGCAAGGACACTCGTCGTGCCTCGATGGCAAAGGAAGGGACCGAAACAGAGAGACAGACTTGTAGGGCCAAGGAGGGACAGAAAGAGACGATCAGAGGGCAGATTCAGGAACAGAGATCACCCGTAGGCAAATGGTCTCATATCACCAGCCAATCCGCGACCAGATATCGACAGACGCGTCATGGACATCTGGATTGGGGTGGGACACAACCAGATAGTGGACGGATGGACGCAAAGGGTAGGATACTAAGAGCAAGGAAGACTCGACAGGATGAACAAACGCAGAAACCGCGTGTATTGTAATGTATGTGTGTAATGCGTGTCTAAGTGTTGTGGTTTTCGTTTCCTTTCTAAACCCTTTTTTTTTTTCCTTTTTTGTTGTTTTCTTCGCGACTGTGTAAAAGTTGGAAAAAAGTCAAGTACAAAAGGACAAAAATGCAGGGAGGATCGGTAGGAAGCCACACACATAAACACGCAGAACAGAACAACAGCTGCATAATTGTCGACTTGACCGCGCCGGGGGACTGGCAGGAAAGGCAGGACAGAAAGGCAGGAGAGGAAGTAAAGGGGTGTTTGCGGATGGATCGCTCGGGAACACCAATGAGACAGACAGGCAGGCAGAGGGAAGGGGGTGAAGAGGGGCGCAAGGGCACCAAACGATGGCGACATCGCCCAATAACGCAGTCGACCGCCCTATGATTCGCTGGGGTTTGTTTGTTTGTTTGCTGCTGTTGTTGCTGATGTTGTTGTCGTCCTTAAGAGCGAGAAACAAAAATGACAGGAGAGGGATCATCCCAAGGCAGTATTAGGTAAATAAGGTGGGAAGGTAAGGAGGGTTGCGAGAAAAAGAGAAGGTGACTCATGCTACGATGGGGAAAAGGGGATAATATTCTTGTCGCTGGATAAATAGGAAAGGGAGCGCTTGCAGTTGTTTGCTGAACCGATGCAGGCATTAGGAAGGGAAGAACAATAAAGAAGAAAGAAAGCACTGCATGGCGAATATACAAAGGTAACGACAAAAGGCAGAAGACAAAAAAGTGAATGGGAAGGGGAAAAAGGGACAGGGAAAAGGATAAAAGTGAAGAAAGGAGGAAGGAAGACGGGGAGCAAACAAAAGGAACACTTCAATGTGTCCAAAAGAAGACTGCAGGAGAAGCGAAAGGAGGTGGATGGGAGTGGTCCTGCAGTCCTTTTCGTGTACGTTGCGTGTTGTCTGTAGTGTGTGTGTGTCTCCAGTTTTTTCATGGGTACCTGGCCAGATATCAAGTAGCCCATGATCTTCGGTACGGGAACGGGAAAGGAGATACGCTCAAAATACACACACCCACACGTCCCTCGAGTTCCTTGGTGTTGTCGTCGTAAAATATAAGAAAGAGAAATAAATAGCCCTCGATGTCGCTTCAAGTAAGGGGAGAGGAAGGAAGGACGGAGACGGACATTATTGTTGTGGTCCTGAGGGTGAGGCTGGGCGGAAGGCGCTGAGTGCCGCATGAAAGAGTGGGTACTGGGACGCATTGGCGCCTGTCTGTGTGGTACTGACATAGTGGACCCCTGAGGTTGGCGGTGCGAGTTCGTTATGGTTCTGGTGTTGTTTGGAATGTTGTTGCTGTTGTTGTTGGAGGAGGAGGTGGTGACTGAGTGCCGAGGCAGCGTTCCCGCCGGTGGTGAACATGAGCGAGGCGGGTGGGTTGGGGTTGGAGGTGCATTGGGCGTACAGGTTGGGTATACTTGTTCGCTGCTTGCGGACAAAGGGCATGGAATAGTTGTCGTGGAGGGACGAGGAGGAGGTGGTGGTGAGCGAGAGAGATGAGTCGGATGGACTGCTAAAGCAGGCCGATCCGGCGGAGCTCGAAGAGGACGAGGACGATGCTGAGGACGACATCAGGTCGGTCAGACGGCACTCTTCTGAACAGTAGGTCTCCCCTTCAGCGGTATGCTTCTCGCAGACCAGGCACCAGTCGCAGTCAACGCCGTCCATGGTTTGTATATTCAACGAAACGAGGGTGAAAGTGAAAGGAGGGGGTGGTTGTTGTGTTTGTCGAAAAAAACGAAGGACTGAGAAGATGTGGTGCACTGTCGGTTTTTTGCGGTTGTTGTGGACCGGGGGAGTGCAAGGTGGGCAAAGTGGGAGGTTGAAAGTAGGAAGCAATTGAACACGGGCCAATGATGAAAAGAGAGTAGCGGTGGAGTAGCGGAGTATGTTTAGGCAAGGAGGTTGTTTGTGTAAGGTGAAGAAGAAAGTGAAGCGAAAATGGTTGTTGCAGCTGTTGAATAAATAAGTGTCTTTTTTAAAGTGTTTCTAAATAGTGTTCCGTGATGGAATAAAGAAGAATACGTAGAAGAGGGTATGAAGGAATGACCGACTGAATGAAACGCGATGAACGAATGGAACAGCGAAAAGAGAGAGTGCAGGCAGGGTGTTTTGCGAGTGGATGACCTGTTTGTTGTTGCAGGACAATGATGGTGGGTTGAAGTGGAATACTGGCGGGAATAAAGAGAGCGAGTAGCGGGAGTGAGAAAGGTAGTGTTGGCAGTGAAGGTAGAAGTGTGTTGGACAAGGTTAAGGAAGAGTAGAAAGAGAAATTGTTGGGTGAAGAGGAGAAGAAGGAGGAAGAAAGAAGGAGGAAAGAAAGAAGGAAAGAAAGAAAGGAGAAGAGAGAGAAGAAAGAAGAAAAGAAGAAGAAAGAAGGAGGGCCAATGGGTCAATGGATAATGGTCCTTATTCAATCCATTACAATGAATAACGAACAAGCCAAGAAAGAGTCAACCCTCTTCCTAGGAGAAAGGGAAGGGAGAAGAGGGTCGATGCGCATGAGTCAACTCCAGAGCCTGTGTATCTTTCTCCCTCTCACACTCGTTCAGGAATAGAAATATGGCATAAACCTACATAAACCCATTATTGCAATGCTGTATTATGAAGAGTGCCACTCTTGTTCAGAATGGCGTGCAAAGTGCAATTGACACAGCTCCTCCAGCTCCTGTTCTTGCTCTCTCTTGCTCCCTTGCTCCTTCTCTTGCTCTTGTCCCCCATATCCATCCATATCCAAGCAAGTTCAGGGACAGACAAAAAGTCAGGGACACATCAACACACAGCCAGAAATGTTACTATCAACGACTCTGCTTTTGCCACAATATACTACCAAGATACTGACGATGACGATGACTCTACTTACCACCTCCACTTTGCTACTACAGCCAGGTTATGCTACCGCCACGAATTGAACATTCGTAAGTCTACTACTGTTTGCGAAGGAGCCCTGACGAAGAGACAGGACCCATGGGTCCCCCTTTTTTTTTATCCCGCGGTATTCTCTTACAAAAATGATTGCATGATGATGCCACTCTCATAAATGACTGCGTTCCCGAAACGCAGACAAAAAAACGAGAGCAACAATAGCAAATAGCAGGATGGGACAAGCGCAAATCCCCTGGAATAGAGGAATGGAAAGAGAACCATGAACAAAAAAAAAGGGCTCTCTTTCCTTTTCACTCTATCAACTTTGTCTCTTTTGTTTCCTTCTTCCTCTTCCTCCTCCACATAATTGCCCATTGCCAACAACCTTGTGTGTCCACTTTTTTTTTTTTTTTTTGTACAGCCGTTGAAAGACAAGAAGAACAATGCATACATAAGAAGAGGATTACACAACACAACACTGCCTTCTAGTCAATGCAAAAACAGGGCTGACTAGAGAGTTAAGTGTGGGATGACAGAGCAAAGCAAGGGACATCACATCCAACCATCTAGTCATTTACTCTGTACAAGCGTTTTGCATATTGCTAGTCAATTGCCATTACGAATTCAACCCGCGCAATATGACATTTGAATGAATGCGAATGTATGTCCGTCCCTTGTCCATGTCTTGAGCACGTAGTCATTAGTAGTCGTATTGGATCAAAAATAACAACAAAAAAGGCCTCAAAAAATGAGAATTGAGCGCAAAATGATGGTCCTAGGACTAAGAGGAAGGAAGACCCATGTCCAGCCAGGTGCTTGCTTGCCAATCCAATCCAATATCCGCGCAAAGCAAAGCAGCAATGCAAACCACAAGCAAAAACAATAATCCCTCTTTTTTTTATCTCCCGTGCCATTTCCCTCATTTCCCTCCCTTTCTGATCGTGTTCATTTCTGATGGTGATAATCGGAGCGTAGATGATGAATTGTTTGTGTTCAGAGGTCTGCTGGCTGGGGCGCTACGCCTACTTTGTTTACACCACTCGGTTGGCGCAATGCCTGCCTGCAACAATTAACTCAATCCTCATTCTTCGTACAAACGTTTTCCTTTCCATCCTTATCCTTTGTCCCTCTCTTCCTTTCATCCTTCGCCGTCTGATCCCTTCCTTCCCCAGAAATTAAGAGAGTGAGAGTGAGAACAATAAAATTGGGAAAAAAGGTTGGGAAATGATTTACCATCCAACCATTCTGGCGCATTGCCCAGCCACTCGCCATCATCATCTATGCCCCTCCCTTCCCTTTGTTCCCATTGTTCACTTCCGTGTGTGTATATTTTTAGTTCAGAGAAAATGAAGGTTTGCGCAGGAATCAAAGGCAAGGCAGAGAGAGATGACATACGCACTGTCAGTGTTGCAGATGTTGCACGATCAATAGCCAGGATAATCAATCGAAGAGACGATGTTCATTTTCTTTTTCTTTTTGATCCATTAAAAGCTACCTTAGTTATAGGGTCCTAACCCCCTTTATTGAATAGAAATGTGAATGCGGTGAATTAGCCCAGGTAGCCAGGTGTTTGTCTTGTCCTATGCGCTCTGTACGTGTATCAAGCAAAGGAGCAGCAAACAATTCGAATGCAAAGTACAGATTAGCAAGTGCAGTTTGCAATCATGAAACGCCACTTCCTTTGGCCTTGTAGCACGTTGTTCACTAAACTCCTAAAGATGGTACCCATGAGGTCCAAGAATTGGCTACCATGCTTACAACACAAAAAAAGAGCAAATAAAGAAAAAGAAACACAGCCAGGATATGAAAACACAAAGTGAATCCGTTCATATTGCATGCATCCGACTCCTAAGAATAAAACACGAGCCTTTTCCCCCTTTCTTCTTTGCTGTTCGGGTTCGACTTTGGCTTCTGTTTCGTCTGTTGTTGAACTTTTTTTGTCGATCCGAAGTTGCCTCCTTTGTTCCCTTGTTCTTTATCTTCTTTTATTTCAAAAACACGTATAAACAAACGGTCGCAGGCACGGAGGGAGGAAAAGGAGTACGGGAGCAGCGAAACGCCTCAGCATCACCGCCATCCGCCGCACGTTTGTCCCAAAAGTTCAATTTTTTAAGGACACTATGGAATTCAACAGGCCAGATACCTAAAAATATCGATGACACGCAAAGGGCTGGTTGAATGGATGGTTGAAATGAAGGGAGGCAGGACTGCAGGTCGTTCAGTTACGTGTCATGCACATTACACTCACCATAGAGCACCAATATATAAATGAAAAAAGAGCAAGGGGAAGAAGCATTGGATCGAGAACTCTGTCCTTCCCAACCCCAATAATACAAAAATGCAAACAGCCAGGGGTGAAGACATATACACCACGCTCTTTTGTTTGTTCAAAGGTTGCGCCTGGCCTGCTCAAGATACCAGAAACAGCGCATTAATGGGCCTCCAATGTATATATGTTTTGCATAATCCTGGACGAAATTCGGAAGTGAAGAAAAAGGGCTGAAGGTCGGAACGGATTAAAGAGGGGAGGGAACTGCTTTGTCTCCAGGCCATGCAATTTTTTTTGTTGTTGTCTTGTCAACAGATGGGTTGGTGCATGGCCTTCTTGTGATTCCTGCATGATGCTTACCGAAGAGACAGCGTGGAGAAAAAAAGAAAACAAAAGCGTAAAATAAGGATCAAATAAATATTGCTTCTTCGCGCTCCGTGATCGAGGTGTTGACGAAGAACGCTGTTTTGTGCTATGCTGGATGACCAATCTCAGGGAACAAACGAAAGGAAACGGCGAAAAGGGAAAGAGGCCAGGTGGCTGGGTCATGACAAGGAATAAAGGCGTGTAAAAAACGCATATACAATAACCTTGTTCATTCCTTTCCCTCAAAGTCAGAGCACGGATGTCACACGCTCATGGAAGGCAGGTACAATAGAAAGCTGTCAATGGTAAGGACAAGGTTGCCGTCGCATTCTTTTCCTCATCCCTTGTCTCTTTTCCTGTCCGTCTATCCTCACTCTCATTTTCGTCTGTCAAACACGCCTCTCTCTCTCAACTAATGAGTAACGGTAGATCATCTCTTTTTTTCTCGTTCATGCCTCACACCCTATCCCCTCACGCCATCTTCAGAAAGATAGTAGCAAAAACCCCATCTATCTTCATATGATATCAATGAAAAGCTTAAAAACTTTAGTGTGAGAGAAAGAGACAGCCTAAACCACTGGGCGCCTGAACTGCTTCCAAAAGTCATCATGGTAGCCCTTCTGCAGCGATGGCCAGTGCTTTTTGACCCATGCATGATACCCCACACATTCCAAAAACCCACATTACTCGAGATCAGTCAGAGCAACACGGCGGAGCATTAGGTCCTGAAGAAGACCCAGTCCGCTCGCAAGGTTCTTCTCGTGGCTGGAACGAGAACGGTAATCGGCGCCAAAGGCAGGCCTGTACTGCGATCCAGTTCTGCAGAAGCAAACCCCAGTGCTTACAGTACGAAAGGTCGTCATCGTCAATGTCCCCGATAATGACATCCTTGAACTTCGCAAGATGTCCTGATTGGCGGTAGAGTAGTCGTTGTTCCTGAAGACCTTGGTTGAACCTGGTCCTATCCAAGGCGGAAAAAGAGTTGAATGCCTTCCCTTCCAAACGCGGGTTGCTCGTGGCGTCTCGTCGCGTTAAAGTGAACACGAAAGACTTCCAGACCCTTGCAAACCTACTTAGTCTCAGAAACAGTGCTTGAATTCAAATGTGATCGAGTGTAGGAGCGCTGATGATAACGACGCGCTTCATTTTCGGGGCAGAGCGACCAAATTCGTCATTTACCTTGAATCCTTCTGGAAAGAGGGTTTCGAGTGTATCGACATGCTGGAACAGTGCTGGAATCACCAAGTGATGGAGATAACTATAATAAGAAATCGTCGTCGCAGTGGTTCTCCAACCTCGAAGACTGAGCGCAGAGAGCAGCGCGCAGGTTGAATCGGTCAACTTACGTCAAATAGGATGACAGCTGGAGGCAGTGGGCCAGAAGTGACCGAGCAAAATCGACACATTGATGAACGTTCGAATTGAAGAAAGTCAAGTTCGAGGGCTGGAAACCATGGGACCAATCGGCCGATGACTGCCTGGTCAATGCACAAGCGGTCGAAAATCAGCTTCTTGAGGTTGGGAAGGCAATCGAGTCATGTGGGTCCATCAGACAACGCGTGGTCGATGAAGATGCTGAAGATGCGATGTCCAATGCTGGTGCAAAGTATTGAGTAGCAGCTCTTCTCTTGTCCTGATATTGGCGCTTTTGCCTGTCCATCATATTGTCATTACATGGAACAAAAGCGACTTGTTCCATTGTCCACCGTTGTAGCCATCGACAGAAAATAGACAAAAGAAACAAATGAACCATTTTCTGTGTTTTTTTTCTTTCTTTGCGTCGTTGCCACCATTTCGTATTTTTTATGGGTCAGAAACAACTACCAATGCACGCCAACACTCCAATGAATGCTCCACCAGCAAAAAAAAAAAAAAAAAAAAAAAAAAAAAAAAAAAGAGATACATCAACTGTCGCAATGGTGGTTTAATGTTCACTTAGCTAGGGTGTGAAGTAAACGAGTAGGAGACAATGACGATGCTTGAGCTGCAGGATGGCGAGCGTTGCTGCTGCCATCACCGTTACTTAGTTGTTTTTGGTGCCGATGTACAACGACTTGGATGAATAGAGAGTTAGAGAATGGGCGAATGACAAGAGAGTATATTCCACGAGCTTTTATTTCTTGTCGCCTTTACAACTGTCGTCAGCCCAGCACAGTGCAGGCAGGATAACGTCTCATGTCAACATCACCCTCACTTTCACCTCTACCACCTGAACGCATGACGGGCGAAGTCAAGTCTCTCGTATTCGGTCTTGTTGTGAGAATCTCTAATTGAGCAGTCTCTTATTACACACGCAAATCCAGCTCACTTCCAGACCATGGACTTTTCTAAGAGACAATGAGATGACTAAATATCCCCCATTTCCCTTTGCTCGAGGCTTTTTAGCCGAGGCATGTATGCCATGAATAATTCACCAACTCCTAAACCCGTCCTCATATTCGTACGACAATAGTAAATTAGGTGTTTGTGTAGATGCGAATGTGCATGCGCCACCCACGCCCAAAACAGATTTTATTCTACCCTCTCCGTGCCATGCCCGTGCCTTTGTGGATTATCATGTGGAGTAGGAATGAGGTGTTGAGATTATTAGCTTAGTGGCCCTACTTTATGAAGGCGTTATTTTAGCGCGCAAGAGCCGCGGTCACCCTTTCCTTTTCCCCTTGGGTGGCAATGGGTGCTAAGACAAAGAGCGGCTAAACACTACAGTAAACAGAAAACAAAGGAAGAGAAAGAGCCCTTGGCCAATGCCTCACCTTCCCTCCTCCTTCCTCTCCCTGCTGTCTACAGAAAGCATCTGGTTCGCTAATTCGTTCCGTTCCTTTCTCCACTTCTCCAATTCTCTCTTTAACGGACAATTTGTCCCTTGCGTTGATGGATAAATGATGAGGTGGGTGAACAAAGTGGGCTGTGGTCAAAAGCAAGGTTGTCAGATGCATGTGCAAATAAGCCATGGCCCCCCGACTCTCTCTCACAGTGGTCCTCCTCTACAGTTGCACGAATACATACCTGTCTACTCTCTACAACACCTCAACTGGGCCGCTTATCGCATTAGCGTTGCAGTCCCGCAACGCAAAGAAATTGCTCTCAACTTTTTATATTTTCACCTCACGCCCTTCCCCCTTCTCCGTTCTTTCTCCCTTGTGAATGGAGAGTAGAGTTCCAATCGTCCGTTAGGCCAGTTGGTTGTTCTTTGTCAGGTTCTTTCCTCTCCCTCTCCAATGCTCATGCTCCATTGCCTGATCGAACGAGTAAAGTGAGTGAAGGCTCAGCTTTCGGCGGGGCCTTATTTTCCGTCCCTTCTCTTTTTATGCCCTCTTCTTTTCTTCTTTTTCTCTTTTTTCTTTTCTTCTCCACACTTCACTGTCCAACTCCACTTCAACCCTACCCTCTCTCAACTCCTACTCCTCCTACCTCATAACCCAATCTCACACTCTCCGACTTCTACCCTTCTCCACAACCATACAAACAACAAAATGATGTTCAAATCCTCCGTCACGACCTTCCTCCTCCTCGCAACCCTCGCGATCGTCTCCACCGCCCAAGAGGTCGCCCCAGTCCCTACCCCTACCACCGAGACCACCACCACCACCACCGCTGCCCCCACCGGAACCATCTCGGGCACCCCCACAATCACGACCGCACCCGCCACCCTTCCTACCAACAACATGACTGCAGTTCCCGACTTTTCGTCCCTAGCAAGTGTCATCGCCTCTGTTGCGACCGCTCGGTCTCTCAACCCTGGCTCCTCGCCTACCCCCGCGGCTGGTGCCAAAAACTCTGCCTCAAGGATGGGTGGTGATGTCTTGACTGGAATGGCGTTTGTTGTATTGTCGGCTGTTGTTGCCGGCGCTGGTACTCTTGCTCTTTAAAGAAGAATTATCGTACAAAAAGGGAAGGAAAAAAAAAAAAAGTATTAAAGTATTAATAAATTGCGATCGAGTTCTGTATGGAGCGAGTTCACTCTTGTTTACAACACCACTTTACAAAAAAAAAAAAAAAAAAAAGATGAACGCTTTACTGCCTTGTTTATGTTCATTCACTTGGCTGACTAGATGGATGGCCCAAGAACCGCCATTAGTCCAATTTTTTTTTACTTCTCGACGCTCAGTCACCTTTCTGACTTAAATGCATGAACAATGGTCTTTGAACAAGATCCGACTGTTCTCCTTTGAAGTATGAGAAAGAAGAGTGCAGAGGAAAGAAACGAGTAAGCGAAACAAGCTGAGTCTCGATTTACCCTCTCAGCAAGTTACTGGGTTCCGTGTGCGTGCGTGTGCCTGAAACGGACCTGAACATGAATTAGTGTTTGCTTCTTTGTTCTCACTCCTCGTGAAAAAAGGGCGTAAAGTCATATTTCGCGAACAGGACGCAAATGATAGCTCCAGCGTCCATTTCTGCTCTCTTTGCCAATGCTTTTTCCATTCTGGGTTGTGACCACCACCACCACCACCACCACCACCACCACCACCACCACCACAACAACAACAACAACAAAACAAGATAGCTATCATCGTCATTTCCTGATCGTCAGCAACAATACCACCAGCGGCAACATTCAAAAGATGAGAACCATAATGTCATGCGGTCGATGATGAAAAAAAATATTTCTATGTAATATGGTCAAAGGGAAGGATATGAAACAGAGGACAGGGCAACTAGAAGAAAGAAATGGTTGCCTGCTACATGATGGAGGAAGTAGAGAGGGAAAAAGAAGGAAGAATATTTACTTGGCCTTGGTGGGTCCCAACATGAGCTCGGGGCGGACCCACTCCTTAAACTGCTGGTCGTTCAAGAGACCGAGGGAGATGGCAGCCTCCTTCAAGGTGGTGCCCTCCTTGTGGGCCTTCTTGGCGCACTTGGCGGCGTTGTCGTAACCAATGTAAGGGTTAAGAGCAGTGACCAACATCAACGACTCGTTCATGATGGCGTTGATCTTCTTCTCGTTGGCCTCAATACCGACAACACAGTTCTTGGTGAACGAGACGCAGGCATCGGAAAGGAGACGGATCGACTGGATGGTGTTCTTGACCATCACAGGCTTGAAGACGTTCAACTCGAAGTGACCGTTCGAGCCAGCGATAGAGACGGTGGTGTTGTTACCCATGACTTGGGAGCAGACCATGGTCATGGCCTCGCACTGGGTAGGGTTGACCTTGCCGGGCATGATCGACGAACCGGGCTCGTTCTCGGGCAAGTTCAACTCGCCGAGACCGCAGCGGGGACCAGAGCCCAAGAAGCGGATATCGTTGGCAATCTTCATCAACGAGACAGCCAAGACGTTCAAGGCACCGTGGGCCTCAACAATGGCATCGTGGGCAGCAAGAGCCTCGAACTTGTTGGGGGCAGTCTTGAAGGGGAGCTTAGTGATGCTCGAGATGGCATCAGCAACCTTGACATCGAAACCCTCGCGGGTGTTCAAGCCCTACATATGTACGGAAGCATCAAAAGATATCATCGCATTAGTTCCAGAGTCACTCCCTTTCTACGTCTCTCTCTCTCTCGTGTACTTTAACTTCGTGTTTTCTGCTCTTATTCTCACGTTCTCGTCTCTTTGTTGTCTCGCTTTCTTTTTTCCTCTCCTTGTCAACTCCACTTCTGACATCTTCCGATGCGTGAGAGTTTCCTTGTTTTTCAATTGCTCCAGTGCGCGTCCAATGTGCGTCTAATATGCGACAATGATGTCCAAGTGTCCTCGTTGTTGTTGTTGTCCTGCGTAAAACATTGCCCCCTAATCACACCGTCATTTTTCTTCTCCACACAGTCAACTTTTCCCACGTGCAATAAAGGTGTCCACAAAAACAAGGTCAAAAGACATACAGTTCCGACGGCGGTACCGCCCTGGGCGAGGTTGTAGAGATGGGGAAGGGTGCTCTGGACACGCTCGAGACCGTAGGTGAGCTGCTGGGAGTAGCCAGAGAATTCTTGTCCGAGAGTCAAGGGGGTAGCATCCTGCAAGTGGGTACGACCAATCTTGATGATGTGCTTGAACTCGTCCGACTTAGCCTGGATGGCATCGCGGAGGAGGGTGACGGCGGGGATGAGGCGCTGGTTGATCTCGATGGCGGTAGCGACGTGCATGGCGGTGGGGAAGGTGTCGTTGGAGGACTGGGACATGTTGACGTGGTCGTTGGGGTGGACGGGCTTCTTGGAACCGAGCTCACCTCCGAGGAGCTCAATGGCACGGTTGGAGATGACCTCGTTGACGTTCATGTTGGTCTGGGTGCCGGAACCGGTCTGCCAGACGACCAAAGGGAAGTGCTCGAGGAGCTTACCCTCAATGACCTCGTCGGAGGCCCTGACGATAGCATCACCGACCTTGGCATCGAGACCGTAGGTCATGTTGACCTGGGCAGCGGCGCGCTTCAAGACACCAAAGGCCTTGATAAGAGGCTCGGGCATGCGCTCGGTGGGTCCACCAATGTCGAAGTTTTGAAGCGAACTATTGATGATCAAAGTTGACGAGGTCAAGGAATGAGTTCATGCATTCATTTACTTTCCTTCTTTCTCACGTTCTTTTCATCATTTTCTTTGTCCGCTCCTTTGCTTTCTTTCTTCGTTTCTTATGACTACAAGGACATCTTGTCATATTTCTTCTCTTTCTTGTTACGACTAGAGTGACAACCTTTTTCAGTCGTTCATAAAGTAAAAGAACCAGGCAAATCAGTATGCTTACCGCTGAGTCTGGGCACCCCAGTATCTGTCGGCGGGGACCTGGAGGTCACCAAAGGTATCGGCCTCCTGACGGAACTTTTGGGCCTTTGGACCGAGGACAGGGAAGATGGACGACATGTTAGTTTTGTGTGTATTGTACGGTGCAAGAGCAGAAGTGGATATAAAAGTCAAAAGGTGGGGAAATAGGGAAGAAGGGTGGGGGTGAAAGAAAGGGGTTCAGAGAACTGGTTTTTATAGCAAGTAAAACAGAGGAAAGAGAGGAGGGAGAGGACGGTGCGTGTAATTGAACGCGAGAGACATGCGAGAGTGATGGAGGTTTCATTGACTTGTTTAGAGGGGTTGGAGAAGAGCCGGGTTGGGTCACACATAATAAGACATGGGCGGGTTGTCTTTGCCCAGTCTTGTCCCGCTTCTATCCCATGGTTGTTTGTTGTTTGTAGAAAGAAAAAAGAGAGACGCGGTCAAAGCGTAGGACTTACCCAGGCAGCAGTGGAGCTGAGCGAGCGAAGCTGCTGGCGCAAGACCTATTGATGTGGCATTAATATCAAGGGAGAAGTAAGAGAAGAAGACGGTAAGTGAGAAATTCTCTGGGTGTGATGTCAAGAGGAAGAAGGGTGATCTGATCCGATCCGGGTAGAACGTGAATGTAATTTTTTTTTGTTGGGTGGTGTGTGTATATGTGTGTATGTGTGCAACGTGCAGCATGCCAAGTCGTAATTGAATGAGAAGAGAAGAGTGAACCTACGGGAGTGGCCCTGGTGGCGTTCAACTTCAAGATGTTCATGGTTGAGGATGAGTGGTGTGAAGAAGGAAAGATGGTTAAAGTCTGAGAATTGCGGGGAAAGGGCGACTTTTTATTCACCACTGTCGTCTCTCTCTGAACGTTCGCCCCTCTTGCCTTGCCTAGACTTGCAATCATTTGTGCGTAGTGTGTGCCTGAGTGGAAACTGATTCGATTTCGAGAAGGGAAAAGTCGGGTACAAGCCACCCGCTGTTGGTTGATTGGTTGGGGGAGAGGAAGAAGAGTACTCGATCGCGATTGCTTCACTTTTGGTGGCAAGGTGGATGATTAGACTCAGCTAGAAGACAAAGTTCTCTATGTGAACATGAACATGTATGTTGAAGTGTGTGCGTTGTGGATATAAATATGATTATGGATGTGGATATGAATGCGAGGTGTAATGCGAGGTGTGCATGTGCCCTGATAAAGTGGAACAAAGGCGAAAAGAGGCAGGTTCTACTCTCATTCAGCATGGTCGAAAAGGAGAGCGCACAAAAGAAAAGAAGAAGAAAAAGATGGAAGCAAAGGAAATCAAACAGATGGGACAGGCACAAGAGAACAAGAGCGACGACACGACGACGCACGCGATAGAAAGGTAGGAGACAGATGTGGGATTACACCATGCTCCTAGAAGTAAACAGCGAAAAATAAGAGCAAAAAAACGAGTTGCGAAGTGAGCACCTGGAAAATAGGACCGACTGACCAACAGGGGAGGGATAAACTCAAGGTCCACGTTTTCTTTCTCTAGAATGCATCATGCCTTTCATGCCTTTGGCTATGCAAGGAAACAAGAAGAGAGGAAGAGCGTAAGAGAGAGCATAAGGGAATGAATGAGGAATGCTACAGGCATATTTTTCTTCAGGATGTGTGATGATATTCGATGTTCACAAGAAGCACATGTAGGCTAAAACACTTGCTGCCTCAAGCGAAGGGAACAATTTCCATCTCCCTATCTCCCTTGCAGGGAGACGGGTGACTCGTGCCCACCTTCAACTCTTTTCCATATCCCGCCCTTTTTTTGTTCCTCTCTCTCTCTCTCTTTCTCTCTTCCTCTCTTCTTTTCTTCTTCTCCCCTCCTTCTGTCATCATCCTCGCCAGCATCCACCACTCCCCCTCCTTCCCTTTCTATTATTTTTTCCTTATTTTTTGTATTCCTTTGTCATTTTGCTCTGTGACATTCACCTCGCATCGAAACATCATCCTCTTTACATCTCTATTTTAACGCACATCAGCCATGTACTGGAGATTCGGACACCAAAACACATCCGTCATCGAACACCTCCTCGAGTCTGGAAACGTCTCTCTCGAGGAGCTCCTCGAACAGGATGATCTTATTCAGGAATGCAAGGCACAGAACCCAAGGCTTATCGAATAGTAAATACCTCCTCACTTTGTTGCTACTTCGCTTCTGTACACGCTTCTACACCCAAACAACCGAGCAAACCGTAAAGATTGGCACGACGAGCTTGCTTTCATGCCAGGCTCTTTTTTTGCCTTGTCCTGGGAGTTTGTCGGCACGACTTTACTCACAGGGACGAAACCTGATGGAGAAAACAAAAGAAGCTCGGGGTGTAGTCGAGACTGGAAGGAAAAGCTTACGACCCACCAACTCACGGACAAGGAGGAGAGAGTGTGGATGGGCACACCATATCCAGGAGTTTTCGTTGGACAGGGGAAGACATAGTGACCTTCCACCGCACCACTTACACTCGCGAACGATTCATTCGACCAGAATCGACTCTTCGTCAACTTGACTTCGCAGCTGGATCGCTTTCACATTGGCTCTGTTCGACTGCTCATCAGAAAAAGACGAATGGACCTTGGCAAAAAAACATCGCCGCCATCTTGTCAACCTCTTTCTTTACCAGAGTTGTTGTTCTCACTCTCTCACACGAGCAAGAATAATAAAGACGCCCCTGACCTGACACAGTTTTTTTCCTTTTTGCTTTTTGTATTGTCAATAGCCTGCGCGAACCCAATGTTCTTCGACAGCTGCTGGGTTATATCATCAGCGACGACCTCGAAGACCGTGCACGGTTCAAGTAAGTCAGTCGAGCAAAAAGGATGGATCGATGGCATGACAGGACATAAGGCACGCTTGTTTTTTTTTACTGCGACAGCTTACGTGGGCTGGCATTACCAGTGTTGGAATATCAACAAGGAGACAGTCGACACAGAACCAACCCGAGCCAATGTTTACAGAGATCCGCTACCTCTCACCAGGCCTCGGCACTGTCAACTCGATTGAACAAGGATCCGGCTCTAGACCTCTTTTTCTTTGCTTTTCTATTTGGTCGCACCAGTTTACTTGGCGATCACAAGATGCACACAGATTACGCACACACACACACACACACACACACGCACACAACACGATGCACATGGACGAACAGGACAATAGAAAAGTTGAAGCAGGATTATTCCCAGAGGGGTAGGCGTGTGGGTGGGCGAACAAGACTGGATCAGGAGCCTATATAAGAAGGGTGGGGCTGTTAAAGTGCGAGCAAAGCTGAATTAGACTTCCTTGTTCAAGGATGAGTGGCTGAGCGAGAGGCGAGCAGGCGTCATTTTCCACGCCAAGAAGGAGACTAACATGTTGCTATGACCGCTTTTACTTTCTCTTGGTGGAATAGATACCCATTTATCGCCTGTGAGGTCATTGCTTGTGAGGTCTGGGGAATCTTTGAATCTGCGTTGTCGAATATTGATATGCTCGAAAAGTTTTGGGAGTTTCTCGACCGCCCTCCTCCTTTGAACCCCGTGCAGGCTAGCTACTTTGCCAAAGTCATCGGCGTCTTTTTGATGAAGAAAACTGGAGATGTAAGCCCTACAGGAACTTTTGGCTGCCTCGGTACGCCTGGAGCTCTGCGAGAGTATACAACAAGAAAGAAGAGGTGTCAGATCTGACCTAAACCTACTTTTCCCCATTCTAGATGCTTCAATTTATCAAATCACGACCTGAAGTGGTTCCCAAGTTGTTGCTTCATATGTCGACTTCGTCCATCATGGATCTCTTGCTCAAGATCATCAGCATGGAGGAGTCACCCGAGGGCAAAGGAACAGTTCAGGTACACTTTTCAGATTGTCATCAGGAACAGGTTCTTGACACGAAATCGGCATGTCTGATCTCAATACTGATCTCTCTTTTGCTTTCTTTTGTCGATTGTAATAGTGGTTGAGCGAGCAAGGATTGATGCCATGGCTTGTCAACCGTCTCGACCCCAACTTTGATGCGGAGGTAATTATTTTTTGGAGCACTTTACTGTGGCCATGCAGCAGATGTCAGTCATTCAACTCGCAATCATACTGAATAATTTTCATTAATTGATACATAGGTTCATTCCGTTGCGTCGCAAGTTTTGCTGGACATTATTGCAATCTCACAATCGTCTCACCCTGAGCAGCCTTCCATTGGAACCAATGTTTTGATTGACGAGCTGAAGAGTGAGGTCATAGTAACAAAGCTGGTTGGATTCATGCTGGATAGAACTGCTCCTCACTCGACGTCGACACTTATCAACGGTGTCACCATTTTTATCGAACTGATCCGCAGAAACAACAGGTACAAGAGAATTGCCACTGCCTTTGGCGTTTCATCACTACACGACGTCCATGAACTAATATAGCACTGCGCTTGCACTTCACCCTGCTAGTGATTATGATGTTGAGCCGCTTCCCCCAAATTCGAACGAGACTATCCGCGAAGCTGTGGATTTGAGCGACCTGTTGAAGGTTTTGGCTGCCAGGATCGAGGATTTCAAGGACCTTCTTGTCGTTCCAAGATCAGTTGTAGGTGGTTTCAACAGGACGCTATGGATGCAACTACACCAACTAATACTATGAGACACGTGCTAATCAATGTACGTCTTGTCCAACAATCATAGACTGGTCCTATTGCCACATCCATCGGAAACCAGACTCCCTTGGGATTCGAGCGTCTCAAGATTTGCGAGATGTTTGCTGAACTTCTCCACTGCTCTAACATGGCTGTTTTGAACTCGCGCCCCATCATCTCTGTCTCTCCCGACGGCACTGTCAGGGTACCGACAGTCACGGCCGAGCAGTCGTTCCTTCACCAGTCTCAACACGTCAAGGAGGAGGTGGAGGCTGCCAGGGCTGCAAATGGAGCCGAATCGAACAAGGAGAGCGAGGACGAGTCCAAGGAGACAAAGGTGGCTGATGAGGCGCCAAAGGAGGCGCCAGCTTCTGAGGAGAAGAAACCCGAGGAGACTAAGACTGAGGAAACTAAGGTTGAGGAGACCAAGACTGAGGGCACTAAGACTGAGGAGACTAAGACTGAGGCAGTTGCTGAGACTAAAGGCGACGCAGAGTTATCCGAGGATGATGCCGCTGCTTTGGCTGTAGACGATCAGGCTACTCCCAGAGCATCCCCCCCACCAGGCGCTTCTTCGACCCTCACCAGCTCTAGTGCGGCCACCCTTGGATCCTCTCACCCACTGGAAAACGAAGTCATGATTCCCGTTGGCGACTTCTTGAAGATGCAGTTTGTCGATCACCGCATCATTCCCACCTGCTTTGACCTCTTTTTCCAGTTCCCATGGAACAACTTCCTTCACACTGTTGTGTACGACATGGTCCATCAGGTGTTCCACCGCCCCATGGGTGACATTGGACGTCCTGATATGAACGGAACCTACATTCCTCCCAAGGCGGACCAAGGTATCAAGGAGGGCTGGAACAGGCGTTTGACGATTTCCATCTTCAAGGACGGACAGCTCACCAAGCGCATCACCGACGCCCAGCGCCTCTGTGACTACGAGTGGTAAGCTACTGCCTATTGACATTCTTGTTTCATGTTCTCTTCATCTGTATTGAAACTGACTGGTTACTCTTGTTTTGTGATTGAAAATAGTGCTCAGCCAAAGGGTGTTCGTCTGGGATACATGGGACACTTGACATACATTGCGGACGAAACTGTCAAGTTACTGGAGCTCTACTCGCAGACGTCCTTGCTGCCCATGCTCTACGAGTTTATCGATCTCGAGGACTGGTGGAACTATGTTTCCAAGGTGTTGAAGGAGACCAAGGAGCGTGATGCACAGGTTTTGGGAGGATCGCGCCCCAATATCATTGAGTCTCATCCATCTGGCATGGACGATGGCAACGATGACGACTTTTTGGACGATGGTGGAGATAACTATGGCAGCAACAACAGCTTCCTCGGTGGAGATGGAGGTGGCGGACAAGAAGGCGATGTCGGCAGCGATCAGGTAACGGCTCGTCACATAATTTGAAGGCATTTGAGCTGTGCTCGTAATGGCGGCGACTACGTTTTCTAACAGGTCTCTTCATTTCCTTTTCAACTCTCTACTAGTTTGCGCGTTATTTGAGCCAGCAGATTACGAACAACCTCCCTGACAAGTTTGGATCATCGGACGAGGATGAAGATGACGAGGAGGGCAACTGGATCGGAGAGTACGGCGCTGATAGCGACTTTGAGCGTCGCCGTGCTGCAGCTGCTGCCAACACACTTGAGGATCCCTTTGGCAACCACCATGCTATGGACTTTGACGACAGCGACGATGACGAAGGTGTCGACGAGGAAGCATGGAACTCTCCCGTAAGTTTTGATTTGATGTCTCTGTTGCTCATATGCGTAACATTGGTATGGTGAACAGAAGGGACTCTATACTGACCCTATCTTTTCTTTCCCTGATCGAAAAAAGTGGCCCAACTCGTTCGGTGATGCCAAGGTGTCTGAGCTTGGTGCGACTCAGTTCAGTGCCACGCTGACGGACTGGTCTGAGGATTTCCAGGATGGCTTCACAGAGTTCAAGACTGGAGATTCAAGTGGTGATGGCAAGGATGAGTTTGATTTCCCACCGTTCAGCGTAGACACCCAGGGCGCGACTATAGCTACTACTACAACAACAAACACTGATACCCCTGCCTCTGGAGACGCCGATCCTTTTGGCGATGAGACGGCAGACCCATTTACGACCGTTGCCGCTCCTACATCAACAACTACAACAGAGTCAGCACCTGTTCAGGAGAGCAAGGAATTCGAGGCGAAGGATCAGAAGAAGGTTGAGATGGAGGCCGTAAAACTTGCACCCAAGGTTCATGAAACGCCCGTTATTGAGTCTCAGGAGGAGCCTACAATGAAGAAGACAACGGAGGAGAAGAAGGAAGACAAGAAGGACGAGGAGGAGAAGGGAATGACCGCACCTGAGGTGGAGATGGAGCCTGTGCCGTTGTTGGATTCATCAGCACCCAAGCTGGAGACGACGGTGTCTTCCGATGATTCTGATCTTCCCAAGGCCTCTTCTACATCCCCAGCAGCGGCGACGACCACAACCACAGCTACTCCATCTACTACGGTCAAGACAAGTGAAAGTGCAAAGGAAGATGTGGCTTCGAGCGAGCTGGCGAAGAAGGTTGAGGGATTGGAGCTGAATGATAAGTGAACACCACTCCAAAAGAAAGCGCGCAGCGAGGAGAATATAATCATAGATGACCATTGAATAAATATATAAAGCTAAAGGGATGACAGCTATCAGAAGGAGATGATTGGTGGAAACTCTATCTCTTCGGAAGATATCACGTGTTGTCTGTGGCTGCGGGTGCGCTTGAAGGGTGCGAAAGGATGCTTTTGTTCTGGGCAATAGTGAAGTGGCAAGAGGGGATGAGGTTAAAGAAAAGGTTTCAAGCAACAATAAGGTCAATGGTCCAATGGTCATGGGATATTAAGGATAGATGAAGAAAGGAAGGTGGTGGACGAAGCAAAGGGAGGATCCGGAAGGGATGTACGGCAGGGAGACACTGTAGGAAGTAACGTTTTGTCGGCCAAGCAGGAAAGTAGGACCTTCAGATAAGCCCGCTAATGTGAGTAAGAAGGGTATTTATCAGCACCGAAAAAGACCGACTTTTTTTCTTTTTTTTTTGGCTCTTCCACATTCACAACGCATTGCGATCTCTTTTTTTCTTTCTTCCCTTCACATCCACACATCCTCCTTCCACTCCTCCCTTTTTTGTTCTCTTTCCATACTCGGCACCGAACGACAACGACACTACCACCACCAACACTCTCTCTTCACACTCTCCCCTCTCTTCAATTTACAGCCATGGCCCCAGTTGCTACATCTGCTCTCGTCAGTCAAGGTCACAAGGTCCTCCTCGTCGGAACTGCCTCCGCCTCTCCTTCGGACCTGACCCAAGCCAGAGACTCTATCATCTCTACTGTCGGCACCCAGGGCTCCGTCAATTTTGAACAGTTCGACCGCCTCGCCACCAGTACGCCCCCTTCTTTTTTTGCTTCTCTTTGCTTTGTTGTTTATGCTGTTTGCTGGCCAATACCAATAGCTCGCCTCCGCACTTCTCGTTGAACCCATTTATTTATTCCCTCGACCTTTATTTTATTACTTCACAAATAGTCCCCTTGCCCGCTTCCACATACAACACCATTGTCACAGGAGGAATCGCCCCCTCGGCATATCAACACTCGTCCGCAGTTTTGGCGGCCCTCGCAAAGACTCTCTTGCCTGGCGGTGGATTGTCGCTCACAGAACCCGTATTCTCCGCGACAGCTAGAGCCTCGGGTAGTTTGCCCGCTTCGTTGACGCAGGTGTTGGAGAGGTCGGTAGCGGATTTGGTTTCGACGTTGAAGATCTCGGGATTTGTTGAGGTCACGGTTGTGGGCCAGAGACAGGCTTCTGAAAAGGAGGTTGAGGGTTTGCTCAAGGTTTGGGGTGTTGAGGGTGTTTCTGTTGCTGCGCTTGATGGACAGATCGAGCTGGTCGAGGTAAGGAAAATTGTAGAACTTTGCGCATACGCACACTTATGATATACACAGAAAGAGGGCGTAAAAGGGGGAGGATACGAAGCAGATGGAGGGAAAAGGGAGATGAGAGAAAAAGGAAAGAGGATGCCGAGGTCATAAGTGAGATTAATTGTGTCAGCAATTTTTTTTACTTTGGTGCTCGGTGGCAATGCTATGTAGTCATTTGTTGTTTTGTCTGCGCTTTTTTCCTGTTTGATCTGTGTGGTTCGATCTACTATGACGAGAGAAGGAGACTAACAAACAACCATCTACTTTATGTCTTGTCGGATCGTGAAAAATTCATCTTTCTTTTTTCTCACCATCTTTAGATCTCGGCAAAGAAGCCTGCATACGAATTAGGCGCTGCTGCTGCATTGCCTTGGGCTCGCAAGAAGGCCGCCCCTGCTCCCGCTGCAAAGCCTGCCGTCCCTGCCCCTTCAGTCAAGAAAACTGCTGTCTGGACCATCTCTGCCAACGACGACGATGACGAGGATGCAGAACTTGAGGACGAGGACGATCTCTTGGATGCCATAGATCTTGTCAAGCCCACCAAGGAACAGCTCGCAGCACCCGAGTGTGGACCCAACAGTCTCAAGAAGAAGAAGTGCAAGAACTGCAGCTGTGGCATGGAAGAAGAGGAAGAAGAGGAGGTGGAAGTTACATCAGCCGCCATGGATGTGGATACATCATCAGCAGGACCTGTCCCTCAGGAGGCGATTGTTTCATCGAACGCCAACCGGTGGAAGGAGTCTGCGATCACAGAGGTTGTCCCAAAGGCACTGCAGCCCAAGTCGTCGTGTGGAAACTGTTATCTTGGAGATGCATTCCGATGCGGCTCTTGCCCCTACACTGGAATGCCTGCTTTCCAGCCCGGTGAGAAGGTTCAGCTCGGCGGCAGCATGCTCAAGGACGACATTGACTTTTAAGCGACATGAGTCGATTCGATGACTTTCTTGTCCAGTTCACGCTCTTTTTCTTTTTTTTTCCTACTATGTACACCACAATACTCCTGCAACAACAACAAACGCCAGCCAAATAAATAACTAAACTATATGGCCAAAGAACATTCATTTGATTGAAGGGTGAACACGTCAGGCTTTTCCCACTCAACGGACAGGACCTCTTCTGGAGAGTCTGTCCAACAATCTACTATCTAGCGAGAAGAATATACGCGTCCAAAACATACATGCACCCTTATTCTTTTATCTAGGGCTACTACTCTCTCTCTCTCTTTCTCTCTCTCCTTGTCGCCCCACGAAGCGAGGATGACCCATCAAATCAAGCTTTGGAACCCCCCTTCCCAATCTTCATACCCAATGTACACCTCACCCACACCTTTCATACATCTTCAGAACCCCTTTGCTACTTCCCCTGCATGTTTCAAGTAAGAAAAAAAAGTGGAGCCGGTTCGGTTGATGCTTGATGAGGGAGGACACGAAAAATAACTGTCCCTGTAACGATGTATCTTTTTTTTTCAGTCAACAGTCCTACATGTAGCTCTGCGGATGGTATATCGAGCTACATTATCAATTTCTCGGTAGCGCCCCCCGCCCCCTGCGTTGTTCCATGCCTGCATGAACTTGGGGGGAAAAAAACTAGGAGGTGTGGCAGCGAGGTGTTACTTTACTGAACCCATGAGCTACATGTACGACAATCGTATACATTGCAATTGGTGATTTAATTTCACTCGATCCGATGTGTGCAAAAGCGATGCCTGGTAAAACACTCTATTGCCGGGTAACTGGTATCCCAGCTTTGTTGTCCCCCCTCCTCCTCCTCTTCCTCCTCCCCTTACCTAGCCTCGCATTTTTTTTTCGTGTTTTGTTGGTCGGCACCTTGCATTCGAACCTGGATCTGGTATAAAAAAGGTCGATCCTCGCCCTAATTTTTTGTCACTCATCGCCTCTCTCTCTCTCATCTTCTCTCTCACACACACATATAAACAAACAGACATACATCCACAAACACATTCACTCTTTACACTCACCTTCAACACCCTGTCATAGCTTTCTCTTCATCCAAAAAAAAAAAAAAAGCAACAACAGCAATCCCGTATCCAAGTCATGGTCAAGTTCATGTCCTTATTCGTCGCAACCGCGATAGTCCTTGCCGCCTCAGCCTCAGCCCAGACCAGTGCTCCTCCTCTCAAGTTCTCGGCGCTCGATTTCCCTAACGATGACCAGCCCTCTGACGGCGGCGACTGGGATGGTGGTGACGGCCAGCCTGAGTGGCCTGGTGGCGACGATGGCAATGGAGATGGAGGAGAACAGCCTGAATGGCCTGGTGAAGACGATGGTGAAGATGAAGGAGGAGTGCAACCTGGGTGGCCTGGTGACAACGGTGGAAACGGAGGGCAGCCGAATTGGCCTGGTCAACCTGGTGGTGATGACGGTAGTGGTGGCGATGGAGGAGGGTGGCCTGGTCAGCCCGGTGGTGGCGATGATGGTGATGACGGCGGTCAACCTGACTGGCCGGGTCAGCCTGGGGATGGCGATGAAGGTGGCGATGGTGGTGGCGATGCTGGTGATGATGACGGTCTACCGGACTGGCCTGATCAACCAGGAGATGGCGATGAAGGTGGCGACGGTGGCGACGATGGTGGCGATGGTGGCGACGATGGTGGCGATGGTGGCGATGGTGGTGATGATGGTGGTGATGATGACGGTCTACCAGACTGGCCTGGTCAACCTGGAGATGGCGATGAAGGTGGAGATGACGGCGGTGATGACGGTGGTCAGCCAGACCAACCTGGAGATGGCGATGAAGGTGGAGATGATGGCGGTGATGACGGTGGTAAGCCAGACCAACCTGGCGGTGGCGATGGTGGTGATGATGACGGTCTACCGGACTGGCCTGATCAACCAGGAGATGGCGACGATGGTGGCGATGGTGGCGACGATGGTGGTGATGATGGCAGTCAGCCAGATCAACCTGGAGATGGCGATGAAGGTGGCGATGGTGGCGATGGTGGCGACGATGGTGGTGATGGTGGCGGTCAACCAGATCAACCCGGTGGCGGCGACGGTGGAGATGGTGGCGATGGCAGCGGTGACCAGCAATCGATCCTGCAAACCCACAATGACTACCGCGCTCGCCATGGTGCTTCTCCTCTTACCTGGGACAATACCCTTGCGCAGTTTGGAAGCAACTGGCTCCAGCAGCGGTGTCAGATGCAACACAGCGGCGGCAAGGTACGACATCCTCGATATGTGAACGAATGTTCTCCTTAATACTACACAATTGTGTTTGAAACCAATGAGCTAACCTTCCTCTCTTTTTTTACACGCAATCTCCCTATCGAATATAGTACGGAGAGAACTTGGCGGCCGGCTACAAGGACTTCAAGACCGGTATTGACGCTTGGTACAACGAAGCCAGCAAGTACAACTATGGCAGCGGAGGTTTTTCGAGCGCCACTGGCCATTTCACGCAGGTCGTCTGGAAGGGGACGAAAAGAGTTGGGTGTGCGAAGAGGTTCTGCCCTGGATCCAATTGGACGGTTTATATCTGCAACTATGATCCTCCTGGTAATGTGCAGGGCCAGTACCAGGAGAACGTGTCGCCTCCCTCCGGCGGTCGTGGTCGCAAATAAGGAGAGAGGGATGTTGTGGAGACGAGGGGCGTGAGGGATAGTACAGAGAATGCTTTCCTTTTTTTTTTGTATTCTTCTCCTTTCATAGTTGTTGAATGATTGCTACGCGGGCGAAGCACCATCACAATTCAACAACACATTTGTTTGCAAATAAAAATTATATCTGTGAAAAGGGAGTTACTTTTACCCTAATCTCCAACATCTGCTCTTGGAAACAAATGTTCTCTATTTTTTATTGGAGCGAAGTAATGATCCTTCCATCCCATGAAGGTAGGGGGAAAAGTGGAGTCATTCATCAGGGGAAGGTAAATGGCACCATTGTCGAAGGTACATTTGAGTTGATTGAAGGTTGCTCATTTTACTCTTAATTATTGCTCTGAAATCAGAAAAAAGGGAGCCCCTACCTGATTCACCGTTCGATCATGATGCACTCTCTCGAGCCCCCCTCACCCCTTTATTTGACTTCGTTGTTGTTTTGTGGTCGCGTCCTGACGAAGCACCCATCAAAGCAAAAAGGGTCCCATAGAACCAATACGCCCCTCAAAGTTGACAAGAAAACCGTCATCGACATGGCGTCAGGGATAGTAATATAAAAATAAATAACAAACGGACCATCAAACGCATCATCTAGGAGCAGCATGTACGCTCCAAAGACGTACATGGCGCCCCTCGTTTTTTTTTTTTTTTTTTTTTTTTTTTTTCAGGGGTGCATTCATTTCAACTCTCTCTCCTACTCGACATTAACATCCGTAGGTCCCATTGGATCGGAGAAAAGACCCTGTCACTCATATCGTACATCTGCGCATCAAATTGCCTACTAGCTCCTTTTCTTTTAGGTGACCATGAGAGCTACATGTCGGTAAATTGAACAAATCCTTTCCTTTCAGGATGTACCACTTCTTTCACAAATCAATGCAGACATTTTCCCTTCAAATTACTATTATCCTCGTGGTCATGTAGCTCTTGCTTTTGTTCGCCATGTTCGCAGCCTAGATGTGGCCATAGTTGAAAGTGGACTTTCTTTTTAGGCCACAACTTTAATTGCGTTCATCTCAACTGAACCCCGCGCACCGGATACGAAAAACGTTGTACATTGCATATTGGGGCAAGTTTGTCTAGAGTCGATAGGTTGAGCTCCATTCCCTTACAGGCGGTAGGTTTGTTTGTGTTTCGTCAGAGATAGTGTACAACGCTGAAAAGGTAGGCTGTCATGTTGTTTGTTTTGTCGCGCTCGGCGAATGAAAGATAAGAGCTTGTTCCGGGAATCTTGGTTGTCACCCATTATCGCCGTCTCTCGCCTATGTCTTCCGCTTGATGGTAGCTCATGAAGGGTGTTGGGATATATGTATTGAAACTTGTATAAAAAGATCGACCACTGCCAGATTATTATTTTCTCTATCGCCACTCACTTTCACAACTTCCCTCTCTTTCAAGACCCTCTACAGCTTTCTACAAGCACAAAAAACAACAAACTCTCCCTGCTACGCAACCCTCCCCTCCCCTCTACAGCAAACCCCACACCAAACCATCCCATCGCACTCCACCATGGTCAAGTTCACCTCCATCATCGTCGCCACCGTCGCGTTCTTTGCCGCCACGGCATCCGCCCAGATTAGCACCGCACCCCTCGAGGTCACCGCTAGACAACTCGAGCGTCGTAATGTTGGCCCCGGCTCCATTGTCAAACGTAACGACGTTTCTACCGCCGAACAAAAGATCATCCTCGATACTCATAACAAGTACCGCGCCCGCCACGGTGCTCCCCCGTTGACTTGGAACGCCCAGGCTGCCGCCTTTGGAAACAACTGGATCCAGGCCTGTCAGTTCAAGCACAGCGGTGGCAAGGTATGAATTTCTTTTTCACGTTGTACAAAAGGTGATTTCTATCGAGGTAGTAACATTTGCATCTAAGCAACCAGTGAACTGACTTCGTGATCTCCTTTCTTCTCTCCATTCTGTTTATATTCTCTCCCAATAGTACGGAGAGAACTTGGCCGCAGGTTACAAGGACTTCAAGACTGGCATTGACGCCTGGTACAACGAGGTCAGCAAGTACAACTACAAGAACCCCGGTTTCTCCATGACCACTGGTCACTTCACCCAGGTCGTCTGGAAGGACACCACGTCTGTCGGATGCGCCAAGAAGTTCTGCCCTGGATCCAACTGGACTATCTACATCTGCAACTATGACCCCCCAGGCAACTACGAGGGCGAGTACGAGCAGAACGTCTTGCCTGCCAAGTAAATGGCGAGTAGTGGGGCGTTTTCTTTGGATAGTGAATGGTAACAGAAGAAAACTCGAATGGAGCGACAAGCTGGTCTTGCGTTCTTGTTTTGGCACAAAAAAAACACTTCATCCTCAATATTCCCTTGCTTTACATTCCCTTCTGTACTTTACAACATTCTCGACTCTGGCAAAGCAGTACCCTTCCCTTTAAAACACACAGACACAAACAAAAAGTACACACGCATCCAATAAAAAACATCATTGATACCCTACGCACATAACGACTTGGGTGAAGAAAGTTATGAATAGGGCGTACATTTGCTTGCTGTATACTAGAAAATGAACGACGATGAACTCCAATGCGTCGCCGATGCGTTACTCGACCCATAGACGCGTCCAATTTTTTTGGTGTCGATGAGGGAACCATTTCTGAAATGCGTCCCAGATCCATGTAAATGGAGAGAAGAATGATATTCGAATCTGAGACATTCATGTACCCTTGATTCTAGGGCCGGCGCCGTCACCCCTCGATCTCCGCATGAACAATGATCCCGCCGATCACTTGAAACCTAACCCTATGAGCCTGGTGTGCTTGCGTCTTTATGCTGCTCCATTTAATGGCATCTTTATAACTTTGCTCGCGTTGCGGTCCGAAGGAACGTAAAAAGACAATACTTTCATAGCGCGCAATGTAACCAGGCGATGGAACTGCATCTAGTCTGCCTTTGTCATAGCACTTTCCTGGCATCACCCTTTTTTTACAAAACGCTTTTGTTATCTGATCGAGAATTGAGCGAGGTCCCTTTCCTCCTCCCCTCTCCCCCGATAACACACACATACATACGACTCAATAAACGCGCCCTTGAAAAAAAGGCTTGCACATTGTTGGAGAAGCACGCCAGGTGGTCAACGAAAATGAGTCCAAGAAACTTTAGACCCTTCGTTCCTGAATATTAGTGGCAAACGTCGGTTTGTGACAAGGACATTTTTTTCTTCTGAAGGGCCTGACCTCACACATCCAATCTCCAACACAACCATCGGAGGTTAGAAAGGAAGGTTCAGTTTTTCTCTCAAGACACACATTCAATGTGTTGGCGCCCATCATTGTGTGCTCCCGTCGTTATAGATTACAGTTCCTCCCTTTATTTTCATTTTCTCACCCCCCATGGCACCAGTGCTCATGTAAAAAAAGTGGGGCCAACATTAGCAAACGAATGAAGGATACCATCGTGGATGGTACCCTTGTCTCATTTCGACACCCCTAATCCGTCCTATGCGATGAGAAGATGTCCATGCCATGTACTTCCCACAACAGCGTGTCTGGGCGATCGATCTTGTTCCATCAATCGGTCGCGACTCGCGACAGAATACTTTCCCTCCTCCTCTCAACACATTCTCTGGTTGTAGTCCGGTAATGGTGGAGACAAAAGAAACCACTCCGCGTCCCACTGCCCTCCTTTTTGATTAATTTTTTTTCAACCATCAAAAACTCCTATTTTACCGCATTAGCTCTCTCTTTCATATCCGCATTTTGTGGAAGATGGGCAAGGAGGACGGCGACGGTGGCCGGCGGGACCTGTTGTTAGAAGAAAAAAGCAAACGTACAGGTACAACGAAGGATATATTGCAATTGAACAGCTTCTTTGTGTTTGTTCAAGTTCAAGACCAAATGCAGGTTTGTACGACCGTACTAATGCAACTAGTGCAATATTACATGATGGGAGTAAAATTGTTTCTTCATCAACGGAACACGCCATTCGTGGTGCAACGTTTGACAGGTACAGGTCGGGACTTGGGTTAGAGTGTGGAGAGAATGGAGAGATTGAGGGTAGTAGGGAGGGATTAAAAAGGGCTACCTCCCTTGGGATTGCTTTGTTTATGTTTTCGCCCCATGTTGTGAGTATGGTGCTCACTGAGAAATGTCGTTGGAAATGGGTTAATAACTACCGCGTGAGACAGGGGGAATAACGAATGCTCTTACGAAAACAAAAATGGACTGTGAGAAAAAGGAGCAGAAGTGGAATGGACATGCATACAGTGGTATCCATTGTTTCGAATCATGTCGGCGCCCACTTTCATTGTTTAGAGAAAAATAGGAGCCGTCTTCTTTTCTCACACAGTCTCCGACCCTTGTTTGTATTGGAGGTGGATACCCACATGAGAGAGAGAGAGGGGAGGGTCGCCCACGCATGATAAGCATACAAAAATGGGGAATGACAGAAAATATTTGAACGCATTAAAGGGTCTGTGATTCCCAGGGGAAAAGTGTTGTCGAACGTCGTTTCTTTTTGTCATTCCCGCAACGTGCGTCCAGACTCTCTCTCTCTGCAAGGGATACTTTTCAGGAACGTAAAGAAGAATGAGAAGATAGGGGAGAGAACCCAATTTGGCGACCAAATAAGGCCTCGTATATTGTAATTTCACACTTGCTGCTCTCAACTTGTTTTTCAATTGTGTTTGGAAAGAAAAAAAAGGTACCTTTTTTGCTTCACAACAGCGGGCAGACGCCTTAATGAGAGGGATAGAGTTCTGTCTGTCTGTCTGTCTGTCTGTTTTCCTGTTATCTGTCTATTCTGTGTCTATCTCACAGCAACCCCACTGGCTACCCCTCTTCTTTTCCCGTCCTTGTGATTCCCTCCGTTCCCTTGCAGGCGTTTGATTTTTGTTGTATAAAAGACAAAGCCCCTGCCCACTTTTTTTTGTTCTTCATCCCCTCCTTCTCTCTTTCTCACTCACCCCTCACAGCTTTCTACAAGCACCCAATAACAAATACCCTTTCTCCTTCTCGCTCTCTCCCGCCACTAAAACAAACAACAATCTCTCCTCCCTCTTTTACGAACAACCCTCACCCTCACCCACACCAACAAACAACAATCATGGTCAAGTTCACTACCCTCCTTGTCGCCACCGTTGCGATCTTTGCCGCCTCAGCCTCGGCCCAGGTCAGCACCCCTCCCCGCGAGTTTAACGCCGCTTCCCTCCCCTTTGACGAGTCCGAGGGCAACTACACCATCTCTGGCAACGATATCCACCTCGAGAAGCGTGCCGCCAAGACCAACGTTCTCTCTGCTGCCGAGCAAAAGAGTATCCTCGATACCCACAACAAGTACCGCGCCCGCCACGGTGCCAAGCCCTTGAAGTGGAACACCAAGGCTGCTGCCTTTGGCGATAACTGGATCCAGGCTTGTCAGTTCAAGCACAGCGGTGGCAAGGTGTGTACATGATCCTTTGGCATAATTATGTGCTCTTGTCTCTCTCTCTCCTTCTGCTTTATCCATCTTCTTCGCTGCGATCGATTGCATTGCAACTATCGACCAATGGGCTCATCTTTTTCACTCCCCTCACATTTATTTTTCCCTCCACAAATTAATAGTACGGAGAGAACTTGGCTGCCGGCTACAAGAACTTCAAGACCGGTATCGACGCCTGGTACAACGAGGTCAGCAAGTACAACTACAAGAACCCTGGGTTCTCCATGGCCACCGGTCACTTCACCCAGGTCGTCTGGAAGGGCTCCAAGACTGTCGGATGCGCCAAGAAGTTCTGCCCTGGATCCAACTGGACTATCTACATCTGCAACTATGACCCCCCAGGCAACTACCAGGGCGAGTTCAAGAAGAACGTCTTGCCTCGCAAGAAGTAAAAACATTTCTCTTCTAGCTTGCCTTTACCATGAAAAATATATGGAGAAGATGGGAGGCGGTTTTTGGTTGAATGAGGAAGGAACTCGGCTGGTTCGAGTTTCTTCTGTTTAATACGAAAAATAAATCGATCTTCATATATCTCCTATCTTTCAAATTGTGATGTGCAACGACTGATGGAAGGACTCGGGCGAAGCAAACGGACAGCATTCTGATATCACCTCACCCTTCCAAATGATTAAAACCAAAAGACTGGAATAGTGGACGCGTTCTGTAGCTGGGAAGCATGTGATGGAGTCAGAGAACGAGCCCCGAAGATATCGTCGATCTTATATCTCTTGGAGTACTCTTTTTTCCTTCTCATGACAGAGCGAGGGAGGATAGGATAACAACAAAGGAGCGTCCTTTAGCAAACCAATCTAAACACGCTTTGCCTTGTCGAGGTATCCATTTACCTTCGACATAGTCTGTCATTCACTGAAAGATGATCTCCCAGCATGCATGTAGGCCTCACTCCTCCATTTCCTACCCTCTCGCCATCAACATGTTTCTGAGAAATAGTGGCACCTCAATTGTGGCTTATCTCCTCTAGCCATCAAATTGAGGCTTATCATCTCCAATGCAAGGGAGGCGAGGCTTCGCAAACATCTGTCCTTCTTGCTTTTCTAATTGGTTGAGTTGAGTTTATGCGTATCCCAGCCCCATGTGTCGCATGTCGATCGCGCACACGTTGTTCCTTTCAGTGCCACTACTGTACCTCCATCACACCCACCTGTCCGCTTAAACAAATGGCACTATATTTACGCGGTCTAATACAACGTAGAGGGGTGAAGGAGGAATACGAGAAGATAAGCATCATCGAGCATACCATACCATGCCGCACCAACATCTTCCTCCACGGTCTTTCCTATTTCTTGATTTACCCATGCGCAAAACGCAACAACAAAGCATAAAGAAAGGGAAAATTTTCCTAATTCAATCGATCCATAACGTACAATTGCGCGGACGTGCGGTTATATTGCGGGTGGCAAAAAAAAAAAAAAAAATGCGAAGTGGACGCCTCATCTGTCGGTTAGATTCTAATCCGAATAAGGGACAATTGCTTTGTAAGAACGTGCGTCTTTCCCGCTTGACTTTTTTTTCCCTTTCGCACTCTGTGTACAGTATGTGCTTGCATGTCATCTCTTCGTTTTTTTTTTGACCCCCTTATTTCCATTTAGATGGACGTGGGTCCAAGAGAAATAATTATTAATCGATAGAGATAGAGAAGAAGACACAAAGGCATGCAACTCCCAATGCATGCCGTATAGCAGCCAAGAGCCATGTGTCTACTCCTCCTGTTTTTCCTTGTAGAAAAACTGCGCATTCTTTTCGTTTGTGGGACGTGATCGGGCATAGTATCAAACGAGAGAAAGGGATAACAAGTAGCCGAAGAGGAATATGCAAGTGAGAGAAATGAAAAGGTATGGAGGGCAAAATATGAAAGGAAAAGTTGTGAGTGCTTGTTGAGAGTAGAGAGTAGAGAGTAGAGAGTAGAGAGTGGAGGGTTGTTGCACAGAACAAGCAGCAAAAAAACGTCCGTTTGAATCAATAGCCTTGTGGGGATGTCAACATGGAAAGTAAAAAGAGAGAGAGAGAGAGAGAGTGAGAGAGAGAGAGCGATCGGCAGGAAGTAGGTCATGCGGATTGACGACTAAAAGTAGAAAGTGAGAAAGAAAGAACAACGAGAAAGGTTAGGAAGAAGGAAGGACAAGAAAAAATGGGCTGAACAACCAAAGAACAAACAAAACAAAACGACAAACGAGAACTCGTTTGAACGTTTGACCCATCAAAAGAAGTGATCAAATGGGCGAAGATCATAGAAAGGAATGGAATAAGAAGGGAGGCGCAGACGGCAATGAAGGATGCAAATGATTCAAAGACACGTTTCTCTGCCCTTCTAATTGACTCAAGTACACCGCCCCCAACCCAATTAACCCTCTTTTTGTGCTCCCTTGATTTCTGCTTCTGCGGACCACTTGTTTCTTCCGGCCCGAGGGAAATAAAACATTTTCGTCCTCCGGTCCTTGGCTGTTGTCACGGCGTCAGAGGCAGCGTGGGCGAATCTTTTTCCTTTTTTTTATGTCGCTGATCACTTTTCTTATGTGCAAGTTGACTGGGTTCCTCTCATTCACTCCTTATGCAGCAAATTGCCTTATCAGGACAACCGCTTCACCACGGTCCCTTTCGTCCAATGGAAGAGACCGGAACTTCTTTTGCCCCTTCCCCCTGTTCCCTTTCCTACCCATTCTTCTTCACGTCTCTATCGATCATCAACCTGTTCGTGAGGCAAAGACAATCCCTCCACCGAGTCACGCAGCTACTTCTGATCGATTAATTATGTGGGCTGTTCCGCTTTCTCTCCACCCTAATTCATTGGGACTTGGCATCATGACACGGAACTTACCTAGAGAAACCTGGTTATTGTTGTTCCCTCGTCTTTACAAGGAAAACTTGGACATCGTGCCTAGTCTGATTGCTATTTTTGGGAGAGAAAGGGTGAGGCTATGTGGGATGGGTAGCCGTAAGGGCTGCAGTTTGGGCGAAGTTGAAGAGAAGAAGGGGGAGGAAGTGAGAGACTGAGTGGATAGAGAGAGGGGGTAAAGAGTGGCTAGAAGCTAGAAAAGGCCATGTTGTATTGGACTGTACAAGAATAGAAAGAGCTACCTCCTTTATTTCCCTTGACTTCTTTGCCAGTCTCTCTGCCAGTCTTTGTGCCTTGCCTATTTGTCTCTGTGCCTATCTCTGTGCCTGGTCTGTCCTTCGGTCAAAGCCTTCGCCGTTCAACTATTGTGAAATGAAGAGCGCCTCTTCGAAAATAACTCTTTTACCTTACTCGTTCAAAGGAGAGAGAAAGAAGGAATCAGCGCATTGCATACACGTACAAAAGCACACCGTCCTACAAGCAGCACATTCATTGGAAGCCAAAGAAAAAAAAGGAACAACGCATGGTCCATGGGCCATGGTCAAAAGATATCATTCAAGGGGGTGCATGGTCAGGATGTGCTGGAAGGCTTTGATTTGATTTTGGGCTATGCAAAAGAGAGAGAGGGAGGGGTGAGTGAGCACGTTGTGCTGTTGAGAGACCGACCCATGGTGGTCCATGGGGATTGTGCGCTGTGTCTACTATCTACTTGTCCTTGCACACTGAGCTCACATAGTCGACACCTTATGTTGGACACAGGCAAGTGTTTTTCGACCATCTTTTTGTAATGAGCATCGACTCAACTGCACCTTGCCATTGCGCTATTTTCTGAAGTTAGATGGGCACAGAACAGGAAAACGTGACCTGGCCCTGCAAGAAGTTCACCCCCTATCCTCTTCTCTTCTCGCCCACTCCCTCGACTGTGCTCTCGTCTCAGTGGAGAGGAAAAATAAACGACTTTTCGCCCATTAGCCTCCTCGTGGATCGACACATTGATTTACACTTTGTCTTTGTTTGCCCTTGCCCGCCCCTTGGCTTTACTTGTTTGCCCTTGGCGTGGACTGGACCCTGTTCTTTTGTTGTCAAATGAACATGCAGTTAGACAGAATTGCCTAGCCCAAGTGTTCCCCGAGGAGGAATTCTTCTAACGCAACACACAGCTCATATTGGACCTATGGACTTCAAACAAACGTTTACTTTTGCTCTTTGTCTCTTTGCTTTGCTTTTGTCATGAATGATGAACGTGTGGAGGAGGAGGTTGTTGTAATTGCTGTTGTTGGATGGCTCAATGGCGTGGTGTGATGGTCATCTACCATCCATCATCCGCCATAGTATCATGAGGTTCTCTTCTCACTCTCTCTCTCACTCTCTCTCACTCTCTCTCACTCTCTCTCACTCTCTCTCACTCTCTCTCATCCTCTGTCTTTCCCGCCAGTTTTTTTTTTACCTTTGGCTAAGGTTGCTAACTCTCCTGCTTTTTGTTATCCCAATTGTGCTATCCATTCTTTGACTGTGTTCCCCTGCCAGGTGCTTTTTTTTTTTTGTATATACACCATGGTTCTTTTGCGACAAATGGTCATATTCGCCTTTTTTAGGCGTTCTTGTCGCCGTATACTCTAGCTTAGTCGGTGGTTTTCATTTCACCCCACTGCCCACTCTACCAGCCTACATTCTCCATGGCCACGTTGCTATTCTCTTTTGTTCTTCCGAAAAAAAATATGTTACGAGAGTAGATAACTGGCCAAGAGGTGAGATATTCGTGTGTAAACTAGCAAAAAAACCCCCCAGAGAAGAGATGGATCGCTCGAGAACGTGGGACTATTATTGAGCTCTCATCCACTTTTTTTTTTCTTTCTTCTCTCTCTCTCCACAATAGAAACCTCGGATAGATGGACAAAAAAGATGGAGAAGAAACGCAAAAAAAGAAACGAGAGATGGATGGTGGGTAACAGCAACCAACACCAAACAACAACAACAATAACAAACAATAATAATCGAATAGAAAACAACCACAATTCATTGAACGACCAACCGACCGACTGACGAGGTGAGCAAGAAGCTCGAGGAGAAGGAAAGACAAGCATAGAGTTCATGCAAAGCAAAAAAAAAGAGGGGGCGTGAGGACTGAGGGGGGGTGTGATGGACCAACCATTGACTATTGAACCATTGAGCTCTCAACATTGGTACCAGAATATTAAGCTGTCTGGGTGGCCCGTTGAGTAAAAAAGAACAGAAAAGGCGAGACGAGAGTTCATCATTGATGCGTGTGAGCATGAACCTGACCTGACCTTGTTTTTTTTTCTCTTGGATACCAAGTGCAGTGCATTATGTTGGTGGGGAGTGGAGGTTTGATGCGGTCTTATCCCTTCTCTTTATCTCCCTTCCTTTCTCCCCATTCTTGTTTTCTCGACTCTCGAACTGCACAATACACATCACACAAAAAATAAACCAGAATCAATTGAGCATCTCGTCGATAGCGTAGGAACACGACACCATGGTTGTACACTAACAGGATTCTTTGATACATGCAAAAGCAAAGCAAAGATAGGCAATTGACAATTGACAATAGACACGTTCCTATGCAAGAGCACAAAGAAAATGAACAGGTAGAAAAGGGGGAGGGACATGGTAATGTAGATGAAGCATAACAACAATAAGAAATCCGAGTGTACAGTGCATGGGATGGGGGGGGACATAAACAGCGGACAGAGTGTAGATTATGCAAAACGAACACAAAAGGCAAGCCCATCATAGCTCCCTCTCCATCCGCCCGGTCGTCCATTTGTCCTTCCTTCAAGCAGTAAAAGGCAGATATTGGAGATGGTCGTATGATTGTCTCTTGTGTTTGTAGGTTGTTTGAGAACTAAAAGGGGAAGGACGCGAAATAGCTGTAGTAGTAATTAAGGCAGAGGAAGAAGAACGATAGACGAAGAAACGAAGGAAAAAGACCAATCGTTGAGTAATTGGATCCCCCTTCCTAACCGTCGTGAAAAGGGCCTGGGTCATTACTGTTCCCATGGGTGGTGTTTCGCCGTATTGATCAACAGGCTCCAGGTCCCCATCTTCACCAACAATTACCCATGTTTTCCAAGAATCATGCATCCATGATATTTTGATGGCTCTACGGCTTCAAAACAAAGGAAACACCAAAGTGCCAAGAGGGGACGGAGGATTCTAGTATTTCTTAACGGTGGAGAAGAAAAAAAACCACTGGGTTCCCTTTTTCTTCTTTCCTCCACTCTCTCTTCTTTCGTTGCCAAGCAGTAGAGATCCCATGTCCATCTCTAAAACACACAAATGGATGTATTGAATAGGACTGACTGAGGATGGATGGTTGGTTCGGTTGATGATATGTTTTAGGTCTGGAATCCTACCACCACCACCTGCGGCCGGGTTCTAGAAGACAAAGTCGAGAAAACACGCTAGGCTGGACAGAGAAAACCTTGTCAAGCATTCGTACCTCCTTCTTTCAAGGTCACCCAGGAATCATCCGTTTACTTTACTACCATCGACCATCGAGTAAACAGAAATAAAGGGGAAGAGGCATGACAGAGAGAGTAGGAAGAGGAAGAAAAGAGAAAGAGAAGAGGATGGTGTAGAGTAAGAGGCAAAATGGAAGACGGGGCCTGACTGACCAAGGGAACTATCAGTCGATTTGTTGACGACGAGGAGTTGAAGGAGCTAAAAACGGTAGAACCGGTACTCACATCATAGAAAGTCAGAGAGCGAGGAGAGACTGAAGAAGGAACAGCAACCAGAGGATTCTCTCCTCTTCGCTCTCTCTAGGTGTGGTGTCTACATTGTTGTTTTCCGAAACGCGAACGAAAATATCCGGAAGGCGTAAACGGTAGAAAGGAGTAAGAAGGAGGAGAGAGGATTGCGCGGTTGCTGTTATTGTTGGCGTTTATCCATGTCCTCTTTTTTTAGCACTCTGGTTTTTTTCTAGAGAAAATAAGGGAGGAAGGACTCTCGTAAACTAGCGAGCGCAGTCGGTATAGTCATGAACGATGACGACGCGTTCGTGATCGTCGGTACTAGTTGATCAAGTGATGAGATAAAAGTGAGACTCATAAAGATGTTCCTGTTCTCTGCTTGGCACCAATGTGGAACCAGTTAGTGATGGTGATGACCTTGTGTTAGTGGCACCCCAGTCCCATCAAACCTGTCTGTCTTGCGGTGCGTTGACTCGTCTGGCCAGGATAAAACGAAGACTGTGCTCTCTCTCTCTCTCTCTCTCTCTCGTGAGTAAAAGTGTGTGCGTGGTCGCTTTGCAACAAGAGAACGTCGACAATTAGAGTTGGGTATATGCCAGTTAGGCTTTCTTTGTTTTTCTTGTCTTTGTGTCGATAATGAGAACAAGTGTACTCACCAATGCTCGTCATTGTTGACAAATAACAAAAGCTGGCTCTTCCCTGTTTTCGCGTTCGTGTTGTTATTGTTGTTAGGAAGAAACAAGGCGATCTACGCTGTACTTCCCTCTCCTCGTCCATCTCCCCTGTTTCTGCTTGTCTTTTCGCAAGGTTGTACCATCCTCTCTCCTCCCTCACTTCCGTTGATGCATCATATCTTCCGATGAAAAAGACAACAAATAGACAAACAATGAACAAGCAAGCAAGAACATACCTGTCCTGTTTTCCTTTGTACTGTACCTTTTCTCTTTCTCTTTGTTCATTCCTTCCTCGTTTCCTTTTCCTCTGTCCCTCTCTCTCTCCCCTTTCTTTTGTTCGTTCATCGTCAATGCCATGGCCCTCGCTAGGTCAAGGCTAGCATGAAAAGGAGATAGATTGAACGGGAGGTGGGAGTGAGCACGATAAGAGAAAAAGGTGTCTAGGAAGTGGCGCGAGATTTTTGGGATTTAAGTAAGGGGGATTTCGAGGAAGTGAGATGAAAGGTGGGGAAGGACCTTTTGGATCTTTCTTCTATCAATACAGGCTGTACAACTACCAACAAGGGAGAAAATTGACAATTTGAATCCCAGCTAGGAAAGAATTGACGATAAGCAACGAATAGACACCTTTTCTTTACTACCGCAGGCGAAGAAGTGTAGTGTGGTGCACGGTAAGAAAGTAAGGCAAATTGGGATTGAGCGACGACGTAAAGGCGCAGGGCTTTCTCGAAGAAAAGGAGAAGACAAAGGTATTTTCGACTGGGATGGGATGGGATAAGTAAATTGGTAATAGACCCGGGACATGGACAATGGTAACGAATGGGAGAGGGATGGCTGGGTTGGTATGTGCATGGACAGCGGAATTACAATGACCAGAGGGAGAGTGGATAAGCACAGTGAGGTAGAGGGAGGAAGACAAAAACAGCACCGCCCGTTTTTTCGTTTCGTCCTTTGCCTTTTGGCTGTTGTCTTTGACCTTGCCTGTCTTTTATACAGGCGACCCGGAACATAACTCTCCGTCATTTGACAGTGGAGGAGGAAGGAGGGCCATGAACAAAGATATAAAACAGCTATCAGTCACAGATATCCCCTCGTCGCCTTCCAACGGGATGGATGAGAGTGTCAGCACGATTTACCAAAATAACAGAAATAGCTCATTGCGACAGCAGAGCAACAGGCACGGCAATAGCCAAGCACTTCGACCGTTTGTCGTTCGTTCGTTGGCTCGCCCGTTCGAATGTGCAGGGTCTGTTGATTGCTGTATGTTCTATTCTAATTGAGGCGCTTCTCACCCTGCTTTGCATGGAATCGACAAAAAAGGTTATTGTTATTGTTAATGGTCTTGCTTTTAGTCGTTCTTTGTTTATTGTTGTCGAGCAAGCCTTCTATATTTGTCGCAGATGGGGATGTGGAGAAAGGAAAGGTCCTTCCCCTCTTGATTGCTTTTTCTTCCTCTTCGCCTTCTTGGCCTTCTTTTCAAGTTGCGATCGAAAACTTGTTTGTTTTCTTGGCCGCAGCCCAATCCCAACCCACGCGCCCTCCTCTTCTCTCTTGATCGCCTCTTGGATGGGAACACAAAAAAGCAAATAGAACAGGGCAAACCAAACCAAACAAGGGGTGGAAAATCAAATAACAAGAAGTAAGTGCCCAGCCTCCCTTGGCTTCTTGGCTGAGTCCTTGGTTATTGTGTCGTCTGTGTGCCGTGGAGTTTTTATTTTCCTTTCCTGTTCTCACTGTTATCGTTTTCTTGGTACGTGGTGAGTTGATGGGGGTCAGCCCAAAAAGAAGAAAAAGGGCTTTGGACGTCTTCAGCAATCAAAGAAAGTAAAAGTTGCCGTGGTCAAATGTTGTAGGGTGTGTTTGCGTAATAATACGCCAAGTGTGAGCGAAGGTAATAATGGCTGGGGTTGGCCAAGGGGTGATAAAAAAAGTGCGAGTGTCGTAAATGGGTGTGGATAGGTGTGGGCCAGAGAAGAGGCAGAATACACTTGCCACGGTCAGACCCTCTTCCCGTTGTCAATTGAAGATAGACTGTTTGGGCCAACGTGGAAATTGGCAATTGAAGGGTCGAAGGTCAATTGAAATAGAAAAAGCCTCGAAAATGTCAAACGAAGCAGAGACGGCGAAGAGCGGCGTTGATTGTCAACTTGGACAAGGGTCAATTGACGATGTGGCGAATATATTGGGTGAGCCAAGTTACTTTATTTCTTATTTTCAATTCAATGGCACAACAGACATGTCGACTTTCGACTTTTTCAGAATAGAATAGAAAGAATATTTAATCCAATTCAATTGCCAAGAAAAGAAATAATGAGGAAAAGAACTGCGGACGAGGCGGACGGGCGGAACTTTTTCTTCCGCAGGAGCAATTGAAGGCCGACAACTTGTTTATTATCATTGAATATCATGCCAATTCAGTTGCCAACAGCAAAGGTCAGCCTGAGTCAAACAAGAGTCTGTCTTGTATAAAAAGGGTCTCCTCCTTGCCTTCTGCCCCGCTTTTTTTTCTTTCTCTTTCTCTCTTTTCCTCCTTCCAACCTACCCAACTCATACCAAACACTTTTGCACTCAAAAGCACACTTTTACTTCACGTCAACTCACTCAAACCACAATACTCTCTTCCACCTCCACTCCCACTCCTCTTCGTTCTCACCAGAACCCAAGCAACAACTTCACCATTACAGCCCGACGCCTCTCCCGCTCCAACTCCAACAACAACCCAAACATGCTCTGCAGCCTTATCCGCAAAATGTGCACCACATCAACAACTTCCCTCCTCCAGGACACCTCTTCTCTTCAAAAGACAACTTCAGCCTACTTCAACAGCGCTATCAACACCATGACCGCCTCCTCCCCTATTCACTCGACCATCTCCCCTCCCTCCTCTCCTGCCATGAGCATCGAGAGCGACTTTGAGGACAACGAAGAAACTACCACTACCCAGCCTCGCAAGATCAAGGTCATGATCATCGACGATAACTCTGTCAACCTGACCATCCTCTCCCGCCTTCTCAACAAGCACTTTGCCGACACCATCCAGCTCACCTCTGTCCAGAACTCGGGCCTCGCTGCCCTCGACCAGCTCACCAAGGACGAGGTCGACCTCATCCTCATGGATATTGATATGCCCGTCCTCTCCGGTGTCGAGACCACCACCGCGATCCGCAACAACGACTCGCACTCTGAGCACTCGATCCTCGAGCAGAACATGAACGTGCCCATCATCGCCGTCACCACCTCTGACGCCGAGGAGCAGCGCGAGCTCTACCGCCAGGTTGGCATGGCCGACTGTGTCTCCAAGCCCATTGCCATCCCCAAGCTCCGTATGGCTATCGAGGAGGCCATGAAGACGATCTCCACCAACGGATGAACGTCCTATCGCCCCCAATCGGCGACCCCCTCCTCTTAAACAACCCCACCCACAAAAAAATTTGCTTTCTTACCTTTGCAACACTTTTTTTTTTTCTTGGCGCCCCTGCCGCCGCAACAACACCCCCACTTTTCTCCCTCTTCTTTGGTCGACGATATTCGGTGGTGTTTACCTCCTCCATCTTCCTCCTCTTTCTCCCCTTGCTAAAGGGGACTGAAGACGATGGCAACCCTTCGAACCATCCTCCCAACTTGGGACCCCAGCTCTTTTTTTCTGCGCTTTTTTTTCCCCCCTTTTTCTTTTTCTCTTCTCGCTGACATTCAAAAAGTCAACGACAACTCCAAAAAAAGGCACTTCTTTGGATGGCCACTTGCCTCCTTCATACCCATTCCTCCTCTTGACTGAGTGCAGGATACTTGTAGATAGCTTCCTCTTATACCATCTAGTAGTTTAGCCATCTATCATCCAGCTGCAACAGCTGTAATTCATTAAATATCTATGAAAATCAACTCTCGTCCGCCATCGTGTCTTTGTCCCTCGTCAATGTGGCCCCTGAAAAAAATGGTGCCAATTCTTAACAAAGAACATACAATCTTCGCCATCGTCTCCATTTCTTGTTCTTTTCCTCTCATTGTCTCTTCCACTGCCATTTATTGTCTTTCTTACACTTCATATCAAAACTCTCCTTCTTCTCCTCCGCCCCCTAGAAACCAAGCAACAAACAGACATAACAACTCGCACACAAAAATCACCTCCGCGCAATACAAAAGAGAGCCAAGCCAACAAACAAATAACAAGGGCGACCAGGCACAAGCAAAAGGAAGATGGAACGCTGTGTTTCGTCGTCTGCAATATTTGGGACCACCCCTTCTTTCCTTCCCTCCCTGTTTTCCCCAATGCAGGGCGACGACGAACACGTCTATCTTTTTCTTCCAGCAACAAACAAAAGACAAGTAAGAACGAGAAAAAGGCAGCATTGTATGCAGTCAAATAGAGAAATGGATCCGTTCTTGACCATTCTTCTCCTTCCATGGTCCTTCTTGAGAGAACATACCTGGGCATGGTGTGCTTGCGGATTGAAGGGGGCGGGCGAGAGAGGGAGAGAGAGGAGGCTGCTGGACCACTACTTCTTCAGGAGACATGATAACATGGTATGATGTGTCCATTTTTTTTCTTTGTCTCAATTTCCTTTCACCATATCCTTGCTTTTGGTGCGTTCTTTCTTTGATTTTCGTGAAAATCACTATGTACCCCTTCCTTTCCCTTCGCTTCTGTTTTTTATCATCTCTCTTGTTCAATAGCAACCCTCGCTCATTTCACCCCCTTGCGGGTACATGAGCACGAACGACGAAAAGGAAAGGAGGGAAAGCCTGTTTCGTGCAATGATCGAATGTTCTCTTATTGACTATGCACACCCTCTTTCGCCTACTTTTCTTATGTCTTGATCAGAGTTTTCTCTCGACAAATCCTCAGCACACCCCTTCTTTCTTTCTTTTCTTTTCCTCCGTCCTTGCTCCCCTCTCCACCTCCTCGTTTCGCTGTTATCTTCCTTGTATCTTTACACGCCTATCTATTTTTTCTTTCTTAGTCGTTTGTTGTTTGCGTATGCCCATTTTAGTGGCATGGGTGTTGGGTGGAAGATTGAAGGGGAGGGAGGAGGAGAAGAGGAAGGGAAGGAGGGCCGAGAGCCATTCTCGTAGTTTCTCACACTCACAGACCCCACTGCCTGAACCATACCATGGGTCAGTAAGCACAACCTCAACCTCGACACCCCACCGAGTGTGTTCAAGAACAGACATGAAAGAAAAGACAGTAATTCCTCGATCCAGGGGAGGAAGAAATTCTCCAAAAAAACGAACAAAAGGAATAGAAAAAGATAACGAGGAGGAGGACGATGGTGTTGATATTATTACTATCAATGAGCGGTTAGATAGAGGGATAGATAGAGAGAGCGAAAAAGAGAAGAGAAGGAGGACCCATGTCCATGGGTGGATGGAACAGGGCAACCTAGTTTGATTGCTGAAGTTTGTGCGTTATGCTTATGGCGTTGTTTGCGGTCATCATCCTGCATCATGATAACACAAGCAAAGTGGACATGGTGCTGCAACAGACGAACGGGGTCCCTATAGAGTAAAAGGATAAACAAACGCGACACGTCGCCTTGTCCTTCACTCTCTTCCACTCTACTCCGGTACACGAACCCTGACCCGGACCTTGCTTTTCACCCTGTGTGCTCTGTGCGAAAAAAAAATTAGGATTATCGAACCTGATTTTCCTGCATGTACGAAATCAATCATCCAAGACACATCTTACGCACTCATCTAATATGGACGCACAAAATAACCAAAAAAAGACGAGGCACGGGGTCCACTTCTACAATTGACCGACTTTGCCCCTCTGCCCCATCAATCCGCCGGGCCGTAATTTTTCTTTGTCTAATTGATGATTGCTCTTCTGCCTCTGCCAAGAAGCGATAGCCCTGACCAACGAGGCCACCAACGGACCAACGGGATGCACTCTGACCGAGAACCCCCCACTCACCTACTCCCCCCAGCAAAAGAAATGAGGGACATTCTCGGCGAATTAGTGTTCCGCCCTAGATAGGCATGAATTGCATAAAACCCTCTTTCTGACTCTTCTTCGCTGGCAAACATCACGAACAGAAGGTTCTTTAATGTGTTGTCTGTTTTTTTCCACAGTAACGTCAATTGAGGAGAGGCAGCAGTTTGTCTTTGTCTCGCTGCCCCTGGACCCGGAGGTTTTACCCTCATAGGGTTAGCATGAAAGTAAACATGAGTGAGAGGAAGAGGAGCAATTAGTTTTTTTTTGGTTGTTGTCGACGTGGGACGAACGGTGTTGTAGAATCCCAGGGTCCTCTAGACAACAACAACAACAACAAAAATGCTATCATCGAGCAGCAAATAATGGCAACATCAACAAACAATACACCATCGGGATGGGAAGTGAAGAGGAGACACTCAAGCGAGAATTGAGAGGGGTATGTGTAATAGCGAGGAAGAGCTCTTTTGTGAACCGATAGTATTGACTTGACATGGACTATGTGAGGGAAATAAAACACAAAGGGGGGAATGGCGTGGAATGAGGTCGAAAGAAAACAGGTCGTTAGTGGGTCTATGGCGAAGAACAAGAAGGGAGGAATAGTCAATCAATAGCTGTTGCTCTGTTGTGACTGAGAGGGAGTGTGCATGGCGACAAAGGCACGGCACACGGCAGGAAAGAACGGAAGCGAACAAATTGGCTGGTGCTCTGCGGCGATGCGATGCGATTACTAACCCTCCCGGCTGATTTTCGATTCCGACCGACCAACCGACTGACTGACTGACTGACTGCGTAGTCAAAAAATAATCAGAATGGAACAACAAGATTTGTCAGACAAACGCGGTCCGCTTGGGTGCTGCTCACTCCTTTCTGACAAATACTCGAATTGCCTTATTTTGGGCGGGGATTGTTATTTGGCGATGGTGTTTGTCTACGTGTCCGTTGCTACATTTGATTTCACTTTTTTTTTTGCCATTTGTTCTTTTGTTTCTTTCGGCTTCTGTGTAAGGGTCTACCGAGGAGAGCAGACCTGGCCAACCGACCGCGCCTCCCTTCAACTCCGTGAATAGCGAGAACGAGTCTACGTCAATTTTTTCTTTATTGGAGAACAAAAGAAAAGATATGGCGGGGATTCAGCTCCGTCTCAATTTTTTCAATCTCGATATTTTTTTTATTTCGCGCTCGCTGCGGCGGTGCGGCCAGGGAGAGAGGGACAACAACAAAGAAGCAGAGAAGAAAGCAAGGAGGGAAAGGGGGCATGGTTTGGAAGGAAAGGTATGTTAAGCATGGTACTGTGGCTAGACTCTCTTCTTCTTTCCACAACGGTCAAAGATAGCTCCTGTACTGTACTGTAGCTGATGAGGGTGAGGAAGGGAGAGATGGACGGGAGTGCAGACAGAACCCTGATAGATCTTCCCTCTCCCTCTTTCTCCTCTGTGTCTTCTCTCTGGGATCAATTGAATAATGCAAAAAAAAAAAAAAGATAGGAAGAAAACAAACAAACGATGCCATGCAACAAGAGAGAGTGTACGTATGATGTCTCCCTGCCTGTTTGTATCTGTCCATCTGACTCCAACTTGACCCATCGACTGGGATGGACGGACTCACAAACAAAGCCAAGCATGCCTCGTGGCAAACGAAGGGTGCAGTATGTGCCCTTTGCGTCCCTTAGCGTGTTTTATGTGGTTGTCTATGTACAAGTGCGTTAACAAAGTTATTTTGAACACTCGTTTTTCTCCGCCACGCTTGTCAACACTCAACAGAGAGAGAAGAAGGGGAAAGCAAAAAAGGGCCTCATGGTACTTACTCATGGTGTGACACGCGCACACACACATGGGCAAGTCAAGCAAAGTAGGCACCCCAGAAACGAGCCAACAATTGTTCTCTATTGTTTCCGGCCTACCTCTTTTTCTTCTTTCATGCGATCGAAAACAAAGTAACAAAACCCACATGCACACACCCCCGTAACACTCCAGCGCTCTAGAGAAGTTATCCCCCGAGAAGGAGTAAGCAAATTGAAGGAGTTGCTAAATAGTGTTTGACATGATAAAGAGTCAGCCACACTTTCACACACACTCACTCCTTTCCTTTTACGCCTTTTGGTGAGCAATTGACCGTAAATAACAAAAGGCCGACGAAGAGAGTCAATGACACGAGGTGGACCGACACTCAAACAGCAGGGGGGGAGTGTGTCAATTTGAAGTGAGTAACGAAGAAACAAACGAGCGAGAAAAATGTTATTTTCATTATCGCCTTCATTGGCTTGGCGTGGCTTGGCTGGACTTGGTCTTGGCTTTGGCAAGTTATGCTATTCACCATTCCCTCCCTACCCCTAGACCTCGTGGACATTTCTCATTTGAACAAAAGAGGGGTACAAGGTCTATTTTTTGGACGACCATCAACAAGAATAAAAACACTTTTTTGATACATAAAAAAAGAGATTGAGAGAACCACGAATCGATCGGTCTTTGGAGTGGTACGAAGCATCAGATATATTGGGGTACGAAGAATGGACAACGACAATACAAAAATACAAAAACCATTTTCAGCGTCGTCAAGCGAGCACACTTTACTAGAACTAGACAACGTCCTTTTTTTTTTCTTGCCAGTTGTCGTCTTCTTTTTCACGCCTATTTGAACAACGGAGACTCGGTGTTTCCGGTGTGGAATGTGAAAAAGCAATTGTTTTTGAAGCGGCACCAATAGCTGAGAGGTAAAAACAAAAGTGAAAAAGGAAACCCGCGAGCGAGCGAAAAAAAGCCGGTCGAGATAGCAAAAGAAAGATATCATAAAAAAAAATATTCCCTTTTTTTGTCAACAATCGGAATATGGGTCCGCACCAGTGGTCATGCTTTTCTGCACCGAAGTTCTCGGTCGAGAACCAAAAAAGCAAGAGGGGCTGGTGGGAGAGAAGAAGGCGGGAGGATATTATTTTCAGAGGAGAGCAACGCTCTGTAGGGGTAAGTAAGAATATGTCGGATAGGAGAGCGGTGGTGAATCAATCCACTCAACAAGAACACTCCCCTCGGGGCTTGGGGGAGGGGGAATATTATGGCTCCGCCTTAAGTAGGGAGTCAAAAAAAACGTGGCGAACTCTATTTCTTGGTCCATTTTTCCCATCTCTTTCGGTCCCCACCTGAGTGAAGTAAGCGGCGTGATTGGTGTAAAAACATTTTTGGGCAAGTCGAAAAGTAGAAGAAAAAAGAAGACAGGAAGGAGTAAGCACGGCCCGGTGCTTTTGCCCTTTTTCTTTCTTTTTTTTTTTCATCAGCAGTGAGTCAGGGGCGAAGTAATGAAAAGATTCAGAAGTAGCAGGGGGGAGCAAATAAGTTGGGAGGGGTGAGAGTAGGGTTTGGACTTTTTGGAGTGAATCAAAACAACAGTACAGAAGGGGTAAATAAGAAGAGCCAACGAGGCAATTAAAATAAAGCGCTAGGCACTTGAACTTAGTTCGTTGTTGTTTTATCCCTCACCTTTCGCCTTTTTTGTCTTTATGCTGTTGACTATCTTGCAGTTGGCAACTCAAGTTGACTGTGCTCGGGAAGCTCTTTATTTGGTAAGGAGTTAATAGTTGACTTGATGGGTATGTCGTCTGTCAAGCGTAGTTGACAGGGTATCTTTGTCTGGTGTTTGCTCATTCGTATTATCATTATTATTATTGCGAGTGCGTGTGGGCACGATGGAGAGTAGAAGGGGGAGAACCAATATCAAAGATACTCCTAGACACCGGGACGTGAGTGCTGAGGGATAGTGAGGGAGGGAGAACTGCCAGTCACTGGTGGTGTCAGAGGAACCGCGTTGGAAGTTGCTCCTGTGAAAAGATACCCTGATCCATTATCCTGCGGCTGCGGTGGTGAAGAAATGGCGGTAGCACTCCCATCTGACTGGTACCCGGTCATGACGGGATACGCACCAGCACCAGCAGTGACAACGCTGGCCTCCGCCTTATGACTTTGAGTCCAGTCTGGTTGAGCCCCCACTACAGCTGCCTCTCCTGCTCTGTCTTCTGGTTTCTTTCCTGTAATGGACTCCTTGAATCCCAAGCAGCATGCCGCAATACATCCAAAGAACAAAGCAGGATACCGCCTCCTACTATCAACACTGCCACGACAATGATGATAATGATCGTAACCGGCAACTTGCCCGCAACAACCACCAGTGCTCCCGCCATCACCGCCACCACTACTTCCACTGCCACCACCAGTTCCACCCGTCGGGCGTGGGTAGGATCCTGTGTTAGTTGAGGAAGGGTCGGTTCCGAATCGTTGTGAAATAGACGCATTAGCTCCACCCTCAATTTCTGCAACCGTTGCTCCAGGGGTTAGGATCATCGAGAACTGGAGGTTGGTCTTGACATAGGATTCAGATTTCTGAATTAACAGGAGTGGCGGTGAGGTACTGGTGGTTGTTGTGGCGTTGGCGGTTCCGATGGCGACCATAGAGTCAAGCTTTTTGAGCGTTGTGGAGAAGGTGGTACTGGGTGCGAATGTTGAACTGGGTTTGGAAGTGTTCTTGAGAACTGCCAGTGAACTGAGTGTTGCGTCGTACTAATGCATCATGCACGAGAAAAGGGTTGACAAATTAATAAACGGGCGGAGTGAAAACACATGGTCGAGGAAGGAAAGGGAAAGAAGGATAAATAAGAAAGAGAGAGACTGAGGGAGAGGTGACGTTCTTGAGAGAATAAACATCCAATCTATTGGACGCGTCAAAAATACGTAAGTAATACAGCTCATTACTGCGGTAGAGAGCTGCCAACAGAACGCCGTCCTAGAAACAATGCCAATGCAGAGTGGAGAACAAAATGGAGGGTTAGATATATGTCCGCATGTGATAGGGCGGGTGGAAATTAAGGGATGTGGAGAACAAAGGCCATGCTTACATTGTCTATGCTTCCCTTACAAGGGAAGAAATAATAATTAGGTGCATGATTTTTCACACGTTGCAAGTAGGGAGGAAGAGTGACACTTTACCATCACCCGTTTTCCAGTAGGGTTAAAAGTATTGTTGCCGCATCAATGGTACCAAAATGAACCGTGTCGTCTCTAGTAGGAGAAGGGTTATCGGTAAGGGCTATGTTCAAGGTCTCGACGCCTGCGACGGTGGCATACCACAACGACAGCTTTTGAACCAACATCTGTCCAAACGCCGGATTGAGGTCATTGTCGACCAGGACCCGGTGCCCTGACTCAAAGCTGGGTCTGCAACCTCCGCAGGGTCATAACGGAGGGCGGTGATGTACGCCGAGTACGGTTTGGTTGTATCATAGACATAATGGACCGCGACAAAGGTGACAACGCCTCGGCTATCGACCGCGCAGCCTGCAACGGTGGGGATTCCACTAGCAATGGATAGGGTAGGAAGAGAGGAAGGACCAGCTTGTGGCCAAGACACTTGAGGGGTTGGCATTAGGCTTGACCAGGACCATGTTCTTGGACCACCCACCGGCAATGGAGCCGCCGTAGCGGTCCGCGTTCACAATACCATAGAAAGTCGTCGCCGCGGGTCCGCAGGCTAGAGAGTAGGTGTTCTGGAGGGTGAAGCGTGGTTGATCTCTTGTGGTGCATGTGTATGTTGTATACTCCCGTAATAATGATGTAGGGGTGTTGGTGCCAACGTTTTTGAGAAACTGCATTGCCAACTTAGCCTAGTTACCAATCTGTCCAAAGTAATACATCTCGTCGCCGCGGAAGAACCGTTTTCAGATCTCCGAATGTCAGGTAAGGCTAATGTGAACCAGCGGCGAAGCTCCGTAGAATACATTGGTGGAGAACAATCTATGAGCACCTTTGGCCATATAAACGACAGTAAAAGAACAGAGGACTCTTGTTGTTGTCACCACACTTTCTCTGGTCGATGCACGTTTGACCTTTCCCTGGGAGAGAGGCACGTTTGAATTGACGTGCTCGTTAGTTCGATTGATTGTCCTTTGTCCTCGCATTGTTGGGATCCCTTTCGTTGTTTGCTTTTTCTCGACCAAGATGTGAATGGAATAGAGGAGAGAACGTCCCAGCCCAGTCTTTTTTTTGTGTCAACATCTCAGATGTTCCAACGATATCTTGGTCCACAACAACAAACAACAACCAATCAACAACCAACACCACTGTCATCGTGTGTGTGTGTGTATTTTTTTCTTGAGGCCTTTCCTTCCCAGCTTTGGATCTCTCCTTTTGTATGCATCAGAAAAAGAGAGGGGGAGAGGAGAAGGAGGAGAGAAAAGGAACGACAAAGCTCGCTCTTCGAAAGCGAGAGACAATTCACAGTTCATAGTAAATGTTTGTTGTTCTTTTATCTCGCCGATGTCAGACTGCAAGGAGTATGAAGAATAAGAAGAAAATGATCCACACAAACGCGCAATTCGGTATCCAAAAGAGAGGTAAAAAAAGGGAGGTGGTCGTCTCGCGAAGGTATGTTTGGTTATATCACTATCTGGCTGCATGAATGAACGAATTAAAGGCGAGGGGGAATCCTACCGAAGGAAGAAAGGAAGAGAAGTCAGTAGGGAAAAAAGGGAACGAAAAAAGGGGAGACAAAAACAAAAGAGATGTAATTTCTTGTGCAGCGATCCACAGTTGACCACATCAACACGTACGCAGTCTTAGCAGCGAAGGGGAGTGTGGTCCTTTGAATTTGATATTGGTTCTTTTGAGAATCTGTATCCACACAAGTAGATTGTAACAAATGGGGGATATGAGGCATGTGCGTACTACATGGCTTGGAAGCGTGTCCTTCTTCCTTTTTATGTTCTTCTACTTTTTTATGCATTCCAGGAACAAATAGACGATAAGCAATAGCCCTTCATTCTACAGGACCCATTGACGGAGATTTATCCAAACCACAGATGTGCATAGTCAGAAGGAAGAAGGAGTGAGGAAATGTCTACCAAGCATTGGCACAGTACATGTACACGTAAATCATTCCATAGCTCCGGACTTGCCTATTTGCTTCCTTGACATGCAGCTTGTTGAGTCCATACCCGACTCTCAGTGCTCCTTGAATTTGTGTCTAGACAAGGAGGGTAGGCAAGGCAACATGACATGCATGCAACTATTGTTTTTGACTTCAGTCATTGATGTTTCTCGTTTCATTTTGCTTGTTTTGGTAGAAATGTACAATGAACAAAGTACAGGCACCGCATCATGTAGCCTAGAGAACCGCCAAACAGCATTGACCGCGACCGGAGTGTTTTTTATATCCCTTTCTTCACTCTCGGATGCCTGTGATCGGACCAGAGACCAAAACAAAAAGCAACTCAATTCTGTTTGTTGCGATGGGAGCAAAAGCGGACTATCAATGTGCATTTGGCAGGTAGAGGAATAGATGCATGCCAGAGTTGAGTTCGAGACAAGGTGGTGGCAACATACATGGACAAAAAAGGGCTATTTTTGTTCCTCTTGCGCCCGGCCCTGTATCTCTTCTGTTGTTATTGTGAATCGGCGCCCGATAGGAGGTTGGACCATTGCGATGTTTTTTTCTTGTTTCTGCTGCAAACGGAATACACCGTGCTCACATACCTCTCACCTTCTCGGACTGTTTTCTGTGAATGGCTTGCAAATATGCCATACATCGTTTTTTTTTCCTATCCGGATTGGGTTGACCCGTTGTGGTGTCAAAACACATGGCCATGGATAAATGGATACACAGAGACACGTCTAATCGATCCTGTTGTCATCGCAAACAATTGCCCGGAGGTTTTTTTCGCCACGAATTTTTTTTTTTGACTTTCCCTCGATATGCCGGATTACGGAATTGTCTGTAGTAAACAAAAAGTGAAAGGGTGATCCGTGTGTTCCTCTCCCTCCGCCCTCTCCCTCCGCCCTCGTTCTCTGGTTCCAGATGTGTAATGATGTCCTTGTTGTTTCTCAATTGACGGATTGGTTGGGGTCACTTTGCCCATTTGAAGACTTTTATGTTTGTGAGAATCAAAAATGATTACAGTGAAGGACGGAGGGACTCAATCGCTCCAGGCACCCTCCCCCTCGCGTTTCCTAACTGCAGTCCTGTCCTAGTCGCGTGCTCTTTCTTGTACTCACCCTTCCTTCCTTCACCCTGTCCTTTCTAGACCTTTCTATCTCTTTCTTTTGGAAAGACACTCCTTGGGTCTCGCGGCACCTTGTGTCCCTTCACCTACTAACAACTTTATCGGATCTGTTTGCTGTTACTTTCTTTTGTTGACTCCCTCGCCTTCTGTCGACTGCTCTCACACTCTTCAAATGGTTCCATTCCAGTCTTTTGTGTTCTAGTAACTTCTTTTCTTCTTTTTTCTTTTATTTGTGAAGCATAAACTCAAAATTAAAGTAAGGAAGGCCATTTTGCCACGTCGTGAGTGAGGCGAGTGAATGGTCCCAAACGTGTTCGCACCTCTTTAACATTGGGCGAAATGGGGGGTTAACTTCTCTTGTTCATGAACCATTGCTATTGAACGAACGGAAAGCCGTAGGGAGCTTGTCGCGAGAAAAGGTCGGGTGAGGGCTTATGGCTGCCAAAAGAACAAGATACGAAGTGCTCTCACACATTGTACCTCTTTTTTTGTGCCGTATATGGTGATCACCTCCGATTGAAAGGTGACTCCAGAAACCATTGAAAGTTACTTTTGTTTTCGAGCTTGACTAAATGGATACCATTATCAGCTCTCTCCTCCTATGTCTGTTATGGTTTGGCTTTGACGTGCTGGAAGGGATCCCCTGAGTGGGTTCGCTTGAGTCAGAAAGGACAGAAGTGGATAATTCACTCCCGCGATCATCCACGTCGCATTAACACTCAAAAGAGTAAAAAGAACGCACTAGCTTTCAAGGACGAAAAAAAGGGTATGAGGGAAAATGGGTACCGGCATGAGTCCCTGCGTCCAGGTTTGCGTCTATGCTTTGTTTCTTCATCATGCATATGAAACATCCGGATGGCGCATTGAGTTTTTTTCTTGTTATCCTTCCAAATGTTCAAAAAACACGCGACTATTCAAACTAAAATCCCATACAAGAGCAACCAGCAAGAAAAAAAGGAAAATGTGTTGTCTACTGGCCTTTCTGCTGGCAATTGATCCCGGGGAGCTGGGTGCTACCCGAAGGCTTGCTTGGTTGTGTGTTATCCCAGGTGTCTCAGTGGATTCTAGATTACGAAACCTTTTTTCTTTCTTTTGTTTTCTTTCTATTGAGGTCGTCAAAAGTCGACAGCCTGCCCTACTTCTTACTTTTCTGAGTAAAAATATTTCGCCCCTTCTATTTTTCCATCTTGGCTCAATCGGGCTTTGTTGTTTTCTCTTTGTTAGAGCTAACACTGTGTTGGTGAGAAGGTGAGGAGGCGGTGCGATCGAAATAATTTTTTTTCGTCGCCATTCAACCTGTGCCATGCTTCTGTTTGCATTTATATTCGTCGATTGCGTTCATACCTTTCCCTATTTCTCCTCGGAGAGTGGACGATGGATCGCACGAAAGTTGTACCATGGGCTGAGGAACAAAATGAGAGGAACAATGGTCAAAGGAGCCACACAAAATATCAATTGACGGGAAGGACAAACGAAAAAAAAAAAAAAAAAAGAAAGCAATTAGACTGGTTTCAAAGCGACGGAGATTCCAGTAGCTCTGATTGGTTTGTCTCTCTGTCTCTCCCAACCCTTCCAATGGGGTTTTTCTATAGCACAGACTTCTCTTCCTTCTCTTCCTCTCCTCTTCTAACAACTCACCATTCCCTGACTGTGCCATTCTGTCTTGTTCGCTAATTATTTTTCCGCTCTATGCTAAATCGAGCGCACAATTGCCCTTATTCCTTTGGTCTTCAAGAAAAGAAAAAATGGCCCAACCGTTCGTGGACCAATCAAAAACCAGGGTGTGTCCTCGCTGACTCCTATTTCCCTGGCGCACGGCAATTTCAATTCCGCTCCCTGTCTCGTTCTTGTTCCTATGCTGAATGCTGCGTTTTGACTGGTGCCACTAGCATTTCTAAGAGCAATTGTTTTTTTTTGTTGGTGTTGGTGTTGTCGTTGTTGTTGTTGTTGTTGTTGTTGTTGTTGGCGGTGGTGGTGTATAGATCAACCAGCTGAAAGAGGCGAAGGGAAGGGGTCTGTTCAAGACAATTGTAAATTAGCTGGGAGGAAGGAAAGGGGAAGAGGCAGGCAGGATGTGGATTGGTACCTTTCAATGGTTCCCCATTTATTGCTTATTTTTTCCTGTTCACTAAACCCTTTTTTCTTGAATGCCATGCGCCTATAGGTTCTTTTTTAGTTTCATTGTGGTCTAGAAGTCAAAGCATGAGTACATGAAAGAATGAAAGTACTAGGGTTCAAGGGTTCGACTTACTTCAATTTTGCTAGTTTCCTGGAGAGACAGGGACGGGACTACAATCACCTCTTCCTCACCCCCCTTTCATGCTCCTTCCCTTCAAGCGTCCAATGGATACCAAAGATACATTCGGCACCAATGGATGAAGGAAGAAAGGAAAGGAAAGGAAGAGGTAACCAAGCCTGGACGCATAAACTGTACCTCTCGCCCCCCTATTGTTTGTTTTGATATGTGCTGCATTTCCATGACAACATGCGACCAAGAGCTACATATAAACAGTACAAACAAACATAGCTCTCTCCTCCTCCCTTATCCCAACCCTAATCCGTTCATTATCAATTAGAAATCTCAATTCTTAACGATGGAGACCATGGGTTGCTCAATGCGACAGGTATGGTATGTACCTACCAATTTATAAGAAAAAAAGCAAGAGCAAGAGCATCATTCTGAAAGAACATTTTCATGCAAAAAAAAGAAAACGGAACAGCCAAAAGAAACTAAAGAAAAAACGGCCGGCCGATCGCAGGACGTCTAGATAGCAAAAAAATCAACAACTAACAAACGGGTTATTCCATGTTCCATGAGTAACGCGCAAACGTGTCCTGTAACTGTTTGTGGACATATCAGGTACAAGGGACAAAGACAGGAATAACAGCCCGCATTATGGCCATGGGGTCGAAAATGTAAAAATAAATAGGACCCTGTTGGACGAGAGAGATGTCCAGCCAAGCCAGCCAGCCAACTAGACATTTGGCTTCCAGTAGAGGAAATGATATACACCAGTTGTCCAAGCGACTGCGACTGCTGGCACTGAAAACGAACGAACGCCCCTCCCTTTCTTGACGCAGTAAAAAGAGGTATCAGCGGCATGTTAATTGTCTTGGCATTTCCTTTTGTCTAAAAGTCTTTGCCACCCGCAATCAATCGCTTACTCCCACCGCTCCAATGCGAAATGCGAGACAGGGCGGAGATAGGCGGGCTAACGGACGGAGAGACGGCGTTGCAACACATTCCTGTTTATGCAAACGAAAAAAAAAAAAAAGAACTGCCCACTTTTGTTTGCCTGAAAAGGCTATTCTCTTCGAAGACGCCGTTATTGCCTTTTGTGGGGTCGAAAGTCTCCTTGTCAAACGAGCTGGTTGACCACTTTGAGGCATCGCTGTTTTAGGTAAGTGTCAAAGGAGCAATTGAAGGAAGGAGGGCTGAGATTCTTGGAGTTGGTGGTTGACACTAACTCGATTTGGTATTGGATTCTCTTTTTCTCTCAACCCAGTCGCTTTGGAGTTTAAACGGACTGATCTAGTACCTGACTTAACCCTTTTAGAAAGACCCTGACCCTTCCTCCCCTCAAAACTAACCCCAATTCAATCCCATATGGCCCCTCTGACTCCGTGTACCTTCTCTGGTGCTGCCACTTGTCAGGAACCCTATTATCACCATTATTGCAATTTTTCTGGGAAATTACTTTTGCGCGAGAGCCCCGGGCTGGGTAGGGTGCCTCCTCTCCTTCTCTCCCCCTCTCTCTCTTTCTATCGTGGAACTACACCAGAACCACAATCTACTAGGCGCCACTAGCTCAGGTACCAGTACTTTCCTGTCCACAATGAGGAGATGAGTACGTTTGAGGTTCCATTATTACCATGAAATTGGTACCCTTTCTCTTTCTCCCTCTCTCTCTCTTTCTCTCTTTCTCCAGGTTCCAAAAATCAATTTGATTTCGTGAAAATAGAAAAAGAGTAAAAGGGACAGGGAGGAATGGGGGGATAAGAATAGTGCACCATGCAAGATGGGAGTTGGTACTTGGCTGCTGATCATAATCTCTCACTCTTCGAGTCTGTAGGTAAGCCGTATGCCTGTGTGTCCACTCAGAACAAGATCCTCCGCTCGGTCGGTCAATTGATGCTATTTTTCTCTTTGTCGTTGAGCCTCGTCAAACGCTTGGTATTGAACTCTTCTTTTTTGCCTTTTTTGAACGGACACGACACGCGCAGAAAAAGGAGCGCGTGTCAAAAAATAGCCAGCCATCCTGCCAAGAACCACACAAACAAAGTCGATCTCTCTGCTTATTGGGAAATAACAAATATAACGGTTCACGCCTTTCCGTTTTTCTCGCTCGGATATTCTCTGATCTTTATGCACTGTCCTTTTTCCCCAGGCTGCATGTGTTGCGGGAGAGAGAGGATGGCACCCTCCCGAACAAATCCAATGTATCGATCATTGTTGTTGCTCATGCCATGGTCCTGGTCGAGGGGAGGAATAGGATGTCTTGGATGAAGGGAATCAACTATATCAACATGCCAGTAGAAAGAAAAGATCTGTATTTTTCCAAGCCGAAGGGAAGAAAAGGATTGAGATAGCAATCAACTCACAACGGGATGAATGCCGAACTGTCCAGGGTCTGCATGCTGCAACTGCCTTTTTTTTTGCTCGTGTGCAAAGATGGTCCGGGAGAAGACAAAAAATATGCCCATGCAGGTCGGTCACAAAGATGGTTGTTGCATAACCAGTCGATGAGTGGATGCATCTTTTCTTTTCTTTCCCGTGCGTGAAAGTGATCTCTCACCACTTCCGACCATCTCCACATTCGTTTACAATGCAGACGGACCAACCACGGACCGTTATTTGATTATTTTCTCTCTTTCTCCGCGCTCTCCGAGGTTCCTGATGGTATCATGTCTTCAGCTTCTCGTTGGTCAAATTCTCGCTGCAGGCCCATAGTTCATCATGCAATTTTTCATCTCTCGCGTAGTTTGCTATCGACAGAAAAATGTATAGTGAGTTGGCATAGGGTAAAAGAAAAATAAAAAAAAGAAGGCAAGAATACAAACACACAAGCTTACAAGGACCAAGCTCAGTAGAAATAGGTCCAAAGTGTCGCCCCGTGATCATCTTGTTCTCCACCTCTGGGCTGATCGCCAGATACAGCGGCGTCAACGATTCTCTCGGCCGGAAAGGCGACCTTTCTATGAGCCACTCCTTCAATCCGTCCAACACACCACCACCATTGACCGGTCGAGTGCCCTCTGTAGAATCATACACGGAGTTTGCGCAATTGACAAACATTCTGGATTCGTTGCCTAGACGACGGGTGAAGGCCTTTGCGAACATGATGTTGGAAAGTTTTGAGCGGTAGAATCGGTCCCAGGCGGATTGGTGGTGGGACTGGGGAGTGTCGCCGGTTTGTTGATAGTGTCGTAGTTGATCCCGGGGTCGATTTGAGGTGGCCATTATCCTGATACGCGAGGGTTGCGACTTTTTGATTCTGTTGGGCATATTTTTTGTTTGTAAGAGATTTATTGAGTCGTGGAGTGCGTACAGTAAAAACTAATACTCCTCTCCTACAGGAGTCTTTGATCCTGTTGAGCAGTGCTGTGCAAAGGTGATGAGTCACATGACTTGAACAAAGAAGCACATCTTTTTTTTTTCACCTCCTTTTTTTCTTCGTGGATGCTGACCCATGTGGTTGACGGCAAACTCACTCTCGGCACTCAACTCCAATGGCCCTCCAGCGATACCAGAGTTGTTGAGAAGGATAAAACTTATGCGCAGCCTGACGAGTCTTGATCATGTCGTTCATATCAAGCTCCAAATACTCGAGTTGCAGAGTAGGGGAGTTGGAGCACTTGGACTTGAACTCCTCCTTTGCTTTCTCAATCACCTCCTGTGGTCGACTCAGGTTTCGACAGGCCAAAGGAAGCTCGAGCTCCATGGGCGGCAGGGACGACAGTGGTGGCGTATCCGAGCCCCGAGTTGGCGCCTGTGACGATGACGACTTTGCCAGTGAGGTCGGGGATCTGGTCGTGGGAGTAACCGTCTCCTTGGAAGAATGATTTCCAGTAAGCGATCTGGCTGAAGGGACTCATCGATGTATGCTTGTCTGCTGTCTGTATTTTTTTGTATTGTTATGTCTCGTTAAGATTGAGCGTCCTGTGTTGGTCTTGTTTTGGAAGTTGGGCAGAAAAAAAATCTATCATAGAGGAAAAAATGCGCATTGACCTTGATCTTTTTTATGTTCATGTTTTTCATCGAAGGCTGACAGACTGGACTGAAAATCACCGAATCCACCAATGGTGACCAAGATACCGGATGACAAATTGGACAGACGTCCATGCAATGGATCCCTGTACTTGAACCGTGTTAGTGGTATCACATGTGAAGCAAAGAAGTTCTGGCTCAGAAGCTGCTCTGTTGACACAAACATCATGACAAAACGAATGAAAGATTTTTATTACTTGTAATAGACAATACCATCACGCTCTGATCTTCTCGTTGGCCAGCTTCTCGCTGTATGTCCACAGCTCCTCCTGTGCCTTCTCATCCTTGGCGTATGAAGCTAATTGAATGACAACAGAAAAAATGGAACATTAACACCAATGCGCAGGGAACAATAATTTTGTTAACAAACGGTTCAATTTGCATCAGAGAAGAACTTACATGGCTCGAGCTCAAGGGCAACTGGCCAAAAATATTTTCCTTTGATCCCCTTGTTTTCAATCTCGGGGCTCGTCGCGAGGTAGAGCTGAGTCAGGACTCCCTTCTCAACAGGGATCGAGATCGTTTTGAATACCCACGCAGTCAAGCCATCCTTGACTTTTCTGAACCATCCTACTTTCTCCCCTTCCTTGCGAGCGGCAGGTCGAGAACCCTCGGTCGAGACTAAACCCGGGTGACAATAATTGACAAACAGGCGGGGCTCGTTTTTGACACGACGGGTCAAGGCGATGGCGAACATGGCGTTGGCGAGTTTGGAACGGGCATATCTGCTCCATGTGTTTTGGTGGTGGGGTTTTTCGGTCTCGCCTTCCTTGTAGATCGTGTCGTAGTTGATCCCGGCAGCCCTCTCGAGGAAGTAGGAAGAAAGAATGACGATGCGGGAGGGTTGCGATTCCTTGATCCTGTCGAGCAATGCGAGTGTGAACACGAAGGTGCTGTTTGAGAGAGAAAGAAAAAAAAAGGGATCCAAAGGTGAGAAACGGCTACATGATTTAGCATGCCAATAGGGCAAATGTCAATGCACGTTTTTTTTCTTTCTCTCACTCTCTCCTTCTCCTTCGCCTTCGTTCTTTCTATCTTACCCCATATGGTTCACACCAAACTCATTCTCGATCCCGTCCGCAGTCAAGCCCAGGGGTCCGGCATAGATTCCAGAGTTGTTGACAAGAATATGGAGTGGCAGGCCCAGCTTCAGGAACTCCTGGGCCGATTGCTTGGTCTTTGTCAGGTCGCCTTGATCCAGTTCCAAAAAGTCGAGTTGAGGCGCGGCGGCATAAGGAAACTTGGTCTTGATCTCGGCCTTGGCTCTTTCGATCGCGTCCTGTGCGCGTTGTTTGTTACGGCACGCAAGGAAGACTCGGGCTCCGTGGGCTGCAAGGGCGACAGTGGTGGCGTACCCGAGTCCAGAGTTGGCACCAGTGACGATGGCGACCTTGCCGGTCAGATCGGGGACCTGGTCATGGGAGAAGAAATCGCGTTGCCAAAGCGACTTCCAGAATGCAGCTTGAGTATATGGACTCATGATTGTGAGTGTGTCTGTGTGGTTGGTTTGGTGGGTGTGTTGATCTAAGGTATGGTTTATGTTATCGATCGCCGACGGGATGCAAAAAAGGTTGCTCGAATGTGTATAAGTTGGTTGTTATGAGAATCAATGTTTGCTATGAAGAGAAGATGAAGAAGGAAAGGTGTGTTGACCCTGACTATTTATTATTTTCCTCTCCCACTTCCTCCGGTGGTCCAAGTTCGAGTCCAGAACCAGGCTGGAGCCGAAACCAGCCAACAGAATAAAGATAAGGTGCCCAAACCGTGGAGTAGGCAATTACAAATCGATCGCTTCAGTCATGCAACGAATGGACAATGTCTGTGACGCCTTTTTTCTCTTGTGGTGAAAAAGTAAAAAGAATGAACACTACAGTTGAGGGGTGCCTAGGACAGAAGCAACACAGACAACCAAGCATGTTTAGAAATGACGATGTAGGCTTTTGTTCTTTTTCTGACAAAGCTCATCACCCCCCCCCCCCCCCCCCCCGATCAGCAAAATCGATAACGCAATATCGTGCCCAACTAGCCCAATTACCCACAAAAAAGGTCGATCGTATCCGTTTAAAAAAAATTCACTAATTCATCCTCGTCCCTTGTATACGTAGCTTGTTTATATGCAAAAGAGCTGTACGATAGTATCCCGATCGGAAGGACACAAGCCAAAAAATAAAATAAAAAAATATCACGAGCTGACAAACAAGAGGATAGTGTAAACACTTTCATGGCTCAATCTTACTGGAAATGGGTTCAAAGTGCCGACCTCTAATTTCACGCTTCTCAACCTCCGGACTAGTCGCTAGGTAGAGCTGCATCAACACGCCTCTACTGAGGGGCCACGCGACCAGGCTGTGGAACCATTCCTCCAGCCCATCCAAGAACCTGCTAAAAGTGGTACTTTCTTGGCGAGGGACGGGTTGTGTGGCGCGAGTAGAGACGTATCCTGGGTGACAGGCGCTGACATACACGGCGGGCGAGGGCTCTGGAAAATGAGGACATTGACGAGTTTTGAGGGGGCGTGTCGGTCGTAGACTGATTGATGGTGTGGTTGTGGAGTCAGGAGTGTCGCCAGCCTTGAGGATGGTATCGTAGTTGATCCCGACAGCCTTCTCGTGGAAGAGGGAGGACATAATGACGACGCGCGAGGGCTGAAACTCATTGATCCTGTCCAGCAGGGCGACTGTGAGCACGAAATGATTTCTCTCTCTCTCTCTCGCTCCCTCCCACTTCGTTCATGGATTCTTACCCCATGTGGTTCACAGCAAACTCGCTCTCGAGACCATCATTGCACGGCTTCAGAGGTCCCCCAACGATCCCAGAGTTGTTGACGAGGATATGGAATAGCTAGCTCTTTTTCAAGATCTCCTGAGCAGCCAGTCGAGTCTTGTTCATATCGCCCAAATCCAACTCCACGAACTCGAGCTGCAGAGTAGGGGAGTTGGAGCACCTGAACTTGAACTCCTCCTTTGCTCTCTCAAGCGCCTCTTGTGGGCGACTCTGGTTTCGACAGGCCAAGAAGACTCGATCTCCGTGGGCGGCAAGGGTGATAGTGGTGGCGTATCCGAGTCCTGAATTGGCGCCTATGACGACAGCGACTTTGCTAGCGATATTGGGGATTGGTCATGGGATTATCCATCTTCGTGAAAGAATTTGTTGTGTGTTTCCTGTCAATCGCTTCGTTGTCCTTGTGTCCTATTGTAATTGGCTTCCCCTTGGTGTCTTTGCCTCTTGGTTGTTTGCGGGGTGATATATTTTATTGTTGGTCGACAGGAAAAGAAAAGGAAAAAGAACAAGGGTTGAGCGGTTCCTCATTTTTTTTTTATCGCAGACTGTGGGTCGAGAGCAAACGATGGAAGGAATGAAATTTTTAAAGTGTTTTTTCCGATCGCACTCGTTTAGGAGTTACTGATGAATGCCGGGGGAACCTGGGCAAGAACAAAAAGGCAAGAAGTTGCAGCAATAGACGTGTAAAGAGAGGACTGGAAAGGCATAAACGTGCAGCGACAATTGAGACTGGCAAGGAATGCCATCAACTGTGGGCGAAGTCGAGCTATGATGGTCTGTTGTCTTCTATTATTATTATTATTATTGGACCATTATTTTTGTTTCTGGACTGAGATGAACATTGGGGGGAATGAGACCAAGATAAAGAAAATCTAGGCCTTGATCTTTTCCTTTGCGAGTTTCTCGCTGAACACCCACAATGCCTCCTGGAGGTCAACGTCTGTAGAGTAGTGAACTATGAAAAGAAGACAAAGAAACGAATATGAGCGCTATGGTTAGAACTCACTCTCCTACCACATATTTTTTTCCCAGGACAATGGGTGCAATTAGAGATTGAAAGAGAGATATCTTACCGGGTTTAATCTCATTGGCAATAGGAATAAAGTATCGTCCACGGATATCCTTGCTCTCAACCTCGGGGCTTGTTGCCAGATACAACTGCGTCAAGGCACCAACTCTAGGCGACATGGCGACAATATTCGTTACCAAACGGAACACTTTGTCTGCAAAATCGCCCCACACGTCCTTGGTACTACGGGCCAGGTTGGTGGCGACGTAGCCCGGATGTGCGACGTTAACCCACACCTTCTCGTTGGCAAGTCGACGGGCCAGGGCTTTGCCGAACAGGACGTTGGCTAACTTGGAGCGGGCGTAGCGGTCCCAGTTGTTGGATTTGGTCTCGTCGTTGATGGTGTCGAAGTCGATGCCGTTCATGTGCTTAGGGGTCATCTCGTGGGCGAGAGAGGAGAGGATGACGATCCTGGAGGGCTGCGATTCCTTGATTCTGTCGAGTAGACCCATCGTGAACACAAAGTGCCTAGTGACAAGAGCGTAAACGCAAAGAAAGCAGGAACGGTTAATGGCAATGTACAATAGTAGAGACAAGAGTTGGACTCACTTTTCTTATTTTTGCACATCATCAAGATCCACTTACCCCAAATGATTGACGGCGAACTGAGTCTCGATGCCATCGGCGCTGAGGGTAAAGGGGCAATTCATGATGCCGGAGTTGTTAACAAGGATATGCAGAGGCAATCCCTTCTTGAGGAACTCTTGTGCAGCTTGGCTGGATTTTGTCATGTCATTCAAATCCAACTCCAGGAATTCGAGCTGCGGGGTTGGTGCTTTGGGGTACTTGGCCTTGATCTCAGCCCTGGCGTTTTCGATAGCCTCCTGAGCGCGCTCCTTGCTGCGACAGGCCAAGAAGACTCGGGCTCCGTGGGCTGCAAGGGCGACAGTGGTGGCGTATCCGAGTCCAGAGTTGGCGCCGGTGACGATGGCAACTTTTCCGGTCAGGTCGGGGATCTTGTTGTAAGAGTAACGTTTGGGGGTGAGGTAGGTCTTCCAGAATGCGAATTGGGTCAAACTGTTTGTGAATGCCATGTTGATCTTGTGTGTGTGTATGTATGTATCTGTGTGTGTGTGTGTGTGTGTGTGTGTGTGTGATGGAGATAGAGATAGAGATGAAGCGAGGGACTGTAAGGAAGGGCAGTGTATTCAAGTAGAGAGAATTGCTTGGTTTGGTTGTTGTTTTGATGTTGTTAATGAGAAGCAATAATTGCGACCGACCAGGTCCTTTTATATCAATGAAAAACAAGGCCAGAGACTTGACCGCAACCTACTTGATGTGGACGAATGTCCAAAAGGTTCACGCTCGAAAAGCGTTTACCTCTGTCATCGTCGTTGTCGATTGGAAGTGTATTATGACAAAAGGAGCAGCTTATTATGCCTTTTTGAATGATTGTTCTGGCTCCACACCCACGCTATCAGTCTTGGCTGTTGATCTAAGTGATCGAGAGAGTGACTGTGATTTCGAGTGTGCTAATTGCTACGACGCAACACGCGTACAAACGCACACAAAAATCAGGCTGGCCAATGACAAAGGGAGACGGATTGTGCATGTACCGTCAATACCTTTACCCGATTCGAAGACATATACCCATGGATGCACAAACAAACTCGTTCCTTGCATATGCCTCTTATGGCACAGGGACGCGAGTTCATTCGTTGCCATTGCTAAAGCAACGAGGGCCAATCAAATTGCGGGCGAGAGAAAATAGCGTCCAATAAAAAAGGAATCAAGCACACGAAAACAATGCGGTGAGTGCATTACTAATGCTACCGATGATTCGTATGTGTTCATTTCATACGATGCTTTCTTTTCACAAGGGCCAGGTAACGACTGCATAGATGGACCTGAACATGGTTGCGTTTGTTTTTTTTTATTATTTCAGACTCTGTTTATTTAACAGCGGTATGTACAAAAGAGTGTTCCTAGACCTTGACTTTCTCGCGAGCGAGGTTCTCACTGAACGTCCACAGTTTCTCTTGCAACTCTTCGTCTCTGGATTCGGCACCTAACAGCACAGGGTGAACAAGAAAGTGGCAGCAAGTAGTTAGTATGATTTCTCCCTCTCCCTCTCCTTCTCCCTCTCTCCCTCTCTCCCTCTGTCAAAGTCTTCATATACGCGAAAAACAACAAAAAGAAACATCGGTGGCCTACTAGGTTGGATCTCATTGGCAATGGGGATAAAATAGCGTCCACGGATATCCTTGTTCTCGACCTCAGGGCTCGTCGCCAGATACAACTGCGTCAATGCCCCCACTTCAGGTGTCGTAGCCAAAACATCCGTCAGCATTCTCAAAGTCTTGCCCATAGAGACCTTGACGCTCCTGCTCAAGTTGGTGTTGACTGTACCGGGGTGTGCAGCATTGACCCACACCTTTTCATTGGCGAGTCGACGGGCCAGAGCCTTGGTGAACAGGACGTTGGCGAGCTTCGAGCGGGCGTATCTGTCCCAGTTATCGATCTTTGTGGAGTCATTGAGGGTGTCGAAGTCGATGCCGCCCATCGAGGGGGGTGTCATTTCATGGGCGATAGAAGAGAGAATGACGATCCTGGATGGTTGAGATTCCTTGATCTTGTCGAGGAGACCCATTGTAAAGACAAAGTGACTACACAAAAAAAATGAATATCTTGCGTGTGTATTGTTCTTTTTTTGAAAGCTTCCCTGGTTTACTCACCCCATGTGATTGACAGCGAACTGAGTCTCGATGCCATCGGCGCTGAGGGCGAAGGGGAAATTCATGATGCCGGAGTTGTTAACAAGGATATGCAAAGGCAGACCTTTCTTGAGGAACTCCTGTGCTGCCAGGTGAGACTTGTTCATGTCGTTCAGATCCAATTCCAAGAATTCGAGCTGAGGGGTGGGTGCGTTGGGGTACTTGGCCTTGATCTCGGCCGTGGCATTGTCAATCGCTTCCTGAGCTCGCTCTCGACTACGACAGGCCAAGAAAACGCGAGCTCCATGTGCAGCCAAGGCGACGGTTGTTGCATACCCAAGTCCCGAATTGGCGCCAGTAACGATGGCAACTTTTCCTGTGAGATCCGGGATCTTGTCGTGTGAGTAGTTGTCAGGGGTGAGTAGGGTCTTCCACCAGGCGAGCTGGAGAAGACTGTTTGTGAACATGTGCATTTTGAAAGAGTGAAAGTAGGTGGGTGTCTGTGAAGAAAAGGGAGGAAGATAAAGGGAATAAAACGTCCTTTTGAACTGAAAAACACCCGGAGGAGGATCAGGCTGAAACCCGAAAACGCCAATGTCTGCATTCGCAAGGGAGTTGCTTCATCTGCCTTTCTATGGCTAATGGCTGGAGTTCAATCAAGAGCTACTCGCCCACAAAAAAATGGTCGAGAGGGGGACAGGCAGTGTGTCGTAAGTCGTAACACAAGCAGGAAAAAAACAATGCTTGGCCTAGATCAGGCGAAGGAGAGATGTAAACAAGTCTCTCATTTTATCTGTCGAAATCAATAAAAAAAAGGGACAAGGGGTGTTGAAAATGGCAGGCGGCCCTTCCACCGTTGCTTACCCGACGTGAAACCAACGGTGTGACACAGTTGCATGAATGTAAACACGCAATGTTTTATTTACAATTGCATCGACGCAGGATTTTTAAACCTTGATCTTCTCGCGAGCGAGGTTCTCGCTAAACATCCACAACTTCTCCTGCAGCTCTTCATCTCTAGCATATCTTGCTACAATATCAAAAAGAAAAAAAAAGAGAAACTGGTCAGACAGGCATCTCATCTTTGTTGTCGTGTCACTCAACATTTGCTACGCAAGAAGAAAAAAGAAGAAAAGCACCCACATGGCTGGATCTCGTTGGCAATCGGAATGAAATATTGCCCCGTCACATCCCGATTCTCAATCTCAGGACTCGTTGCCAAATACAACTGCGTCAACGCCCCTTCCTCAGCCGAATATCCCATCACAGCATTTAACAGCTGTCCCGCTTTATCTCCAACCGTTCCCATCATATCCTTCGAGCTGCGCCCAATCTCGGTAGCAACCAGACCAGGGTGGGCGACATTGACGTAAACGCGTTCGTTGGCGAGTCGACGCGCGAGGGCTTTTGCGAAGAGGATGTTGGCGAGTTTCGAGCGGCTGTATCGGTTGAAGGAGGAAAAGTTGCCTTGCTGGTTGAGAGTAGCGAAATCGATCCCGTTCATTTTTGTGGGCAGGAGTTCGTGGCCCATGGCGGAGAGGATCACAATCCGGGAGGGTTGGGATTCCTTGATCCTGTCCAGTAGAGCCGTTGTGAAGACAAAGTGTCTATCAAGTAAATTAAGGGTTGGGAGGGCAAGGGATGAGCCCATAATGCAAAGAGAAAAAGTAGGGTGCGCTTTTGCGTGATCAACTCTTGTCTCGCGGATTGATTTTTTGTTACTCACCCCATATGATTGACAGCAAACTGTGCCTCAATGCCATCAGCGCTCAATCCAAACGGTGTGTTCATGATTCCAGAGTTATTGACTAGGATGTGCAACGGTAGGCCCTTTCCCAAAAACTCTTTCGCCGCCTGGTAGGTCTTGTTCATATCGTTGAGATCCAATTTCAAAAACTCGAGTTGAGGATCCTTGGGTGCATTAGGGTATTTAACCCTGATCTCTGCCTTGGCCCGTTCAATTGCATCCTCTGCACGTTGCTGGCTACGACAGGCGAGGAAGACTTGCGCTCCGTGTGCGGCGAGGGCGATTGTTGTTGCGTATCCGAGTCCTGTATTGGCGCCAGTGACGATGGCGACTTTTCCAGTGAGGTCAGGGATTTGGTCGTGAGAGTACCGGTTTGGGGTGAAGTAGGTCTTCCACCATGCGAGCTGTGACCAGCTGTTTGTGAACATTTTTTTTTGTTGTGCCTGTGAGCGAGAGAAAGACAAAGAGGAGAGAAGTAATTGTTGGTAGTAGGGGTATGTATGTGGAGGGTATGTGTCGACGTTGGTTCGATTATTACTGAAAGACAGGAGTGAACAAAAGATCCAACTTTTTATGTATGAAAAAAGGTTTGATGATCAACCAACATAACTGATTTTCCTTTCTGGGAGGAGAGCAAAGATGATCGAGGGAGCTGCGTGGTGGACGCGTGTTGCTTTCGTAATGAGTTAAAAAATGACCGTGCGAAGGAAGAGGAGTAGAGAGAAGGGAGCAGGTTTTCGATCCTCCGCTATAGATGTAGTGTGATGTGTGACGAACCGTCCATTAGGATATCAGACATGACTCATGCTGTCGGTAAGCCTAGGTCCCGTTCTTCTTTAGCACAAAGTGTATCACTCTCACATCGATCACACACACAAAACTGGCCACAAAACAAGTACATGCATGCATGAATGCACATTTTCAAACCTTTTGTCAGTTACGCTATTCCTCCTGATGATTGTTCAATGGTCCGAACATCGGATTTATTCCAGTACCTTGGATGCCAAGATCTCTCTCTCCCTCTCTCTCTCACATTTTTTTTGGTGTTGTTTATTTCCAGTCTCATTTTGGGCTTTTTTTTGTTTGTTTCTTGTGGGTGCTACGCCTTGATCTTCACTCGGACAATGTCTTCGCTGAATGTCCACAGCTTCTCTTGGAGTTGTTCGTTTCTAGCCAGAGCAGCTAAGTAGTCGAGAAAAGGCAGTCAGACAAAAAAAATAATGAAGAGAAGTGTCAATTTCTCATTGTTCAGAACCCCACACCCCGACCCTGGAAGAAAGAAATGGTGTACCCGACTCAAAGAAAAAAGAGACTTACTTGGTTCGATCTCATTGGCAACAGGAATGAAATACTTCCCTCTCACATCTCGCTCCTCGATCTCAGGACTAGTCGCAAGGTACAACTGTGTCAACGCCGCCTCCTCCGCCGTCAACGCAACGGCCCTCTTTACAATACAATCAAACCACTCTTTCCAGCTGTCATCCTGAGGCACCAGGAATTGGGGAATGAAACCGGGGTGACAAGCATTGACATAGACATTGTAGCTTGCGACTCGACGAGCGAGGGCCTTTGCGAAGAGCACGTTCGCGAGTTTGGACCGACCGTAACGACTGAGGTCGGTCGTCTTTGTCGAGTCGTTGAGGGTGTCAAAGTCGATGCCGACGCGTGGTGGGAAAGCCTCATGGGCGATGGAGGAAATCATGACGACTCGGGAGGGTTGGGAGATCTTGAGGCGGTCGAGGAGGGTTATTGTGAAGACGAAATGGCTAGTTTGAGATGCAGGGGGATGGAAAATTGCAAATGTGAGACGTTAGCAAAGGAAACTGATCAAGGGAACCATCTGAGACCTGGACGCGTTCACTGTCTCTTGTGAGCACATTCCACTTTTCCTTCTTTCTTTCCGTTGTGTCCATTTTCTTCCTCCAATTCAAAAGAACAACAAAAAGTACGTACCCTATGTGGTTGACAGCAAACGTGGACTCGATCCCATCAGCACTCAACTCGAACGGCACCACCCGACCCCCCGCATTACAGACCAGAATATGCAACGGCAACCCTTTCCTCAAAAACTCCTTCGCAGCCTGCTGGGTTTTGTTGACATCCATCAGATCCAACTCCAGGAACTCTAACTTTGGCGCAGTGGTCAACGACGGATACTTGGATCGGATCTCGGGGAGGGCAGAGTCGATGGCAGCAAAGGCGCGCTTTTGAGAACGACAAGCCAGGAAGACATGGGCGCCTCGACCAGCTAGGGCGACCATGGTAGTGTATCCTAGCCCGGTGTTGGCACCGGTGACGATGGCTACCTTTCCGGTCAGGTCTGGGATCTGAGCGATGGAGTATCGGTCTGGAGTGAAGTAAGTTTTCCAGAAGGCGAGCTGTGAGAACATGTTCATCCTGAAGGGGAGACGTTTGTGTTAATGTATGTGGGAGTCGGAAGGAAATGCTGTACCTGAGGATGAGGAGGGTTGGGGAACTTGGGGGTACTTCCGCTATTTATGTGCAAAAAAAATGAGATCAAGAAAAGAGAAGCAACAAACGGGATATGAAAGAGAGTTCAAAGTACAAGAATGGCCAAAGGTACCCTACCCAAGGTACAGGTCTCCAGCGGACCATTGGCGTATTTGAGGGGTGTGATGGAAGGGATCCAACCCCGGCTCGTTGGTATCTTGTTGTAACGATCAGTTGTTTATTCCTATGTTTTTCTTTCTTGCATCCCATGTTGCTATTTTTTATTGTTGCTACAGCTATGGTCATTAATTCCTTATTGCTTTTCTAGTCTCGTCTTGTTTGTTTCTTACCGTTGATTTTTGCATTTTTTCATATTGCCAACGACGACAGCAATGGATGAAATGATCGGGCGCACAGGATGCTAATGCATAACGGAAGAGGTGGGTACGGAGAACAATAAAGCAAGGGGTGCTACAATCACATGGCACAAGTGAAAAAATAATTCGAGGTGTGTGCTACTGTATTGCTTCGCTTTTTCTACACCCAAATCTTCTCGTTAACAAGGTTCTTGCCTGCATTTTCCCACGTCTCTTCCGTCTGATGCTAAGGAACGAAGTAGAAGGATAGAAAGGTGGCTATTGTTTAGTAAGAGAGCAAACAATATCAAGAAGCGGTGTCATTTCAAAACACTCGCCGTCGCCAACAACGGATACAAAGTACACACTGGACTGATTTTTTCCTTGGAAAAAGACATGAACTACTGCACGCGGATGTCCCTACACTCAATATTTGAATAATGATTCAGGTGCAATGTTATCGAAACACAACCTGCTTTTCCTACGCCATGACCTTCTCGCGAACAAGTTCCTCGCTGAACGTCCACAACTTTTCTTGAAGCTCTTCGTTCCTCGCCAGGACGGCTATGTAGTAAAGAACGAAGTGATAAAGTATAACAATATGAGCTTATAGATCTCAACGGTCGACACTTCCACTTTCAACCTTAAGGATCACACTAACCGCTACAAGAAAAATGGCCCTTCTACAATATGTAGAACATACCTGATTTGGCTTCCTTAGCAACAGGAACAAAATACCTCCCTCTCAGATCCTGTTTATCAACTTCAGGGCTCGTCGCCAGGTACAATTACGACAACGCCCCCTTCTCAGCTGTCGACCCCACAACCCTCATCACCATCGCTCCAACCCACTCCGTAAAGGTCGTTCCTTCTTGCCGGACCAAAGACGTGGCAACGACTCCCGGGTGACAAGCATTGATGTACACCTGCTCGCTGGAGAGACGTCGCGCGAGGGCCTTTGTGAAGGGAACGTTGGCGAGCTTGGAACGACCGTACCTGGTGACTTCGGTGGTCTTTGTAGGGTCTTTGAGGGTTTCGAAATCGATCCCGGCGCGTGGCGCGAAGGACTTGTGGGCCATCGAGGAGAGCATAACGATTCGGGAGGGTTGGGAGGCCTTGAGGCGGTCGAGGAGGGCCATCATGAAGACAAAGTGGCTATTTTGTGTCATGAAGGGAGGGTGTGGAAAGGAAAAGAGAGGGGCGAAGGTGATAAGGAGATGGATAAAACACGAGCTGATAAATGGATTTAAAACTTACACGCTCATTGTCTTTGATCAACGTATTCACCCTCTTATTTTTCTTCCTGTTGTCTCCTATTCCTATCAATTATCAATACCCAATAGAACAAAAACGAGTAATAAACCCCATGTGGTTGACCGCGAACTGAGACTCGATCCCATCAGGACTTAATTCAAACGGCACCACCATAATCCCCGAATTGCAGACCAACACATGCAATGGCAACCCCCTCTCCAAAAACCCCCTCGCGCTTTTCCTCGCCATGTGCAGACTCATCAAATTCAACTCCAAGAACTCCAGTATCGACGCGGTGATGAGAAGGGGATATTTGGATTGGACCTCGAGGAGGGCAGAGTCGATGGCAGCAAGGGCACGATTTTGAGAACGACAGGCCAGGAAAGCATGGGCACCGCGTCCCGCTAGAGCGACCATGGTAGCATATCTGAGTCCTGAATTGGCGCCGGTGACGATTGCGACTTTTCCGGTCAAGTCTGGGATTTGGTCATGCGAGGAGCGGCGGTTTTTGTTTGAGGTGGTGCAGGCAGAACTTGGAAATGTTGAACCTGAAAAAGGAGGGGAGGGAACTACGTGTACTTTTATGTTTAGAGAATATAATAATGGAGAGGATGGGGAATCGATGGAATGCAATGGTAGTACTGTACATGACATCTCTTCCACACCGAACATCATCCAATCTGGTGGTCGGTGTGGGATGTTCCTGTTTGCCTGCATTGATTTTTTTTCTTGCTTTTTCGTTTCATTCTTGCTTTTTCGTTTCATTCTTCTATCTTGTTTCCTCTTCTATCCTGTTTCCTCTTCTATCCTGTTTCCTCTTCTATCCTGTTTCCTCTTCTGTCCTGTTTTTTCTTGGTGCGCCTTTTTCTTGTTTGTCTTTGTCTACTTGTTTCTTGTCGTTAGCTCTTGTTTTTTCACTTTTCTGATTGTCAGCATGCATGTTGACGATTGTGTGCAGCGATGATGACTTCACAAGATGTACAGGATTGCCATGTTTTTATCAAGTGAGGGTATGGAGACGAAAAGAACAGGATTGTGCCTGGCTGGTACGAACGCTGGCTGTGTGGCGCAGAAAAATAGCCGAGGCATATGTGAACAACCAACCTTCTTGATTAGGTTCTCGCTGAAGGTCCACAGTTTCTCCTGCAACTCCACGTCTCCTCCGTACGACACTAGGAGAAAAAGGATAAGACAGAAACATAAAGGTAGGTCATGTTTAGTAAGTGGATCAAGTAGGGTAGAGCGCCATACAAAAAGGCGCACCTTCCTCCCCAAGCAGCAACAACAGTATCAAAAAAACTTACTGGGCCGAATCTCCTTTGCAATAGGAATAAAATACCTCCTCCTCCATTCTTCTCAAACTTCTCAAAGCTCCTCTTCTTGAACAATGCACCTTTCCTGATGGCAACCCCTCAGCCCGGATCACAAAAGCAAAAAAACACACTTAGCCCAAATGATTAACGGCAAACCGAGTCTCAATCCCATCGGCACTCAATTCAAAAAGGCGTCGCCATGATTCTCAAGTTGTCGACAAGAATATGAAGCGGGCAAAGCCCCTTTTGCTCACAAAAGTCCTAGCAGCCCTCCCTGACATCTCTTCAAATCATTCAAATCTAATTCCAAGAACTCCCAACTTTTGGTTCAAGATAAGTCTCCTTGATCTCTGCCCTTGGCACGCTCAATAGTGTCCTCTGTACGTTGTCGGGACCGGCAGGCAAGGGACGCCTTTGGCGGCGAGGGCGACTGGTGGTGGCGTATCCGAGTTCTGAGTTTGGCGCCAGTGGCGATGACTACTTTGTTGGTGAGGTCTGAGATTTTTGAGTAGTAGTTGTTAGGGGGGTGAAGGAGGTGTTTCCAGAAGGGCGAGTTGGGTTACGTTGTTCATTCTTGGTTCTTGTTACTTTTTTTTTTTTTGTTTGTTTTGGCGATGGTTCCTTGTTGGTTGTAGAAAAATGATACTTTCCTATGTTCGTTGCATCAATCAGCTATAAGAATAATTGTAGGAGGGTAAAAAAAAGGTTCGTTCTTGAAGCAATTATGGTTCGATCGCAGGATATGGGATTACGTACACACGTTGAATGGGAGCCTGGAGGGCAATCGTGCATTTATTAAGCAGTGGTGGTGCCATGAAGGACCGATAAGAGGGAATATGAGAGAGTGAACTGAGAGTGTGTGTGTGTATGTGTGTGTGTGGAGTGGTGAGCATGGTTCGTCCTTTTTCAGGCCTTGACCTTCTCGTTCATGAGGTTCTCGCTGAATGTCCACAGCTTCTCTTGCAGCTCTTCGTCCCTTGCCAATGCACCTAAACAAAAATATGATAGAACCGTAACATCAGAAACAGGGTTTTTGAACTGTCCCAACCCCTTCGTCGATCACGCATAAGAATACTCAAACAAAAACAAGAAAACAAAAACGAAAAAACGAACAAAGCAAAACTTACTAGGTTGGATCTCATTAGCAATGGGGATGAAATACCGTCCACGAACGTCATTATTCTCAATCTCAGGACTCGTCGCAACATACAACTGTGTCAAAGCTCCAACATTTGGCGACATCGCCATCAACCTCGTCAACTTCTCCGTCACAACCCCCATCGCCGACCCAAACTCATCCCCCGTATGTCGAATCAATTCTGTCGAGACAAACCCCGGATGCGCAGCGTTGACATATACACGTTCGTTGGCGAGGCGACGGGCAAGGGCTTTTGTGAACAGGATATTGGCGAGTTTTGAACGGCCGTAGCGGGTGGTGGAATTGGTCTTTGTGGAGTCGTTGAGGGTGTCAAAGTCGATTCCTCCCAAGTGGGCAGGCGCCAATTCGTGGCCGTTGGAGGAGAGGTTGACGATTCTGGAGGGCTGGGATTCCTTGATCTTGTTGAGGAGGCCCATGGTGAAGACGAAATGACTACAACATATAGGGGAGATGGTAAGAGAGAGAGAGAGAGAGAGAGAGAGAGAGAGAGAGAGAGAGAAAGAGAGAGAGAGAGAGAGAGAGAGAGAGAGAGAGAGAGAGAGAGAGAGAGAGAGAGAGAGAGAGAGAGAGAGAGAGAGAGAGAGAGAGAGAGAGAGAGAGAGAGAGAGAGAGAGAGAGAGAGAGAGAGAGAGAGAGAGAGAGAGAGAGAGAGAGAGAGAGAGAGAGAGAGAGAGAGAGAGAGAGAGAGAGAGAGAGAGAGAGAGAGAGAGAGAGAGAGAGAGAGAGAGAGAGAGAGAGAGAGAGAGAGAGAGAGAGAGAGAGAGAGAGAGAGAGAGAGAGAGAGAGAGAGAGAGAGAGAGAGAGAGAGAGAGAGAGAGAGAGAGAGAGAGAGAGAGAGAGAGAGAGAGAGAGAGAGAGAGAGAGAGAGAGAGAGAGAGAGGAGTGAGTGAGAATGAAATCGAAGATTGAATCATTGTCAGTAATACATCATTTTGTGGCATCTTACCCCAAGTGGTTCACAGCAAACTGCGTCTCGATGCCATCGGCGCTGAGGGCGAAGGGGCAATTCATGATGCCGGAGTTGTTAACAAGGATATGCAAAGGCAGACCCTTCTCCAAAAACGCCTTTGCAGCCTGATGAGCCTTATTCATATCATTCAGATCCAATTCCAAGAACTCAAGTTGAGGGGTGGGTGCATCGGGATACGTCTCGTTGATCTCGGCCTTGGCCCGCTCAATCGCATCCTCAGCACGTTGCTGGCTGCGACAAGCCAGGAAGACATGTGCGCCATGGGCTGCAAGAGCAACGGTGGTAGCGTATCCGAGCCCTGTATTGGCGCCGGTGACGATGGCGACCCTTCCAGTGAGGTCTGGGATTTGGTCGTGGGAGTAGCGGTTTGGAGTGATGAATGTCTTCCAGAAGGCGAGTTGGGTCAGACTGCTTGTGAATGCCATGTTGGTTTTTTGTTTTCGTGAGTGTATGTGTTGATGGTTTGGTGTTGAGAAATAGAAGAATGGAGAGGGAGGAGATGTTGTTGTGTTTGCTTGACAGTCTTTGGTTTGAATGATGAAGCAAAAATATTTAACGGTGGAACATCGTTTTTATACAAAGAAATGGAAGAATAGGGGTCCAACTCATTATGATCGATTATGCGTGCAGCCAGTGGGTGAATTAGCATGACGATTTTCAGTGCGCCAATCAGTGATACGACGCGTCGGTGTTGCGCTCCCCTTTTTTTAAAAAAAAAGGACAATAGTACAATCCAGGCTAATGGCTATCTCTCCCTGCATGGATTGCGAAGCGAAATATAATGCATGCAGCGTGTGTGTAACCATTTACACCTTCACGTCGCAAACAATAGGAAATTCCAAAAGCAGTCGACATCGCCCTTCAGGCTTCAGCAAGATCAGATAAATAAGCAAACAGTCCAAAATCCTGCTGATAAAGGATGCAATTCCCACTTGTTTTTTGTCGTTTTTTTCTTCATTTGACCTCTACACTCTCTCCTTTCCATTTGTCTAAATACCACCTCTCTCCTTCTCAATGGCAGCCAACGCGTCCTTGTCTTCAATCGCAGACTGAGGAAGAGCAGAACCATTGCTATGCTCATCTGCTTTCGTTTTGCCCTTTCCAGTATCTTCCACCGCCTGATGACCATTTCCACGACTAAGACGAGTCTTCTTGATCTCAACAATCCAACCCAGCAACCCCTGCATACTAGGTCTAACCATCTCCCGCTTCCACCGCATACCCGTCAACAGCATCGACATCGACACCGCATACATCAGCGCCTCGCCTGTCATCTCCATCTTCCGACTCAACCGTCCCTCCATAATCCGGCTCCACATCGAGTAAATAGCACGGGGCAGAACATAAAGTGCCATCTCTGCACGTCGATGAGGCTTCTCGACCAGAACCGAGAATCCGCACATGAAGGATCCGAGGAGGGGGCCGTAGATATGGTCGACCACGTTGCTGGTGTAGCGCTTTCCTGTCAGTTTCATGGTGATCGGCATGACCTTGGACCGCCAGGTGCAAATTCCGTACCAGATGAGGGCAATATAGGTGGCGAGAAAGGCGCTGGAACGGGCGGTGGCCATGAGTGTCGAGGAGACGGTTGCGACTGGGTTTTCCTGGAGCTTGTTAAAGAATGCTTTGGGACTCAACAATGCCGGTAAAAGATGTACAGGCAAGTAGATCTATCGTTATGTTGGACCAGGTTGATGTGATTGGTTAGCTTATTACAACTGAGGCGACTGGTGCATCGCGAATGCCATACTTTGTCATAGACCAAGAGTCCAACTCACGCCAGTGGAGACCATGAAGCCCTGAATCCATCTGTATCCTGTGTGAACCTAGTATTTTTCAATATTAAACAATCGAGCTTTAGCTGCCTAGAACTATTCCATTAGTAATCCTTCGTTGCACAAACGCGTAATAGAAGTTATAGGGTTGACTTACCTCACACGACTTTGTAAGGCCTTGGTGCACCACCTCACAAGGGAGACGACTACGCAGGGCAAAGTCACCTATTTCAGAAATAAGAAATGCCCATTCCATTCCACGGAGCAAATAAAAAAACAAGACGGAGTTGGTTAGTAAGAATAATAATAAAGAAGCTGGTTACTCTCAAGCACATGAAAGTGAGGAAAAGATAACCTGGGTGCAAAATTGCATGGTAAATTAATCTGCCGGCATCCCGCGGACATTTTTTGTCTTTTCCCAATCGAGAACACATTCGATAGAGAAGGAAAGGGTGCATTGAAGGACATACCCATATGAGGATTCAATCCAATGTCTTCACAGAGGCCGGTGAGGAGGTTCTGAACATGAGGCGGGTTGACTCGCTTGAACTGAATCTCTCCTGTCCGGACGCCTCTCAAGGTCTCCAGCAATCGCTTGTCCATCCTTGCCATCTTTGTGATCCAGAATGCGTAAGGTCTATTAGGTGTAAAGTGAGTGGGTGGTTTGAAGGCAAACACATAACATTTTTGTAAGCGGAAGATCCTCTCCTTTGTGAACACAAGCGCAAGAATGAATAAAAACGCGAGTATTATGACCGAGTATGTATAACTCACCCAGGCAAGCGCTGTGGTTCATACAACCACGAGAACATGATCTCAGTACAGGCCAACACAAAGACCGCAACGGCACCATAGGACCCCAGCCAGCGAGGTCCCCACTTGTTCTTGACGGCGAGATGGCCAAAGACATCCAGGGCTCGGACGACTGCGAAGAGCGAATAATCGATCGTGGCGTGGTTGGGTCGTTTCCGGTGCATAAAGACAATGGCGGCAGCGGACGAGAGGAACGAAGCCAACATGGTGATCCGTTGCTGCATATCCTCTGCCAAGTTGACCTTGTCTACATCCTTCATGGTCAAGTTCTTCAATGAGGAAGTACTTTGGATATCATCGATCAATGAAGGTGAAGACGAAGAAGTAGACCCCTCCTTGTCAGCCATCTGTTGCTGTTGCTGTCTGAGGTGCTGCTGGTGTTGAACATGCTGTGCAAGGGCGGCCTTCTTGATTCCCTGTGTCAAAATGATCTCCAGCAGTTTATATCCTCCCAAAGTGATCATCAACAACATGCCCATGCCATCACGCTTGGACGAGGTTCCGTCCTTGATGACAGTCAAGAGAGTCTTGACGAGGGTGACGACGGGGTTCTGTCCCTTGGTAGTCACTTTCCGAGGGTTCATGATAAAGCCTAGGAGGGTCTTGATGAGCTTTGGGGCGGTTGCGAAGACATAACCTACTCCGTATGACCGGATACAGACGCGGAATGCAGAGACCAGCTCTGGTGAGAGGAGGGACGTGTTGCTGTTGGTTTTGGTATGGGATGGCTTGGAGGGAGTAGGGGTGTTGTTGGTGGTTTGGTGGTGGCGAGGGCTCGCCGTTGGTGTCGGAGGTATTTGGGGCTGAGTCTGTGCCTGTGCCTGTGCAGGGCGTGTGGTATTGTCGGTTGTCTCCATTGCGCCCAAGATGAATGCTTGAATGCTTGAATGAATGCAAGTAAGGTGTGATGGAAAATAAAGTAAAAAGGAGGTAAAGGGGTGAAAGTGTGGAGTCGCGAATGCGAAGGGAAGGAAGAGTAGGGAAGGAAGAGAGGAAGAAGGAGAGGGGAGAAGAAAGAACGGCGACTGGCTGAGCAATTGGAGCAGAGCAGGAAGGATCGGTCAGGGACAAGGAAGGAAGGAAGGAAGGACAAGGTAAGAAAGCGGTTCTCCTACCCCACATCTACACCCTCCCATAGTAAAACAAAGGACGCTGCTGCTTTTGTTGTTCAGGGCAGGCACACACACACACACACACACACACACACACACACACAACACAGGTCCCGAAGTTGATTGGCTCCCTCCGGAGCTCGGTCTCGAATAAACTGTATGGCCTGATATGCATAAAGTACTTACCCGTTTCTATTCCTTCCTCTCTACAAGAACAACAGCCGTCTTCTTTCCCATGTGAAGACCAAACAGAAAATCTGAAAGAAAAAAAAAAACGCATAGATCCATGCACGCTCGTTCTAGCTTTTGTGGCCCTTGTCAACAAGGCATCAACATACATACCATCGCTAGCCCCTTATCCAATATTCCCAGTCGATCAATCAAACCATTCCTTCATCCTTCTCACAACCCCAACAATGACGACTACCACGATCCGTACGTGTGAACATTCTGCTTGTTGTAACATGGTTATGTAGTTTCTTCTACTCTCAACGAGAACTTTTACTTGGTACATGCCTCCTTTTTGCTACCTTTCTTTCCACATCGACCTCCGAATGATAAAAACGAATCTAGTGTGATCAACTGAACGAACCAGCATCCAGTTTCCCCGACCAAAAAAAAAAAAAAAAAAAAAAAAAAGAAAGAAAGTGGATCCTATCTATGGGGAATGTCTAGATTGAAAGAAGGCGAGCAAAAAAAATTGAAAGCCAAAGCGAGAAAACGAGGAGAGAGTGGGCTGGGTATGTGTCTCCGCTTACGCCTCAATTCCACTGTCGGGTGTGGCGGGTCTGTCCCGGACGGGTCCAGCAGTTGCTGCTCTCCTGAGGCACGCATCCTGAATCCCCTTCAAGAAGCCTATATCAGAGAGGGTGCGTTGTTAGTTTGATGCCTCTTTTGGTTGTAATAGCAGTTGTCCAGTTCCTTCAGTACTAAAGTAGTCGTACCTGGGATGCCGGACTTGGTGGCCCAGTTGACAATGGACGATGGGATATGGCCCTATATATTCAGAAGAAGAGAGTCAGCGATGGTTAACCATGTGTATCGTCATCCCCAATAACCTGCAAAGGTCCCATTGACATTAATAAGGAGAGGACGAAAACTGTGATAAAATAGTAAATTGGAAAAAAAAATTGGTCCAAGCGTGCTCGATAAAAGAAGTGGATGGCGGCCCGTCGTCGTAATGTGAGCAAGCTGTAGACAGATTGCTCTCGCATTTCCGTTGATTGTTCATGTCCACTGGGCGATGGCGTGAGCTGGTTCGTTGTCCCGAATGCCCTCCCCTCAGTGTTTCTGTGTAGATGTTGATATTCCAAATGATATGGTCGATGCTCTCAGAGGACAGATTGAGCGAATATAGAACAGGCGGGCGAGATAGGGAGAGGGTGAGGATGAGAGGGGATCAGCACACGCAGGGGTGGGGAGAGAAGAGTGTTCTGACAATATGGAAACCCACAAAGAAAGAAGGCTGCATCCTACGTGGACAAATGGACATGGTTTGAATCTGCTCCATCGATTTCTTCTATTGTCCTTTCCATCTTGAAAGTCCATCTGATGCTGTGTGTCGTTGTCCTTTTTGCTGTCCATCTGGTCCATCGTAAGTCCAGGCTGCTTTGTTGTTGTGTCGCGCTGTGTCGATCAGGTCAGATATATTTCCACCTGGTGCTCACGCTGATATCCTCGGGGTAGGTCGAGAGACGATTGAGGATAATTGTGCAGCATGACTGACTGTGGTATCGCATAACAATGGGCCCTGAAAGCAAAAGAAGGAAAGAACACTCCACTAATCGATTACAAAAAAAGACCCGCCTGTTGATTGTTCACCTCGTCATTGTCATCGGAACAAATATCCAGGGGTATAAGGAGTGGAAAGGAGATTATAATTTACCTTGGGATCATCAAAGTAGCCAAACCAAACATAGCATCCCTTGTCGTCCTCGGAGGGGATCATGACCACATCCTGACGATATTCTTCTACACGCACAGACTTGTTGGGAGGGGGAAGCTTGAAGACCTTGCTGTCCGATTCTGATCCAGGCGTAGGCAAGGAGATGGACGACGCAGCTGCACCGGAAAGGCCAGGCACAGCCAGGAGCGAAGACGCACCACCAGACGATGGTGTAGAGTATGACGATGATGGAACAAGCGTGACCATGGACTTGTAGTTGTTGGAGCTGTAAAAGTTTTGGAGGGTTCCATCGGTAGCCCTGGTCTTGCCGACAGTCTGCGAGCTGACGCAGAAATGGTTCGGCTTGGGCTCATGGGTCGTCTGCTCGTAAAAGTACTCACGGGGTGACAATGGCCAAGGGAACTTTGTGGTGTAGTGGATGACGCCGTGGTCGAGCTTCTTGAAACCAACCATGTTCTTGTCCCAGGTCATACGGTACTCCAGATCGGTGAAGACGTCGGCGAGGAGCTTGGCAGGGACATCGGGATAGTGGCCAAGGGCCTTATATTCGTAGAGGGCAGTGTTGGGCAAGGCCTTGCGGTAGACCTTGAAGCCGTGGTGATCCAGGAAGAGCTCCCAGCTGTCGACTCTGGGCACCTTCAACTCAGCGAGGCACTCTTGAAATTGCTGATCAGTCAACATGATTTTTGAATGTGTGTGTGGGTGAATGAGAGAAAGAGTGGAATGGGAATGGGAATGGGAATGAGAAGAGTGGAGAGAGTGAAAAAGAGAGAAGAGAGAAAGAGAAGAAGGCGCTGAGGTCGAGCTGGAGTATTGGGTCGGAGAACTGGAAGTGAAAGAGTAGAGAGAGAGAGTGGAGGAGGAGTGGAACAATGAAAGAGGTAAGGATAGAAAGGGGGGCGAGTAATTGGTCAGTCCAGATAAGTGTTAGAGATGAGAAGGGAGTGCGGGTGTATGCGAGGTCGTAAGGAAAGAGAGGAGGAACAAGAAGGAAGAAGAAGACGAAGAAGGGGAGGCTGGGTTGTCTGGGTTTATGCGGAAGAATGAGTGATGGAGTATGCAAGAAGAAAGAGACAAGAGTTGAGAGATGAATGACGGAGACAAAGAAAGAGAGAAAGAGATAACAAAAAGGCAGGGAAACAGAGCAAGGAAAGGAACAAGAAGAAAGTGGCGTGGTAAAGAAAGTGTTGATTCAAAGAACAAGAGTGATGTCGAAGAGTGTGAATGAGCAACAACAAGACCACAGACAGTTCTCACACTCTCAAGAAGCGGTGGGCAATTCGCCAATGAGCCTTTTTTTCATTATCATTTTTCAGGCACCATCAGACTCCATCAGCGCAATCAGCAGGTTTCTTTTGCACAAATAAAAAAACCTTATCACCGAAGTGCTTTAATTAGACAGCAGTCAGAATATGTATTAGCCTGTCGTCCTTTAATCTTACTCTCTCTCTCTCTCTCTCTCGCTGAACAAAAAACAAGAATTGCGCCTGGCCCTTGAAACTAAGATCCGGCAAATTGTCACGCAGAGTACTCTACAGAGTATAACATAATATGCTGGATACGTTGGGGTAGTTTCAGCTGCACCGCGAGATGACCAATTCGAATTAACCTGGGCAGCCAATGGGTCTGGCGCCTTTTTCACTCCCGCTATTGGCTGTCTCTTCTCATTCTTTCTCTTCTCCTCCAGCTCAGCACAAACCATGTGCTTGCCACTACCTTTTTTATCTTTCCTTTACAACCAATCCTCTTCAACTCTAGCTCCTTCACATTCACATTCACGTTCACCTTTCCCACTCTTTCTGGTCCGAAATTGCACATGGCAGGCACCCCAGTCTCTTTCTCTTCAAAAAATAAAAGCGTACCTCGTTCTTCCCCCTTTATGCTCCGTGATGAATGAAACAAAGACATTCGCACCCCTCTCTCCTCAGGTCATCATCATCATCATCATCATCATCATCATCATCATCATCGTATATCACAACCTGTCCAATGATCGACGACATTCGCCGTATTATGTAAGGCAGTCCCCCTCCCCCTCCTGCAGCATGCATGCGGAGGGGCGCTAATACTGCGGGTGAATCGGGGGACTCTTATCGGATCCTTGATCTTCACGTTGTTTGTTGTTTTGCTCCGTGTTGATTTCTGGTCTGCAGAGCTGTTGGTCTTCTTAATGAGAGACGCACATCAAAGTTGAGAGACAAGAGGGCTCATGTTGATAGAGATCTCCCACTCGTCCGTGTTCGCACAGACACAATATAGCAAATGGTGAGCTTTCCACCCCTCCGCCAGATTGATCCCATCGTCGAACGACACCCACAACCAACCAATTAGGCAAAAAGGATGCGTTGCGCGCCAGCTAGTCATGACCGCAAAAACCTCAGTCCCCAAACTCAAACCAGCATGACTCTTCGATTGTGTGCCTTCCGGCTCCACGCCTTGCTGCCATATAAAAGCGCAACCCCCACTTTTCTGCGTCGCGATCATACGAAAGATACCCCTGGCATTTACCTCCAACAGGTCTCTCTATCACAAAACTGACATACCCTACGATCACAACAGCAGACCTTCAGCTCGATCGAGTTTGTTGTTCGTCAAGCATATTTCTAGCTTGCGCCATGTATCAGTACCGGTTTGTCACCGTTCGCTCTCGTATATTTTATATTCTTTCTTCCCGTACGAAGGCCATGCTGTCCTCTACGCCCATGGAAAATTCCAGCGGATTTTTAGTCGATCGACTTGTTGATTGTGCTGAACGCCAAGGACTCGTTGTTCAAGGGCAGTGTCACCCTTTTTACTATGTGTTTCTAGCTTGACGCCAACCCCACCACCGAAATAACTGTTGACCCGTAGATTTCGAGGACCATATCCGCCCTGGTCAAGAAACATAGAAAAGAAAAAGAGGTCTGTGTCACTGAACGCACGCAAAAAAAAAAAAGTAGTAACTGTTCTCCCTTTTGCCCTTAAAAGCACGTCTCAACTATCAACACCTCATGGCAAACATAGGCCATGCTCCCACCTTTTCGCTATCTCGAGCTGTTAGGAAACTTCGACCTAAATGATATCTTCTCTCTCTAGTTATATAAAGGTTAGGAGAAGACCATCCATCCTTTCCTCCTCTTCATCTTCAATATCTTCTCATTCTTTTCGCACCTTCCTCTCCTATCGACGGTCAGTTCAACACTCCCACCCCCTAAACATGAACGACTCGACTTTCCACTCATCCCCCCGATCAATCACATTGCATCACAACAAATCCAACAAAATGGGAATAGGGTCCTTCTCTCGATTCTACACGTTCAACCTCGAGCGGGTCGTTATTTTTTACCTCTACGGACCCAAGGTCCTCCTTGCAACGCGTGTCTTCGGATCGATGTACACGATCGTAGTCCTTGTGGGAGCCCTGATCGCCAATGAGAGCCTGACATACATTATGAAATATTTCACGCACATTACCCGCCTTGCCTTGTCGATCTATTATGTGGTAAGAATTGGGTGTTCTTTTTTGGGGGTTATGGAATTTTGATGGTGCTGTGGGATGAGAAGCTGATGAGAGTGGGGGGGCATTTGCTTGGGACGTGTGTGAGAGAGAAAGAGAAGGTAAAAGGGAATCGGGCAATAAAGAGTAAAGTTGGGTTAGGGAGGGCAAGTGTATGTGGATCAAACTGATCACAAATTTGGCATTGCAAAAAAAAAAAAGGAAATGGCAACCGATATGCAAGGCTGAACGCTTCGCCAATTCTTTTTAATAGTCCTTCCCACCTTTGTGGGTTGTTACGTCAAATAGTGTGTAATCCTTTTCTTAGTACTTTTCCTCGGCATTAGCTGGTCGTGTACTGGAATGAAGGCGGGTGATTACACCCGTTCATGGATTTTAAGCGGTATAACTGGACGGTTGTAGGGTTGGGTTATGCGGGTGCTGCGGTCGGGGTGGTGATTCTTTATTGTTTGTTATGGAAGTTGCATGGGCTGAAGGAGTTTCTTGGGACGAGGAAGGAGAGGAAGGGGGTGGTGAGCGGTGGGGAGGATGGGGAGGCGGAGGGAGAGAAGGAGGATGTTCCGTTGGTGAGATGCGTGTCTCCTTGCTCATGTTCCACGAACAAACAGCAAGCATAAAACAAAATAATAAATAAATCTTTGACCAGTCAGCTACCCATCCCGTCCCCTTTGAAATCGTCCGTTCTTCTTTTGACGCCATCTGAGGCGAGAGAAAGACAGACAACCAGATCGTCGTAGTGTCTCTTTTTTTGCCTCCTGAACACAGTGCTCGCGCACACTCCACCGATCTGATTCGCAATCTGTCAATGATGTCTTTTCTTTACTCAAAAAAATGCGTCCATGAAAGTGGAAAGGATCTACAAAATTGTCGTAATAAAAAAACCGAAAGCTCCTGAATTTCATCTGTAATGTGAGTTGTTTAGAATCCACCAGCACCTCCCATGTTCTGAGACTCCCGCTGGACACGGTTGATGTAGGTGCGGGAAACAATGTTCCATGCCTCCATATAGCGATCCATGCAGTTGGATAAGCAGGTCTGTTATTTTGAACACAGTCGCGTGTGAGTCGAGCAGAGAAAGGGGAGATCCAGATCCAGTGGATAGTGTCGTTGTAGATCGTGCAAGATGAAGGTAGAGAGAAAAATGGAAGAGAAAGATTGATAAGGGTTAGATCATACGTAAATCAACAGCAGCATAGCGACAAGGTGCGGATCGCACAATACCAACAACAACAACAAAAAAAAGTCCATGAAGAGCTGACTGACCTGTTCGCTGCCTCCCAAGCTGGTACTGGGCTTGGTCACGCATCTGGCAAAGCACTTCTCGTTGATTTTCTGTTGACGGGAATTAAGAAACAAGAAGAGAAAGCGTTAGTTTTTCTGTCCGATCAGGTAGGAGTCGTGAAAGAAGGCGTGCACACAACGTAAATAGTTCGATTGACAAAGATATCCGGAAGGTTTGGACGATAGGAAGAGAGACGTACGTTGATAAGCTCCTGGGCGTTGGCGAGGGCGAGCTCGCTGCGAACCTGATCCATGACCTGCTGCTTCTTGGACTCCTAATAGCACCCGACCATGTTGACAAGAAAGAACGCGGGGAGTCAGTAAAACAAGGCTGGCTGGAGTTTTTTTTGTTGGGTATGCCAAAAGTAGTGGTTGATTCCTGTGAGAAGGAAGTAACAATTGTCCTGATGTGTTTGTTGGACGGTACTAAGAGTGCTATCGTACCATGGAGCCGCCGCTGCTGTAGTTTCCAAAGTCAGACATGATTGTTTGTTGATTGGTGATCGAGTGTTGATTAGAAGGGTGTGTGTGAAGAGAGAAGAAGGGAGAGTGATGCCAAGTATCTTTTGTGTGTCAACAATTTCCGCTTCTGAACAGACAACGGAACGACAGCTTAAGCAGTCCCAGTGCGCACAATTGTGACGGCAGGAATGGCATTTGTGGAGCATGGGCTGCAACTGGCTGCAGTTCTGAACGTGGAAGGAGCGAAACGCCCATCTCGCCTTACACTTCTCCATCACCTCCAACCCCCATCACGATAGCGCCATTTTATATCCTTCTTTTCCTCTTTTCAGGAACCACACTACAGCAAACTCAACCAACAGAACAAAGCAAAGAGCAAGAAGGAAACAACTATATCCCCAACAGCATACTACACCTCCCCATAGTCCACAATGGCTCCACGACTGCCACGGCCATTCGAGCTGAACCCCGACCTGAAAGCTGCCCTTCGCGTCGAGTCATTCCAAGTATGACAACATCTCACATCTGTTGACCTCAACAACACGAAATAAGCATCTCGCCAGTCGTCATAGCATGTCAATAGAACCCCATTCCATTGTTGTTCACACCTTCAAACATCACTCCTCCCTTTTCTTTTATGACCACAAAAATAGGGCACGTTCAGCTCCAAGGCTTTCATCGAAAAGCTATCCAATGGAATCATTCAGACACGTATCAAGGAAAACTCCAATACCTTCGACCCAAAGCCATTCATCCGCACATTCGAAAGTTCCCTGGAGGAACTCGAAAAGTTGGCGAGCAAGATGCAGAAGCACACGATAGAGCTTGAGCGAGAGACACAGAAGGAGGAATTGGCGTTCAAGAAGCAGGTCAAGGAGCTAGGTTCAGGATTCGGGGTACTGCTGCTGTTACTGTGTTGGTGGAGTGAATGATATGCTCCTTTTCCTCGATGGAAGTGTGGAACACAGAGTCGCTAACTTCACACTATCATCTGTGCGCTTTTAACAGGATGTTCAATCGACACTTGAGAGCTTGGACTCGCGCATCAGCGAAGTCGGAAGCACAGCTATCAGGATCGGTAAGGCACAATTGTTAGACATTGAAACCTTCTACCAGCTACTAAATTTACTTTCACGGATCTAACATCAGCTTCATTCCTACTGGTATAACTAGGTGAGAAACTAGAGACCGCGGACAAACAGAGGGCAAGGGCAGTGCTGTCAAAAAAGCTCATGGAATACTTTATGCAGTTCAACGACGGAGGATGCCCAACATTGGATTCGCTCATGACACAGCAAGGACTGGAGGGACAGATTGAGGCAGCCAGGATTCTTCGTCAGCTCGCAGTGATCTCCAAGGAAGTCGACTTGCCTGAAACACAAGTGGTATGTAGAATTTTCGTGTGTCCTAGAGTCAACTGCAGCTGTATGTATTTATGGAGCCTCATAGACGACTGGCACCGCATTTGAAACTTTTTTTCAACACTAGGCAAGAGACGGTATTGAAAAGTTCAGGGAGCAGTTCGAGACAGACATGTTATCATCGTTTGACAAAGCATACCGGCAAGCAGACCCCAAAGTCATGGCAGTAAGTAATTGTTAACACAGAATGATAATAATTCCAAAACGAGATCAGTTGAAATATACGATTTGAAGGCTAACCCCTTCAAAAACTTCGCATTGTCAAATAGCACTGCGCCAAGGCACTACTGGAGTTCAATGGAGGCCACTCTTGTGTTCAAATCTATGTCAACCAGCACGACTTCTTCATGCTTCACTCCAAGGTCAACGAGTCCGCCCCTCTCGAAGGCCCCAACCAGTAAGTCTTTTCTTTTACCCTGCGCAATATATGCCCCATTTCGTACAGACTAACTAACCATCGACCTATAGCGAGGATCTTACCAACCCAGTCGCGGCTATCCCACCCATCGACGCAGGACTCATCAAACTGTACGACGACATTCGGACAACGGTCGATCAGGAGGCAGAGATTATCTCGATGGTCTTTCCCAACCCCGCTGCCGTTTTCCAAGTCTTTATTCAGCGTGTTTTTGAGCAATCCGTAAATGTCAACTTCATTTTATATTCACTTTGATGCCATATGATATTCCTCGCTCCATATTAACACTACTATCCCTCCTCCTTGCATTCGTCCGATAGATTCAACAATTCATCGAGACACTTTTGGAAAGATCGCAGGCGAAATCGACGCTTGCCTACCTTCGAACCCTTTCGTCGATCCACGATCACACCATTCATTTAGTCGTGGACTTGAAGATGTGCGAAGATACCCTCAAGGTCGGCATCAATGCGAACGTCAAGGGATCCAACATTTCAGTCACGACCCAACCCCTCTCACAAACATTAGATCGTTGTTTGGACGATCTTTTCGTCCCCTTCTTGGAGGGCGACCGATACCTCGAGAAGGAGTTGCAGTCATTGTGCGAGATCTACGATTCCATGTTGGCGAAGTTCACGGCGTACCAGCTTCAGCGCCGTGGAGGAAATAAGTTCAGAGCCATCATTACGCGTACCTTCAACCAAATCATTGATTCCAACAAGACGACTCTCCCTCCTGTCGTCCTGGAGAACTTTGCGACAGTCAAGAACCCAGAGAAATACCAGGATATGAAGGTTGCCGATGATGATGGAGCTCTTTCGGTGGAGCTTGTTGTCAAGCTGCTTAAGATCCATTCCGAGAGTGTTCTCAGGAGCCTAGGACTCTTGCCCGTCTCTGGAAGGTACGCTAGGTGCCTCGTTCGTGTCAAATGGATGTAATCGTACCTTTCCCTCTGTCTGACCCTCCTTGCTAACTCATATTCATTAGACCCAAACACACGGCTGTACTGTTCCAGCTTTTGACGGACTACATTGGAATGCGTTACATTGACGCTGCTCTGGACTCGTAAGTGGTTGTCGACAATACGCTGACCGGATGCAATATGTAGTTTGTAGCAATACTTGAATACTAACCATAGTGTTTGATACTTTTTATTGTTACTAGTGCTATGGAAGATTTGTCAGCACTGGACCCCAAGTTCCCGCCAGATCTGCGACCCATGAAGCGCGTCAAGCTTGTGAACGGAATTATTCACTTGATCCAGATGCACTTCCAAACCACAATCGTAAGCCATTGTTTATTTTCAGCCGTGCTTTTGAATAAGCGAGTCCATCACCTCAGGTGTGTTTCCTAACGACTTTTCTTTTATATCCTTTGCGACATAGTTGCCATTGACGGTACCGTCGCCTCAAGTGTACCGTGACACGGTCATCCAGAAGAACAAACTAATGGCAAACGTGGAAGCCAAGGCGAACGCGACCATCCAGAAGGAGATTGACGTGATTCTGGCCTGGTTGGAGACGTGCTTAGGCAGACAGCGAAAGTCAGATTTCAAGCCTAAGGATGACGAGATTGACTTGACAGGACTCGCAACCAAGCCCTGTATCGACTGCTGCGAGTTTTTGAGGAGAATGTACGAGACGACCAAGAAGTGCTTCGATGGCAAGAACATTGAGATGTTCTGTAATGAAGTCGGTGTCACCTTCCACGGAATGCTTCTTGAGCACTTCAAGAAGTTCCAGATCAGCCCTGTCGGAGGAGTGCTGCTCACAAAGTAAGTCCTGCGCGAACTATTATTTTTTCTCTCTCACGACTCGAACACCATGCGTTCTCAGGCTAAAGCCCGACTCGAGTCTTGTTTCGTCCAGCCTAACTCATGTTCTCGTTTTACTTATCCCAGGGATATTGCCAAGTATCAAGAATCGGTCAAGGCATGGAACATCCCCTCACTGAACGAACGCTTCGAGATGCTCCGTCAGCTCGGAAACGTGTTCTTGGTCAAACCCGAGATCCTGCCCTCCGTTCTGAACGAGGGTTACCTAGCCAAGGTCGACTTCAAGAGCCTGTACCCGTACCTTCAGATGCGTGTTGATTTCAAGACGTCCAAGATTGACAAACTGTTCGAGAAGCTAAACCTGACGATTGGTAACGGAAATGGCAACGGACCTGCCAGTAGTGGAGCTTCAAGCAGAATGGCACAGTTGGAGGACCTCACTGGCGCCAAGTTCTTGAGCTACTCTCTCCATAGATAAAGAGCAGACCACGTTCACGTTCTGTTTTTGATGGCGTTCTTCTAGACACTCGTTATCACAATCTCACAAAACACACGCCGTTCATGCCCTTTGGTCTTCCTTCCCGCCATAATAATAAACCCACGCCATCATTATCATTCCTGCCGCCTTTTTCCTGAATTGAAAAAAAAAAAACATTGTGGAGGGGGACACGGTTGGATAGCCGGAAGACATGCTCCCCAAATTATGGTGAATTTGGTGATGTTTTTGTTGGGTTTTTTATTCCTGCTTTTTGTCAAAGTAAAATGGTGTCTTTAACGGAGACGACGGGCCTCACGCTCGGACTCCATAAGGCAGAGGATATCGCCTAATAATGAATGTAAAAAATATGAGATGGTTAGGGTTCGTGAACGAGGTGGGGGAGAAGTTTTGTGGTGTGAGACGCTTTTGCTTGGAAAGGGGGTGAGTGAGGTCGAGTAGGCACGAGTAGAAATCGAGAGGGGGTCGCGTCAATTTGATGATTTTGAAAATGGTGGCGTCCTTTGATGCTTTCCTTGAAGATATGAGGGATCCTTTGAGGTTGAGGTCGCACGCTTCTGCACCTTACTGCCCGTGTTTTGCGTTGATGTAAGTAGGCGCAGTTCGAGAAAAAAGACTGATTTGCGCCTCTGAGTTGAACGCCCGTAATCCGAAAAAATACAGGCGCTGAAGAGAGCAAAGAGAAATCTCGAAAAGTTGTTGTAGTTTTGTCACAGGTTTTGCCGCCAATTGAACTAATTATGTGGCTGTACGGTGTATCGAGTGTGTGCCGAAAAAGCCGTTCTTTTCCTGTGCCTCCTTTGCCTATGTTCCTGTCCTTTGCTCAAATGGTACGGTGTGATGAAAGGTTCACATACCCTCACGGACGGGTCCCTTGACGTTACGGATAACGTTGCGGATGGAGTTGGGGTTGGAGGGATCCTCCTGCAACTCAACCTTGACCTGGGTGACACCTCCACGGGAGCCGGTACGGCCAAGAACCTTGGTGACTTTGGCGTGCTTGACAACGGTCTTATCCTGTTGTTTTGGAAGAGCAGGGGAGAGGGGGCAGAAAACGGAGTTGTCAGATTTCTGTTTCTTTTGTGTTGTTTTTGCTGCTGGCTGTTGGCTTCTCCTGTGATGCTTAGTGGATAGCTTCCTTGGGTTCAAGTTTGCTGGAGAAAAAAAAAAGGCTGGCGTTTTGATGGACTGATCTCTGACAAAGCGATTGCTGGTGTTGAGTGCTGGATGATGGTTTCTGCCTCTGTGAATTAAAAGATGTTGGTGGATCCTGGACTTTGAGAAGACCTGATCCCAGTTGATCATAGATGATGGTTGATGGGCGCCTTTTTCAACTTTTTTGTTTCCCGAAGGTGCCGATACAGATGCCGATGATCCCTCTGCGGTGATCAATGTCAGGTTCCTGAATGGATAGACGGATCGATGGGTCGCTATATGTATATGTCGACATGGATGCTATCCTTGTCCCGACGCCCCCCATTCCACCAAATGCCCTATTACGGTCGGTCGTGAAAATTGACCGTACCATTTTGATTGAGTGTTAAGAAAGGAGGCTCCAATCAGACTGCGCGCGGCCACTTCAAAAACGAAATCTTCTTGTTCTTCTCATGGAAGGTGAGAGAACGTCAAGATTAAGGGGCGGTAACATTTTTTCGCACTGATCCCGTGTAAAGCGATCGAGAGACCATTCACTCGCAGCACTGATAAATACTACATGCGTAGAAAAGGGAAGCAGTGCGGTGATCCTTTGCCTCCTTGCCTTTCTAAGAACACAACTAGACACCACCGTCTGACCTCGTTATTCAGCATTAGTTGTGTATTGAGAGGGAATAGGACATTTTTAGAAGCACCAACGACAATAAGCAACACTACAACAATAACTAAGTGTGCAAAGATCACTTTACCTCCTAGCAACAATGTCTCCCTAATTTGTAACAGTGACTAAAAAAACCTGAACCTTTGTTGCTATTATCACATGAGGGGTCAATCAAATGATTCATCATCCACGATGGGGAGCTAGCTAGAGTCTCATGAAAAACACGATTGGATGAAGAAGAGTACAGCCATTCACTATCGCTCTCCTCTTCCTCCGCCTCCTCGCTCGAAAACGCCTCATAAATCTTAATAGTTCTCGCAACACAGCTCTAGGGCAAAGATAATTATCAAGACGAGGTTTAATTACTGAGTTGTAATAGGTGGGCGAGTCTTTGCGCCTGCAGCTTCCATGTTGTAGCCGTAGAGAGTAACAAGTGCGAGTGGTACAAGTGCACTAACGCGATGTAAGGACTGAAGGAACAAGCCCTCATCGCCATTGTTATGAAACCTACGCCTAAAGGAGTATGAGTGACAGCAGCTACAGTATATAGCAGCTTACCTCCAGAGTAGACTGAGAAAAAGCGCGTCTCACTGCGGAACTGAGTGCTGGACTGTTCCTGAAGGCGGTGAGATGCGATAAGTGAAGGTCTTTGAACAACGCCATATCATTTTCGCGTAGGTATTTGGTCGACACCTCATCCCACTCCTTATTACTTTCCACGATTAACCGGTCGCGCTTATTGGTGTCCCTGGCTACCAAGTCCAGCTTCTGTCCACTCTGTTTTCGTGGTGTTGAAGGTTCCATGTCGACCTTGCGCCCCATATTCCTCCTCTTTCCTGACTCAAGACCTACCTTCTCGCCGTCAACCATCGTCAACCCATCCACGTCCGACAACAAGCCTTTCATGATCAGCCATGCTTCTCTGCACCAGAACGACTCGGAAATATCCCTATTACCAAACGGACACGGCTGTGTCATGTATCTTCAGCATCATCCCAAACATCTTGCTGAGTGAAATCTGTCATTTCATCTCCGTTACGAGTTGACGAGCCGCCTGTCTTGATGTGATCCACATCTCCAAAAAAAAAAAAAGACTATCGTAGTCCAGAGCAGCTTGCCGAAGTGCAACAACTCTTGTGGTTATTCCAGACTTTCTGGACGACAAAGTGGTATCAACCTTTGACCCCATTGCACTCCAGAACATCGCCTCCGAATTTGCCCTGAACTCCTTGAGGGCCATCTGGAGCCTTTGTGACCGCCGGCTATCAATTTGGGCGGAGTCGCGGTTGGTGTAGCCAAACTGTTGCACGAAATTCGGTAGCGTCACATGCTCTTCGCCTTTCTCTCTGTTCAGTGCCCAAAGGACATGCTTTCGAAAGGCGCCTTTAGTTACTGAATTATCCATTGTGCTGTATGGGACGGTAGCATATGGAAAGGATAATAGCGGTGGTTGGAGAGACAAATGGAATTGTTTATCGTACAGATAGCAGAAGTAATGAACAATTGAGAAAAATAAGAGGACAGATGGGACAGCGAGACATAAAAAAGAAGATAAGGCCAGTATGAGTTAACAGCGAAAGATACCATGACAGTAATCCAGTAATGGAAAATAGTCCACCTCATGGAGATTTTGTCGCAACTAACCTGGCTGACAGACCTTCAGCGGCTAAATCTGTGTGCAGCTCATAGAGCCGAGATTGCACTCTGTCTACCTGTTTCTGTGCACAAATAAAGAGCCACAGCACTTGCCTTAGGATGGAAAATCACGAGAAAGAGAGAGGAGAGCGGGGTGATATGGGAGAGAAAAATGATTGAGGTGATGTGACAACGGTAGATGAAGATAACGAGACACGAGAGGAGTTGGGGTTAAGGAACAAAAAAATCAGTGTGTAAAAGAGGACTTAAAACAAGATACCAATGAAAGGATGAACAACAGGCGTGGTAGTGGTGGCAAAAGTGGAAAAAAGAAGGGCTTGGGAGAGGTAATGAAGGGAGAAGTGAGGAGAAAGGAATGACCATAAGAAGCCATCAATGTCAGGTATCTTTAAGGGGTGGTGGTTAGTTGCTTCCCCGAATTGAAGATTAAGGGCTACTAATTTTTGCACAAGCGTACTTCAGGCTAGCGATCTTCTGGCGACTTGTCTTCTTCCTCTATCACAAAGCAATTTTTCAGGTGCGCTTGGAAGCCAGGATATACATCCATGCTGTGCCCATGGTGGCATCACCCATCCATCGGATGACACTCGGATACCGCCTTGGGAACGTTACCCCACCTTTTACAATATCGACACAGGAAGATACCAGTCCACTATCGACAGTGCCCCATCGCCATATCGCCATCATCGGCACTCTTGTTGTTTTGGAGATGGAGGAACTCGGCCGCATGAATCAGAGGAGAGATCATCACCAAAATCAGGTCGGACCTCTGCCCGATCACTTTTGTCTTCAGAGAAGGATTGCCTAGAACCGCTGCTCGGCCATTTTAAAACGACAACCGTTAATTCCCAGACGTTATTCCAGCCAGGAAGCACATAATTTCAGGAACCAACGCAACAACATACACCAAAAACAACCAAAAACAACTACGCCCACACCTCTCAGCACCCAACATCAATTGGCCGTAATTAAGTCGACTCACCCTATATCTTTTCAACATCTCGTATCAACTGTAGAAATGGCCAAGGAATCCAAGGGTACCAAGCGTTCTACCATCCACGACGTTGTCGCTCGTGAGTACACCATTCACTTGCACAAGCACGTCCACGGCAGGTAAATACTTCTCTCCCTTTGAGCAAGATCCTTTGGGCGCTTTGACAGGAGCAAGCGGGATATCATGGACAGGACACTCTGGACGTTAGTTGTTGAGGAGTGGGACCGTTGGACAGAGCAGGACAAATTTGTCCTGCCTACTTGGGATGGGGTTACAAGAGGAGTCGCGCAACAGTGTGATTCTCCACAATCCCCTGGTCTCATTTTTTCAACTTACTCAGGCGATCTGTAAGAAAAAAAGATGCGGTATCTCAGGAACGACATTACTGTCACAGGATACCGCCACTGCTGCTCTATCTCCAAGGAAAACAGCAGCTTACAACCAAACCAACGCACACGCTCTCCTCAAAAACAAGGATACTCACCTAATTCCTTTCCACCTTATAACAAAACAGATCCTTCAAGAAGCGTGCCCCCCACGCCATCAAGGCTATCAAGGCTTTCGCCCAGAAGACCATGGGTACCTCCGATGTCCGTGTCGACCCCAGCTTGAACAAGCAGATCTGGTCCAAGGGTATCAAGACCGTCCAGCACCGCATCCGCGTCCGCTTGTCCCGCAAGCGTAACGACGATGAGGAGGCCAAGGAGAAGTTGTACACCTACGTCTCGTACGTTCCCGTCACCTCCTTCAAGGGTCTCGAGACCCAGGTCTGCGACGAGTAAAGTTACTACTATTAGTATCTTTGTTTATTCCTCCTAATAGGTATCTGCCATTAAAAAATCCCAACCCAAAAAGAATTCACTTGTGTGCTTTTGCTTGTTGCTTTGTTATCTGTATGCTCCTTTTTAATTTGGTGGCGTAGAATTGTTGATCCACTTTGGTGGTACGTGCATCACAAAAGGAGTCATTTTTTTTCTTTCAAGGCCAACTCTGCAGATATGATCAACTCTCTCACACCACAGACATTGTTTGATGATGATCTAGTTGTCGAGAAGGAAGTATGGTTATCTTCATCATATGCACCCACCTTGTGCAGACTCACTCACACCCAGATATAGTCGAAAGAACAAGTTTGGATCGGAATAGGCGATGAGCAATTGAACATCCGTCGGTTGGGTACAAATGCAGGGCGAGATAGGAATTTTTTTGCTGTTCTTTTGCTCGTGTCCACAACACCATAGCCTCAAACCCAAGAATGAAACCACGTTTGTTGTAAACGCGTCCAAGCTTTCAGTCTTTTCCAAGAAGGACGATCTCTCCCCTCCTTCCTCTTCCCCACCGAGACAGGAGCCTTTTTTATCCGCTTTTTCATCATTGTTGGCTCTTCTTAAAACGTAAGGTCATACCTCTGACCCTCTTCTCTTTCCTCAACATTCCCATCCCATTATTGAACAGCGTTCCATCTCCTTTTTCCTTACCTAATAATACCATTTAATCAGATCCAGCATCATTAACCTCCAGCATCATCAACCTCCAGCATATCCCTCTAGTTCTCGCCCAAGACACAACCTCAACAGCTTCAACAACCACACGACACCCTCTTGCCCTCTCCATGCCAATGGCGCCCTTATTCGGCAGGAACCTAAACCCCAACACGACCCGCCGCCAATGGGCGCTTCTTGCGATGATCCTCTTAACAATGCCAGCGCTGGCGCAGGTCGTCTTTGGAGCGGTCGACAATAAGCTCACCACAGAGCAAGCCTTCAAGATGCTCTCTTCCCCCCTCACCCCCATGGACATCACCCCCAACGGCGATCAAAACATCAACCTGCTAACCAACAAGCAAATCGACTACCATGGCATCGTCCACACCCATGACGGGGCGACCGAGGATAAGGCCATTGGGGACGAAGAAGTCACTCATGGTGAACGCGAGCGCGGTGGCAGTCGTGGAAAGAGCAGGATGAACATGGCGCTCTATCCACCCCGAAACAAGATCCCGGACGTCAACACTCCACAGGTCAAGGCCTGGGTCGCCGAGATCGATTGGTCCAAGGTTCCCAATATCCCTGTCGCGGAAGGTTTAGCACCCGATACGCCTCAATTCCCGAAATGCCCTCCGGACGAAGAGATGGACCGGACGACTTGTTGGTGGTCTTGCTATGGATGCACGGCGCCGACGGATATTATTACGTGCCCCTTGGCGAATCAGTGGGGGTTGACGTATGATGATGGGCCTAGCTTGGTGACGAGGAACATGACCAAGTTTTTGATGGAGAAGAAAATCACCGCGACGTTCTTTGTGGTGGGGTCGCGAGTTCTGGAGTACCCGGATATCTTGCGTGAACAAGTCGCTCAGGGCCACCACATCGGCATGCACAGTAAGTTTTCGTTTGACATTTATCCAATCGCTATTTAGATAACCTTCAAGGCCATTTGTTGTATTATTGTGTACCATGGTCACTCAATCCTACATTCCATTTTCCCCCTCTTATCAACACACAGCATGGTCGCACAGCGGTCTGACAACCCTGACGAACCAAGAAATCGTCGCCGAGATCCGCTGGTCAGAAAAGGCTATCCGCGACGTAACAGGCCTAACCGCGAAATACGTCCGCCCACCCTTCGGAGATATCGACAACCGGGTCCGCGAGATCCTGCGCCAAATGGGGTACACGATCGTGATCTGGACAAAGGGCTGGGACACCAACGACTGGAGGATGCTAATGCACGAGATCCCCGAACGCGAGATCATCAAGAACTTCAAGGACGCCCTCGATAACCGTGCCAACATCCAGTCGTCGAATGGGAAACCTGGGGGTCCGATTACGTTGGAACACGATGTGAGTAAGGATACCGTTCATGTGTCAAAAACGCTGATTGAAATGGCGGTTTCTAGGGGTTTGCATCCTATGAACCTTGCTGCCTGTCTTGGTGATACGACGCCTTATCAGCGCGGATCAAAGTTGGGACCTGGTGGTGCAGTCGAGAAGATTAATGGTGGTGATTTTACGGGTTCCTACAGGGGTATGACGGGCATGGAAGAGCAGGATTATAATACCCCTTCCAAGACCGGTGGTAAGAAGGGCGAAGCCAAGAGCTCTTCTTCCTCTTCTACCAGTGATGCCGTCGCTGCCCTCCAGCAGTCTGCGGTCTATGCTGCCATGGGCTTGACCGCCGTCGCGTCCGTTATGTTGACCCTCTAGAATAATATCAACCCTACAACCTAATTTTCGCACACCTTTTTCCATAATACAACTAATACAACTATTATTGTTCTTTGTTAACTATGGTACAGTGAATGAATGATATGAAGACGAAAGAGAAAAGAAGGGGCAGTACAAAGTGCTCAGAAACCGCGCTTGGGTGTAGAAAACTTGTGATGGGGGACGGCATCCGCTTTGGCTCTATTGATCATGATGACCTCCTGTCGGTGCTGGCCCTCATCCGTCTTCTCGCGGTACTTGTCCTTCAAGTTGACCTGTGTCCTATGCTTCAGCACATTCCCATGGCGCTCGTCGTGTGCCTTGAGCTGTGCCCATTTGACATTCCGCTTCTTCCGTCCCTCAGCATCGCCTTGAGTCGGGTCATGCAAGAACTGAGGGGCGAGCTCCATCAGCCGATTGACTTCTTCGGAGCTCCACGGCCGGTATTTCCGTTTCTCCTTGAGAGGAGTTCGATTTTGAAGCACTTGGGAAACACTGGTCACTGGAGGCCCACTCCGGTTGCTCGGTCCAGCCGATCCACTACTGCTGCTGCTGCTGTTGCCATTACTGCCACTTTGTCGCATCGCCTTTCCCGCTTCCTGAAGGGCATCCATCGTCGACTGGAAGCGATCATGCGCAGGAGACTGCTTATCGGAAAGGGGAGGAGTCGGCACCGATTCCTTCGTGCTCTTCTTTTTGAGCTCCCGGGGCGGTACATCGGTGTCATCATCCTCAAACTCTGAATCGCTCGGCGCCTTAAACACTCTCTTCGTCTTCTTGATGCTGATAAATGGATCCGGTTCCGACTGCTTCACCCCCACTCGCTCTGGCGCTAGCAGGGATTTTGGTGGTGCTCCTGCCGGGGTTCCTACTGGGGATGCGGTTGTGGCTGCTGTTTTATGTGTTGGTGATGATTCTTTTGATGGCGATAGTGGTCTTGGTTTTGTTGCTGGTTCTGGTTGCGGTGTCTGGGATAGTTTGCGTTTTGGCAACGGTATTATCTGTTCTTGGCCTTGCCGTGTTGTTGAAGTATGTTGTGCAGTTGTGGTCTGTTGTGCTGTTGAGGTCTCTTGTTCTGTTGAGTTTTTTTGAGCTGTTGAGGTCGAAGTCTGCTGTGCTATTGAGGATTGCTGTGCTGCCAAGGCTTGTTGTAAGTTAATCCCGGCTGCGGCGGTGGGTGCTAAATCAGCGCTCAACGAGTCCTGCACGACAGTTTTGGCGACATTGTTGTGGACACTCTTGGAGAGGAGGAGACTTGCTTGGGCGAGATTTTCCAATCCGGATCGAGTAAACGAGAGGGCGACGCCTCTGGACTGTCCGTTAATGCCTCTTAAACCACTCCCGTCCGGCGCAATTCCGAATGGGTGGTAAGCTTGTCTCGGTGCCTTACGCCGTCGCATCAACGGCTCCTCCTCTTCCTCTTCATCCTCCTCGTCCTCAACTTTAACAGTCGCATTCGTCTCCTCTGCTCTCTCCTCCGCGACGGTCTCTTTCTCTTGAACACTATCTGGCGTGTCTTCGATGCCATCCGCCTTGTCCTCAGCGCCATTTTCTCCTTCCTCAACACCAGCCACCTTCTCCTCGACCTCGCCAGATGAAGTCAATCCTCCCTCGTGTTCGTATCTGTCCCGAGCACTGAACTCCGTATCTTCCTGCGCGGTGAATTCCAGTGTCCGTTCCTCGCGCACCGTCCCTTCTTCGTCGTAAGGCTCTTCAAACCAATCCGAATCAATATCCGGTAGGGCAGGCTGACCGACTTGTTCGAAATTCCGGCGTAAAGACGCGACTTGGTTGTCTCGGATCTCCATTAGGTTGTCGACAAGGTTATTTTCGTTAAGAGGCGGATCGAGTTCCTGAATAGCTACCTCAAGTTGCACAATGATCAGCCTTAAAGTGTTTTGATACAGTCCGTACAGTCGACTTGTATCTTGTGCTGCCCGTGTGGCGACTTCAAACATCCACGCCTAATGTTGTAAGAAGTCCACAATAAAAATTTTAGCGGTCAGTGGATGACAGCGCCGACATATTTCACTCAGTCAACCTGCTGTGATGCACCTCCTGGGAATGAAACGAAGCTGAAAGAGTCAAGTTTTTACCATTGCAGAATCTGATATCCGCTGCAAGTTGACGGTCGTGTCGCGTTTTCCCCGTGTCCTTTGTTCCCACCGCTGTTTCAGGTCCTCTACTGGACTGTAATACGCCATATCCTGCTTGTCCCGCATACAGAGCGCCATCATCTAACAGGAAGTATAGGATAGGTAATAGGTGTTATTGACATTTCCTTCGTCTCTCGCAGACATATTCCTGTCAGAGCGTGTTTGTAAATAACATATCAATCTTCTGCTCGCAAATGGAACAACAAAAAAAAAAGAGCCAAACAGCGATGACGCCTCTCTTACCAGACAAACAATCTGCATCAAAGTCTTCCAGTACATTCCTGGATCATCCACATCAACCGAGGCACTATTGTCAAGCTGCGGTCGAAACATTCGGATATAGCCTGAGAGTCCACGATTGAGGCGTGTCAGATCCAGGTCCCGCATAAAGAGATCCCGCACCATCACTGCTAAGTCGTGTCGCGTGATAAAGTCTTCTTCCAATCCAAACTCCAGAATATGGTGGTTCTCTAGGAACCTGAATTTGGGATCCGGATCCATATTGTCCTGTCCTCCTAAAGCGAGAGTGAGAGAGAGTTTTGTGCAGTTTGCAGGAATAGTAATTTAGTGGGAGGCATGGAAATAAAGGAGATGAAAACTCAAATTACGGCAGCGTACAGCGTACTCCTTCTTCTTTCGTTGTTTACAAAACGCACGTACTTAAGTACCGGCTCCATTGATAATCAAGGTCGTCATGCTCAATCTGCAGCTGCAGGATAGGGTCGGTCATAGAGACGTGGCTGTGGAGGAAGACGTATGTCCAGGCGTCGAATGCCATGAGGAGGTCGTCATTGTCGCATAAGGAATCCTTCACGTCGATGTCCTTTGGTGTGCCTGGTTGCGGTTTTTTGTTCTGAAGAGAGGCCTTCCTGTTGCGGGGCATTTAGTCGGTTTTGTGGCCAGGAGAGATGCAGTAAAGGGTGAAAATAGGAAGGGATGGAGGAAAAACTCATTTTTTTCGGGGGCGACACGTTTTGATTAATATGACCTTGACAGTCACGTGCTCTGCCTTTACGATGCGCACTTCGAACAAGGCAGAGAAATCGTCCACCAGCTCAACGCTGCCCTTCCCTTCCACATTCAACATAGCATATTTCGCCAACAATGATCGACAAAAAAAACCAAGAGACAGAGAGAGAAAGAAATAGTGGTAATGGTCTCAGTAAGGTCGGACCCACATAATTTTATTGTGAGAGGTTTCCGTAATTTACTTGGAGGACTTCTTGGCGGGCTTGGCGGACTTAGCCTGGGCCTTGATGACCTTCTTGACGATCTTCTGCTCCTCGATCAAGAAAGCGCGGACGATTCTGTCACGGACGCAGTTAGCGCAGCGGGAACCACCGTAGGCACGGTTGACGGTCTTCTGGCGGCGGGAGATGCGAGCGTACTCGGTGGGGCGGAGAGCGGGGACCTATATACCGTTTCAAATGGAGAATAATGACAAAGCAGTAGTGAGTACAACTGTGCTCGTTGCGTAGAAGGTGGGAAGAAATGTTGCGCCACCAATTGGCGATCCAAGATCCAGAGCCACTTGTTGATAACTGCAGGGTGAGTGTAGTATGCTGAGCGCTCAGCTTGGTTAATTGTCGGCTGAACGCTGAAAGAAGCCTCTGTTACAAAACAGGTAGAGTTGATCCCTGCTGGTTGTTCGAAACATAGAAGTCGAAAAAAGATGTTTGATGCCGAGCTCATCCAAGATGTTGATTTCGATCCATCGGATCTCCCTCTGACCCACTCAAACTCGTACTCGCTTCATAAAAGCCTCCTCTCCACCACGGCTCTGCTTGGTGTGTCCTGCGATATCAATTATCGTCCATGCTGTCCTTGCTCTACTCTCCCAATAGCCTCAATTGCTCTGCTACTGGTAGTAACTCGCCCCTTTGTAGCTGTCGTTGGGAAACTTACACCGGGAAGAGCGACACCACAGTCACCGCACTTGGGGGCGGTACCGGGCTTCTTCTCATAGAGCCAAGTCAAGCGACCACCGGGGGTCTTGACGACGCGAGTCCTGTTGGACTTGGTGTTGTACGACAAACGGCGGCGGTAAGTGAGACGCTGAGCCATCTTCTACAAAAGTGGTCGTAAATAGTAAAAGGAGTCCCTGTTAGAGACGTCTTATTGTTGCACGGTTGTGTCTTTCCCGATGGCTCGGAAGTGAGTGTGCTGATGTTTGAGGGTGTCGAAGAAAGGTCGCTTGCGCCTGCTAAGAGTATAACTCTTGATAGCTGAGTTGATGAACGGTGTCGAGGTTATACGTCATAGCTGATCACTTTTGGAAGGGTATTGATGAGCCGTTCGTGAAAAAGTCGGGTGTTGAGTATGCTGAAAAATATTTCCATAGGATCCTACGTTCAGGATGGCAGCGATTCTCCTTGTAGATCTGTTACGCCGGCAAAAGCCCTCCCGAAAAAACTCTCTCAGATGTGTACTGCCGGACTGAATGGCGTTGAATGTCAGGGTATGGCCAGGCAGTCATCCCTCAGACCATCCTCCCTTGTTTGACACAAGAGATGTAGGTCTTTTGCCTTATGGGTGATGGGATCAGGTGCCGATGTTGGTTTTTCGAATGGACAATATCGATGTTGGTGATTCCTGCATGGCTGGTTTGGTTGATTGCTGGCGAGGCGTCGATAGGATGAATGGATGGATTGGTCCCGATAGCCTTGGGGTTCGATGGATGATGCCCCGTATGATTCCCCAGCACAATAATTACAATTATCAAGTTGGAAAGGAGGGCTTGATTTCTCTGCTCCCGGCACAATCAAAAGGTCCATCTGAGTGGCTTGTTCCCTTCTTCTTTCTCCGTGACTGTTCACTTGTCTATCTGTAGGCTCGCGTTTTTCCTCTCCACGCCTACATTCCCTAAGATGTCCTCTTGTTGCTTTCTCTCACTATCTCAACTCTCTTTTCCTTGACTCTGTCTCTCTCCTAGGTAGCCACAAACACCATTGACAACATTGACAAACGTCGAGGTCCAATGGATCGAGAAGGCGATCGAGGAAGTCATCGGCCACAAAGCTCGCGATGTCGATAACCGTATCCGTTTTGTCTTCAAGAAACTGGGCTATATCATTGTTGACTGGTCTGGAAGAAAGGATCTTGATACTAAGGATCTTGATGGTACGCTCTATTGGTAGTCTTTTTTTTGTTTTGTTTGTGTTGTTGAAATGCTCTATTTTTGCTGTGCTCAACGCTCAACCCCTGATTCACTCAAAAGCCTGACAATGTCGCATACATTTATAGTGGTGGCGGGAGAAAAGAAACCCCCTCGCAGCCTACACAAACCCCAACAACCTTACATACTCAAGGATTCATCACCCTCGCCTACGAACACCTGCCCAGAAACCATCGCCGTCTTCAAAGAACTCGTTCTCCTCGGCATCCAATTCGGCCTCAAGATCCAATCCGTTGCCTCCTGTCTCCAAGACAACTCGCCTTAAGCTTCTCCAAAGGGTGCTGGTAACGGTGGAATAAACCCTGAGGGATGGGAGGGGGCGACGGCGCCACCAGTCGGGGCATTTGGATTATAATGATTATTATACTATGGTGGGGCAGTTATTGAACAAATTGATGGCGCAGGCCAAGGGGCAGGGGTTGCCGACCGGTAGTGGTGGAGGTCATGGTTCTTTCTGGAAGGGCGTCTTTTGGTTGCTGAGAAGAAGGCTTTTGCGGACGCTCTTTGGGTCTTTGGTCGCTGGTTTGATCATGCTCTAGGAGGATCTCATTTTTTTTCATTTTTGTTAACAGGTATACCAGTTATTCATCCTTATACCTCTTTTGACGGACAACAAATCAAGGGTATAAATCAATGTGGTTCTTTACTCTACTATTTCTCTTCGTTCGCCTCTTATCCGAGTACTCCATCTCGGCGGTATAATGGACGCTCCTCCTCCCTCCTCGTTCAAATCATATGGCGAGGAACAGACTGCAGCTCGTTGGCGTCCATATCCCAAGGCACAGTAATACTTACCGAATGATCAACACTCGTCACCTCATGCCAGAACCCCAGAGGGGTATACAACGCATCGCCCGGTTCCAGATCCACAATCCACGGTGTCGTGTTCCGGATCTTGGGCCACCTCCTCTGCACCTCTGCCATGTTCTCGTCCAGATGCTCCTGATACTCCTTGTCCTTGGTCTCCATAGATAAGGAAGAAAGAGGGAAGCAGTGCCCCAACCCACGGACTTTACTAGCATGTCCAGGCCCCGAGATCCCATCATAAGGGTACAGCCCATGCGTGTCCTCATGCGAAAAGATCACGAACCGTTTCCTCCCCACTAACTGGATCAAGATCCCGTGGCATCGGTCGTAGTGCAGTGGAGTCGTTGCCCCGGCGAGAGAGACCCAGATCCGCATAAGGTCCTTGTTAGGTACGTTGGCGAAGGAGGTTGTGGTTTGGGGGAGGGAGAGCGAGGTGAGAAGGGCGGGGATGTTGAGAGAGTCGTAAAGTGTTGCGGGCACCATTCCTCTGTAGTAGAATCTGCGGTTCTGGATGGTTGTGTGTGTGTCGATGTGATTGTTGTCGATGTCCTGATTTTCGCAGTAGGGACATATGGTGGGGGGTCCTGCTGCTGCTGTTATTGTAGCTGCGGAAGAGGCGGAAGAAATAGTAGGGACGGCTACTTCTTCTTCTTCTGCGACCATCAAATCATCCTGTGCCTGTAGGGTTTCTTCCTGCAAGACCTCCAACTGCGGCACCACCACCTCCATCATCGCCTCCTCTGGCAGCTCCTGTCTCTGCCTCTGCAAAAGCACCCTCGCAACAATCTCTCTCGCCGTCATATCGATCTTCTTGGTGAACTGCGGGTTATCCATAAAGTTCTTGGCATCCTCTGCAACCATCACCGGCAACAACGGTTCCTCCCCTTCTCCTGCTCCTGCTCCTGAGACAGTCCGGTTCAGGGCTTGGACGACATGCTCCGGGTGGGAGGACCACTGTTCCAAGACAGACGGCGACACGATCTGGCGCAGGATCAGAGGATTCCTATTGCGGAAGCGGCGGGGGAAGGCCGTCTCTTCTTGGGGGAGGCCTTGAACCTGGGAGGTGTTCATTGTGTCCAGTCGTGCTACCATTGTAGGGGGTATTGTTCCTGTAGGCGGTTGGTTGGTGGTATATATGGATGAGCGTTGTTGGATGCAGGGGCCTAGGTGTCAATCTGTGTCTGTGCTGTTAACGTCCGTCCCTTGTTTGTGTCAGATCGTGGTGATGGGCTTAGCGTGGTTTTGAATTTTGGGCCGCCGACTGGACTAACGGTGGCTCTTGTACTGCGGCAAAAGGGTCCTTGCGCTGAGTGTTGTTGCTTCCTGGTTGACAAACGGAAGGGAAGGTGGTGGTCGAGAGTGATGAGAAGAAAGAGAAAAAAAAAAGAAGAGAGATGAATGAACGTCGTCTCTCTTTTTTTTTTTTTCGTTCCTTTTTGTTCCTCGATGGACCGAATGTGGGCGAGAGAGGGTTTTGTCCTGGAAGCGCTCACAACAAAGAGAGGCATTTCTTTTTTTTTCTTTCCTTTCGCTTGTCCCTGAACTGGACGAAAAAGAAGCGAGTTGGACCAATCGCAAGCAGATCTGGATCATTCCTATGCCCTGAGAGACCCTGAAGATGTGAAATGAGGGCAATACAAGAAATATTCAACCTGCGCGAGGGACATTAAGGAACGGCATCTCGCTTTGGGACGTCTCTCGTTATCTTAGAAGGCCTTGTTATTATTAATACATAATCTATAGGTAGTTTGGTAAACGTGTATCTTCTCCTTCTCCCAAGGGGTATCATCCATCAAGACAGCTTCTCCCAGGGTGAAGGATTCGGCAACCTGGTCTCCAAGAACCCCGCAAACAGGCCTCGAACCCTCTTGGCAATCAAGGGACTATCTGGTACATCATCGTTCACGCAGAAATACGTCTCTGTCTGGTTCCGTGCCAACAACCGCTTCAGACCCGCCTCAGACTTGTCTCCCGTCGTCAACTGGATAAACGAGAACTGTGATCGGCCAATCACATAATTGTACTTGGCCATATCCCTCGCCACCTGTGAATACGCTTCTGAATTGCGATCTAGGGGCATTAGAGAGCTCATCCCAGGTTTGGCGCTCCTACGACGGACAATGTGGAGGAGACAGTCTCCACAGTGGTACTCTGTAAACGCCAGTCGTTCAAAGACAGACCCCTTCCCCACAGAACTGTCGATCGCAGGCGTACTCCTGTTCCTGAACTGTGGTCCAAGACAGAAATCAATGTTGAACCTACATTGTCGCCGACTGGGCTCCGTCTTTGTCGGGGAAGGCTGCCGCGAGTACTGGTTACTGCTACTCTGACTCAGGTCTGCATTCCTGATCATAAACGGGTACCCATCCATGCCCGACTGATCATAGCTCGTCCGACCGGTCCATGGGATCCCAACACTCTCCAGTTTCTGATCATGTTCATGCAAAAAACTCTTGAACGCTGCGTCGATAGGAAGTGGCCCTACCCTCCTCCTGTTTATGACCTTGGGCATCGTCTCCTCATACTCTTCCACCATCCGGATCAACTCCTCTCGCTCCTCCCAATCCAATTGCTCATCCTGATTCCTGTCTAATCGATACTTCCAGTACGATGTCAGTTGAGTCTCACGCAACCTCTCCATGACATAGTGTGCCATAAAAAACGCCAGATTGATTTCCTGCGCCTGTCCCTCGCCTCGGAACCGATGCGAGGCCGTCTTGTCAAACTCCTCGGGCCAGATGGATTGAATCTCCTCGAGGATGGGCCTGTTCATGATGTGGATAATGTGGGCGATGTATGCGCGATGTCGAGCGCCAAACTGCTTCGAGAGTAGGTAGTTGGTATATTGAAGCGACTGCCATTCGCCGACGTTGGGTGAGAGGCCGAGGGAAGGGATTGCCGGTTCGATGATTCCGTTGGTGAGGTGAAAGACAAAGCCGTAGAGGGGTGTCCAAAAGTCTGAGGCGTCGACGGGCAGTCCAAAGAAGATGTCGTCGTTCATGTAAATAAACTATTTGACAAGCATACATGCATTGGCGAAGTAAAATAATTAACTTGTTGGTCATGTCCCACCAGGAAAAAAAAGTCGCTAAAAGATGGGAAAGAAAGATTGGGTTTTCTATCTACAACAAAAAGCAACAACAAACAACAAGACAAACACGCGGGGTGGTGGTGGTGGTGGTGGTGGATAAAAGTCAACAACACTTACAGTATCAGCAAGGTGAGGAACATGATGCATCTGGCTCTCGATCGAAAGACTGTTGAACGACGGCAAAACACTCGCATCATCATACACCTCCCGATGCTTCACCAACCTCACCCTCTCTCCCTCCTTCCCCAAATCCAACCACTCCGGAACCTGTCCAACACCTTGTCCAGTTCTATTATCCGGAACCTCCGTCGTCAGAATATGAATCCTCCCTAACAACCTCTCCGGAAAATACTCTGCAATCGACCGCAACGAATACTTGAGCTCATTGTTATCCCGGAACCGATGAATCGTCTGATCGCCCTTTCCGTTCCCGACCGCTGGAGGTTCCCGGTTCTTGGGGTTGGTATTAGGGTCGTTTGTTGCTCGGGTGGTGTTCTTGAAGTACAGGAATAGTTCTGAGGTCTCCTTGAACTTTTCCTTGACGTCCTTGAGTGCTGCGTCCGTACCGTTGACCCAAGTGTACACAATGTCCAGTGTTCTTCCAGCCTCCTCCTTGATTTCCTCCTTGATTTCCTCCTTGATCTCCTCCTTCAAGGTCTCTTCAGATTCGGGATCGTCCAGCTCCTGATCCTGTAACCAACGAGCCTTCCACTGCGGCACTGGGACTGCTTGTCCAAGAAACGGGCTCCCCTTTCCTTTCCCCCTCCCGGTCCCACTCCCAATCCTACTCCCACCACTTGACGTCGTCTTGGGCTCGATACCAGCACTACCACCGATAGGTCGACGGTCAACGGGTTCTGCAGACGGCTTGGGTACAGGTTTCAGGAAGTCAAACGAGATATTAAGGTAGATGTTGACGATGGTGAAGACGAGGATGAGGAGGAAGAAGGTGCTACGGATATGTTGGCTAAAGAAGCGCTGTGTTCGCCATAGTAGTGGGCGCCGTGGCGATGATCGTGAGAGTATTTGTGCCATGGAGGGAAGTTGGAAGGAAAGGAAAGGAAGGGAAGGGAAGGGAGGAAGGTGGAAGGAGGAGGTTGATGTGAAAAGAATAAAAGAATAAAAGAATATAAGGAGTATTTCCCGGGATGAGTGCAAAATAAAAAAAAAATAGAGGGTATCCAACGGCGGAGTATGGAGTGAAAGGCTGGGAGGATAGAAGGAGGAATTCGTCAAGAAGGGAGAGGATGCAGAGGGAGAGGGAGAGGGATGGGCAAGTAGGAAGAAGACAAGAGAAAGAAGACGAGGAAGAAGAGTAAGAAGAAGGAAAGGAAAAGGTAGGAGAAAACAAACAAAACGAATGGAAGAACCCTCTCAGACGACCATTTTGCGTTAGAGTTCTCGACTCTTCTTCCTTCAGAACTTGTTTGCAATGAAAAGAATGAGAAAAACAAGGTTCATGCAGTCGACAACGGACAGAGGGTCTCTGTCCAACTGTGATGTGAACAGGAAGCTGCACAAGAGTGTCCTGTGTCTCTTTTCTGTCTGGACTTTATCCGGAAGGCCCTCTCTTTCTCCATGAGTGTTCTCATGGACCTCCAGGCAGTGCAGTGCAACAATGAACAACAGATGAGAGCAATAGCGTGATACACGAGGTCGATGCCAAGAAGAGGGGAGAGAACAAAGGAAAAGAATGAACGATCCTTCTTCCGGGTGAATGAATATCTTTTTTATGACATCCCTTTCTTTCTTTCATCCATTCAATCCAAACCACAAGCGCATAGTAGCGAACGCAAATAGGACATGGCATAAAGACAAGTAAACATAATTATTATTATTGGATATTGTTTTTCTAGAAAACTAACTGTTGGTATGTGTGTGTGGTGTGCAGAGTAGGGAGTTGTAAAGGGAAAGGAGTAAAGAAAACTCAATTCACTTTAGTGAGTGACCTCCAGGTTCTGCCTCTTGCAGAGCTCAGAGTAAAGACCACCCTGGGAGATGAGCTCGTAGTGGCGACCAGACTCGATAATGGCTCCGTCCTTGACAACCAGAATCAAATCGGCATCTTGGATAGTGCGCAGACGATGGGCAATGACAATGGTCGTGCGGCCAGTACGGGCACGGTCGAGGGCCTCCTGGACCAACTTCTCCGACTCAGAGTCCAAGGCAGAGGTTGCCTCGTCGAGCAAGAGAATCTTGGGGTTGCGGATCAAGGCACGGGCAATGGCGATACGCTGCTTCTGACCACCAGACAGCTGCGAACCCTTGTCTCCGACGCGGGTATCGTAACCCTGGGGCAGCGAAACAATAAAGTCGTGGATGTTCGAGGCTTTGGCAGCAGCAACGACCATCTCTTGGTCGGCGCGCTGACCATCGGGGATACCGTAGCGGATGTTCTCGCCGATCGAGATGTCAAACAGGACAGGCTCCTGGCCAACAAGCGCCATGTTCTGGCGAATGTTGTTCAGCTGAAGGTCGCGAACGTCATACTTGTCGATCGTGGCCTTGCCGTCCAAGACATCGTACCAGCGCTCCAAAAGGGCAATGATGGTCGACTTTCCGCATCCAGAGGGTCCGACCAAGGCGACAGTCTGGCCGGGCTTAGCAGCGACATCGACTCCGTTGAAGATCTGCTGGTCGGGGCGGGTGGGGTAGTGGAACTGGACGTTCTCAAGGCCCAAGTGGCCGTCAACACTCTCAGGGGTAATGCCGTCCTTGTCGGCGTCGATAGTGGTTTTCTTGTCCAAGAGCTCGAAAACGTTGATGGCAGATTCCTTGCCTTTAATGTAACGAGGAAGCTGAGAGGCGATCTGACCGAGACCCATACTCATGAAGACGACATAGAACAGAGTCTGGATGAGGTCTTGGTAGGTAAGCATCCCGGCTTCCACAAAGCGGTGACCAGAATAGAATCCGACGGCATAGGTCCAGAACATGATTCCCTGAGACAAGGCGTAACCGATGGATCCAATGTAGGCGCGACGGAGAGCATACGAGTGGGGCTCCTGGGTGACTTTGTAGTACTTGTCCTCGAAGGTCGACTCCTTGGCTAAAGTAACGACGGTACGGATGTTGGAAATGGCCTCGTTGGCGACACGGCCAGACTGCTCGTAGGCCTTCTTGGTCTTGTTACTGAATCCAGTCAACGCGGCGATGGCAAAGTACTGGGAAGCGGCCAAAAGTGGAATAAGAGCCAAGATGACCAAGGTCAGGCGCCATGACTGAGAGAAAGCAAAACCAAGACCCAAGGCGACGGTGGCGATGGTCTGGAAAGCCAACTTCATGATCTGGGAAACCAACTCGTGCATCTGGTAGGCATCGGTAGCTAGGCGGGAAGTCAAGGCACCAGTGTTGTTCTCCTCCTTGTCAAAGAAGCCCATCTCCTGGCTGATGATGGCCTGGAAACTGACGGTTCGCATGCGACGGGCCATCGTCTCACCGACGTACTCAAAGACGACAATGGCTCCTCCGTTGGCGACGAGGGCAGCAACAGCGATAACGACAAACATGAGGGCGTTGTTGTTGGATTCTGAGATGAAGTTGTCAGCGCGGGGGACTTTGGTGAGGACGGTCATGACCTGACCAAAGAACTTTGCAAACATGGGGAAGATGACACCGGCGCCGCCAGAAAGAATGGCGCCAACAGCAATGAGATTCCACTCGGGACGCATCGCGTTGAAGACACGACCAAGGGGAGCCTTCTGAGCCTTGATCATGGCCTTTCGCTCCTTCTCGCGGCGGTTCTCAGCCTCCTCAGCAGTTTCGGGAACGGCAATCGTAGTATCGACCCTCTGGAGCGACTTTTCGGAACGGGGGACGGATCTGGCAGAGGACATGCGGCGGAGCTTGGTGGTAAAACCAAAGCTCTTGCGACGGTCGGCGGTACCCTGGTGAGCAATAACATCCTCGTCAGCAATGGCAATATGAGCAGGCAGTGCGGCGGTGTCCTCGGCTACGATCTCTGGCTGGGCCTCAACATCGACGCCTCCGGACTTGAGCTGCTGCTTGGCGACAAAGTCAGCGTAGGTTCCACCTTGGGCGAGGAGATATTCGTGCGATCCAGATTCAATAACGACTCCCTTGTCCATGACATAGATAACGTCGGCATTCATGATGGTCGAAAGGCGGTGAGCAATAACAATGGTTGAACGTCCAGCGGCGGCGTTGTCGAGAGCAGCCTGAACGATACGCTCAGACTCGGTGTCGAGGGCAGAGGTAGCCTCGTCGAGCAGCAGGATACGGGGGTTCTTGATCATGGCACGGGCAATGGCGATACGCTGCTTCTGACCTCCAGACAATAGGGCTCCCTTCTCACCGACCATGGTGTTGTACTTCTCGGGAAGCTTGGAGATAAAGTCGTGGGCGTTGGACAAGCGGCAGGCAGCCTCGATTTCCTTGTCGGTGGGCTGAGCTTGGTCCTTGCGGATACCATAGGCAATGTTCTGACGAATGGTGGCGTTGAAGAGAACGGGTTCCTGGGAGACGATTCCGACAGTGTCGCGAAGGTAGGTGACATTCCAGTCCTTGAGCTCAACTCCGTCCATAGTAATCGTTCCAGCTATCGAGAACAACAAACGAAATAATTAGTAAAGTAATATCAAGGACACATGACCGCAAGCATGAAAAACAGCCGAAAATAATATAAAAAAAGACTTACAGATGGGGTCGTAGAAACGCTCAACCAATCCGACAATGGTGGACTTTCCAGATCCAGAATGACCAACCAAGGCGACAGTTTGTCCAGGCTTGACCTCAATGTTCATCTTCTTCAAAATGGGGACGTCAGGGCGAGACGGGTAGTGGAAGTCGACATCAGTGACAACAATGTGCCCGGTAACGTTATCGGGCTTGGCACCGCCGGGGTTGGACGAGTCAATGGTGGGAACGCGGTCAATGGTCTTGAAGATCTGGTAAGCAGCACCCTGAGCGCTGGCAAAAGCAGCGGCGTTAGGTCCGATGCTTCCAAGAGCGAATCTATACGAGAGAACCAATTCAGCATGGAATATTTTAGTGGGCCGCAATAATATTCTTACTCATAATAAAAGGCTTTTGACAAGTACTGGAAACAAAACACTTACGCTCCGATGATCATGCCGAAGAAGACGTTGATGACCTCACCTCCGGTCATGTTGCCGTCGTAAACCTGGTGGGCACCAAACCAGAAGGCCAAACCGTAGGTGGCAAAGAGAATGAACATGAAGGCACCGACACCGCAACCGGTGACGATGGCTCTCTTCTTTCCGTGGAGGAAGGCGCTATCCAGCTGCTTGACATACGATTCGGTCTCGCGCTTCTGACCACCAAAAGCAACAATGGTGCGGATAGCGGAGATAGCCTGCTCGGCAACTGCTCCTGCTCCTGCGTAAGAATCCTGACCCTTGGTGGCGGTGGCAACGGTAAACTTTGTCATCAAGGCAGCACAGGCACCGATGAGGGGGACACAACTGAGGAGAACCAAACTGAGCTTCCAGCCTCTGACAAAACCAATGACAAAACCGGCGATGAAGGTGGTCAAGCTGGACAAGACCAGACCGACCTTATCAGCCAAGCCGTCGTAGATCAGTTGAGTGTCCGAGTTAAGGCGGGTGGTGAGGGATTCGGCCTGCTTGCCGGTATCGTGCCATCCAATGTCCTGACGAAGGATGGCATGGAGGTACTCCTCGCGGATACGCTTGACTTGGTTTTCGGCAGACAGGGTCCAGAAACACATTTGCAGGTACGAGGCGAGGAAAATACCAGCACCAACGATGGTGAACTTGATAACGTAATCGATAATGATATCAGCGTTAACAAGACCTCCACCCATAGCCTCCAAGACGTCTCCCATCAAGATAGCGACCAAAGGTTGGCCAACACCAGTACCAATTGAAGCAACTGACGCGATACTATTAGGTTGACAAGGAAAGGTTAAAAGGTGTGAGAAGAAGTGGGATATATGGACGCATTGTGGACAAACAAGTCCACATCGCACAAAATGTGTCAATTGTATGTGTCTGTTCACACAAAGGAACGACGGATCATGGCGATGATTGAAAGAAATAAACTTACGCGATGTAAAGGTAATCTTTGGGAGTAGCGAAGCGGTAAAGCTCAAAGTAGCTGACAGCCTTGACGGGCTCGCCGGCCTCTTTATCCTTCTTCTTGTTCTTGCCCTTGCCATCACCAACCTCGGTGGACTCTTCGGTGGAGAGGGTGCTGGCAGCAGCACTAGCGCCAGTAGTCTCCTTAGAGGGGAGAGTGTCAACGATAGCAGGGGCGGCAGCGATGGTGTTGGAGCTTTGACTGTCCTGCTTGATTTGCTCGAGCTCCATTTTTTGCTCTTCGAACTCCATCTTGTCAGTCATGGTTAATTATCCGACTGGTCGTATCCAAGAGGAAGAGTTGAGTTGGTGAGTAAGTTTGGTGTGAGAGGGTAGTAAGAGGGGGAGGGATAAGGAGGAAGAGGAAACGGCGGGGAGGGAGAGGGGAGAGAGGAGAAAGGAGGTTAATATAAGTATCTGTCTCTGCAGGAGAGGTGAGAGGTAGGGCCGTTGGGAGGAACAAATGAAAAGAAAGAAATGAAAAAGTCAACCCCCAAAAGAAACTGGAAAAGAGCAAAAAAAACTGCGGGCGGAGAATGTGGCTGGGAGAAGTGGAGGAAAGGGATTTACGATATGATGCAGATGCGGACAAGAAAAAAATGTCCGTAACGTAAAAGGTGTGGGGTTTCAGTTGAGTGTCTGTGTCGCTGAATACAAAAAACGTTTGTTTGAGAACGACAACAGATGATGATGAAGGTGGAAGGTCTGTTCAATGGTGTGCGTTGCTTTACTTTTCTTGCTGTTCAAGGGTATGCACTGGTGTTGGAAAGACAGAGACAGGGGGATGAGGCGAGGAGGACAATGTTATAGTGTTATATAGGAGTTGGCTTGTTGCCGTGAGGGGATCTCTTGGAGTGAGTTGTGTGTATGAGGGGTGAGGGAAAGGATGCAAGATGGGTAACAAGGACAACGAGCGGATAAAGATAGGGGGAAAGGAAATAAAGGGGAGAGACAAAGAGAGATGAAGAGGAAAAAAGAGAAAGGAGAAAAGAGAAAGGAAGGCCGAGAAAGGCGGACATGTAAATGGATGGGATAATGAAATCCCGGAGAAAATCAGCATTGCTCTCACCTTTTTGTTGGACTCTTGGTCTGTGAATAGGACGAATGCGCTTGCTCTCTCTCCTCTTTGTGTAGGTGGTTATTTCAACCAGAAGGAACAAATAGAAGGACGATCTACTGCTGTGGATATTAGAGCCAGTGGCAGATAAGCTTATTATGTGTATGAGGTAAACAACAACAGATGAGGAGTGTTGTGTGTTGGATGAAGAGACAGGATGAAGGATGGTGAGAAAGAAAAAAAAAAAGGTCGAGGCGTCCGCATTTTATAGCAAAATGCATTTTGAGTTTTTGTGTTTGTGCAAAGCAAAGCGGATAATCTTCCGATGAACGACGAAAAGGGTTATTCTTCTCTCCTTCAATTGACCCTCTCCGCCCCAAAAGAACGAAACCAAAGCTCAGCTCAGCTCCAGGCTCATTCTCGTTCTCACACAGACTAAGTATCCATACCGGCAACCCCGACAAACTATCGCAATACAAACCCGCAGTTTTCTAGCGCTCTAGCTGGGAGATTCCCGCAGTGACCATCTTTCTTCCTTCCGCCATAGCTCCCATCATTTCAAACGTGCCAATTGCGGGTAATAATGTATTGGCGGAATAGAAGAAGCCCCTGCTCATTTTCTGACAGTGTAGTTTGGCTCCAGTGCTCCAACGTAACTGTTTTTCAAGGTGACCATCAACGATCATTAGACTGCCGCAGCTTGCTTCGTCTCGTTCCTTCACTCTCTCTTTCTCCTGTCCTTAATCGCCTATTCTCTTCTTCTCTATACTTATTCTCATTACAATCCTTCATTCTCTTCAAAAGATTCTTAACCCTTACAACAGCCTTTGCATTCGCCTGAACACAAGCGCTGCCGCTTTTTGTTGTTATGAACTGACTATAAAATAAACAATTCTCCACCTGATAATTTAAAATCAAATTGGCTTCTACGTCCATACAAAAAACCGGTTTTTTTAAGCTTTTGACCAAGCACAATTAAGTATTTTTTCGGATGTGTGTTGTACCGCTATATTCGCAGGTCTCAAACGACACAAATTAAACATACCCCATCTCTTGCACCCTTCCAATGCCATTTTTTTAAATAAATAAAAAAAAAGTGCTCACAAAGCAACAATCCAACCCTGAACAGTTGTAAACGTTCGTGATCGTCCCTGCGGATGAATAATTTTCGCCACAGAAAAGAACAAAAACCTGTTGAGGTTTTGAACGCTGCAGGTTATTTTCTTCTCTTGCCAAGCTTTGGTTGTCAAGTGTACTTGTACAGCTGTATCACAAAGAAAGGGGGGACTGATATGGATTAGAATGGTCGGATGGTGGCGGTGGTGGTTGAGCTGACAGGCCGTGACGTCTGAGTGCCCGTGGCATGTTTGAGTGCGTGGCACGATATTTGCCTGGAGGAGGGAGGACAAAGAACAAGAACAAAGGGGTAGAAAATGTAGCATCACGGACCAAGGGCCTAGAACGAACAGGGGGATGATAGAGGAGGAGCGTACTATGTGATGAACGTGCTAGTACGTGGGTGTCAAACCGTATGACATTGCTCGGCAACCAAAGTAACCAAGCGTGTGCATCCAAAGCAGTCAAACAAACCAAGGGTGCCAAGAAGTAGACGGAAGCATCAAGCCAGAAATGCGCCACTTTGTCCACGTTATGTATCTTGACATCCCCTTTTTTCATCTAATGGTGGCCCTCTTGAAAAGGGTGAAGAAAAGCGGGACTGGCTTTCGTCCGCTGTCGACTTTACTTTCAATCAAAGCAACACCTTGCTTCCCTTCAGGCTTATCATATCGATCTCTTTCTGTTGAATCGCCCCTTGGACAATCGGAGAACATGGCCAAAAAGGGCAAGCAAACAGGAGCCCAATTTCCGAAAGAAAAATAAATGTAATCAAAAGAAAAAAGAAAAAAGAAAAAAGAAAAAAAGAGATGGAGGCCAGGTTGGTCTAAATCTGGATGCCTTGGATTGTAAAGCCCAGGGACCCAACTGACAATCACCAACACCTTGCAACCAATCGGCCACGTCGAACTATGATGAAATTGCAAAGCAAAGCAACGCCAACAATTAACTTGCACATGCATGCCGAAGTAACTCTTCAGCAAACGAAAGAGGAATGGGAGAGTCAAGGCAGGGTCAAGTCAAGCATATTTCCTTTGTTGACATTTTTTTTTCCTGCCTGTGTTCATATTTCTTTGACCCTTGTGTTCTTTGATCCCGTTTCTTGTCTGCGCAAAAAGTCAATTGAGGCAGTCTGCTTCGCTAGGATTCAAGGAAATCTAGCCTATCACCCGTGTTCGGATACTTTAAACCATTCATAGTTTTCCCTCTCTCTCCTTGTCATACTTCACCCTTCCTTTTCTTGCGTATCCGGGTACTCATAACTACGCTTTTATGTCGTTTTGGGATTCTTTTCTGTTCTCTTTCCCACCAACGGACCCTCGTCCATTGCGCAGAGTGAATCATTCAATATAACGCCCACAATTACCATGCATAACACAAGTTCAAAAATCACCTTTTTTTGTTCAATTGATACCCTTCCCTCTTCCTATGTATAGTGCACACATGGCCGCAACAAACCAACCCAAAAACTCTCAACAACAAAGGAAGATCATTCTGGAACAAAGCAAAAACAGCTCTATCACAAGAAACGTTCAGCGAAACCTACCCAACCCCTATCCCTTTGCCACACCTTCCATTGGGCGGTAATCGTCTTTTTGCGATTTGCCCATTGACGTCGAGAACCTGTTTGCTTATTCCTAATAGCCGTGAACACACACCTCCTACTCCATCTACAATAAACCGGGCCGTACCATCTACGGCCTGACCCAACATGTACAGTCCTTTGTGCTTGGTAACCCCTTTCCTTATCCTAGCCTGGCACAAGGGTATTACGCAACTCATTCTTTTTGCGTGCGTACTCTTATCTTCCATTCCTTCCTAAAGCATCTAACAGCCTGCTGGATGGGAGAACAAAACTCCAATGCTCCTCTATCATCTTTTTTTTCTTGTTATTGCGAAAAAAAAACGGGAATTAATAAGGAAAGAAATGCACACAAGGTGTACGATTAAAAATGCTACATATGTGTGTGTGTGCTCAAGCCAACTCAGACCAGATCTGGCTTAACCCCCCCCCCCCCCCCCCCAGCCAGGAAAAACCGGATTTCCGAAATGTTTTTATGCGAAGCTGACAAAACTGGGGTCGTACAGTATTTACACGATATTAATAATTGTCCTCTACGCTAACTCATGGTGACTACGGAGGAGTCTTTCTGGAATATTCTGCTTCCGCAAGAAGGCATGTCCGGAAGAAAACCCGGGTTATAGGCGTCGTTGCCCGTAGACTAGGAGCTAGGAGAAAGAGGGACAGCGATCTCACCAGCCTGATGAGCAAGCTTAAAAAACACCGAGTCCTCCCTCTGAAGCAACACCCTGGGCTCATCAAACTCAACCACCCGCCCCTGGTCCAAAACCAGAATCCGATCAGAGTCCATCACAGTCTTGATCCGGTGCGCAATCGTTAACACCGTTCGGTCCTTGAACTCTTCCCGGATCGTCCGCTGGATCAACTCGTCCGTCTCCACATCGACCGCGGCGGTCGCCTCATCCAGGATCAGAATCTTGGATTTCCGAAGGAGCGCACGGGCAAGACAGATCAATGATCGCTGGCCGACCGAAAAGTTCTCGCCGTTCTGTGCAACTTCGGCGCCTAACCCTAAACCTCCTGGAAGAGAACGGACAAAGTCCCTAAGGTGAGCTCGTTCGAGTGCCTCCCACAGATCAGCATCCGTGAGCTCTTGGAAGGGATCGAGGTTGTCACGGATCGTGCCTGCAAACAGAGTCGGGTCCTGGGGGATAATCGCCAAGTGCTTGCGCAGATCGGTCAGTCCCAACGTCGAAATGTCGACGCCGTCAATCTCAATCGCTCCTCCATCAATTTCCTCGTCCTCTGCAATGACGGGACCAAATGACGTGCCGCCAAGAAGAGGCGCGTGCTCGTCCAAATCATTGTTGTCGTCCGTGCCACTGCTCTTCCAGTCATGATACCCCGAATTATCACTCGCTCTCGCCCAGGCACTATTCGCAGCCTCAACGATCCGGAACAACGCCAACGTCAACGACGACTTTCCAGCACCTGTCCTTCCAACAATCCCAATCTTCTCCTGCGGTCTAATCTCAAACGACAAATGCTTCAACACCAAATCCAACCCCTCTCGATATCGCGTCGAATAATTCGTAAAGACAACTCGCCCCTGAGCCGGCCAGAGATCAGGTACCACCTTAGACGTCAACTCGGGCGCCTCGGTATGCTTGTCAGTGTACTCCTGAACACGCTCAATAGCAATCAGATGCGACTGCCACTCCGAGAAATCTCTACAGAGCCACATCACACAGTCCGTGATCCCCATCGCAAAACTCATCGACAGACCCAACACACTCGCATCGGCCGTGTACCGTTCAAAGACTCCAAAGAGGGCAATCGAAAGGACAATTGTGGCACTGAGCCATTGGAGACGGATATCGACCCAGCGGTTACAGTTCGAATAGGAGACGTAGGCATTGGCGTTGTAGTCGGTCCGTTTTGCATTCTCGTCAATAAAGCGCTCTTGGACTGCCATGGCGCGGATGGTGGCCACGCCATTCAGTGTCTCGTCAAAATGTTGGTAGATGGGCGAGACGGAGACAGAGTTGAAACGCTTGAGAGATCGAACCGCCCAGAGGTAGTAACCCGAGATCATGTAGAATCCCACTGCAATGAAAGGAACGACAAAGATGAACGCCGGTGTGGAGAAGATGACGATAGCGAGTGTTGATGTCACGGCGGTCAGGAGGTAGCCCAGGTCCAAGAACTTCCACGGCAAGTGTTCGTCGATACTGTAGCAGTCGCCAGACAACCGATTGATGATACGACCCAGAGGTGTGGTGTCGTAGAAACTGGCAGGTGAAACGAAATGCGTTGGTTAGGATGAGAACATCGCCCTCTGCGACACGTTTAACATGATACAACCCTAAACAAAAGTTGTACATACCTCATGGGCAGCCGGAGAATGTTGGTAATGAGATCGCGATGGATAAGTTCAGAAGCCCGGATACGCGCAACAGAGAATGCCAGGTAGATGTATATCATATGCACCACAACGTACAGGACAGCAAAGACGAACAGTCCTGCCAGGAAAATGCCGATGGACGCCGCAAGCTCCTCCTTGGTTCTGTCCACCCAGTACTTCAGCCAAAGATTGGTCGCAACCGTACAGACCTCGCCCAGGATGATCAGCACTGTCACTGTCAGCGCAGTCTTGAGGCCGCTAGCCTTGGCATAGGTCTTGACAAGTCTCATTTCTACCCCTCCTCTCTTCATGATCTCCTCTGCAATCAACTCGTCCTCCTCCTCTCCGTTGTACTCCTCATCGTCGGCCTTTGTGGCAGCGCCAGCAGCAGTATCATCTTCTTCCACGGTCGCCATGTCTGTATCCAAATCCGATCCCGTAGCAGAGTCAGTATCAACAGTTCCATCGTCTGTAGTGGTAGTGGAATGGGCAACTGCAGACTCCGAGGTCGAGCTATCGACGGGAGCATGGCTTCTCCTGCGCTTTCTTGAGTGCTTGGCAGAGAACTCCTCCATCAACTGGTAGAATGACTTCTTCGCCGCCACAAGCTCTTCATAACGACCCAGCTCAGCAATCTCGCCATCCTTCATAACCACAATCTGGTCCACAAGATCGAGGTGATGGATTCCATGCGTGACCAGGATGCGTGTCTTGCCCTTGAGCAAACCGTCGGGTCCGATTAGGTTGTCCCAAAGATGTCTATCCACATGCGCATCTACAGCACTCAGAGGATCATCCAGCAAGTAAATATCGGCATTGTCGTAGGTCGCCCTCGCCAGTGAAACTCGCTGCTTCTGACCTCCTGAAAGGTTGATTCCACGCTCGCCAATCTCTGTCATGTCTCCTGCAGGCAACAAGTCCAGATCGGGGTCCAGTCCACAGGCCGTCAGCACGCGGCGGTAGCGTTCCTGGTCAAAAAGGTTCCCAAAGATAATGTTGTCCCGGACAGTCGCATTGATGATGAAGGCCTGCTGAGGGACATAGGCGATTCGGCCTCGGACACAGATGGTGCCCTCTTGCTTGTACATCTCGCCAATGATGGCGTTGAGAAGCGACGACTTGCCCTGTCCGACACGGCCTACAACTGCAGTGAGTGATTTGTTCTTGACCGATAGGGTGATGTTGCGAAGGGTCTGCTTTGGTGGCGTAGTGTCATTATTGTCCTCGTTCGCCTCGGCAGTGCCTTCTTGGTTCGAGAGGAGTGACCGTTGGTCGTCAGATCCTTCGCCATGTGCATCCTCGTCATCCTCATCAGCAGCATCGTCGATCCAGTCTGGCTCCTTGCTTGACGTCCATGCCAAGGTGGCGTCGTTGATTTCCACCACAGGAGTATCAAAGTTCTCATCGTGTTTTTCGTGCTGAACTTGGTTGCCGTCAATTTCTTCCCTCATCAGGAACCGCTGAATACGTTTTGTCGCCACCACTAAGGCGATCGTCATTGCGGTTCTGCATCCGTCATATGAAACAGGTGTAAAGGTATGAGTATCAAGTCAAAGGCCCATCATGACAGCAATAGTCAATGCAAGAAACAATAGCCTTATAAACGTACCCTTCAGCAAGACGACTGACGGGATCGTGCAGCATGTCAAAGAGGGTCAGACTGACAAAGACAGTCTTAGGCGTCAGTACGCCATGGCCAAGGGTCACATACGTCGCAAAGGTAACAAAGGTGACGATGGTCGACGTCGACGCAAACACCAGGCTCATAACAGCCTCGAATGCACCCATCTTCTTCAGGACGTTGAGCTCCGCCCTTCTGGCCTCGAGAATCTTGCTCTTGAACGCAGCTTCCCATCCATAGAGCTTGACGATCTTTATACTGGACAGGATCTCAGTCGAAAGACGAACACGCTCATCCGTGGCCTTGAGTCGATCTTCCTCCAATCCCTCAAAGACCTTGGCCTGCCAAGACTGGAATGGAATAAACGCGACGATCGTAAAAACTCCTGCCAAGAAGCTCCAGCCCAAAAGTTGATACACTAGTAAATAAAGGAAGTGAAGAGTTAATAACGACAATCATAAATCTATGAAAGGGCTCGACATGACACAAAGGAGCAACTTACGCATATAAAAGCAGATCGAAAAATCAAAAGGGATCGAGATCCAGAGCCCGAGACAGTCGAAGCCTTCCTCCCACTGCACAGCATCAACCGACATGTGGTTTAGGATCGCCCCTGTCGAGGATTTGCGCCTGGCATCGGGTGACAGCACAAGGACCTTGCGGTAAATCATGGATGTTAAAGTCGCCTTTGCCTGTGCACACAGGATAAAGACTCGTCGATGGTAACTGGAAAACACGGCGGCGACGGCGCACCTTGTTAAGAAAATGGCAAGCGCCAAGAGAACTCCATATCCAAAAGGCTTCTCCTCCATGGCGAGTTTGACAGACGAGGAAAAGGCAGAAACGACCGATTCTGGATCAGAGGCGGAGGGTCCTTGAATATAGTCCAGAAAGAGGCCCAAGAGTGCAGGCGAGAGGTAGTCGAGGAAGGGGAGGACAATTTTGGCCGCAACGGCGGGGATAAGGCTCCTCCAATGGGCTTGAATGATGGCGAGCATGAGCGAGGGCTTCCTGATCTTTTTGACTGCTTCTGGGTTAGTCAACCCTCCTGCTGCACGAACCTTGTCGTAGTATCGCTTTGTCTTCCTGTTCCAAATCACCGAGAGCCTAGCGTATCCAATCTCGGTCTTGTTTTCCTCGGGCAGCTGATTGACAACATCAGAGGGCTGAAGCATTTTCTGCCTGGCGGCCAGTGAGACGATAGGCTGAAAGTAGTGCTGGCTCATTCGTGAAAAGAAGTTGGCCTTGTCCCATGCCTGTGCACCGCTCAACTGCTGTACTCGAGTCGATCCCCTTGGCCATGTCTCGACTACCAGACCGAGTGTCAAGAGCACAAGATAGGCGATGGTGAACCGCGTCTCCGCTGACTGCACTCCTTGCCCGGTTTCCAGGAGAGTATGCAGGAGGATTGTAGAGGCGACAATGGACAAGGTGAAAAAGATAACCAACGAGTCTGAAGACCGGATTGTGAACTTATGTTCGTTGTAGTTGAGTGCCACTGCACTGGCCTACCATACGTACAGAAAATAATTATGTTAGCCAAGAAGACATAGATGGATCGTGAATCGATTTATGGTTTCATATATCGCGCAATTATGAGCATTCATTACCCATACAACCGCTGTCAAAAATAATCCCAGGAGCTTCTCCGGAGAGCTGGTCCCGTTAACTGCGCCTCGTAACGTCTGAGCGGTCGATATCAACGATAGCATCGACATGATGACCTGAGATGGCCAATAGATCCACGCCGTCCGTCCAAACTGATGCGGTTTGCATGCAGTGCGCAGATATCGGATCCGCGCCGCAAAGACTAACAGTGCTGCAATCAATGATATAGAGTACATGCTGCGCCGCACAAGAGAAAAGGTTGCGGGTAAATAATAAGATCGATTAATCTGTGTGTGTGTATGCGTTGTCATTACCGACGATCTGTTTTGCACAACGCGGCCATACCTGTATTCGAAGCAGAGTGTAAAGACCGTCCGATCAGGGTCCAATGTCCCCTATGAAAAAGAAAACAAGCAAAAAAACACAAAGCAGAATGTGCATGTGATAAGAACGTGGTTCACAAAAGTTGAATTGTCCCTTGGAAACAAACAAAACATAAACACGTAAAACATCAGGCTGGACGTTACCCATCCGTCCAAGTCCTGTCCACAGAACCCGCTTAATCGGCCCATGGTATTTAAAAGTTAATAGGAACGTTTGTTTAGGATGGGAAGCGATAAGATGAAGGCGGTGAGGCTGCAGTAGTGTGAAAAGGTGAAGATGAAAAATGGGTGAAGAAGAGATGTTCTGGGGGGTGAAAAAGGCGGGATGATATCAGTTTATTTCAAGAGGCAATTTGCGGAATGGAGCAATGGAGCTCTCATATGGTGATACAGCCCAATGATTTCCAAAAGGTACGTATCGGTTCCAACTTGCGTAGGTGTATGAGAGTAACTAAAAAAAGGAATGAATGGAATATAAAGAATGTGGTGTCGTCGTGTGCAATTGTTCCTTCTGTGTAAGAATGCTAGTGTGCCGTCGTTTTGGTGGGGGTTGGGATGAGCGTTGGCGGAATGGAAAGGGTGATGGTGATGGAGCTTTTTTTTCTAAATGTGACTGTTGATTCGTTAGTTGGTGGCGCGCTTGGAAGCTTGGAGAGCCACAGAAAGGGTGCACTAGAAATAAAAAACACTGGATTGAATGCTGCTTGTTGTTGAAAAGTGGCGGAACGACGTGCGATTGAAAGGGAGAGAAATGACGAGAGGAAAGGAGCAAGGAACAGGGGTTGGGAGGGCATTTCGAAGGGAGGAGAAGGGGCAGGAATGGATTGCAGTGTTAGCCTCATGTAGATAGACAAAGGGAACAGATAGTGGTTGACAAAAACGAAGAAAAAAAGGGACGAATGAGAGTGCTACCTCGAAGGAGCTCATGGTCAAGACAACGATACGACACGATATGAGTGTCCAAAAGAAAATGGTCAAGAATACATAAATGCCAAACTTCATGCCAAAACAAAACGGCCTTCAACGCAGCAAATCAACGGGTGTCAAGAGCAGGCATGCGCAAACCCATTATAGCCCACCTGACTATTTGACTACCAGACCTAGACGGACTTTTTGTCAACGTGCTGTCTTTGGATGGACCACGATCATCTACATCCTTACTACTGCTCCTATCACATTCAAGACCACTATCCCCTTTGCCCATCCTTTTGCTCAAGGAACGCCTTTGTTTTTTGGCCATTGTGTGCTTCTTTCTTCTCGTCGTCCCTCAGTCTTTCTCACGCACTAGCTTCACTTGCGCGCATGTTTCCAGGTCATATCTCTTTTCTGTCTTGACATGGCCGACCCTCTCCTACTGCCATTGACTCAGCGCTGTTGTGTTTTTTCATGAATCAGCGAGTAGAACGAAAATAGGAGTGAAGAGGAGTGAGATTGCGGCAGTTCCGAAGCTGGGTTGGCAATAGGGGTGAAAATAACGAGGCAATGAAATAAAAAATGCGTGTGCGTAGTTGGCTGTGGGGCTGGTCAGTGCAGCAATGACCTATTGACGCATTAGCAATCCTTGGCACTTTTTGGATATAGAGAGCGACCAGGAAAAGAAAAGAAAGCCCAATGTGGGATGGAATATGATATCTAAACGAAATTCTTTGTTATTCTTAGTGGCCACCTAGTTGCACCCTCATGCTGGGCAATTAATAAGAAAGTGAAAGAGCGAGAAAAGAGGCTGCGCATGGCTTTTCATTTTTATTCTTGCTCTTGTTATTGTACTTAGGGGTCAATACCCACATGCAAACCCCGTCATCGACCTGGCCCTCCATTTGGCTCAGCAATAATGGTCACACATTACTCAGCCGGAAGGGAAGGGCCAAGAACAAAAGTTAGCGAAACTTTTTTAAGCTTATTTGACTTAGTCGTGCCTGGATGATAAAAGGCACCAAGTTCATCCGCCCTTTTCAACTTTCTCTTCTTCTTTTCCTTCTCCAACTTTTTACAAAACCCCTTTGACTTTCTTCCTTAACATCCTCACTCTCACTCACATCCACCTACCCCTTCTCCCCTCGTTTCTACAACTCTCGCTCTCCTTCTCTATCCTGATCCGCATTTCTTGTCCCCCTCTCAGACCATTTTCATTTGACTCTGGCGACCTCTTTCTTTCTATTGCTGATTCCCTTTCGTATCTCCACCTCTCTCATCACCCATCACCCCCCCCCCCTCCTTACTCATCTTTTCTCTAACAACAACAACAACAACTGCTTCAACGCCGTCCTTTCGCTCGCTGTGCCTCGTCCCTCTTCGTGCTCTCCTGAACCTACAAAGAAACGAGCTTGCTTGCCACCTCGTTTTCATCGTTTCTTACTTTCACTTCAAGGTCACACACAAACACATACTTTAATTTCATCATGGTCAAGCTGCGTGTTTCCGTCGGTGGAACCTACACCGATCTAGCCATCGTCAACTGCAACGACGAATTGCAGCCCATCGAGTTCGATGCCCCCAACTTCAAAGGCCGCGCCGTCGTCCGTATCAAGGACTTTGGTAAGCAGTCTTTGTCTTTCTTTATCTCCATCTTGCCAATTGAACAACATTCCTTGTCTTTTCCTTCTCCCTGTTCTTGTCCTGTTCACCCCCTTTGAACTCTTATTTCGACCGCTGGGTGGAACTGTGATAATATTTTGGGCAGATTGCCTATTATCAGGTTGTAGTTTTCCTACAGCCTGTTCACGGAGACAGAGACGATGACAACAACAGGGGTCAGGAACAATCATGGCAAAGAAACCAGGAAACAAAATAACAAGGAATCAGGAGTCAAAAGGGCAATAACCCACTCTACTTTGGTTCTCTTGACAAAGAAAGAGTGGAATCAATTGTTCTGAACTTGATAATCGCCGAGAAACGACATTGGAAGGGACCTTCGTCCTTCTTTTTCGTTATCATTCGTTTTTCTTTCACTCTTCCTTCCGTCTTCTTCGCAGCCCCTTCCTTTGTCCATCGGAACTGCGGACAATAAGCTGGCTCATTTTTTTGTTTAGTTGACGAGTGGGTTGGGGAATAGGGGTACTACCTTTGGGGTGTAATCGGGAGAGAGAAGAGGAAGTGAGGCCAAATAAGGCAAATGTTGGCGTGCTCGTCGACACTTTGTCCGACCCCAAAAGCATTCCTCAGTGCATTCTGTTGCTTGGCTCAAATCTTGCACATGAAAAAACCTCAACCATTTACTCGCTCAGTCAATGCCAAGGGAACCCATCCCAACCGAACAATTATTTCATCTCTCTTCCTTCGGGCTGAGGGGACAAGGCTGACAGCAAGGACAGGGATGACCATCCGGCTGGCAATATGATTTTCCATCGTTGGCTACAATAGCATTTCATGGACCCAATTGCTCTCAAAAAATATATTCATTTGTTTCTTGGATGCAAAGAAGAAGCGCTATCTCTAAGTTCTATTCTTATTCACACTCCACACCACACACTCCAATCCACACCCACATGCAGGTCAGGTCCACTAACGAATGCATTTTTTTTTTTTTTTACTTTCTTTTACTTTCTTTTACTTTCTTTTACTTTCTTTCTCCCGTACTCCTGGAACTGTATATCGCAAATTAACCTGCATTCCTCCACTCAACAGTCGGAATCACCAATGACGGCTCGGATCCCATCACCAACGCGGATTACTTCAAGTCGCGCAACCGCCGCTTTTCCTTCCAGGTAAATTAGCGAACCTCCTTTCCTTTTCTTCAGGACACCCCACTCGGATCTAGGATGGCCCCCCCCCCTCCAAGATCGTGCATATGCAAACAGCAAAATGACCCCCTTCAATCAAAGACAGGAAGAACTAACCTTTCGTGACCCTCTCACCCCCCTGCATAATTATAGATTGAAGGTCGCTTCAAGAAGGAGTGGGATGGTCAGCAAGTTTACTTTGGTACGGATTTTGACAGGTCAGTCGAGCTGCCTGATGGCTTCGAGATGATGTTGAAGGTCTGCCGCTATATCGATCCTGTTGTCCGAACCTCGCTCACCAAGGATGGAAAGCCCTGGATTCTCAGCCCCTTGGTCTCGTCCATCAACACCATGTCTGCCTGGCACCCTAACGACGTCAGGCCACCATCGCCTCCATTGACCCCTCGCCCCTCTGTCGACATCACCCGATCCTTCTCAATGACCGATAATGCCGTTACAGGAGCAGTCTCGAATGCATGGGGCTTCTTGGGCAAATTTAAGCGTGGAAACAGGGCTTCGGTGATCGGCTTTACCAACCCATCTAGACAGGAGAGCAGCAGCAGCTTGAGCAACTATACCTCCAACAAGAGCGCCTCGAGCGACCAATTGGATAAGACTCGCCAAACCGAAGGACCCTCTATCGCGTCGCCCAGCACCCCTCAGCCCGAATCTCTTTCGTCGTCGGCTACCTCAGCAGATTGGGTTGCAACGGAGACGAGCAACTTTAACGACGAGGGCATGCCTCTGGGACCCTGGCGCCAGTACGTGGACGAGGACACGACATTCTTCCTGCCTGGCAAGCCTAGTCTGACGACAGCTCAGCGTCGCAAGCATTTCCAGACGGAACAGAACCGCAAGGATTTCACGTTCAAGACGGATGTTGTTCACGGATTCGAGTTCTTTTCGCCCCACATGGACTTTAACACTTTTGATATCCGGCTGGGCCTGAGCATGAATGTGCGGAAGTTCCTTGGAGGCCAGCCTGTGCGATACACTTGCAGGACCTTGGAAGGCGAAACTGTCTTCTGGGCTGTTCAATTCGAGCTGGTCGATTAATCTTCTCATTCACAACCATGCACCCCCTCTTATCACCCCACTCTATTATCCAACTGCTTGCTTTCTTGTTTGTACTCTATCCTTCTTTCCATTGCTTTTTCTTGCTTGCGCACTTTTCTTGTTCTTCGTTTTGTTCACCCTAATATTGTCGCCTACTACATTGGCGTGCTCAACCAAAATAAAAACTTCAGTCCTTTGACAGTCTGAGACATGAACAAAAAAAATATTCGACGCCCATTGTTTGATTGGAGGAGACATCGTTCCCTACATCCAGCCACCTGCTTTGCCAGTTGCCAAGTTGGCGCTGTTGCATAAAATCGTGACACCTCGCACTCTACTCATTTCACTCTTTGCTTGTAAATACACTCTGTACTTATTCATACAAAATAATAACCATGGAGAATAACCTTGCAGTCCAGGCAAAGCAAGCCCTGGCCAACCTCTACCACTGGGTAGTCGACCACCAACCCCATCACCAAACCGGCAAACAACCAACAACCGTCTCCTCAGTTGTCTTCAAGGCCAGCGCTCTTGCCTCGTCCTACATCGAGTCGTACCTCAACCCCTCTCACACTCAACAACAGCACCCTGCTGAACGCAGTCTTTACTTGCATTACCAACCACCACACCAACATCACTCAACAGCCGCTGCCTCTTCTTCTTCCTCCTCTTCTTCGACTTGTGGACCAGTCGATCGTCATAATGCAGAAGGATCTTCGTCATTTTGTTACAGGAGCAACCACGACGGCTCCTCGCAGAACCCTATCATAGCTTTCTTCCAGTCTATTGCCCACCCAGACCGCTTTTGGCAATCTTGGGACCCCGTTACCAGTTTTGACAGCTTCTTGTGGAACTATACGCCTGACATCCATGCACTCCAGGAGCGAGTCCTGGGTCTCGATGGACTGGGCGGGCTGAGTGAGAAGTATAACATCGATCCACGGATCTTGGCGTTGGCGTTGGCTTTGCCGCTGGTGATGGTGCTGCTGGCGGCTTGTGCGGTCATGGGTGCGGGGAACAGTTCTGAGGATGGACCGTCGAGACCGAGGTATCCGGGTCAGAAGACCGATCCTACCTTGGTTGATGGCGGTAAGGGTGAGCAGAAACAGAAGCAGCAGCAAGGAGTGGGGCGAGGTGGAAGTAAGCAACAACAACAACAACAACAGCAGCAGCAGCAAGTAGCTAATGATTCTTCTCTTTCTGGTGGTTCCTCGAAGCGAGGTGAGAAGAAGCAGAGCGGTGGTGGTCCAAGCGATGGTAAGGTTTCTGAATGGGGAGCAGCGTCGTATTATTTTTTTATCTTTGGCAGGGTACTTGTGTAATCCTTTTGCTCACATACAAATCATGTGTGCTACTTATTTTTCCTGCATGATAGCCGGTACGAGTCAGTATCTCCTTGGAGCCAACAGTGGTGTTAGTTCGTGGAGCGCTCTTCTTGGATCGATGGGGTTCCGTGGAGGAGAAACCTTGGATTACAAGCCTCTTGACATCCTTGGTATGTTGGTTCACTCTTCAAGTACACCGCTTGCCATATGTTTGCCATCATCCCTTGTGCTCAAAAAATATAACCCATTCTTTCATAATTTATTACTTAGCTTCATTCAAAGACGCAACTAACACAAATACAGAGAACCCTGAGAAGGACGCTGTGGGATCTGTATTAGAGTCGATGAGCGCCTTGGGAAGCGAGATGATGAAGCGGATTCCTTACCAGCATATCCTTGACCAAGATATCGCCCAGCTTCTCGGTTCTGATTTTCTCGATTCGGACCGTATGTACTCTGACACGCGCTCACACTCACACGAGAAATGACATGCATCTAAATGCGCAACCGAACGAAGATTAATCTACCCTGATTCTCTCCTTGTCTCGCAATTAGATCCTGCAGACGAGGAAGGATCTTCCGGCGTCAGCTTGGACAAGAGTTCGAACATGCCTGTTCACTCCGGTGACCATACCAAAGCAAAGGCCGAGTCTGAGATCGCCACTCAAAAATCAAGCAAGGGCGCTACTGGATCTGGCAACCTCAAGGAGCCAGTTGCTTCTGACCGTAGTGTCGATTCTGTCGAGTCTACCAAGGCACTCAAGTCTGGCAAGAAACAACCTGCCACTCACAAGCAGAAGCTAGAAAGGCAAGAACAGGAACAGGATAAGCCAGAAAAACATATCCAGAAACAAGAACGGAATTCGGGACGTCAATCCGGACAAGGTCCAGCCGGTCCTGGCGCAGACGATTCCATCAAGTCACCCCAGCATGCGGCGAGTGTCTCTCCTCCCTTGAGGACGCGTATCCCTCGCCCCAGTGGCAGTTTCAAAGAGTCTGATCGTCCCAAGGTCCACCACCTTACTCGTGTTCCTACTGCTGCTGCAGCAAAGCTGAGTACCCACCAGACAACCGAAAACATCGGTCGGGATCTCGGATCAAAGATCTTTGGGTTTGTGCAGGACAGCCAGTTGCTGAGGAACTTGGATTCGATCTCGGGAGGGCTTTTGGGGTCCGCTGTTGCAACTGTCGCGGCGTTGGCTTTTACTGCTGAGGCGACGGCTGGGGTCATCAAGAACAACATGCCCGACTCTGTCACAGGTAAAGGGTACAAGACGTTGTGCATTGTATCTCTTGGGAACGTTCATTTAAATAATTTGCCACGGAAATGTTGAGCTGATATATTGATTTTCTTGCGTAACTTTTGTGAATGCAGATTTCACGGAGGAGGTCAGAGAGTCGTTTGACCACGCGATGAGGGTGCAAAACAGCAGCGACGCTGAAGGATCCAACAAGAAGGCGTGGGGGGCTCGGGATGCCATCTCCAAGATCATGGAAGATGACAAAGGCGACAACATCGCCTCTACCCAAACTCATACCAGGAGCCCTTCCGCGTCTTCTGATACTCTTGTCCACAAAGCCAGCACAGTACCACCACCACCAACACCTTCAAAAACAACAGCAGTAACAGCAACAGGCACAACCCGAGTCCCGCTCCCCTCTGGTGGTTCAAAACCCCATGCCTCAAAGCCCACCGCCGGATTCAAACCCCACCCAGCAGAGGACATTGCACGCCACACCCGGCCTGTCGCGGAAATCGATGAAGGATTTGTCTTGACTTCGGAGGTGGAGGAAAACGAGGCTAATTCTAGGTCTCCGAGTGGACCTGCTCCCAAGTCGAAGAAGGCTCTGTCGCAGAATGACAAGTCCTTGTCTGAGGAACTCGCTTCTGCAATGGAGACTGGTCAGAAGGTTTCTTATGCCGATGTGGCGGCAGCGGGGACTGGGGCGGCGCCTTCGGCGCATACTGAGCATGAGCATGAGGATTATTATCTGGAGGATGTGGAGGATAGTGGGGAAGAGGCTGATAATGACGAGGAGGAGGCAGGAGGACGTGTTGAGGAGGAGGAAGATGATGGCGAGGATACGGATACCTTTGTCGTCGCCAAGGACGCTACTGGGCATATTCCCAGTCGTGCCCGCTTGCAGGAACATCGACCACCGCCAGCCAAGGGCAACAGCCTCACAGAGTTGAAACTGCGACACTCCTACGACGAGATGGTCCGAAGCATCAGTAGCATCAGCGCCAGTAGTAGTACTACCGGTGGCAGTATTGCGGATGATGAGCAGCCACCGACACTCTCGACAACCGCCAGCTCGGTCCAGGTTCAAGAGATGACGGTTGATTCGCATGGGAATAAGGTCCCTGTCTCTGAAGCGCGTCGTGATTCTGGATATGACCTCCTGATTTGAACGTTGAATGAGGATTTGTTATCTTTCTGTTTACTTTATTGTTTATGAATAAAAAAAGTTGTGAAAAGTTGTGTAAAGGTAGTCGTTAAAAGAATAGGTATGAAAAGGATGGGGTCATGGTATTAGAGGGGCGCGGTAGAAATAACGGGGTAAATGGCGGTGGTATGTGTTATGTACAAAAAGCGGGTTGACTAAGGGTAACAAAAAAAAAAAAAGAGAAGGCCCCATGGTTCGCACAAAGAGTGCTCTAAGCATCGGTCATGTTTGCACGGAACTGCTTCTGTCGAATCAAGAACGCCAGGAGAACACAGATCCCTGTCCAGAACGCGCACGAGTACCACACAAACTCAGGCATCGTGCTCACCGTCAACGCATAGACCCACGAGATCACCACCGGCGAAACCACCGCCGCAACAGAATCCACTACCTGCAACGCACCCAACGCGGCACCGAACTGGGAAGGTTCGACAAGATTGGTGAGGAGCGCTTTGAGGGAGGGCGAGGAAATGATGCATACGGCATGGAGGGCCGTGGCGAGATAGAACATCGTGGTCTCGTTAGCGAGGCCGTAGCCGATATAGGTGATGGAGTTGATGGCGAAGCCGAGACGGATCATCCAGGTGTCGAATTTCATGTCGCTGAATTTCTGTTCCTTGGTCCTCAATGTGGAGGTGCCGGTGGTTGAGGGTTCGTCGTTGGTGGCCGCGGTGGTTGTTGCGGGCTGGTTGAATCGAGGAGTGCCACGGGCTTGTGTCTTGCTTGGTGTCAGTGTATCCAGCGAGTCGACCGACTCTTGACGACGACGGCGATCCAAGAACGATTCCCCTGCATACCCACCGTACTCATCGCTATCTTCGTCATCATCATCCGATCTGAAGTCAAGGGCAGTTTCTCCCAGGAACTGCAAACTGGCCGCAATGGTAGGGTCGTTAGGATTGAAAACGGTCTGGTTGCGATCAAGGGCATCTTGGTCCTGATAAGATGTCGAAGCTTGGCTGCCATATGACAACGATCGGGTATGAGGTGCTCGGTTCTGGTTTCTGTGAACTTCTTCTGCTGCAGCTTGGGCTGCTTGAGCTGCTGCTAGACGTCTCTGCTTCTTAGTAAATGACTTTTGATAGAAATGAACCAGAAGCGGCAAGAAGATCAACATAGTCACCAGGCGCGCCGTCGAGCTGAGCGAGAACATGATCCCGTCCTCATACTCGCTCCAGTTGAACATCTTGTTGGTGTACAGAATAATAACCGAGAGTGTCCCGCGGTAAGCCAACATCTGCAGAAAAGAAATCGCAGCCAATAGGACGAGATTGGTGTTCCGGCCGTTGGGTTTGAAGAAGCGGAAGGCTTGGAGGACATGCGAGTGCCATGGTGCGCGTCTTGCCGCGGGCTGCGCTCCTGCTGCGCTACTGTTAGAAGTCTTGGCGTCGTTGGGCGCAAAGAGTTGACGTAGGTGTTCAGGTTGCATGGAGGGTAAGGACTCGGGCATGACAAATACGGTGAGTAAGAGGCCCAGGGAGGTGACGACGATGTCGATTAATAAAACCGTCAAGATAGTTCCTGTGGCCTTGGAGATTGATCCTCCCATGTACGGACTAATACCCACAAGGACAGAGAAGAGAGTGTGAAAAAGAAGAGTAAACAGGTGCGTTATCGGTTAGGACGTGTGGGTGTTTTGTAATCATGACCACATCGTTCACGCTTCGAGAAACCCACGAATTACATAGATGTTCAACAGTTCACACGTACCCGATAGCAAGACCAAAGTAGAGGGCGGCATGGATCCACGAGAAGGCGAGACTCCTTTGCGAAGGGTCAGTGCAATCAGCAGCATAGGCAAGGGCCATGGTCGCACCCAAGGTTGTTCCACCCAACAGACCGTTGACCAGACCCGAGAGAATCATCAGGGGCAGGCCGATCTGGTCCCAGTAAACGCTCATGAGAACAAAGGAGCCAAGGACCAGCAGGGTATTGAAGAACCCAACTATCATGATGATCTTGCGGCCGTACTTGTCACTCAGGGACGCGTAATATCCGATCGTGAACATGCCTATTGTAAGCAAAGAGACAGTTGTTGTTGTTGGGGTGTAAGTTTTGTATTAATAAACGAAGGTTGTGCGAGAAAGTGCTCTGATGCTCAAAAAAAATAATAATTCTGTGTGACCAGTCGGTGCATCGTTGCCATTTTTGACCATGAACAGCACTCCACCATAACAAAACAACACACAACAAACACTTACTGGCAAGGCCGGTGATCACCTCAGTCATGGCCAGGATCTTGGCAGTAAAGGCTTGGATCTCGGCGAGTGAGCATTCTTCTGCTGGTTTGACAGCAGCAAGGAACGACGAAACGCCGTTCTCAAACGTAATGGGCGTCAACAGAGTGGTCGAGATGTTGGAGGTGTGGCGGTTCAAGTACTCCCGGCAAAGCAACGCAGCCTGGAACTGACCCTGGGACGAGGCCAACATTCCATTGGTGATCCATGTCATTCCAAAGATCGGGAGGAGCCACAGGACTGAAGGGCGCTTGTACCATGGCAGCTGCTCGGTGATGACCTTGACGTAAAGAGCTGTAGCATCGACTTGGGGTTTTTTCTTGTCGCTAGATGAACCCTTGTTGTTGCTGAGAAGCGGTGTGCTCTCGTTGTCGTTGGTCAAGTCGCTAATGGTTAATACTGAAGGGTGTTGGGGCAAGGTGGCCCGTTGACCACCATTACTGTCGCGTCCGTCGCCGTTCATGGTTGTCGGTATGTATGTCGAATTCCTGCCCTAGATCTTGTGCTAAGGAGGTAAAGGATGTTACTGCTTGTCAACGGTGAAAAAAATAAATGGAAAAAAGGTGGGTGAGAGGGGACGGGGAAGAGAGGGGAGACAAAAGATTTTTTTTCCAAGTGTGTTTCAAGAGACAGGGTATGAAGTCGTTGAGAAGGAGTGTTATGGAGTAAACGAAGAAAGACTTGAAAGTGAATGTGAATGAGGACTGAATGAGGACTGAATGAGAGACGAGGAGAAGAGAATGGTGGGAACAGTAAGAGAAGGTGAGTGGGTTGGGCTTTTATTAGAAAAAGGTTTTCTTTTCATACAATTGGTGGTAAAGTGCCGTTTTGAGCAGACATACATCTTTTTTTTTTTTTTTTTGGTGCAACAACGCGCGCCCATCACCATCGTTTGATCGGGGTCTGACTGAGACAGTCGCGCCTCGACTTGCTTTTCGTTCGCCTCCTATCTTTTTTCTTTTTTTTGTTTGCGAAACGCAGATCGTTCCTTAAAAGAGTAGCGTCCACGAAAGCTGGTGTTTGTGTGAAACGGGACAAAAGAGCATCTCAGGCGGAAACAAAGACAATGTAGACAGAAAAACAAAACAAAACAAAAAAAAAGGAAGAATCGATCGTGTGGCCCTGCAGGTTCAAGGAGGAAGTGCAAAAGGAGTACTTGATCTGCGAGCATGCAAGGAAGGGCGGAGAAGGAAGGAAGGAGACAAAAAGAAGGGACATGGAGATCCCATTCATGCTATGCCTCCTCCTCCTTGCTCAAAAAAGGAAACAGAAAGAGTTCTTGATCTTGTCCACTCTTCTTTTTTTCGTTTTGAGACGAACGCTCATGATTGAGACCAAGTCCCTGTTTGACTAAAAGACGGTGAGCTTGGGCTTAAGTGTGTCATGGTGTGACAAAAAACCGAAACATTTACTGCTTGCAATCGCGTACTACTAATTTATCACCCCACGGGGTTGAGTAACACCACCACAACGATGAGCGTGCGAAGAAAAGAGAAAAAGGGGATGGTTCCTTCACTCCTTCTCCTGTCATCGATGAATTTTCCGCCAGTTATTACTTTTGCAGGACTTGACACCAATCGGATCAGAGACTGGCTCCCGTTTCTTCTGTTATGTTGCTGTTGTTGTTGCTGTATGCATGAGGGAGTAGCGGTATAGATTCTTGTGGTTTGCAGTCGTGAGCATGGCTTCCTAAAATGGTGAACAAAAGGACATGTTTTCAATATTACCTTTGCTCACACTAGAGTTTTTCCTCCCTCTCCCTCTCCCTTCACTTTCACCTTCATTGATACACGCTTTAAGGTCATATCTCACCCCTAATCTCTTTAGTCCAGTCAAAAAGCGCACCCCTGCTTACCCTACCCCTTTATTCGCCGCGTTTTGATAACCCTTTTTTTACAATGCTTCATGCTTCATGCCTCATAATCGTCCATGTCCTTGAACTGCATGATGTACACGCCTTACGCCTTGTGCTTGTGCATGATGTCTGGACAACCATGGGCGCTGTTTGAAGTATCCGAGCCAACTGTTCGAGCGAGCGAGAAACCTTGTCCCGACACTCTTACCAAGAGTACATGTTCTACGTGCTTGAGGACCGTGGATCAATTTGTTCGGTTTATCATTGAAACTGATTGAGTTTTCGCTGTCACACGCGCCGCGTTCTATTAGCCGCAGTCTAGCAGTTTAAGGAAAAGAAAAAGAAAAGGCAAGACGGATAGGAGATGTTCATTTCCATTTCCCCTTCCTTCTCATTCATTCAACATGACCGGACTCTCCATCTTCGACATCCCCTTCATCATCGACGCGATCTGTGAGAACCTCTCAGCTGACGACATCTTTCGCTGCCGGAAAACCAGCAAACCCCTCCACAAGGCCTTTCTCCGTCCTCACTGGAGAGACATCACCGTCCGCAAGATACTGACGGCGGACGAATTAGACACTATTCGGAAGCATGCCCCCTGGATCCGAACTTTGACCATCGACTATCCCGAACACGGCGTTGGCGCAACCTACGACCTTAAGGGCACCATTCTGCCAGTTCTCCCTGAGTTGACACTTTTGACAAGGATCGATATTACATTGGACGAGATCTTCAACCCGGAGCTGCTCTTCGGGATCCTCAATGTATTGCCAGACTCGGTTCATATCCTGGAGGTAGACTATGAGGATTACTTTGATGGGGATTGGAAGCAAAGCCGTGTCGAGGAGCCCTGGAAACCCAACAAGTTGGAACACATCTGTTTCTGCGGTGCCGACGAGTCTGCTAACGAAGACCTCTACCTAATCCCCCTTATCAAAGCCTCTCCAGAATTACAGGCGCTCAGAATCCCCTCCGTCAGCAGCGATCATGTCGACTCCTTCATGGAAGCGTTAGGCGAGTCGTGCCCAAAACTGAGGTATCTTGTTCTGAACAAGCACAAGGCTGACCATTCTTGGGGTAGCGAGGCAACCTTGTTTGATCATATCCATCAGCCTCTCAAGATGCTCCGGATCGATCTCGCCCAGGACAGGTACGAGAGCAGTATAGTTATTTCAACCCTGTTGAAATACTCGGTAGACTCTCTTCAGGAACTTCGTCTTCACAACGTGGACGGTTTACCGGATGAGCTCCTGGACAAATTGGTGGAAAAGTGCCAGAACCTAAAGGTTATTTATCATAGGGACAATTACAGCTATCAGAGCGCCAATATGATGACGGGCAGAGGATGGAAATGACCCGCCTTTCGTCGATAGCTACTCTTTTTTTTTTTACTGCTGGCTCGGCCCTGATCTTTACGGAGATCTATCTCAAATATAATCTAAATCAATGAAAAGAATTGCCCATGAATGCACAAACACGACTTTTCTTCCTAATGAATTTAGAAATATTCCGAGTCGAGCTTCCATTCCATCCCTATCACATCCAATTGTTTGGGTGTCATATACACGTCCTTTTTTCACGCTGAAAGTATATACATGTAGTCAACGGACAAGCATGATATTAAGACAGGACATGCCTCGACTATTCTTATCGACTGCTCTCACAACAATAAAAAAAAAAGAGACGCTTCCGCTTTAGGGTCACCTTTGAACAACAAAGTAAGAAGAATGGAAGCAGAACCGATTCGAAGTTTTGGGAGGCCGTGTAAAGCAAAGATCAATGCCGAGAGTGTGAAGGTATGAGGTTGTTGTTGTTGCGTCACATAGAATTACCATGCACCATCTGATGTTGGGAGGTATTCGATTCTTGAGTCAACTTTCTTGCGTGTCCATCGCCGTCGAGAGGTAAAACAGGAAGGTTAGAAGAGGGAGTAGATGTTCGTGTTTTCCGCGGCGCTTTCAAGCTACGACTGCGGTGTTCACTGGACTTTCACGGCGCTTGTTTTTCTCCTAAAGAAGAAAAGGAGGGCGCGCTCTTGAACAGAAAAAAAAAGTGCATTATTTAGTGGATACTTGGGTCTTGGGTCTTGGGTGAAGGACCTTTAAAAGGAACATCAACGGGACGAAAAAAATAATGCCGAGATGTATTCACCCTGTCGTTGTAAGCCGTGTATTCACACGCCTTGTCTTGAGGAAAAAAAAAACAGACACACGAACGAATCAGAGAACGGAGCAGGTGGACAGGAATAAAAACAGAAAAGGGCGGCGGCGCGGCGCGTTCTTGTTTGGCATGAACTTTATTACCCTGCAGTGAACTTGCACCTTAACGATCCTTACCAGGGTTTCCCCTTTGCCAAGAAAACATGAAAGACGCGACTCTCAGCTCAACTGTATTCTTTCGGCATGTCTCTTGTTAAAGTCGACTTTATTTTGCGACTTGAGGATGCTTCTTTCTTGGTCTCATAACTCACAGATGTGTACCCTCGAGAGCCATCGACCATCTGAACTGGTATAAAAAGGGATCCTTTTCAACACCCTAAATCCCACTTCATCACTCACTCAAACCCTCCTCTTCCTCCCCCAACTCCACACACACCCTACACAAAAAGCACACATCCACATCCATAACTATGCGTTTCGCTATCATCTCCACCCTTGCAACCCTGGTCCTCGCTACCATCGCACAGGCCGCGCCTTCCGAAAACGCCCGCTGCAGTGGAGGCAGCCTGACGCTCGCCAACGGCGCCAATCTGGTCTGCAACAGCTGTGTCATTACCAACGTCTCTGGCCGCACCAAGACCACCACAGGCCCTGAACGTCTCCAGGCACTCAAAGAGTGTGCCCTCAAGCCTCTTTCTACTGGCGAGTGCTATTATGTTAATGGACATCTTTACTGCCCCTTCCCTTGCTCCAGGTGCTAGATATCCTTTATCAAAAGGACTGCACGTATCGTTGGAGAAGTGATGAATAAAATATTTTACCAAAGTTTACTTTCCAGTGTCGGAATGTGACATTATGTTGTTTATGAGGGATGGTTCTATTTTGTTACTCTATCAGGTCTATCTACATAAAAAAAAATACTCTCGTCCCCCCTCATCTTTCGCCTATTCAGTCCTTGAAGAGAAAAACGTGCGATAGATCACCGCTTTCCGTAGAGGACTTCAGCGCGCTTGACGAAAGCCGCCAACATCTCCTTGGAGACCTGGTCAAAGAACAGCGAGGACATGGACGCGTGGACAGGTGACGCAAACTCAAACTCGATCTCGAAATCGACCCAGACCAAGGGGTAGTCGCTCGGCTTCATGGTCGCCAGGTTTGAGGGTGAGGCCGTCCTTTGGAGAATGACTTGCTTTGGAGATGGTGTATGTGCTGGTGCTTGACCAGAAGTTGCCGACGACTCCTTGGTTGATGTTGACTGCGCTCCGATGGGTATACTTGTCGATGGCACTGTAGAGGGACTTGGCGAAGATGGCGATGGTGACAACTTCGAGGGTGAAGTTGATGGTATCGTCCTTGGACGTGGCAAGGCTGCCTCGCCAAAGACCGCAGCGGCAGTAAAGTGGTGTCTTGGTTGCTCCTGTACCTTTGGCGTCGCAATTGTCGCTGCTGGTGCTGTTGTTGTTGTTGTTGTCGTTGTTGTAGGAGGTGATGGCTGCTGCGACGCCCTTTCCGTCTCTGTCTCCTGCCCCTCTGCCGATACAGCAGCTACAGACTCCTTCTCGCTATCATCATCAGCGGCCGGCCGGGTTAACAACTGCGATTCCTGAACTTCCTGATCCATCGTAGCCTCGAGCGTCGAGGTCTTGGGAACATTGGGCGTAAACCTCCAGGTGGTCGACAACTCCTTGAACAGTTTCGAGTCATACGAGACCGCACGCACCACCCAAGGCTCCTGACAGGTCACCGTCGAGACATATCGTTCCTGAAGTGAGTTGAATCCGATTCCCAGCTCTCCATGTCGGACTGTCACCTCACTTCCTCCCTTGACCACCCCTACCAGAGCATCCGAAGCCTTCTTCCTTCTCTCCTCCGATCCGGTGCTCTCCGATCCAGATCCAGATCCGAGAGACAAGGGCGCAGACATTTTGGAGTATGTGCACCAGGGCAAAAACTTGTAGTAGTCATCGACATTAGCGACGAGGTCGTAAAACTCTTGTTGCGAGTACTTGAGTAGCGTACGGTCCTTGTAGTGTCGGGAACTGGAGAGTGGTTTGAGCAGGTTCGGGAGTTGTGGGAGTTTTGGGAGTGTGATAAAATGACGTCGACTGGTGCCTGTCGTAACAGTAGTAAGAGTAGAAGTGGTGCCGGAAGACCACTGTGGCGCAGGTTGTGCTCTTGTTGAAGAATAAAAACGAATGCAGTGTGCATTCCAATGACGGCACGGAGTTGATGTCCTGATGAGGGTCCTCATGGCGCGTCCCGGAATCCTGCTCTTTGTTGTTGACGGTTGAGATTCCAAGAAAGATCAACCGTTGCAACGTTTTTAATATTCAGTTCAGGTGCGTTTCGGAAGCAGTCAAGTGCGGAGCAAATCGATTAATTTATGAAGTGTTTTTCATTTATTGGAATACTTTGGGACAAAATGATGTGAGGATGTTTACTGCGTCTTCTTGGCAGCCTCGCGGTCTCTCCATCCACCGCCAGTGGCGTTGCCGAACAAGGGACGACGGGTAGGGGCGGGCTCCTCAGCCTGAGGGGCAGGGGCGGGCTCGCGACGAGGGGGAGGAGTGTCACGACGAGGAGGCTCGGTGGCGCGGGAACCAGGAGGGCGGTAAGCGCCAGCGGGGGGAGCGGGGGCAGGGGCAGGGGCAGCCTCGCCGGCAGCGGCAGCAGCCTCCTTGGCAGCAACACGCTCTCTCCAGCTGGGCTTCTCTCCTCCAGAAGACGAGGGGACGAATCTGGGGGGTGTGACGGGGGCAGCAGAGCCGGTTCTGGATCCAGAAAGACGGGCCTCGATGGCGGCCTCCTTCTCACGCTGCTTGGCAGCCATGGCATCCAACTTGAGTCTCTCTTCCTCGTACTCTTCGCGCTCCTTGGCAGCCTGGGCAGCACGCTCAGTGCGTCTCTTCTCCTCCTCCTCGGCACGACGGGCAGCCTCAGCCTCACGCTCGGCATGCTCCTTCTCCTCGCGGATCTTGCGGGCCTCGTTCTCGGCCTTGCGCTCTCTGTACAATTGAATGCGTCTGGCCTTTTCCTCCTCGATCCTGATACGGGCTGCCTCGCGTCTCTGGGCAAACTCCTCCTCGCGTCTTTCCTCCATCTCATGGCGGGTCTGGCGGTAGTCGTCGACGATCTTGATCATGCGCTTCTTCAACATCAACTCGTGAGCATGCTTGGCAGCAGCAGCCTCGAAGTGGGCCTTGACAGCAGCCTCGTGGTAGACACGGTCGGCTCTCTGCTGACGTTCGTAATCCTTGGCCAAAAGAGGGCGCTCCTCCAAGCGCATAGCACGCTCGACGTGATCCAGACGCTTGCCAATGGCCTTGGTACGGGTGGCCATCTCGCTCTTCTCCTTCTCGAGCTGCTTGATCTGAATAGCAACCAACTTGTCCTTGTCGAGGTTGTCGAGATCCTCGTCGTTGAGCTCGACACCGACCTTGTTCTTGAGGGACTCGGCCAACTTGAGCGACTCGGTCTTGCGAATGGCGTCCTGCTCAGCACGGATGCGGTCCTCCTCGCGCTTGCGGCGCTCCTCTGCAAGACGGACCTTGAGGGCCTCCTGCTCGGCCTGGATGCGGAGGGCCTTCTCGCGGGCCTCCTCCTTCTCCTTGCGAGCCAACATGGTCTCGATCAACTCCTTCTTGCGCTCGATGATAGCCTTGCGCTCGAGGGCCAACTTGTGATCCTCCTTCATGCCGACCAAGGCCTTCATGAAGGCAGCCTTCTTGGCCTCCTTCTTGGCCTCGACAATCTCGGGCGAGATCATGGAGACGGTGGTGTTGAGGCAGGTGGCCAAGCGGGTCAACTGGGTTCTCATGAGGTCAGCGGGCAACGACTGCAAGACGGGGCCGTCGGTGACGGTCTTGTTGTCAACAGCGAACAAGTCAGTCTCGAAGGTCAAGGACTGGGTGGCGTGATCAATGCGGATCGACAACTCTCCCTTCTTGCATCCCTGCATGATGAACTTCTCAATGGTGGCAGAGTCATAGTTGAAAGGGGCAGCGAAGGAGGCCAACTGGATGACAAAGTCGAGCTTGACGGTGGTGTAGACCTGGGACAACTGCTGGAAGAGGCGGGTCAAGATGACCTGGTGGAGGGGCTTGACGTACTTGACCAGCTCGGGATCCTCGGTGAGCTTGGTCATAATGGGCTCGATCTTCTTGCAGATGGAGAGAGGGTGGAACTGGACCTCCAAGATGTTATACAACTCGCGGAGCTCAGGGCGAACGTGCTTGAGGATGTTCTTGCTGAGGGCCTCCTTCAAGAGACTAGCACGGTTGGGGGAGCGGTTAAGACCCAAGAGGGCGGCGAGGCGGTGAGACTTGTTCTTGGACTCATCAACCTCGTAACCGGTGTCCTTGGTAGAGACGACGGGGATGGCGAGGGCAGAGAGGAGGGCCAAGGAGGCCATGCGGGTCTGCTCCTCGTCGGTGACGGACTTGTTCTGGGTCTTGACGAGGGTGTAGTACTTGTTCCAGGCAGCGGCGTGGAAGAGGTAGTTGTCGGAGACCATGAAGATCTTTGTCAACTTTTCGTAGTAGTTGGCCATCATGAAGGGCTTGGGCATCTTCTTGGACATGGTCATCAAGTTGTGAATATCCTCGACGGAACGGAAGGCCTCCTGCCACAACTCGAGTTCAGCGGCACCGTTCAACTGCTGGAAACGGGTATCCAAGTGGCGCTGGAGGGACTCGGGCTCGTTCAAGTTGATGGAGTGGGGCTGGTGGGCGTACTTGGCAATGTTCTGCAAGTGGTTGCGGAGGAGATCGCAGAGACGGCGGAACTCGGTCTTGCGGGTGTACTTCAAGCAGAAATGGAAGGCCTGGTGGGCGGTGGTCTGGTAGAGGGCCTCGAGGCGGGCGTTGTTCCTGAGAATGTCGAGGACGGTTCTGTAGGCCTCCCACAGGAACTTGAGCCAGGGGGTGACGACGGCACGGTCAGTGCGGTCCTTGTTCTGCTCGCCAGAGACGGTGGAGAGGAGGATGGACTCGGGAGTCTCGGTGGCCTCCAAGTCGTCCAAGCCGTCCAAGGTGATCTGATCGGCCTTGGCCTGAGCCTCCTGGACCTTTTCCTCAGACAACTGGATGAACTTTCTGATAACCAACTATTAGGAAGGAAGTTGTATACACACGGGATTAGTATCAAAGTTCGTGTCTTCTGGTACCTGACGTCAACAAACAAACAGGGCACGTTGAGCAAAGAAAAAAGAAAAAAGAAAAAAAAAGGTACCTCGATAGTGGCGATGCTGGTGTTCTGGGAAATGTTCTTGTACTGATGGAGACCCTCCTTGGCGATCTTGCCCTTGCGAAGGGAGACGCACAGCTCGACAAACTTGAGCATGATGGGCTCCAACGAAGCGAGGGGAACACTGCGAGATCTCTTGGAGATGATGACATCGTGAAGAGCCTCGAGGGCAGCGGCGTGCTGACCGACGGCGATGAGCTCTAAATAACAAGGAATGGGAGAAGGACGGTGATGATGGCTGTCAGATGCTGTCTTTTGTTTCCTTGAGGGCGTGTTGAGAGGCGGGTGGTAGGAGTTAGGTGTGAGTTAAGGTCGAGATGGGTGGGTGTGTGTTGGAGTGCGGTAAGGGCGTGATTGAAGGTGTGATGAGATGTTGGAACTTGGTCTGTGCCGGTGTGAGATAGAGAGAAAGGTTGCTTTTTTTGGTTCCTGAGGTATCTCGGGCTGGAGGGGAAGGAGGGGTGTCAAAGAAAGATGTCGATGATGGTCAAGGGATAGTGAAAATGATGGTGCCGGCGATAGAGGGGTGCCGGGGAGGGGTCGGGGGATGCATTGATGGATAGATACAACCATCGATGAGGTTGTATCCATCATCGGTCATCATAGGGCACTGTAGTCGATATGATATTAGGGTGTCTGTCTGGGGTGTCTGTGTCGCTGTCGTAATAGGCTGTCTGGGAATTCTCTCTCACTGGTCGGACTGTGTGAGTTGTGTATGTTGTGTGTTGTGTGTTGTGTGTGTGTGTGTGTGTTTGTGCGTCGAAAAAATAAAAAGATCTGAGAGCGCGAAAAGAGTGTGCTGATCGTTCTGCTTTTTTCGCGATCATCCTCCCGCGAGTGTATTTAAGTGAGGAGTGAAGGATGAGGCAGAAAGGGGATTACCATCGGCTCTGCGAAGCACAGATTCAGGCTTTGCGAAGGGTGCCATTAGGGGTGGAGGGGGGAGGCGGAGATTAGGGTAAGGAAGAAGAAAAGCAACCCTTCTGCCAAAATCATATTGAAATATCAGAAATTTTTAGCAAGCCACTGCGGCGCACAAAAGAACTGATCAAAAAAACATGCCCTGTATTCTATCCACACTACCTATGCAAAAGTTGCAAACTATCTATCGACTACCAGTCGTCGCCATCGTCCTGGAGACTGGTGACAGCACCGACGGCAAACATGGCAAGGTTGCTAGTCATATGCATACCAAGGCCAGTGTACAGGCCTCGAACTCCCCAGGAGCTGTACCAGGGTCTATCGACAAATGTAACCTCACCATCATCCGACTTCTTGCTCGAAAGACGCTTGTGCTGGCCACCCTCCTCCTGAATGATCTTGTACACACAGTCGATCACTCCAGAATACGGCCTCTTACGCGTCTCAATCACCGTCTCATACCGCTTGCCAGGGATCTTGGCCTGGATCTGAATTTGAAGACGCTTCCTGACCGTCTCCAAAGGCAGACGGATCAAGAGGTCCAGCGTCTCCAAGACCAATTCTGCAACCGAGAAGAGCAGGGGCGAATCTGAGGCTGAAATGTTGAAGACGCGGTCAATCACCAAGGGGATAGAGTTGGCGATGAGGGGCGTGAGGGTGTGGTAGAGAACTGTCGGGACAAGGTTGACACCTCCCCAAAGCGCCGACACCCCCTCCTCCGAGATGATGGTCGAAATACAGTTAACCATTCCTGTGTATTTTTTCTGAGTAGGATCTGCAGTCTGCACCACAAGTCTACACCATGAACGTATTCAACAAGCTCGTTAGTCCCCTGAAAGATAACAGGACAAATGTCACAGTCGCATTGGTACGCTACAGAGTCCAGATCTACGTACCGTGTGCGAACCAGTTCCAAGGGCGAGAGAATAAGTCCGACGACCAAATGCGAGGTGACCATGGTCGCCATGTTGGGTCCAAAGCGATCCAGGTGCACCAGTGGAATTGTGTCGTCATACAGGTCGAATGTATCGTTCAATGTCGCCTCCAATGTTGGCTGGGCGAACAAGTGAAGAATCTCGTACACCCAGTTTGTGTATTGTCCTAAGTCATCAAAATAACATATGCAAAAGGTGTTATGTGTTGTCGTAAATATAGGCGCGTCGCTGCAATAAAAACTGATCCAAACTAGACAATGCTTACCCTTCCAGAGAGAGAACCATCCCTCCGTGGGGTGCTTGACAAGATCTGTAACAGTCTTCCAGACACCTCCTTCAATAGGCGCCAGCTGGAAGGCGGGTCTAGAATCATCATCGTACAAATCCGCGCGAATGAGATATCCCGACTGATCAATATCCTTGCGCTCGTGAAAGACGGCATCGCTAGGGTTGAGACGATTGGCGTTGGATCGAGAAGAAGGAAAGTCCTCGGCAGAGGTACCACGCCGAGAATAGCTGGAGTAATAGCCTCCCGAGCCTGATCCGCTGTTGAAGTACTCTTCTTCCTCTGCCTCTTCCTGTGCTCGCCTGAACTCTTCGTCGCGTCTCTCCTATTATAATTGAAAACAAATAGACGACTGCGTGTGAGAGACCTGGAGACTTGTAAATCGTTGTTGGAAGGAGAGTAGATAGGGGTAGAGTTGACCTGATCAAAAACTAACCTCGGCAGCACTCGAATCATCGTTACCAGATGAGCGTGCTCCATCGTCGTTGGGCAGGTACTGGACTTGAAGGATAGTCTGTGCATTCTCAAAGGGAGTGGCGATGGCCAGGGTCAAGTACTTGATCATCCCATAGCTAAGCAACTCACGGGCTGCTTCCTGAGAGTTGAGTTCGGAATGGTGGGAGAGCTCTTCTTCGAGCTGGGAGGTATGCTGGTAGTACTGCTGGAGAGGCGAGTCTAAAGGGGAGCCATAGTAGGGCCTCAGAGGGGTGGAACTGTTGACGTTGGGTGCTCCTGTGGGAGGAAAGTTGAATCCGGATGCCATGGTGCGTGTTTGATCAAGAATGAGAAGGAAGGAAGGAAAGGGAAGGAAAGGGAAGAAAAGGTTGTCATTTCTTGAGAGCACGCAAAAATTGACTTTTTCAGCCTCGCGTTCCGGTATTAATTGTATGCATCGAGCACTTGAATTTATTAAAGACCTAGAATCCGTACTTGGACTGAGTCTCTGCCTTGGTTTGACGGCTGGATGCCCAAGACGCGCTCAGTTGGTGCTGGTTCGCCTTGGCCTGGTATGCCAGCGACATGATGTTGTGCTTGCGCTTTTGTCCCGCCGTTGGTTTCAAATGCTATGGTTGTCATACATAAAAGATAAGGTAAGTGTTGTGCAAATGAGAGTAACAAGCATGAATCGTGATCAAGTTTAACAAGGCTGTGTTACCTCAATGGAGGCCAGATCGACGGGCTTGGGCTGTGTTTGGCTGGATGTGCCCATGGCCGCTCGCACTTGCTGTGATTGACCCATCTGATCCTTCGCATAGACGTCAATGACATTGATAGGCGCATCCCTTGCCTTTCTCATTCCCAGTTTTTGCAGCTATCACGTTGTTCAAAAGAGAAAATGACAATCAGTCGGTTGTTCCTTTCTGATGATGACAAGGTAACAAAATAACAATGAAAATAACAGCACAATGTGAGAAAAATTACCCCGACGTCGTCGAGCTCGATCATGTTGGAACCTCGGCCTCCTGTGCTTGAGCCGCTGGTTGATGATTCGGCATACTGTGCTCCAGTATAGGTTTCGTTTGTTGAGTAGGCATACTGGTCGTTTGTTGGATAGGCATATTGGTCGTTTGTAGGATATGCATACTGATCATTCGTTGGGTAGGCGTACTGATCGTTGCTGGGGTAGGCATATTGCTCGTTAGAAGCGGAAACATCGACATACGTTGCGGTCTGGGCCTGTTGCTCCTCGGTCGTCAATGGCTTTTTATCGAAAAAGAGTGGGATATAAGAGTTGGACGCTGCTGGTTTTGACGACGATCCTGATCCCGAGGCTGAGGCTGAGCTTCCAGTTGCAGCAGATCCGAGCGGGAAGAAAGAAACGGGTCCTTCGTCGTCGTCATCGTCGTCATCGTCCTCCCTATTATCCTGTTCGTCCTTTTCATCCACAACAGTCGGTGTTGGTTTCTTGACGACTGCAGGCGTAGATTTCTTGACTGTCCTAGGCATGAATCCTGTCGTCTTTGCCGCCGCAGCTTGTTTCGATCCTGCAGTTCCTGGAGGTGCGTTCTTGGGCGCAGGGAGCATTGCAAACAAGGCACCGACGCCTGCGGCTCCACCACTGTTGGCTGCTGCTGCAAGCCTCGCCTTTTTCCGAAACTCTGATTCCTCCTCCTCAGAGTCTGAGCCATCTTCCATCGTCGGCATCGAGCTGTACTTGCTGACCTTTGCCTGTCCTACTGCACTTCCTCCTGCTGACTTTGGTGGTGGCAGCAGGTTTGACAATGAACTGATCTTGCCTCCTGATTGCGTTGTTGTTGTCGATGTCAGTGTTGTCTGCTTTGTCGTGTGAGATGTAGTAATGTGGCCAGACTCTGAGCCAGAGTCGTCAGAGTCCGATCCGTATGCTGCCAGTGCGTCCATGAGTGTTTGTATTGGTGTGTGATGTCAAGTTTGAAGAAACAAAAAGGTGGAGGGTGCTCATGGCAGTTGAACAGAAGCACAAGCGTTCGATTTACAAAGGTTGTAGTTCATTTTATGAAGTATTTTTTTTCGTAGAAAAGATAGAAAAGGCGATCAATATGCCAAACTCCTCCAAGTAACTGCCTTTTTGCAGTCGCTACGGCAAAGATAACAAAAGCAGCTCCACCAATGAGCTAAGTGGACCATTTGGCTGTTTTTGCTGATGTAAATGCCCTTTCCCGGAATATTTTTTGAATTGTTGGCTGTCATTTCTTTTGCGAAAAGCAGCACTCGACTTTTCGACAATCCTTTTCTTCGTTGCCTGCCGCTCTTTTGTCTTTCCTACTCGCAAGTCATTAATCCATTCATTGTCCTTTGATACATGGGCTGCTGTCTATCAATTAATGGTAAGGACCCACCGACAATGGAAAGTTATGTGGACGCAAACGGGGGAGGAACGGAGACGAGAATTATTTTTTTCCTACACAATTTTATTTCTCTAACAAACAGCATAAAGTCGTTTGGAAGTAAAAGGGGACTACAGACCAAACTCTTCAGTGCACCATCCACCAGTCGCAGCCCGGTCCGGAACCTGGCTCTGCGCAACAATTGTCGCTGCTCTTCACAGCTTAAACGGAAGAAAATAAAACTAGATACGAATGAAGGGGATTCTTCCCATCCTCTCCATCATTGACAACCTCCTCCTTCCTAACAAACTCTCCAACAACCGCTCGTCAGCAGCGCGTGTGTCCTTGGTCGCCCCAGGGCATCTTCCTTCACAATGTGTGGCTAGCGAAGCGCCACACGGACAGAAACCATCGTGCGTGATGTAACCGTATCCTTGACTCCAGTCACCTCGGGGGCCTGTGTACTTGGATGTCTTGTCCTTGGCAGAGATGCCCTGGCTTTGTTCCCACGCGATCGTCGCGGAGCACCGAGGTTTCCAGATCAGCTCCGAGGCCTGCGCCTCCAGGTAGCCAACAAACTTGTGAAGGACTGTCTTGGCGATGGACATTGGGGTCCGGAAGACCGCGGACCATTCAGTCAACATGCTCAAGGGGGTGATGCCGCGGAGGAGATCCGACACATTCCACATCGGTTTCTCGTCTCGATCGGGAGCTGGACTACCGCTGTGCACACAAACTGGACTTTTTTTTTTTTTTTTTTGTCCACGATTTTATTTCTCTAAAGAACAATTCATGTAGGTAATCCAAAAATAAAAGGGCTATTTGTGAGGACCCCTTCCCAGTACACCATCCCCTAGTCACAGTCCGGTTCTAATAACGCTGGCTCTGCGCAACAATCGTTGTCGCTCTTCACGACAAAAACGGAAGAAAATACAAAAGCGATCTATCCAGTTATTACTCTCAACTAAAACACCTTCATCTGAACAACCAGGAGATAGCAAAAGTACTTTCTTCCCAGTGTCGTTTTTCAAGTGTTCGACGTCACCTCCATCCATGCACATGTGTGCAACGCATCAACCCAAAAAAATAAAAATGGTTGTCACGCGCCTCCTGGACAGGGGAGGCTAGCGCGAAAAGAGGGGGGGTGTCAATGGTGCTTGCGCACCTGTGTGGGAAAAAATAAATTTCTTCCCACACACCTCCATGACTTGGAGGCGGGACTTTGACACAATGCCACCATCATTTGGCGACGCAGGTCCTTGTGTCAGAGACAGTATCTAAGACCCATAGGCAGACTCGAAAGAGCTGCAGGAATATCCATGCCCCAAGGCAGTCCCCACTTGGACCTCATGGATAAGGCCTATCCATGCACTCCCGTGCTTGTAAGGGTAGTCAGCCCTCACACCGACCTGGACAGGGGGCCGGTTCTTGTATCCGTCAACTCCGTAGCGTGTCTCCTTGTGGATGGGACCAAGGACCTCTCGCAAAGAGGTGGAAAGACAGACGACCAACTCCATTCGACTAACATTCCGTGCGGCAAAGGGGGACGAACTCTCTCCCATTCGCTCCATGGACCGACACGATGACCTCGTAGCACCAGCCTTGAAACTTCCAAGCTCTCCGTGCATATTGCCGACCCGGGGGGGTAGACTCCTTGGCAATACTGGCGCCAACAGTGGTCCTGCTCAAGGTTCTTGTCGGTGATGATGGTTGGATGGGTGGATAGCCCCGACGTGGGGATGGAGGTAAACGTGACTGTTTTTGGAGACGAAAATGGAATTGGAAAGGAAAGAGACACACAAACTGGACATTGGGGTCCGGAATTTTTCCCGCTTCCTGTTTTTTTTTTTTTTTTTTTTTTTTTGTTTTTCAGGCAGGGAGTGACAAAACGTCAGATATGAGCCTACTATACAAAAATATCCTGAGAAAAGGCGATTCCATCAGCAAAATAAGCCTAATAGCCCGCTTAGCTCATTGGTAGAGCGTCTGCCTAGTAAGCAGAAGGTAGCAGGTTCGATCCCTGCAGTGGGCAGTTTCTTTTGTTCATTTCCTGTCAAGCTTCGTCTTGACATCTCTCTTTTTTTTTGTTTCTGTCTTTTACTTTTTGGATCAATCTATTTGACAACCCGGGTTGTTCGTTTTATTCAACAACCGAACACGTTTGCGTGCTAAGTCCATGTAAGCACTTTTTCATCTTTTTTTGATGATACCATGGAAGATGACACCAAACACTTGCAGTAGCGCTTGTTTTCGCCACTTCTTTATGGAGCACGACTCCCACGTTGTTCAAAGCGGTTGTTAAGATGCTTTTTATACGGAAATACCGTTTTTTTACGTGTGTGGTGGTGATGAAGACATATTTTTGGCTGGTGATGGCATTCGATGGTTGAAAGGGCTTTATTAATGATGTGGATGATAAAAAACGAAGACGCTGCAACAAAAAACATCGATGTATTGACTTTAAAGAAAAATAGGTTGTCCATGGACTTAGCATGCAAAACACGTTGGGTTGTTGAATAAAACGAACAACCCGGGTTGTCAAATAGATTAATCCTTACTTTATACCATCGGCGGTTCAATTCATCGTCGCGTTAGAAGTTGATAGTCTTTCGTTTCCCGGAGGATCGCTATCATTGACCTGTCAATCGTATCATATCTTTCTCTCTGCACCAAGAGATAGTGAACACATATGTATGATTGTTGCTTCACCTAGTCGCCAAAAACGCGACGCCTGACAGTGGGGGAGGGGGGGGGGTTTGCGGCCGTTGATCCATTCAATATTGTTCGGGGGTTTTTTTGTACATCGATGGATAGTGATTGGGTTATAGTAGTTAAACGCGAAAACAAACCTCACGACCTTGCTTTTTGCTATCTGTCGTTTGTTCAATGGTAAAGACATTTTTCCCAACGCGTCAAAAGACACACACAGGTCATCAGATAAGGCAGTTTGGTAAATTATTTTTCCATTTGGACGACAAGTTGGTGCTCGATGAATTTGACTGTATTTCCATGCCTCCATGCCTTCAGCTTACGAGATAAAGAAAGAAGCGAATTAATGCCTTTACGCGCAAGGAGAACGTGCCGCTGATCCATAGAACCAATGGACCACGCATTGAACAGCCGGAAAAAAATCAATCCTTATGGTGCTCCAATCTCCTGAAAGCGTTATTACGTTATCCAAAACAACTTCCTTGAACAGATATTCAAGTCTGTTTTCAGCACCCCCGTTCTCAATGGCAAGGTTTGGTATAGCACTCCAATGGTGCCCTTGTATGAGAGGAGAGAGAGAAGCGATCGGTATTTTATTCATGTAAACCTAGCTCATGAGGTCCGCTTGTTTTTTTTTGTCTTTGCTCTGACACAGAAAGGGGGAGAGTTACCTCCCGACTCGCAAAAGCGCGAGTGGACCCACCCGCCTTACCGCCTAGCCCTATCCAGCCCCCATCTAGTCCTATTGCTTCACGACCATCGAATTAAAACCTCTTATTTTTCTGCCTGAGATGAACTGTACCTGAATCACAATACAGGAGAAAGAAATGAAAATTCGTTAGTTTGAGTGTGGGTGTATGCATTGTATCTACGCTTTGGCCAAGCGTTTGTACTCCATCCCCATCCGCGGTCTAATTTTATTTCTGAAAGGGTGCACAGAGGTTGATCAGAGGAAAAACACTCACAAGACAATTGAGAGTGCGAGAGAGCGAGGGGTTGCAACAGTCTCTCCTCCTAGACCAAAAAAAAGCAGACTATCACCCTATATTATTATTTTTTCGACAAAGATGATTCAGGGACCATGGAACAACATGAAACTGTGGGGGCGAAAAAAAAGGTACAAAGCGCCAAAAAAAAAAAAAAAAAAAATGTGTCAAAAGTGCGATCAGTGGTTATTGTGAACCCATCGAGGGGTAAGTAAAAATGCAAGCCTGTCTCAAGGTATTCGCCAATCATCCTATTCTTGTTCTTTGAATGCGTGGGAGCAGGCGATGACGAACGAGTTCAACAAGTTCAGCTTCAAACAAGATTTGGATCCTGTGTCTTGGGTCATGTCCATTCGAAGGGTTCATCGACAAAGGAACCGATGTTTAACGCACGTTTGTGATGTTAACTCATGGCGTTTGATGTATTTTTGTCATGCAAGGTTTTTTATGCGAGGTTGCCCAAGCGTGTCTTGTCTGTCGTTATTGTTAAAGTGCAAATGAAATGAGCCGAACCATATGGCACAACTGTTACGTTCACAGCATTCACGAAAAAGAAAAAGAAAACCACAACTAAAGAGTATCAATAAAATAACGGCGTTTATCCGAGGGTGCCTGACTTACACTTGCTGTGTGAATGGTTGGCGATGATTAGTGAGAATGGTTAGAGTGCCCCAGGTCGAGAGTAAGAGTTTGCGATGCGGACGAGAAAGAGTAGTATTAATGTACCTGGTGTGGCATAGAGATTGATGTGCCAAAAGAAGTGCTTGTCAGAATAGTACCTGGCTGGTGTGATGTAGCGAGGGAAAAGGAGGGACATCAGATCTGAGTTGCGATCTCTTCTCGCCTCGCAAATTTGGGAAAGGAAACAAGAGGATTATGGGATGTGCGTTCAACAGTGAAAATAATAAGGCGGTTCATAGTGGTCGGGACACGTCAATGGTAATGGTGCCCTTCTCTTTCACCCAGAGAATGATCGACGATCAAAATAACATTGATCCCCATCCAGGCACCATCACCGTCACCCTCTGCCTTGTCTGGTCTTGATATGATTCCGGGCACCATTACTGCTCACTTTGTCGTGGCACAAGGGGGAAAGAAACCTCGGGCAACAAACCACTTTCTTTCAGCTCATATGGTCAATTCTGGTGAGCAATCGCTGTAGTAGAAAGGAATAAGAAGAATGCCTGTTTTCTCCTTTCTTTCTTTCTTTCTTCATTACTCCCATCCCATCTTTCATTCACTTCACTCCTGGACTTGATTCCCCTCCCTCCTTACTCACTCTCTCACTTGTTTTCTGTCACCCTCATTGACCCACTGTTCTCTCCACCCCCGCACCTCCTCGCATCTTTGTTACCACTCTGTGCCCTGTGCTTGCCCAAAGACGAAAACCCTTGCTTCCCTCCACCTGCCAGAACGAATTGGCCTCAACCTTTCTTAATAATACCGTTCTGCAGGAGCACTACCTTCCCGTCAATTGTCTACTCTTCCTCCCAGACATCGCCCTTTTACTCCTCCACGTCTTTCTTTTTCACTTTCTCTCTCACTCCAACTCGCCAAACACCATCGCCTGTCTGCACCACAGTCACGCCTACAGCTGCCAGAGTCGTATCCTTCCGCCTCTGAATAAAATCCTTATTGCACTCCAGCGTTCTTTAGGTGCTTGTCGCTTCTTTGTCTTCAATTCATTCATACGTTTGCCTTTGTACAACTTGCGCCCACTCCTACTCTTTCTCTGCCTTTTCACTAATGTACTTTTCAACTTCCCATTGCTCATACTGCCATAGTGCTCAAAAAGTGCTCTGACATGCACCTGATCCATAAACTGAGGCGATCCATCTCACACCGGCCACGCCATCTCTTTGACCTGCCAGACGAGATTTTGTGCCAGATCCTCGAGTATTGCTGCCAGGACCTCGACTTTTTACTCTGGTCCTGTCCTCTGGTCACTCTGGATAACCAGTTCTGTCACGACTGTTTCCATTGCACGCTCTGCCATGGCCCTGCCCCGCGTGTCTCAAGTCTCAAACATCGCCGTCTCTCGACCACAGTTACGTCTGCTGGTACATCCAAAGACGCACATGGACAGAGGACAGAGTCAGCCAGCGAGAGTGGTATCAGCAGGGACACGACACAAGGCAGTAATGCCACTACCACAGCATCAGTCAGGGCGCAGCACAGGAAGAGGAGAAAACGGAGCCTCGACACATTAATCCTCAGCAGTAACCACAGTAGGCAATTGAACAACACAGGGAGCTATTACGCAGGATCATCTCTGTCTTCATCTCAGCAGGGAGCAAAGCCCTGCCCTTGGAACGGCGATCGGCCGTGGTGTCTTCATCTGCAGTGTCAACACCAGGATCGGATACCGGTACTCTGGCGTCTCGTACCACCGCAATTGCGACCAGCAGGCTATGGCTCCCGCCCATTACTTCCAGCCAGGATTAGCTCGTTTCATCTTCACAGCCATCTCGCAGCCCTGTCAACATCCTTCGCATCCATGCAGTTTCCCGCCAAGGTAGCCTTCAACACCCTTCTACAACGAATCGAGGCATTCTTCTCTTGGGATCGCTCTCAACTAAACGAGCCTCGTTGGACCCAAGGCGACGAATCAATACGAACCGGATCAGCAATATCGGCGCCATCGACGCATCTCTCAACACTATATCACGCCAATCCAGCCATTTCCCTCCCTTCGGCCCCGCGGCACGCTGTGGCTCCAATGGCCTTCACATCAGGATTTCATCTCGATCAAGATGCATCTCTTTACAGGAGGGGCGCTTCGATAAACCGATATTTGAGCACGACAGGGACGAGAAATATACCGAGCCTCTGGAAACGAGGTGACTGGATCGATCCTGCGGACGACGTGGACGAATCCGAGACGATCGAAAACGGGCAACATAGGGACGACTTTGACAGCTCTATTCATTTGTCACCACCATTTCAGCTGCTCCTGGTCAGTCGGAGGTTTGCAGACGCTGCGGTCCACTCCTTACACCGAAACCTCGTTTTTCACGGCCACGACCCCTATCAAATGGAGTGTGTTCTCAGTACCTTGCTCAAGGACGACGGACAATTGGATCAAAATCAGGACCAGGATCAATCGACAGGTCTAAGAAGCCTCAGAGAAGTGAACGAGGAGCAATTGGTGGAGGAAGCGAAGGAGGAGGAAGCGGATCAGAACGACAATGACACGGATCAAATGCCAAGAGCACAGGGCACATTCAGGAGTCATGAAGTAGATGACAAAAGTGGAACGGCGGGACACGTGTGTACTTCAAGGGATGGATCAACTACCGACGAAGGTCTGTGGCAGATGGGCGAGGGACAAGGAGCGTCTGTGAACTGGATCGAGTCCTTGAATCATTCGTTGCGACGGTTTTCTAGGTTCCAAGGAGGTGTCTCAGGAGTGGATGATGCCTCAAGCGCGGAGATCGAGCCCAGCAAGGTTTCTTTTCTCGATGGCAAAACGTGGTTCGCAGGCGAAAGGGGCGGTGAAGGTGGAGGAAAGAGGCGTTACACCACCACCTCTGGACAGAACAGACGCGTAGGAGACAAGAATCAAGATAGGCCCCTCAAGATGAATTCAAACGGGCCGAAATGGACCTATCGGCGCTATGCAAGGCGCGTAGTTTTGAACTTTGCCCATCCTCAAGCCTCTCCCCAGCTTTTGGTCCGAGCTCTCGAGTGTATCGGTTCTCGCTGTCACGGTCAGATTCAGGCCTTGGATTTGCACGCCAACGAGAAAATGCAGGATTCAGGACTGGAGACGCCGGAAGAGCTGACTCGACTTTTCGGCTCAGGATTTACGAAACTCCGATACCTACGACTGCAAGGAGGCTTAGTCGATAACCAACTTTTGTACGCCCTTCTCAACAACTTTCCATCGCCAACGCCCACTCCACCATCGGATTCAACTCATGTGAGTTATGCTGACGGATCGAGGTCGTTTGCGGAACCTAGGATTCGTTCCCCACCACCAGCACTGATTACCGAACCTTGCTGCCTGTCACAAGTGTTCTTGGGTCCTGGATCGGTTACCGACAGTGGCATAGAAAGGCTCATCGATGTCGCTGGAAAGACGCTCGAGGTGTTCACAGTGACGAGCTGTGTTGACGTTGGTGGAGGAGCTCTGGCCAGTCTGTTGACCAAGTGTCCCAAACTCCGAGTTCTGGCAGTTCATCGATCTCTGGCTCGCGACAGAGAGTTGTTGGAAGGACTGGGAGTACCACCGGAGAGCGCTGTACCAGGGCCCCAACAACATCAACAAGTGCACCCACTCCATCTTTTTCAATCGCAGCAGCAGGAGGAAGCAACCAACTCGAATGACAGTCATGATACCCCACCGCAAGTAATCAGGAAGACCATCGTTGCGCCACTGGAGCGGCTGGAGCTGGGAACAGTCAAGTTGACCAACACTGGGATCGCAGAGATCTTGAAGGCTACAGGGAAGACGCTGCGGTTCCTGGTACTGGAGACGCAACATTTCAACGACGGATTCTTGAGGAACGTGGTTTCTCCTTTGTGCACGCAACTTGAAGGATTGCACTTTGACGACCCGGAGCAGGTCCAGCGGCTTCAACAGCAGATGCAAGGTCTTGGATTCAGCGCAGGACGCCGTGGACCTCACCTACCTAGGAACCAAGTTGCGTTTGGTCGGTCAGGAAGATCATTTTATTCAGATCCCAGACATCATTATCGCTCGCAGTCTCAATCTCACCACTACCATTCGACATCTTTTCGACCTCAGTATCACAATGGACAGGAAGGTGTTTTCGGATCGACGACAACAAAGCGGCAAGGAGGAGGAGGTCGAGGTGATCGCTCGACCAAAGTGAGCGCCTGGTTAGGAGAAACTACGACGGATGAATGGGTGACCTTTGGCGATTGTGCCTTGTGGAGTAGCGCGGCATCTCCTGCAGTGTCGTATGACAATGGCGGCGCCAGTGGTCCCCCAGGAGGTCGCTTCCCTCACCAGCATCGTCAGCACGGCCAGCCGCTGCACCAGATGTACCATAAACCGGCCATGGCGATAGGGAATGCCTTTATCCATGGATTCAACCATCATCACAGCCATCAGGCAGCATCCAATTGGTTCCTGGGCGACTCTGACGAGCTTTTGGATCGACACCGAGTGGCAAGGGAGACGGTGGATGAGGTGCAAGAGGCGTTATCGAAACTGGAAACGTTCACTGTGATGGATTTGGATTTTGTTCTGGAGCGCAAGGGCCTGTACGAAGCCCAGGTTTTGATGCAGAAGGATGATATTTGGGTGCAGAGCGCCGGATTCCGGGCGCTCCAGATGTTCTATCTGTGCTTGTTCCTGAGCACCATCTACTTCAGCGTTTTTCGCTAGGAATAAAAAAGCCACCAAAATGATTGCCACCATTTTTCACACCTTTATTATTTCGCGCTTGGCTCTCTCATGTCTTTGTGCGCCCAACCTAACCATAATCACAACCCACAACGACAATGACCGACGCACGCGATTCGGAGGCGATCTCGGCGTACCTCTCCGACCTGCAGACTCAAGTCCGTGCTCCATCACCACCACTGTCGACAGTCATTCGCGTCTTGGCCGAACCTTTGTCCTTTCTCGGATTTCTGCATGCACCCTCGGCGAATGCGACGTTGGATTCTCTTCTCCCATCCTGGTCAGGACCTATCGAGCCCACAACAGCCAGGCGGATGTACTTTATTCAGCACCTGCTGCCAAACCACCTCGAGTTCATACTGGACAACATCACTGTGGATTGGCTGAGCGCGCTACCTTCGGCTGAACAGACTGTCCTCTTCGACACCTTCTTTATACCAGCCCTGGCGACGCGAACAACAGCTCCAGCAGATCGTAACTCGCGGGACTTTTCGGTGGCAACGGCGATGGCACTGGTTTCATTGCAGACATTAGTCGGTCGGATCAATCAGCGCTTTTCAGAGAACCACTCGTTTCTCAACAAGACTATCCTCAAGTTACTCAAGAGGCTGCTGGAGGAGTATTCGCTGTTGGATTATTTCAAGGCATGTTATAAGATCGGATCAACAGCAGGACCAGGATACTCACAACAATCACCAGCAACGATAGCAGTGGCTCAAGCAACCTGGGACTCGCTCCTCTCCAAGCTCTTTTCTATTCCGACCAGGATATCGAATGCGTTTGGAGCATCGAGACAGTTCTCGGGCAACTCGAGCGATAGGACAGATTTTGAAGAGTGTTTTCAGGAGGACTACTTTTTTGAGCAGCAGGCTGCCCAATTGCAGGAGTGCGTTAGTAGAATGGCGGATCTGGAAGAAGAAGAGAGGAAACTGCATGCCAAGGCATTTGGAGTTGTGATCGCCAAGCTTTTGCGGCTAGGTTTTGGACGTGAGTACTCAAGGGTTTGCTGGTCTGCGCTTGTTCAATCTCCCCTGTCACGGTTTACAAAGAGATGTTAACACTTATATTATTTTCATTTTGGAAACCATAGGGACGCTTGTCAAATCGGGGGTGTCGACCCTTTGGGATAAGGATGCACCGGCAGATGCCCTGGGATGGAAACTCGCATTGACAGCATCTACGTCAACGACAGCACAGACGTTTTTAACTGCGCTGGTTGAGTACCTCAATGGAAATCAGCTGGAATCGAATAGACTCTGTTCTTCAACGGAAAATATCACGGAGAGTTCGCGACAGGAAGTCCACAAGGCAGCTCATTTGCTGTTCTCACTAGGGTATGGAGAAAGAGCAGGAGCAGGGGAGGAGAGTGCCGATATGATCGAGGAGATCATCTTCCAGGGACGTGTCTACGGATCGGGAGTATTGCGTGCGTTGATCTGCATTCAGAGTGGCTGGCCCACAGGTGTCAAATCAAGCAAAGGTAAGCGCCAGTCAATTGTCTTGCTGTTAGTTGTTTCCAGTAATACCGATTTGTGTACCTGAATGATAACATTTTTCTGCTCTCTCACAAACATTTAGATTCTGTACTCTCCCATACCTTCATGAGAGCATTGACAATTTGGTCCGACACAATGTTAGTAAACCATGCATCAATGGGATACCAGAAGTGTAGGTCGCGCAGATTCGTGGTTTTCAATATTGAGACTCTGGCAAAGAACAAAGTATGTAGCCTACTAACTCATGGCTTTCCTTGTTTTTGTTTGATATAGATATATCCTATCAACTTCTCCTTATGATTGGATACTTCAACACCTCGACTCTTCTCGAAATGGACGCTATCCCTACATTTGGCAATGGAGTTGGTAACTGGCTGGAGCTCGAAGACTTTAAGAGGAAGCAGATTGGCTTGGTACGTTCACTCTGGAATGCAGCACGCTACTTTCCACGCCTTCACCCTGGAGCCAAATTTTCAGTGAATGATCACACCATTGACCATTGTTGTTATGGAATAATCTAGATTGTTGCAGAGGAATTCTCAAAGGCAGTGGACACTATTGGATCGCCGGCAGATTTCGGATTGGATGGTGCCGACTCGGATGTCAAGTTTGCTCGGTCCCTGGTACAGCTCAAGGATGGCGCCCTCTCATATCGGCCCCAACCACAGTCATCAAAAGGCGATACGACTGCTTTTGAAGGGAAGCATGCACAGAGCGTTCGTGGTTTCGATGCAACACGCGGCGGGGCACAGGTGTCAGAGCTGACAGATTCAGATGACGACGAAGATCCAGATGCGGCAGCAGACGCGTTTCCTCGCTCTCACAGGCAGCTAAGCGACGACGAAAGCAGCGACGAAGATGACGATCTGAGGCCATATGAGATGGAGTACGAGTCGGATCCTGATGAAGATATCGGAGCAGTCAGGAAACCCAAAGTGGCGCCTACTTTGTACCTGCGGGATCTCATTACATATATCCGAGCGGATGAAGATCGCGAAAAGACCGAAGTTGGGCTGCAAACGGCTGCAGAGTTGATCCGCCGCAAAGTCGGAAGTCTCGAGCTTGGTGAGTTGTAGTGTTGTTTTGATGTCGTGTCCATATGCCATTGTCGCGACGTCATACTGATACTATATTTTTGATCTCCTGGATGAATCTGTAGAGGAACATGCTGAGGAGCTGGCGAATTCATTTGTTCATCTCCAGGACACGTTTGATACACCAAGCTTTTACAAGCTAAGGGAAGGCGCTTTGGTGGCGCTCGTTGTTTCATCGCCCTTGCTTGTTTCTGGGTAAGTCCTCATCTAGGAGGTCAACGCGCCATTGCAAAATCGAATGCGCACCAGGCCTTGATTAGCTGACGCATGTTTATATTATGATAGGGTTCTTACATTCCAATTCTATGAGAAAAAGAACTCGTTGGGCCAAAGGCTCAACATTTTGACCGCTCTTGTGCTTGGTGCCCAGGAACTCTCGGGGTTCGACCAATCAACACTTCCATTGTCAAAAGGGCAGTCAGGACCTAGCAGCAAGACTGGCAATCCAGCCACAGGATCAACTAGTTTGACAGCTCCTAGGCCAACATTCGACAACATCACTTCAACCATCTCCCTGGCAAGGACGCGTCGGTTTTCTCAAAAATCTAACATTGAGGCTAATCGTCCTGCACCCAAGGCGAATGCGTTTGCAAACCTGGCGCCGACGTTCTTGGGTGGTCTTTTGGGTCGATGGGGCGGCAACCGTGGCGCAGGAGCTGAGCGCGGTTATGACGCGCTTCAGAGGGCGCCTGCCATGTTGCTCAAGAAGTTTGTCGTCACCCTAGGAGTCCTTGTGCACTATTCAGGTATTGTGGAATGCATTTAATATCGCAGTTGGTTGTTGTTGCTTGCGGTGCGTAACTAACGTTATATGGTTATAACATTCTCTCGTTAGGAAACTCGCCGCATTTGCTGCCGATGACAAAGGAGTTGTTCCAATTTTTACTCGCTCTGCGGTATCATACTCCTCCCAGTCAACCCTCGCCGAACTCGTTTGGTGGCGTCAAATCGCACCCACCAACTATGGCTTCCCTCTCTTCGATGCTATCCGGGACGACATTGGCGACACCCACAATCACGTCCCTCAAACTGCCAGGTGAAGCAGGATCTTCTTCGAATATTACATCCTCCTCGTCACCCATCGCTACAGGCGTACCATTGAATGCAGACTTGGTTGAGAGTTTGCTGTTTGGCCTCTTGATCCTTGTCACTCCTGCCTCGGGTACCTTGTCAGATGATCTGCTACTGCACGAGTTCTATGTGGAGATATTGGAGACGCAGCAGTGGGCGATGGAGCTGTGGGATTCGCAGAAGCTGGAGCAGGGTAGTAATGATAAGGCCAGGATGTACTGTGCGGCACTTTTGCAGCGGTGTTTTGAGCTGATGAAGGTGTCTATGTGAACCATGTCCTGACATCGATAAAAATAAAAAGGAAAACCTTGCGCTCTTTTCTTTGGTCGTTCGTCATATGCACTGAGCCCAGTGGCTGAGAAGAAAATTGGCCCGGGCGACAGATGGGTGTGAAGAGAGAAGGCGGTGCTTCTGCTCTGATTACTTTATCGTTGCCTACCGCCCAGATGGGTCTTAGGTCCACCCTCCTGTACTTCACAGAGGCAACGGTAACCCAGAGGAAGATCGACGATTAACAGAGAGTCGATCTCTATCTAGGCACCATCGCCCTGTGCCCCTGGTTTCGCTTTGGTGTTTCTCCTATCACCGATGACTTTGTTTGTCTCACTGAGTTGACAGAAATATTTTTGATCAAGAATAAAAGAAGGACATCGCAGAAGAAAAAAATAGGCAACAACCGTGTTGCAACTCGCATGGACACCTCTGGCGATGAGGGGATAAACAAACATGGAAACGGTCTTTCCCGAGATGTAAATAGGCGGGTAGAAAGGAGAGAAGGCATTGTGAGGAATTTGTTATAATACATCGTCATTCGAGACATGGGATATGTGAGTGACGAGAATAGAGGGGACAAGAGACGCCACAGCCCCTTTTCACAAAAAAGCACGCACCGGTCAGCCTGACCAGCCCACACTCGCCCTTTTTTTCTTTCTCTCTTCCCTTTCGTCTACCTTTTGCTCCTTTTCACTTCATAATTCTACAATCTCCATTCACACCAACTAACGACACTCGACCGACACACTCAACTATCAGGACATCAGCACACAGATTACACTTGCAAGCAAAAGCCAACTTCGAACATGGAGGCGCCATTACCACAACCACCACGCCAATTCCAAGGAGCTCCCCCTCCACCGTCCTCCAACTCCAACTCCAACTCCTATAGCTTCACGGCACCCCCAGCTCGAGTCGGATCGATCCTCCTCAGCGCATCAGCCATCACAATCCCCATCTTTTCCAAAGAGCTCGACCTCGCCTCCGTCGCCAACCCGCAAAAGCATTCCACCATTAAGCAATACCTCTTCGGCCTCCTCCTCTTTAAACCACTCCTCGCCCTCCTCCTCGATTGTTTTTCTCTCGTCTTCCTCTCCGCCTGGGTCCGTGGTTCGACAGGAAAGGGCAACAGTTCAGGATTGGTTATCTATGCCCTTGCCACGGCGGGGTCAATCGGGATCATGATCTATGGAGGATGGAGGGCGAGTCAAGTTCTGAGGAAAGGGAACATTCAAGGCATTTTTGTGACGAGGGAGGCGTATCGGTTTGTGTGTCTGACGAGTCGGGTCAAGTTTTTGTTCTTTGAGCGGGTTGGGCAGGGGTATGGGAAGCGGGATGCGCTCGTCTATTTTACTTGGTTTACGCTGAGAGGTAATTGTTTTGTTTGTTTGTTTTTGATTGTTATTGCGTTGTGAAAATGAGTACACCCGTAAAAAGAAGGGCTGTAGTGTGTCCTCGTTCTTGGCACTTCTATTTTTTGTCTATCCTTCATCATCAAGTGTTCCATAATTTAATTGGCGTGTTTCGTACCTGAATATCCTGCGAAAAAAAAAATAGATTGGATGCAGCACCTCTTATGCGACCTCCCTCGTCTGGTCATCAACTGCACAATCCTCGGTCAAGTCGCCCACCAAAAATCACTCGTCAACCAAGGACTTCCGCCAACATTGAACATGCCAGAGCTGACAGGACTCACTCACTTTGTCCTAGCGTGTAACATCATGCTACAGTTGTGCAACCTGTTCCAGTTTCTGAGCGCTCTGGTCGTGTTTGTGATGGTCCGTAACGGCAAGTTGATATCACTGAGGAAGGATGAGTACTTGCATACCTACTGCCAGCGCAACTTAAACGTCAGGTAAGAGACATTTTTTTTTTGTTTTTTGTTGGCGAAAAGTGCCGTTGGGATGCAGCTCATATTGTACATGCGCCTTTCCTCTGCTTAAAAATGACCAATATATTAATCAATTTTTTTTTCATGCACGTAATATAGGGTCGTACGGTTGTTCAAATTGGCAAAGACACCGGGAGGAGGAACAGGAGCACCGCTTCGGCAACACGACCAGTTGGCGCAGCAAATGGGACGGTATCGAGCGGACGAGGAAGCAGGAATCGGGCCAGAGGGAGGAATCGATCTCTCACTCGCTTCACTGGCATGGGACACTGAGACCCAGGACGACGGTATCGACTACAACCATTATGCCTACAGGGCGCGGCCCATCTCGACTGGTCCACCTCCACGGACAGGAAGTTACAACGAAAGGATAGAGATGACGGAAAACCCTATATCAGCAACAGGATCTGTATCTGCAGTACCAGGGTCAAGTTCGACTGGAGCACCGCCACCACCGCCATCGTCGTATCCCGCACCTGTGCCTGGATCATTTTCATATGCACAGGTGCAGCACTTGCAGCGGATGCGGGAAAAGTATGGAGACAATAGAGAATTGTACGAACCTATGGAATGGAAACCACCTGTGCCAGGGGTGTAGTCCTGTCGTCCCCCCACGGCAGAACCAACTCCAGCAACAACAAAACAACAACAACACCTATTACCACAATAACAACCACAACAACACACAAGTAGATTTTTAGTCATAGTCAATTGACGAGGAGTAGGAGACGAGGGAGAAAATAGGATAATAAATAGTCCTTATCGTAACGCCTCGTACACGTTCAGCTCGGACAAGCGACAAAAACAATATGTACAACGCGCGTAGGCAGAATGGACAATAGCGTCAAACAATCCGGAAGAATAAGTGAGAGCATATGGACGGTGGGATAATTCTTTGGTGCTATTGTTGGCAAAGAAGAGACCAGCTGCAGGGGTTTTAAATAAGAGCACTCGAGAGATGGGAAAACAATTGGATCATGGACTTGAGTGTATCACAAAAACAAGTTATACCTATTTTCCTATGCGACTCCTCATGGCCTCGAGTTTGCCGTTGAACAATTATTTTCGTTTCCTTTTGGTATTGATTGGCGTTGGTCATCTCTCTTATCCCTTCGTTTTTTTTTTCTTTCGCACAAAACATAGAACACACAGAACACACACATACACACATCTTTGTTTCTTTTTCAGGTTAGGCAACCTCCTTCCGCCTTCTTACTTCACTACCATTACCACCCATTGCATACACATTTCCTGCTTCCCTCTCTCTTCTCTCCCCATAAGTCATTTTTGTGGCATTCCTGTGTGCGTGTGTGTAACATTTGCTACAGGGGGTTGTTCTAGATCTGATGGACCCAGACTGCACTTTGGACAGCTCAATGGCTTGTCACTGTTGGAGCAATCGAAACGACAGGCAGTCCTTGAAAGCTGCTCCTCAACTCGTCGGCACAGCTCTTAAAAATGGGTCGTGAGAGAGCTGAGAACCAGAACATTGTTTAAGAGCAGAGGCCTGTTTTAATAAACCCCCATCTGCCAGACCGCTATGAGTAGTAAATGGTTCTGGTTCCAAGACAAGAAGACGAGAGGTGACTTGCTGCTACGCTGCGATCAAGGGTCGCCAAAAAAAAAACAAGAGTTGTTTTAAAAAGAAGTGCCACACGAGTGGTTCTCAGGAATCCAGACTGTGCAAGCGTTTCTGGGCTGCCCTTAAGATCTGGAACGACCCTCACATTTGCTGAGGATGAGTGAGTATTTAGTAATTATTAAAAACTGAGGCACAGCGTCTTTATTATTTTTTCTTATATACATTGTCGTTTGCTTTCAGGGCTCTCGTTCATCCTCGTCAGAGTCGATATAATCTTCATCCAGCTCCTGAGAAGACCCACCCATTGCAGCCTTAGCAGCAAGGATCTCTGCAGAGTCATCATAATGCTGGTATTGGCTCCCCACCGTCGAAATCCCATGCTCCTTCAAAATAGGCATAAACACAACCGGCCACGAAAACTCCGTATTAACCTTCCTAATCATCCGGTCCGGGATACTGAACCCTCCCGACAACTGCTTCAAATTTTTCCAGTTCCCTAGAATCCATTCCACCTCCTTGTGTTGAACCTGCGTGTGCCCGTTCCAGAAACAGAATTTTTCAAGAAGCGTCAAGTTGGAGAGGTGGTGAAGACCCAAGTCGAGTCGTAGGGGCAAGGAGATGATTCGGTAGGCGGGATGGTTAGGGTTGAAGTGGGTCGTGTGGCCGGGTATGCCTGGGGTGGGGGGGTAGCCGATGGAGTGAGGGTTGAGCATGTCGAATTCTCGGAGGCGGGTTAAGGTACTGAAGCGTTTGTAGACGGCTCGACAGGCCTGGCGTTCTTGTTTTGTCAGGCGTCGGGTGGGGCCGTTGAGTGTTGGAGGGGAGACAGGGTTTGGGAGGTCTGTGGGTGGAGGGATGGCAGTGGCAAGGTTGTTGGATCCTACTTCTGCTGATAATCCTGTTCCTGCGGCCGTAGTAGATGTAGGATCCTCTTCGATGCGGAGGTTATCAAAGTCCATGTCGATCACTATGATCCATTCCTGGAGTCCCTGACAAGCCCAAGGTTTGCTCTTGATGATATCCCGACCCCTTATGACCTTGGCCTTGATTCGTTCCAGACTGGGACAAGACTCAAGCACTACAATGACCCACTCGCTGGCACGATGTGCCGCAGAGAGTGTCAAATCGATCGTCTGGATGGTCGAAAAGTGACGAGTCCGAAGCATTTCAAACGACCCCGGCTGGATAGAGTTGTGGACAATATCCAGACGACGTAGAGGTTGCCGTGCAGAGGTCAGGATATGGAGGTGGTTTTGGTCCGAGATCCAGTTGCAGTGTCCACGAATGGTGATCGAGTCTAGATGCGGCCAGGCCGTGGGCGAGTCCGGGGTGTCGTCAAAGGCGTCCATGAAAGGTTGGGTTGGGAAATGGCGATGCCGATCAAATATCCAGGTAAGGGTCCGGAGAGAAGGGCATGGGACGACCAGCCAATGTAATTGTGAGAGTGGATGGTAGCAAGTTAGGTAACGGATCGTCAACTCCTTGAGTTTGGGGAACCGAGGTGGGAGGTCTGGAGGAGGGAGTGCTCGTCTTGTCGGTGCGGCTGCTTGATAGTTATTGTTGGAGGTGTTGTTGGTAGCAGAGTTGTAAGACCCCCTTTCCTTTTCCTTTTCCTTATCCTTGTCCTTGATAAGCGATGAGGGTATCCAAGTCAGGTCCATATCGACATCCTCCAGTTCCAACGCCTCCAGCCGCGCACTAATAGTCCAGAACGCCTTCAAATGCTTCCCACGGATCTTGCACCGCACAAGACTTAGTGACGTCAAATTGAGATGCTGCGTACACGCCAAAATCGGGTTCCAAACCGGCTGCCCTGGAGCCGGCTTCTCCAACTGCGTTTTCCAATTCTGCAACGACAACGAACGCAAGTCGGGCCGGTTCTGTCGCAAGAGGGCCTTACAACTCTTCCAATACGTCTGATCGCCATGCTCGCCCACCAGCGGAATCCCCTCAATCGACATGGTCTCAACCCGATTACACCCCGGACCGAAAGACGAGAACTGCTGAACAGACTCGTGCTGATGGATCGTCAGACAGCGCATCCAGGGGGCTCGGTCCTGGAGGATCGAAATCAGTTCCTGAGTATCCCGTTCGAGTTCGTTGCTTTCAAAGAGGTGGCGGAAGGAGATCTTGCGGGCCAGGGGGGTCTTTTCGCGGATGAGCCGGAGTTGTTCGATGGTTAGGCTGAAATGAAGGTCATTCCAGACGAGAGGCGAGAAGGCGTTGTAGAAGATTCGGCAGACGAGCGAGCAGGCGAGGACTTGGTCTGCGTCGAGGTAGAGGCCAATCCTGTACAGGATCTCGGGAAGCTCGAGTGCGAGAGACATCCCGGTAAGAGAAACCTTTTTTTATGTCTAAATAGCTGATAGAGATGAAGTATAGAGGGGAAGGAAGGTTGTTGAAGGGTAAAAGAGTGTAAGAAAGGGGAGAGGGGGGTAAGAGAAAGAAAGGGGTTTGTGAAATGAGAAAAAGAAAAGAAAGCAACACAACGTAAATAGAAAAAAAATTATACCTTCCCTTTATTTGTTTTTATTTTCCAGGCCGGATTGGGTCGAGAGGGTCAGTGCTGGTGGAATGACAGGTGACTGGTGTTTGAACTGCGGCATTGGACACAGCAAACAAGGGGAAGAAGGGGGTAAGGATGTGATTTGTGTGCATGCATGACTCACACTGACCTTTTGCAACTGGAGGCTGTGAACATTAGCATGTATTGTAATTGGAAAGAGCTTTGCCTCCAGCTTTTGAGCAAGGAGAGTGACACCAACCAGAGTCACAAGAAACGCCACCAACCGCATGCAAAAAGAAGACAGGGACGAACATTGCCTTTCCAAACAAGCACCACAAAAACATTAACTGGAGCCACGCTTGCTGCCTTTTTTTTTTTGCCTTCCTTTCTATAACCTTTTTTACCCCTTGCTTTCCCCTTTCGCGCGCCTTTGTACCCCAAGGGAGATAAGCGCTCAAAGCACCCAAAACTCTAATAAAAGCTCTCGAAAGCATAGAAATTGCGTTCAAAGAAGGCTGCTCAGCGTGCAGAACATCGGCCGTCAAAGTGTCCCACCCTACCTATATTTGAACGCAATCCCCCATTTCTTCCTGCTACCTGTAGGTTACACACAGTTCGAAAAAGTATTTAATTAAATATCATTGTTTCCCTTACTCCTGGTCCTCCTCGTCTTCACGTCGTTCCCGCTCAGTCTTCCGCTGCTCCTTGGTCTTCCTAAAGTACCGTGTCTCATCCGGGTCAAATCCTCCCTCGGGTGCTCCAAAGACTGCCCACGAAGGTGTCTCGGCCATGTAATCCAAGCTAGTAAACTTCTCGCCAGACTCGACCAGCTCAAAAAACTTGTCATAGTCGATATGTGTGTACCAGGTATCACCCTTCTTGAATTTGGTCGAAGCAACTAAGATCGAGCACGAGTGAGCATGCTCAGCCGCAATCTCGTACCCAGCGCCCAATTGCTCCTGAATCAGCTCCACGAACCGGACAACCTCAGTATGGTAGGGGACGTTGGCCATGGTTAGGCCTGAGGCGCCTCCGTATCCGCAGTAGGTGACTCCCTTGATTTCGATAAAGTCGGGCTGGCCACGACGGATGAGCTCGACATAGTTGGAAATCTCGTCCGTGTTGAAATCCTTGACCAGTGTCAATCTGTAGACCGTACGCTGGCCCTTCTTGCCTAGAGCATCCAGACTGTCGAGGAACCGCTCCCAGAAATCGCGGAACAGGGGGCGGTCAATCTTTTTGAGGGACTCCTTGGTTGAGGCGTCCACACTGACATAGAGCTGGGTAACGGGATCCATGTTGGCAATGGCGTCAGGGAACTGGGCGTTGGTAACCAAGAACGACGAGATGCGCTTCTTGTGCAACAGCCTCACAAACTCGTTGATATGGGGGTACTAGATGACATAGAAAGTTGAAAACGAGTTAGCATTATTGCGCTAAGACCTGGGTAGTACAAAATGTGAAAGAGAACTTACGAAGATGGGCTCGCCGACAAGGGACAAGGCGCAGTGCTTGACCTGACCAGCCTCAACAAAACGGTCGGCACGAACACCGGGGACACCCTTGAGCTGCTTCAACATTCCATAATGGTTCTCCAATGCGCCCTCCAGAATGAACTCGGGGTCATCGACCTTCCATCTCCACTCAGTTCCGACAGGGTTGGTGTGATGTCTCCAGCTATTTCAAATGAAAGTAAACATTATCTGTTAGTGTCACTATCAACATGCCCAGAGATATCATGGTCGCAGAAGAGATGAATGACGCCAAGGAATTTACCAGAAGACACACTTGTTGGCACAGGCCAATGAAGGGGTGGTCTCCATGCAGAGATGGGACTGAATACCATAGAAAGAGTGCTTGTAACAGAATCCACGGCCACGGAGAGCAGCCTTAGTCCAGCGGCAGATCTTGACTCCAGAGTGGGATCCAATAATCTTGTAGCCCTGCTTGGTCAAAGACTTGTACAACAAAGGGCTGACCATCTCACGGACCTCACGAGGCTTGATCGCCTTGCCATCCTTGGTCTCGCCAACCGAGCGCTTGGCGCCAGCCTTCTCGTTCGCAAAAGCCTCCTCGTCCAATGCCTTGTCTTCCTTAGCCTGCTTGATCTTGCGGGCAATATTGCCCATATCCTCCAGATCAACCATCTCGCCCTCCGAAGCGTCTCCTCCGTCGATGGTGGGGAGTCCGAGCTTCTCTTCCTTGGTCTTCGTCACTGGCTCTCCATCCTCGTCCAATTCCTCATCATCGTCGTTCTCCGAAGCCGAAGCGCCATCCTCCTCGTCCGATGAAAAGTATGCGTCGTGAACATGGCTCTGGTGGGGGTCCAAAAGAGAGGCCAATAAGGCATCGTTCCACTGCTTGAACGCGCCGCCCTGATCTAAAAGTGTATAAAGAAGAGGCATTGAATTAATAAAAGTCCAGATGTATAAGCCAAGAATCAAATGCAACAAAGTGAACATGTATGTTACCTCCGTTCTTGTCACCCTCGCCAAAGGGCCAGACACGCTGAGCACCCATCTGTCCGAGCCACTTGTCAGCTGACCGAGGTCCGTTGCAGAACTCCTCAGTGTAGGCCGAATCACCCAATCCAAAGACCGAGAACTTGAGCTTGCTGAGAGCTCCCTTCTCAACGCGCCAATCGAAACGAGTATCCTCGAGCCACTTCAAGAACCAATCGTTGGGGCCCTCCACATTATAGGTCGACAGGATGAAAATTGAGAGACTGGATTCGGACAAAAAGTCCTCAGTGTCGTAGTCCACAATGTCGATCAGCTTGGGTTCGGGGAGTCCATGAGAAACAGCAGAGACAGCCAATTGAGTGGCAAACAGCTTGGCGGTACCGGTGATGGTCGAGTAGAAGATCTTGATGGGATCGACCAGGTAAGGCAGGAGCAGAGGGTCGATCTTGGTCAAGGGAGGGGTGGTAAGACTGGAAGGCGAAGAGCAGGCACAACCGCTTCCAGATGAGCAGCCGTTGACAGCGGCGACGCTGTCCTCGGCGGCGGGCTTATGCTTTCCGCCGCAGCAACCAGTCGAAGTGTCTCCTGCAGGCTTGTTATTTCCACCACAGCACCCAGACTTCTCTGAAGTAGCAGCGAGAGCGGCAAGGGTAGCTGCAGCAGCGGCGGCGTCCAATTGAGCCTGCATCTTCTTGGGCTTCTTGCGAATGACTTTGGGAAGCTTGCGGAACTCCTCCTTCTTGAGACCCCTGTGCTGGTAAGGCTTCTGTTCCTCGGTGGCCTGATCAACAACTCGAGCGACAGCCTCCTCCGAGAGTTCAGGGATAGCGGGGTCCTGCTCCATGTCCTGAACAACCTTTTCGACCTTGTTGCCAGCCTTCTTGCCATTGGCGTCATGGGACTTGGGGTTTGCTCCAGTGCTGTCGTTATTGTTGTTGTTGTCCTTGTTCTTGTTGGAGAGGATGATAGAGAGGGTGGCAATACCGATGGCCATGCAGACCAAGGGGATGCGGTACTCCTTCCACAGTTGGAGGTTGGATGATGCGGCGCTCATTGGTCTTGTTGTTGATCGTCGATCGACTCCCTGTAAGATGAGATGGTACAAGTGTGGTGTAAAGGAGAGGAAGTGCAGAACAAACAAAGGCGAAAAAAAAAAAAAAAAAGAGGTGAGCCTGGCTTTGGCCCTGGAACTAGTTCACAGAATGCCGAGGACTGCTTTCAGATGTTTCTTTTTGTGGCTTTTGTACCTTCTTTTATTACACTCTTGCGTTTGCCACCAACTCAAATGCCGAACACCTTCCCCACGTTTCAGAGCCCGACTGATCATTAATCAATTGTTTCTTGTACGGTTGATCAGTGTTCAACGGTAGCAGTGCCACAGACTGGCCTTGCTCAGGAACCCAAGCTCACACAGGAACCCATTGGGCTCACCGTCCTCCACAACAGTCTCACCATCACCCTCTCCCTCAGCTGCAATAGTCTCGCCTATCTTGGTCTCCAACCGCTCAATCAAGTCTGGCCAAAAGTCGTTGTTGTAAATTAGACTCGCTGCCCGCGTCATCTTCAGCACATCCCTCAGACTCCGTCTACCCACGTCAGGATATGGCCACTCGGAGGCATCTCTTGAACCATAGTCGGCAAGGTACCGGACCGCATCCTCGATGGTTCCTCCGCCGACCTCCACATTCACAGGTTTCTGCAATCCGTTCAGCCGCATCGTCTTGGACTCGATGGGCCCCTTGTGGTTCCACAGATCGACGCCATGAGACTCAGCCTGCATCGATAGCATCATTAGGCCCTGGAGGTTGAATGTTGAGTAAAAGTAGCTGACGGGGCGGATGGTCTCGTGGGGTTGGGCGCCATCTCGACGAATCTGTGACCCTACGCGCTTCTCTTTGGCGTCCTCTGCCATAGCGGTAGCCTCTTCATCGCGACCCAAGAACTCGAGGATGGAGATGTATTGGACAGTGAAGTAGGTGCCGTGGTTGTTGCGAGCATTGCGCTCTTGAGTGGCTTCTGGAGAGGCGTCGATCCATTCGAGATAGGAGGTGAACCAGCGCTGGAGATTGGGGATCAATTGTGGCTCTGCCTGGATCGCCGCCGATCCTTCAATCATCTTGAGAGCATCAAACATGCTATTCAAACATGCGATTTTCCATGTTAGTAGGCGGGCAGGCTTGGGCACTATGCATACGCTACGGGTATATAAAAAAATTGAGACTTACGCAAAGACCTTGAACATATCCAGGACACCTTGGGAGCGGCCCATCTCAGTTCCAAAGATCAAGCTTCCGTACTTGAGGTTGGGGTTCATGTGGGTCGCCTCGTCCAAGAACCACTCCTTGACTCGGTAGACAATCTTTTCCGCATACCGAGGTTCACCCGTCCAGAAGTACCCATGAGCCATGTAATAGCAATCACGAAAAACCTTTCTCAATAACCGATAGTCCCAGACTGAATCCATATCCGGGTTGGGTTTGCCATCGTGTCGAACATAGGGCAGGCCGTCCTCAGTGTCGGGGTTCTTCCAATAGTAGCGCGCGAGGGACGTATAGTCGTGAATGTTTCCTGAGGGGGGCAACTTGGACTTCGGCTTGATCACGACCGAATAAACACTGTCGTTGCGATAGGCGTTGTTGGCTTGTCGAAGGATATAGGCGATAGACTCTGCTCGGGCATCAATGCTCCTGGGATCGTCATTCATGTAACTCTCGAGCGCCTTGACTTCGATGTTGGCCTCGAGGATTTGTTGGGACGATTCTGGGAAGAGGGCTTCATCAAAGACAGTTGGCAATCCATCGTGGAATTCGTCTTCGTCGACCAAACCCCCGCTCGCATCGCCGTCGTATTCGCTCATGTTGCCGGATGCTATTTCTGTCGAAGAATTGGTACTGGTTTTGGAAGGGGATTGGGTAGAGGTATTGTCGGTGTTATCTTTTTGGCCTGTCCGACTATTGGCCCGATCTTTGGCGATTTCTTCTAGTACGGCTTCCTCTTCTAAGGAGATTGTTGTCTTGGGGCGCCAGTTGGGCGGTAGATGGTCCATTGCGAGGTCGGAGTATGGTGTAAATGTGAAGATGATGCATAGAATGCATAGTCCAAAGACGACGATCATTGCCCGCCTTGATGATATCCGGAAAAACATATTGGTGGTTGTGATGTGACTGGAAAAAGAAGAGGGGGAGGAGTGAGTAGGGTGTCGTCAGTGTGTGTTCTAGGGATACAGCGAGGCAAGTAGGAATGAAGAGGGAGGTTGGTAAAGAAGAGAAGGGGAGAAGGACGAAGGTGTGTAGGAAGAAAAGTAAGGAAGGAAGGATGGCGAAAGAGGGCTGTGAAAATAATGCCAAAAATAAAATGCAGGAAAAGGAGTAACTGAAAAGGGAAAGTGGCAGTGAGGAGGGAAAGAGACTAAGGAATGCTGCTGCAGATGGCAAAAAAAGGGTCAATGGGAGATGAGGGTAGAACATAGGACGCCTAGGTCCAACGAAACCAATTTCGAGACGATTTTTTCAAGGAGGGGATGGAATAATGAGCGAAATCAAAATGATCGAGATAAGGAACTGCCCTTTCTCTCAAACACCAGTTTGAGCAGGGATGACCTAAGTGTTTAGAAGGAAGGTCTAATCGCACCTTCAATCGGTAGAAGGGCGAAGAGAAAGAGAGACACAAAGGAAATAGAGAAGTAACGTGCGGCGGCGTTTGATAAACAGAAAGACACCCAATTCTCATTCCCCTGGACTGCCCTGATCGACCGCGTGAAATTGATTGACTCTGACAGTCTTGACGCGATCTCATCTACACATGAAACGTAGGGAAACGATCCAGCAAGGGGCATATCACTCCCACAATGCACCTGCCGCCACATACCATACATGCAGTGCCATTAGGCAATAGTGCGACACGTAAAACAAACACGGCGAGTACACAGCATGACCAATACTAGGGAGCCAGCCCATGCATCCTCGTCCGATCATCGCACCACGATTTGGCGCGGTCGTCCGTTGCGGGTTCGTCCAGGTTAAAAAATTCTTTATGACATTGGCAATGGGACGCCTACCCTAACGGAATCTAGTCCATCTCCTCAATGGCAGGCTGTGGCGCTCCCTGTCCAAGAGCTGGCCTTGATGATGCCGATGCTGCAGGAGGAGGTCCCGAAAAGAGACTGCTCATGAGATCTGCCAACATGTTTGCCTGCTTGGGTGCCCTGATGTTGAAGAAAAGCTCTCCAATTGTTGTCATCAACTAGAGACAAGAAAAAAATACACCTTGACAGTTAGAATCCTTTCATTATTTTAAGCACCGCACCTTTGTCCAATTTACATCCGATGTAAAATAACTTACATCTCCAAAGTTCTCGTCAATGGCCAGCACGGGCTTGTACTTGGCAGCGATCTGCTTGAAGATGGAGGCATTTCCAGTCTCACATGCCAACAGCAGCATCTGCGTCAAGTTCAAGAGCGACGACTTGAAGGTCTGAATAGTCTTGCCATTGGGGGACGTTTGGTCAGCAGCCAGGTAGGCAGCAGGCAAACGCTCCACAAAGGTCTTGAACACGGTGTTGGCATCACGAAGGTTGCGCATGGCCAATTCCTGAAGGACTCCACGCAACAAGTAGGCGCCCTTGTCGTGGCTGGGTTCCAACTCTGACCACTCGAAGAGGGTCAATCCCAAAGCCTCGGCACTCTCTTGAGTTCCAACCAATAAATGTGCCTCTGCCTGGTTGAAGTCCTTCTCTATTGATTGAGAATGACAAGAGGTCTTCAAGGTTAGCGGTTATATCTCACCCCGAAGACAAAGTCGTTGATATGCAGAGATTATATATTACCCTTCCAGAAGAGTAACCCTATGTAGTGCTGAAGAAGAGGGTCGCCGTTCTTGTACTCGCTATTATTTGCCGACCAGCTATTTCACAACATGGAAACGTCAACATGCAGCTATGACAACTGAAACTTCTGCCACGAAAAGAAAGAGCAGGCTGTAAAAGAGGCTGAGGCGTACCTGATGGCGTTCTGGAGGAAGGTCTTTCTCTGACTGTTCTCGGCGTCCATCAAGTCAGCGAGATCAAAAATGCGGTCTAATTTGGAGATGTATGAAATGGTCGAGTGTTCAGTCCCATGCTACAAATGCCTCCTCCTGATAGTGACAGTGACGTGCGAAAGACGCATTATCCTTGATAAAGGTTGCGGTCTATTACCTCGAGACTCTTCGGTGACGGGAACTTTGTCGAGGTTGTAGACTTCGACGAGGTATAATGCCAGATCGGTTCCTGAGCCGGCCTGTTTGTGTTTGAGAAGAAGCATTGATCCCGAGCGCAAGAGATCGATCGCATCCTTGTAGTTGTGTGCCTTCACATAACTAGAGTGGAAGCAGATATAAATGCCAAGAGCGTAGCAGAGGTAACGGGTCTTAGTAAGTGGGTGCTGAATATCGTCCTTCACTGGTCGCAACCGATGTCTAAACTTGCTGAGAATCGTGTGCTCAAGTTCTCCTAGGTATTATTCCCGAATAGTTTGTACGTTCTCTTCCTTTCCTTGTCCTGACCTGTCCTGCCCCGCCCTGAGGGGAAGGTCGTCCCTGAGATGCCTATGAGAAAGAGAAGGCGCGCGCTTACCGATTGGCGACGGTGCGGTACATCTGATGAGCCTCGTAGTAGTTTCCATCGCCGACAGACTTTTCGAGCTTCTGGAGCACCTTTGCGGTTCCTCTTGCGGCGGCCATGGTTGATTCTTCTTGGGTTGGTGTGTGTCGTTAAGTTGAGATGGAAAGTGCGAGTCTGTTGCGCGCGTTTTAGATGAGCCAAAGGCGACGACCTGAGCCAGGAGGAGAGGGGTGTGGCTCAGCATCTGCCACAGTCACATTTGAAGATATTGAAGGGTCTGTCCTTGACGAACGCTTCTTGAACTCTCTTTTTTCCACGATCCCCTCTTCACGACTTCACTCCCATTCTCAATTCTCGCACCATCACCGACTCACCACCTCTTGCTTCTAAACAACACCTAGTGCATCACACATTGCTGAAACAAACCTCCCTTTTTTCGCTCTTTGAAGCTTTTCGTTCAACGATGGGTGCCTACAGACCTCTCGTGGTAAACTTCTTAACCAATGCTTCACAAAAAAGAAAAAAAATACGAACCAGGCGTCTGAAATAGCATTATGCAGAATTGGTGTTCACCAATATCGGATTGTCCAAAATAGGTCACAGCTCTGCTGGAGGGATGTCCTCTTCAAGAGAGCAACTCTGTTGCAACTATGGTAAGCGACACCTCTGAAGGACTAGCACCTTTCCTGTCGCTATTTCTCAGACTCAATGCACGTGCTTGATCCTGATTCGATTATCCTGTGCCCATGTTAGAGAATGAATCTGCTGGCGTCAAGCAGAGATGACCCTAGAGTCTTGTTTGTCGGTACGTCAAATCACTCTTTTCATGGCTTTCCGCACAAACCTTCAAGCGTTCATGACAATATCATGATCATACCAGGCTGACAGCATCTCATTGGATAATACAATCACAATGGAAATGGGATCACTAGTCAACGACGACAAGATTCTTGTCTACCGATTTTCAACCCTCACGCCGTCCGCACTGCCTACTTTGGTCGATCGGATAGCAGATCCACGATCCAACGACGAAGATGTAAGTGGCATTGGTAAACTCTCTTTTGCGCGAATGTCATAATTCCCGTCAAGTATTCAACGTTTTGACTGACACGATCTAGTATTGTCACCGTCCTGCTGTGTGTAGGAGTCAAAGGATAGGACCATTAATGCAATGCAAGTTGGATATCTGGGCACAGAGGAGGTCCTAGTTACGGCCAACGATGCAGGAGAGGTGTGTGTATGGTTCACCAACAACCTCCGAAGGACCCCTCTCTTACTCAGGTACTAATGAGTAACAACTCCGTCGAGACATTGTCCAACCTCATACTCAGTATCTAACTTTTGCTCCCATGTTGTCATCGATACTAGTGTTACAGAGTCGGCTTGGGGTATCGCCATTCATACGGAACGACGGCTGATTGCCATCTCGACCAATGCCCATACAGTCACCATCTTTCATTGCGGAACAAATTCGCGGATGTCACCACGGCATTATTCGACTCAACCAACATCGACGCCTTTGACGGCAACAGACGATCCCACTACTTCTCAACAGATTCTATTCGGGCATGGACATAACATCCCCTGTGTCACCTTTAGTCCTTGTGGCCGTTTCGTCGCCACCGCATCTGTCGATCGCACATGTCGGACCTGGCGCCTTTCGGATGGTCAACAGATTCAGCAAAAGGCGTTGGGCCCTCTTTGGGGGTGGGGAGTACGGTTCGTGCCCAAAGAGTCATGGATGACGATCACACGGGAAGAATACCGACGCATACCTAAGGATCACTTGCGGCCTGGTAAACATCCTGGACTGAATGTGCGGGACTCTCCCTTTTCAACGGCAGCGTTCTCACAGAGGCGACTTCCACCAGGCCGCGATCTCCGGATGATAAGAACGAGATGGTACGCGGGTCCTATCCATGAGGACAGAGCACGGCGACGAGGACATGGTGAAGGCGGGACTTCAAGGGGTAGAACTGCTGGACAGGATGCTCAGGAGAATGAGGACACGGATGACCACGATGCTGCACTTTTTGGGATGGATGATGATGGGGATGAGTGGGAGGATACGAGTAGCAGTGACATGGAAGAACATGACGGACAAGGTGAACAGAGTGATGCCTCTCAGCAACAGCAACCTCTAACAAGGAGTGCAACGAACCGTCGAAACGCAGGATTTGGTTCCTCCACAAACCAGCCACCCACGACTACCTCACGCGCAAGTATCACCAGGCTGACGTCAGTAGAAGTCTCGGCTGATACAGGAGACGATGGCGACAACGAAGGAACCGGAATGGATACGGAGGATGCATCAGGGACGGCTGGAGAGAGTAGCAGGTTAGCTTCCAGGACAGGGCGCGAGCGGAAACTGGAGCGGCGGTCACTCTTGTCGATGAAGGCTCTGGAGACGCAGCACTCTCGCGATCTGGGCGAATCTTCATCAGAGCAGGAACAGACGACTTGCGAGGTCCCTGAAACGCTTTCGGAAGCAGCGCCTGATCCAATCCATATCGAACCAAACGCTGTGGAGGAGTTTCAGCCAGTAACGACATCGACCTTCCGGAACAAGGGCGCCTTCGCAAACTTGGTCCGTGTCACGCCATTTCAGAGGGTGAAAACATCAGGCGCATCACCAACACCACCACCAGAGTTTCCGGAAGAGCTTTTGTTATGTGCAACGGCACGAAACATTTATTTGCTGAGTCGACATCCCCTGGCTTCAGATGTAGCACGGGATCAGGAGCAAACTCCATCGGCGCCGATGCCCTATGCGACGGAAGTGACATCTATCACATTACTGGACGATGAAGACGAGGATGGCGATGATGAGATGGCATTGACCGAAAATGCAGATATCAACGGAAGCTGGTACGAGGAGCACGAAGAGGAGGAATCCGACAACAGCAGCATGGGCCATCATCATCACCACCACGGGCACGACGACTTGGATGACTTCGACAGTTCTAGCGAGCCCGAGAGCGACGGCGGCACAAGCTCTCATCCTCATCATGACTCTGACATTGCTAGCTTGCACACGGTCACCGTCGCCCGGTCAGCCGCCACACGTGCTGATGGAAGACGGTACCACCACTTGGAGCACTTTGACCGGCTCATTGTCATGGAGTTGGTCCCAGAGCTGAGCATTCTTGTCGCGGCCAGTCAGAAGGGTACCATTACGATTTTCCGCCTTTTGCGAGTCCTTGATGATCCTTCTATAGAGCCTACTACCGCGGGGGCACCGGTATCCTCTGACTCAACAGCAACAACAACAGCAGCAGCAGCCGCCTCTCAGGATGCGGCATTTCACAGGGACAAGCGCCATAAGGGCAAAGGGACACTGGACAAGGACACGGACACGGACCGACCAAAGAGCAAGAACCAGGACAAGAACAAGACTATCACGATCAAGGGCGTCAATTTTGTCCTCTTCCCTGAGATGTATCTCCCACGTTTTGAGCCACCCCCTTTGCCACTCTATGGCGTCTCCGTGGTCCCTCTTCAGCGATCAAAACCATCACCATCATCATCATCATCAAGGAAAGGAAATGTGACAGGGGGAACGCCGACGTCGTTCATATTGCATCTGATGTACATGGACTCTCAGCTCTTTAGCTACGAACTCCGGCTCCGCAAGGATCGAGATGATCCTGTCCGACTCGGCAATATCTTTGTCTAGTGCACTTTTCGTATAGCCTTTTTTTTTCTTTTTTCTTTTTTCTTTTTTTTTGGTTTCATTGCATAAATCACAAACATGAATCGTACATATCGTTTCACTTCAAGTTGCGATTTTATTTCATTATTTGATATGAGCACGAGCAAAACGACAACAAGAAGGTCACAAAAGAGCAAACGAAAAAGAAGCCGAACAAAAAAATATTAACTGTCAGCAAAAAAAAAAAAAGAAAACAGCAAAAACGATTGGGGCAGAAGAGGGCGAGAAAGACAGGCAGCATCTTATCTTTGCCGAGAAGATCCGTGTCCGCGACTCCTTTCCCGCTGATAGTCATCCTCATCATCGTCGTTAAAAACATTCTCGTCCAGGTCCCCCTCTTCTTCTTCTTCCTCGTCAGTAGGGCTGCCGTGACCACTTCCACCACTGCTTCCTTCGCCATTCTCGCTCTCGCCTTGCTGTCCAGATCCTAGCGTTCCGTCCTCTGTAGGGCTCGGGCTGGTCATTCGGACATCCTGGTCTTCTCCTGGCTGTGTCATACCTAAACCCTCCGCATGTCCTCCATTTGACGCATCTTGCTGCTGGGTTGTCGGTGCCGCAAGTGCCTCTAGAGAATAGGGGTGGGGGTGTCCCGTAAAATGCGGACACATGGGCGAATGGACATGTGTGTACGACGGCAGAGGAGACGATGAAGACGACATCGACATGGGCATGATGGGTGATGCTGATGAAGATGATTCCTGTCCTGCATACTCATGGCTTGCTGAGCTCGACACCGAGTGTGAATGCGAGTGCGCTTGGTATCCGAAATGGTGTGGTCGATGTCGGTGGTGGTGACGTGCAGCCTGCATCATCATGTCGGCATAGTCTCGTCCAGCCTGCTCCAACTCGGCCATCAGGGGATGCAGCCCCAACGACTCTGCCGCGCTGCCGTCCTCGGAGTGAGGTACAAGCTCTTCCATATGCGTGGGAGCCATTAAGCCAGAGGGTGCTTGTCCTGCTATTGTCGATCCTGCATTGTCGGCCAATTCTATTGCTGTAACCTCAGGCCCTGACGCCGTATTCGACCCTTCGCCGAAAGCATTGTTGATAGCCAATTGCTGGACATGCGCTTCCGTTTCCCGCAAGGTCAAGCCCAAATGCGCCAGGATGGCCGACGAATGTTGACCGCCAGCAACCATCGATGCGACGGTCGATCCCATGATGCGATAACTCCTCTGAATGCTGGAAGGGGTCGAAGAAGGCATGGTCGGGTTCTCCTGCATGTATTGTCTCAGTTCCCGAACACCCTTGCCGGAAAACACACAAAAGACTTCGCGCTGGTGGGGTGTGAACTCTGAGGGTGGAACTCGACAAAATGTTTGGTACTTGGGTGACATGAAGGCAGGCACTCCAGTGACAGACAGGTGAGTCAGCTTGGGGCACTGACTGACCAGGGCTGAGACAGCAGTATCTGAGAGGTGGGCACAGTACGAGAGATGCACGCGCTCGAGCGTCTGGGGAACGATCTGCGAGACTAGCATGGCGTAGATTCCATGGTCCGTGATGTTGGTGCATTTGACGAGCCCGATCCTGCGCAACTTTGGCAGCTGAGCCATGGCAAAGACGGCTGCGTCGGTGAGTTTGGAGCAGCAGGCAAGATCGAGGTATCGAATGCGAGTGCAGTGTTGGGCCAATGTGGCAATCGCCCTGTCTGTCAACTTTGAGCAGTGTCCTAGATGCAGGTAATGAAGGTGCTTGCCCAGGAGTTTGATGACACTTGCTCCAACATCGGTGATCTGGTCACATTTGGTCAGGGTCAGGTTGCGGAGTCGGGGTGCTGCAGGGATAATTCTGGCCAGGGTCTCGTCTGTAATGTGAACACAGGACGTCAAATTCAGGACCCTGAGCTGGTCGAATCGGTGTGAGATCAGCGAAGCAGAGGGGAGTTGGAGGGCGGAGGGGTTGGATCCAAGGGGAATGGCTGAGAAGGCTAGGTCGGAGAGATTGGCGAGGAGAGTCATGTTGATATCCCGGATCTGGGGCAGACTCTGGACAACAGACCGAATAGCGGTGTTGGTCATAAGGTTGCAGTTGGTGATATCGATTTCCATGAGCTGTGGGCAGTTCTGCGTGAGTGCAAGGATGGACCGATCTGTCAGGAGAACGCATTGGCTGAGCTTGATCTATCGTAAACAAGGAGACAGAGAATTGGACACGATGTGTTGAGTGAGCGATCTAATGCACAGGAGTGTCATAATTATCGGACTTGCGACAAGTTGCCTTTGTGCCGCTGCAGCGGCAGCAACCCTTCCCTTGGCATGACCTCGGAAACAATACGGAGGTGAAGGAAGGGATGATGATGAGAGCTGTGTTGATTGCCAATGTATATTCATCTCCTGGTCTTGTTTCCTGTAATATATCTCTGCTCTTGTAGCAACATCACAAAGAATAATCTTATTCTCTCTGTCTCGTCTGTCTGTCTCTAGTTCTCTTCTCTCTGTTAAAAGGGAGTGTGCATACATCACATATCTGCTGGAGATGGGACTGAGATAAATGCAAGGGATGATGACGAGAAGAGGAGAGAATACTTACTCGCTTGAGACTTGAGCAACTAGCGGCCAGTTGCACAATAGCATCGTCGGTAAGGGCCGCACATCCGGCAAGGTACAGAGTGTGGAGTTTAGGGCAGAAGCGGGCGACAGAGTCCAGCACCGCATCCGTGACGGCTGGGATCTCGGACAGATCCAGGGAGTAAAGACCCTTGCCGGCCTGCAGGATCTGCTTGAGCCCTTCCTCTGTGGTCTTGTTGCATCCTGGCAACAACAGCCGTTCGAGCCGCGAGCAGCCGCTGAAGCGGATCAAAGTCTCGTCGGTGAGTTCCTGGGCAAGGAAGGAAAAGTTGAGGCGGCGAATGTAGGTTGCATAGGGGAAGATGGTCTGTGTTCTGTCGAGGGTCATGATGTCACACATCTTTATCGCCAAGGGTATACTGAGCAGGGCGGGGCGAGACCATAGGAGGTCGACACCGCAGGAGCACCACAGCTTGCAGACGAGGATAACCGAGCGCAGGTCGAGAGGGTTGGAGAGGAACTTGAAGATGTAGACGATGAGTTCTGACGGGATGGATGGGTATTGGTTTCTTTCAGAGTTGTTGTTACTGTAGACCATGTGGTCATTGGTAGTTGCGGTTGCAGTTGTTGGAGACATGGTATGAGTAGTCATTGTACTAGAGTGGATGTGGTCGATGTGGTGAGTGAGATTTGAGTCTGAGGAGGACTGGCTAAGGTTTGAGCGCGAGGAGGAGAGGGAGGGAGCGGGAGACTTTGTGTTGCGGATGGTATCCGAGTGCTCGCTGGTAGTGGTGTTGGTTCCTACAAAGGCTGGTTGTGCGGGCAGCATGGTCGGCAAGAGAGGCAAGGGAAGGAGAGTGTTGTTAACCGAAGGAGTGGGTGACAAGCCGAAGAGGGTGAGAGGGGGCGGGGGAGGAGGGAAGGAGACAAGTGCCCGGGGAAGTGGAATTGAGTTGGAGAGAAGGGCAGTTGCTGGTTGAATGGAATGGAATGGAGAGGAGGGAGGGAAGGAAGGAAGGAAGAGAGGAAGAAGACGAGAGGGGTGCGAAGACGAAAAAAGAAAAAAAGAAGAAAAGAAAAAAAAAAAGGCAAAAAAGCAGTCGGGCGGCGAAATGATTGATGATTGATGATTGATGAAAAAGAAGAAAAAGCTTTTAGCCTTTTTTCTATTCCTGATGTCGATGTTGGATGTCGGATGTGTTGATAAATGCTGTAGATACAAAACACCATGGCTTGCATTCACCACAACAAGGGTGAATTAACAAGAACCAGCAGTAGCGCCCGTCGGGAGAACAGCTAGGCTAAGCCGATGGGTCACTTCAGGGGAGATGAACTGGGAGTCTGGGAATCGTCATCTTCAAGGATAAACATCCTTCTGCCATGCCCTTCTTGCCTTGCCGCAAGAAACATTCGCTTCTTTTTTCTCTCCCTTTACTGCTACTGGCCACCATTTTTTATTTTTCCTTTGGGCCAACCCTTGAACAAGCCTGCCTGCCTGCTGCCGCTACCTGTTGCTCCAACCTACTCACCCAAGGGGCTCAAAGGAGGATCAAATTCAGTTGACTTGACAAAAGGAGACAAAGGCAACGCAAGAGGGCTAGGAGAGGCAAAAGAGAGGCCAGACAAGGGGACAGATGCGCGACGGACGATGGGAGAGAAGGAGGCGGTTTATTAAATAAAGAGCCAAAATGGAAACTAGGGCAACCTTTGCTCCTCCTGGTCGAGTTGCAACAACAACACAACACCAACAACAACAATAGACAAAAAAATGGAGCCAGTTGTCGCTGTTGGTGTGTGCGTGGCGTGGTAACAACAACAACAACAACAACAACAACAACAACAAGAACAAGAACAAGAACAAGAACAAGAACAAGAACAAGAACAAGAACAAGACCAAAAAGAACACAACGCAACTTTACTGCGACCAAAGCACAGGGGTAAAAGAAAAAAAAACACAACGCATGGCCCATGCACCCACTCACGTACCCCCTCATCCCCGTCCCGGTGTCACTTTTTTAAACACATACCCCTTCCCCAAAAAAAGTAAAAAGCTCATAGGTGAACGTGGCCCTTCTGTGATCTCTTGGACTACTGGGGTTTGATGGCCATCATTCCCCCTTTCTTCCGCAATGAATGACTCTTCAACATGACCCTGCAACGATGTCCATCTACTACTACTTAGGGGTCCCTCTCCTCATGGTCCAAAATTAGCCCTCATTTTATATGTCATGATTACTTTTGGAATGTGATTTTTCATATTTCATGGGCGATTGTTATCTTTCTGTCAGGCATGTGAACTAGCAAGCTACACGCTCACCACCCACCCACCAACACCATCGCGCTCACAAGCCATTTTTCTGTAGGGTGCGGGTTTGAAATATATTGTGACAATCAGGAGGGCATGCATATGTGTCTCTCTCTCTGTCTCTGAACGGAGAGATTTCATCTTAGGGGGGCATACAGCAAAAAGGGACGGCAATCAAGAAATGGAAGACGACGAACGACGAGCCGAAAAAATAAGAATAAAACACGGATCATCGTTGCAAGTGTGTGCATGGGTTTGTCGAATAGATCCGAACAAACAAAAAAGTAAGAGTTCTGGGAGGTGGTCAGGGTAACCAAATGTCTAAAAATATGTTGACACCTTCACTCCTTCTGTCAACCGTAGTGGCATCAAAGGCAAAAGAGGAAGAGTGTGTATAGTGAATTGGAAGGGATGTGGAAAATGGCCGATGGGTCGTGTCAAGCCTTCTTGCCCCTGTCAAGCGGAATATCTTTTTCTGAACAAAGTCAAGATTGAATTCGTTTCACCTCCACATTGGCGACAAATGGTTGGTTCTCTTTGATTACATTGAGACACAATAACTAGAACAAAGGCCTGTTTGCTTACCCAAAGGAATGAGCGGAAGATCAAAAATCGATTCCCAAAAGAAAAACAAAAGTCCACCAGGCACACATAACATCCCGATCCTTCCTAGAAAAAATGCCCTGGATTGATACAGTCATCATGCATACCAGGGACCTTACCTTGGCCTTTGTTTGTTATTTCCCACGACCAGGATCAATCGGCAATGCAATGCGCATGGCATTGAGAGCAATAACAAAGAGAAAGGAAAACAAACAACACGCTCTCCACCTCTCCAGGTTTTGCATTGGATCTCGCACGGACATCTCAGTCCACCCCTTCCATCCAACCCCTATGATTCTTTGCAGGAATGAGAAAATGTACACATCTACACATTTATTACGAACTCCTCAATTGATAGCTTTGATTCGCTTCCGCGACTTTTTTGGTGTCAAGATAGTAAGTTCGCCCAGTTGTACCGTTGTTTTCCGAGGTGGTGATGTGTGCCTTGTCGATAACTGATTTGCTGCACCTGCTGCCGATCGTTTTTCTTTTTGGTCCTGTCTCCTTTCGTTAGCTATATGTCTCGTCGTCGCCGCTGTTTCATTCAGGTTCTGTCGCTGTTCCTTGATATTCTTCTGGTATGCGGTTAACATTTCCTATTTATAATCCAATAACTATTGTGAATCACATAGTCGCGACAGTAATGAAACTTTTAACACAATTGAGCGCATAAACATACCACATAGTTGCAGAGTAGGATTGGTGATGGTCCAGACAGGAACTCTGACATTTGTTCCTTGTCGCTTGGTAGTCGAATCATCCTTGAATCAGCTGCTCCTGCAACAAGCACACCTTGACTTCTCTTCAGGCCGCATATCATCGCCGACATGCCTACATGCAGATGCAGCAAAAATCGGAGATTAGTATAATGCAACTGACAGTGTCTTTTTTGCGGTTTCCACTTCCAAACAAAAAGACATGTCTCCTACCCCGGATATCAAGTGGTAGCATAGTGGGCAACTCAATCCCTTTCCGACTGGCTTCGCGATGGATCGTATGATTGATCCTCACATTCTTCTTGTACTGGATCTCACAGAGCCCACCATCTTCAGCCGATTTTGCCTCCGTGTTCAGGATCTCGAGGTCGCCTTCCTTGAGCAACAAATCGACCCGTCGCCCGTTTTCTGTTTCTCCTGTCACTCCAAACTTGAGGAACAATAGTCGTTGTGCCACCTGTGTCGCCCTGCATATTTTTTCTCCGCTAGATCATTGATCGAAAAAAAATAGTTCAGTACTAAAGGCAGGGTTCCGCGACGTAAAAAGAAAGAAGATGGGTCGATATGATGTACATGTACTGTACCTGGTGAACTTCAGTTTTCCACAGCTCAGGGTTTCGAGGATGAACTTCCAAAGGGCAACCACCTCTGATTCTGAGCTAGGCAAGTTCCCGTACTCAATCAACGTAGCCCTATAATCTCAAAATAAATCAATCCCTACATTTAAATATAGGTACATCCTCACTCTACTATCTCAAAATATACCCAGCCCAAGAGCACAGAGCGAGAAGAAAAAGTGACTTACAGATGAACGACACATCGCAGCATAGGCGTGATGCTCGGTCGATCCTCGCCCTCAATCGTAGCCTTGGCGATCTCCCCGATCATAACTTCACCCTTGAGCACAAGCATCTGGATCCCGAGATGGAGGCATTTCCGAAGCTGAGAGAGTAGTTGGCCGAGCTCCTTGTTCTCGGCGCTCAGCTGAGGTTCCAGGGTCGAGGGTGCTTCTTCGCAGATCCATGTCCGAGTATCCAGGATCCCGCTCATCCCGACCCTATTTGGTTGAAACGAGAAATGAAGTCAGCTAAACGAAAACAAATATGACACGCCCAAACGCGAATGAGTTATGGATACCCTACATGAGATCCTTGGAGTCTTCGGTGCTGAGCTCGGCTTGTTCAATCAGGCTGCGCGAGCTTGAAAAGATTTTGACCTCCAGGTCTGACAATCCTTCCGTAGAAATCTTGTCCAGCCCTAGAGTGTCTTGTCCGCGGAGCTAACGACAGCACAATCCATCATATATCCAAGGTTAGTTTTGACGTCCGATAGTTATCACGCTCTCAATGTGTCGAAGGGAACACTAGATGAGGTAAGGTTGCTTACCTTGTTCACAGTTGCAAGTAATAGATGACTCCACCTATCATCGAGGTCTATGCTTGATGCTTCCAGACTTGATTCCTTGGAATGAGTTCTAGCTGGTGGTAATGGTCGTGACGATGTCGGGCTGCTTTCTACTGGATGCGACTTTATGCTTGTTTCTGGGTCCTCTGATGTCTTTTTTGTTTCCTAATGGACGGTTGATGAGAATATATATCAGTCTCAGATCTGTAATTCGTGTCTGAATAATTTGAACAGTTTTTTGTTTCAAACCTTTTCAGTGATACGATCGCGGTGGCGCTTTCTATTGCCCTCTGATCCTAAATAATCACGTTCAAGTAAGGAGAGGTCTTGGTGAGGATACGAAAAAAAGCAACCAGGAAGAAAACATTGAGAACAAAAAAACCGCAAAGTAGTCTTACCATGCTTGTTGTCCTGATTGAGCAACAGAGTCAACCGCCGATCACTCCCCTGAAGCTGCTCCACACTCGTCGCAAGCAACTGCAACGACCGACTCTTGACCAGCAACTTCTGAATCACATTATCTGCCGCCGAACTCAAACTGATATGCTTACTGTTGTTATGAAAGGACAGACTGAGATCGACAAGGCATTGAACCCCGCTGGACTTGAACAGGTGGATCCATCGCTGCCACTCTCGCGTCAAGTCAGTTTTTGATTCAATACTGATATCTCGTGCGAGGAAGTAGTCTTCTGGGTTGGCGTCGCGAATGTTTTTGAGGGACGAGAAGTAATTGGCGCCGTGACGGGCTTGGAACCCTTGGGCTTCTATCCAGTCCTTGCAGATCATCCTGATGGGTTGTCGAGGTTGTGAGGTTGAATGAATGAAGGGAGTATTCTGTGTGACCATGAAGGCATTGCCTCTTGAGGTCACGTGTTAACACGCTCCTTGTATTTCTGGTCTGCGGTGATTGTTGGTCAACATCAGAACCTACCTTCATCCAACACCTCCTTCACCTTGTTATACATCGCCATTACCTGCGTCTTGTTCATCAACGCTTCCCTCTCCCGCGCCCATCACCACAGCACCAAAAACAGCCGCACACCAAGGTACAAATTGTTTAACCTCCCTCCTCTCCTTTTCAAAAAGGATACGAACATGGGTACCAGATCGGTCTAGCTCTGCCTCGCTCTTGGCGATGACCGTCGTTCAAGAGCTCGTGGAACTGGATTCAACCCCTCAGGCCTCGGGCGAACCCTACCGACATGCACTGAAGCCTTTCTGTCTGCTCTTTGCTATGGGGTATGCGCCAACTGTTGTCCTACTCATGTATTTGCGGAAGAGCTATGGACAACAGTGTGACGCCTGGGGACCAACGACCTGGTACATAATAGCCATACGGGTCGTGGATATCGCAAGTCTTCGACTCAATTGCTCCTTTTTCTTCTTCAAGAGGGTGCTCGTTTCTTTTTTCTTCTTCTACTTATCGTGCTGGTCTGGTCTGCCTCTCACTGTTTCAACATCCAGATATTGTTGTCAGGTGCCCGCAGTATTGGATTCAACTCTCAGGCCTCGGGCGGATCTCCTTCACAGACCTATTTGTGTTTGCGGAGATGATACGCGCCAGCTGTGTCCTCTCTCTCTCGATTGTTACCTTTTGACAGGAGAATTCTGGACAATCAGTGTGACGCCTGGGACTGACAGCTTCACCGTTAATACATATTTCGTCGTGGGTGTTTTCTTCGATGAATGTTGTGGTGAATAGTTGATAAGAGTGTTGGTCCACTTCAATGATGCCTTGAGATTCAAGTTCTCTAATGTACACACGTTTCTTGTTCTTCTTCTCCTGAGCGTGCAACCTAGCACTAGGTTGCTCGCTCAGGAACGCATATCTAGGCACAGGAAAATGACCATGGATGGAGAATATTCAGGAACTATTGGACTGCAAGTACTGATAGGATCATGGACAGGAGTTGCACTTTCGACGATTGTGAAGAGAGTGAGGATGTCGCTAGTCAATATCCCTCAGGATCGACTACTTCTCTATGATAACTATAAAGTCGTTTTCCATGTTACATCACACCCTCGTACACACATGGTTTTTATTACTGGCAGCATGAAGACTGGGCTACTGGTTCAAAAGAGTACTGTCTAACCCATCGTACACGACTATCATGACATCGTTCGCTTTTCCCTGTATTTGTCGCACTGCTGTAAAAACCAAGAAAAAGATCTCTTTGTAATGATTGATGACGCGGAGTTCAAAGTCGCGTTGAAAACGAGACGCGCCTTTTCGAAATCGAACATAATAGAGACGGGACAGCAAGGAAAAAAAAAATTACGGTGGAGGGAAACCATGCTTTGCAAAGACAAGCATTTGGTTGCTGTCCTGCTCTCTGTTTGACCCTCTGCTCGCCAACCATCGTTTGGACCATAACCCAGAGTCCTTAGATCACATGAAGCTTTTCTGCTTTTTTGGAGCAAAGGAAGGATAGGTCCGTATGTTAAAGGTACAAGAAAAAGAAAGGAGTCAAAAACATGGTCACACTTCTGGTGGACAAAAACGAACAAAGGTACTTGTACTTATTCGTTAAGTCTAGGCACAAGAGCCGCTCGAAGTCGGTGGCAATTAACCAATGACGCATCACGGGCTCAAATGAACAGTGCTAACAAGGTATCTTTTGTAATGTCACTAATCCAACTGCGCGTTGTTGAGTAAAAGGTAAACAGCATGGGTCTTATCGTTCTAAAAATGAGTGGCTCGGAAAAAAGGAAAAAAAAAAAAACTACAAGGAGACAGAAGATTTCTGTGTATCCAGCCAGCACGAGACTTGAGATTTGGGCGAATGACCTCTTGTCTTCCTCCCTTATTCTCGATGCAACAACGACAAAACGACGACTATGTTTGTGGAGAAAGAACTGAAAATGAGAGCAGAGCAAACGAAAGAAATATAAGGCCATGCATGAGCATCGAAAGAAAAAGATGATGCATCTGCTTTCCTTCTGTAAAAAATGAGTGTGTGTGTGTTGGTGTAACGGCTTCTCCTCTTGGGACCCCGGATACTGCAAATCGCTCTTCTATGACTCTTTGTCCGAAAGGGTCCCATGAGTTCAGGTGGCAGTAAGCATCAGAAAAAAAGAGGAAAGGCTTTTCTCGCGCGATCATCGATTTCGAGCAAGTGCTCATCGGTACAATGTCTTCGAAGCGAGATAGTAACGTTCATAGGATCGGGAATGAAATAAAGATGTAAGGTATCCACAATGGCTTTTTGTCCAGCGTCAATAGAGGTGCAGAAGTAGCGACCGGCTTTTACAAAAACGCAAGAACAAGGCGGAGGTAACAAGAGGGAGCGTGACGATTGAAGAGATGGTGGGGTTAGGGTGAGTTAGCTGCTAGTTGGACCCAAGGGAAGGCAGGACACGGGTGACCCAAGGGTCCTGTGTGTTTATGGAAGAGAAAAACAACAAAGAATGGAAAGGAGAGGGGCAACGAGACAAAGAGGATGAATTGGCTTCCAACTCCTATTAGAGTACTTGATTGACTGAGGGAGGGAGGGAAGGAGGCACAGAACATACATACCCCCGCGAGCAAAGGAAGAAAGCAAAACGAACGAGCAATGTGCATGCAATGGTTCATCGAAGCAATTTTGTAGGAGCGATCGCTGTAGTACTTTCGTGTAAAAATATCTCCTTTTTTCCACTTCGCCCTCCTGAGGTCACATTGTTCCATTTCCTATTTTATTTTTGAGCTATCGTTCTGCTCATTATTCATCAAGCCAGTCATTCATTCGGTCGCATGTCCTCAACGCCCCATTCTCCGTTCTTTATTTCAACTCTTTTTTCCTTTCTCCCTTGTCTTTCTCTTTCTTCTTCTTTCTTCTCTCTTGTTTTTCTTCTCTTCATTATTCCTCTTTTCACCTTTCCCTTCGTCTCCGCCCTCGATTGTCCACTCGTTCGTCTTTTCCTCCCTCAGCACTCACCGTTCGTTGACGATCACTCCTAACGCTGTTGCACACGGCCGTTTGCTTTACTCCAACTCCATCCCTACTCTTCCACTTCCTCTTGATTGCCTTATACCCTTCTACTTCCTGGCAATCCGACTCAAAACAAACCTCCTCTCATCCTTTAATCACCCCTCCTCGCAGTACTCCCTCTCTCAGCGTCTTGCTCGTTCACCCTTTCTCCTTTTGAAAATCTTAACGATCCGTCTTTTGGCTCATCACAGTATTCTATCCTTTCCCAACCTCTCGGGCAAGTGAACAACACCCATTCCTCTCCTCTCCTTCACAACCTACAAAAACCACCGCAACGACAAAAACATGGCTCCAAATCGATCCAACTCGATGGACCGGCCGGGATCGGGCAACTGCTCGATCATGGAAGGTATGTCCATTTTCTTCTACTCGATGACTTTCCTCGTTTGCCCATTTTTTCCCCCCCTTTTTTTTTTCTTGCAAACAGGTGTTGTACTGAATCGCTTATTGTTCACCCTCTACGCCTTCCCCGTTCACTTCTTTCTTTTGGTGTTGAATGGATGACTCTTGGATGAGTAAATAAAAAAGAGTTGCTCAACCAACAACCCTTAGTACAAATGAGCAATATCCAGGAGGGACATGGTGATGAAGGGTTATGTGACCAGTTTTGTTTTTAATGGCTGGCCAATGGGGTTGCGTGCACATTGAATCATGGGTAGCCTATCCGTCTCAGGAGCCAACCAACCATCAGCCAGTATTCCCACTAAATTCGCCATCAATTGTATGAATGAATAACATACACAACACATCCTGCTGCACGGATGAGCCATCGTTATACACAAATTTCGCCATCGCGCCCTCCACTTTCCTTCAGGGGAATCCCCTAACGCGCAGCCGCTCTGTTGCCACACACGCCTTTCGTTAGGCCCGTTTTATTTGTTATCTTCCCCTTCATCCCCAATGTCTCTCTTTGCAGACGTTGCTTCGTTCGTGTCCTAATTTGTCATCGATAGCAACGCCCACATTTTCACCCTTGAGAGAGAGGGAATGGTGCAATCACACCTTCTCGATGAGTAGTTGGTGGACAAACTAACCCCAAACCCAACTCGTTTTGTTTCACCTCTCGGCAATAGTGTCCTTCAATATTCTCAATTGCACAGTCGGCTCAGGGATTCTTGCTCTGTCGTTCGCGATCAAGTAAGTTCCTTTTTTTTCTTTTTGATCTGCAAGGTCGACTAGGAGGGGGAAAAAGGGTCCTACGAAAGAGAAGAAGAAAAGGCAGAGGGAGAATGAAGGGCGAGGGAGGGAGAGTAGGGAGAGGGAAAAGGATGTACGGGTTTTGCCGCGATGCCGAGATTGAGATAAACGACTGCAGAGCAATTTACCCACGCTTCGGGATAATGCATGCACTTCGCATAGATTTTTGCATTTTCTACCCTCCGTCTCGACAAAAAACAGCAATGACATCTAACGACCCTCGCATCTCTTCGTTGAAACAAAATAGAGAGAGTGGGTTCGGATTGGGCATTGTACTCTCAGTGGCAGTGGCGATATTGACCTGGTTCGCACTCTACATCCTGATCATATCTGGAAAGAAGATCAACGTCTACAAGTACGCGATTCTGTGCGAGGCGACAATGGGCAGGTTTGGATTCTACCTGCTCAACAGTGTCATCTTCTTCCAGACAGCGGGAGCCTGTATCACCTACATGATCGTCATTGGCGATACTATTCCTGTTGTTCTTGATATCCTGGGCTTTGAGGTCTCGAGGCGATGGATCATCTTTGTCTCTTCGCTTCTCTTTGTAAGTTTTATGATCCCCTTTCACGGCTTTTTTTTTGACAGACGCTATTTTGAGAGTTCTTGTTAGCATTGACTGCAGGGTCTGGAATGCATGATAAACAACTCTTCGCATACGCATGCGCGTACAGAAATGCAAAAGGACACATAACCATCTAACACGTCTCATTCCCTCCCCTTGTGACACCCAAAAAAAACTTGTAGATCCTCCCATTGCTATTTTACAGATCGATCGGATCTTTGGCAAGGGTATCGATGGTCTCAGTCATGACCCTTCCCCCAATCCTGTTCGCCGTCGCCGTTCGAGGCATGTACTATGCCCCCGAACATAAGCGGTCGTATGACTTTGTCGGTAAAAATGTCTTCCCCGCCATCGGCGTCATGGCCTTTGCCATGCTCTCCACTCAGGTACGCATTCCGGATCTTCATCAACAAAACATTGCCTCGCACGAGCGGAGATCATCAGCACGGAAGAGCACAAAAGAAACGTTGAACTGACTTTTTTTTTTTTACCTCTTGTTCTTTTGTTATTATTAATAGACGGCATTTTTGAACTTTACGACGATGGCACAGCCGACACGCAAGGCATGGGGTCAGGCGACAGGAATTGCAGTCTCGCTCTCGTGGTTGATCTCTTTTGTGTTTGCCATCATTGGATTCGTGTCTTTTGGCGAGGACGTCCAACCCAACATCTTCAACTCTTTCCCCCTGACTGATGGGCTTATCAACTTTGGACGTGGGCTTCTGGGCTTTTCCATGTTCTTGACCTTCCCCCAGGCTGTAAGTTTTTTTTTTTTTTTTTTTTTTTTTTTTTTTTTTTTCAACTTCTGAGTTAGGGCTAAAGCGACTTCAAGATATCGTTCTAATGAAGATATTATCGTTTTTTTTTTTTTTTTCTTTCATGACAATAGTTTTACCCGGCACGCGCAGCATTGCACAAAGTCCTAGGCCACGAAGACAACCACATTATCCCCACCGACAATGAACACTTCTACACCACCCTGGCACTCTTCTTCCCCATCCTCGTCTGTGGTGTCTTTATTGCAGACCTCGGACTCCTCTACCAGCTGATTGGAGGATTCTGTTCGACCTTCCTCGCCTACATTATTCCTGGCGCGTGCTACTTCTTGATCTTTTGGAGGAAGGATCCTTCGAGCTTGAGGAGGCTTTCGAAACCCCCTTCCTCGAGTGATTCTCTGGAGAGCGAGGCTGGTGGGGCAGGAGAGCATGGACGCGAGTCGCGGTATGAGGATGGTGATGTCGACTCGTTGGAGAATATTGAGGAGGATGGCAACAATGATGAGGATGAGGAAGAAAGGATCTTGAAACAAAAGTTGGCTCAGGATAAAAAGTCAGAGCTCGGTTTGGAGGAGGAAGGAAGGAATATTGCCCGTCAACATCGTCCTACACTCACAAACGACAGCGCGACAGCTTCGACACCCATCCTGGACAGGCACCAATTGAACTACGGGTCTACTGGCGCGTCTGAATACTCTTCATCCGACCTCCAAAGTACCAACTACGCGACCATCAGTAGGAGGGAGAGTGCGGGTGAACGCAAGACAGAGTTGTGGTTGGATGTTGGAGCGGGGATCTTGTTGGTCTTTGGGGTGTTTGTGATGATCATCTCAACTACCATAACCCTCAAGAAGATGGCTGGCTATATGTAAAGCCCCCCCACATTGTACAATCGTGATATCCCTTGTAGTCTTTTGTGTAAATACATACCTAATTTATTTTCTATTTACCTTCAATACTTGAATGAAAAGAGGAGGTTTTTACTCCTCAGAGGCAATGTTGTAGCCAGTAGAGGCCAAGTTAGCCTCCAACTGCTTCAAGATAATAGGATAAACATCCAAATACGCCTTATCGCCCACAATACAATCCAAATGACCATACCCAGGGATGAGCTCGCGCCTGTAAATACTCTTGTAGTCATAGGTCATGTTGGTCATCGGCAAATTGGTGTTCCTCAACTCCTCAATAGTCTTCAACGTCGCCTCGGGAATGAAAACCTGGTTCTTGGCACCATGGATCAGCAACACAGGAACATTCTCCAACCGTTTCAAGTTCTCGGGCGTGCTCAGATCCTGACCCTCAACATTGGTAAGAGTCTGCTTCTTGGCCCAGCCCATGACGAGAGTCTTGAGAGACTCCATGTTGATGGATCCAAGGATCTCCTCGAGGTTGTCGTGGATGTTCTTGGAGAGCTTGTCGTGTTCCCAGAGGAGGCCGAAACAGAATGAGGCTCGGTGGCAGATGGCGTTGTTGCAGTACTCCTGGACGGGCATGGGCATGAACCGGAGGGCGTTGTCGATGGCTCGGTCGAGGAGGGTGACCTTCTTGGGAGTGTTGAGGCCATGGGCGTCCTTTTGTTCCTCCAACGACGCCGAAGGGGAGTGGGTAACACAATCAAACTCGTCCTGGCCAAGGACCTTCTCAAAGAGAGGGACCAACTGGAGAGACTGCTTGATACGATCAGCGGTCGAGCTGATGGGGCGGTTAGCGACTTGGGACGAGACGATAGCTCCAACACCGTCAATGTCGCCGTTCAAGAGACCAGCCCAGAGGGTGAGGGATCCGACACAGTGGGCAACGACCTGGATGTTCTTGACACCGGTCTCATTGAGGATAATTTTGATTGCGGCGGCGTGGTCGAGTGCTCCACCGTAGATGTTGGATTGACGACGGTGGTCCTCGACGAGGATGGAGCAGCGCCAGTCGGACAGCCAGACGTCGTAGTCGTGGGCGAGGAGGTAGTCGCACAGGTTGTGGGGGATCAACTCTGTCGAGAAAATCTCTGAGCTGACCGATGCACCGTGCAGCTACGTGAAACACACATCAGATCAGGGACCCCAGTCGAAAAATTAGGTTTTCTGGAACCCTGAAACACATCGCTAATTAATAATTCATGTCTGATAATATGTCAGTGATCAGAACTTACCAGAAGGACGGGTCCCTTCTTGCCCTTATAGCGGGTCAAACGGGTCTTGAAGCCATCGGAGGAGAGGACATCAAAGACAGTCTTCTGGGGACGCTGACGAGGGTACGCCTTGCGCTTGTGCGAGTCCTCGGGGTACTTGAGCTCGTTCAAGAAGGGCAAGTAAGTCTTGACCGTTGCGCTAATCGTCGACACCCCAAACTCCGTGATCGCCTTGATGTTGTCCGTCAGGCTGTTGCTATCGCCCTATTTTTGTTATTCACAACACAATATTCAAGTGAAAAGTGAGTTAGTCGACATGCCCTCTTGCTTGGGGAAAGGGAAACAACAATACAACTCAACATGGACGTGGACATGGATAATACAGCAAAGACGTACGCGGAAAGAAGAGATTTGGGTGAAGAAGTCGTCGTCGTGCTCTCCAAGCTTGCCGCGTCCAAAGACGGTCTCGACACCGTCCTCAATCTTGAACACAGTCACCAGAATCTTGGCAGGCTTGATCCAGCCCTCGAGGACATGGCCCGAAGTAATAGGCTTGCGACCCTCGAATCGGTAGCGCTCACCCGAGGTGCAAAGCAAAATCATCTTGTAAAGGATCGCACATTCATCCGCAGGGTCATCCTCGGTTCCGGTGAAGATGGTAAAGACACCGCTCTCGATCATCATGGGCTCGTCCGACAGGGCGCGGCACGAGACGGTTCCGACAATTCTGGCAGGGTGATCAGTGTGCTTCAAGAACTCTCCAATGGGACCCGTCGAGAGAGTCAAGATGACGTTCATGGTCGAGCCCGAGGAACGAGCCTGGTTGTCGGCAGTCTCAAAGTCCTCAGTCAGGATGACGGTCGAGAGATGACCCTTCAACAACTCTGTGAAGGAAACACCGGTCTTCTTCTTGGCCTCAGCAGCGGCCTTCTTGATCTCGGCCCTGCCAGGTTTGTCGGATGAGCTCTTGTTACCACCCCATGATGAGAAGACAGAGGGCAAGACCCTGTTGGGGGTCGCCTCATTCTCGCCCGAGGAGCTGCCACTGCTGTTGCTACTGTCGCTAGGGAAGGGTTCTGCAACAATCAAACCACGGACATCTCCGCCAATGTCAGCAACCTCGTTGAGGGAGTTCTTCTTGAGCGACTGAGCCAAGGCATACGCCACAGGGTTGGCCTCCGCCTCGTTGTAAGCGATAGGGAACTGAGGGGTCTTGAAGTCGAGGGGGACCAAGGTGGGGGCGTACTTGATGGTCAAACCGTGATCGCGAGCCAAAAGGGCACAGGCGCGCTCGGCAAGGGCAGAGATGGTCAAGAAGGGGTTGACTCCCAACGATATGGGCATAACAGCACCATCCATGACATAAATTCCTTCATAGACCTCCTCGCCCTGACCAGTGAAGAGCTGACCCTTGTGGTTGATTGCACCTTCGGCTCCATTGCGTCCAAAACTGGCGCCTCCAATGGGGTGAACAGTAACAACAGCCTCGTCCGTCGCAGCAGTCAGAGGGTCACGAACATAGGTACCCCGAACAGCCGCAGCCAGAGGCTCCAAGAGCCCATCCAAGCGCGAGAAGTCACGGCTGGATCCAATACCAGGCCAGTCAATACGGATACGATCATCCCTCAACGCCAACTCTCCACGAGCTTCGTCGTGCGACATAACCAAGAAGGTTTGGGTGTTGGCCATCGCGCCGCGGTAGACACCAGCAACATACGACGACAGCTCACGGGCGTTCCTGTGAATCTTTTCCTGGAAGGTGAGGTTTTCCGCCGTCTTGAGCGACTTGCTGGAGTGCTCGCTCATGACCTGGTAGATCGTGCGGAGGAACAAGGCAGCCTGGGAGGGGATCGCTCCTTCCTCGACAACGTAGCCGTCCATGACATTGGGGGTATCGCGGTAGTCGATCAAGCCGGTGATGACGGGGCCAACGCCATGCTTAAAATCCTTGGGGTCCTCGTCTCCCATCGAGACTCCGTTCACCAATGTCTCGCCGTTGTATGAGAATGCGAGGAACTACATTGCATAAAGGAGCATAGAGAAGAATGCGAGAATGTTAAGAGTCCGTCTGCATGTTTCTCATTATCGGCGGTCATAATCACATGCGGACAATGCAGATAATGCGAGAGCAATATTATTTTTTTGCAAGTGGGTTGGGGTGGCGCAAAGACCCTTCCATTCCCATTCCTTCAGCCATGTAAGCGCAACCCATGTTATTTTTCGTGGTTCAAAAATAACCCAGGAACAACATAAGGACATTTTTTTTTCCCACAATGAAATCACATTTTGTTACTTACATCGCCGTTTCCACTGAAATGCTTGCCCAACTGGTCAGAGGTCTTGAGTCCACACTTGGCCGAACGCAACAATACCTCAGTAGTGCCCAGAGCACCAGCACCCAAGACAACAATGTCGGCGGTGATAAACATGGGCGCAATGTTGGCACCGTGCTCATGCAAGAAGACGGCACGGCTGTCATCCTGCCACTCAAAGTAGACCACGTAGGGTCCGGGTTGGTGGGATTTCTTCTTGGCCTTCTCGACGCGGACAACGTTGCAGGAGGTATAGATCTCGGCACCGTGGTTCCAGGCGTCGGGGATGTAGTTGAGGAGAGTGGTGTTTTTGCTCCAGTCGTTGATTCCTGTGGTATCGTTGCCGGTGAGGGTGCTGGCCTTTTGGTGGACTCCAGCGGGGTTGAGTTCGTCCTTGAAGTGGACGGTGATGGGTGGGCGGACAAATTTGTCGTGGGCGCCTGCACCCTTGGCCTGAGCCTCGAGAGTGGCGAGTTTGGGGAGGACGGGCCAGTCTTCGGGGTAAGGAGTAGGCTGGAGCATGTCGATGGCGTGCTGGAAGGATTGCTCGAGAAGTTCCTTGTCCTGAGTGATCTCTTCGGGCCAGGCCTTGTCGTTCCAGAGACGGGGCTCTGGCCTCAAGGCCGTGTTGGCATTCAACAGCGATGTTCCTCCCAAGCTAGGTAAGTTATCGTGTTAAAGAGACATGGCGGAAGTGTCAATTCTAATAGTCTTTTTTTTTTTGGTGGCAAACAAGAAAGCAAAACAAGCAACGCTGACTGGCCGTGTCTCATTCAATCCAATCAATCAACAGACATTGGTATATTACTCTCATGGTCCCTGAGAACAAGAGAACTTACCCGCAAGCAACAAAGGCCCACTGGTCCTTATTCTTATGGATCTCATAAAGACCCGTCCGCTTGCCCTCATGGCCATGCTCGCCATTGAACTGCACTTCCATCGCCGCCTCCAAAGTATCCTCGGGGTACTCGCCAGGCCAACGTTCCTCGCCTCGCTCAAGGATGCAGACGCGCTTGCCCATACGGGCCAGACGGGAAGCTGCAATCGCTGCTCCGTATCCTGAACCGACCACAATCGCATCGTAGTGTGACTTGAGCTGTGTTAAGGGAGAGCTCAAGCGGGGGAGACTTATCTTGTCCTTGTGACCCATGGTGCTTTGACGGATTGGTGTAATGTGAGAAGAAAGAAAAAAAAAAAAAAAGAAAGATGAGAGGTGTTACAAGAGGGGAATGAGACTACTAGAAAAGAAAAAAAAGAGAGGAGCAAGGATGGAGGAGAGGATGTAAAAGGATGAGAATGAAAAAGAAAAAGAAGAAAGAGTTAAAACGGAAGGCGGGGGGTGTACTTTTAGTGTTTTTCAGCTGTGGTCTAGAATAACAGCGAACGGGAAGAGCGGAGCAAAACCATCGACAGCCAGGCACTTCCACCCAGAAGCTAGAAATAACATTTGGGCTCGACCAAGCCCAAAAGGAAAAAAAGAACAAAACATACTGCCTTGCTTTTTTGCTCACGTAAACCATCATGGCGCACGCACGTTGTTTCGTTGTTTGCGCCTTAAGAAACATAGGGGAGGGAAGGAGACGGGCCACCTTCCGGTTCAGCCCCGACTCTCTCTCACTCTTCTCCTTGCGGTCAATGGCTCACCTTTTTTTCTTTACTTTTCTTCCATTCATGCATCGAAACAAGGTCAAGCAAAGCATACCATGCGCCGTTTTGACATCGACTTTTTGCACTGGGAAGAACAGCGACGTTGAAAAGGTACATCGGGCAAAATGTCATTCTCCCGAGGAGAAATCAAACTGTCTGGACAATTCCAAGCGGTTCGCATGTGAACAAACAAAAATATAGGGTCGAATGATCCCCATTCATCCTCGGCTGTTCACCAAAAACCATCCAGTCGAAGCAAGCAGTGCAGTGCACAGGCAGTATTTTATCTCCGCACAACAGCCTCCTCCTCCTCCTCACTTTGTCATTTCAATTAACTTGTGTAGACCAATGGCCACCAAAGTGGTTCTTTTATCAAGCGAGTAGTACTACTAAATACATTTTCTAGATTTCTTTCTCATGAATGCATTATGCAAAGTGATAAGGAATATGCTGAGAGAACAAAATTACTCGCCCTGTGGGCGGCTGATGGTTTTCCGCTTGTAGAGACGCGCAACCTCATCAGGAGAATAATTTTTCATGGGCGAGTTGGAGCCAAGTGTATCATTGTCGGTATGGCCCGCCGTCGATTCGTGCATCTCGCGGGTCACAACTTCCAAGCGCTGAGGCAAGGCGAAGTACTTGATGCCAATGTCCTCCACTGCTTCCTTCAACGCGAAGTTGAACTATTAGAACGAAAAAAAAACAACAATATTGGAGTCAGTAATCAAAAGTAACTTACAGCCGGCAGTAATGCATTGACCTCATTTTTTTTTGTTCTCCTCCCTGAATCACTTCTTGCTTACCTTGGTTCTCCGGGCCCAGCGACGGCCCGAATCTTGCCAGTTGCCCTTGTGCTCGATGACCATGCTGATCTTGAGCTTGACGTCCATCTCTTGAATCTGGATCTCCATATCGGGCAAGAACTCCTTGCTCTCCTTCGCCAAATAGTCTCGCATCCTGGCACGGAGCTCCAAAATCTTGTTCTGCGGCGTGTAACAGTCGACATTGAGAACTATCGTAGATACAACAAGGATAGAAAACAAGGTCAATACGTTTTTCTAGAAGTCACAAAGTAATGCGAACAACAGACAGAGTGGATAACTTACCAATCTTCTCGGACATGTTGGGTGAGCGACGGACGTTATGGATGGGCTTCTGGCTGAGGACGTTGTTGGGATAGTACATGCGCTTTCCGTCCCAGGTGACAAACATGGTGCTGTTGAGGCCCACTTCACGAACATACATGTCGTTACCGTCAATGTTGCACAAATCACCCGAGTCGTAAGGGTGCTATATGTGAGAGCAAAACAGAAACAGTAAAGAGTAAGTAGGCATGATTTATGCGAACTGTCAGGCGTTCATACTTCAGTGAATCATAGAGACGTACGGTGATGAACAAGAAGACAATGTTCTCGAAGAGGGTTTTGAGCGAGTTTCCAAAGACAAAACTGAGGGCGACGAGGAAGGAACCGATGGAGAGCATGTTCTGGACGACACTGGTACCAAAGATTGATAGGATGATCAACAGCCAGACCACAGTGACAATGGTCAAAAAGATAATGTCCAACTTGCCGACGGCCTGTGAGAGATCCCTCAGGGACGTGTGTAGATCCTTGCGCTCCTTGTAAATATAAAAGATCTTCTCCTTGATTTCCCGCTTCGAGATGTCGCCGTTGCCGTCCTTGTCGAAAATCGAAAACGCCTCCTGAGAAGCCTCCTCGGTGTCAAAGTAGGGGTAAAAGTCCTGAACCACCAGCTCGTCGCCGTTGCCTTGCAAGTTGTAGAAGAGCGTCTTGGCCAGTCGCTTGGCGTTGTGGGTCGAGTTGATGTCCTTGGTGGGTATGTTGTCAGCCATGGCAATTCCTTGGAGAGTTCGGTTGATGCCCTTGAAGATGTCGTTGGGTTTGACGCCCTTGCTGTCGCGTTGATTCTTGCGCTGCTGAGGAGCAATCCCCATCGATGCGCGGCCTGAGTACTCCGTTGGGGTGGAGAGGGGTGTGGTGGTGATAGAGGAAGGTTCGGTCAAGTGGACAGCATCGCCGTTGCCGTTGTCAAGACTGTGAGAGCGAGAAGCTTGGCGTGAGCGGTATCCTGCACCAAAGGCCATGGCAAAGTCTCCATTCTCAGCAGTGCTGTTCCTGCTGTGGGTAGGCCGGATCTTTTTGTTGATCTTCTTGGATGTTCCCAGGCGGTCGAGAACTTGGAGCGCGTACTTGTTTTCCTTGATACGTTCAGCATAGGCAGTCTGGTGGAAATTTTTCGAGATGATCTGGAGGAGGACCTTCTCGACAAAAATTAGGCCGAAACCAGCGACGAACGCGCAGAGGACTTTGATGAGAATAGGCTGCCAACTCGCCTTTTGCTTGATGATAGGATGGATGATGGTAGAGAGGATAGCAAAGGAACCGGTGGCCCAACAGGAAGCAAAGAGCCACTTCAGGTACTTCTTGGTGCCGACGAAGATCAACAGGCGCGACTTGACAGTCTCGAGTTTGTTGCTGGCGACAAGGGATGTCAGACGGACAATGACAACAGGGATGATGTCGACGCCCCAGTTGGTGACACAGACGACGCACCACATAACTGCCAGCCAGGTAAAGACGAGCACAATGGAGTCTCTGCGGATCTTCTCCGTGTCATATTGGTTCATGGCGTCTGAACCGTCAGGCTCATCGGGCTTATCGACGACCTTCAAGAATATCCTGGTCAAGATGGCAGGGAGTGCGACAATCGGCGCAACGAGCAGCATGAGGATGAGCATGCGCAAGAAAGGCGAGAGTCGTCTCCACTTGGATCGTGACCTGTCTTTCTTTCGATTCTGGACCTGGCCATGGTCATCAATGTTGATATCTTCGTCCCAGTCAAAGTCCTCCTCGTCGCTATTCATGGCCTGTCTGGGCGGCGTAAAGTCCCTCTCGATGGCCTCGTCCTGCTTGAGAATCCGCTCGATCTCGATCATGGTCGACGTTGGGTGACTAGAAGCGGTCGAGTAGCTCCTGTTGCGGGTATCTTGGTTGGGAATGTGTCCGCACTTGGTGCTGGTGGGACTACTGCTGTTGCTGTTGCTGAAGGGGTTGATTAAGGAGGGACGAGTGGGTGTGGGTGTGGAGTAAGGGTGGAGCTGTGCGGGGTAGATAGGACCTTCTGCTGGAGGGAATACCATCGGAGGGCCTCCTGAGGGGTCGTTGGGTGTGCTTGGCGTGAATGTCATGGTCAATGGGATGTCTAGGGTAGAAGGTCGTTGACCGTTAGCACGAGCTGATTTTCCCATGGTTTCGAATTTAGTTCGCCCACACAAGAAAAATAAGCGTTACGAAGGAGGGGGGCAGGGCAGGAAAGTTGTGGAGAAGGGTGTGTGTTGGTGGTACAGAACGATGAGTGGTATGAGAGATAGTCAAGTTGCTGGTGCAGGAGATGAGATAGCCAATCCTCTTCTCGTCAGAGTCTCCATTCAGATATATGTCGACCAAGACAGGAGTGAAGAAAGTGCCTGTAAAAGACTCTTGATGGAAAGGGAAAGGGAAGAAAAAAACAGAGAGTGTAGATAAATAATAAACATACAGCGAATCGAAACTGAGCGGGAATGGACGAAGTAGGGAGGGAAGGTAAGGAAAGAAATAAAGACAAAAACGACCGGTGGAGTGTCCAGTAAGGTACAACGGGGATAATGTATGACGGGGCAAGTGCCAAAGTGCAGAGGATCCAGTGCACACTGGAATCAATAAAAGTAGATCTCCATTCATGACATGGCATTCTCTGTTATCGTTGTTTGTTGAAGTGCTCCTTGCAGGAGGAATGTTGCACAAAGGAGAAGCACACACAAGTGTAGCCTGTTCTAACGTGCGAAGGGCTAACGGGAAAGATCGAGAGGGAGAAGAAAAATCCTGTCTGCTGAGAGAAAAAAAGATGTTTGATAATTACCTGCGGAGACGTCGATGTTGGGGTTGTCGATACTGGATTCTTTCCCCGCCTGGCCGTCCTTTTGTCTCTTGAACTTCATTTTATGCATATATGTGGGCTGTGCGTTGAAGAAGAGAACAATTGGTTTGTGTTGGATATTCTGTGATGGTTGGGGCTTGTTGGGTACAGTCCAGGGGTATGTGTGTTGAAAGGCTGAAGGAGATCAAGTGAAGAAGTGAGGGGGGTAGGGTTGTCTTCGATGGATATGGATCAAAATTGTGAGGGGAGAATGAGAGTGACGATGAAGAGTGAAGGGTTAAAGAGAAAGAGAGAGAGAGAGAGAGAGAATGAGAGACTGGAGAGAAAGAGAAGAGAAAAAAGAAAGAAGAATGGAGAAGGAAAGGAAGGAGAAATGAGAGGCTAACGGCGATATGGGACCCTTGTTACCCAGCTCCGAAGTGGAGGACTATTCTTCTTTTAATATATTTTTTTATTACTGACCAAGACCTGACTGGGCGCGCCAACCAGTCAGTTAGCCAGTCAATCAACCAGTCAGTTAGCCAGTCAGTCAACCAGACATGCCCCTGAGCTGGGAAGGAATCCCAAGGATTTTTTCATTTGCGATGTCTCAATTAAACAACTTGTTATCTTGGGGGATTTCTATCCTGGGTGAACAGAGGGCGATGGGGAGCGGATAGGGGAAGGTGAGGAGGAAGACGATTGAACTGGTTCAAGGGGAGAAAAAGAAACGCGGACCAGACACACCTCTCTCGTTGTCTCGTTGTCTCGTTGTCTTGTTGTCTCGCTGTCTCGCTGTCTCTTTATCTCTTTGGCGTGTAAAAATAGTTGGTTGTAGTGGCTGTCTTGTACCCTCCTTGTCCTCCTCCTCCTCGTTCATTTCCCATTGCCAAGTAATGAACAATGCCAGCAAAAGATACCATGCTACTACCGACTGCTCACCAGGAAGAAATAAGAGTCATCGCATTCTCTTATTGGAATACACATGCAGCAGGGTCCACATAACTTACGCGCTCTCACAAAAAAAATAAAGAGTCGCTTACACGATCTATGCAGCCTATGTTGCGGGACGTGCACCTTGCATTTTTCATTTCAGCCATTTATTTCATCCATTCATTTTTCATTTTATGAACACCGGTACTTTCTTTCCATACCAATAGAAAATTGAGGCTTTGGTCTGGGACCTCTATTTCCATGGACATGGGTATCCTTGCAGCCACGAGGGAAAAAAGCGATGCTGAACAAAGGAAGTTAGCTTGGTACCCCTCATTCACTTCGAAATTGCAGGGCCTTCACTCTCACCCACAAGCCAATTTATTCTAAACACCGCCACCAGTCGTCTATGTGTATTGTGTTGTGTGCTTGAGTCGAGGGTGGTCTGCATGTAGGTACAGGTGCAGTGTATTCAAATTGGGCGTCCTCGATCACCTTTCTGTCACCATGAGTCGAACCTAACCTGCGATCAGAAATGGAAACGATCGGTTTACCAGGTCCCTGTTTGCAAGCCTCGATTGCAGCCAAGAAAGGTGTGAGTTTACATCTTTTGCTCTTGGTCGACAAGGTGAAACTGAGAAGCACTTATAGAAGCGGTCAATGGGAATCACTATATCGCCTGTCTTTCTGCCAGTCGCTCTTATCCGTGGCTAAGGAGCTGGAATGTTTACATGGGGGGGTTGTTGATACGGTATCGCATCCGATACTGCCTACGGTTCCTTGTTCGAAGGGAAAAGTTCCACGAGTCCATATGGGAGAATAGCTAATTGCCAAGCCTCCAGAGAAAGGTTTTCCTGGAGCTGGAGGCACGGCGGGTTTCAATGGAGAGGGATGAGGTGGCTCTTGTAAGGTGCGAGCTGAGTTTTGGTGGTCTTTTTGCCTTTGACTTCAAGGTCAGATCCTAGCCCAGCACTCTGTTCAAGTGGTGGCTTATCCCTTAATTTTTTTCTTTCGCCTGCAATTGCTCTCGAGCATTTATCTTGCCAGGCGCACTAGCAAGATTTTGATCCTCCTCTTTCAACCCCACTAAACTAATACAATGGTTCGTAGTCGAGTTGCAGGACACACACACACCCACGACACAGAACATATCTACATCCATCCATCCATCCATCCGTCTATCCATCCAACTTCAATCCATCACATCTATCAATCCAACCAACTCTCCATTACCTCACAACCATCCACGCGCCATCAACCATCCCCTCACCAGCTCAACTAGCCATGGACTCAAAAATACCCATCAAAGTGCTGATCACTTGGGCTTCCAGAGGGCGTAGATCTGCAGGATGTAGATGGATCGGTCAAAACACCTAGGCACCATCGCCTTTTTTTTGCACCAATCCACTTTTCCAACAAACTGCAGTTAGTCGCCATGATAGTTCCATCTACCTGACTAGTTGACTGGGCAATAGAACCTTTTTGGCAACAACTTCAGGCAGCACCTTCCCGAAACCTCAGGAGACACTAGAAAGCAAAGTAAAGGACTATCCCCTAACCTATCAATGGTCAATTGATTCCTCGCATAGGCTGCTCGTCCCGTTATTTCCGTTTTCTCCGAGTCCGGCAAGGAGGCCGTTGGCACCCAGGTTTTGCCCGCCGTCTTCAAGGCCCCTATCCGCCCTGATGTTGTCCAGTTCGTCCACAAGAACATGAACAAGAACCACCGCCAGGCCTACTCCGTCTCCGAGAAGGCTGGTCACCAGACCTCTGCTGAGTCCTGGGGTACCGGTCGCGCTGTTGCCCGTATTCCCCGTGTCTCCGGAGGTGGTACCCACCGTTCCGGCCAGGCCGCTTTCGGTAACATGTGCCGTGGTGGTCGCATGTTCGCCCCTACCAAGATCTGGCGCAAGTGGCACGTCAAGACCAACCAGAACCAGAAGCGTTTCGCTACTGCTTCTGCCTTGGCTGCTTCTGCCCTCCCTTCCTTGGTCTTGGCCCGTGGTCACAGAATTGAGCAGATCGAGGAGGTTCCCCTCGTTATTGGAAACGGTGTTGAGTCTTTGACCAAGACCAAGGCCGCCGTTGCCCTCCTCGAGGCCATCCACGCCTACGCTGATGTCGTCAAGGTCTCCAACTCCCGCAAGCTCCGTGCTGGTGTTGGTAAGATGCGTAACCGTCGTCACCGCCAGCGCCGCGGTCCCCTCGTCGTCTACGCCGAGGACAACGGTATCGTCAAGGCTTTCCGCAACATCCCCGGTGTTGAGCTCGCCAACGTCCGCACCCTCAACTTGTTGCAGCTCGCTCCCGGTGGACACATGGGTCGCTTCATCATCTGGACCCAGAACGCTTTCGCTCTCTTGGACCAGATCTACGGTACCTACCGCAAGTCCGCTGCCCTCAAGAAGGACTACTCCCTCCCCTCCCACATCATGTCCAACCCTGATGTTACCCGTATCATCAACTCTGCTGAGGTTCAGGGTTCGTTGAAGGCTGCCGGTCCCTCCAAGACCCCCCGCCCTTACACCCAGAAGAAGAACCCCCTCAAGTCCATGGCCGTCATGAACCGTCTCAACCCCTATGCCCAGACCCTCCGTCGTGCCGAGATCCTCAAGAAGACCCAGAAGAAGTCTGCTAAGAAGGCCCCCAAGACTGCTGCTGCCTTCTTGAACACCCTCCACTCCGAGTAAATTGTCTTTTTGCTTTCGCATTTTGACAACTGGACGACGGGACGATAGTTCAGCGGAGCGAGCGACGCCTTTCTGGATTCGTTTGTGTATGTGAGAAATATCGAAATAAACCCTGTGAAATCGAGCTGATTTGTACCAAGACATTTTTTACGTGTAAATAATAATGTCATGTCTGAACGAATGGATGAATTGAATTTGCTCCGCACACAAGGCCAAGGTGGACCTATATTCGACATAGAAAGTGACTGAAAATAAAAATGTGGCTTTTGTTATGTTCAGGACATTTTTTTCTTTTTTTTTTTTTTGTTGTTGTGTTTGCACTGTGTGAATAGTTGTTTAGAGTTGACCACTGGTTGTCTCCATCTCATTCTTGTCGCTTCCTTGTCCATCAACTGCTCCCTTCACTCCCATCACCTCACTCACTCACACCGGACAACACACCTCTCTCTCCAAACCACACTCACATATATATACATACACATCACTGATGCCAGGCACGCGACCCACAAGAAAGGCAACCGTCCCTAAGGCGGCCCCTGCTCCTGCAAAGAAGACCGCATCCGCACCCACAAAGAAGGCTGTTGTCGCACCCAAGAGCAAAAAGAGAACCGTCGAAGAGGCACAAGACGACTCTGATGACGAGTTTGGCGAGGTTGCCATTGACATGGCCTCAGACGATGACGATGAAGATATGGACGGTGACGACGAGTCCGACGACGCCGACGACTTTCCCGAGGAGGGTCAGGACATGTCTGCCGCAGATCTCGATGAGGACGAGGACGAGGACTCTGAAGGGTCGTACATGGATGGTGACAGCATTGCCGACAGCCAGGAGGAGCTGGACGATGAGGATGCTGACGAGGAGGACGAGGAGAGCGATTTTGACGATCTGGTCGAGGACGATATCGACCCTAACTTTGGTCACAACTTGAACGAGCCCCTGGCACCCGAGAGCGACTACACCCCCATCATCAGAGAATACCCAGAGATCGACCCTGTCTACGACAGTGATTCTTCCACTGAGGAGGTATGGAAACCAGTACAATTGAACGTTGAATGCTAGTTTCTATCGATCATCCCTTTTCCATAAGCTAACCTAGACTGGATCAATTTATTTTGCGACACCTTTCTAGAACGACAACACAGTCGGAAATATCCCCATGCACTGGTATGATGATTACCCCCACATCGGATACGATATTGACGGCAAGAAGATCATGAGGCCCGCCACCGGAGACGAGCTCGACAAGTTCCTTAGCACTATGGATGATCCAGACTCCTGGTAAGTGAAAAATGTATCTTCGACTGCCTAGCACTCTAAATTGTATGTCTGTCTACACCAACGTGCTAACACTTTCTCTTACAATTCTAGGTTGTCTGCCCACAACTACAAGGACGGTCAGGATGTCAAGCTGTCAGCAGAGGAGCTCGAGATTATTCGTCGTTTGGAGGGCAACCGTATCCCCGATGCCGACTACAACCCCTACGAGGATCAGGTCGAGTTCTTCTCTTCCAAGACAGAGATTATGCCCTTGTCTGCTGCTCCTGAGCCTAAGCGTCGTTTCATTCCTTCGAAGCATGAGGCCAAGAGGATCATGAAGATTGTTCGTGCCATTCGCGAGGGTCGCATTGTTCCCCGCAAGTCTGGATACGTTCCCCCCAAGCCCAAGTACTACAACCTTTGGAACGATTCCGAGGACAAGCCCAGGGAAGAGCATGTGATGCACATTACTGCGCCCAAGATGAAGTTGCCCACCCACGACGAGAGTTACAACCCTCCCGCAGAATACTTGCCAACCGAGGAGGAGATCAAGGAGTGGAACGAGTTGGACAAGGAGGATCGCCCCAAGAATTACCTCCCTCAAAAGTACAACGCCCTCAGGAACGTCCCCGGATACGGCCAATTCATTCAGGAGCGTTTCGAGCGTTGTTTGGATCTTTACCTTGCGCCTCGTGTCAGGAAGAACCGCTTGAACATCGACCCCGAGAGTTTGATCCCCAAGCTTCCTTCGCCCCGTGACCTTCAGCCTTTCCCTACCCGCCTGGCGATCGAGTTCCTTGGTCACGAAGGACGCGTCCGGTCCATCTCTGTCGACCCTACTGGATTGTGGATGGCTTCCGGATCTGACGACAAGACCGTCCGTATTTGGGAGATCTCTACCGGTCGCTGCATGGCCACCTACCACTTGGATGAGCTCGTTACATCAGTCGTTTGGGGACCTAGCAAGGAGGTCGCTGTCCTCGCTGTCGCTTGGTAAGTTTAGGCAAGATTGATTATTGATATCAGGATCAGTTCGTTTCTTTGTACCACCGCCACAGTCACTAACCATTATACTTTTCATGACCGACGACGTTTATAGCGGTTACAAGGTTGGACTTATTTTGCCTGAGAAGCTCTTCTCGCCTGAGCTGACCTTGCATTCAGAGGAGTACTTGAAGGCTGGATTCGCCAACGTCGCTACTGGCGAGCCCAACCCTAAGGCGCAGTGGAAGCAGCCCACACCTGCCGAGTTTGAGAAGGGCATTCGCGTCTGGGTTCATCTTCAGAAGCCCGTGAAGCAGGTGACATGGCATCGCAAGGGAGACTACTTCTCGACTGTCGCCCCCGACGCCAACAACTCTGCTGTTCTTATTCACCAGTTGACCAAGCACCAGACCCAGCAGCCCTTCAAGAAGAACAAGGGAGCTGTCCAGCGCGTCATGTTCCACCCCACCAAGCCCATGTTCTTTGTTGCTACCCAGCGTTATGTCCGCCAGTACAACTTGCAGCGTCAGGAGTTGGTGAAGACAATGCAGACGGGAGTCAAGTGGATCTCGTCGCTGGATGTCCACCCTGCAGGTGACAACTTGATCATTGGTTCATATGACAAGCGTCTCTGCTGGTTTGATCTCGATTTGTCGTCCAAGCCTTACAAGACCTTGAGATACCATCAGCAGGCTATTCGCTCGGTCGCCTACCACAAGCGTTACCCTCTCTTTGCTTCCTGCGCTGATGACGGTAATGTTCAGATTTTCCACGGCATGGTCTACAACGATCTGTTGCAGAACCCCCTTATTGTGCCCGTCAAGATCCTCAAGAATGTCCACCAGCGTGTCGACGCACTTGGTAAGCATTTTTTGTCAACTTTGTTCCTGGTCGCGGACATTTATGAGTTCATGTTTAATGGATCTACAGCCCCTGAATATTCTTTTTTCTAACTGTGTTTATTATTGCTCCTTATAGGTGCGTTGTGCGTGGAGTGGCACCCTACCCAGCCCTGGCTCATTTCCAGTGGTGCCGATCACACCATCAAGCTGTTCTCATAAATAAGCAGCTGGTTCCCTCCCTGTTCGTATCTATCTCCCCTTTACCTCAGCATATTATTCACTTTCGCATTTTCTTTTTTAGATTTTTCTTTTCCATTCATAAAAACCTTCAATTTGTAATTTTCTTAAGGGTGCCCCTTCGTCTGTTGATAACCCTCCTTCACCTTCAAGCATCTCGCATCAGCATCTACTATTCCTCCTCCTTCCTCTCTCTCTCTCTCTCTCTCTCTCCCTCTGTCTTTCCCCATCAAACTTATTGTTCAGTTTCGTCCATGCTACAACAATAACGGCCCTTACCCCCTCATCATCGCCTTCTTTCTTCACCCTTTATACCACGGAGCACATTCCACTCCGGTATGTTCATTCTTCCTCCTCCTTGGAGATGCATTACCAAATAATAATAAAAAAAAAGTCCAGCTGGACTGTTGCCAAAGCGGACAGAATCGACCCCGCAAACAAAGGCGTGTACAGATATACAAAGGCACAAAGGGAATATCTGCAATCCCACTAATGCATCAACTGATCTTTTGTCTTTTTTTCATACGATAGACTTGTCGTACCGTATGCGCATAGACGAAATATAACCAACATATTAATATTCTTAATCGCATAATGAGCAGCAGCAACGGCGACTATTTACAACCGAACCACAATGCCTCAGTGCCTGCACAACCGCCACAACCACCACCACCACCACCACACTCTCCACAGCAGCAGCAGCGGCCGCAACTTCAACAACTGCAGCTACCATCATCACAGCAGCAGCAGCAACAACTGCAACCTCAACATCAACTCACGCCACAACAAAGTCAAAGTCTGCAGCCACAACCCCTATCACCCTCTCTCATACCCGCCGATGACACCAACCATTTACAAGCACCACAGTCGTCCTTTCAATCACCGTCTCTCCACACTCCACAGTCATTTCCGCAAGGGGAGGATCTACATGCCGCGTCCTCCACAAGTACAACCAGGAATGTCACCCTGTCCTCAAGGATAGGGTCGACCGGCTCGCAATTGATATCACCCATCAATGAGGTCAGGAAACGGACAGGGCGGAGGGTTCTGCATCGTCCCCGACCACTGGACCTGGATCATACCAAGCTACATCGGCATAGCAGCCAGAACATTCACACCGGAGGAGCAGCAGGGTCGGGAACTGGATCGGATTCTAGACCGCCGTCGTCTGTACCTGTATCGGGATCTGCACACGGCTTAGGAATCGGGCAGTCAGGATCGCCTACACCAGATGCGAAGAAGCATAAGTTCCCGCTGTTGCATATCAAAACCGACTTTCATCGCCCAGCGCATTTCCGGCGAGCTACAACAGGACCAGGGGTTCCTCCTCAACAAATGGGTGCACCTCCCATGACCGCCAACATCAACAACTATACCAACAGCATGAACGCTGCGACAGCTGCAAAGGAGGAGGGACAGAAAAAGCCGCCAAGTCAATGGCAGGTCGGACTAGAGCGCATGCTGAAGAAAATTCAACGACGGAACCGAGCACCCTCCAACCTGATGTGGTATGCAGCTCATTCAACAGAGTCTTACCTTTCAGGAGCCACGCTGGAATCTCGGCCAGGAGCACTCAAGCATGAAGTGGATGCAGAGACGGAGAGCCTGTACTTTGGTCACGACAAGCCTCCTAAATGGGTGGTGGATTCCTTGCAGGGTGAGGAGCTTTTCTTCAGTGACGACACAGTGGACTTGGTAATGGGACTTCGGGACTACCTGATCAAGGCGACTGACAGCGGATGGGACATTGGCGAACTCAAGGAAGAGATCTTTCCCATGTAAGTTGACTACCTACTGTGGGCGATAGCCATATGTTTTCGCTCTTTTTGAATGATATATTTTCACCGGCTAATATCTCTTATTCAATGCTGTCTATAGAGAACCCAAGCCTCCTATTCTCGGTCGCAGCAGGAATAGGTCAGTATCACCTCACGAGAGTCCAAGGAAGAGTTCGGCTAATGGTAGCCCACGGAGATCCCCGTCCCCTCACTACTCGGCACCAGCATCACCAGGAGCGGCATCACAGGAATCATTCCATTCGAACGACGCCGACAACGTTTTTCAACAAGCAGCGGGCCGCTATGTGGAGGAGGTGGAGGCATATCGACTTTTGGACTACTTCATCGCTGTCCTATCCGATATCATCTCGCACGACTGTCGGTACATGGTACAGAACCCTCGACCTTCACGGCCCGAATGGGTGCTGCACTCATTTGTTCTCGACATCCTGTTCCTCCTCGCCAAATCGCTCTCAGCGGACCACAAGGCGGTCTACGACATTGGGATGATTGCGCTATCGGCTTTCCCCATCTTCAAAAACCACGCCCTTGTGCGCTTACTGGACTTGATGGCTGATGTGATCCTGCCATCGTTTGCGCTTTCCAGGACCCAGTGCTATGCCTCGCTGTCAAGGTCGCCACCATTGACACCGCTGGACTCAGCATCTCCTATATCGCCATCCGAAATCCGCGTGCAACTGGACAACAATCAAACGTTCGCTATTCAGGTTCACTCGCCAACTGAGGAACAGGGACTACTATCTGTACCTCGACAGCGCAGGCAATCAATCAACTCACCAAGGATGCCCAGTTCGAGGTCGAGCTCGACATCTATACCTATGGCTGGTCATGTATCACAGGCGCAAGATATTCTGGACACGCACGCGAGCTCACTCATCCAGTTGACACTTTTGGCGATCCTCCAACAGATTTCATTCTCCAACTCGCCATTACCGGTCGCCAAGCAGGTGGAGAAGTCTATAGGAGGACTTCTCAGGATCAAGACGGATCTGTCGGTGGATCTACTGGAGGTCATTTCGATCGTCGAGAATGAGAAGGTTATGAGGCGGGCGGTAGAGGTCCTTTGGTGGGTTGGGAAGCCTTCGCTGGGACACCTGACACTGGCCGAAAAGTTCTTCCCGCTCGACTATGACTCCATCATGGCTATACGGCAGACTCAGCAGGACTGGAGCGCGCCTGGTATAGCAAGTGGACTCAGGACCAACCCTGTCAAGTCGGATACCTTGTTCTCATTCCGCCGTGGATCATTGGATGAGTCCGCTATCCCCATGACTGATTTCGCTAGTCATAACAACTCTGTTGGGAGCTTCAAGATTCGCCAGAGACTGCCACACCGACCCGGACTGCCTTGGAAATCTGGACATGGATCGAAACACGGTACCAAAACCAGCGCACATCAGGAGTCGGCAGCTGTCGCATCTGTTGGGACCGACTATCTGGCGGAGCACGAGTTGTACCCTTACATGTTCTCAACAGAGGAGGAGACGGAGGCTGGTCAGGGGCAGTTGTCGAGCCATATCTGTGAGCGATGTGAGACGACCATGCTTGGCTTTGGGCTCTTCTGCTACCACTGCCGGGGATCTATCCACCTGGAATGCTTTTACTTTGTCAAGCGATTCGCAGGGATCGATTGTACACATCCCGGTTGCTCCTTGGATTCGATCCAGAGGCGGCCACGAAACCAGCTTGTTTATCCTGACGAAGGCGGCATGTATGAGAGCAACACGAACAGGATCTACAGGATCCGGGCTGGTCATCCCCTGCAGCTGGTCAACATGTTCTCGACCTGTCTTTGCTCGGCCTGCAAACTCCCACTGTGGGGTCACCACCATCAGGCCTACCGGTGTCAGGAATGCCTGCAGTTGATGCATTTGGACTGCAAGGGTGTTGCTCCAGAATGTGGTGGAAACGCGCAATCAGTGGCTCTCCGCCACTCCTTCCCATCGCAGATTACCTACGAGGATATGAGGCAGAGCTTTTTGGACTTTTACCAGGACATTGTATCGACATGGCGCACCGCTCAGACTGGTTCCTCGACCCCCGGCATGTCACGACATTCCATGACCGGACCACCATCACCTGCTGCATCCAAGGACAAGTTTTCGTACGAGGAAGCCAGCTGCAACTCTAGCGTGCTCACCATACAACTGGAGTTACTCAAGGCCGGAATGACGCGTGGCGAGATTCAGGTGCTTGACTGGCTGCAGGATGGACATATGACAGATCAAAGTCTTATGGCGGCAAGTAGTTTCGAGTTGGTGGTGATCCAGGCTTACTTCGCGGAGCTCGCCAAGCAACTGCAGGATCCAGGACCCTTACCAGGAACGTCATTGTTTCTTTCGGACTTCTTTGAGGACTCCAAGCCAGACCAGTTCCTATTGTTCTCGGAGCTGTACTGGGGCCATTTTGCAGCTGTTGCAAAGACAATGATCAATGACTCTGACTCGGCAGAGTTGTCCTTCCGACACCCTTTCTTTTCACATTCGAACGAGTGGGGGAACGCACTAGAGGACGACATCTTTGAGCACGAGTTGGACGTGGCGCAGGAGCAACTTCTTGCGGGACATTCAGTGCGGTCTGCCAACATCACCTTGTCCAGTCTATTCAAGTTCTGTATGAGACGACTTGGATTCAGGAGTGCTTGGACTATGCGGATGATCTTGCAGGAGTGGGTCAAGATGGGACTTCTGGAGCGACTGGACGGCGAGCTGTTTTTGTTTGAGGTGTCGACCATGGATCCGATCTCCCCGCCTCCGACCATGCCTGTTTTCCGCTCCATCGGTCAGGAGCCCACTCCACCAGCGGCCCATCTCTCGCAGGCACTGCCTACGTTCCAGACATCCTCATACGATAACGCGGATGGCAAGAGCAACGTTGTGACCTACCGCTCGGTGCACTGCCTCTTCCCGATCGTCACCGCGATTGACCCGACGCCAAATGTGGAGCATTTGATCCACTCGATTTGGCGCTGTTTATCGAGTGTCGATCTGTCTGTCAACGAATGCGGCTTCTTGCTGCTCACCCGTCAGTGCTGGCCGGATCCGTTCATGTCTGATTACACTACGGAGCGTTTGGTCGGCTGCGTGTTCCACTGGCTGCTGTTGGAAGACGATCAGCTAGTAGTGATCCACAAGAACTATGCCTCCAAGGGCAAGAATATCCCAGGCGTCAGGGTTGGGCTGGAGGAGCAAATGGCCGTCAAGCGAGCTGTGACAGGACTCAACATCACCGGCACCGGGATATCTGATGGTGTTGGTGCTGGTACTGGAACTGAGACTGGAGCCAGTTCAGCAACCGTGGCTGCAACAGTGGTAGCAGGCGGGACAGGAACAGGAACGGGAGCAGGAACAGGAACAGGAACAGGACTCGGTGGAGGATCGCAAGCCAATGCCAGGAACAACTCTGTCACTTCGAACTTGTTTGGTTCCGTGGGTTCGTATGTGATGACCAGGAAGCTGATTGTTAAGAAGTTTGCTCTCCCTTGGTTGAAGAAGGTCATGGAGCTGGATGTCGATCGATACAAGGACATCTGTCATCGTCAAATCAGGATCCTGGAGCGCGAAATGGCACCAGAGGCTGGGTGCGACTCCTTTGTGAGCGAGGACAAAGAGGTATGTTGCTCTTCACGTTGCTTACTTGGTGCCTATTGTTTTATTTTTACGCGTAGCCATTGGCATTGACCAGCTTTTCATTTTTGTGCGTTGTGTATACCTTTAGGAGTTTCAACATGCACAGAAAGAGCGATATCTAGAATCGATCACAAAGCTTCGTCATGCGGGATTTCTGTTCAACTGCTTCTCGGATGTTCTTTGTCGATGGCTGGAAGAGGTCGAAGAGATGCTGGAAGGAATGGATCTGGCCAGCAAACCTTTTAAGACTCTGAATCGACTCTTTTTGAAGGCGAGCAGCAGGACCGGTAGCGGACTCGGACTCGGAACTACCAATCCTTTTGGTGGCGAGCACTCTTCGACAGGTTTTTCGAGTCGAGGGGCTACTGGAGTAGGAGGCAAGCCGGGCGATGGCGAGTGGCGAAACCGACTTAAGACAAAGCTTCATTATGGATCCAGCAAAGAGAGCATGCGCACCCAATCCCCGACTGGCTCAGATCGCATCCCGGACACCGCTTCGGTTTCGGGTCAGGATCCGCCTCACCCCGAGGAAGATATTGGAGAAACGCCACTAGGTACTCTCAGGATCATTCTAGAGTCTTCACATCACCAAGGCGTTGAAGGTGCATTGAGATGGCTCACACTCATGGTTCAGAGTGGAGTCACGGTTCCAACACAGGCGTTTGTAGAGTGCAGCAAGAGCTTGGCCGATATGTCGCAAACACCTGCGATTCCCTCCGTCGACAACCAACCCTCAACACCTACAATAGCGCTAACAGCAGCTGCACCGACAGTTGCAGGAGCATTGGGGGATGGCAATAACCCTCCGAGAACTTCGCCTTTGCTCTCGGCTCCAGCAAACAGCACGGCGTCGGGTTCAGCTGCAGGATCGTCCTCCTTCCAGCAACCTTCACTGCGCACCAATAGTGTAAGAGTCTTGTACCAGTCTCAAATCTTTCTGACGGCTTGCTGGAATTCATTGACGCCCACCTCCACGTCGCAGAATATATCTGAGGGTGATGCAGAACAGATTCTGGAGTCAGTCTTGGCTGCAAACCAGGAGACGGTGACGCGAGTGATGTTCGAGCGACTTTATGATGCAGACCCCAAGGAGTTAGAGTGGTTAGTTCCTGTGCTTCCTTCTGAACGTACAATAACCACGCGTTTTTTTTTTTTTTTTTTTTCGAGGACAGCCAATTCTGACTCATTTCTGCCTTTTCTTTGTCATAGTGTGCGACAACTGCTCCGGTATGCGTTGGCGATATTCATGTATGTGACAGGATGTCCTTTGCAGATCATCATCGGATTGCAGCTGGTGCCTGCCCAGCCAAATCCAAAGTCCACCAACAGGTACGAATTTGCCCAATTCAAGCTGATGTGCCTTGTGTAAAGACGCTATTAAAAGATTAAGTACTCACGGGACGACACGTATGTTTTGATTGCATAGCCCGTACACTGTTCAAAGCGACAAGACCTTCTGGCCGCTCCACCAACAGCTCCACAGGAGACAGCACTATGGCCCTTCTCAGCTGATGGCCCTCGACAAAGAATCGGTCACCATCAGCATGTTCTTGAAGTCGCTCCGCTCCAAATCGTTGTCTATTCAGGGAGAGGTCATCAAAAGTTTGTCGGTGATGTTGGGGGAAGCAGAACGCGTGTCCAACATGGACGACTTTGCTGATAGTATACATAAGGAGATGTTGCCCTGGTGAGTTGTCACCGTCAACCCATGAATGCTTTGGTCTGTTGCTCCTGTTCAACAACTTCGAATATCGCTAACTTCCAACCAATATTTACCTGTATAGTCTTTGGGAGCTGTTGTCGCCGTTGAATGACCATATGGCCGACACAACTTTACCCTTGTTGATGCAATTCGCGTTCATTCGACCAGGGTACTTGCACAAGACGGTCGCGCAGATCTTCAGTGACCCCGACTGGGAGGTTCGATTTGGTGCCCTGGACCCAGTTTTTGGCCTGTTCTCAAAACTGGACGATGCTTTGGTCATGAAGCTGTTCTTCCAGCAGCCAATGGTGAACACAGTCCGTACCAACGCAAAAGGCAAGGGCGTCGATCGAGGATACCATCACCACCAACCCCCTCACATCCATCATCACCAACGGCGAACAGGAACAGGAGCCATGTCGTACGAGCCAGATTACAGCGGCAGCGAGCGGAATGGAACTGGCTTGAACGGTGGTGGTGGAGGCGGCGGGACGTTCAGCAGGACTCATTATGGATCTACATTCACAGGAGGCACTTTTGGCGACCGAGGGCAGCAATATTCGGCTCTGGGAGAGTTTCAACCGGACCATCTCCAAATTCTGGGGCCTATTTTCAGTCATTTCGTGTCGTCGATGTGGGATAAAGAGGAGGCTGTCCGTTCCAAGGCCAAGACGTTGTTGAAGTCCTTGCAGCCCGTACATATTGGTCACGCGCTCAAGGCTTGGGAGTTGCACTTTATTACCAGTCCGCCGGATGGTCAGCAGAACCTTTTGAAGCTGATGTCGCGACTCAACAACTATTTCCCAGGCTGGAAGATTATGGATTATGGTCTGATATTCCGGTTGCTGACGAGTGGCGAGCTGGGTCAGACCAATGTCCTTGACTCGGGTGCATCTATGACGAGTCATGGGAACGGTGGCGGTGGCGGTGATAGTACTCGATCGAGTATCCATGGTGGTGGAGGAGGAGGCGAAGAGCGAGCCGGAAGTCTAAAGTCTTACAACGCCCTGGACACCGAGCGGCAGAAACGTGAGACCTTGGCGCCGGAACCTGACTCAAAGGGCCTCAAGTCGAGGAGGGCGTCGTTTACGTCGCTGTCGGCCTTGGAAAAGTCTAATGAGTCTAACCTTCATCTACGCATGGGACGACGGTCATCATTCGCTACGATGCCTATTCTCGATGGACCGCTGTTGCCAAGAGCTACCTTAGCCGCCGAACAATCGCGGAGTCAACGGAGGGCGTCCATTGTTTCTACGACCCCATCGTCGGCGGCTTCTCTCTCGGGCGCGTCATCTCTGGTTCTCGAAGACATAGAGGCTCACGAGAAGCAATTGGAGCTGGAGGACGATATCCACTGCAGTTTGTTGACGTTGGCGTTACAGATGGTGGCGAACGGAATTGAGCCCCGTTTGGATGAAGTCATTCAACTCAAGTACTTGGTTGTCTTCTACCTCGACTTCGAAGGGTGCGAGCTTGTGGGGATTGGGCAGGGCAAGTTCCAGGTTCGCTATGGAGAGTACATCCCCAGACGGCGAGCCAGTCCGATCCATCGCGGAGCGAACGAGAATTCTGCAGGCTCAGGGAGTTTGAATGATGTTCTCAATGATCCAGGTCATGAGAACTTTGTGTTGGCTATCTGTATGAACTTGCAGCTTATCCTGGATCGGTATGTCGAGATCAAGCCTGATTATGAGGAGGACCCACCGACCCTCTACGACCTGCACAGGTCTCGTCCCGCAACCCCTGGGCCTGGTGGCAATGTCGGTAATGGATATGATTCAGCCGGTACACCAGTGGACCTCAGCTCGCAGCAGCCTGTTAACGATAGGACCTTTTCGTCGACCACAGGAACAACCACCACAGATCATGGCAAGGAGTCGTCCAGCCGAGGCGGCACAATGACGACTCCTCAGCAGGATACCGACATCAACGATGCTGAACACCACCCCCGACACTACGGTCTATTTTGTTGGCCACGTCACAAGCACCATGACGGCGACCAACATCTCACCCACAGACATACAGGAGACGGTCGCATAGCCCAGAGTACAGCGTCTCAAAAGAACTCGTACCAGACCAACCCCAGCGCTCCAGTCTATCAGCAATATCACCATCACCACTACCGAAGGAAATCGCATCGCAGGCATGACGAGAACACCCCCGTGGTCGGCACGTATTTCGTGGACGTGATTCTGCGATTCTTTGGATCCGAGACTGATTTGGCGACTCTTCCCGCCGGAAGGCTCAAGAACTGGCTGGAGCTGTTGCTAATTGTGATCTACAAGTACGTCAAGGAGGTGGACCCACTCTCGGATCTTGTAGTGGTACTGATGAAGCGCATTGTCGAGATGCTGATGGTCAAGAAGAGCGGACCCAATGTCGCGAACGTCGTCCCTGCTTCGTCTCTCAATGGAGCTGGTATGGGAGGAGTGAGTGGATCTACAGTTGGATCTGCGATGGGCTCTGGTCCTACTGCTGGTACCCCACCTGAAGGAGTCACAGTCCCTGCGGCAACACCAGCCGTTGTGGAAGAGTCCATGTCAGAGGAGAATATCCTGCTGGCGATCTCGATTTGCTCGACATTGTTGACGCGATCCTCGACTATGACGACGGCGTTGCTTTCGAGGGAGATCATGGCCATGGGCAAGTTGATGACCAAGAGGAGAGACGATCCTGATGACCCTGTCCTGAATCGTGCCAGGAGCTTTCTGCATGACGCCTTTGTTCACTTTATGGGCAACGGTCTCTTTGTTCTTGTCTTCAAGGTACATTTGATATAAGGGTTGCGTCCTTTATGGTTTGTGAATGGTGTAGTTGATGCACATTTGTTAACGACTTTTCTCCCATCGGCTTTGCTTCTATAGACACAACCGGCGACGAATATCAGTTCACAGGGATGGGAGGAGGAGGTCAACAAAGTCGATCAGGACCTAGACCTCTTCTACGTTCTGGGCACGGTGCTAGGCGAGGACGAGATGGTGCAGGCAGATCCAACCGACAACCCGGGTCATTCAGGAGCCAACCGTCTAGTTCATATCCGCGACCAACCCATCCGCGATATTCTGGATCGTGTCACCATCTTTAGGGACCTAGAGCCTGTTCAAGTCTCGACTATCCTCACCAACTTGGCTCTTTACGTTGAACGCGTCCACTCGAAATGTCATGACCCTCGCCTCTTCGCGGACATGGCACATTTCTTGATCAAGATCACCAAGTATACCGCAGAGTGGGACCAACAGCAGCATCAAAAGAGCAAGGAGCAAGCGGCGCATTTGAGACAGGCGCAGGAGCAGCTATTGCTTCAGCACCACCATTTGAAGCAGAGTATTAAGCAACGAGGGTCCCAGCAGTTGCTTTCTGGGAACACGTCGACGATGGTTTCTAATGGATCTCCGATTTATTTGCAGCAGCACCAGAAGCTGCGGCAGAAGCAGGGGGTCATGTCGGTGACATCTGCTGGTGAGTCGACGCTGGTCATGCCTGCCGATCGTGCCTCGGCGGCTATTGTTTCGTCTCCGCTTCCTGGGGGGCATCCCTTTGTGCCCGCACGACCTACAGAGGCCCAACGGACCAACACATCAACGACATTGACAATGTCATTGACGCCGACGACCACAAATATGTCGACTCTGTCAGATCAGGAATACCAGGAATTCGGTCAATATGCAGTGCAACATTCGAATGTGCCTTCAACCGGGACATCCACACCAACACCTCCAGCAACCGTTAGACAGTCGAGTTCACGACAAAAGGCCGTGACGCCCAAGTCACCTGAAAGGGAAAGCAACCCCTACGTCAAGTACCGACCTCGACAGACTACTTTGAACCAAACGCTCGGCCGACATCGCCAGGCAACAACGCACAACAACCATTTGCCGCCTGCCCAGAAACGAGCACCGCCCCACCATTGGGACTACATCAACCCTACCTTAGGAATGTGCTCGATTCTGATGATCCAGAACCCTTTTGAGGGCCATCAACTCGTCACGGCGGTGAAGCATATCCTCCGACAGGCCCTTTATCGCGATCGCATCTCGGCCCCAGCGTTGATCCGCGTCGTGACCGGGTACTGTTTCATTGCCGAGCAGGATTTCTCGCTCTCGCTTGTGAACGTCTTTGGCGAGTTTGTGGTTCAGGAGCTCAAGATCTCGATTCAGAGCCATTCACATGTGAGGTACGACGAGGAGTTTGTTGTGTGCGATGATGACATAGATGATCTTTCGGACCAGGAGGAGTCGGACCTCCACCATCGCCATAGACAGAACGGTAACCGTCGGGGACGATCGGGTTGGAAGAGCAAGGATGGTGACAAGGGTGAGAAGAAGGGTTTGGGAGGAGCTGGATCGAGCGGGGAGAGACTTCACTTGGGTCGTGGTCATGTGCCTGCAGGACTTGGTGGAGTTGGAGGCGTTGGTGGTGGTGGTGGTGGTGGTGTTGGTGGCGGCGGAGGAAATAATGCCTCTGGAAGAACCAAGATCCTCGCCCATAACTTCCATGTCCTTCACCATGTAAGTTGGAAGAGAGAAAGATAACGGTGCTGTGTTTATGCTTTGTGTGTGTGTGTGTGTGTGTAACACTTCCGTATCCCCTAACTATTTTGTGTTTGTATAATTATGATATAGCTGCTGATATGGGATCTTGACCCGAATTACAATATGGAATGGACGAGGATCAAGTGGGAGATCCTGGGGTCGATGCGGTTCCCACCTGGTCACCCGATCTTGTTCCCTGGCGCCACTGACGCACTGCGCCAGGTGACGGCTTCTATCATCGGGGATTGGATCGATGCATGAAAACGGCTATTTTGATGACAAGATAAATCGATAGGAAAAGAAAAAGAAATAAAAACAGGAGGAAGGAAAATAAACATAACACATGCGTCGTGAAAATAGGTTGCTTTGGCATTTTTTTTTGTTTTCTAGACTCGATCCACACACGCAGGATTCGCTGCTTCATCTGAGTTTGCGGACGGCGCTGGGGGGAATTGGGCAGGTTGTCGAAGCTGAAAGAGGTGTATATTCCGAAGGAGTTATGTGCGGTGGACGGTGGAGCATTGGGTCGGCTTGGAGATGATTCAGGGAGGGTCGTTCTCGGAGAAGCGGGAGCCGTTTGCGGGAAAGAAGATGGTGTGGGATTATGGTCAGCACCATATCGGGGCCAGTTCTGAATCCGGTCCTTATCCGAGGAGTTATCTGAACCCTAAGCAGCTTGAGATATTGATAGGGACTGACGATGAGTAAGAGGCCAAGGTCTTGTCCGTGCTTCGTGCTTTGAGGGAAGAACAAACCATGTTACATTGTTGCATTGTGCTCCCCTGAAAATTGGTGGCGTTTGATTAATAGTTCAGAGTCGGATCGCGTTGGCTTCCAGATTGATCGCTTGGGCTGCATCGTCGCACGTCTCGGTGCCACGTCGAGAAAGGGACTGGACGCTCGTCATTCACTTTTCATCACTTTTTCTCTTTCTTCCCCTCACCCATCCTTGATTCCTCTCCTCTTCTACCCTTACAACTTTCATCCGCCTGCCACCACAACAGCAACACCCACTACACACTACATCTGAACTCATCATCCATATCACCTTCCTCCATCCACAATGGTAACATCTCACTCCCCCTCGACACTTAAACAGCCTCTCTCAGCTTCAGCGTCAGGATGATAAAACGCGACTCTATCCACTACTCCATCACTACATGCCAACCCGGTTGTTCGCTTCAAGCCAACTCCTCCCCGCATGGCAACAGACGGCTGATCAACTCTGCTCCCATCCCAATGTTTTATTCCCACATCTAGGTTGTCCTCGCGATCTCTGTTTGCACAAAGAGCGGCAAAGGTACATCCCATCACTCTACAAACCCTCACGCTATCGCCAGAAAAAGAAGGTGATCAGTTTTTCACAACCAACCCTCATCATCACACCACCCTAACACCACTCTTTTTTCTCACCTCCTACCTTTGACGTTCATCAACAGCGCTCATCTCGCGTCAGTTTAGAGAGATGACACGGGCTAGAATTGAAGGCCTGATCGCCTCGTTCCCAAAGCTGACCAGCAGCGGCCAGCAGCACACCACTATCGAGACCGACCATGTCCGCTATGTTTACCAACCCTTGGAGGAGCTGTTCATTGTCCTTATCACCAACAAGCAGTCCAACATCTTGCAAGGTAACTTGTCGACGTCAGGAGAAACACATGAGAGAGTGGCATCAAAGTGGACGTCAGGGCTGACTCTTTCTTGTCGATAGCTACTTCTCAGCAGCACACTGTCGAAATTCATAACCCAGGAACTACCCGACTCACCTATCTGCTGTTCTCCACACTTGTATGATGCTTCAAATAGACATCGACACTCTTCAATTGGTCTCCCGAGTTGTTTCTTCGACCTGCAGACCTACTGACGCTCGTGAGATTGACAGGAACGCGTTCGAGTTGCTGAGCTCCTTTGACGAGATCATTTCGCTTGGATACAGAGAAAACGTCAATTTGGCTCAGGTCGGCAGCATCTCCGAGATGGACAGTCATGAGGAAAAGATCCAGGAGATGATCGAAAAGGTACCACTAAAGCCCTCGTCTCTTTTCTCCTTTTTACTTGCAGGAAGTCTGGCACCACCAAACACTGGAAGCTGAACACCAATTAACCATATCTCCACTTCCATCGTATTACGACATAATAGAACAAGGAGCGCGAGGCAAAGGAGGAGCTCAAGAGGAGAGCCAAGATCTTGGACTTGCAGAGAAAGGAGCAGAGAAAGAACACTGGAGGCATGGGAGGCGGATATGGACAGGGCGGTATGGGCGGCGGTATGGGCGGCGGTGGCTACGGCCAGAGCAGCATGGGTTTCGGAGGACAGTCCGGCGGCATGGGCGGCATGGGTGGCATGGGCAACAGCAACGGCAACCAGGGCTACAATTCGCCATCTCCTTCCATGGATGACAACTCTTCCAAGTTCAAGTATGTGATCTTGTCTTGTTCAAGTTTGTTCACAAGGAACCGATATGGGGCCTCCAGCAAACACGAAACTAATTCGTTCTTATGGTTTTGAAATGATAGCAACCCTGCTCCTAAGGCACCTGCGACAAAGGCCAGAGGAATGCAGTTGGGACGCAAGCAGAACAACAACGACTTGTTTGAATCGCTTCGTTCGGAGGTCGAGGCCGCACCTGCTCCTCAGCAGTACCAACAGCAAGCACCCGCTCAGAGCAGCTACTCTGCGCCCGCAGAGCCTGCCTTCCCCATGGAGAGCGTGCATGTTCAGATCGAAGAAAAGATTACAATGATCGCCAACCGGGACGGCGGTCTGGAAAGCATGGAGGTCAAGGGAGACTTGATGCTCCGTGTCTCGGATCCTTCTCGCGCCAAGATCAGCCTTGCTCTTCGCCATCTCGAGGACCCCAACATCCAATTCAAGACCCATCCAAATGTCAACAAGGTTCTTTTCAACACCGAAAAGACCATCGCCTTCAGAGATTCCACAAAAGAGTTCCCATTGAACACGCCAACAGGAGTATTACGTTGGAGATTCATCAGCAAGGACGAGAGCTCTATTCCTCTTTCCAGTAAGTCTGCCGTCATTTTCGCACATATGTGTCATTTCTTTGATGGATCAGGCCGCTATCGAAACTGTTGCTAACTTCAATTTCAAACTTGGTCCTCATAGTCAACTGCTGGCCCTCCCCCGCTGGTGATGGATCGAGCGATGTCAACATCGAGTACCAATTGGAGAACGAAGAGATGGAGTTCAAGAACGTCAACATTATCATCCCTCTCCCGTAAGTCATCGCCTTCTTCCAAAGTTTCGACTGCGATATGCGAGCCCTTGATTTGGTTGCTCAAAAGGATATAACTGATACGTTTTTTGTTTTCATTAATGTATAATAGACACGGAGCAACCCCCACTGTGGGCGAGGTGGATGGCGAATATGTTGTAGACCATCAGCAGGGCGTTTTGATTTGGCAGTTGCCCTCTATTGATTCTTCCAACGCATCTGGATCTTTGGAGTTTAACTGCGAGGGCGAGGATACCGAGACCTTCTTCCCCGTCTCTGTTCAATTCGAGAGCGAGCGTCTCATCTGCGATGTCGATGTACGTTCTTCATTCGTTGTGTTATGCCTCTGTTGTTACCGTCGCACGTTGTGTCTTCAATTATTATGTATCGTGAGAGGACACCATGGCTAACTCTGTCTCCTTTCTTTTGATGAATAGGTTATTGCCGTTACGCAAGTGGCTGATGGATCAAGCGTTCCATTCTCAAAACAGAGTGTTCTTACGCCAGCTGAGTACACTGTCGTGTAAATGATAAAAAAATCAAAGTTCATGGACCACGAGAAAGGATTGCGAGGTGGACTGCTGTCTTCGACGTGTCCCCACCCCAGCCGGAAAGATCGCTAACAGCTAACAGACATAGAAAAACAAACCGTTGGACCCAAAACCAATACATAATTTTTGAATACTTGAACAACATGCGTGTATGTGTGTCTATCTAAGGGGTTTGCTTTATTCTTTGAAGGCCGTTCATTGACGTCCGTTCCGCCACGCGAGTGAAATATTCCTGATCCCATTACTCTACTTGGCGGCATCCAGAGGGACATCGATCTCGATTCCGATAGCTTTAGTGATCTCTGTGTCGAGCAAGTACTTCAACGAATGATGATCGCGTCCATAGAACCAGATCTGGTGCTGGGCGTCGAAATCGTACCGTTTTGGTCCGCTGGTGGGCGACGAGAGCCAGAGCTGTTTGTTGGGTGGTTGCTTGTTGACGACGTAGGTTCCCTTGTCTCCCAGTTTGAGGGTCATCACTCCGCTCTACGAAAACAATAAAGGGGAATTGTTCGTGAGAAAAATAAAATTTCGGCGGGAGAGGGAGAAAAAGAGAGAGAGAGAGAGAGAGAGAGAGAGAGAGACAGACATTCCCGAAGCAAAAAAAAATGTCGCAATAAATCCACAAGCATACATGATTTTGCTCATAGGAGAAAAACGAAACACACACCTTTTTGCATGAACTCACCTGATATTCAACATCGTATCCAGGGATCTCATACTCGTCACCCAGATCTTCAAAGTACTCAACCATCCTTTCCATGCTCGCGTCTGACGCTGTGTGGTAATCGTCCTCGGACAGGTCGCTATGTTTTGTTGTTGTTGTTGTTGTTGTTGTTGTTGAAAAAGGCGTATTAGCTATGGAGCAACTGAGCAATTGGACAGGTGTCCATTTTCCTGACTGCGAAGCAGATCAGACACTTCCTGGTCCGCGATTGACGTTAAGTATCTTACCTAGTGGTGTAAATTGGCTCTGGCGATGAGGGTGTCATAGTGGTATAGGTGCGCAAGAAAGACGAAGTGAAAAGGGGTGCTGAGGATCGGGAGGTCATTGTCCGAGGAAGCGCAGCGAGACTTCCCGAAGAAATAGCAGCTGCCGTGCAAGTTGAAGAAGTGTACGTGCGAGCTGCGGTGGTGGGTTGACTCTGACGAACGAGTCTTGTCCGTGCTAAGAGTGTCCTTGTGATGCGTGTTCCCTGTGCTGCTGCAGACATTGTCGTGATGTTGATGGCGAAGGTGATGGACTGAGTTGTGGGTTCGAAAAGAGAGAAGGGAAAGATGAACGAAAAAAAAAAAAAAAGTGGAGTTCGTTAGGGTGCGATGCGCGCTCGGCGAAACGGTTCAAGAAGGGCTAATAAGCAGTCACTAAGTTGCAAGTTTTGTTTACCGTCCTAAAGTTGGAGGACGGGAATGCCTTCGCCGACACCTTGTCACCTTTCATTACTCTCTCCCCTCAAGACCATCGATCGCCCATATACATAATGTTCTCCATCAGCAGGTCATCCTTCTCCTCCGTCAGCAGATCCGCAACACATGTCGTCAAGGTACACCAACAACCCGCCAGCCATGGGAATAACTCTGCACTTTGAACCTTTACAGGAACCTGATCAGTCTACCTCTTCAGCTGGCAGAAGTGAATACGGAGAGAGGCTATTATAAGCAATGGAGAGAAGAACCCGGAACCCTGCATAGAAACTGACATCGTAGTCAACAGGGCAGACATATTGCATATTGTCAGTACTAACAGGATCTCTCTATCATCCTGTGATCATATCTAAAATAGCGCTGGAAGTCTCAAAAGTCCATTGAGGTGACTCTCAGGGCAAACGTCCAGGGACTCGGAAAGCCAGGTACGCGCGGAGAACACACATGCTGGAGGAATTCAGGACAGTCGACATAGCAGCATACGACAACCTGTGGAGCAGATATATGGCAGGATATGCAGTATACATGAAGCAGGATGTGGAGGATACTGTGTTGCGCTGACATTACGGACCTCATCTAACATCTATCCCCTTTTTCAAATTGAATCCGCGGCGGATGATACTATTCGTTGTTTATTTCGTGGACACCCGTGGGGGCTACTGTTATCTAGGTGATGTTGTCAATGTTGCTGGTAGGTCATTGTTTTGCGTGCTTTCCTTCTGTTTGTTTATGCGGCCGCGATTCTCATTACCATTACATGATTTGTATTACACATGGGATTTGTGGACACCCCCCTCACAGCTGATTACGATTATTTAGCCGTTCTGTCGCGTGTATGTCAAACAAGATGTGTACAAGATCATACGATGTTTACATACTTTTCTCACTTTTCTCCACGGTCATTAATTAGTTGGAAGGATGAGGAACCAGCTTTACCCTATGAGACTCGCCAACTATATCGACAAGAATGCTCAACATTTCAAGGAGGCCACCATTGCCGGACAGAACGCCATTCAGCAGATTCAGGAGATCAACAAGGTAGGACAGACAACGTACTCAAGCGGGCGAAAGAGAGGCTACGGGGGGGTGGGATGACGTTCAACAAGTACAAAGACTGCGAGATACAGCGGAGAATGGGCCTCACATTTCTGTGGTTATCATTTGACCAATGTGGCCAATGGGCTTAAGCTTGGGCATGGGCTTGTCCAACATCTCTTTTGTGTTTAAAGTGAAAAACACACAATACCATACCTCCCTGAACCCACCCTTGGACTTGTTGCCTTGCATGAATACATACCCTCCATCTCTACCCCTCTTCGCGGATCTCTGCAGAATCCAAATTATTAGATCTTCATATGTCACTGGACAACCATTTATCCTAATTGGAAAAACCTCCTCCGCCTACTGCACCTACACCGCCAACGCGACTCTTTCTTATTTGCTCAAAATGTGGGGTCCCCATTCACCTCTTTCTCTCCACGTCTGTTTGACCACGCGACCCAATTCTCACCTGCCTCCCTCCCTACCTTCCTTTTACTTTTATTTTAAATAGGCACATCAACAAGCAGTCAAGAAGGAGCAGCGCATCGTCCACTTGCAGGATCTCCGCAACCGCCTCCAGGTCTTGCCTCCTCTGGTCTTCTCTCGTGCCGTCAACGAGGTCTTGCCCGGCTCAAAAACGATTTTCGGATCTGTTCAGGCTGAGGATGTGATCAAGGAGCTCAAGGAGAAGCACGGCATTATTATTGACAAGGTTGTGGTTCAAGGCACAAAGATCAAGTCTGTCGGTGACTCTTGGGCACGCGTGGATCTTGCGGATTTGGGAACTGTTGAGCTCAAGGTTGTTGTTGAGAGGCGTTAAGGAAAGTTGGTTGGAGAGGCAAGACCAAGGAGATTTTTCCGTTGGATACAGGTACAAACAAAGCCGGATCGTCGTCATTTGTGGAGGGGAGTAGGTTAGGATACAAATGCACGGAGAGCATCATTAGATCATTAGATAGACGTTTTACTATGGACCATTATCCCCCGGGGATTTTTTAAAGTGTATTATTTTTTTAATCGCGATGACTAAAACGAATTGTATCCGTGGTACAGCGGTCGCAATATCAAGTTTGTTTTGTTAATGAATGGACGACTTGAACATTAAATAAACGCGCGCATGGCAATCATACATGGCATCAATATGTGTACCTCTCCTTCCTGGAGGCGTCTTTATTGTTTATCATTACAAAACACAAAAAACAACCTGTTGGTCACGTCAAGCGTCATTATTGGAGGTCTTGTATATGAACATGACTAAGGACCAATACACAACAATAATTCCTTCCTCCACAAGATATATACAAATATGCTATCGAATGACCTCCTCCGGCGAGGGAGAAGGAAGGTTTGTTTACAGGGTGCATGCATCATTATTGCGGTTATGGTTACGGGCCTTTGTTGTTTTTCCTTTCTGCTCTCAAAAAGTGCTCTCCTTCCCTCTCTGCCCTCTTTCACTCTATCCCCGATAAACAAACAACCACCTGGTGCAGCGACAGTGGAATATCAGTCAGGCAGCCCTTTTTCGAATGATGGAGGTTGTTGCCATTCGAGCATCAGAGGGGCGCCGAATATTCGTTTTAATTGCATATTCGCATCCTCCAATGGTTTTTGTTTATCCTTTGTCATTGGCATTGCGCATTGTGCATGAACGCTAAACATCAGTATAACAGGATGGTGTATGTGCTGTACAACAGGAGACCACTGTTACGTCTGAGGTACGCTCATTGTACATTGAGAAGACGACCAATGCTCCCTTTCTTAATTTTCTTTTAAAGAAGCGCCTCTTTCCCCTTTTTTCTCGGGCAGACACGTTCGACCAATTGCATCTCGCGCCAAAGTCTCTTTAACGCCCCTTTCCTTCCTCTTTCTTTTTCACACCGTCCTTGCCCCTTCTCCTTCACCTTCTTCGCCCCTCCTTCCCCCTCAACGGTCATCCTTTACCTTCTTCTTCCCCTCCCACATTCTCGCGTCCTCCTCATCCTTCCCTCTTTTTCTTTTTTTAATATTGTACTGCACGTTTTCTCATACTCCCCTACTATCCTCTTTGAGCCGTCTTCCCCCTGACTCTCTCCCGCCCCTACCTTCACTCGTTCGCGTAAAAAAGTCAACAAAAACAAAAGAATGTCACGCTCGCGTCCAACAAATCCATTCAACCGCGGTGAATCAACTTCAGCCAGCAGCAGTGGTCCTCACCCCAACAAGGACCACAACAGCTTCATTATTGTCAACAATGATATCATGATCCACCCGGGGGTTCAACCCGACTACCGGACCAGCAGCGACGACGATAGTCTTTCAAGCAGCAGCAGGAATAGCGGTCATAGAAGTCCTGCAAGTCTTCATTTGCCCCCTCCTCTCTCGCCTAGTGCTCGCACTCAACGGTCTCTCCATCACCAGCAGCAACGACCAGCCCCGTCCCAGCCATTGTCGTCGTCTACGACTACTAACGGAACGAGACAGACACCAGTGGCGCCCCCACGCAAGACGTCGTTTGAGTGGGTCCCGACCCCGCTGCCGACTCCGCAGTCCCGGGCTTTGGCTCACGACAATAATCCCAATCCACAACAACGTTCAGGCCAGCGCCAACTCCGCACCGAGAAACAAACACCCGCTTCCCCTTCTTCTTATCCTTCCGCGTCTCTTGCAAATTCCTCTCTTCAACGCACACCTTCCTACTCCACACCCCAACGACCCACTCGCCCAACTGTCTCTCCCATCATGTCCGATATCCCCCTCTACAGCACCAGAACCACTGGCCCTCCTAAACAGCAACAATCCACATCCAATAACACCCATGATGACAACAACCCAGACTCCACCCACGCTGTTCACTCAGGGGATGTAGAGATGCAGGAACGCAGTCGGAACCAACGACAACGGTCCACTGTAGCAAGGTCATCGTCTCTCAACCGCAATAACAGTAACAACAACAACGACTCTTATACCCTTCCCTCGTCTTCAAGGACGGTCGACAACACCAGCTCAGACCCCTCTCTCAGCCGAGGCGACAGCACACTTGACAGGTCCTTATCAACAAACCACAACGGTTCGAGAGACAGAGATGCACATCATCCCACTCAAACAAACAGGAGTAACAAGAGCGCCAAACATAATGCCTTAAACTATAATTCTTCTGTCTCTCGCTCTTCCGGCACACGAGTTGCAAACCACATCGACCCCTCGACAGGAGAACGACAGGAGCTGCGAGGTGACAGTACTGGTGGAGGAATTTCGTCTTTCTTCGGTGGACTGTTTGGAGGAGGAGAAGGATCTACCAAACGCAAACAACCTGCATCCAACGCCGCCACCAGTCGAATCAAGAATAGGAGTGTGGGTGGACTGCCGGCGAGTGCTTCGGGAAGCAAAAACGAACTGATCGACCGTTCTCAGCTACAGCACCATCATTCAAGCGAGAAGCTGAACGGCTCAGCATTTGTTCAACAGGATCCATTGTTACGGAAGAAGGGCTTGCCTGGAAAGGACGGGCGCCAGCCAGAGACAGACATGTTCCACTTTGTCGATACCATGCTGGATATGCCTGTGGACCCCACCTGGAGTCAGGTTACCATTAAACTGGCCAAGGTCCTGACGGTGATGTTCGTCTGCTATTTTGGCCTCATGGCGCTCTACTTTGGTGCAGAGGTAAGCAACCATTCATGTTCCCCCTTTTTTGTTTTCTTTTAACCTTTGCTCGAGTATTCCTTTGTCCACTTTAGACTGATCGATTTTACCCATTGTCAACAACTAACCCGTCTGCTCTCTTTCTTCTTTTCTGCTCTCAACCTTTTGGTTTCCCATTTTCGCTTGGCGTATGCGTATGTGGATTCATAGTTTCAGGCAATCAACCACACGCAGAACTTTGAAATCTTGGTCGTGGACCTGGACAACTCGATTATCGGATCCAACTACCTCAACTTCACCAGTCACCTCAACGGCGTTCTGGGACAGCCTCGTTGGGTCAACCACAACGCCACCGTCTATCCCAACATGTCGTCCATTCAAGCCGATATCCTCAACGGCCGGTACTGGGGCGCCGTCGTCGTCCAGGCCAACGCCTCGTCCAACCTCTTGTGGTCTACCGCTAACATCGACGCCAACTATGACCCCACCAAGGCCTTTGCGTTTATCTACGAGGGAGGTCGTGATCCGTTGGTAGTCAAGCCTCAGATTGTTGCAACCATGTACACGACCTTTTTGATGTTCTCCAAGTCTTTTAACCCCGCCTGGGTCAAGCTTGCCATCGCTTCGTTTATACAACAAAACACGTCTATGAGCGCCATCATGGATGCCCCGCAGGTCATCGGGACCCCTATTGCCTTTGAGGAGTTTGATCTCCACCCAATCACGGCGTCCATCATCACTTCGGCCACGTCGGTCGCCTATATCTGGATCTTCTTGATTGCAGGAGGAAGCACCTACTTGGTCGCCAACATGGTCCAGCCCATGACCACAAAGTATTCGACCGCAATGACCATGTTTGCGATGCTCCTCCCTCTCTTCATATTCCTCGTCGCGCTCTCTTTCTGCTACAGTCTTTTGCTCCTGACGTTCGGGGTCCCCTTTGCTGGTGGAGCGCTTCAGTTCCTCTCCCTCTTTGGAGGCATGCTCCTCCTCCAGTGCGCCGTAGCCTCGATGGTCCTCTTCCTGATCTATTTGATCCCTGTCGTCTTCATCCCCGGGTTCACAATCACCTTTGTGATCCTTAACGTCATTGCGGTCTTCAACCCTGCAGAGCTGGTGCCTGTCTTTTACAGATGGGTCTATGCGATGCCGTTCCTGAACGCCGTCCAAATTGCGCGATATGTCCTCATGGGGTCTTATAACCGGTTACGGTACAACATTCCTGTCCTCTCGGCCTGGATCTTGATCCCAGTTATCTTGATGCCATTTGCGATCAGTCGACAGAAACGCGTTGCTCGTGAAATGGAGCAGGAGGACGAAGAGGAGGGGATCATAAAGTCGACTGGAACTCAGCAAAAGGACCGCAAGGTTATTCATATCAAGTCAACAGAAGCAGGATTAGGAGCGGTATCAACTGACGATGATGACGACGTAGTGATCCTGGAGCCCAAGAGGAAGAAACAGTACTCGAACAACCACAACAACAATAACAACAACAACAACAACAACAACAACAACAACAACAACAACAACAACAACAACAACAACAATACCCGGCAACAGCAACAGCAGAGGTCATCCTCCCGTCACCGCCAACCTACCCAGCGAGAAGACATGGACAACTACAGCCTTGAGGATCATGACGAGGAGACCTTCTCATACTATGACGAGACAACAGTTCCCGGATCCCATCGCCCAACCGCGAACCACCGCCCCAGCCCCCCCTCAGAGTCCCGCGTCTTTAACGAATGGGACCACTGAGATCAAGTAGTTAACGTATACCACCACTTCTTAGACCCATTCGAGATACCTTAATCACACTCACACATACACATACACACACACACACACACACACACACACACACACACACACATACACACACACACACACACATGTGCATGCACTTGCACACGACTACTTCACTTTTTTTTCATCGTCATGGCCAAATAAATGCACTTTTTTACATACATAATTCATTCTTTTAAACGAAAGGAGAGTGAGATAAATACAAAAACAAAACAAAAACTACTCTAGTTGTTGTTCTCCTCCTTGAGCCACTCCAAGATTTGGGGAGTATAATAGGTCAAGATAAAGTTGGCACCGGCGCGGACGAAACCGTCCATGCTCTCCATGACTCCCGTCTTGAGGTCAAAGACACCAGCCTTGGCAGAGTGCCAGATCATGGCATACTCGCCCGAGACCTGGTAGACTGAGAGAGGGTAATCGGGGGCAATCTCACGAGCGTCCCGAAGAATATCCAGGTAGGGAGTTCCTGGCTTGACCATCAACACATCTGCACCCTCGTTCATATCACGCACCAGGGCACGGCGTGCGAGGCCGCGAGCCTGGGGTGGGAGCTGGTAGCACTTGCGGTCTCCACTTCCAGGGGTCGAGTGGCATGCGTCACTATTTTTTTTGAACAAACTAGGTTAGACATTATTGCTTTAAAATAAAGATAAATAGAAAAGATGCCAAGATATACAATAACAACCAGCGTTCATTCTTACCGGAAGGGTCCATAGAAGCCAGAGGCAAACTTGGCAGAGTAAGCCATCAAGCTGGTCTTGTGGGCAATACCCTCCTCAACAAGGGCATCCTTGATAGCCTTAATACGACCATCCATCATGTCACTGGGCGAGATCATCTGGCATCCGGCACGAGCATAAGCCATCGAGATATCGACCAAACGCTGGACCGAAGCACGGTTGTTGATCGTACCGTCCTCGCGGAGGACACCGCAGTGGCCGTGAGAGGTGTAAGGGCAGAGACAGACATCGCAGGCCAAGAGAAGGTTGGGGAATGCTTTGCTGAGGACTTTGAGGGCGCGGATCGCGGGGGTGTTGGGATCATCTGCTGCAGATCCGACAGCATCCTATGGTGAAGAGTTGTTGTGTATCAAAGATAAAAAAAACTTCCTTTGTGAGTAATCGCCTCGCATGCACTCCGGATTGTTTTCATTGTAATTCGATCTCCACCTCCATGGTGAATTCGGCTGTTCCTGATTCGGATATCAGATCCACTTGGACAAACGCATAGGTTTTCCTTGCTCCGCCTTTTTCTCGGATTTCAGAAATATTCATGCTTATTTCCTTTTCCAGGATGACGCACCTTCTTGATGTTGACGGGGACACCAAAGATAATGACGGACTTGAGGCCGTTGGCGACCAAGGGCGTCAAGAATTTGACCAACAAGTTGATTCCCCAGCTAAAAAAGGGAAAAAAAAAGAAGGTTGAGTAGAGAGTACATGAACTGGTGTATGCTTAAACATGACTGCGCTGTTTTCCCGAACATACGATCTCGCATGTATACAATGATCGGTTTTCCCACACCCTTTATCACACTCTTTGTATGAATGTCGCGCTATCTGCCATCAATCGCTACTTCCACTTTGACAGAAAGTCCTGCGAGAGGAAAGTATGTGTGTAGACGGACAACAAAAACAAGACGAAGAACAAGAAGCGTACCGAGATTGACCAGGGAGGGAGTCGATCTTCTCCTCGACATCGTCGTTGTCAGTGACAAAGATGGGGTACATGAGCATGTCCTTGTTGATGGGAGTGCCGGCCTGCCATGTCCTGTGGACGGGGTGATGGTATCCTGCGTGGAGGAGCGATGTGTTCTTGTTGGGCGAGAGCATCGATGCCATGGCTTTAAGTCTTGTCTAAGGTGGAGGTGGAGGTGGTGGTGGTGGTGATGGGAAAAAGAAGAAAGAGAGGAGGAACGCCGCTCGAAGGTCAGTCAGCTCACTTTTGAGGTCGTTGAGTTGTGGGTCTTTCGCCAAAGCAGTCACTTAGTAAGTTCACTCTGTGCGCCACCAAAAACGAAGCCAGAAAATTGACGCGACCTGACCGACTAGGAACAAAGGCTTGGTTCAATGCACCATTGCATGCTGTGACAGATATATAAGGAATGATGCCATCTGCTGTCATCCACTAGCATCTGCTGCCTCCGATCACCATGTCCCCATACCACAATCTTGAACCATCCATCTATCCGTACCACAGTGGCTTCGAATCCGTCGTCGCAAAGTAAAACGTAACAACAGCTAGCTTTTTTTTTCACACCTCTCTATCTCTCCTCTCCGCCTCCCTTCCCTTCCCTTCCCTTCCTTCGCACACACCTTCACATACCTTCACATACCTTCACATCTCATCCCCAGCGCAGTATCAATACCCACGTAAAAATAATACCACTTACCCACAGGATGTCAGACTCGGTACCCCCACCGCTCTTCCAACAAGCGTTCCAAGGCATCCTCGCCCGCAATGTCACCAACAATTATGTCTCCCTCCCCGTCCACTACCACCAACCCACAGGAACACGATACATCCCCATGAGTGTCCTCCGCAACATGTACCCGGGCATCATCCGCCTCCACGTCGATGGTCAGACTCTCGAACCTCGACGTGGGCTCCCGACGGTCCAGTCCATGTTTGAAAGTGTCTTGTCCCAGTGGGTTGAAGAGACCTCTGTGGTTTCGGATGCGGAGGACGGAGAAAGGAGTAATACCTCGTATCCTGGGACTGCGAGCAAAACCACCTCGAGTTCTTTCGTTATTGTCGCTCATGATGACGAGAACGCAGCGGTGGTAGGGGCGGCGGGTGTAAGCCAGGAGAACCAAGAGTCGACGGTAAACACCTTTGATCACGATGATATCAACCCGTCCTTGCTTTCGGAGCCTGCTTCTCAAGCCTTGTTTGACGGCGACACCAGGTATGTAAAAAGGGTTTCTTGTGGTATTGTTTATGACAAGCATGCCTTCCGAAAACGCTGAAAAGAAAAAAGGCGTTGCTAAGTGTGCACATATTTTGACCCAAATAGCGAGAGCACCCTAGAGTGGATCGAGTACCGACCAGACAGCATCATCCAAGTTGTGCACTACACCCCCGGCCCCACCGAGACGACCTCCGGAGCCGCTAGTTCTCAGCCTGGCACGGGGATGGCCGAAGGTGATTATCCACTATCGTTCTGGGCCCGAATCCGACAAGAGATCCAAACTGCCGTCCGCCAGGTCTATCAAGAGCTGACTGAAGAACAGGCCAAAGCGCATAAAGGCAACGGCAGTCTTGACGATCCAGCTGAAATCGTCGCCGTCTCGTCTCCCTCCCCTCCTTCGTCTTGGATTTTGACCGGGCGCACTACCAACCTGACTCGCCCGCCTTTCGAGCATTCCATCATCTCGCTGTCATCATCATCGTCATCACCATCGATAGGCTCTCAAGGCAGTGGCAGTCAGTCGAAAGACATGGAGGAGGATGTTGTCGTCGTGACCAAGCCTGCCGACTCCGACTCCAAATCAAAGTGCAAGGCCAAAAAGCGTGACAGAGATGACGACGTTGACTCCTCCTCCTCGACTTCATCAAGCTCAGAGAAGAAACTCAGGCCAAGCACAACGTTACCAAGATCAGTTTCGTCGTCTGTGAATGACGATGATGATGAAGACGAAGGCTCGGTCTCGCAGAAATCATCTCCTTCCAAGACTCCTTCCCACCCTGACTCGAGTGGGGCAGGATCTAGCTCAAGACTTGGATCTGAACCAAGCTCTGGGTCGAGGTCTGGATCGTGTTATGAGCCCGGGTCTGGCTCAAGCTCAAGCTCTGGGTCACCACGTTCTGGCATGACGTCGTCTGGATCGAGTTCAGGTTCGAGGTCGTCTGAGCCAGCCGAGTCCCATGGTTATAGATTTGCATCGCCAGCAGGTTCAAGCTCTGGAATAATTTTATGCTCAGGCCCGGGATCGTTCGGATTAGATGTGTCCAATGGATCCAATCCTGGTTTACCATCCGGTTCAGGCTCGAGTCCAGTACCCGGGTCGCCACCAGAGTCGTATGCCATTGCAGAGTCCGCGGCTGTTACCCCGGAGCCAAGAAATCCATCAGCGTCGTTGGAGATGCTTGTCCCGCCACCAGTCAGGGGAAAGCGCGCACTCGCCAGGGACTCACAGAGTGATGAGCTCAACCAGGCGGATACGATGATGTTTACAGTGGACGAAGAGAGGGATCAACCCGGGCACGAGATCATCAGCGTTCACAGTAGCGAGAGCGGCGATATCGAGGACGACGACACTCAACCCCTTCGGTTCACCCCCAGCCAGATTCGAGATTTCGTTGCCAGAAGAAAGGGCCTTCTGGTGGGAGAGTCTCAAGCGGTGACTATCTGTCTGAAGACCAGCAAGGAAGCGCGTCAGTTCTACAGGTTCCTCAGGTCACAGGATTACTTTGGGAAGTGGCTAAACATCAAGCTGACTTGGGCGTGGGACCGTGAGCAGCTGGGGAGCCTTGTCGACGCTCTTATTGTATCGCCGATCGAAGTTCTCTTCTTGGACGGATGTGTTGCATGCGCCGCTCCTACCTCTGTCGCCTCCACAGCCCCCGAGGCCAATACTAGCGTCAGCTCACTCAGAGTTGCTTCTACCTCACAAGAAGGAGACAGCAGGTCAGTGGACAGCAAATTCAGGACCCGCCGTTACGATCCGCTGGTCCGACTCTTCAGGCACAATCAGTTCAAGGAGTTACACTTTTATGACCTTCCGGATCTGTTCTACCACTCCATTGCCCCGATCCCTTGGGATCTCTCTCACCTGACGTCCTTCCGTCTCCACGCTGAAATCAGCGACTGGGAAAGCATCCAGGCGAACCGATTCCTTCAGTTTGTCAAACGCGCCACCAATCTTGAACATCTCTATATCGGTTGCCCGACCGAGCAGTACAATATGTACGTCGACGAGATCACACGCGCAACGGACCGGTCCGAACGTAGCAAGAACTCGCCCCCACTCGACATTCATTTCCAGCACCACCATCATCGACACACGCTCCTTCGTGTCAGGTACGACCCGTTGGATCGGGAGTTCAAGGCGTTCGAGGTCGATCTGATAGGAACCTCGCACCAGTTCCATATCCAATGGAAGCCAGTCTTGGGTCAGCTCGTCGATGGGACACTCGTCTCATTGTCTTTGGACAACATGCCCGACGAGACTTGGATGTACACGGTGATGGAGTGGGTCTACAGCGTAGCGAACGACCGCGGCGTTGGACTCGAAAACTTGCAGCTGGATTGTATGCATTTCGGTCCTATACAGTTCCAGAACCTCGTCGAGTTGCTTGAGTTAGCTCAGCCACGGCTTCAAACCCTCGACCTCCGCAACGTCTACATCTCTTTCGCCAGCAACACCTCTTCGCCCTCCGAAACCTCGGCGACGATGCTAAACCGTGACCAGGACTTTGAAATTACTCAAAACGACGTGGACGCCTCGGTACCGATAATCGACTGGCCTACTCTTGTCAAAGCCCTGAACATCTCTGTCCTGCAGGCTCTCCGAATCAGGACATGCAACCTGCAGGATCGGGATATTGATGGAGTGGTCGAGTGTTTGAAGGGAATGGTTCGCAACAGCAAGAAGCTGGCTCTGGAAAAGGTGTTGCTCAAGGGCGCCCAGTTGTCTGCCACGGGTGAACGGACTTTGGTCGGGGAGATCCAGGCGATCTTACCAGGCGTCGATGTGAAGTTTAGATAGCTGCGTTGGGAATAAGAGGTGATGCGATTTTGAATCCATTACTCGTCCATACAAAAAAAAACAAAGGATGTCTGCTTAGGATGGTACAAGAGGGAGACAGGGAATGATACACATTTAATACATTTATTTCAAACGAGAACATGATGGTTACATGATACGATAAGAACTACATTTTCGCCGAAGCGAGACGTGTGCATTTCGCATACCCCTCAGATGACAGCAAGCCTTCACTTTTTTTTTTTCTTCTCTTTCGCAACATTCAGCACTCAACACTCTCATTCTGCAACTCAAACAACCGTTCTCCCTTACACACAACAGCCATAATAACAGTAACCATACAGTATGCACCCGGATACGTTTAACATGTTCGAGATCCTGCTCATCCTCGACATAATTTGTGACTCGCTCGACATGGCCGTCATCTGGAAATATCGACAGACCTGCTCCTTGTGGAACCCACTCTTTTGCAACAAGCTCCAGTCAGAACCACATTCAAGCAAGACTCCAAATAGGCATGGTTGACATGGGATGCAAAATAGGTTTATATAAAAGTTGTTTGTTCTACACTTGCGCCCTAGACAAGCATCTTGGACATGTAAGGGCCTAAGCGTGCACAAAAAGGAGTAAGGTGAGTTAGTATCAAGAAAGCAAAAAAAAAAAAAATGCAAAAAAAGGCTTGACAATGCCAAGCAAAAGATCACACATACCATCAAGAGTGTAGCCCAGCTTGGCGTAATAGTTCCTGACACCGACTCCACTGATAACGCTCAGCTTGACACTTCCATGCTCCTCCCTTGCAATCCTCTCGGCCTCCTCCATCAGCAGAGTACCATAACCCTGATGCTGGAACTTGGAGGGATCCCGGGAATGCACAGGGACCACAGAACCATAGACGTGCAATTCACGCACAATCGATGTAGGGCCTGCCTTGGTCAACTCGGGGCGGAAAGCCAGGGGCGAGCACTTTCTCAATCTCAACAGTCCAATCAAGATATCCTGCTCGGGATCCTCATAACTCAAAAAGGTCTCCCAGCCTCCATTGGCGGTATAGTCACGACGGATCAACTCGACCTGATCGGGCTTGACCTTGTTGTGGATATCGACAATACCGACCTCACGCGTGCGGACATCTCTGCACTCTGTCCCCAGATCCTTCATCCTCTGAAGCGCCAACTCGCGGAGGTTTCCATGCTCAACACCAGAGGTGACCAGAGGCATAGGGATATCACGCTGAACTCTGTAGACACGAGTCCATGGAGGCACAAGAGCCAATATCCTGGCGACCAAGTCCACAAGTGCGTTGGGTGTATAGTTCTTGTACCGTCCTGTCCTCCAGAGCTCATAAAGTCCTGTTCCACGAATGACGAGTGTAGGGTAGAGCTTCAAACCGTCCGATCGGAAGGCAGGGTTCTCAAAGTACTCCTTGAACTGGTCCATATCACGTTCCATACCGACGTTAGGGAGATCGGGCATCATGTGAGCCACTACTTTAAATCCTGCATCCTTGGCCAGCTGGAACGACTCTGTAACGGCCTTGACGGTATGTCCACGGTTGGTGTCGCGAGCCACATCCTCGTACACACTCTGCACTCCAATTTCCAGTCTCGTGCATCCATACCTGAGCATTTGACTATGCGGAGCAAATTAGCAATGATTGATACGGTTAATTTCCTAATCACTTGGCATTCACTGTCGTACAACATAGGCAAAAGGACAGTTCCGTTAGATCTACGTACCTCAAGTGTGGCTTTAGACAGTAGTCTGGGCGAGTCTCGATTGTAATACCGATACACTTTGTGGGGCTGACCTCCGACATCCTAACGGCCTCATCGACATCGTTACTCGAGTGTCCAGAGAGAGAGTCGTGCAAGTTGCTGATGAACCAGTCCCTGTAGTCCTCGGGCAATGACATGAACGTGCCTCCCATGACGATATATTCGACCTTGTCCACGCTGTGACCCAATGCCTTGAGCTGATCCTGACGACCTCTTGACTGCTCGAAAGGGTTGTAGCGGGCGCGAATGGCACGCATACTGGTAGGCTCGTATCCTGTGTATGACTGTGTCGAGTACTCGAAATCCGAATCAGGGCCACCAGGACAGTACCTAGAAGTGTATTCAAAGTAGAGTGTGAATGTCCTGTAAGTTGTTTGTTCCTGATCTCCTTTAAGCGCTTTGCGTGAATTGTACTGGCTTCATATGGGTCTAAACACCTACACGCAAATGTTTCCTGTCATGGCGATATGGGGACATCTGTGAGGCTTGCACATCACAGCAACAACGGCGATCTATTGAAAACCAAGGGGTTGTAAGGTTAGAATTGGTTGGTCCTCATGCTATGATTTCTTACACAACTGCGGCGCATTGAAGGTGGTAGAGAATCCAAACGTAAAACTCACTCCTGATGCAGTTCTGACGGGCTTGGCCTTAAGGTTGGGCAAGAGGACTGCTTTGTACTGCTCAGGGATCGCAGCAATGATATCGACCAGCTTGGGCTGGTTTTGAGCCTTGTGTTTGCGCGAGTAGCGCTGCTTGAGTCCGTTAAGGTTGATATCCTTGCCTGCATCGTGGGCCTGAATGAGCTCAGCTACAATCTCACTGCAGACCTTGATCATGATCTCGGCCTTTTTAGTAACAAAAGAAGGGAATGAAGAAATGTGTGTTAGTCCGTGCTGTCTTTCATTCCTTTGCTCCTGCTTTGCCTCCTGTCCATGAAAGTTGAGAGTGTTGAGGGTGGTACCTGGGAAGGGCCTAGGAAGAATAGCAATAGGAAAGAATATGGTTTTAGCAACGTGGGGTAGGCAGTCTTGTCACATGGCGTGGGAGAACAGCGGTGTGTATTGAGCAAGGTGTGATCACACTACGCACCTTTCTTTTTGATGGTCGACATGGTGACAGTAGGGTGCTTTGTTGTGGTTGGCGGTCTTTGCAGAAGAAGAGTCCGAATGAGTGTGTCAAAGTGTGATCAACAAAAGGGGGAGACAATTGAAGACGACAAGGGAGTGATGCAACCAAGAAAAAAAAAAGTCCGAGGGAGAGCGAAAGTGCTCAAAAAGAAAGAAAAAATTGACTTGCCAGCGACTCGGTGGCTTGTGAGTCAAAACGGACGCATCTTTCCAAGTGGTGGCGAAGCGTGGGCGCCTTTTTCTTTTTTTTTCTTTTCTTTCACCAAGCTCCAACAGAACCAACGGGACCAGGTTGACTCACGACGACTCTTCTCGACTACGCCAGGAAGAACAACTACACATCTCCTTAAAAGAAAACGGATGCTCATCCTTATAAACCGACCTGCCTCCTTCTCCATCGTCACTTCTTTCAACACTCAACACGCCTATCCCTCTTACTCTGTTGGACGTTATTTCAGTCGCCAATTTCCTCGCACCTTTTTTAAGAACGCGCCTCCACACCACACAACCATAAACCGAACTACAGCCATATCAGCGTTGGATATTAGAATCCCTACTCACCGCAATCAACCTGTGGTCTTCTTTTCAACAACACCCATACACCAACTCGCTGTTGCCAGTCGACCCGGACACCTCAAACGAACTTTCTCGTCAGTAACCTCAAGGAGTCCACCCACATCAGTGGCAAAGAAAATGTCGGTCTCAAATATACCAAGAACTCTGGAGATCCGGTTGACAGAGCAGGAAACTAAGATCTGCGAAGTCCTGGATGCCGTTTCAAAACGATATGAGGAGAAGGAGGGCAAGAAGGTCCAACTTCGTATTGCCGGAGGCTGGGTCCGCGATAAGGTATGGGCCAGCGACTTGAGCTGTTACTTTTGACTCAAACGAACTCATTATCGTCATATGTATGTTGACACACTAAGTATAATTATTTACTTGAGTAGTTACTCGGCCTGACATGCCACGATCTGGACATCGGAATCGACACGATGATGGGATACGACTTTGCACTCCTGGTCAACGACTTCATGGAATCGATCGGTCAAGAGAAACGTACTATCGCCAAGATCGCCACCAACCCAGAAAAGTCAAAGCACTTGGAGACCGCCACCATGGTCGTTTTGGGAATGCCTCTCGACTTTGTTAACCTCCGGTCTGAGGTCTACGACGACGCCAGCCGAATCCCCAGTGAAATTGTAACGTATCGTCATTGGGCACCGGATGACAGACGTTGCATGTGAGTTGGAGAACATTCATAATGGCAGAGGCTAACAGGATCAATTAACAAATAGACATTTGGGACGCCATCAGAAGATGCCTACCGCCGCGACTTTACCATCAACGCATTATTGTACAACATTCACACCCGGACTGTCGAGGACTTTACCGAGCGGGGATTGGACGATTTGAAGCACGGCCTTGTCAGGACTCCACTGGAACCTTTCGAGACTTTCTGGCAGGATCCTCTGAGAGTCATGCGCTGTATCCGTTTTGCCGCCAGGTTCAATTTCAAGATCGTGGACGAAGCAAAGAGAGCTATTCTGGACCCTCGGATCAAGCAGGCTCTTAAAACCAAGATCTCCAAGGAGCGAATTGGCGCAGAACTGGACAAGATGATCGATGACGGCGCTGGCCGCAGCACTGCTATCCAGTTACTTCATGACCTCAGCCTGTACGACGTCGTCTTTGCGCCTCCAGAGGTCGATGGTACTGCCAAGGGAACCACAGCTGTACACGGAGGCGCCAATGATGTGGAGGACGCATTCAAGCTGGTATGGATCATGGAATGGCTTTTGAAGATCAGTCTGAGCACTGTCGACAATGCCGACCTCGAGGGAAGGATCTTTCAAGCAGAAGTTGACCTAGGTCAGGAATTGCTCTTGTCCCAGACACGCGGATCTCTCCTCACGACGCACCTCTACCCTGTCGTCACTTCAACGCCCTCGCCCCATGTAGCACAGATCATCTCAAAGGAAGAGCCTTTCCCTGAGAAGCTTGGTACCCGGAACCTGATCTTGGCCGGCATGATGTACCCTTACCGCGATATGACGGCCGTTGTCAACAAGAAGCACATGTCTGCGGGTTCATGGATCCTTCGGTACGGTCTCAAGGGCAAGAACCTGGATATTGAAATCGTAACAAAGTTGATGGAGAGTATTAAGCCTGTGCAGCGTGTGATAAGGGCTGTGACTCAGAACCCTGCGACGGACGAAGAGAGTGTCCAGAAGGAGAGAGCAGAGATGGGCACCGTGATCAGGGATATTGGGTTTGTTCAGGTGATTGGCAAGAAGTGGCCCTGTGCCTTCCTCTTGGCTCTCGGAATTGACCTCATCCCTAGGTTCGACACATTAAGAACCGGCGTACTTGGTGAGTAACTTAGGCTAAAGACATCTCGAGCCAATGCGCTTTGTTTTTGTTCTCATTCTGTGCGCTTGTCCGTGACCTCTAACCGCTTTGTCCTTTACTCTTGTCTGTCTAGATGAGGAGACAAAGGCCATGGTTGCTACCTATAACGGGTTCATGTCTAAGGCGGCCGCATACCAAATCGACCACTGTTTTGCCTGGAAGTACCTTGTCGATGTGAGTCTACATGGATCATGCCATATCATAAACTTTGGTCGTTGCTTACAACCCAATTTCACATTGCTCACACTTTTTATTTGATGTCCTCTGTTCCTTTTGACCCATCGTGCTTTTTAGGGCAAAGAGCTAACCAAGATGTTAAACATCAAACCAGGACCCAAGGTGACAGACTATCTCCGTGTCGTCATGAACTGGCAGTTGAGGCATCCTCGGTCGTCAAAGGAGGAGTGCCAAGCTTGGATTATGGACCATCCAGATCTTTTCGTATGAAGCCTCTTCCAACTTTCATCCTACCTTCCCTCCAATTTTTTTGCTTGTTTGTGGCAACAAATAAACAAAGCAGGTCAGAATGAAAAGAACAAACGGACAATGTAGCTGTTCCCTTTTCAGGACAGCGATGCACAATGAGCTCTTTTTTTTGGTAACCATGCATTGCGGGAACGCATGGTCCTCCCAGCCCCAAATGACATACAACAGGTATGCTATGTTATTGCTCGCCCCTCCAACGGCTCAGTCGTCGCACAAAGGAAATGCCTCCTTCTCTCCTTCCTTCATTATAGGTGCCACTTGTTCTTCCTCCCTTTGCCTTCGCGAGAGTGAGAGTGGAAGAGAGGAAGTCGGAAAATAGATAAATGTACGAGCGATAAAAATGACAAAAGTGAGAAACCCTCCCCCCTACTCTTTTTCTCGCCCTCCCCTCTCCTTCTCTTGCGACTACGACAGATGCATTTGTTTGTCCGTTCAATTGTTCGGCGTCATGGAAAAGAATAGACAATAATAGCACGACGGTTTGTCAAACACTGGCAAAATGATGGCTGGGAGGCAAACAGACTAGGTTATAGACCTCCTCGATCTGGCTTTTCTAACTGCCACGCGCACTGTCTCTTTTCCACCGTTTGGTCAACAGCATACAAAGAACGACATAACAGCCTTCCTTCTTTCGCATTTCGAATGGCAGCATTGACAGCATTGACCTACAAAAAAAAGACTCTTCGCCATTCATAAATGCAAGGCTTTCCTCCTGCAGCTCCACCGCATTACCTTGTCTTCGCCTTGTTTTTCCAGCACGTCCTTCATCTTTGCATTCTACTCTATTCTCTTCCTTCTAATCGATCCAACGCACACTCTATTCTTTCGTGAAAGCACCACATGGTTCATACTGCAACTAAACAAACAATAACAATTGGAACCCTTTACTTTTTTCTTTTTACTTCAACCAGTTCCCTATTTTTAACCTCTCTCGCCTCTTCCCCACCATGCACCTCAACCATCTCACTCAACCACCGAACAATGGAAATGCCCCAATTCATCGCCACCTAAGTAGAAGACTCGCTTCCTCTTAAAAGGAGTGACAAAAACTCTTTCCCCCGAAGAGAGCGTACTCTCTCTGGAAGCGTCGACTCCCAAGGTTCTTTCCATTCCCCTCCCCCCGATTCAACCGCCGCTCATCAACACCACTCTCAGTATCATCACTCTAGACTCTAAAGGCTAAAACGCCACCAGCTACAGTGCCAACAACAACAACGGTGACAGTAACAACAACAGTATCAAGGCAGTAGAGATCTCAACAATGGCCTCGTCATATACCAGCGCCAAGCTGGCTCCGCCCATCTCTGGTGCTACAGTTGACGCCTTCGAAATTCGACCAGACCAGCAGCTTTGGTATACCATCCAGGTCCACCCTTGTCCCGTGGTCATCCCAGAAATCGATACCCAGCCTGTACCTCGCAAGTCCTATAGCATCTGCCGCCGACATGAGGATGTTGTTGACTTTGTCGAACGTCTCGAAGAAGAGTTCCCGTGGTTGAAAGCATACCAAGATGAATCTCAGGTGAGTACGAGTGCATTCTTTTTTTTGTACCTCTTGTCGTGTTGTATGAATGAACGGCTCATTAAAAGAAAAAAGGAACGCTTACACAATGGTATGGTAACTTGAACAATTCAACTTTGTTATTGTGTGTTGCACAGAACAATTCATTTTCCAACTTTCGAGAAATGGACCGTGCATGGTCCTCGAACAGATCTCGAGACGGCACTACTCTGTTTGATGCCAGCCGCTCTATGCGCCAGCAAGAGCTTGACCGGTACCTTCAAACCCTTTTCACCCTCGAATCCATCGTCATTCAATGTCGCCTCGTCTCCGAGTTCTTTGGTACCTGGAAGACTGACCTCCAGTGCCTTCTCAGACAGGAAGACCAAAACCCCCTGGCCCCTCACACCATCCCCCTTTTGGCACCAACCCCCACGAAAAGGCCCGCCTCGAGTAACTCATCTTCCAGCACTGTGAACCCTCGCATAAGGAGCAACTCGTCTCTATCGACTCCTCCATGGTCGTCGGACAATATGTCATCTTCATCAAGCGTCGACACATCACCCGCCCCCTCCCCAACCATGTCACCCTCGCCGGAAAACAAACGAGGATGCTCCCTCTGGGATGTCCGTATGGATTTGTTGGATTCGTCCGCCGTCGACCGATGCAACATCGTCTCCCCACCCGGGTCGTCCTTCCACAGCAGCTATGGCTCTGAGCACAGCGATGATGCCAGCAGCTACTATACGTATGCAAGCGATGACGAGAGTGACACCTATAGCATAATTATGAGCAAGTTTCCTGAGACTCCAAGCACCCTTCAAACGTCGACCTCTTTGCAGAACTCGACGGAATTTATTCAACGGCTCCCGAGCCCCTCATCTTCCTTTCCCACCCATTTTTCGTCCTCTTCTTCGCCCCATTTGCCCCTGCCTCGAGCACTTCCAGTGGCGCCTTCCATGACCTCCATCGTTCCACAGCACAAGACTCCCAGGTCTTTTGGAGAGGGTACTCTGCAATCCGAACTCTCTTCACCCTTGAATTCTATCCCTCCAAGAACTGTCTCGCTCGTGGTAAGCAACCCGGGCAGTGGTTCTGGCCCTAGCATCCCACACCGCAGACCTAGCTCATTGAACCCTGAGGCTCGATCACGTAGGGCTCGCCAGGATCATACAAGGACGCCCTCCAACCCGATCAACAATGCTTGCAACAACAACTGTAACAACTCGACAGCGCCCATCTCGATCCCTCCCAAGCCAGCAACGCGTTTGCTCGCAAAGGCTCAGGCCTATGTCTCCACGTCTCCGCTCTATACCGGCCCTCCTCTGACAGTACCCATCCGCTCCATCTCGAAGCCGACGCAGAGCATCACTATCCAACCGCAGGAAAAGATGGCCAAAGAGAAGACTCCCATGACTCTTACCCCTCGAGTGATACCTAAGGCGACAACGACTAGCAGAGCACCCCTGAAACCCAAACCAGCCAAGACGAGCACAGCACCTTTGGATATCAAAGCTCCAACCCCTGCCAAGCGGATTCTGAAGAGCCAGAAACCGCCGTCGATTGTTGCAGACTGTATGGCTGGGATATCAAACTTTACCATTAACCTCAACGCGACAAGCGGTCTCGACTCTTCCGCGTGCGCGAACCTACAGAGCCCTTCAGAGACCCGACCCTCCCAGAGTATCATCGCCACTCTGAACCATGCCCATGCCCAAAAGCAGCTGTCTGCCCAAAAGATCACTCTTGCACATCAACGGCAGCAGCCAGTGAGATTCATGGCGACGATAAAGGTGGTGGTCAATGCGCACTTGATTATTGCCCTCAAGATCCTGGAGGAGGAGACTGAGTTTCTTTTAAGTGTGCCCGATCTGCGGCTGCGGGTGATGAACAAGTTCCGGAGGATGAGTATGGCGATCTCGGACGAGTTTGATCTTGTCTGGGATGGAGGGAATGGTTCGCAGGTGGTGCTGAAGAACGATGAGGAGATTCAGAAGGCGTTGAAGGCCTCTGTTAACAACAAGCTTACTCTTCGATGCGTCTTTTAATTACGTTTTACTTCACGTGTGTACGTGCACAATAATGACGATCACTTTGAGTGACAAATAAATATTTCAACCGCGCGCTTTTTCGTTGTCCTCTTCGCCTCTCCTCTTCTCCACTCCACCTTTTCCTTCCCATTTCAGCCACCTCATCCCGAAACAACATCTCAAATATACTCAACAAACAACACACATGGACCTCATGCACATCCACCGACAGCCCTCGCGGCTCTACATCCTAATTCTCAACTTTGCCACCCTGGTACCTTTTCTTTCTTATTCCTCGTATGGTCATACTATGCCAAGACAAATGTCGCTCATCCACAACAACACAGTCTTCTCACTCTCCCCGTTCCTCTTTTCTCTATATGGCCCTCCGTGACAAAAGCTGGCGAGTTTGGTGCTGTTTGCTGCAGGTATCCAAGAACTGGCGGGGGGACAGTCACAGCTCCCTCTCCACTCTGACGCCATCTCGTGGGCACTCATCGCCCTGGGTCTTGTCGTCTTCTTGGTGTCTGTCCTCGGCGGCATCTCTGCCCTGTCCCTCTCTAAGCGCATTGCCTACATCGTAAGCTCTCTTTCTTCTTCACAATATAGGGCGGTGACGATTAAATGATGCCAAGCCAATGACAAAAGGGAGGCTGTTTGATGAAGGGTGATTTCACTGCGCGCGGCACATGTGGCTCACGATCTGATCAAACTGTCTGTAAATGCTGGCGTGTAAAATGCGTATGAACTGATCTCGAGTATATCATCATTTTGCTTCACTCTCCCCCGACATAGTACGGAACCCTGCTGTTGATCCTGGTGCTCCTCCAGCTCATCTTTCTGATCTATGCCATGATCCGACACGACCACGTAAGCTATTACCCTCTTTACATTCTTCTCTACACGCGTCACTTTTCTGATCGGCCAATATCCACATCGATTCATCATCACTACTTGCTTTTCTGGTTACTCGCAAACAGGTCGACAGTATGATGGACAACGCGTGGCAAAAGGCATATGACACGAACGAGCGAGCATTGCTGGATCTGGAGACGCGCTTTCACTGCTGTGGCTTTGAAAAGGTCACCGACCGTGCTGTCCCCAAGGCCTACAAGAAAGCCTGCATCAACTCGCCTGCTTTTGGGTACAATGTCTCGTGCAAGCAGCAGCTCCATAATGTCTTCTATGATCATGAACGCTTGACCATTGCGGCCATCACTGGCGTTGTGGCCCTTCAGGTGCGTGTTTTACACTAATCTTTTTGGTATCATTTGACTTACTTGCTTAGTCCAGCTAAATGAATTCTCTTTTCTGACCAATCGTTTTCTTTTTTTCTCACCCTTGTCCATTGTAGCTGTTGGCATTGGGGACGATCGTGTTGGTGAAGAGGCACCTGAGCGATGACACGATCGAGGACCGCTACTCGGCCGGGCACTCCCAGAGACTGCTCCGCGGTCTGCGCAGCGAAGACGAGGGCCGTTCAGGATACGGCGACCAGTCTGGATCTGCGGAGACCCGAGGCGATTACGGATCGACTCTCGGCTAGTAGTTCTGTACTTCTCTTTGAATCCCCTTTTCATGGTTTCCTTTCCTTGATCACCTTTTATCACGCGAAAAAATTACTTCGTCCCTGCTTGCTGCTGTCCCTCCCTTTGCTATTTTCTTTCGTTCCGTTGGTTGCTTCTGCCATCTCTCCAGCTCATACTCCAATTACCCGCCAACACTATCAAATTAAAAAAAAATAAAAATGAAATAAACACAACACAGAATACAATGGTATCCAGCTTTTTAATCTACGTGATTACATAACTCATGATCCCCAAGTGGCAGCCTGAAGAGCGACCATAACCCAAACCAAAATTCCAGGCACACCCACCACACAATAACTCCAAAACAACAAACTAGCCATCTTCTTTTCAAAGAACCCATTAATCTGACAGATCTGCATCATGTTGACGGCAGTGGGCGAGGCCGATAACATGACCAATGAGAGTCGGAAGATGGGGTCTCCGAGGAGGGTCGGGGAGATACTGTTGGGGACTAGGAGGATTGCGGGGAGGGTGATTAGGGGGGAGAGGAACATCCTGCAGAAGAGGACTAATGGGACAGGGTTGTTCTTCTTTTCGGTCGAGTCTTTGTTGTGGGACCCGAGTTCTAGATGGTGAGGGTGGTTTTGGTGCTGGTGAGGTTGATCGGATACAGATTTTTGAGTAGTAGTGCTGTGACTCAACAATGGGCTGGACTCATTGTTGCTGCCTGAGGTACTACTTCCGCTGCTGCTGCTTCCACGCCTGCTGCCAATATCGTTCGAATGCTGAGGTGCCTCCGAAAGCAAAGCGGCGCCATAAGGTGTTGGTGCACGCAAGCTGTTGGCCGTCGAAGACGACACTGTCACAGTCGCCGACGGATTTGACTCTGCCTCGGTATTACTGTCAAAACTGATGACCTGCGCGCCAAGACAGAGCATGATCATGGGAACTGCAGCTCGACCACACGTATCCAGGGGTCTGATAAGGAAGATGAACACCTTCGAATCCGGATCCATAAAGATATGATGCAGAGGTTGGATGAGTCCGACGATGAGCGCCACAATTGCGGTGACCAGCGGGGGTTGCAAGAGTCCACGTGCCTTCTTGAGGATAGCGACCAGTCGTGAAGTCCATGTCGTTGGCGTGACTGCGGTTGGTGTTAAGGTGTGGGGAGCTGGGTGAGAGTCCACGTCGATGATGATATCCGCTTGCTCATTGTTGGATATCGCCACTGGTCCTGTGCTGTCGTCATTGTGGCTGGTGCTTCCATCGTCCTTGCCGTTAGTCTCGTCTCCCTTGTGGTGCGACAACATATTTAGGCCATACGACCATCGAATAAGGTTGTCAAACACACTTGTAAAAAGAATGTATGACACACCTCTATACAAATAAACATGGGATACAAAATAATAATTCGTTTCCGTTAGTATCTCTTATCGCTTCACTCCCGTGTTCTACATTTCCCAATAGTATGCGCAGTTTACCTTGCAAGGACAGCCTCAGTAGTATCATTTTCATCCCTGAGCAGCAACTTGGCTGCCCCACTCAGCACCAAACTCTGAACCAACGCAATCGGGAGTGAGTTGTTGTTAAAGAACATAATACTCGCCGTCGCAAACCGAGTCTCCTCCCTCGTCAACCGCAACAGCTTCGACCCGATCTGGGCAACAGTGAAGTTGACAACTAGGAAGACTGAATAGAAGAGAGGTATGGGCCAGAAGGTGACGAACCGGTCCCAGCTCAGGACGGATGCGATCTTTGTAAAGATTAGACATGGCGTCAGGAAGTACAGGTTGATCTTTGACAGGCCCTAGTAGTTGTTGAAGGGGGGGGAAGGCAGGAGTTAGAATGCTGTTGCGACAAGCAGTGGTTGATCCAATGTGAATGCGAGGCAAGAGGAAAAGGAACACAGGGAACTTACTCTCTGGGTTTGTGGGGAGAGGAGGCCAGCCTTGGTTAGGATGATACCACAGAATACGACCACAATGACCTGACTGACAGCCTAGAACAAACAAACAACCCAATTAAGAATGCAAACAACAATGAACGACGTCGTTAGCAAAGCAACAACAAAAGTAGCATTGACAAAAGAAATAAAGATAAGGGTCAATTCTAGGTTAAAATGTCGCCATTTATAGCTTGGTCTGGATCAGGGGGAAATCACCACAGCCATTCTTTTATGCAGCCAACAGTCTTCCTTGGACGCAAAATGGAAGGAAAGAAGGCGATGACCAAGAGTTGATGAACAACAGTGAGGTAGTGTGCATGAGAGTAGATGTCGCAAGAGGTTCGGAATGTGTGTGGACGAATCGACTAGGTCAAGATTCTGAGTGCCCTCTCATTCGAACTGTCCAAACAAGCTTGATCGAGGTCGTGCACAAGTGAGTGGTGGGCGAAATTGAAGTAAGAGCACTCGGATTTGGTAGAAGAGAGAGGAACAGGAGAAGTGATCCTACGCACCTCTGCTGCTGCTTCAGCAAGTGCGAACCAGTCTATTCCCATGGGTATCGTTGAATGTGAGAGAGGGAATCGGTTGGAAGTAAAATAAAAAGTGGAGTAACGAAAGTGAAGAAGAAAGGAAGGAAAGGAGAGAAAGAAATGACGGACACCGTTCGGAGGTCGAGGTACAGATGAGGGTGGTGCTCCGGATCTGGTTTTTCCGAAGTCGTCTTTCCTCCTTCTTTCCCGCTTCTTGCTCCAGACACAAAAAGGTTGGATCATGACAAGAAAGTGCGAAGTGACTCGATCATGACGTGCTCTTGTGTGCACACCATGGGCTGGTGCATGTCAGAGTCGCCATGTTATCTCTCTCCGAGACATCCCTTTAGCTTTGTGTTCGCGATTCCTTTCGGTACTCATCACTTATCAACCGTTTGGGTCAAAGAGAGGAAGGGGCTGGAATAGCGTGAGAAGAGAGCGTTAGATCTCGTTCAAGGATCGGCTAGTGCATTTGTTTAAACATGATTGCAAGAGCAGACTTTGGGCTCTAGCTGATATAGTGCTGATGCTCCTTGAGCGATCGATTGATCGCCAGATCAAGACTGGTAAGGTTGTCTGCTTCTTGACTGCCATCCACAGAAACAATCATTGATCACACTGTCTCGTTTGTTCTGTACAAAGTTGTTCGTTTACTTTTTATTTTCTTCTACTCGCACTTGATTCATGAGTGAGTTGGTATCTTATGGGGACATACATTCCTGTAATACTATTTTACAACTTGGCGCCATACAGCATCGAGGCAACCTTGATGGACTGGCGCATACCAAGGTCCAACATAATCTCTTCAGATCCTCCAGGAATGGCATAGGCACGGACTTCACGGTAGATACGCTCAACCTTCTCGCCCTGTCCACCACGGGTATAAGCCAGTCCACCAAAGATCTGGGATGCCTCACGGGCACAGTACTCGAGTGTCTGGGTCGCCTGGGCCTTGAGCAACGCAATAGGGCCTCCCAACTTGATCATCTGGAGGTCCTCGGGCATGGTCATTGTCTGGTAGATCACATTCTCGGTCCAGGCATGGGTTGCCTCGATCTGACGGGACATGTGGGCGAGCTTGTTACGGAGAACGGGGTGGTTGACCAACTTGACACCAAAAGTCTTGCGCTTACTTCCGTACTTGATCGCCTCCTCGAGACAGACACGGGCCAAGCGGTTGGCCTGGACAACAATTCCCATGCGCTCGTGGTTAAAGTTCTCGACAATGTACTTGAATCCGCGATTCTCCTTGCCGACCAGGTTGGCCTTGGGGACGTGGACATCCTCAAAGTTGATGTAGGCAGTTCCAGAGGACCAGACACCGGAGCACTGCATCTGACGAGTCGAGACTCCGGGCATATTACGCTCAATGACAATCAAAGAGACTCCTCCCATTCCATCGCCACCGGTACGGCAGGCAACGGTGAAGAAATCGGCAAAGGTACCGTTGGTGATCCACTTCTTCTCGCCGTTGACGATGTAGCCGTCGTTCGCCTCGTTGGCAACAGTGGTCAAGTTGGCGACATCAGATCCAGCCTGGGGCTCGGTAATGGCTAGGCAGATGGTCTTGCGACCAGCTAAGCAGTCGGGTACAATGCGTCTCTTCATCTCTTCGCTGCCGTTGACAATGATTGGAGGGAGACCGATTCCAAGACCTCCGCAGATACCCCAGAGGACACCACCGGATCCGCAGCGGGCGAGCTCGTCTCCGATGATGAACGAGTGGAAAGCATCAAACTCTGCGGGGTCTACAATCGCGTTGGCACCACCCTTGAACAAGGTCGAGGACTCGACATCAAAGTACTCAGTGGGGAGTTTGCCATGGCCAGCAATACAGGCAAGAATACCATGTTCAGCACACTTGCCAAAGAGAGACATGGGGACCTGCTTGGCCTCGTCCCACTGATGGACATGTGGCATAATCTCGGTATCGACGAACACGCGCATGAAGCGACGAAGACGGCGGTGAGAATCCTTGTAGTAAGGGCTTCCCCACTGCTGGTACCTGAGCATGAGAGAGGAATAAAGGGAGGGATTGTCAGTGAGTGTTGAACAAGAGTAAGGCACAAATGTGGCAGAGAGAAGAAAGGGACTCACCAGGATGGATCACCAAAGGGAATCATCTCGCCAAACTGGAGCTCGTCATCATCATCGACGGGAGCAGCGGCATCAGGGGCGGCACCACCCTCCTTGGGGGCCTCGCCGATGACACCGACGCAAAGGGCGCCGTACTGTTCGAGGACACCTGCATTTAGATTGTATGTCAAAGGGGAAGAGACATATTAGGACAAGGTTTAATTCATGTGTTTCATATGACAAAAGTGAGTCCATGCCAACTGCGTGCAAAAATAAAACAACAAACATGCCTGCGTTGTGGAAGGCATCGAACTGCTTGGTGGCATCCATGCCAGCGTTCTTCAATAAGATCTTCTACTCGTGTCCAAAAAAAAAGGGATGTGTGAAAAGGGATCAGTCTTCGTTCATCGAGATGCAGAACTACACCCATGCCCATTCTCTTCACACTAGTCTCTCATCAGCGCCAACGTCCATTTTAACGTTTGGTCAAGTCATCTCCACAACGGAAAAAGAACAGAGCTCGGCTTTTTTTTACTTTTCTCCGCGCTTCCTATTCCAATCCCCGCCGTTTTTTCTCTACACTTTCTGTTGGCCTTTGCTTTTTCCTTTAGTTTACCTTTCCGCCGGGGTGGTCGTTAAGGAAATTGGTGACATCGTACACTTTGTCGTGAATAATGACCCAGCAGTCGTTCTATCCATTCAGGACATCAAAAGACAAGTTACAAAAGTAATTGATTAGCACGAAAACGCGGGAAACAAGGGTACATTTTTTTCGCGTCTATGTGTTCCACGGCTCGCATTGATGGCAATTTGTACCTCGGAATTGTGGGCGGCGACCTGGCTGGCTTGGAAGTATCCTGTAGTCATGATGTGAATAGGTTCGCGTGGGTGCTGAAAGATGGTTTCAAGACGAGCCTTGAACTGGAAGTGGAGTGGGAAGCTGAGGTCCGAGATGGTGGAAGGAAAGGTTTAAAAAGAGGGTGTCGTAAGGGACAAAGAAGAGGAGAGAAGTAAGAGATGAATGGGTGATAATTGAAAATGTGAAGAATAAAAAGAATAAAAAGAAAGGGAAGAGGGGCAGAAGGCGTTGCTTTTTAGTCCACCCTTCATCGATCGTGTCCATTGTCCATGACTCGCTCTCTCTATATGTTTCTCATTGTTTACTCCTCTGGACCCCGGACTCTCTCACTGTGCCTCGCCATCTCCGGTGTTTGTCCACATCTCGGACCAAAGAGATCGAGCACTTCCCGTGGGCAAGATTACCATTCAGGGCTGATGTGGGAGTGCGAGGATATAAGAGAGAGATAGCTGGTGTGTTTTGTGTCAGCGTATCCTTCGACTCGTGTTTAGAGGACACACACATAGAGGAGGGTCATTGGATGTGGAGAGGGCCTACTTGTTGCACAGATGAGCACAAGAGCATGCGAAGAGGAGTGAGAAGGATACTAATCCTACCACAAACGCTGACAGAGGAAAAGACCGAGCGTGTAGAGGGAGGAATCGATCGTTGTTCATATGTCTAAGGGTAAAAACAAAACACAAACAACCCATTTTGTTCTATCCTGTTTTATGCGATTAGGCGAAGGAAAAAAAGGTCCGGTCAAAGTGTCAACGGTCAACGTCTGGTTAGAAAAGATCACCCATTACTGTAGTATACATCTTACTACTCCACTTCCATCTCTTGATTGTTTGAAAAGTCCTTCGAGTATTAGACAATTGGATACATATTTCTACGAGAAGAGCAACGGCTGCCTCTTTTCATTTCGCAAAAGAGGATCGAAGACACTCCAGTCTTTGACGCATTTCGGCTGGAGAAAGACCGAGAGACAGCCGAGGGCAGCGTGAGTGTGGTGTGCATTCGCTTACTGGCGACCCTTGCATGAATGCTACCTACTGAGAGAACAAGAGAGGGAAAACCGATTGCTAATAACGTTTCACGACTGCATGTCTGTTGTTTTGTATTTCGGACAAACGGAAAACTGGACTAGGCTTGGATTATGCTCTCATTTTTATCTGTTCGTTGTTTGTCGTCCTTTCTGTTGTAATTTTTTCATGGCTCGCCCTCTCACTTTCTCTCTTGAACTGTCTGGAGAGTGGAGAGTGTGGAGAAAGAACAAGTCCTTCGGAGTACTATTGATGTGGGGAACGAAACCATAAGTATAAATCGCGACCACTGGACTCTATCATTACCTAAGTACCTAGCAGACCTTGTTCGCAACAAGGAAAAGGTAAGAAAGAAAAGGTAGCAACAGTGTGCAAGAAAGTGGTTTATTGCAAATCGCAATGAACTAGCAAGTATCTCTCCTGATTCTTCACCTCCTGCCGGGAACATACCAAGATTAACCTCAGATCCTGGGGACATTTATCCATTTGAGCGTCTTCTCGTTCGACACCCTGAATTCGCCATCATCCCACTGTTGCTCAAAGACATCAAGCAAGAACGTGCAGCAGGACGACTCCCAATCCAGCTGTAGGTCGTCCAAATCAGAAAAGTCCGCGAGGGTTGCGGTTGTCTGTGGAGCAAGTGAGCCGTAAGAGCCGAGTACAAATAGGAGGGTCCATAAAGAGCGTGTCGTGCAGGTCGATCTCCAGCGAACGAATCCAGTCAGCCTCCTGTCGAGCAGACTCCCTTTCCTCAGAAGATATCATGCCGTTTAAGCGGAGGTTGACGTCCCTTCAGACATAGGGGGCAAAGAGCAGGTCCTACGGTGAGGAGGTCCGTCTGCAGTTCCTACAGTCCGCCGGGTCGAGCGATTGGCAAATGAGGGCGAGAATGAGATAGGTCTCGAAAATGGTGATCGTGTTGGAGGACATGGTCGTGTTCCTCAGTAGGTGCGAGAGTGTTTCTTATATGGCGTTTTATCGGAAAACAAAGGCGAGCACAGTTTTCGTCATTGAAAGACGCGGCAGACATGCGACAAGGACGCTTGCTTCGCCGAGATTGGCCAGTGATCTCATCGATAATTAATCAGCCATTTATTTCCCATGAACAATGTCATTACACTCACTTCAACCCCATCCACCGCAGAAGAGACTCATCGATCACCTCTTCGCCCTCTTGTCCCTCTTCCTTCTGTTGCTCAAGCACGTCTTCAACCGCGACCACAGGATCCATCCACAACAGTTTCACCTTCCTCAACCTCGGCAACGCCTTCATCCTCCTCGCAAGCTGCAGCACCCTTCCAGCATTAACCATCCTCTGCTGTACTCCGTCTGGCGTGTCCCTCTCGTCCGAAATTCTCTGATCTTCCATCACCCGATCCCATACATCCCCTTCATCGATCGAAAGAGAAAAGAACCCCGGCGATCCAATCGGGATCTCCAGCTCCTCCAACCACCTCGACGCCGCCCACTGACAACCCACCAACTCCTGCAAACCAACCCCGGTCGCCTCAATCTCCCACTCATGCACAACCTTCAACTTCCTCAACCTCGGACATCTCTGCAACACCTGCGATATACACGCACCCATCCTCTCCCGATTATCCGTGTCAAACCCTGCCGACACCTCAAGCACCTCCAACGTCGACCCAGACTGCTCCAACAAGACCTCAATCACCTTGGAGGTCATATCCTCCGAATAACAGAACGCAAACTCGACCAGACGTGGATACGCCCACAAGATGTCGAGACATCTGTCGTGAGTCAAGTCATCGTGTTCCGAGAACCGAAGCATTCGGTCGATGTGGGGACAGAATTCGATTAGGATGGCGACCATTGTGTCGCTGTGCGACATTCGGATCGAGGGCAGAGCGAGCTCTCGGAGATGCTGGCTGTGGCGCAAGAGAGGGAACAAGATGGCTTCCTCTTGGAATTTGAGCTGGTGTCTCAGGACAAGCCGCGCAAGGCTAGGGAACTCTCTCCAGGGTGGTAGAGATATCCATTGACAATCACTTCCTTCTAGCTCTGTAATAACCTGGGTGCGTTCAAACCGGGCCGTGCTGTCGATGGTGAGCTCTGTCAGAGTGTCGGGACAGTGGAGTAGGATGGCGGCTAATACAGTCACGTCACAGGTTTGTCGAAGATTGAGTTCGAGCGTTGAAATGGCTGACTGTCGTAGTCCAATCAATACTGGGGCCGTAAAGTACTTTGGAGCGAGGGCGGTGAACTCCATAGTAATAATGAGACGTTCCAGGTGCGGGTTCCGAGCAATGAGATGTGTCGCTCCTGCTTGTGGTGAGTCCTTAGGGTGGTTGCTGTTGATATTCTGTTCATGCTGCCGTGACAGATCGCGATTGTTGTTATTGCTACTGTTACTACTGCCGCCGTAGCATGTGAGCTGAGTGAGTCGAGTACAAGAAGGGACAAGGAAGATAGTGTCGGCTATATGGATATCCAATGACCGGATCCTGTACGCGTTCTGTTGAAGGAGTCGTGTTGCTGCAAGAGGTCGCGTTGTCCTAAGAGAGAGTCGAATGTGATGCCAGACATACGGTTCAAAGCTGTGGGACCAGACTCGACAGGTCCGTCTGCATGACCACACGTCTTTTGGGCTGATTAAGTCGCAGATGATGTCGAGAATCAGAGGGATCTCGAAGATGGAGATTGTACCGGGCGGCATTGTCGAAATCAGATGCAGAGGAGACAGGATGCATGAGCAAAGGATGAAGGCCGATTCGTAGTTTAAAAAGAGATCAGTAATCTAGTTTGTTATTTGTTGTTTGCTAACCTTGATAAATAGCAGACACCGGGAAGAAAAGTATATCTGAATCACAACCAGTCAGCATGGAGACTGATCGATGATCAACACCTGAACGAAAACACGCGAACCGTGAAGCATATCTGATCTTGATAAATTTCTTAAAAACAAAAAAATATATATCTGATCTTGTCAATCGCGGCGCGCTGATAGACTTCCAGGCTTCGTTATGCATCTCGTCTTTCTTTCTGTCCCCTCTTACTCTTTCTCCGACCCTCTCCTAACCACATTCTCTTTCTCCCTCTTTCTCTCTTCATTTCAAGGCCCGCACTCTTTCAAATTCTGGACTGGGTGCTCTTTTTTCGTCCATTTCTTCTGACAAACAATATCACAAGGACGGCCGTGCGAGACCGTGCTCACATTGCTGAAATTATAACTTTTGATTTCCTCTTTGAGTCAGGCCACCTTTCTTCCTTACTTTTTGTTCCCTTTTTCCCGCACCACACAACCCAGGAAGTACAAAGGGATAGGGGAAAAGGAAAATAATATCACTGGCTGGATTCTTTTGGCCGTGACCCATTGACCCTTACCCTTTTGTTTTCTATAAACCTGTCAACAAGACTGAATCAAGGCAAGGGTAACACGATTGGTGAGTGGGGAACTGAACAAAATACCACTCAACACTAGGATGTGGTCCAAAAAGGGGACCCTCCTGTTGTGCAACGAGAACAAGTAGGCAGGGACGGAAAACACGGGACAATAGAGAAAATAAGTGAATGGGAAAAAAAACCAGGATCGCCTTTCTCGTCTCCGTCTCTCCCAGACAAAAGGTAGCTTCTTCCTTTCGGACTATCCGATCAACCCCCCCCCCCAGCCAAAACAACGAAAAATACACAAAACACGACCTGCATGAGATCCATTCCTTGATAGCATACAATACTCATTTTTCTTCCCATGGGCCACCTAACACAATACAAAACCTGTGAGCCCTTTTCCTTCGATTGTTTCTCTTCTTCCCGGCTCCAATACTGAGCAAGACGCTCTCTTCCGAGGAGGAGGAAAAGAATACGGGGACTTGATCTATCCCGTCAAACCTTTTTTCTTTCATCGTAGAAGTTGCGGTCCTTTTGGTTGTTTTTTGAATGAAGGTGGTAAGCAACGATGTTTCCCATTGCAACGATTCCTGTTTTGTATGGTCAACGTAGCCATATCCCGTGAACGGATCCAATCAAAAGGAAAAAGGAATCAAGAAACGGGACGACCAACTCTATCCGCAAATGTATAAAGTAGAAACGCCCTCTGCAACAACTATCATGAGTAAAAGAGTTTTATGTACAAAACGGAAAAAAAACAAGGTGGGGAAATGCGCTACTCTTGGGCTTACAACGGGAAACAAAATTATCAAACAAAAGTGTGCGAGGAAAACAAAAAACATACAAATGGGAAGGAATGAGAATTTAAAGTACGACGACCAAGACAGATCCTTCGAGACCTTCTTCTTCATCACCCTCCACCTGTTGATCCTCGACCGACCGATCCAAAGGTCCAGCCTCCTTGCGGATCTGATCAAGAGCCTTCGCTACCGCCAAGGCGCAGTTCTCCTCGCCCTTCTCCAGCGTGTTGGCGACCATCCGGGAAAGTTCAAAGTCCGAGATCAGGGCCTGGTCATTTGGGTTGGTGCTGACTTTGGTCGTCGACGGGACATTAAACCGGGTCGTATACAACAGCCCACGGTTCAACAGAATCAGCAACTGGTCCGATGAGCTTCCAGCAGCAGCCCTGTCCTGTTTCCGGGTCTCGAGTACAATGCGGGAAATCTTGGGGTCTGCTCTGACATAGGGTGGATCATCGAGGTTGTTGATGCCAATCTCGTCCGAACTAATGCCTCCATTTGCAGCACGCGACCTTGATCCTCCTGCCAGGGTCTTGTCAATTCGAGAACGGAGCGAGGGCTCAACCCAGTTCGAGACTGAACGCCGAGGCTCCTGCTCAATCTTCCAGTCCAAGTCGCCGAATGCTCGTGTGACAGGCAAACCCAGGAATTTTCCCCGTCTAGTCAAGAAGCTGTCGCTTTGGATGGTCGATTGCGCTGATCCTGTTGAGTTTGGTAATGACGAAGCTCCGTTATGCTGGGTCAAGTATTGCTCTACAGTCAAGGCGCGTTCTGTTGCCTCGTAGACAACCTTATTGTACTCTTCTGATCCAGGGTAGCGGACTGAATGTTCTTGGGCCTCGGGTGGGTTCAGACGGCGGGCTGTCCACTGGCCATCACTGTCAAGACCTGCAAGAATAGCGACCGAATCGCCCAGCTGTGCCAAGTAGAAATCGTGCTTTTGGCTGTCAGAATTGGTCGAGGCGGATGCGCTGTGTGGAGCCAAGAAGCCGACCATGGCTGTCGAACCTGTGACGACCTGAGCAATGACTTCCTGAGTTTTCTTGACCTCCTCGAGGGAGGCGAGGTCGTTGGTGTCCTCGGGCTGAGCCAAGGCGACGGTAATGGCGGTGGCAAGGAGGAGCTCGTCCAGTTCAAGGAAGGTGGACTTGAGGGTGTCGATGACTTGGTTGGGGTCGATCCTGCAGGTGTGAGGGCTGACCTCGTGATCGTCGTCGGAGTGGTCGACCTGGGTTGAGAGGGACTCGTCAAGGATTGGGATGAGGTGCTGCTGGAGGTATTCCGCGCATTGTGGGCCGAGATGGGCTGGATAATCGGACCCATCACATAATACGAAACAATATAATATAGAATGTATAAGCACACGAGTGGGAAAAAAACAAAGAAAAATAATGTGAGCAACAGGCATGTGTCAGGGGTAGGGTAGGGTAGGTTAGGTTACGGAAGGAGGACTCAGTCTCATTTCCTTTTCTTTCAAACAACGGCAACACATGCATCGCACAAAACGACAATTGAATAAACACAAACGCACACGTAAACACACGGCAGACGCACACACACTTTTTACTCACTCTCTGGCATACACCAAGTATCAGGGCGTAACATGAAAACCTGATATGAAAACGAAAAGAGCGAGCATTGCGGTTGGTATGTGCGCGTGTCGACAACACATAATACAATTAAGTAAAATGACCATTGGCGACATATGATAGCCCGCCTAAAAGTGAAAACATCCCTTTCTTCCCTCGTTTCATCGCCAATTGTACATCGCCAATTTTAAAGCCCCGAGAGGCAACTTTTCATTCTCCCTCCAAACTGCCCCATCCTCCCATCCCTCTCTTCCTATACATCCACTCCCACTCCTCTCCGACATCTGTTTACGCCCACCCGTCCATTCACTCAACTCACCGAACATAACAAACAAAACCAAAACAAACAGCAGTTGCACTTACGATCATACAATCCGACCAAGAGTCCGCCTTCGAAGCTTGTTGGCTGTACACTGATGCGACCGTTGTGGTCTCCTCGAAGAGACTCCTCCTGTGTGGCCTGGAATGAAGTCGAGGTGACGGGGCTCTGTCTCACGAAGGAGTGGACTTTGATTGAAGTGCCCGTTGAAACGATGGCGACAGAAGTTGTGGGCTTGTTTGATTCAGGGACAGTCATGGTTGTTGGTCTTTAGAGTTTTATCGTTCAAGAGGGAAGAGCGAGGAGTGGAGGGTCGTGCTGATAGTGTCAGAAAGGGAATGGAAGCGAGTCGCGTCGAAGAGTGAGAGTGAAGGGAAACGGGGGTTATGATGAAAGAAGGACGTAAGAGGTGAAGAGGATGATGTAGGGTGAGGAGGGAGTAGGAAGTGTGAAGGACAAAGCAGGAGCGAAAAAGAATGAAGTGTGGACGAGTGGTGAGAAAGAGGAGGAAAAATGAAGAAATAATCGAGTTGTTTAAATACGCGCGGAGGGCTCCCGATGGATTGAATACCAATGGATTCAAATTGAATTGAAAATTGAATAACAAATAGGGTTTGGTGCGAGAAAGGGGTTTATCTCTTTGGTACTGGCATTGCTGTTGGTGTATGGATGTGTGTCAATGGGCTTAAGGTTCGTGCCACTGGGTGTTGACAGTTCGCTGGGTGTTGACAGTTCACTGGCTGGATGAAAAAAATGGATGTTATTGTGCGCACGATGAAGGACAACGACGATGTTGATAACGGGATTGGAAGCCAGTGGTCGTGTAATCCCTTTTTCTACTTTTTTTTTTTTTTTTTTTTTTTTTTGAGCTCACTCATTCATATACATACGCATATTAAGGAAAATAACAACGAGAAAGTGGTATAGGGATGTGAAGGAAGATGAAGAACAAGAAGGAGCATAAACATCGCGAAACGGCACATTTGCACATCCATCTATCCACCATGAACCTTCAAGGCATAAATGGAATGGAGATTAGGCAATGATCGATGATTGATGATGTGCAGCATGCTCATGCTCGTAAATGGATGGATGTACAACACAGGAGAGTACAATACGTCCACCAAACAACAGGAGGACATTACATTGTTGATTGATTGATTGCCCATACTGTCCCCCCTTTCAATGTCTACTTATCGTCCAATTGATGACTACTGCTTCCTCAGTTGGCCATCGCCTTTTCTTGCCTTTCTTTTGTTATTTACACATGTCCTGTTCCTGTTATAGTGGGCTTGACACAAAACACCACAAAGCAAAAACATACTTAAACGCCTGAGCCTACCATTTTCTACCTTGCCTGGTATCGAAAAATACTACTTTTCTTTTGCAATGCCAGAAATACAGCAAGGTTGGTCCTTCAGTCGTTCGGTCGGTGGTTTTTTTTTGTTTGCCCCAACCAACCAGACGAACCAACCAAACCAACCTTACGTTGTTTGTAACAGCTATATCGATGCAATTGCATGAATTTGATATGAGAGTGAACATGACAAAGAGAGGAGAGAGAACAAGAGGCGTGTGTTCGTAAACCTTCTTTCACGAACTCTCTCTTCCTTACTTCCTTGCCTTTTTAAACTTCCTTCTCTTGACGGTCAATTCGTCTCTGTGTGTGTGAGTGAAGAGCAACAACACCAGAACATATATGCATCGTACTTTTGTATCTTTTCACGATAGGGGGGAAAGGAGACAGCGAGGAGATGGATGGCTGAAGGAAGAGCGCAAGAAAGAGAGAGAGACAGCAGGAGATGAGTGTGAACGTTCGAAGGAGAGCGACAACAACAACAACAACAACAACAACAACAATAATAACGAGAAAAGCGTTAGTTGAGAGACAAGGAGGAAGAGATAAACCACCGCGTCTGTCTATCTGTTGTATGCAAAGCGAGTAACTCCACCTTCCTCTTCCCATTCATGTGAGTCGTCTTTTTCCGTCTCATCCTTTTCTGTCCGTCTCTCTCTCCTTTTACCTTTGCATCCCCTCACGGTTTGTTTGTTTGTTTATTTTTGTTTGTTTGCTTTGCCTTTTGTTTCCCTTCTTCCTCTGCAAATTCAGCTCGCCTGGGTCCATGTTCTTTGTACTTTCCGGGTGGGAGATGGGATCATCGTTCTTCTTTTTCAATTGCGGTGCATCAAACCATTAGGCGTCTCAAACATCTTCCCACAGCTCAATCCTTCGCACTTTTCGAACTACACTGCTCTTTCTCTTTCTCTATTCCCAGTCGTCGCTGTAGCTGACCCGGTTTCCCTCTCTTACTCCTTCTCAATACTGCCATTGGACCCACAGAATCAAGACAACAACCTGGACACAAAATGGTTTCCTGGACACAAAACGATTCCCTACAAACAAAATGAAATGAGTAGAGATAGAAAGAGAGAGAGAGTGGAGAAAACAAAATCCAGTGTTGGAAATGCCAACTGGATTAGGGGAATAATAAACAACAACAACAAGCCTGTCTGTACACCCAACTTGGTATGCATATGTGTGTGCTGCTGAAAAAAGTGTGTGGGAGGACTTCAATTGGACAACAAGGTGTCGTTTTTTCTTCCTTCCTTTCTTCCTTTTTCCTTTATCCCCGCCTTTCCTATTCCTGTTGAAAAGCTGCACGTCTGTTTTTTCCTTCTTTTCATGTTCTTGTCCTTTTGAATTCACGAACTGAACACAAAAAAAAGCATAGCCGGACACAAGGAGTATTCTCGTTTTGTGCACGCACAGGACAACTTTGCACGAGAATCAAAGGAAACAAAAAGGAACAAGCCAATATGAAGAGAATGGATGAAAACCGCGCGGGAGAACAAAGTCCGGTCATTAAAAAAGAAACAAACTGCTGTTAAACGGGAAGACAAGAATAACAAGAAAAAGAGGGGAAGGGACATGAGGGTTGTTTGCCAGCTTCTAAGAAAAAAATGGAGGACCCTTTGTCGATTGAAGCTTGGTCAGAGGATGAGAACCGGGTCCTCTCTCCATCTCTTCATTTTTGCAGTTGGAGCTTGATTGCCATTTGTGGGCATGGGACAGCTATTCTTTGTCCCCGTGCATACCACAACTACGAATACACTCCGACTATTCTTATGAAACTTTCCTGCGTTCTTTGAACTTCCTGCCTCTGAACCGAACAAAGCCAAAAAAAAAAAAAAAATCCTTGGGGTGAAAGAGCGAGCAAGAACATGAGTTCATTTGGGTCACAAGCAACATACCCCTTATTTTATTTGCAATCCGGCGCGCCCAATATATGGTTCGGCATTGTTGGAGAAGAGAGGAAGAAGGCAAAGAGCACGCGCCAACTTGATCTATGAAATCACGTCCTAGTAAAATAATCGGGATAGATGAGGGGATCGTTTGATTTGTGGAAGTATGTTGAGAGATATAAATAAGTGTCCATAACTTAACCACTGCTGACTAAGTCAATGACCTTTTGACCAGCCTTCTTTTCTTTACTTCTTTTGTTCTGTATGAACACAGGAGTGGTATGTCCTAGGGTTTTTTTTATGTTCGCGCCTGCAATGGTAATGTTGTGAAACACCACACTCGTGTCTTTTTACGCGTCAAGTATCAGTGAGTGAGACATCCACACACAACGCGTTTTGGAGCTTAAAGTAAGAAGTAGAATAGGTGAAGCGGAGGGCCGTGTCCGCGTGTGTGCGCGTGTAGTCATGGCAATTGTATTTTCTACACACGAATATTATCTTGATTCAGTTTTTTGTTGTCTTCGTTGCTTGTCGTTGTTTTTCGTTGATTCAGCTATGCATTTTTTTTTGTTTGCTTACGAAATAGATTGTGTACATCCAAGCTTGATCCCAATCATCACCCTTTTTGTCTTTCAGGGCTCAGCACTGGACTACCACAACCATCACTGCCACCAAAAAGACCCGAAAAATTAACGTTCCATCGCTCAATTAGCCGCTGCCATAAGCGAAGGCAACGTAACCTCTCGAACTAATCCTCCCCATTCTCGCTCAATTGAGTTTCTCTCTTTTACCTTTTCGTCCGCGGCATTACACATAGAACCCGTAGCCTATGGTAATACCTCTTGGGTTCCCCCGACCGTGTTTATTTTCGCCACACCTGTTATTTCTGCTTTTTCTATTCCCTGTAGTTGCTTGCGTCGATTTTTTTATCAATACCTTCCTCTTTCTCCCTGAGTTCCCGCCAACTCACGCCCTCGTACAGACGTGCATCCCACTTCCCACCCACCTTGCGGCGTCTAAAAAAGGCGCTGGATTTGGACTGGGTTCCCCATGGTCTGGGTCCAACTGGGAGGAAAAAAAACCGCCGAGGAGGGGACTAATTGCATCAAGCCTGAGTTTTTGTTCTGCATGCACACGTCTGCATCGTTTTCTTTCCTCCCGGTTCCCGCGTCTTTCTTTTCCTTTTCCCTTCCCCTTTCCCCTTCCCTCACTTTCTTTTTCGTACTTGAAAGGGCTTGATAATCGCGTAAAACTTTCAGATTATCGTCTTCTGTTGGTTTTTTGTTTGATCCGCTCCTTCCCACTCCACCCCGCCGCTGCCAACGCTCACTTGCCTTGCGTTTTTTTCCAGCCTTGTTTTTGGTTGGTTTCTTTTTCGTCTTTTCTTTTTCCATACTTTCTCTTTGTTCTCTCTCCTTTTGTCCGTCCAAATAGACAGTTATTTTTCTTTGTACACCCATGCAGGATATTCTCCCTTTTCACTGTTGTTTGTAGTTATTTGCTACTACATGAACGCGTCCGGAAAACGAAACAAGGAACACACAGATAAAAATCAAAGTCCGAGGGTACTGATCCTCTCTATTCTTGTAACACCACCCTCCCCCACTCATACATACTCAATGGACATTCATCCATTGCACTGTTTATACCTCGCTCCATTTACCCATATCTCTGTTCCCAGTCTCCCATCCCGCAACTGTATGTGTTGCTTAATTGGGCTTCTTTCTCCCTTGTGAGGCACCAATCAGGTATCACTCCCCCTGTTTTTTACTTTTTGGGAGGCCATGAAAAACAAAAACATACACAAAAAAAGGGACCAAGGGCCGTGCCCCCTCTTCCCCCATTATTTCTACTTTTTCCTCTCACTTCCTCTCTCTCACACACACACTACTCTATCTTTTCCTAACCGCACGAACGTGGGATCAACAAAGATCTGACCTTCAATTAAGTGTGTTATGACGGAAAAAAAATGACCATGGAAGCCCAAAAAAAAAAAAAAAAAAAAAGAAGGGTAGCCCGGGAAGAAAAATGTCGGGTCTAGATTCCCTTTGAGAGGAAGGGGGTGGGGGGTGGGGGGGAGCCAAGACCAAGCAATTAATTATTTCCATTCGACATTTTCTTTTTTTCCTCTGTTGTTGTTTTCTTTTTTCTTTTTTCTTTTTCCCCCTTCTTCATCGGATTAATAATCACAACCACAACGAGCTCCACCGCGCCAATACATTTCTAAGCGCGATTAACAATGGGAACCCACAACGGTCTTCACGCTTCGTTACTTTCTTCTGTATCATCATCTTGTTTGTTTTACCAAAAGAAAATCTTTACTTGAACACGTTCTATCATTATTATTTTTTTGGGATGCAAAGTCGTCAACGCATCTTTCCACGACCAAATCAACCGAACACGACAATGGACCGCTTCACACAACTCAAGCACACACAAAGGAAAACTACGACGGACTTCATGCTTTGTCATTTATTTATTTTTTTGGTATCAACTCTCTCTTTAGTTTGCTAAAAACCAAAAAAAACACAATCTTGGTATGTACACGTTCATCTCACAAAGGACAATCATCATCTTCTTTTTTTCGAAACGTGTTTTTTGGCATGCATGAACACAAAGGCAAATGCAAACAAGCCAAAAGGGAAAAAAAAGTCAACTAAGAAAACAAACCACAACGAAAAGAAACAAAAAAAAAAACAAACAAATCGAGAGAAAAACAAGTGCTGCTATCGTCCAACCCTCTCTTCACCGCCACGTCGCCATTGCTCCTCCGGTTTCAGTGTTCCGCCTTCATAGTTTACATAGAGCGTGTTGCTCCCTCTCCATCGTGTCGTCCTGTAGAATTGTTGATTCTGTAAAGAAGACGACGACGATGAAGATGATGAAGACTGTTGTTGTTGTTGCTGCTGCTCAGTCGGATCCCAGGAAGAGGAGGACGTGGCGATAGTGGAGGCTCTTGTGCCTGACAGAGAAGCTGAAAACAATGTTCCAATACCCGACTGAGACGACGAGGAAGAGGACGAAGACGGTATCAGATGCAAAGTGGTGCTGTTTATCGGTCCTGAAACTCCCGAGCTCTCCATACCACTCTGCATATCCCTCGATGCGGGCAACATCACGCCACTCGGGAGGATGGATGGACCGACAATCGTGCCAAGTTGCTCTGTAGAGTGAATAGCAGGATCCGCTCGATTGACTGAAGACATCCCAGACCTCCCTATGATTCGTCCGTCCAAGGACGATGAAAACATATTCGAATCGACTGTAGAGGTGGCGGCGCTTGTGTTAAGGGATGCAGAAGATCCCAGCGGAAAGGTGGTCAGTGTTGATCCTGAGGAGGAAGAAATGGAAGAAGAGGCAGGAGGTAGAGGAGCGGTGACGGGATATTGAGAACTAGAAGAATAAGAGGAAGAAAAAGGATGCAATTGAGAAGCAGCACCGATTCCAGTCAGGTTGAAATGCTGGAATCCATTGGTCTCGTGGCTTGTTCTGAAGCTCGACCGAGAGCCTCTCGACATGGGAACGGCCACATGGAGACTGGATGCTGCGCTGGAAGTGGATATGAGGGACTGGTTGGGGTGGTTCTGCGGCTGCTGGCGCGAGGGCGGCGGTACAAACGTCGTGCCCGGGTATCGTTGAAAGCGGTCCTGCTCTCTGTCACCACTCACGGAGTGAGTCAAATATGCTTGCTCGAGTTGATATAGTCGCTGCTGTTGTTGTTGCTGTTGCATCTCCCATCGTCGCTGTAGTCCCATGATATGAGAGTTGTGGGCTCGGCGGATCTGATGCGCAATGGGCTCATTAACAAGAGGCTGAGCTGGCAAAAGTGGTGGCGTTCGATTCATCACTGTCGATTGGTGAGTTATGGATTGACTCGGAATTGACTGCTGCTCGCGCTGCAGCTGTTGTTGTGAATGGGTTTGTTGAAGCAGATGGTGTCGATGAACCTCAAGCAGCGAGTGATCTCGCCTTAGACCGTTGGCTCCGTGTCGATCTTGCTCGTTCGTCATTTCACCCTGTGCATGATAGTGAGAATGTCCTTGCTCGTAGTCCCCGAATTCTTGTGGTGGACGGGACCTTGACTCAGCAGTGACATCAGCACCTGAGCGTGGCCACACAGAGCCAAAAGAGCTACTCGACTGCGTCAAGGTTGGCGCACCGCCACCGCCACCACCATCAATGTTCGATGACACTGCAGCTCCAGAGATCGACTCATCGTTCGAAGATGTCCTCCTGCCATCTGTGCCTGCGTTCGCCACTGAGGAACCTAAAGTTGTACCGGCTGCACCGGGAGTCGATGCAATCATGGATATCCTGGGAACAGAGGCGTTCCCCCTTGTGACTTGAGGGTTGCTGCCCTGGTGGAATCCACCCATCTGGAACTCGGCCATCTCACGATCGTACTGCTCTAGTTCTCGTTCCCATTCCTGCTCTCGCCTCAGCAAAACGGTCATATCGGACATGACCCGTCGCCGCCGAACGCTGTCAGGGCCGTAGCGATTCCTGACATTGCCATATATGTAGTAGAAGCCTCCTGCTGAACTACCCTCGTTGTGAGGTGGAAGCATCCCCAATGACGGTGGGTCGCGTCGCATGGAAGTACTTTCCGGATCCTTATCCTCATGATCCTGACCTTGGTGCCTCCGCTGTGGGTCGTCGCCTTCGTCATCGCTCCAGCTTTCGCCGTTTGGGTTGGTCATCCAGGACGCCTTCAATGAACGGTACCGACCATTCTCATTCAACAAGTTGTCTGCTTGAGATATGTACTCCATACCCTCAAATGCCGTCCCTGTGCTCACCACGCGCGACCTGCCTTGACCACGAACCGCACCTCGATTCCAACTTGGGTCATCCCATCCAGTCCTCCGCCGCCGCCTCCTTTCAGTCCCGCTCATCCAATCCATGTCTTCGTCTCGATCGTCAAGGGCGTCATATGACGTCATGGATGACGCAGAAGATGAAGACGCGTATGACTCATTGCTTGAGTCTAGTGGGTTGCCGTTGCAGTCGAGGATTTCTGTGAAGGAAGGGTTATGACTAGGCTGAGCTCGCGAAGAAGACGCTGCATCCCGATGTCGCATGGCCGATCTTCCATCTTCGGTAAGGTCGCGCGATTCCGATTCCAGATTTTGATCCGCTTGGTTTTCCTCCACTGACGATCCTGCTCGGCTCGTTCCTCGGCTGACGCTTGCATGGTTGACCATGCTTCGAGTATCGGTAGGAGCAAAGCGGCCCCACTGATATCTATCCGGATATGCCATCGGCGGATCCCGCTCGCCCATCAGTCGTAATACCCGCGCTAGTCTCGCCTGTCGGATCCGGGATGCCATGGACAATATGGAAGAATCAAAGCCTTGGATTCGTCGACCCGATGAGCCCAGGAGAGAGAATCCAAGAGTTTCCTCGCTCGGGGGAGGCAGAGGTGCATTATGTGTGCCCGAGAGCAATGGACCTAACAAATCCAAGCGATCTGCCATCAAAGGCTCAAGAGGAATGTGGAGTGTAGGTCCGGGCTGAGTGGCCTGACTATCAATTTCGATCGATGCAGGGTGTCCTACCGACTGTGATTCCTGTGCGACGTCCGTTGGGTCCGTCAAAGTGGACGAAATGATGGCCTCAGCTGCAGCAGAGGACAAAGAATCAGTCATGGATGCCATTGCTCGACCCAGGACAGAGTTGGCGACTTGCTCTCTCTGCATCGGGGTCTCCTCTTGATCCGCTTGAACCGCGAGTGAAGGCTGTAGGCGTAATTCGGTAGGCGCAAATGGAGTCTCTGCTGTATCTGATGCTGCTATAGGCACGGCCACAAAGTTTGAGCTATTCTGAGGTGTATCGTCAACAGCTGAGAGAAGTATGAGATATGTTAGTACACACTCACACATAAGAGTGCACCGCACAATAAATTCACATAGTGCGCCGTCAATCCGTACTCACCTGCTGAACTAGATATGTTTTGTGTGGTATCTTGGGTATTGAAGGCGACGACATCTGGGTGGTGAAGCCAGTCGTCTGATGATATGGATCCTGTTGAATAATCTCTTGTGGCATACCTCCTCCGAGGAAGTGCTGCTCGCGGAAAAGTAGACAAATTGCCGTTGGACATGTCGAGACTCTCGTCTGCACCCAAGGAGGACATCTCTGATGGTGCGAGCATGTGAGCAGGAGTGGTTGCAGATCGGGCGTCGTCGGTAAGTGTTGTCATAGAACCGGTCACGGGAGTGCTGTTAGAGCCCACGCGGATGGTGTCGGCTGCTTGGGGTGCAAAGTGGTCAAAAGCATGGTCGATGATCGCGCCTTGGAATGAATTCAGGACTTGGTTGAGAGCGAGACGAGTGTCTGAAGGGTATGGCCCTTGCGGTTCCATGGTAGTGAAGATTGAGGATTGGTAGGAGTGAGTTGGTTCCGAGATGTGCTCATTCATAGCAATATCTTGTCCAATGCGATTGTTGTTTATGCTGGCCTGGATCGTGCTGTTGTTATTGGTATTGCTGGTGTTGTTGTTGATGTTGTTGTTGCTATTACTGATGGTGGTGGGGGTGATTGTGGGGATATCCGAAGTGTAATCCATGGCGTTGCTAATGGTATAATTGTACTGCGCTTGGTGTTGGGCGCGACCATGTGCAAAGACAGGATAGTCTTGTGGGTGTTCCAGGCCCAAGGGTGTGGAGGCCCTTAGTCGTTGAAGAGGTGTCAAGATAGGATCGGACGAGAGAAAGTGATGCTGCGATTGATCTTCGTCCAGGGTAAGCGACAACGGCTGCGCCAAGAGCAAAGCACTCGGCGTCGATCCCGTGGTCCTTTCGCTGTCAAGATCGCGATCTCGATCATGGTCTCGGACGTTCTGCGCCAGGCCCATGCGCTGAGCTGTGACTCCAACAGACAGGGGTTCGGGCGCGCTATTATTGGTTGCTGAGGCAGACGGCAGGCCTGTCGCAGACTGCGAACTTTGATGAATCGTCTCGATCGTCAAGTCGTCCAGCTGGATCGCTAAGATATCCAAGTTAGGGTCGGTGTTATCACGTGTCTCGTGGTGGCTAATTCCTGTGAAGATACTTGGGCTGGATGGTTCCTCCACACTCGTTGACTGTTGTTGGTGTTGTTGTTGTTGTTGTTGTTGTTGTTGTTGTTGAAACCGCCTTTCCAGTGCTGCATCGTTTGTTTCACTCGACTCGAACGGCAATGCTGCAGACAGTTGGTAGGGGGCAACTGGCACGACAGCCGCCGCAACAGCAATGGGCGTCATTTCATTGTAACGATTCCTTTGTGCCGCCGGCGACGTCCTCTGTTGTTGTTGCTGCTGCTGCTGCTGTTGCTGCTGGATTTGTCGTTCACGTATGGCGAGGAGTAGGGATTCGTGCAGCTCTAAGGAGCTGTTGGAGAATGAACTGGAGTATGAAGGATAAATTGGTGTGTAAGAGACATGGTCCTGTTCGTCCCGACTACTGCTTAGACTACTCCCGAGGCTGTTGTGGGCCAGTCCGGCCTGGTCGAGGAGGCTTGTGGTGATGGCACCAGAAGTGGAAAAGACGGTGGAGGTGGTGGTAGCAGTGGTAGTTGTGGTGGTGGTAGTTGCAGTGGTTGGGTATTGGACGTTGGAACTGTTCAGGTGCTCTCTTTGGAGGAGCGATGGGAAGCTGGAGTAGGGAATGAAGGAGGAGGCGGCGGAGGAGGAGGCGGACGCTGAAGAGGACGAGGAGGGGGAGAAGGAGAAAGGGGTCCTCGAGGGCATTATCTCTGTCCTGTCCAGGGACCGTGGGATTATGAATGGGGGCGGGGAGAGATAAAGGAGGAGGGGTGTGGAAGACAACAACGAAGAGACGGGCGAGGAAGATAAAGGGAAAAAATAGCAATAATAACGGGGGGCTGTGGGCTGTGGGTCGTGTTCGAATTGGTTGTATGAGGGTGGCAGTAGGTGAGAGACGAATGAGCCTGGTGTCTGGACTTTGTGCTCTTAAGCACGGTGTGACATGTGCGGGGACCAGCTTCTTCGGAAGGTAAAAAAAGACAGTCCGCGGAGTTTCTTGGCTGGTAAATGAGAGAGACAGAACAGAATGAGGAAGGTTAATGACATGAGGGTCAAGGACAGGGGACTTGCGACAAATGGTGCCGGGATGGAGACGGGTGGGGGTAGGGTAAGAGGAGGGCTACTCACGACAGGACGGGCTGAGAGAGAGTGTGTGAATGTAGTCGAATGCGAGTGAATGAACGAAAGGGAGGTGGAGAGCGTGTGTATGAATGCGAGTGTGAATGTGAGTATGGCAAAGGCAAAGGCAAAAAGGTAAAGGCAAAAAAGGCGCAACCACCTGAGGGAGGGAGGACAGACAGATGTACTGAGCTGCACATGAAGGAAAGGCGAACCCTTTGGTGGTACATTTAAGGGTGCATTCACTTTGGCTGGGTGGGTGAATATGAACATGACCCCTCACAGTTCACTGAGTTCACAACTTCACACTCATCCAGTCAAGGTCAAAGGTCAAAGGTCAAAGGTCAAAGACAAATTAGAGTGTGAGCCCACTGCCAGATGGTTTGCTGCTCACCCACCTCTTCTTGTCATCTTGTCATCCACTCTGATTAATTCATATTTGATCCTCATTCTCACCCTACAGCAACATCCTCACCCACCCACACCCAGCAATCCGTCTTCTCTGAATCCACTCCGTCCAGTGAGCCACTCTTCTCTCTCTCTCTCAACCTTCCTCTGTGTGTCTCTCCCGTCTCTCACCTCTCAACCGCGTGAGAGCATTCCTTGTTGAGCGAGAGAGGTAGACTAACATTTTTCAGGCACAGAGTGCAGGTTTTTTTTTATTTTTTTTTATTTTGCAGGGCTCCTGTCATTGTCGTCCTTCTCTCTTATATCTTTCGTCTCCTCATCCCCCTCCATTCATCCTCCCCTCATCCTCCCCTAATCCTCATCCTCATCCTCCCCTCATCCTCATCCTCCTCATTCTCCTCTTCCGCCTCCACCCTCTCTCCATTCCTTATACCCTCCCTTCCTCTCCCGTATACCCCCCTTCTTGCCTTTCACAGACCAACGACTCCCTCCCTCTGCACTCCGCATTTTTATTTCTGTGCCTGAAAATTCATCCTTCTTCTCACCTCCTCCCTTGTTTCGGCTTTCACTGAACCAACAACAATACCCTTTCCCGCCCTTTTTCTAACTATACAACAAAAAATGACGGTCCCCCACCGAACCAGGGGCCAGTCGCCTATCCCGATTCTTTTCGCACTGTTGTTCATATTCTTCGGCATCGCTTCGGCGCTCGACCCCCAATCTAGCGTAAGTCGCACAAAAAGCAGCTGGCCAAATATGTAGGCAAAAAAAAAAGTCTAGGCTGTTCAGTCAGCCAGCCAGAAGGCCAGCAGGCTAGACCAAATGAGTTGGTGCTAATATTTTTTGAGCCAAGGCATCGCACTTCGATTCCTGACTTTCAACTACTTGGTAACCGGGGATTACATATCGGGTTGGTTTGGATGTGGAGCACCGTTGACCAGGCATATTATTATTTTTTTGCTCAACAATCTGAAGCCTGCTCAAACTGCATCTGTTTTTTATCGCATCGGGAAGCGGAAGGAGTTTCTTGCTCGATAATTGTCACAGCAGCCTTCAATCGGCAAAGGCCTAACAAAACATGCATGCTTGCTTACTCTCTTGTCTTGAAATTTACTGTATTTCGAGCAATACATGATACATGGGCTGGGGAAAAGAGGATTGAGAACCTCGTGCCTGAGAATCTATCGAAGGTCAAAAAGTTTCATGTTCTATTGTGTTCATGTTCATGCTCATGTCGATGCCCATGCATAGATCTTGAACTGCCTGATAGACTGACTGGTGGCATGATTACTCCAACTTTTGGGGTCATTGTTATCATTATGTATCAATTTGTTTATGTGTAACAACTCATTTATTCGACCAATTTTGCCTTTATACCCTCCTCAATATAACCACTTCAGGTTCCAACGGTAACGTCCAGTGTCTTCAACCCCGCATCCTTGCACCATCCTCCTCGACCCACCATAACCGGTTTTCACAAGCGCCAAGTCGTTGAGATCCCACCTGTCGTGCCGGTAAGGATTTTCGATTGCCATTTCATCTCGAAAGCCATAATTCCCTCCTTTCTGTCTCTTTCTTTCTCTCCAGCAAAAAGAGCGGACGAGAACGACGAGGAACAGTGAAGAAACGGAGCAGCTCATATTTTTTTTGTTATTTTTCTCGGATACGCTTTTATTAATACCATCTCCTTTGTGCTCTAATCGTTCTTCTATGCCGATCGGATCTCCTTCTTTACCCTTTCTTTAAACGTTTAGGGAACAAACTCCTCAGCGGTCCCTCCTGCAAATACGACTTCATCGGCCCCACTTCCAATTACAACACCACCCACCAACACTACCTCACTCCCACCAGTGGCCAACAGTACTACTACCTTGGTCACCACAACAACAATCCCAACCACCGCCACCTCTGTTTCCGTGAACGCAACCTCCATCGCAATCTCGTCAACGGCTTCTGTTTCTCCGACCAATACTGGCCCAGCAGGCGACAATACTGGTATGGTCATTGGAGGAGGTGTTGTCGGAGGATTGGTCTTTGCCATCGGTCTCGCCCTTCTGGCTTTCCGTTGCACAATCAATAGTCGCGAAAAGAAACGTCGTAACAAGGAGATGGCGGCGACCTTGGCCGAGAGCTTCGATCGCAGCGGAGGAGATCCAATCGCGTCTCCACGCAAGGGATACATGGAGCTTGGAGATGGACCACCAACCCCTAATCCTGGACGAGGCGCCAATCTGTCGAGAAACGGATCACAGGACGCGTACTATGGCAAGGAAGGTGGCGGACAGGAATATTACAACTCGCATTACGTTCAGGAGCGCTACGGTGCTGCCAACACTGGTGGTGGATATTATGACGAGACAGAGCTGTCAGTCATGAATGGCCATCCTGGCCGACCGGCGTCTCCTTTTGTGGGTAGGAGCAACTCGGACCACTCGATGGCTTATCCTCCCGCGAGTGTCTCGACTAATCATTATGCTGGTTATAATGAGTATGGACATAACGGAGAGAGCGACTACAATGGAGGACACCATGATGGCGGTGGGTACTATGGCGGAGGTGGACACGGAGGGCGGCCCCAAGGATACTAGACCATACACCTTTGCAAAGAGAGGGAAGGAGAAGTTGTTCGTTAGATCCTCTGTCCTCTCCAAGTGAGTTTTACCCATTATCAATGTAACATATCCTAAACAAGAAAAGCTTTGGTTGATGTGGCCTTGCCCGGCATACAATCTATTCTGCTGTCGTTCTTCTTGCAAACGCGGTAGTGACATGAGGTTCGCTAACTGAGAAAAGATAGATGTGGCTTGGCTCCTTCTCTCTCCTTCCCGTGACCAATCAGATCGCTTCCTCCCCTCCCCTCTTCCTCCCAGCCTCTCTTCGCGCGCACCTCGTTTCTTGCCCTTCCACCCCTTCGCCCTTCCTTTTTATCTTTTTTCTCCCTTTTCTTTATCCACCCATCCTCTCTTTTCTCCCGTCATCTCCTGCCGACAAAAAAACTATGTCCATGGCATCCACTCCACGCGCCATCCCCCTGACCTGCTCAGGGCACACCCGCCCCGTCGTCGACCTCCAGTTTTCAAGAGTCATGTCCGATGGCTCATACTACATGATTAGCGCTTGCAAAGGTATACAAGGGTCTCTCTTTTCATCGCTCTTTTTTTTTTTTTTTTTTTGGACTTCCGGCGTTGGCTCATACTCGCATGTGCCAGCTGCCCTTATTTTGTTATGCGTCATCGCTCTTTGCATAACTAACAACCTTTTCCTTTTGTTTATGAACTACTCGACTTCATTGCAACCACATAAACCTCGACCCTCGACCCTCGCCTTGGAAAAACAGATGGAAATCCTATGCTTAGAGATGGTCAGACTGGAGACTGGATTGGAACGTTCATTGGACACAAGGGCGCCGTCTGGAGCGCGCGCATGAGCACCGATGTCACAAAAGCTGTCACTGCCTCGGCCGACTTTACTGCGTACGTTGTCATTGTTGTCGTGTTGGTTGATGGTTGTTCCTTTTTGCTTTTTTTGTTGAGCTTGTTTGTTTCGTTTTTTTTTTTTTTGGTGTGGTCACCTCAGTCATTTCTTTCGTGAGGTTTTGTGTGTGAGATTTTTTTGACAAGAATAAGGACAGAGCGCTGTGTTGAAGAGAATCTTTCTTGTTCTCTTGAAGTCCTAGTGGTTCATGACTTTTAGCTGTTGTGGGTCTCTACTGTCGCTCTCTCCCCTTTGTTGTTACTGCTCTTCATGCTAACCCCTAACCATGACTGACATTCTTATGTGTCCCCTTTCCCTCCCACTCTTTAACTCCCTGACTCCTTGTCCCTTGTTCTCTTTCTTTTTACTAACACACAAATACATTGCACCTCCAATAGCAAGGTCTGGGACACATATACCGGTGATATTCTTGCCTCGTTCCCCCACCAGCACATTGTCCGAGGATGCGACTTTTCGGGCGATGGCAGCCGTATTGTCACAGGAGGCATGGAGAAGAAGCTCAGGATCTTTGATCTCAACCGGGACGACCTTGCAGGACAACCCATCCTGTCCGCTGACGGCCACACCTCTGTCATCCGTAATGTCGTTTGGGATGGTGCACGGAATATGATCCTTAGCTCGGGAGATGACATGGAGATCAGGTGAGAAAGAAAGAAAAACAAAGATGCACGACTTTGTTTGTACAACGTGCAACGGTAATTTTCCTTTCTCTGACTCCTCATTGTTCTTTTTGTTTTTTGATGGAAAATAATAGGGTGTGGGATCCTCGCTCGTTCAACCAGGTTCACTCTTGCAAGATGGATGGACCCATTGCTTCAATGGAGTTGTCTGCAGACGGACAGTACATCACCTCTACCACCGGCAAATCTGTCTACTTCTGGGACGCCCAAACGTACGTTGCTAATCGTATTTTTTTCAACCATCGCCGACCTGAGCGTACCTTACATGATCATATGAGAAGAGTTGGTCGTGCAGTTATCACTATGGAGCTGAAGACGCGACATCAGGACAGAAAACTCATTGGAGGAAGAACATACAATTATAACTCATGGAGACAAAGCAGCTTGGAGACTTTTACAACAACGACAAAGGGATGCTATCGATACAGTCGCATGGGAACGTACAAAAGCCAAAGAAGAGCGGGATTACAGAATGGCAGCACACTCAAAGGCACACGCGCAGACGGTTGTTGACATTTTTCTTCTACCCATTACAAACGATTAGCTATACGTTAAGAAAGCACATCAAGACAGAATATGATGTCTCTGCAGTCTCGCTTCACCCCAATCATACCCGGTTTGTTGCAGGAGGCTCGTCTGATCTCTGGGTCCGGATCTACGACTTTGAGTCGGGTCGCGAGCTCGAGGTCTACAAGGGACACCACGGACCTGTGCATACGGTCAGCTACAGCCCTGACGGCGAGCTTTATGCTACAGGATCAGAGGACGGTACCATCCGTCTCTGGCAAACAACACCTGGCAAGCGCTATGGACTCTGGCAGGGTGATGGAAACGAGGATGCTTGAACATCGTCGTGAAAAAATAGGCCGCTGTAGGGGCGGGAGGGAAAGGGCACAAAGAAGTTCAAAGGTTTCTTTTAGTACTTTGCTTCTATTACAGATCACTACCATCGTACATTTATATGACAGACGATACAAAACAAAACAGACGAGAATAAAAGTGGGAAAAAAAGTACCCTTTTTTTTTTTATTATTATTATTATGAGTAGTAGGAAGAGGAAGAAATGAACGAACTGGTCAAGAGCTGGGGAAGGAAGAGCAACCGGGTGCCAAGTGTGATAGAACAACTTCACAAAAAAAGAAGCCGCCAAAACAAACATTCTCGATGATGCTGTGAATGATCAAAATCTTCGACCCGTGCTTCTTGGTAGTTGTCGAAAGTCCTTGTATGTTTCGTCCCTTTTACTTGAAACTGCTCTTTCCGTAAGACTTTTTGCCAATGTTGAAGGGGATATACCGATATTTGATCATGTGTCGGATCTGGCGCTTCATCGTAATGGCGAAGAGGATACAGAAGTAGATCAGAAGAATAGGCCAGAAGACTGGGATGTCAAAGAGCCGGAACAAGGTACATCCAAACGCAATCACAATCGCCCTTGTTGCCGAGTGCCTATTGTGTTTTAAGGATTAACAGTAATGGTTCAGTCTTTGGAACGGGTTTTTTGTTTAGGACTTTGTGGGGAAGTAGAAAAAGTCGTGGAAGGTGGGGTGATATTTTTTTTGGACCCGTATCCAGTAATGGCATGACACACCCGGGATGTACTACGTGGTAGTTGCCCAGTCGCCCCGCATCACAGACACACACACGTAAGCCCACATTGGTATCCTGCACTCGCCCGTATATTTGAAAATGCCGACAGCATTCCTGTATGTATGGTTCCAGTAATTCCTGCGTTTCCGGCGTATGTTTTTCTCATCCAACAAATCCTATCCATTCGGTGTCTCCTCCGTGCTTTCCTGTCAAGCGCAACAAAATGCGTAAACGGTTGGGGGTGGGAGCCCAATGTTCAAACTATGTTTCGTGGGCTACTCACGGATACACAAGAAAACAAACACACACGTCGCCTCTTTCTGACAGACCACAGACTGTCCAACGCCTTGATGTCCTCGTTCCTTTTTGTTTGTATCCACTTTGTATCGTCCTGTACACCTCAGAATAGATTATTCGAGATGGAAGCACAAAAAAAACCGAGATGATGCTCTTTCCTGTGATAGCCACGGTCCTCCTCCTGCTCTCTCTGTTTGTGTCGATGTTACTAATTGTTGGCATGGCTTCCATTTTGAGCGCTCGAACGCAATCCTGTCCACTCTTCGTCGCCACGATACGGGTCATTCCTGTTTGTTATCGTTTCTCTCTTTGATTTGAACCAGTTTCGCATGTTGCCAAGAGCACTATCTCCTTCAAGAAAATATCCCGAGATGTGTACAAATGAGAAAGAAACGCGCACTTACCAAAACTTGAACTCCGGTAGCCTCCTGACGAATGGTCTAAACTCCTCGTCGGACCGCATGGGCAGTGTTGGGCCCTCCTCGACTGCATCCGCTGCCATATCCATCTCCAGTGAAGGGTCGAACTTTGGCTGCAGAAAGGCGAGGAACAGATTGAGTAGGTAGATGCCAAGCGCATAGGTGACGATGTACCATCCTTGGGCAATGAAGACTCGCAGGAAGTATATGAAGATTGCTACACCGGTAAAGGCCCAGCGTTCTGTTGCGTGCGGCGTCACCCTATCGAGAATAACTTGGTAGCGCTAAAAAGGACATGATACAAATGAGTAAAAAAGGTAAATATGAGAAGGGCGTTGGCATTTCACCTTTTTTTGTGTTGTGTTTGTCCCCACTCAACGACGACTCCAGGGGGAAGGATGGGTTGGTGGTTTATTGTTCCTGCTCACTCTTGAAGATTGATTGATCGCCCTTTTTTATGTGGTGTATATCTTGGACGTCCTTAACCTGCGTGAATAGATCCCTTTCCGAAGAGTAAAGATCCATTTGCAGAGAACCACAACATCGCATCCACTCTCCCCTGCCATGCGCAGGTCAAGGTCGCCTTGATGTTGTTGGATCAGTATACTTGTAGTATACTGGGGTGATAACTATCGATCCATATCTTTTGTCCCGTGAGTTCATGAAATATTGTGAAGCAAACGCTATCCTTCCATGTCCGTGAGATGCTTTGATCGAAAAATGAAACAGGACAGCATCCTGATATGATGCGGGTTGTCGCTTTGATGTTGGCGAAGAGAGAAAAATAAAAAGAGGTGGGCGTAGGATATTTACAAAGCAAAAAGGCTAAAAAACAGTAATGGCAAGCGGAGGGGGTTGGATGATTTGATGGGGGTGTTTGCTTTGGTGTCCCGACAATCATTTCGACAATTGAGTGATGTCTCTTCTGTTGCTGTTCTATTGTTGTCATGTTCCATTACCCCAACGAGGTTTAAAAGAATAATAATTGAGCGATTCCAGAAACAAAAAAGAAAAAAAAGGTTGACCCGAGAGTTGTTCGTTGAGAACGGTGGATGGATTCCTTGCCGATGAAAAGGAGGGTAGGGGATCAGGCAAAGGCTGGTTGTTATTATTACCTGCTCGAGTTTTGACTTTTGGGCCCAAAAGGTGTTTCCATCCTCTGGTGGTTCGCTGTTCATGGTATGTTGTGTGTGTGTGTGTGTGTGGGTGTGAGTAATATGTGGGTTGTGGGGAAGGGAGGACAGGGGCGGTTGGGCTAAAGCAGAAGCGAACAAACAAGTGGGTGAATGTGTGAGAGGGAGCGAGAGTGAGATGTCCAGTTGTGTGAAAAGTGTTGAGGCGAAAAAGAAGAAGAGAAAGAAAGAGGCTCCTCTCGGTGTTGGCAAGAGTTTTAATAAGTGAGGAAGGTGATGAGAAGGAAGAAGGACAATCACAAACACTCAAAAGGCGATTCCTGAATCCTGTTTGTTGGCTGGATGTTGATTGCTGGGGTCATTCTTTTCCTTTTTCCTTTGTCCAAGTACCCAGGGACTGCTTTTAGGTTCAATTTCAAACCTTTAAAAAAAAACCGATCGAAGAGCAAACAGGGGGCTGTTGTGTCATCGTAGACATCGCTGTTTGTTGGGCACCAGTCCTATTCGTGGAGCCACATTGTGCTTCCATTTTCTTCTTTCTCCTGGTCGTCATCATCTCTACTATATCGAATTGCCACGTAGCCCACAGCTACCCTCAAAACATTCCGAGTTCTCTTGCTTATCCTACACAAAACACCCCATTCCTCCCCTCCACATGCACATGCTCTCTTTTTTGTTTGCCCTGATCTCCTTCTTATCTGCATTGATTGCTGAAATAAATTATCGTTTTAATTGCTGTTGGAAACAAAGTGATATCTTTAACGGATCTCAAGGAGCTCAACGTCAAAGATCAAGGTAGCCTTAGCGGGGATGACTGGGGGGTATCCACGGTCACCGTAACCGTAGTCAGAGGTGATCTTGAGGGTAGCGCGCTCACCGAGCGACATCTGGGGGACACCCTCCTCCCAGCCACGGATAACACGGCCAACACCGATGGGGGTGACAAAGGGATCGTTGCGGTCGCGGGACGAATCGAACTTGGAGCCGTCCTCGAGGGTGCCGACGTAGTGCATGACGACGGTCTGGCCAATCTTGGGGAAGGTGACGCCGTCTCCGGCCTTGATGATGGTCTTGGTAACACCCATGATTGCGGATCTGAACATGTAAGTTGGTTTGGTTGGATGGGAGATGAGAAAAAAGGAAAACGACAGAAATAAAAACAGCAGAGTGATAGAGTGTGTGTCCTTGCGTGGCTTGTCCATCATCCACATCTCCCGAATCAAAAACCCGCTGCCACTGCGGTCGAGAGGCCCATATTTATCGATTGATTATTGGTATCCTTCACGCCTTCTACTCTCTGTCTGCGCCTTCTCTGCGTCTTTTTTTATTCTTTTCTCTTCTTTTCTTCTCATTCCCATTCCCATTCCCACCCTACTCACGCATGTTTCTTCATCTCATCAGCCCCCCTCATCCACAATGTCAGATACAGACGAACTCCTTTTATCATCTTACGACACCGACGAAGATAGCGCGGCGCTCTCAGACTCTACCGTCGACGACACAGACACCAGACAGGCTCGCCTCGACGCCTTACTCGAGTCAATTGCATCGATACCCCCAATTGTTGACATCCTCCTCACCAATCTCTCCTACAAGGACAACCTGGCCTGTCTACACGTCTGCAAGCTCTGGTCTTCAATAGCCCAAGGCTACCTCTGGCGACACGTCCGCTTCCACTTTGACAGAGCCGGACCCGTCCCCCTGACACCTGCCCAAAATGCCATCATCCGTAGCAGAGTTCACCGGATCCGGTCTCTAGCCACACCCTTGGCCGACACCACTTTCCTCGACATGCCTTGCACTCAACTTAAATCCCTAGAGATCTGGCCCGGAACAAACCTTACCGTCCCCAACTTTCTTACGGGTGTCTTTCACGAGGCGGAAGCACCTCTCCAAACATTTCACGTAGGACCCTCCGCCCTGGATCTTATTCCTATGAACCGCCATCTGTCGAGCATTTCCTTCAAGCAAATCGAACACCTCTCACGCTCGTTTACTCCAGAGCTCTTCTTGTCCTTCTCCAAGCTCCCACTCCAGTCTCTGCGCCTCGGTGTCACCTGGCACGTTAGCGAAACGCTTCCCCTTGCAGCCTTCCTCGCCCATTGCCCTGCCACACTCGAGAGACTGGAATTATCCTTTGATCGTCGCCTCCGGAGCTTTTTCGGACAATTCCTCGACGAGGCCTCCATGACCTCTGAACAGGCAGCACAACTGCCATGGTCACCACTGCCCGTCCTTAAAACTCTAAAGATATCTCCATCCTTTCCTATTCGTGATGTTACTATGGTCGTCTTGCCTTTACTTCGACATTGCCCCAACCTGGAGGAACTGTGGATGCCGCCCCTGCGCTTTATCGACATGGCTGAGTTTTTCAACCTGATCCTCCGGAACAGTCTCTCCATCAAAACATTACGTCTCTCTCCACCATGCGAGTCACAACGACTGGGATGTTATCCAGGCTCTCTCTCCCAAGACCTTTTGAGGGTTGCCAACACCTACAGAGGCCTACGCGAAGTTGAGCTGGAGGTCAAGATTCAGGAAGAGTACCCTGTCATTCCGACCTTGGTGTTCAATTCGGGGTGGTCGTTGGAAATTATCGACCTGAGCTGTCATATACCCGAGTTTGAGATCGTTAAAAACCCTTACGTTACGCCCATCCTCAAGAATTGCGGTCGACTCAAGCGACTGGCGATCAACGGCCAAGGACGTGGGAGAGGCTTCGTCAGTCTGCGTGACCTTGTTGAAACTAATTGGGCGTCTAACCGGCTTGAGAGTCTTACGATCGTTGTCAGCGAGATGGAGAATGAATACCGGACAAACGGATGGTTTGTAGAGAAGTTTGTAAAGAACCAGGAAGACAATGAACAGCTGCAAGAGGACATTGCCATGCTTCTTTTCCAACTCAGCATGAAGTACCGCGCTCAGAAAAACTATACGGGTCCGATTCCTGCCTGGTTGGAGGCTGAGACCGTTCTGCTGCCCTTTGCGGCTGCGGTCAAGCATACGGATGGAGCCATGAGCCTTGCAGCATGGAAGAGAATCAGACCCGTGTATTCAGAGCCCCTCTGCTAGTGCGACAACAACCCTTTTGAATAAAGAAAATACGACGCCGGCTGTGACCTTTTATACCCTTTTTTGTAAACTATCTCTTTTCCAACCCATGTATTCCCAACCGCTCCCGCCTTGGTTGCTCTTTTGCCACCAATACCCGCCCTCTGCCTTTTGCCATTCTCCACCAGTTCAAACATCGACAACAACAGCTCATTTCCCCTTCTATGTCGTTTTTTTTTATCACTGCCACAGAAGACCCATAGTATCATGAAGAAACTCTTGATCCAGCTCACCATTCGTGCATGTACCGTCATCGAGACGAAGGAGAGAAAGTGAGATGTGAAAGGCGCGGAAGGTGTTGTGTCATCACGTGCAGTGGATCTAGGACCCTTCGACGCGGGATAAGAAGACATGGCTACCCTTCTCTTTTCTCCCTTTAAAGAAAGGCTATGGTCCTTCTGCAATGCCTCTCGCATCCTTCTGCCAGATGTCATCTGGTCAGACTAGGCGAAATGCATAAATGATTTGCCACCTCCCTTCAGCAAGTTGCTGCCGTTTGGTCCACTCTAATTTACCGCGCATTTTTGCAACCCTTCGTGTGAAAAGAGAGCCCGTTCCTTTCTTCTCTTATATCTTTCACCGCTTTCTCTTTTTTTTTCTTCCACAACTCTTTCTCTTTCTCTTTCTCGATCCGATCTCTCCTTCTTACCAACTCTATACAACCTACCACACACACACGCATTCAACTTTCTCTATACCCTCTCCTCCCTCACATACCACCAAACCATGCCAGACGTCACCAAGGAAAACTTTCGCGCTTCCTTCGATCCCAAGCGCGTCGGTAAAATACTACAACCCAACCCCATGTCCCCATGCGTTAATTATGCGTCTGTGCAATTACACTTTCGTTTCTACCATTTGATCCACCTTCTGAACATCCCTTCGTCTCCTATTTTTCCTCCTCTCGCGCACATAGAAGTTGAACGCGACCTGGATAATTTACCGAATGTCTCCAAGACCCAGATCCAAGCAGCCGTCGACAACCTCGTCCAACGAATCCAACTCCTTGAGAAAGCCGTCACCGACAACATCACCATCCTTCCTTCTTATGATGCCAGGATCTGTCTTGAGGTAACTATTAAAAAAAAAGGAAAAAAAGTATGCACATCAATGATTGCCATCACGGTAGGACATGGTTCTAATTCTTACTACTATTTTCATTTCATTTTTTTGCACTTCTTTTTCAGGCAGTGAAGGCAGCTTCTGAAAGGTTGAGTGTTCTGAGAGGCAAGCTTGTCCCAAGACCAAAGTTCTCGTTCAAGTCTCGCAAGACGGTCGCCACCGCTACATCCCCATCCGCGCTCCAGGTGCCCAACGCCGCTACCCCTGCCTTAGCTACTCAGTCGACGGTCGACACGAGTCTTTTCATGACATTCGAGAACCGAGCTGGCGAATACCTCTTCATTGGCGACCTCCAAGTCCCTAACGCTGTCGCTCAACATGACGCGAGTGGTCCCAGTCCGAGCGCAATGATGGTCGATACAGAGACCATCTACCTCGGAGGAGTTCAGGTCAACGACAATACCACTGCATCAGGACCAGCGGTGGCCGAGAAACCCAAAGACGTGGCGTTGACAAACCTGACAGATTGCACCATCAACCTGGTTCACACTTTACCTCTGGGTGCCATTCACATCAAGAACCTCAAGCGCTGTGTCCTGGTCATCCCCCCTGTTTCTGGAAGTATCTTGTTGCATGATTGCGAGGGCTGCACACTCATTGGCGCCTGCCACCAGGTAAAGAAAACACCCGTTTCTGTTTTTGATACCCTTTTGTTCAAAGCTTCCGTATCCTAACTGACGCTTGTTTTCTCTTGTCTGTTCTCTTGTTTCATATACCAAACATCAAACAGTCAAGGATGCACACATCGACAAACATGGATATCTACCTCCACGTAACCAGCGAGCCCATCATCGAGGACTGCACAGACATGCGATTCGCACCATACCCATACCAAGAAGTCCTTCCAAGCGACCAACTCATGACCCTCTTTGTCGCCGCCGGGTTGAGACCCGAAAAGAATTTGTTTGACCACGTCAATGACTTTAATTGGCTTCGTCAACAGCAGTCGCCCAATTGGAGGTTGCTGGATGCCTCTGAGATCCGGCAGGGGATTGCTCACCATGTCCTCTATACTCAGCGCGCTTGAAATGACGGACTGATAGTAGGAGGAAACTGGCAGTATAATTATTTATTTACTGGGCAGGAAAGATTAGCATTAGATTGGTTTGGTACTAAAAAATCAGGTATATTATTATGCTCCGCTTGACTTCTTGAGCAACGACATGGAACGATTGGACAGGTGCACTCAGAACAATTCAAATTCCAGCTACCAAGCGCACAATTATAGTGAAGAGAACAAATGGTTGGTGTCGTTGAAGGGGTTACGATGTGAGTAGCAGCATAATTTGAGTGTGAGAAAGGTCATGTATAAAAAGAGCTGAACTTACATAGATCATGCCGACTGTCTGTGGGTCACGCAAGTGCATCCTGGCTGGATGATAAACCCGCCTGTTCTCCTCCTGGATAAACATCTCCATCTTTCGTATCGACTAAAGGAGGGTGTCCAGAAATGAGAATTGTATGTCGTTTTAATAAAAGACCTTTGTTTCAGTATTCATTCAACCCCACATTGACGAGCAGTCGTTGGTTACCCTTTGGTAGTGAGTCCCGCAACAGTGCTTTGCTGTGTAGGCTGAGAGGCAGTCCAGCAGCGTATCGAAGCAGTTCCAGAGCGACTCTTCTGCAACCTCCATGCAATTGTTGACGCCTTCGACTGATCGTTTGAATTCTGCCCGTGTTACCTACCAGTTGACGTAGAGAAAAGTGAACATGAGTTTGTACCTGAGCCAACAGTAAAGACGACGATACAGTGGTCAATTGCCATCACTTGTATGCTTACTCTTCCAAGCATCTCCTCAGGGAACTGCTCGCATTCGAACCGGGTAGCTTCGTCTCCAATGTTGTGGTCTCTGTCGATACGGACAATAACTTGAGGTGTCCCCGTTGGATGAGCGTCTGCCGACCGTCTTCCTCCTCCTGATCCTCCTGCTTGTTGCTGTTGCTGTTGTCGAGATGAATAGGCAGCACCATTTCTGTTATGGTCCAGTACTGAAATGTCAGGTCCCAGTGCTGTTGGATAGGTGGCAGCTGTTCCTGGTGAGCGTGGCGAAGCAGCAGTAGCAATTGATTGCCGGTTTCGGGTTTTATCTGTAGCTGCTGAGGCATTTGTCTTTGTCCTTGTTCCTGTCGTCAGCGCTGGACTGTCGTCGGGTTGTTGAGTAGGATGAGACCATGTCTGGGTCGAGGTCTGGGTCGAGGCGGCGGTCTTGTTGGCGAGGTGTTCGACAGTGGAGTTGGCGGATATCGTGCGGTCGGATTCACTTGCGTGGGTGAATGTGGATGAGGGGTCAGGAGGGAGTTGTTGGAAGGGGATTGAATTTAGATCTTCTGGGGATATATGAGTTGCTGGTGGTTGCCATTGGGAGGCCATTGTGTACTTTGTGTATTGGGTTGAGTGTGTCTGAGTGAGGGTCCAGTTGTTGTTGTTGTTGGTCTTTGTTGCTCCTCTTGGTGGTGTAGGGGTTCTTGGTCGACGGTAATTGCTTGTTTGTGTCCTCTTGCTAGTTGCTTGTGTGGAGGGATGATGATGAAAGTAATTGAACGTGGTCAGGTACACACTTCTTCTCCTTGTCACTCCATAAGAAAAAAGAAAAAAATGAGCTGCAGTCACCTCCCAACTCACCCACATGCTGTTTAATATCACCCTTTCTGACTTCACACCAAACTCATCGATCCCTCCCCTCCTGTCTCCTTTTCTACCTCCCTCTCTTTCTTCTTTTCCTCTCTTTGATCGCACCCCTCACTCCGCTCGCTCATTCACAACCAATGTCATCCGACCCAGCTGCAACCCTTCGTCACCGCACCAGCGTCATGCCAGCCCCACCAGGAACAGGACAAGCGGAGGACATCAGACAAGCCGCAGAACAGATCACATCCAAGATTCCCGCTCATCACACCCTCACCTCTCTCTCCATCACCCATGTCCAGTTTGCCCAGGACGACATCCTCTCCAAACTGTTTGCATACGTGACCCTATCCCCCTTGGCGATTCTTTGTGGATATGCCGCTGTGGTTATTACGTCGCGCGATTTGAAACCCGCGATTATGTTGGCTGGACAGCTTGCAAACGAGTTGGTGAACTTGGTCTTGAAGCGCCTTGTCAAACAAGCACGTCCTACTGGTATCGTGACACTTCATATAGCAATTGCATGCCTCTTTCTTCTGGACACTTTTTCTTCAATTGCGAAATTACTTGGAGCACTTCTAACACGGAACTGTTTTTGGTATTGCTCTTTCTCTATGTGGTTCTTCAAGAATACCTTGGCGACGGCTATGGTATGCCTTCGAGCCACTCGCAGTTCATGGCCTACTTTGCGACCTACGTTGTCATCCTCATGTACCGGAGGTAAAGAATAGAAGAAAAACGAGGGTTGTTTTGTTCGTGTTATATTTGAGTTCACTCCAATTCATACATACACATGCGACAAATGCATTAACCCGAACCCCGATCATCCTTCTCACGCGCTATTTTTTCTTTTTTGTGAACAGGAGTATCGCCTCTGACCCGCTTGTTCCTCACACTATTTCTACTGTCGTCGTTCTCTGGTCTACATTGGTCGTCTACTCTCGGTAAGTCCCTCTCATTTATTCATTTTTTTGTCACAAACCGATACAACTTCGATTCGTCGATCCTCATCTAAATCGGGCATCCTAATATCATCAACCCTTCACTCTCCTCTTTCCTTTCGTTCTTTCATAGTGTCCACTTGTACTATCACACATGGCAACAGGTCGTTGCAGGCACGATCTGCGGGTTCTTTTTTGCGATCATCTATTATAACATTGTCAATGGCTTCCTGCGTTCCAAGGGACTCTTTGAGTGGATTGTCGATCACCCCCTGGCACGTCATTTCCATATCCGTGATACCGACTCTATCCACGACGTTGCCAAGTTTGACTGGGAAATGTGGCAGCAGTACCGCAGAACCACTGCCCAAGCCAAGAACCAATAAAGAGAGTAACAAGTCATTAAGAACGAACGTAACTAATTAAACAGGACTTGATAGACAACAACGACAGAAAAGATTGCGTGGTTTTTTTTGACAATGATTTATTATGAAAGTATGTTACAGCTGAGGCAAATTGCCAGTGGGGAATATGGGGGGGAAAGAGAGCGAAGAAGAATGCATTTAAGCACCGGACTTCAAGCCGACGGCGGAGGCCAAGCTGTTGAACAAGTTGGAAGGAGCCAAGCTGGACAAGATGCTGGTCGAGGCACCAGTCTTGACAGCCTCATGAGCAGCAGCAGTCTCGGCGGCCTGGGCAGCATCAAGAGCCTCCTGCTCCTTCTTGGTCAAGGGCAGACCCTCCAACTCATGGTCAAACTCCTGGAAGATATCAATGTTGCGAATGAAGGCCTGGCAAGACTCCTCGACAATGGCCTTATGAGTCGCCTCATCGACCTCAACCTGGTTCAGACGGATACGGAACATTTCCTTGAACTCGTTCTTGTTCTCGATACGGTCAAAGTTGTAGAATGCAACTCCCTTACCCTCGGGGAGGTCGTTGTACTTTTGCAACTTCTTGGCGAGGATCTGACCACCAGAGAGGTCACCGAGGTAGCGGACGTAGGTGTGGGCGATGAGGAGTTCGGGCTGGGACTCGGAGCAGCGGCGGATGGCGTCGATGTAGGCCTTTTGGGCGGGGGAGGGGGTCAAGAGCATGTCGCGCCACTCGGGGCCGTTGAAGAACTCGAGGTCCTCCTCGAGGGCGGCCTTGCGGTTGAGCTCGGTAGGGAAGTAGACCAGCTGGACGTTCTCGTTGTCCTTGTTCTTCTCCAAGGCCTCCTCAAGAGCGCTATTGGTCGGATGAGTACAAGGAAAAAAAAATATTTGGTTAGTTGGATGAAAAAAAAGGGGGACTAGCAAAAGAGGGTGTGTTCCTGAGAGAACAAATGAAAAAAAAAGGAAGCATTCCTTACTTGTAGATGTGGTAGAGGGAGACGAGGAAACGGCCGTAGGTGGCAGGAGTGATTTCGCCGCGGAAGAAGTACTTGACGAACTTGGAGCGCTCGGCTTCGGCGTGGACGGTCTTGGTACCTTCCTTGAGATCGACAGCGAGAAGAGCCATTGTGTGTATTATGTTTTTTTAGGGCGGTGGTGGTGTGGGTGTGGGAGGGAGTGAAGAAAGAGTTGGTTGGTTGTAAGTGAAGAATGAAGAGAAAGAAGAAAAAAAAAAGAAGGAAAACGATGGAGTTTATATATGAATTGTGGAGGAACAAACCCCAGGAACAATAAAGAGGCGTTCCTGATGGCGTCTTTTTCCCCCTTCTTTCGAAGCAAGAGTATGTTCCATCAGATATGAGTTGCATGCGAACGATTGAATTGAATTGAATAGCGGAATGTCGAATCTGATAACGAAAACTGTCGGTCTTGGATGCTCTCAGACCGTGGGCAGAACAAGGAAAATGTTTTCCATCCTCCGCTCTCTCACCTGCCTTTGTTCCACCGCTCTACTCTTCTACTCTTCTACTCTTCTACACTTCTACTTTATTACTCTCAGGTGTCAGAAACAAAAAGGAAGACAGCAGAACAGGAGAGAACATAATAGGACAAAAAGATGACCAACAGGAACAGAAACGCGAGCAAGAAAAAGAACATGGGTAAGCGCTGTCACGTAGCATGTTTGTTATTCTCTTCTCGCTGAAAGAAGCAGGCATAAGCAACAACAGCCATCAATGGCCTCTCTCGGCAACGCATTGTTCTCTACTACTCTCCTCAATCGTTCGCTCTAGACCCTAAAAACACCTTTCAAAGGGCTGATACTCTTCACCTTTCGACCCATGCTCGAAACCTCATCACTCACTCCAAACTCCTCGCTTCGTTATCAATCAGCGTTGTTAACAACGAGAGCAACAGCAAAACAAAGACAGGCAAACGGGTTATTTGACAGACATCTTGCCGCGCTTAGCCTAGTCAGTTGAGCACCCTAACAACATGGCATGTACCCCTTTCCAAAACAGCCACGCCTACTTCCTCCTTGTTCACTCTCTCTCTGTAATAGTTTGTTTTTGGTAACGATCCTCTGTCTGCTCTGCCCGTAACCACCCATCGGAAGGACCACTTTAGTCATCTTCATCGTCGACCCAAGCATCCTTGCGCCATTCTAGGCATTCCTTTTTGCCACTCCCCACTCCTCTTCGCTCATTTCTTCATGAGCGAGACATTCACCCGACACCAAGGCAAACATGAACATGTGTACTGTACCGATCGTTGATGATAAACTTTTACCAAAAAAAAAAAAAAAAAAAAAAAAGAAGCAAACCTTGATTTTGAGAGAACCCTCTAAATTCTCCGATTGGCTGGATTTTTACGTACGCCTCTGATTTGTCACGTAGACTTTACCTGCATTAGACACTTTTGAGCTCCACCTTTGTGTTTGTTGGTTTGTTGTTTGTTGTCATGTTCGCCCGCCCTTTTTTCCATGATTGAATAGGTTCATGGACTGAGAAAGCTACTTCGTTTGTTATATCTAAAAAAAAAAAAAAAGTGGTTGATGAACTCGACTCAGGACTCGACGCTCTTGGTTGTTGAACACCCGACAAACGAAGGTATTATTCATCCATCTATGGTGTTCTTTCTTGTTCCTGACAAGCAAGTTTCTTGTCTGCGGTGGCGATGGACTTACGTGTCCCTTTTGTCCAACTACAGATTGGAAGTATACATTATATGCGGATGAGAGAAAGGTACCACCCATCGAAGGGTATGAGAGACGGCTGTAGGACAAGATGAAAGTCCTATCAATAGCAGAGGGATGAGTGCGTGGGCTGGCTCGGATGTTGGTGGCGAAGAGAGGGAGAAAAGCAAACGTGTCCATGATGGAGCACATAAACACAAAAACACGGCAAGACTGACAGATGATCAAACGCCAACCCCAACAACAACATCAACGACCTCAACAATTTAATAAGGGACGGACAAAGAGCCATTGTTTGTTGTTTGTTTGGTAAACAGTCGAAAAAAGGGAGCCAACTCGCCCTTTGTGTCCTATGATAGAGGGATGTTAATGGGTGCGAATGGAGACAAGGGTCTAGATTGAGAGATGTTCACATGGATGGCAAACCCTAGAGAGATGGCCGTTCTAGGGTCAGAACACGCGCATAGGTTACTAATCAACAACTTTCGATATGTTCAAATGATCGTGTTTAGCACACACACACAAAGAAGAGTCTTGTGGGCCTAGCATTTTTTTTCTCGCTCCGCTTTTCAGTGTCGACAAGCATATCATAGCTGAGTTTTGTGTTGCATTCCAGAAGAGCATTCGCGACCATTTCAGACCTTGTCAGCTTTTGGTAATTTCATTCCTGAACTCTCTCTTCTTCCCTCGTACGAGAATCCTTGCGGAATTAAAATGAAATCACGTTTGTAAATAAATTCCGGCTCTAGACATGCATAGGAGACAGGCGCTGGCTGTGTAAAGCACGTACATTTCTGGGCATGTATCCTTTGCTCCTTATGGCATGGCGTGCACGGGTGTGGCGAGTGCAAAGATGAATATGCGAGTGGAAGAATGAGGGTAGGAAAGGCAGCAGGCTTCTTTATTTTAGCCTTTCCGCCTTGCGCTTTTTCGGACAAAGGCTTGGCCTTTTTATTAGCCGCCAACATACACACACCAACGAAAGCAATCGCTCTATTCAGGCGAAAAGTAGGCGCATAGCAAGAAGATTTGTTTTTTTTTAAAAAAAATTCAGGCAGACGGGTGGTAGTGCTTTTTAACCAAGATGTAGAGCTTTCGAACACATTGAGGGCGCGGATTCAGTGACGCCAATGCCTCTTCCCGGAGGTCGTTGTATTCTGTCAACGTTCTGAATGCCATTTTGAGACGAAGGCGGACTAATATGATAAAAGAGGATCCAAAAGTTCAAGTTAGCAATATACTTCATTGCAAGGTTCACTTTTCTTTTGTTTTGGCGTTAGAGCTAGCCGCTTTTCATTGCGAAACATACAACTTACCGTCGGGTGCTGGGATCCAAGGGAAGGGAGGTCCAGCAAGCGCAATCTAGAGGTCAGGAAGAGGCGGTACCCATTTAGGTTCAGAGGCGACAGGCTGAGGTGGAGTGGCAGCTGAAGCGTTGACAGAGGTCCTGTTGGAATGGACAACATGGGTCGAAACAGGAGACTACTCTACTCTTTCGCGACTTGTCCGAGTAGGACCCGAGACGCCTTTTCCCACGCGATCAGGACTTTGAGAGCGATTAGTGGTGGCGGAGGTGTTGCGGTTGATGAACTTTTGGGTGCGAGCGCGCTCTTCGAGCATCCATTGGACGTTCTTCTTGTTCATTGCAGTGATGGAGTCCATGGTGCTAGGACAAGACGGGAAGAGTAGGATGTTGCTTTTTTTGTTTTCGTTTGTTTGTTGAATGTGAAGTATTGAGAGGGCTGACGATAGGAGTGGAATAAAGTCCAGTAATAGGAGCGGGTAAGTAAAAAAAGAGGAGTAGAGTAAAAGTACCAAAGTAACCAACAACATCAATCGCGTTTTCATTCTCTATAGCAATGTCTGCTGTGCACTTGTCCCTTGGTTTTGATCCCTCGCGTGAGGTAAAAGCCTGTTGTTCAGCGATATACAAATATGTCACAGTTCTGTTCACACTCAAGCCATGGATTTCTACACTGTTGCTCCTTGTTGTTCTGAAGGCCAAGATAGGCTTGACTGGTCCAACGGTCGTTGGATTTAAAAAATATTCCTAAACGGCTTGGTTTACGTCTATGGCAAGCCGCCTCTCAGACCCTACGAGGCCAAGTGAGCACAAATGGTATACGGTAGGTGAATGAAGAATGGTGCCCCTCTCTATTAACCTTAAGATGATTGACGGTCAACAGAGGGTTGATCCCTATCCAGGCACCATCACCATGATCCTGTACCATCACTGACCACTTTATCCATCTCACATCAGAAATGATTTTTGACCAAACATAATAAGCAATTGACTGCGGGAAAAGAAAAGGCTAAAAGTCCCCAGCAGAAAAAACAGTCGGGAACACCAGACACGTTTTGCCACGATCGCCATGTGACGATTCGCAGAACACATAAAAACCTAACAGTTGCGCATTCTTTACATTCCTACATCCCTGAATCGACAACAACCTCGCCATGCCGACATCCTCAACCACCTCTCAACACCTCCCTCACGCCAATGACCACACGCAATCGAGCTTATCTGTACTGCGACATAATGGCTCCCGCGTCACAATATTCGATATCCCATTGATCCTCGACGAGATACTCCGCCACCTCACAATATTCGACCTTCGCAACTGCCAGCGTGTGAGCAAGTATTGGAACGGTCTATGCCGTCCAGGGATATGGAGGTTCGTCTCTCTCCGCAACCAATGTACAAACAACACGGAAAGGGAGTCGATTCTGCAGAACGCCCGTTGGATCCGTTCTCTCTCGGTCGACTTTTGGGACACGAGTCTAGTGGATGGAGAGCCTTGCCGAAGCCTGCACAAGCTTGTTATCTGGGGACAGGAGCAACAGCAACAGTTGGCGCAGCAGGAGCAGAAGGAAGGAAAGGCACCCGACACCATGCTGCCAACACAGACAACGACTGCGTGGGACTTGATTGACAGGAACTCGGCCTTACGATCACTCTCTCTCGAGAACACCGAGCTGCTGCTTCCACAATTGACGGCGTCCTACCTCAATTCGGTTTTATTCTCGACAATACGCGTGTTAACCGTCAACGTGGGTATCCGGATAATGTCACCCTTGCCCATCATAACACTACTCAGCCACTGCCCTGACTCCTTGCAGGAGCTCTCCTTGACCAGCTGGGGCGGGATATTTTGGAAAACACCCATCGATGTCGTCTGTCCTGCAAGTGCGACGACCCTGACTGCGAGCTGGAGGGTCCTTCCGTCTTTGAGATCTCTTCATGTCGAATGTCATATGGTTGGGGACCTCCACGCCTCGATTCTCCTCCCGCTACTACAACACTGTTGCCCTCAGTTGAAGCAGCTGACTCTTGGCCCGGTCCCGCGAGGACTCTGCCGGTCACTCGTAGATAACCTTGTCGCCTTCTGCCCGTTCCTCATTGACCTTGAGATGTCTGAGGTCGGGTTGCACGATTTGGAGATGTTTCGCCTGGTCCAGAGCTACGTCGGATTGCAGCGAGTCGACATTTCCATCTACGCGAACATGACTGACCGAGTCATCCCGACCCTGATCCAAGCCTCTGGTTCGACCCTGACAAGAGTTCGAATTGTCGAACGAGACGCTGAACGTGGACAATCCAATACAATGCCGTTGTACCCAACTATGTTCCTGGAGCAATGTCCACGTTTAGTGTCGTTGGTGGTCCGACCGATCGCTTGGTATCTTGGGCTGGAGAATTGCCTTCGATCCTTGGTGGAGGGCAGCAACGAAAAGGAAAAGAATGATGGTCAGTGGGTCTGCCCTGATTTGGAGACGCTTGAACTCAGCTGTTTGGTTTGCATGGATTCGACGAATGTGGGTAGAAAGATGACGTTTGTCAAGATGACGGAACGACTATGTCGGAAGTTGAGGGACCTGAAGAGGTTGAAGTCGATTCGGTTGGATAGAGCAACGACGAGAAGGCGCATGACGACGAGCCTCCAGCTCCCGACAGGAAATGCGAATGATGATGCTAGTCAGATACAGGTGATGATGGAGAGAAGAGAAGAGATGATTAGAGAATATCTCTATCTCCACATGGGTCTTTGATTGTAATATAGCTTTTTTTCTTTGGAAAAGATACGAACAAGCCATGTGAACAGCTGGTAGTAAAACTTCATGGACTGGTCGCTTTAAGGGAAGCATAGCGAGTGGAAAGGCAAAATTTTGTTCATTTCGGCTGGATTTCTGTTGTTGTTGTTGTTGTTGTCGACATGAGAGCACAAGCAACGACTACATCACCGAGAAACAAATTCACAGACGAAATCCGTCGCTTTGGAGAGAATAGCGAGCCAAGGCTAAGGCGCAAACAACTTGGATGGCAGCCATGCCTGCCCTATCTTACAATCCGATAATGAGCACGATTCACAGATTGACGTGATGGAGAACGAGAGAATGAACTTGTCTTGGCAGACACATGAGTGAGGAGGATGAAGTGAGAAGAAAAAGGATTGGTTGTTTTTTCGCACCCGGTGCTCGTGCATCGGTCCCACGTGTATGTACGTCTCGGCCATGTTGGGGTACAATTGAAGAGAGGATGGGACATGGTTGACATTGGTTGACTTAGGCATTGGTCTCCATATCTTTTTTTCTTGTCGTTGCTGAGTCTGCCAATGTTGGTTGGATGGGCTACGTCGGATTCGAGCATCAAATATATATTTTGCTTGTGCCGACCTATTTTTTGTCTTGCCTTCTCCACTGCCCCACCCCCTTTACCGATTCACCCACCGATCCGGCCCTTCTTTGCAGTTTTTCTACCTCCATCACATCCCCAACCGTTCTCTTTCTTCTTTCGTTCTTTCTTTCTTGTACTCTTCTTATACCACATTCTTTTTCTTTCATTCTTTCTCTACTCCTCTCCCTCTCCTCTGCCCTACTTGCCACTACTTACCCCTTGTTTGTCGTTCACACCCGCACACAAGCCGTCTTTTTTGCACCAAACGCAATTGACCCCGACACACCTACCTTTCATCCTTTTTTACCACGCTCTGCTCCCTGAACTTTTCGTTGCTTCTTTCTTCCTTCTACTCACTTTCCCTCTCATCCCCCTCACTTTCTTTTCGCTCAGCCTCGGATCGATATCCATCCCTCCCTCACTCCTCTCCGCTCAATTCCTGACACATTTTTGCTCCGTGGGTCAGATTATCACTCTTCGGGGTCTCAAACACCGCCAGTCATCCCTCTCCCACTGATCTCCTTTGGCGCCTCCTTCTCGTCTTCGCTTTCAGGAACAAAAACACACTTTCTTTACGCTTGTCGTCTTATCCCATAGAGTCACTCCGGAGCAACTAGACCCTCTCTTCGCTCATTCGCCTACCCCTACCCCTCTCTGATTCACACCTCGCAGAATGGACAATGCATGGGAGAACTTTCTGGAGGCCATTGCCGAACTTTTGTCAATGGCCTTGACGAACAAGGAGACTGAAAAGGTCATTGCTGGCTTCAACAACTTTCAGCAACGACTCCAACGTCTCAGCAGGTAAACCACAACAAACAGCACGTTGAATACGAGGGAACAAGATTGAAAAAAAAAGGAACCGCCTATAGTGTGTGTGTTACGAAGTGGTGGGGTATTGGTAGTATAAAGTGAATGCTTTTTTACTGCTCTTAACAAGATGTTTGGCGCGCTCAACCCACCCAACAACTTTTTTTTTTATGCAATGGTAGCCACAACCTCGCAAAGCTCAATCTGGAGATTACGGCGCAAAAGAAGCGGGTCAGCAAGTGTAAACATGAGGGCAAGACATGTCCTCAGAACGTGACCCGAGGCTTCTTCAAAACCTGGATGATTGCCTATGTCCTCAAGTACCTCATTGGAGTGTTACCCGCCGTCTTGACCGGCAAGGCTTTCAAGAAGTAAGTGCAAAAAGTCATCGTGAAATGAGAAAAAACAGGCGGTGAAGGACTGATCTTCCTTCCTTTTATTGTCCCATCGTTATGACCATTTGGCTAAAGGCTGCAACGGAAAAGAGGCGAGGAAAAATATCATAGGAATGGCATGCAATTAACGAGGAAGACCAGGACAAGGCATGGAAAGAAAAAAGAAGGCGATGTATTGGATCGAGACTATGTCAGGCAACAGGACCAGGAAGAATTCAAGACCTATTGGAACACTATCAATAAGAAAAACGTATGTGCATGGATGTTGGACGTTTTCTATCAATTGAGGAACAAGAAACGAGAAAACAGGATCCTATTTCGTTGGCGATACATGGAACATGGACCGGAGTTGACGGGTCCGGAGATGCCGATGGATCGCTCTCGGCCGTCGAGTTCAATTGAGGGCAGGGAGGCGTCACGACGGCGTCGAGAGGGCGTTTAGATGTGAACAAAGATCAAGAAAAAAAAATTAAAAGATGTGAACGACTCCAGGAAACGGAACCCGTTCACATGTCAAGAAGCAAGAATTTGTGGAGAGGGAGAAGGGATTAAGCACGACTCCGCACAGAAGGGCAAGGAGAAGGGGTGCGGGGGAGATACATCTCATTTTTACACAAAGAGAAGTACCTCTGCCATTTCCAGGAAAGGAAACTGCCACTGACAACACGCGTCCTTTGTTGTTTCCACGACCATTCGGTTTCTAGCCCGGCCATCTTCAAGAAGAGCGGAGGCAGCGACACCGTCGGATTCGCTTTCTTCCTGTCGTCCTTCCTCTCGGCCTACAAGGCCGTCCTCTGCACCATGCGCTACTACCGACCAGAAAACCAGGGCGACCGACTCAACGCATTTGTCGCAGGATCCGTCGCAGGATTGACCCTCTTGCTCGACAAGAACAAGAGCCGCAGGACAGCTCTCACCCTCTACCTCTTCACACGTTCCATCCAGTTCGGATCAAGCTACTCGATGAAGAAGTGGGCTGAGCACCGGGAAGCCAAGAGATCGACTCAGCGCCTCGCACTCCGGGATGCTGTCCACTCGTCAGGAAAGGAGCACGCGCTGGTCACACGGTCAGGATGGGACGATATCCTCGCCAAGGTCATGTCGTCGTCCGCCGCAACAGTGCTGATGTCGTTGACAGCCGCGGTCAACCTCTACTCCTGTGTGATCGAGCCCGATGCGATGCCAAAGTCCTACTGGAACTTCTTGATGCAACACTCGGGCCTGCCTCAAAAATTCGGACCCATGTTTCAGCCTCTCTTGGACGCCTTCCGGTCACAATACGTTGCTCTGCGGGAACTCCCTGGTGGCATGGAAAACATTGGAATACCAGCCGGCGTTACCTCCAAGGACTTTGTCTCCACCAACATCTCGCCCAACATCGCCACCCTCTACCCCAGCGACCTACACCACGACTTTCAGCTCTGCGCCCTGCTGCATCCTTTGACTCCTTGTTCTGGACATTCCATGGATGTCATCACAGGCGAGTTTGGACGCGCCGCCAAGATGTACGGCACTCTGAACCTTGTAAGTACACCCTGCGAATCTCACACTTGCTCGACATCGTCTGGTTGAAACCTGCGGTGCCTCGCTCTCCTTCTGACCATTATATCCAATTTTCCTGCTTTGGGTCCCATAGATTGTCACGCTTGTGTTCCAGCATAAGAAACTGGCCACCCAGCCCAAGGAGGTCGCCCGTCGATACATCAAGTCGACTCTGCGGTCATGTCTCTTCTTAACCATCTATGTCTGGGCTGCCTTCTATACTCCCTGTGCCATGCGCAGGATCTTCAAGCGGGAGAGAACCTTCATGTAAGCCTCGCTGTCCCAATTGCGTTATTTTCGTTTTGTAGACATGCATTACTTTTCCGATGAAGCGCACAATATTGCAGAGACTAAAGCTCCCTTCCTGAACCTGCCATTGCATCCAATAGGTACCTCCTCAATGGACTTCTCGCAGGTCTGGCAGTGTTAATTGAGGCGCCAGGACGACAGATGGAATTGGCGTTGTACTGTCTGCCCCGCGCTCTGGAAACCACCTGGAAGTTGATGTTGAAACGTGGATTGGTCCGCAACATCCCTAACGGCGATATCGCCCTTTTCTGTGCCTCGATGGGAGTGATGATGACGATCTACCAGAACGATCCCAGCGTCATCAACAACCACTACCTCAACGTCCTCACCCGTGTCTTTGGACGCAACTAGTGGTCATCATCGCCTTAGTCCTATCGCAACTCCATTTCGTTTTGCACTTTTCGTTTTTGAGGTCATAGAAAACCACAACACTTCGCGCCCTTCGCTAATAAAAAGAAAGATTATTTTTTGATAATTCTTTCCATTTGGTGATGTCCATGGTCGGGTTCTTTGGTAGCATGAGGGTTGAGAGGACAAGGTAGTCCTTTCGGATAAAGAGAATGCATCCTGTTTGTTATTTTTGAGTAGGCGAAGAGGAGGAGGGGTAATGGGAAGAGATGTTGGGATACAAAGAAAGAGAGAATGGAGAAGAGAAGGGATAAAAAGAGAAAAATGTGGGATGGACAGGAGGACGGGTGAAAATAGGTCACCTTGTTGGTCTCGATGATTGATCGCGCTGAAAGTGGCCTGTGCGTGTTCCTAGTACGAAAAAATGCTTTTTCTGAGGACAGGAAGGCTTTAGATAAATGGAAACCACAATACCATCCATAGGTTTTGGATGGATAGCGGGTTGCATGGGATGGTGATCTCTCAAGCAAAACGCCAGACGAGGAACGACTACCTAAACCATCGTTCAAGAAACCACGACTGACAGTCCAATGAAAGGAAAATGCTTCCGACCAAAAGAAAAAAGAAAAGAGATCATATATGCAATGAATCTGCTGGGCAGATTGTGGTGTTGCTTGAGCACAAGGTAGTAAGCAAAATTCCTCTCTCGCTCTCTCTCTCTCTTCGGGAATCTATCCTTGTTCTTCACCTTCCCCCTTAGCTACTGCAAACCATTCCCATTTTTGAGAACAAAGCAACAATCCAAAGGGAATCGACTCCGAAAAATATGACCCCCTTGCTGCTGGCTTTACTGTAAACATAATCCCTTTTTCCCTCCGTTCCCTTCAGTCCTTCTTTCTTTCCCCTTTCGTCTATCCTTCCCTTCAGGGACCACAAAAAAACTTTACCTTTGTATTTTTCCTTCTCTCTCTCATTCATCCTTCCTTCATCAATTTTAACATTTTCCGACATCACTTGCATTTTTTTTTCTTTGAACGAGCAACCCATGAAAACAACCCTCCTTCCAACAACTTTTACATCTATAATATCATGGGCTCAATTCATATGGAACACATAAAAGGCACCACCACGGATCCTGATAACTCTCATCAATCCCTGCACCGTCTCGGCAGGTAAACCACAACAAAAGAAGGTTCTTCACGCACAGGATTTCATCAAGGCTGTGTATGCTTCTCAAGCGACAGTAGATCCATGGTGGAAAAGATACAAGGATTCTTGTTGGCGTTACTCGCTTTCACATACAAACCATCAGAGTCACCATCATCATCAACGACTTTATTTGTCTCTCCATAATATAGGCCGCTACAAAACACAAAAACACTAACACACACCTCCTCACTCCCCCATCAAAACACTACCGTTTCATCTCCTTACTCGCTTTGATCTCTAGCCACGATCTCCAAGAACTCACCAACATCGAGCTCACCAAACGGAAAGAAAACAAACGGATCTTAAACAAATGCAAGCACGAAGGCAAGACATGTAGGCAGAATGTCAGTCAAGGATTCGTGACCTCATGGATGATCGCTTACGTCTCCCAGTACTTGATCGGGGTTCTGCCATCTGTTTTGACAGGCAAGGCTTTCAAGAAGTAAGTGAAGGGTGTGGGTGGGTTCATCAACATGTCAATTGCTTTTGTTTTTCTCTCTTATCGTTTGTTTTTCTTTATGAGAAAAAAGGGAGGAAGGGGGGTGATTGAAGAGAAGGGAGTTAGAAGAGGGAGAGACCCGAAAATAGGAGGAGAGCGAATAAGGGGGAGGGGATGAAAAAGAATACACCATGACATGATGGATAATTGTCCAGTTGGCAATGGTTTTACCCAAGAATTGTCCAGGACAACACGATTACACGACGACAACACGATTACACGACAACAACAAGAATGGCAGAACTAAAGGGAGGAAAACAGATAAGAGATACGGCAATATACGCGCTTTTGTGCACTACACGCTTGGACGGGGCATTCATTCCACACAGGGCGAGAGAAAGAGAGGAATGACAGGATGGACTATGGACTTCCTTTTTTTAAGCGGAAATATATGTCTCTGTCATCTTCAAATGAAATCTCTTGCTTACCGTTGAATCCAACTTCTTATTCTCCCCGCGACGACGTTTCTTTTCAACTTAGTACGGCAATCTTCAAGAAGAGCGGAGGGCGTGACACAATCGGATTCGCGTTCTTCGTGTCGTCCTATCTATCAGCCTACAAGGCCCTACTCTGCGCCATGCGACAATACCGACCTTACCATGAGGGAGACCGGCTCAATGCGTTCGTCGCAGGATCAGTTGCAGGACTGGCGATGTGGATTGACAAAAACAAGATTCGCAGAAAGGCACTCGCCCTCTACCTCTTCACACGGTCCATCCAGTTCGGATCAAGCTACTCGATGAAGAAGTGGGCTGAGCACCGGGAAGCCAAGAGATCGACCCAGCACCTCACTTTCCGGGATGCTGTTCATTCGTCAGGAAAGGAGCACGCACTGATCACACAGTCAGGATGGGGCGATATCCTCGCCAAGGTCATGTTGTCGTCGGCCGGTGCGGTGTTGATGTCGTCGTCAGCTGCAGTCAACCTCTATGCGTGCATGGTTGAGCCGGATACAATGCCGCAGTCTTACTGGAGGTTCATAATGCACCACACCGGTCTGCCTCAAAAGTTTGGACCTATGCTCAAACCTCTATTGGACGTCTTTGCGTCACAGCTGTTCGTGTTGGATGCACTCCCTCCCGGCGTAGAGGGTATCACGATCCCTGCTGGTGTCACCTCTAGGGAGTTTATATCCACCCTCTCACCCAGCGTCGCGAGTGTGTTCCCGAGTCATGTCCACCATGAATACCAACTGTGCGCGCTAATGCACCCATTGACACCGTGTTCTGGCCATCTCAAGGATGTCCTTGCTGGCGAGTTTGGCCGTGCATTCAGGATGTACGCTCCCCTCAACTTTGTACGTCCGCACCACGAAAAGTTTCTGTCGCTATAACTTTGTACGTTACATTTCGTTCTTGCATAGTTTTATGCAGCCATTCTAACTCCATGCTTTCCTGATCTGCTGCTGTTGGGTGAAATAGCTTCTGACGCTTGTCTTCCAGCGCAAAAAATTGGCGACCCAGCCCAAAGAGGTTGCACAGCGATATATCAAATCTACCATTCGGTCAACCCTCTTCATGACGATGTACACGTGGGGTGCCTTTTACACCCTATGCATAATGCGTAGGATCTTCAAGAGAGAGCGAACTTATATGTAAGCTCCGTGTGTTCTTTGATTCTTTTTTTAATTTTTTACGGGTCTTCGATGATGGTTGCGCTTGACTAACACTCACTTCCTATCTTATTGTCACAAAACGATGATAGGTACTTTCTCAACGGAGTCATTGCAGGATTCGCAGTCTTGATTGAAGCACCAGGCCGACAGATAGAGCTGGGACTCTATTGCTTGCCTCGCGCATTGGATACAGCATGGCATTTGATGCTGAAGCGTGGATTGGTCCGCAATATTCCTAATGCTGAGATGGCGTTGTTCTGTGCCTCGATGGGATTGATGATGACCATCTACCAGAACGACCCCAGTGTTATCAATAATAACTACCTCTCCGTCCTCACTCGTGTCTTCGGACGTAATTAGACCGTTCATCCTAGTCATCTTTCGAAGGAATCTTTTTTTTTTTCTTTTGGAAAACATTGGCAATAATAGAACAACTCGTTTTACCTCCTTCACCCACTATGCAAAGTGAACGTTTTTTTACTCGGATAATAATATTGTTTCATCGCGGGAGTGGCAAACAGGGACATAGGGATAGGGAGTGTCAATATCGGCTTCTTCTCTTTCTCGTCATCTCTATCGATTGCCGCGTGCATCCCCTACCCTTGTTGAATATCTACGTGTTTTTGTTCCCATACGAACGTTGTTGTGCCCATTGGTAAAAAATAAAGACGAAAAGAAATAGGGGCGAGGAAATAGATGGTTTTGGAGCACCCCAATTGGCTTGCATTCTCTCGCGTTTTTATTTTTCTTATTCTACTTCTGTCCTAAAGCTGACATTGCAAACGAGCGATACTAGAAAAAGGAAAGGGAGAACAAAAAAAAAGGGGAAGTGAGAGGAGGAGCAAAAAGGGATTGTAGATCTGTGTGGTCATCGGTGAGACCTTTTTCCTTTCGACCAGGACTGGGCCTTTCCCGAAGTTTATTTTCTCACAAGAAAGGGACAATCGAGGTTCGGGTGTATGTTGATGCTTGCTGGATCTCTCTGTAGCAAGAAAGAAGGGGATACTTGCTCAGCCCTTTTTTTTTCTTTAAGTGTTGTGTATATGAGTGTTTGTCCCAATACTCCCACCTCCTTTATCGATTCCCTTTCTGTCTACATGTTATTCCTCTTTCTTGTGTCTATCCTTAGCAAGCAAGGGATATTACTCCACTGCAAGGAAGAGGAGGGGAAAGAAGAAGGAGAACATCAAATCACAAGAAGGTCCTCCTTTCTTTTTTTTCTCGCCGCCCTTCTTTTTTTACCAATCCACCACTTATTTTCCTATGCTCCCATTTTGACGAAGTTTCAAAATAAAAGACGCGTCCTTCCTATACCTTTTCTTTTATCCTTCTTTCCATACACGCTCGACATATCCTCACCTTTCGCTCTACATCCCTCCAAAAGATTAAACAATAATACACAACTACCAACCAACAAACTCAAAAAAAAAACTATCAGCAACATGAAGTTCATTTTAGCGCCATTAGCGACCGTGGCCACGTTGGCCAGCCTGGTCGCAGCAGCAGCCCCCGACAACGAAAAGACGATCGACTACTCGAAATACGCCATCAAAGGCCCTGTCTCGGAGATCTATGCCTACTAGCCCGACAAAAAGGATTCTGACCCAGACACCCGTGTTGTCGAGCTCCTCATGCCCTCCACCGGCCGCACCTTCCCCTACAGGCTCCACTACAAGGACCCAAAAAGACAACAAGTACGACCTCTCGGTTGCTAAGGATGCCGAGGAAGCCCTTGCGGCTGCTGGGGAAGATGGATCGGCGATTGGAAAGATGGCTGGCGCGGAGTATGCGACTCTGGATCTTGATTCCAAGGTCTCGATGTCGGTCTACCTGGACAAGGACGGCAAGGTCGTGTATATGGTCTAGGGTTCCACGGTTCCGACATAGAATAAGGACATGTTGGTCCACCAAGACGCCTTGTCCGCAACCTCCGCCGCAAGTTGGACCCCAACACGCCCGGTATTGAGGACTTGAAGGACCCCGGTTCGATGGTGGCCCAGGTCCTTTTGAACAAGTTGGCCCTCGAAGGTCCTGATGCCCTTGAGGATGCCAAGAATGACCCCAACATGGTCAAGATCTTGGATGGCCTCTATGACTCGGCCTATAAATACTATGAAGAGAAGGCTAGGTTAGAGGCCGAGGTTGCCGAGGAGGAGAAGCAAAACCAAGGTAACAACGATTCGTTCTTTGGTTCTTTTTTTATTTCTTGAAAGGCCTTCCATTTTTTTTAAATTTCTCGTTCATTTTGGTGTATGCATCCAATTCATTTTGCATCCCTTCGATCTGTCTCCCAACAACACATGGAGCAAACATTTGACCCCAATGCACACTGCAAAAAAAAGAGAGAGAGAGAATACCTCTGCCCAACAAGAACAGCAACAACTAGTAGCAATCAACAACAACCGCCTTCCTTCCGTCCTACCTTGCTTCCTTCCTTCGTTCCTTACTCTCCATTTTTTTCCTTCTCGTATTTTTCCTCCCACCCCCCATCCCATCGATCCTCTCACCCCCTCCTCTTACCGAGGCTCTTTCACCTTATCCTTTTCTTCTTTCTTCTCACGCAATCCTCCTTCTTTCCTCCTCCCCTTTTTTTACGCGCCAAGAAAGAAAGAGAGAACGTTAATTCTAGCCGGGACCAACAGCAAAGACGAATCATTTACTAACGCGTCATATGGTATTATCTTTCTATCGAATGTTGTTGAACAAAACTGATAGCTGGCAAGAAGGAGGAGCGCCACAATAAGCCTCACCACCACCACCACAATAAGGCCCCTCACAAGAAGAAAAACTAAACCAACACGATAACAACAAAACCACAACAACAACCCATTGCTCGACAAACAAATCAACATTCAACCTTTACACCGACTGAATGAAGGAAGCCCTGAAAAAAAAAAAAAAACACGAAAAAAATAAATAAAGAAAATAGAGGAGTGAAGGAGAGAGTCCGTCAAACATAGTAGTAGTGTTGTAGTATTCGAATAAGAGATACAATTCAATCGCAGAAACAACAAGCTTTTGGAGAGGTTTAGTGTCCCTAGAGAAATGTCTCTAGTCCACCTTGCTATGATATATTGTTTCTAATTACTTTTACTGTGAAATTAATAGGAGTGCGTTTTCACTCAATGAACTTTTTTTTTCTATCATTCAAGGTGTTCATTTATTTTTTAGAAAAAGAGGGAGGGGGGTGGGGAGGAAAGGAAGAGAAATGAGCAAAAAGGAGGACTTGAGCCTGTTCAGGGCGTGCGAAAAAGAGTACACCCTGTTCTATTATAGACCTTTGCGAAAGAATGCAAACACAGACAGTCATCGTCGCGTCGTGAAAGGGAAAGTACGGAAGGGCGTGGGCTATCCTTGTTTGCGCTCACTCTCTAAACGCATTCTACCATCGCCGCCAACATTGGCTCCTCTCTTTGCCTTGCACCATGATTCGGTGTTTGGTACGCTCGCAGACTGACATTCGGAATAAAGAGAAATAAAAAGCGTGTGTATATTGTGTAATGATGAAAAGACAAAGGAAAACAATAAAGGAGGAAAAAGAGAGATCTAGACGGCGTTGACAGACTTGTCTCGGAGGAGACGAATGGTATTATAGAGCAGGTCGCCATAGGCATCCAAGGGTCCGGGAGCACAGAAACGAGCACAGTCGCCATCGCCCATGCGACCATCGGGTCTCAGCGCAAACATGTTCTCCGTGTCCAGATAGATTCCACCTGCTGCCTCAACAATCACCCTGGCGATCCTGTTTTGACGCTGGATATCGGCCAGCGTTGGGCGGAACTCTTGCTTTTCACCAGCAGCTGCCTCCTGTCTCTTAGGCGCCGTCTGGAGTGGCTTCTGGATAGTAATTCCCTCTGCATCCGAGTCACCATCCTTGTTGGCAACAGCCTCGTCCTCCCCGTGGTTCTTGAACTGGGAGCAGTTAGCCGAGATTGGGTGGGTTGCGCGGTAGATGACCATGGTGTCGGGGTAGTACTTCCAGAGGTGCTTCATCGTAAAGACCAGCTCAGACATAAACACCTCATCTGGTCTCCAGATCAATCCGCGGTTAAGGACCAAGATCTTGTACTTCAGCAACATGTCTGGCGTTGCCCAGGCCTGTTCAACAGTCGAGGCGCTAGGAAACTCTTCATCCTCAGGGTTAACAGCCCAAGGGACCGACAGCAAATCGTTTCTGGCGTACTTGAGGGCGACGCCGTTGCATAGTCCATGCGACGAATGGTGAAGACAACCGAGCTCTCCGTAGCAGACAAAGGAACTCTTAAAGGCTGAGGCAATCACATCATGAAGCTGGTACTGAGTGACATCTCCCACGACCAAGAAGTTGCGCTCATCCATGACCTCACAGAACTTTGGCTTAGTAAAGGCTTCGTAGACGGCTCTCTCGTCCTGCAATCCCATTGTTCCAGGTCCAGGTCCACACTTGGCCATATCAGGGACCCACCTGTACTTGACTGCCTCTCGGACCATAAAACGGTCGTGTGTATGATCAAACTCGCCGAGGTAATGCCCATTGCCTTCCCGATCTAGCGCCTTCATGAAGGTTTTGTCACATTTGGCGAAACGAGAGTCGCCCAAGTGATTGAGAGGGGTGAACTCCTGATCCTGTCTCTGCCAGGAGCCATAGGTTGTCCAGCAACGGATCTGATCCCGGACCTTTTGGACCACCGCAGCGTCGCCCTTGATGACGGATCCATGAATTTTTTTTGCAGACTTGTCCTCAAAGACTCTGTAGGCCTCGGCTTTGACGATGGTATCGGCGAGGGTGTCGAGGGCGCTAAAGTCCTTGAGGGTCAGCGGTACTGTGGGGTGACGGTTCCTACCGGGGTCGTCCCATCGTGATGAAGCAGGGTCGGATGAGCCCGGGGTGGGGTCGAGATCCTCTGGTCGGTAGTCATTTGAGGATGAGTTGCTTGAGAAGAAGAGGTAGAGTTGGAAGGCGAGGGCACATCCGATGATGATGGCCAGTGGTCGACCGAGAGCAGGGACAGGAGGCATCAGTCCTTCTTTGTTTTTGTTTCCTTTGCTTGTCCTTGTTTGGTTGGCTATGGTCCTGACTTGGTTGTCCTTGACTTGGGGCTATCCTGCCTGTGTGTGTGATTTGTTTTGGTGATGGGCAGTTAAGTCGTTGTTGGATGGGTTGAGAGAAAGAGTGAAGGAGTGAAGGACGAGAAAGGAGAAAGGGAAGAGGAAGAGGAAGAGGAAAAGGAAAAGAGAGACAGATGGACAAACAGACAGGGTCAGAGACACAATCACTGCGAATTTATTTTTGGAAACACACTCTTGAATGCTCTCATCTCGTTCTTGACTTCTATCCCTCCCTCTCTTACTCTCGTTTTTCTCTTTTCAATCTTGCACTCCCCCCATCTGGCACATATCCTGTCCAACGAAGAAATAATTCTCGACTTGACCGGGTACCAGAGAAGGAGAGAAGGAGGGGCTGAGGGAAACGGGCGCAAAAGTCGGAATCCACGCTAATTAAAAGCTCCCCGAAACTCTCTTTGCTTCCACCTGTCTAAAGCCTCAAAAAACGTATGCCAATTGCGGTGCCTTGACCGCCTTCACTCAGTCTTTGCTGGTGGCACCTTTGCACAAGAGGTCTCGAACCGCAAATGAATGCGCCAGAAGTACAGTGTGTCGAACGCGCACGTGATTGATGGTCACGTGTATATTCCTCTCCACAGAATGCCCACAGAACGCGTAGTTTCCTCGCCTAGGGCAACAACCCCACGACAGTCTGTCGAAGGGAGAGGTGGCAATGGTAGCCAGATAATATGGGGACGAGCTCCGACTCCATTGGAAGGAAAGAAGCAATTTAGTAGACTGGAGCTGCTCTCTACACACTGTGGAGAAAGAGTATTGATGAACCCCTTCAGTTGTTGCTCTCACTCCATTGGGTCACTTGCCCTGTTCGTTGGGGTTACTGCTTGCACTCCACCTCATTGACCGCACAGGCCGTCTCTTTTTTTCGCACTGGGTGCTATATAATTATTTTTCTTCGTACACGGGGTGATGGATTGGATTGTTGTCTGTTTTTCGTTCACACGGTCTTTCAGAACTGACATCCTCACTTCCTCCCCGTTGATGTTTCTGTATCGAGAAAAAGGCGTCTCCCTGACTCGCCCCGTTCATCCATCCATCGATAGCCGCCATGGGTAGCTTCCTGATCGCCATGAAGGATGTTGTTCCTGAACAAGCTCTCGCACTCGAGTACAAGTATCGGAGCCTAATTGTGTTACATCCTCTCGTCGCCCATTCTATCATGTTAGCTTTGCGAAGAATAAAGGCTTTGTGGAATGGATTATTATTATCATCGATGGATGTATGATTATTGAGGTTGAAAGTGGTGACCCTTGTCGTTCATGTCTACGTACGCACAAGTGGGGGACAACACAACAGAACACAACAGAAACAGAGAAAAAGCGAGTAACGAGGAGGACCAAGCGGGTGAGAGAAAGTAAACAACGACGTAAAAAAACTGCTAAGGGGTGGTGGGTGGACAGGCAGAGAGGACGGGACATGTAGCAATATGGTACTCATGCACACGAGAGACATAGAAAAATATATGCCGTTGATTTTGTACGTGTGTAGTGTATGAAAAAGAATGAATGCAATGAGATTCCCCTTTTGACATGGCGAGAAACAAAAGACTCCGCGTTTTCTAAGGGGAAAGAGAGCGGGAGTGAGAGTGAAGAAGTAGTAGACACGGTGTGGAGGATGGTGGTTGCCGCATGGCGGGTTGGAGCGCCATATTCTTTTGTTTTATGCTCCAGAGATGTTACGCAGCAAGATATCATCATCAATGCCTATCAACCAAGTCGCCTTGGTCTCAGTCCACCCTTTCTTTTTGTTCCCCACGACAATCGGCAACAAAGGCTTTGCGCTATAAAAGTGCCCCGCGCGTCGTTATGCGTCTCTTTTTCTTCTTTTCCATTTTCTCTTCTTCTGAATCTTCTCCTTTTCTCATCACACTTCCACCTCTTCCTCTCATTTCCCCATTCCTCCCTTCCCTTCACAAAAGAAAAGTTTCTTTTTACCCTTTTAACCTAGTTTCTCCCCGCTTGTCAACTACCCAGAACAAAAAAGCTGAGCAACCATGGTTAACTTCACTATCGACCAGATCCGGGCCTTGGTAAGTCATCCTTTTTTATTCTTATATATTCTCTCCTTCCTCGTCTTCTTTATTGTTATGGGTTCAGAACACGACAATGAACAAAAAAGTTAAAAGGGTTCAAGGGGATTAAAAAACGAGAAGAAAGGGTAAAGGGTGCTGGGGCCACATATACATTTCTATCATTTTGGAAGAGAGAGCTTCGTTTCGCTGTGTGTGGCTTTCTTTTTCTAGTCGTGTGAGTTTTCTATTGCATTATTATTACAAGCTCCGTCCGTCGCAGAAAAGAGTGGTCTACCCTCCTTCCTCCTCACTCTGTACCCTTTGGCAGACAGAAGAGAAGGAAGCTGTCCTCCCATCTCTCTGTGTCGTTCATCAAACTCAAATGTTCTCCACAAAAACACGCACACGCAAGAAGAACACGCCCATATGTTTGCTAAAAAAACCATCCTACCCACCCATCCAATGGCACTTGTCTCTTTTTGTCCTTCCCGTCCATGCACATTGGCCTCTCTCGGTCTTGGAGATGCATATATCATAACGTGGGTCCTCGAAAAACATCGTGTGAGAAAAAAAAAATGGACAATAAAAGGCGTCGAGGCAGGAGTAGAGTAGGGCTGGCATGATCGTTGGGGCAAAAACAACAACAACAACAACAACAACAACAACAACAACAACAACAACAACAAAAGGAAGGGTATTCATGCAACGAAGAGTCTGGGGTAGGGGCGTGAAGTGATGAATGAGTCGTCGCAGTCAACAACAGGAATATCCATGCATGGCTTTCAGAAATGAAAGGGGAAAAAAATGAGTTTGGCAATATGACCTGCGTTGTCCTCGTCCTCCTCGTGTGAGTTAACGACGAGTCGTCCACCAGCCGCAATTGGAATCGAGAGCCTTTTCCTTTCTCTCTTGAGTTCGCATATATATGTTTGTTTGTTTTTCTCTTTCGTTTTCGATTGTTTGTGTTGTGTAATGGTCGGCTATGATGGGTTTCTATGGGTTGGGTTGTTTTAGGTTGGTTGTGGAGGAGCGGGATACAGGGTGTCAGCTGAGGGACAGGGGCTAAAAACGAACCTGAACAAGAAGAAGAAGAAGGACGACTCTGGTTGGGCGTCTCTTTCGCCTTGGTCGACATCAGAAACAGGGGCAAGGGATACTGAGGCATCGAACTGCGAATGCCGCTTTTTTTTTTTTTTTGTTTTGTTTCTAACGCGCCGTCGAACAGAAAATAACGAGGGAGGCGCCGGATATTCAAGAAGATAGCATGCTATAAAAAATATGCGATGAAGAAGAGAGAACACGAGACATGGGTGAGATAGGATACGAGATGGGATATATGACACATATGCAAGGTAGAAAAGATGAGGTTGAACAGGGGGACGGGTAGACGGAATTAGGATAACAAGAAAGGGAAAGGGTAGTGAGTGAGTGAGATGAGAGCCCTTCTTTTTTACTTTGTTACTTTTTCCACAAGGGGGTCCGTGGGAGTTACGTGATGGCGACAGGTTGACGGTTGACAAACAGAAACGATCCATGTTTCCCTATTGGCTTTTCTGTCACTTTTTTTTGCCTTGTCCTTTTACATGGCCTGGGAAGGTCGTTGTAATATCTTACGGGCCATTTGACATGGCTTGACTTGGATCAACTTGCGTGTCTTCAAGCGTGGGAATCAATTCCCTTCACACTTCATACTCGTTCTAATCCCATTGAGGAGAAAAAAAAAAGAGAAGACTCTGACTGTCGACCACATCGTCACTCTGTTTCTGGTGGCCATGGCCATGGTCATGCTCACCCCCTCCTCACACTCGCACTCACACTCACACTCACCCTCACCCTCTCACCCATACCCACATTACCCTCACTCGTAACAACACTAAATAATAACCATTCATTCTTCCTTGTTCCCTCTTCCTCACCATATGGCAACCCAATAGATGGACAAGGTGACGAACGTCCGTAACATGTCCGTCATTGCCCACGTCGATCATGGTAAATCCACCTTGACCGATTCCCTCGTCTCCATGGCCGGTATTATCTCCGCGGCCCGTGCCGGTGAGGCTCGCTTCACAGACACCCGTCAGGACGAACAGGACCGTGGTATCACCATCAAGTCCACCGCCATCTCCCTGTACTTCGAGATGACCGAGGACGACCTCCGCGACGTCAAGCAGAAGACCGATGGTAATTAGCATCCTCCTCTCTTTCCATTCTTTCCTTCAATTGTCCCCCCCCCCCTTGACTTGCTTTACTCTTCACTTTTTCTCTTTCCCCCTCTTGAACAATTGACGCAAGAAAACTAAACAAACACGCCTTCATAATCATTCCTTCGTAATTAGGAACGAGCTTCTTGATCAACCTGATCGATTCCCCCGGACACGTCGACTTCTCGTCCGAGGTTACTGCCGCTCTCCGTGTTACCGATGGTGCCTTGGTCGTCGTCGACTGCATTGACGGAGTCTGTGTCCAGACCGAGACCGTCTTGCGTCAAGCTCTGGGCGAGCGTATCAAGCCCGTCGTCGTCATCAACAAGGTCGATCGTGCCCTTCTCGAGTTGCAAGTCACCAAGGAGGATCTCTACCAGTCCTTCTCCCGTACCATCGAGTCCGTCAACGTCATCATCGCCACCTACAACGACAAGGTCCTCGGTGATGTCATGGTCTACCCCGAGCAGGGAACCGTCGCCTTTGCCTCTGGTCTCCACGGCTGGGCTTTCACCATTCGCCAGTTTGCCCAGCGCTACTCCAAGAAGTTTGGTGTTGACCGCCAAAAGATGATGACCAAGCTCTGGGGCGAGAACTACTTCAACCCCGCCACTAAGAAGTGGACTAACAAGGGCACCGATGCCGAGGGCAAGCCCCTCGAGCGTGCCTTCAACATGTTTGTCCTGGACCCCATCTTCAAGCTCTTTGACACCACCATGAACAAGAAGAAGGAGGACGTCCTCGGCCTTCTCGAGAAGCTCGAAATCACCCTCAAGAGTGAGGAGAAGGACTTCGAAGGCAAGCTTCTCCTCAAGACCATCATGAAGAAGTTCTTACCTGCCGGTGAGGCCCTCATGGAGATGCTTGTCATTCACTTGCCCTCACCCGTCACCGCCCAAAAGTACCGTGTCGCGAACTTGTACGAGGGTCCCCTCGATGACGAGTGCGCCAAGGGTATCGAAACCTGCGACCCCAATGCTCCCCTCATGTTGTACATCTCCAAGATGGTCCCCACCTCTGACAAAGGTCGCTTCTATGCTTTCGGTCGTGTCTTCTCTGGTACCGTCCGCGCCGGTCTCAAGGTCCGCATCCAAGGCCCCAACTACCTCCCCGGCGGCAAGACCGACTTGTTCGTCAAGTCTGTTCAGCGTATCGTCTTGATGATGGGTCGTTATGTCGAGCCTATTGAGGACTGCCCCGCCGGTAACATTGTCGGTTTGATCGGTGTCGATCAGTTCTTGCTCAAGTCTGGAACCATCACCACATCGGAGACCGCCCACAACCTGAGGGTCATGAAGTTCTCTGTCTCACCCGTCGTGCAGGTCGCCGTCGAGTGCAAGAACGCCGCCGATCTTCCAAAGTTGGTTGAGGGTCTCAAGCGTCTGTCAAAGTCTGATCCTTGCGTCCTCTGCTTCACCTCGGACACGGGAGAGCACATTGTTGCCGGTTCGGGAGAACTCCATCTCGAGATTTGCTTGAAAGATCTCGAGGAGGATCACGCCCAGATTCCACTCCGCAAGTCCGACCCCGTCGTCCAGTACAAGGAGACCGTCAAGGCCGAATCGACTGTCACTGCTTTGGCAAAGTCGCCCAACAAACACAACCGTATCTTTGTCCGTGCAGTACCCTTGAGTGACGAGGTCACTGTTGCTATCGAGTCCGGCAAGATTGCGCCTCGTGATGAGCTCAAGGCTCGTGCCCGTCTCCTTTCGGATGACTTTGGCTGGGAGAACCAGGAGGCTCGTAAGATCTGGGCTTTCGGACCCGACGGTACTGGACCCAACTTGCTTGTCGACATGACTAAGGCCGTTGCCTACCTGAGCGAAATCAAGGACTCTTGTGTTGCTGCCTTTAATTGGGCTACTCGCGAGGGAGTCTTTGCCGATGAGCAGATGCGTGGAACCCGTATCAACATTCTGGATGTCGTGCTTCACGCTGATGCTATCCACCGTGGAGGTGGGCAGATCATCCCCGCCTGCCGAAGCGCCATCTATGCCTCGGTGATCCTTGCCGAACCCGGACTGATGGAACCCGTCTACATGGTCGAGATTACGTGTCCCGAGCAAGCCATGGGAGGTATCTATGGTGTCCTGAACAAGCGTCGTGGCCACGTCATTGGTGAGGAGCAACGTGCCGGAACACCCCTGTACATTGTCAAGGCCTACCTGCCCATCGCCGAATCGTTCGGTTTCACTGCCGATCTTCGTCAGGCCACCGGTGGTCAGGCCTTCCCCCAGTCTGTGTTTGATCACTGGGAGATGTTGAACGGAGTTGCGAATGTGGATCCAAAGCTCGAGGCCTTGATCCTCTCCATCCGCAAGCGTAAGGGTCTCAAGGTGGAAATGCCCAAGTTGGAGAACTTCATGGACCGACTCTAAATCACCACTCACACGTTTTTCGTGCCCTGAGTGGTGGTTCCGTTGTCTGTACCTTTTTTTCTCTTGCTGTTCTTTTACACTTCTTTCGCGTTTCTCTTTCCCCTTTCCCTTCCCCACAACTTATGTTTGTAAATTCCTCTTTTAGTAGTTGTTTGTTCTGTACATAAAAAATGAAGAAGAGGACTTGAAGATCTTGCACATTATTGCACATTCTACATAAAATGATGGCTTAATGAATTATGGACTTTACTAATTCGACCCTGGGGGAGTCTCTACACTCCCACCCAGCGCGTGGTTCACGGGAAAGTTGTCTGTTTGTTAGTAAGAACACTTGCTTTCGTCATGGGCACTATTGTTGACGCCATTCCTATCCTATGCGAATTCAACCTTCTCGCATTCTTATTATCAAAATCTCTTAATACGATGCAACCCAAACGCCGACCTACGCCCCCATGGACCTGTTGCAAGTGGTGACCACTGAGAATAACGACGCCTCTATGCGTCGTGAATACTTTCCTTTGGACTGCATCTGCATCCTGATGCCTCTACAAACTCCTCGGTGGAGATTATTAGTAGAATTACTGATACATGTTGTGAATCTCATGGACTCCATTGTTCAATCATTATGGGACTAGTCATCACGTTGGCATTTTTAGGCACAATGAACAAAAAGCAACCATCGTTATGAATAAACCAAGAAGCAACCATTGCTACATCACCTCTCGCTCGTAAATAACAACCTGTCGGATGGTTCAATGGCTCGAAGTAAAATGATGCAACGAGTCGTTCTTGTTTTATTCTTTTGCTTGCTTCGACTCTGGCCCAGAGGCATTGCATTCTCGAACGACTGAAGAAGTAGGTCGTAAATACAGCGGTGCCGTTCGAGGTTAGTTGAATCCTCCCGGATTAGAAATTGTCATGTGGACTCCTATTCTGGCGCTTCTTAATCGGACGACTCATGCTCTGGCGACTCATCGTGAACCTCTGCCTTTTCCTCTGACACTTCCTCGCCCGTCTCACCCTTTTCATCCTTACTATCACTCTTCCCAATCACTATCGCCTCAGTAGCATCTAACCCCTTGTCCTCATCTTTCACTACGCCTGTGATACTCGTGAGCTCTGCGTCGACGGCCTGACTTGCGCCAACCTCGCCGTTGTTCTGGACCTTGCTCTCAGCTTCTGCTGGTACTTGCTCCTCGACACTCTCAACAGTAGCAGCAACCAACGCCCCTTCCTCTTTCTCTTCTGTCTCCGGTTCTTCATGGTCTGGCTCATTAGACGGCACCTTATCCAGCTCGCCCTGCTCTTTTTGCTGTTTTTCCCGTAGCCGTGGCTCTTCCAATGCCTTCTCCTCCTTCTCTTCCTTCTCCTTTCTCTGTAACTCTTTCAAGTCAAGAATCTCCTTCTCCTTGCGCTCAGCTTCTTCTTCAGCCTCGTTCGCTTTCCTCCGGCGCTCTTCCTCGGCTTCCTCTCTCCTCCGCTCCTCCTCCTCCTCCTCCTCCTCCTCCTTCTCTTTCTCCTCCTTGACACGCTTATCTTCCACAAGCTTACGGTTATCCCGCCGTAGCTGCCCCAGAATCTCGCGCATCTCCTTGATCTCACGCATGCGCTCCACAGCCTGCGCCAGCCGTCGCTTGGCTGTCCGAGGATCTGGCAGGAAGAAAGACACGCCGTTGATCGTCGTGATGATAAGTTCCTCAAGTCCATCATCGTTCAAGTCGGCAGAGGAGATCCCATAGACAGGTGATGCGAAGCGTCGGTTCCAAGTCATGCCCCATTGTGGGGTCAAGGAGACGCCATTTCCACCATCGCCAATAGCTGAAGGACTGGACACAGTTGGTCCGGACAGATGAATCTGCTGTTGCTGCTGCTGCTGCTGCTGCTGTAGTTGTTGTTGTTGAAGCATTTGTTGCTGCTGGTGGAGTTGCTGGAGCTGCAGTTGTTGTTGGATCTGCAAAGAATTCCGGAGTTGCCTCTGCAATTGTTGAGTACTGCTGATGCTACTGGACCTTTGGCTGTTATGATGTTGATGGTTATGAAGATGTGGGTGTTGTAGAGAAGACGGTTGGGGCTGCTTCAGGTGAATAACATTGCTCGATTTTGAGTAAGGCTCCTGTCCTGGAGGCAGCTGTTTGAAGACCATGAGCTGTCGTCCGTAAGTCCCGATCAACACCTCGTTTTGTCCGTCCCAATCTGCGTCCATAGCATGTGCGGCCAGGATACTGTCATGGTACGAGCACTCTGCAAGGTCAGCTCGTCGACTGAGTCCGTGCTTGCAGATATCGCTAAAGCGACATTGTTGTTGCGCATAGAAGATATATACGGTTAATTAATAGCCCGTTATGCAAGAAAAGTTGGAAGATGGAAGAATAATGTCGGTGCATCATTATTGTTGCATTAACTGTGGATTGTTGCATGGCTGATCCTGCTTACGACGTTGCGCCATATAATAGTCAAGCACCAAAAGGTCGAATTATTTGTGTGTCCTCCTGAATGTATGCATTGCCGACGTCCGTGCCCATTGATGTTGTTAACTTTCTGCACAAACGTGTACAGGTCAAGTGAGAGTATGCGTGAATGGTGTGTTGTTTACCTGTAGACCCATGCCTGCTCAGTCGCACATGTGACCAAGAGGTGGATACCATCCTCTTCCTCCTCTTCAAAGTCATCGTCTTGGTCCGTTTGCTCAGTTTGCTGGTGCTGCTGCTGGTGCTGCTGCCGCCTCCGCCGCTCTGTTTGTACCCGAGACGTATACACTGTAAGGGTCGTGATCGGCGAGAACAACACCACGGTATGCGCCTTTGCGTTAGCCCGGTCCAGTTGGAAGGTGACGGGGTCTCTTGGGATGATACCAACATTCAACGTCCCGTTCTGTGTTCCTGCAGCGACGACTCGGCATGTCAGATAGTCCTTGATAACCAAACTCAGTACACTGGAAATGACAAAATGTCATCGTTAATAGCCTGTATCATGAAGAAATAAACAATTTGCTCCGTGCCGTGTTTTATGGTTCAAGTAGGTAATGCTTACCAATACTCGCAATATGGGAACGAAGCCAGAATGGAGAATACGGTCTCGACGGGTTGTTCCTTGAATAGACCATTGGACGGCAAGACGTCCAGTGCATCCTGAACAAAGAGGTGAACTCGGCTGTCGCCTCCACCGACCAGGACCACCATCTCGAACGGGTCATCCTCCAATGGTGAATGGATAATCTTCGTGGGTGCCCAAGTCAAAGGAACTGATTGGATGTCAGTCGTGGCTAGTAGAGAACGAAACGGTGAAGTAAATGCAATAGAGAATTAGTGCTTGCTCTTGTTTAGGCAGCATTACACACTGACTAGTTCATTAGAAACTGGCGAGACCTACAAGGAAGTTGGAGCAAAAGCTCTCGGATACTAGGAGCGAAGGTATTGACACCGTAGAATCGAAGCTCAAATTGCGGAGGGTCTTCTGCCTATTTGAAACGTAAATATTCGATTAAAACGAGAATATGAGCATAACGTGCAGCGGGTACAACGCGATGTAACAAAAGTACGCGACACCAAGGAATTGAGAGATGCAGAGATCCAATGCTCACCTTGGCGATTGATACGACGAGAACCAACTGACAACCGCGCTCGTCCTTGCGCTCAAAGGCATCCATCGAAACGATCTCTAGATTTGGCGCAGGTGCTGTTGCGACGCCGCCTCCGCCACCAGTTCCTTCAGTTCCAGCTCCTGCTCCCTGTGGTGGACTAAACTCGCTTGGGCCTAGCGTAAACTCGAACGTGTCCTGAAGGCCCAAGAAGAATTTAACAGCGCCTCCAGCCGCAACAAGAACATATCTTCCAGGGAGATGGCGGTAAGTCAAGTCTCCTGTTTCGGTAAAAATGCTGCTTTTACTCCTCCTGATACGGCCAGCATCTGGCGCCAATCCAGAGTCTCTCCCTGCTTCTGTGGATAGTGGTGGCCCTGTTTCTGAGACATTGGTAGAAGGTGGTTGAAAATCTTGAGTTGGTAGATGGAGAGGGGCGATTCCTGAAGAAGGCGCTGTTGATTGCGTTGTGGAAGTCGTAGTTACTTGTCCTAGCTCTTTGACAACGACCAATCCATACAAGTTTCTATTCGGGGGAACATAGAAACAATGTGAGTACTGAGTATGAAGAGAGGTTCGCGCCGACAGAAAAAGAAGACCTAAAGCACGGACTTACGTGCGGGCGCCTTTGCTAAACCTGGAATAACTCGTTTCGGTGTAGATATCCTGGACGGGACAAGAATCGAGACAGGCCTGGGAGTGGACATGTGGTGGCGAGTCGTCCAAGTTCTCTAGCTCGTCGTACAGGTGTCCATGCCCTCGTTCTTGACTGTGCCCGCGTCCGTCTGCGTGTGTTGAGCTTTGTCCGTGAAGCAAGTCATTGTGTTGATGACTGAGGAGACCAGTTGACCTAGGGTCAGCGGTGTGTCCATCACCAAAGGCGTGATGACTGTGGTCGTTGTTGTCGTGACGTTGGTGGTGATGGTGATGTTCGTCGTCGTCGGACTGGAAGAGGACCGGCGGTCGATGGCTGCTTGCCATTGCAGTGTGTGTTCCTGTTCTTGAAAGCGAGAGGAGTGAGAGGTGAGGAGAAAAAGGGGGAAACGAAAACGATAAAACAGCGCGGTCTCTTCCCAATTGTGACTTTGCTCCTCTGCCTCACAGAGTTATTTTTTAAAGAGTGGTTGATCGTTTTTCTTTGCTCTCGATCGTTCTTCCCTTCCTTTCCTTCGCTTCCCCATTCCTTATTCTCAACCCTCTTTCCTCTCCTTCACTTCAAACCTCATTGTCCAACAACCCACACGCTCCCGCCTACCTATCCACATCTCTTCTGACCAAACCAACCAACCAAACCAACTCCTTTTCACTCACGCCTCGCATTTCTCAACCACTCACTCACTCACTCACTCACTCCTCCTCTCAACCAACCCAACACCTACCCACTCACCCACTCACCCTCTCAACCAAAAACCAACCATGGCCCCAAAACAAAAGGCAACCGACGGCGGCCCATCTTCCAACAGCAAATCATCCTCCGCCCACGGCAACAGTCATTCCAACTCGGAAGGTCGAGGAGGCCACGCTAACGGAAACTCATCAGAACGCGGCGGTGGCTCCTCTGCAGCCCACGAGCGGGTGTCCTCCTCTTCCAACGCCAACAATAACAGTAGTAACGCAGCTGTTGGTTCAAGTAGTGGTGCCGGCAGCGGGTTGGCCAATGGGACAGGAGGAGGAAGCCTGCATACCGAAAAGGGAGGCTCGAGTAGTCATGCTGGCGGGAGCGGTACAACCGGCAGCGGAAGCAAGCGGAAAGCAGAGTCGCCCTTGATCACTGTAAGCGACAATGACTGGGATATATGTCTTTTCTTTTGCTTTTTTAGGTTCTGCTTCCTCTCCAACAGACCGTTTGCAGCCGTCAAACTTCTCCTTCAGAATCCAGTTTATGGATGTGCTTTCAATGCAAAATGATACTAACCTCAGGCGCCTCTCTCATTTTTCTCACTCTTCAACTCCTTTATGATATTGCCCACCCGGATACGCATCATTTTCCACAAACAATAACAAACAACAAACGACAATGCCAAATGCCAACAACTAGGTCGATTTAAGCGCGTTGGATATGTCGGCGCTGCGCCGGTATTGCCGCTTGAACCACCTCAAACCAAAGTCCAAGACCCGTGAAGCCTTGGTCAACGCGGCCACCACACACTGGAACAGCACTTCTGCTCAGGAGGTCGATTCCGTCGCCTACTTTCTCTTTGCCGTCAAGCACCGTCGTAAGTTTTGATTTTATTTGCTGTTCATCTCTATGTTTTTCGTGTCATGGTCTGCATGGTTCTGTGTGTGTGTTGGTTTCCACGATTGTGATTGTTTTGTGTCCACGCGGTACTTTGGGTTCAATTCAGGCCAGCTCAGGAACATGCGAGAGAGTGGGTGGGGACAAATATTTGAGCTGCTAATTATTTACTGGTGCGGGCGGGGTGCACTTCAAATCAGCCACTCGATTGGCTACTCTCAGAAGCAAAAACTAATTCAGGTATTGTATGTCCTCGTCCCTGTACGTCTTACTTTGGTTCTGGTGACATAGATAACGTATTGAAGCTGACTATGCCTCTGCCGTAACCCTCGCCAACAGTCGAGTTGCAAACACTCAATCAACACCTCTTCTTTTTCCTGTGTGAAAGAATCAGCGCGCATCATGCTTCTTCTCTAACAGCTCGCGTATCAGTGTTCACACTGTTGAATAAAACACCTACTTCATCGAGTTCGCAGAAAGTCAAACAAAAGAGTCAGATTCATAATCAGATACGGCTCAGAATAACCGATGGCGATCTTTTTAACACCCATCAACTTTTATCTGTTTCGCGCCCAGCCACGTCTTTACTCCCTGAGTCCCTGGTACAACTGCCTTCATATCATATGAACTCCACGAAGCACAAAAAGTAAACCAAGAAGCGGATCGAATTGTGTTTTGTTCAACTTTCTTATTTATTGCAAACATGAAAACCCGTAACTATCATAACCAAGAGCACGCAAAGACAAAAGACCAATTACCTAAAAAGAAATGATTGAAAAAAAAAAGACCAAAGAGCAAAAAGATATTAGTCAAATGTGCCAATGGTATTTTCTTTCACTGTGTTTTTACGACAATGAGGGGATGATGCCACCCTTCCTCTTCAGAACACATACCTCTACAACACATTCTCCATCGTTCACAAAAGATGAATGAAGGGGATAGTGCTGTAGAGTCAGAAAAGATTGGCCTGTCACAGCCGTTATAATCAATGCACAATATAGTGCTAAGTTGACCGTCGTGATAAAAAATCATCATTGAGCTGAAGAGGATGGGTCGTGGGTTGCAAGTGGGAGAGGATGAGATGGATGCTTACCTATTTCAGAGACGATTTGTTCGACAACGGTAAAAACGACGCATTGTTCGTAGAAAGAAACCAACAAGGAGACCTAAACCAACCAGCAAAACGCGAGTAGAACATTGATTAGTTCATCTGACACTAACACGCATTTGATTCTCCCAAAACCATAAACTCCTCAATTCTCATTCAAAAAAGAAAAGGGTATGGTGCTTTGTAGTGAGGTGCATCAGTCGTCAAAAAGTGTCATCGTAAATCAGACATATGCTTGTCTTTTTAATTGAAATCATCTCGTGCAGCACAATACTAGCTTGGTATATTTCAGTTTCTTCAAAGGGGGTAGGAAGAACAACGGTTGAAACGAATGCGATTAAAGGATAGTTACCTTATGGAAAGATCTCGTCGCGGCAGTCTGATTGGTATTTGTCCATCGTTCAATGAGAACATCTATATAAATCAAACAGACAAAAGCAAGTTGTCGTTAATATACAGAACAAATCCAAATCAAATGACACAAAGTTATAGGAGGATATTGTAATGAATCAGAAAGGCATGAATGGTATATAAAAAAAGAGTCTCAACACGTAACAACGCTTCGCGAAAACCGCTCAGCGTCAGAACATTCAGACTCGTCATCAAAAAGGTCATCATTTTCAAAACAATATCGCGAAAGGGCCGATGAATGAGTGAGAGGGAAAGGGTGCTTACCATTGGACGATGAAGACACCAGACTCGCGTTGGAGTGAAAGGCAGACACGAAAGGAGACAACTGAATCTGAAGAACGAACACAAAAGAGAATGAATTGGTTAGGAAAAATTTTCTTCTTTGAACCCTCAAAGGACACACACGGGCCCAAGATGTCGCTGATGCGGTTGCTATATGGTCAGTCCACGGTTTTCTAGGCCGTTTATATGCTTGTCCACATGATGTTTCAGTGCCCAGTGCATACCCATAAAGGGCTCATCAGGATATAACAACCACCCATGAATCGATTCTTCCGTCCCAGCTTGAAGCATGGACTGAGCGCCTTAAAAGAAACACATACCAATTGAACTTTCGGGAATGCCTTCAGCAACAAGCAGCAGCAGCGTTCTCGTTGTTGTGTCCCTGTGTATCAGCTGACTTGAGTCTAAAGAAACGTGCCAAACAAATAATAATGTTAGCATTTCAGATCTCGAAAACGATTCGCAATGTCAAAAACTTTTCCGATGGAAGAAATTTTCTCGTGATGACAAAGTGAAAGTCGAAAGGGTTTTTTCAGTTGGGTGCAATAACTATCAACACTGTGATTCAGGCGGTAATTCCAGCTTTAATTGCGTTTGTATCATCCTAGTTGAGACGACCTTTTTTGTCAAACGAGAAGGAGTGGGGAATAGGATATGAAGGTGGAGTGGAGTGGATTGCTTACCATTTGATACAGAGGGGACAAAAGACAAAGGGATAGCGTCGACAACTCTTGTCTTTTCAGACCAAGCCAACAGAACCACACGATCGTGTCAAAAGCGCGTCTTGGGAACACATCTAGCGAGTTACATCGCGATTCAAAGAGAAAAAAGACGGTTAATTTCTCTTTCTTCTCTTGGCGTTCGCTTTTCTTCCACTCCAAGGTTGTTCGAAGGTTGGAATGGTTGATAGTTGCTCAGATTTTGCATTATAAACACGTATGCTTTCAGAAACTCTAGTTTGAAATTTTGAAATAGGTGATCATCCAGGCTATCTCCTTCTTCGAACCCTCGAACATCCCACTCCTCTTGTAGTTTGTTGGTCGTTGTTGTTGTTGATTTGGTGAGTAGTTATTACCTTTGGATGATGAATGTTGTTTGTCGAAGGAAGGGAAGGTGGAAGGATAAGAGAGGAAAAGAAAGAAAGAAGAGCCTCAAAAAATTTCTTTTGTAAACAAGATGACTGCTTTAAAAAAAATTAAAAATGTCAAAAATGACGATAAGGTAGGACCAACGATCGCAAGATCTTTTGAAAGGAGACGTCCGGCCCGTCTTGGGGCCCCGCACAACATTCACTCACACTGACATCACAATCCTTGATCTAACTCTTTTCTTCCCAACCTCACCTTGCAAGACACCGCAACTAGAAGATATGGACTGGAGATATGTTTTTTATGTCTATGGGATAGGTGAAATACTTTACAAATAGGATAACTGACTCCACGTGCACTCTATGGAGACTATTGACGAAAAAAAGAAAAGGTATGTATGTACAATGAAAAGGAGATTGGTAGGTGATATTAATTGGGTTCAGTGGGCATGCTGGACGAAAGAGCGCTGGGTGTTGGTGCAGGAGTAGCCATATAAACGTCACGAGAATCTCCTCCTGTTCCTCCTTCAGCCCATCGTCCACACTTCTCTTCAGGAGGTGACAGCAACTGAGGTGGCTGGGAACGCGATCCGGACGCGACAACTGTTGTTGAATGGCCTGCACTGCTACTAACAGAGTGAAGCGTGGCTGTTGTTGTGGAAGACGCGGTCGAAGTTGACGATGAAGAGGACGATGACGACGCGGACGACGATGGTAATGACGGTATAGGCTTTTGCGGTAACCCTCGGTCAGACATGGGTCCGCTATTGGGGCTAGTCGGTGAAGGGATCGAGAAGCGACCTGCTCTTGGTGGTTGTTGGCGAGGGTAGACAATCATCTCTGACGAAGACTTAGTGGTGGCGGTGACATTGGTCTGCAAGACAGGATGACCATCGCCATTGACAGCGTTGGTGTTGGCAACGGTGTTAATGGTGTTGGGATGGATGGCATTGTTGCTAACGACCACGACGGTGCGGGCGACCTGAGCAGCAATGGCGGCAGGAGGCGCAGGAAGGGAGGCTTGAGAATCGGAGGTGGTCGTCTCTCTGTTCTTAAACCTCAACAGAGCGTCTCCTACTCGCTGCAGCTCCTCCTCCTTGACGTTCAGGTCAAATTGGGTTGTAAACAGGAACACGAGCTCCAATTGATTCAGCTCGGGCAAGCTGAGGCCACCGACCTACAAAAAGGGTGGATACAAAGATAATCATTGGGATTGGCAGGTTAGGATAAAGATATTTCCATCGCACATCATATCAAGATAAAAAAAAAGGAACGTTAGGTGACCGTTCCCTCCACATGCACTTTCAAACACACCCCTTTTTCGACTTATTTGCCATTGTTGGGTCCGATTGTTTGAGGAAGGAAAGAGATCAATACCGATGGTGGGAACCCCCAAAGTAACCATGTTCGGGAAAAGAAAGAGAAGAATGAACAAGAGAGCTGCTTGCTTGCTTCATGAACGTGAACGTGAACAGGGAAGAGTAGAGGTGTGGCTTAATTTAAGATAAAAGATACCAATGCACCAAAGTGAAGGAGGGGAAATGGGAACACAAAACACAAAAAAAAAAGAGAGCGAACGACAAACAACAAAGCAAGACGAGTGAACAGAGAACGTGCACAACCTCTCCCTATTCTTGAATTTCCCACTGCATCTAATCATGCTACGACAATGCAATGCCAAAACCCATCTCTCTTTTCTTGTTTGAGTTGTGAAATGAACGAAAAAGACAGGGTAAAAAGGATGCATGTGCGCAAGTGTTGTGTCGCGCCATTGTTCAATGCAGCTATTTTTTACCTTGGCGTATCGAGCATTGGAATAAAAGAGATCCGAAGTGAACTTGGCAGCGACCATCAGACATGTAATCAGAAGTCGGTGGATGTTGAAACTGTTGACCCGGAACCCGTTCGGAGCTGCAGTCATCTTGGGAGTGGGCGCCGGGGTAGCTCCTCCAGGAGTGATATGCGCATCGACCGTAGTACTGCTGGTGATCGCCCTTTCGGTCGCGACGGGGTCTTGGAATCTCGCCCTCTTGGCCAAACGCTCGGCATCTCTGTTGCTGTCGCCATTGTGAACAGATGGTGGTGGGTGATGCTGATGCGTAGCAGCGGGACGTGGTGATGTTGTTACTGTTAACGAAGACGAGGATGACGAGGGCGATGTTGAGGAGGAGGAAAGGGATGATGTTGATGATTCCGAGGGGTCTCTAGATCCACCACCACAACCACCACCGACACAAGGTTGTTCATGCTCGTGGATTTCCGCCTCTCTACCACGTTTATGCATCATTGGCAGGTCGGAGTTCAAGGTGTTGTTGTTGGCCGAGGATGAAGGAGAGGAGGCAAGGGAGGCGGAGGGGGGTGAAAAAGAATTAGGGTCTGCTTCATTGCTCGCCGACGCAGAAAAGGAGGCTCTGCTGCAAGAAGATTCCATCCGTGAGGAACAAGACGACGAGGAGGAGGAGGACATGGAACGTGCTCGATGGGTATGGCGACATGTGTGACAACGACTGGACTGAACTTGTCCCGAGGTTGATCCGGGCAATGCTGTAGCTGATGCTGTTGCTATATGTGTTGCCGATGCTGTAGCTGTGCCAGTGGAGAAAGAGGAGGAGGATGTGATAGTGTTGGAAGGCAAGGCAGTGGGGGGATGTGAAGAGAGGGAACGTAGGTGGGATGATGAGGATGCGACAACAGCATCAGCAGCGAGTCCATTCTTTTGAAGAGATCCGTCAACACGATTACCACTACCACCAGCACTACCGCTATTACGGCCAGTACCACAACCCTCTATCAATCCAACAATCTCGTTCTCCATCCCACCCAGCCCTCCTATCCGGTCGAGAAAGACGAGCACGTTGAGCAGTACCTCGTTCGTGAAAGGGATGAACTGCAGGATCCTGGTCAGGTAGGCGTCGATGGAGATGCGGGGGACGGCCCTTGAATGGAAGGGGGTAATGGGATCGACCAGAGGGTTGTACTGTCCGTCATTCTTGTGAGCCATCAGGGAGAGGAGTGCCGAGACGATCCATACAGTATCTCGGATGGGATGATGCACAATGTCAAACTCAGGGGTAATCACAGATGAATGTGTTGCTGTTACTTCTTGTTGTTGTTGTTGTTGATGCCGAGGTGAGGAGGGGCGAGTAGAACGCGGAGAGGCAGCACGTTGTCGACTAGATCCGGTTGTCGAGGCCATGCATGCTTCGCAGGCGGGTGAAGGAGATGATTTCCTGACAGCCTCTGCGCTGCTCGCAGTAATGACTGATGATGTTGCAACCGTTGTTACTATTGCTGACACTCTATTGTGAGTTGGGGGTGGCGTTGGGCGAAATAGTGGTGTTATTGTTGTTGTGTACGGAAGGGAGGGTGTCGACGACAGATGGTATTGTTGTTGCCCAGAGGAAGAGGAAGCGGATGTGGTTCGGGGATCAGTGAGGATCGTCCGATCGGCGACAATAGATGTCATGTAAATTGATGAGACGGAGGAGTGGTGAGGATGATAAAAAGAGGAGCTACCATTGTTGTTGTTGTTGTTGTTGTTGTTGTTGCTGTTGTTGTTGTTTTCTGTAGGGAATTGAGGGATCGAGGCGTCGGTGGTTGTATCCGAGGGAGTTTGCCGTGGGTGAAGGTGAAGAAAGGGATTTGGCGGGTTCATATTTGTGGGCGATGATACGATTTACGAGTGATGTGGAAAAGAGAAGGAAGGAAGGGATGGCTTGGTTGTGTGAAGTTGAAAGTGGCGGGATCTGGGGCCGGTTTATTTGTCACCCTGGATCCCCTTTCGTGTAAAGAGTATTATTTATGGGAGTAAAGAGGTTGAAGAGAGTAGCGAGTGGTATTGCGTAATGGAGATGGGTATGAGAATGGTGGCGATCTGTCGAAAGGAAAAAGGCACAATCAGATCTGATAATAATAAACAACAGGTGCACTGGCGATCTCGCTTTTCGTTTGTGTGTATGGTTGCCCCGAGCGACCGCTGTTCTCTCCGATGTGAATAGATGGAGAAGGAAGGAAAGAGAGGGAGAGAGAGAAGAGAGGAAGAACGAAACGGGAGAGAGGAAAAGACAAAAGAAGCGGAAAAGGAAAAGGAAAAGGAAAAGGAAAAGAAAGAAGGAGGAGAAGGAGTAGAAGGAGAACAGGAAAGGGGAGAAGGAAAGAGAAAGAGGAAAGGAAGGAGAAAGAAGAAAAAAAAGAAGAGGTGAAAAGTAACTAAGAAACCGTGGAAAAGGAGTACAAAAACAAACGGCGTCGCTACACTGCTACCATTATCTGTTACCCTGGCTGCTTGTCACCCATGTCAATATCCATCCCTCCATCCTCTGGTTCAGTCACCTAGTCAGTCACTTAGTTAGCTATCAACAGTTTTCCCCTGCATCCCTTGACTGCCTTCTTCCCTTTCTTCCTTTCTTCTTCTTCTGCTCATTTTATTTTGTTCGATTCGATCCTCTTTCCCGTCCTGTCTCTTTGTCTCTTTGCCTTGGGGCTTGCCTTGGAATATAAAAAAAACTTGTTAGTCGAATAAGAGGGTTGAAAAAGAGCAAGAGGAGCAACGTCAGGCGAAGCGTGTGAAGACAACATATCCTGATTGGCTGCCGATGCGCGACCAAAAAACAGCTATTTTTTTTTTTTCCAAAAATTTGCGCACGTTGGGCCATAGGGTTGCTTGAGAACAAAAAATCTGAGCATCTATCGCCCTGTCTTCGGGAGCATGTGGACATGCCCACAATTTCGTTCAATGAGAAGATGGCTCGCTCTCTCTTTCCCCCTTCCAGCAGAACCCATCATTCATCATTATCACCATCACCATTGGTATCGACATTCGACTATCATTAGCATACGGCTCTTTCCTTTCGTTAATAACATTACTGTTTCCTCTTTTCACTGGTCGTAGGTCATGGGAGAACTTGAACGTGCACGAAAGAGAGGCAATCATCGCATCCAACGTGCTCCTTCTCATCCCGCCTCTTCCTTCGCCTTCTGACCACAAGGTACCCTAAATGCCTTTTGCATTGTTGTTTTCGTTCATATCCGTGATCATGATACAATGATGGACAGAAGATAAAAAAAAGAGAGGAGCAGAGCTTCATTTTGTTTGATTGACACCCAATGGCTGATTCAAGCTGCAGCACGGCAAAAACCGCATCCCCTTCTTTCCCCTCCTTCTTGCTGCTCCCCCTTTGCAACTAGACATTCAGTAACAGAACAGAACCTATCCCTCTGCTTTGTCCGAGAATGTTCAAAGTCAGCCATTGGGTAAACGACTCCTGCGCCCAACCAAGGACTTTCCCTCCATCCTGGTTTTTTTCCTACCAGCGGATCGCTGGCAAGCTGAATGGCTGGTTGACTTTACTTCTGACTACACGCTTGAAGTGGGACGAAGGGAGGGAAGCGCGTGTTCGTCCACTCATCTTCAGTCGCCTCGCAGATATTTCTGCAATAACCCAATACATGCCTCTCTCATGCCTGACAGTACTCCCAATTGGATCGAGCCAACATTGAGCAAGCAATGCTGTCCAACCCTTTCGTACATGTGGGCTTTTTTTTTTCCCTCCCTCTATTCTCACTCTTCCCTCTGAACAAGGTAGGCTAAACCATCGTCCACATTTGGCCAATCGCGTCCATTCGCTCCCAAATTTTTATTTCTTGAATAACTAAGCAGTAAAACCATAATTTTATGGGGGAGCACCGCCAGTCGAAGAGAGTTAAACGGCACAACCAGTTTCTCTTCGATTCCGCTCCGGCGCCCCTGAAAACCAAACAAGAAGTCCTTCTACTGAAGCGATCAACTCTTTCACTTTCTTACGTGCTCAAACTTTTTTTTACGGCGTTTGTCCCTCCCTGTCGTCAGTAGTGGTTACTTTGTTTTTCGAGCCCCTGCCTGGAAGTTCGTTGAGTGAACACGTGCACCCGATTACGAGACGAGTGCATGCACTCAGATCTCCTTTTTTTTTTTTTTAGTCTAACTGCTGCATGTTCTCATCCATTCCTTTCTCTTTCCCCCATGTCAGGTTAGGAAGGGAACCTTTTTATAACGGCGTGTGTATACTATGCTATGTACGTATTCCCTTACGAATACCCTCCTTCTCCTGGTTCGCTGATGCTTTTACCAATTTCGCCTTTTTGTCATTATCATCGCCGTCGACTGTCGGTGGTACGTTTCACAGGTAGTTGGTGATAGCGCTTCATGGGGACCTATATTCCTCCTTTTCCGAGCTGAAGACAGTAACAGCACATGGTGCAGGACCATCCCTAAGTCTCCTGGCAAGGCTCTCTTCTGCGCGTGCGTACTCGTCCAGGTCCAACCAGCTGGTGCATTTCGAACACCTAACAGCATTGAGTTCGATGGATCCTGAGCAGAAGGGGCATTTCTTTTCATTGACCGCCGTCTTTGTATTTCTACCCATCTGGTACACTATTAAAAGGGATATGGGAAAGAGGAGCAAAGGGAAGAGCAGTTAGTAGCAGTTGAGAAAAGGGTTGAGAAAACGTGGGGGGATAAACGTAGTATCAAGGTCACAAAAAGAGGGTGTACGAAATTGAGACTTTACGTTTGACGATGACAAAGACACAGGCCGAGATTATGAAAAAGTTGATGACGGTTTGGATAAAGTTTCCGTAATTCCAAGACAATGCATTGCTGGCCTTGACCGCTGCCCTAGTCGAGAACTGGGATGAAGAACGCGCACGCGCATGGTGATTGGTGCAGATTAAGAGAGTCATGTCAATTTGTGTTTGGCGGCGTAACGAGTTCAGCTGTTATGAGAGTTGTAAGATGATTTTCTTACGTCTGGGTTGGCAATGGTGTCATCCTTACGTAGGACGACAAAGTTCTCTTCGAGAGCCTTTCCGGAAGCGAGCGCCACTATGGGCGAGATGATATCCTTGACCAAACTGTCGACGATCTGGAGAAATGAGGTGTTTGCAGTGAGATGAAGAAAAGTGTTAGGGTCTATTCCGTCTGTTGACATAGGATGAGTGTCAAGAGTGACACCAGCCTTCTAGGCCATGACCATGGGCAGTTTGACTTACAGAAGTGAACGCAGCACCTATTGATATTCAGCGTCCCGTTAAAGGAGAGAGAGAGAAAGAAAGACGAGTGAGTCAAAATTGTCCCACCACCACCACAAGAATTTCTTCTCCACAAAAGTAAACAAACAGACAGCAGGTGCACGGTCCTTTCGTTTGTTTATCGATCGAGTCGCATAATAACGTTAATAGAACACAAGAAGCAATAAATGGAAATATACCAATAACGACAGCCACGGCGAGGTCGATGACATTGCCACGATCGAGGAACTTGCGGTAGTCTGCAAAGATAGAGACGCCTTGACTGATTCCGGGGACCTTTGTCAGTTTACCACCAACATCCGTCAATCCGTTCTCCACTATATGTGCAAAGATCAAAAAATAAACACGATGTTAGACAGGTCAGAGGCAGAAGAAGTACTGCAGCCTTAAGCTCATGATCACTGGGTGGGACCACATGTGGAAGTGAGGACACTTACCTTGGGAGATGCCTCCTTTGACGGCACTGGCACCCTGTTTGACAACATTAGCACCCTGCTTAACGGCATTAGCGCTCTGCGAGATACCACCAATGACAGCCTTCGCAGGGTTGATATTCAATCGCTTCTTGGTCGGTTTGCCGCCTGCACCGGGTATAGCCATAGTAGTGGTTGTGGTCGCATCGATATCTTGGTATTGGCTGGGCTGTTCGGGATCCTCTGCGTCGATCTGGACGATAGTGTCGACAATCTCATGTTCGTCGTTGATGCGGTAGATATTATCGTTGCTGTTGTTGTTGGTGGTGTGAGACAAGACGTGTCTGTTGTTATTGATATTTTCCGCGTGGACGATCTCATGATCGTCGTTGATGTGGTAGCTGTGATTGTTGTCCATGTGGTTGTTATTGCCTTGAGACATGTTGCTGCTGTTTTTTTCTTATCCTTTGGTTGCGTTTGTGCGTTTAGTGAATCCGCTATGAGGATGTGCTGTTGGTGAGGTGTAACTTAGTAAAGACCGTTTTCTAAAGGAGATATATATGTTGTTGTTAGTTCGGAGAACTCTTTCTTTTTTGAAATTACTCTGCTACAGAAACAAAATGGGCGATAGAAGAGGAAGAATGAAAGCGATGGAGAAAGGGCGGCAACAAGGCAGAAAATAGGTGAGAATGAGTAGATAGGAGGGTTAGAGGGCAACAATTCGGTGCATCGGAAGGTAAGAAAAAAGGGGAAAAAAAGCGGGGCGTGAGTGAGGAGCAGCCGAGCTTTTAAAAATGTCACGAAGGTCTACCTGATGACAGGAGGCATCGCCAAAAGGGAAAGAGAACAAGGGTCAAAGGAGCATAATAAGAAAGGGATGTGTCAGTTTAAGCAAAAAAAAAAAAAAAAGATGCCTTCAATTGGCATGACACCACAAGTAAGGACCAAAGGGTTGTTGCTGTTAATTGTTCCTTTGGCCGTCCATCCATTTTCTTTTTCTTTTCGAATAAGGGATGAAAAGACGGGGTTGACGAGAAGAGAATGTGGGGTTTGCCACCTAGAGCTGCCGTGTCTGCATCCATATGGATATGGATACGGGTGAGGGTATCAAATTATCCATTCGTGTCCCGACTACAGCATGTGCTGTTCGTTGTCCTATATATCCATCAACGGATGGTTGATGGCACGAAGTATCAACTAAGTCAGGGGCCAGCAAACAAACAAACAACCAGAAACATCAAACAATCACAGACCATTAGTCCTTGAAACGAGTAAAAAAAAAAGGGCACCAGAAAAAAGAGAGAAAACACGTCGTTTGAGACGCAAAGCAAGGAATGTACGGACGAGAGGAGGACAACAAGGAGGTTGTCATTTTGGAGGCGATTATTCACCACATTGGAAAAATACAAGGAGGTGCCTCGAATTGGCGTCCATGGATATCCATCCCGGTCCCCCCTCTGTCTTCTTGCAGCATCTGCACCCTTATTCCTTGTCCGCCTAGCTTCCGGTTCCGTCTTGCCGTACAAGACATGCCCCAGTGGATGGTGGAGTTATGTGACTTTGTTTCTATCTCTTTGATGGCTAAGAGGAGAAAGAAGTATCCATGTGGTATTGACCATGCATTGGGTGGGATCCTGTATGAGCAGACGGACAGATTTCATCTAGCCGAGCAAAATGTCCTGGTTCTCTCTCTCTTTGATACTCTTATCAAGGGTGCATAGGCATTCAACAGCCCAACCTTTTTTTTCCAGGACCGTCTGCCAGGCCCAGTTGCTTGTCAGCTTGTGAGCTTGTCGGTCTGGGGAAGCGGGCTCCTCTTTGCTCCCTTATTGTGCAATAAATGGCCCCGTGTCCTTGACTAGGCAAACAAGCAAGTTAAGGTTCTGAGCTGTCTTTTTCCCTTTCATTTGCCTGCTTGCTTGTTTTCGCTCTTTTTCAGCTAAATACTCATCTCACCTAAGCTGAGGTGACAATGTGAGTGGATCGATGGGCGAGGCCTTTCCTCTCCTACTCCTCTCCTTCTCTCTCACCATGTATCTCACCCTAATTCCTTCTAGCACAAGATGCATGGTTGAAATTACTAGATATAGAAGTACCTGCAAGCATTGCCTTCTGTCGATCGACCACCCTTCAAGCTGCCCATTTTTAGTTTTGTTTGTTGTTATTTGGCACCGCGACTGATAGAATGATGGTGTAGTAACATGTGCGCCTGTACATAAAGAACTGCAAGGAGGCCTAATTGACCTCGTAATAAGTGTTAAAAAAACAGGTGTCAGGACGAAAGAGCTGTTACACATTCAAAGGAGGTGAAAGAGAGTAGGAAGGAGGTATAGAGAGTCTGGATAAAACAACGCATGTTTGATTGGAAAGTGGAGATGAGGTGTCTTTGTTCCAAGTGCCGCCAATTTTCTATCTTTAAAAAAGTCGCGTAGTGTCCATTCTCCGTCGAGGGTTTCCAATTGCAGCGAAACCGGAGCGAAACCGCCTGTCAGCTCATTCGAAAGAATTCCTTGAGATTGCTTTGACAATCAGGGGACTGACGGATAAGGGGCCTTGTTCGCCAGGGACGGGTTCTCTGGGTAAAATCCATGAAAATTATGGAACAGGTACCAGGGATCGAGTAGCTTTACCGCACAGTTTTCATTCTGAGCAAGAATGAAAGAGAGAAAGTGAGCAAAAAATGGGAAAGTGAGAGAAAGTTAAGTAAGAGAGAGCGAAGAGCGAAGAGCGAGAATTTTAAAAAAAGTGGCTGCCTTTATCTGTCTCGCTCAATTGCCTACGATGACTGGCTAGACTGGACTCAATTCGACTTGCCTCGACTAACCAATGTTGAAGCAAGAGTAAGAGACAGAGAGGGAAGGAAGGACGGGGGCAGACATGACATGGCATGCACGCATGAGAAAAGGCTTGCCATTTAGAGTTGATGCTGATGGCTGACTTGAGTCCGTTTCATCACTCGTTATCATCCCATCAGTTATGAATTTGATAACGGTCAAGAAACGTGCAAAGCCAAGGAAGTTTGTGCCTTTGTGTTTCTCTTTTCCTTTTCCTTTTTCCTTTTTCTTTCCCTCCCTCTCCTTCTCTTTCCCACTCCTTCCCTTTTTCGCACACTAGCCTTTCTTTAGCATCAAGTCGAACAGGGCAGGCCTCCTCACTCTCTCTCCCTCTCTCTCATTACACTCCGTTCCCTATTCACCTTCATCACTCTTCCACTCATCCTCATTACACCTTCACCTCTCTCCTCTACTCTTCCTTCCCAACCCGACTAAGAAAAGAACGAACGATTATCACTGACTTGCCACTCTTCCCATCTCTGTTCCTCATTCACTCACTCCTTCTTCTGTACCATATATACTCTTACTTAATACAACGCTCTCACCCCCTGAAAAAAAAACGAGGCGACAAGGAACCAGGCCGGGTAAGGCGCTGCAATACTGTTCGAGCGCACAAAGGCCGTTGGTTCATACAACTTTCGCCCCAACCTGCCGAGAATATGGATGCAACCGAAAACGACCACACTCATCTCTGAATGACTGAACCGTGATGCCACACGCAAACAACCTCAGCTTTGCTAACAATAGATCTTCTTCAACGCTTCTTCACTTCGTCCCCTACCCTATTCTTATTTTCCCATAGACCCGACTCTCTTTCTGCACTCAAACACATACACCCAACCAACTCAACCCAATCCAACCAATCCAATATACCCCGTCCCTGTCTCCACACTATAATATATCCAGCTCGCTATTACGGTTACACGATCGCAATCGTCTGTCTCTCCGTCCGTCCAACAAGCACCAACAGCAACGACAACAACAACACAACTGCGTGCTCTCATCCTTGTAATTGTACAGAACCAGAGTACATGACCTCCTCAATAGTCCGCATATGCCAACAGATATGACCGCCAAGCCTGACCAATATTACCAGTATTACCCTCAGCAACAACGACAGGACCAACAACAACAACAGCATTTTTATTATCAACAAAAGCAACAGCAACAGCAACAATTTCCTTTTCACGGCAAGACTCCTGTTTATACCCTCTACCCCGATATCCTTCAGAAGCCCTCTGTCAATCAGATCCTGCCCATTTCGAACAAGCAGTTCCTCCCCGCCAACCATCGCAAACTTTCTTCCTCTTCTTCTTCAAGCAAAAACAACAGCACTCGAACTGCAATCACAATCACCATGGGCGCCTCTTACGATACCAACACTCAGTCCTCATTCTCGTCGACAAAGCCCTCGCCCCACCAACAACATCACAACCAAAACCAGCACCGCACAGACACCAACTTGGGCTATTCTCAGCAGCAGCAAAATCAGCAGAAGCATTCTCCTCGGACCGCCTCGACCGCAAAGGGTGCACCAGTTTCTCCGATTTCGCCCTCGAATCCAGCATCCATGGGATACATCACCGCCAACAAGAGTACCGCTCGAGTGACCACCGTAGACGAGGTTCAATCGAGAAGTCGTGCAAAGACCGTTGGCGAGGGACAGAGCCGTTACGACCAGTCTCAATACCAGCAGCCACGAACTATTCCAACAGTAACTCTCACTTCAACAGCAGCAAAGGAGCAATCGGCACCAGCAGTATCACCTCGCGCTCATGGACAGCAGACACAGGCGCACTACGGAGGACCCGTCCCTCGACCTAGGGCGGCCTCTGCTGCCGCTCAGACCCACAACGCCAAAAGCCAAGTTTACGGTCAAGGACAACAACAACACGTTCAGTCTCAGGGACAAGGATATGGCCAAGAACAAGGACTAGACAACATGAAACAATCTCCGTCCATGGGCTCGGGCGGTTTTGCGCCTAAGTCTCCGTCTTCTCCTTCGTCGCACTCCTTCGCACAACAAAACTCGAGAGCCTCGCCCTCCTCAAAAACGGCACTGTCACCGCCACTGCCCAAACAAGGATCTGCATCCTCGTTTTATTCGCTCCCTTCGCCAACCACGTCTGATAGACCTTCGCTGTTGACAGTGATCCCTTCTGCCTCCCTTGCCCTGTCATTCGATCAAGACTCGGATCTCGATTACCCTCACGACCAGGAAAAGCATCAGCAGCAAGCATTGGAGTATCAACGGCGATTGCAGCAGAAGCCACCGCCAAAACAGGGAGAAGAAGGGTCGGATGATGACAGTGACTCGGGATCTGTGCGGTCTTACCGGAGGTCTATCCATCGGCTGTCCATGACGTATAAGGGTCGACCCGGAGTTCCCAATATTAGCGTGTTTTCATCCAACCAACGGTCGAATGTGATCCACCACGACCGTTCTGCATCGGGATCTAGCGAGTTGTCAAATTCGCAGATGATGATCAGGGACCAGCGGGAGGCAAGACTCCAACACCAACAACAGCAGCAACCACCTCAGCAACAGCAACAACATCATCACCAACAGCATCAACAGAGTCATTCTGGTAAACCCAACGCCAACGCGAGTTACACCAAGCAAGAACCCTACGGCTCAGGATCATCTCTGGCGTCAATTGATCAGCGTCCTCGTCAGGAGGATGGTCGGCCAGTCATGGTCCGAGCGAACACCAGTCAATCCCCACCCTCCCAACGGCCCCGGGACATTCATATCCCCGAACGCAGCTCATCAGCCGACACGCTCCATTATCGCAGCAAGAGTGAAGGCCGGCCCGGACAGTCGACAGCTTATGGTCAACAAACCCATCACCAACACCATCCAATGCCTGCGTCACCATCCTTCCCGAGCAGATCTCAGATGGACCCTCGGCCAAGTCATGATAGTCAAAGGACATATCAGCAGCTCGACCCACGACCTAGTCATGAGAGTTCTAAAAGTCAGCGGCCTCAACACCTAAACGTCTCGCCTATTAGTCCGCGGGGGGGACGCGCGCCTGGAGGATACGGACCTGGCCCTGAGCCTACCCTGAATAACGGTCCCCTCTCCCCCGGCGCGAACGGAGGATCGAGCTACTCTCAGAACCCAGGACGGTCTGGTGGTAGTAACGGAGGCGCATCTCATCATCCTCTTCCAACATCCTCCCGCGGGCCGGTAGGGTATGGACAAGGAGCAAATGCAGGTCCTGGCGGCGCAGCAGGAGGAGTAGGGGGACCCGTCAAGCTCCACCCCGTATACCATCTCCCAACCAATGGCTACGTTCGTCCAGAGGAAGCCTTTGGGCCGTCGAACCCGATGCCCGAGAAGGCTGAGGACTTTGTCCGCCAAGGTATTGAATTTCACGAGATTGGCGAGATTTCCAAGGCGACGCAGTACTTCCGGTCTGCCGCTGAGATGGGAGACCCTGTTGGCATGTTGATGTACGGTCTCTCTGTCCGCCACGGATGGGGTTGTAAAGCTAACCGACAGCTGGCCTTCCAGTACCTCCAGAAGAGTGCCGAGCATGCGGTGGGTGATCTCAAGTCGAGAGACTCGTTTGCGAGCAAGGCGGCCAAGGGCGAGTTGGTGTTGGCGATCTACGAGCTTGGTATCTGTTTCCGACATGGATGGGGTGCCGAGAAGAACAAAAAGACTGCCGCCTACTACTTTGAAATTGCCGCCAACCTCGTAAGTTCCTCCTTTTTCTTGCCACCTCATCTTTCGCTATTACTCTCTATTTTGGTAGCGTTGACATAAACTAACTTTTATTCTCAAACTGCGAACAATAGGGAGATCCGGATGCACAGAACGATCTAGCGTGGTGCTATTTCCACGGCGTGGGTGTCAAAAAGGACATGTACAAGTCAGCCAAGTATTACCGTCTGGCGGCTGCCCAGGGCATGTCAACTATGGGCAACTCATGGATCTGGAAGGACAAGTATGGTGGCCCCACCAGTCCTACCACCCCCGACAAGGGTCACTACCACCACAACACCCTCGCCGCCCTAGGATAACTCCCTTTTTCTCTCTCTCGCTCTCTCCCTCTCATCAACGACAAAAACAACAACAACAACAACAACAACAACAACAACAACGGACGACGCGCTTTTCTCTCTCAGGTCAAAGAGTTCACGATTCACTTCTTTTGGTTATGGAGCAAGAAAAACAAAGCACTTTCAAGACACGACGACTTTAACGACTATTTTATTTTCTAACGAAACACGACACAAACTTGATGATAATGACACACTCCCCTTCCTCTTATTCTCCACTCTTGACATTCTATCTTCTTCATTGTTTGCCGTCTTATGTTATTATTGATTTAGTTTCGTAGAAAAATCTCCCCACCTAGATGTACATTAAAGCGTTTATCATTTTTTTCTTTTGTCTGCCGTCCGCCTTTCTGCTCAATCCAATCAAACAAAGAATGAAGGTGGTTAGAAAAGGTTTGATCCGCAATCGTGTGACAAGTACTGCGATTTGTTCTCGAAAGAAAGTGTATTGGTGTATATTTTTTTTAATATCGTTGTTCCTTTGCCGTGTTCATTAATGTCCGGCTGTCTTTTTTTTTGATCTACTTTTGGTCACCCTTCAGGCTTTGCTGCAAAGACCCTCCTCTCGCCTGTCCATATTCCCGTCCGATCTAGGAAAACATGTCCTTCGATTTTAGATGGGCGCCATCTTGGAGGCCTTGATGCTGTCTGGCATTCTCATCTGGTAATCGCCGTTTTGTGTAATGTAGCGGACCCATGGCAACGCTGCGTAGCCCGAACGTTCCTGGATCTTGAGGTATCGGACCTGGATTCCTGATGTTGTGAAGTAGGGGATTTCGAACTTGATCGACATTGGGGGCTTCTTATCCGCATCCTCCACTATTAATATCCGCGGAAAAATACATAGACATGTCAGTTAATCAACACCTCCACCAGGAAAAAACATGCAGCGATTCTTTTCGTCCAAAGGTCCAAAGGAGTAAAGGCGCTTACAATTCTTGACAGATGGAAGTCCAAAGTGTGCTCTCATCGAAAACTCCTTGCCGCCTTGGAACTGCTTGATCTTCCAAATGACACAGGCCTTCTCAGGGACATATTGTACGGAACCAATTCCACTCTAAGTGATAAAATAGCATGGAATAAATTGAAATGAGTTAGATCCTCCTTTCCGCACCACTGAAGAAAGGATAAGCCCAGAGCTCATCCTTGTCCGATTGTCGATGTGATCCTTACTCTGAATTTTGGTGAATCCGCATCCTCAGGGACAGGGATATGAATCTCGACGTTGTTCGCTGATGAACGGCGCTTGAACTGAGCCCTGGCCTATTTGTCCATGAAAACCAGCAAATGAAAATACGTGTCAGCACTACATATTTGCCACTGAAAGAACACGCCGCCGCCATTTTTCCGATCAATGTTGTTGAGATATCCAGATGACACGTACGCGAATGAGGTACTCGACTCTGCTTCCTGTGTAGTTCTCGACAAGAGCCTCAACCCAGATCAAAGGCTTGACCTGGGTGTTGAGACGGTAGGTCATCAAGTCAAACTCGCCATCTGGGGGGATAAAGGAGATTGTCCTGTCGTTCTCGAACTTTGAAAGGCGCACACATTGATGAAACTTGACATCCTCCATCTCAATCGACTTGCCCTTTGTAGGCGCTATGTGTCAATGGAAATGGAAGGTCAGGTTAGATGGGACATGTAGTGACACCTACAGCAAAATATCCAGGATCACAATCATTAGAATGCCACAACAAAAAAAGGGCAAGAATGCAACGTACAGCGTCCGGTGCTCTCGAACATGACCTTGTCGTTCAGTCCAAGTCTCAGTTCGGGCATGCCCGACAAAAAGACCTTCATCTTGACAGCGCCCAAGATCTCGCTCCTCAACACGTTTCCGTTGGCATTGACCAACAAGTTGACAGACTCAACCACATCCAAAAAGACCTCGTTCTTGCGATACCGGATGCCCTCTGAACGCCACGAAACGGCATTGGTGACGGCCATGGGGGGACGGACCTGGACCTCGAGCTTATAGGCGTCCTGGGTGATGTACTCCTGAAGAATCTTGGATTCTGTCGTCTGAGGGTATCCAAAGTCCATCATCTCGTCCAGCAACTCATAAATGATCACAAAGTTGTCCCGGATCGACTCTTCCTCGAGCTCCTTGAAGTACTCCGTCAGGACTTCGGCGATCGTGTGCAAGAAGAGCATCACTGTCGTCGCATTCGAGTTCTTGCGCGTAATTGCCAACACTAATAGAGTAGAGAGGGAGCAGAGAAGAGGTTAGAGAACGGGGTATATAGCAAGGGCTGTCGTTGTAACAGACATGCTCGATGTGCGATACAGAAACGGGGCAAGTCGGTAGAGGTGGTAGGTTCTGTTGGTTGCCACGAGGCGTTTTCAGACTCCTGCGTATTGCCTTTCCATGTCGTTTCGACCATCATCTCACAAACAGAGCATCTGCTCACTCCTTGAATAACGCCTGCAGCTTCCTGGACTAATGACTGAACACCGTCAAATGCCGCAACAAACGCCCTCCTCCAGATGATGACCTCCTGTCGACAAGAAGGATGAGTCAAAAAAAAAGGGTAGAGCAAAGAGTAAGAAGTATGTAAACTTACAGAAGAGGTTGTTGTGTCGAATGTAGAGGTAGTTAATGCCATCGTCGGTGAAGCATGGTGCTGGTGCCTGGCTGTCCTCCTCGGCCTCGAGGACCAGGGGCAAGAACTTCTCGACGGCAGACATGGGGATATCACCGCGGTAGTTTCGCGAAATCAGGACCTTTCCCTTGAGATCCAGGATGAAGATGGCCGACACTGCGGATGCCATTTTGTTGGGTTTGTCCTGAGGCTGTTGGTTTTAGTGTTGATGGTTGTTGTCCGTGTTCTCTGTTCCTGACGGTGTGTGGAAGAGAAGGGCGATGTAGGTGAAGAAGAGGAAAGAAGAGGAACTGGGAGTGGAGAATGAGAGCAAAAGAGATGAGGGAGGACGAACAAACGAGCGGTGTGCCTGTCCTAACACTCCTACACGATTCTCTGTGACGTGGTCCTTTCTTGTGCGGGCATAGAACAAGACGATAGTCAACCTTGATAGAACATACAAAAACAATACAAAACAAGGGGCAACATATGACAACAACTAATGATCTTAATAAGAGGCGTCCTCGCTGTTTAATTACCCGTCATTCCCTTCAACCATCGCGCGCATATATATCTACCATTGCATGTAAACTACCATCGCGACAAGCCATAAGAAAGACGCGCTTCTTAACATTTGAAGCACAGAAATGACGTGTCAAAAAAAGTTGGTTTATTTTTCTTGAAAGGGTAACTTGAGGAGGTCTCCTCCGCTCTTCAACAAATGTCAATCGACTCTTAGTGTTGTTGTGCTGTGGCCAGGATTGTAGGGAACCGGAGAGTAGTGTAAAAGGAGATCCAGCCATCGATATCACCATCTAGTAGTAGATGGGACGGCGCCAGCCCCAGGGACGACCCCAAGGACCCCAACGGTAGTAGCGACCATACCACCAGGGTGCGAACTTGCTCTCATCATCCTCATCATCATCATCATCCTCGTCAATCAAGGTCGAAGAGCCCTTGTGCTTGAACTGGCCGACGTCAAGCTCGGCATTGACCAAGTTCTTGGCCTTGTCAGCCTTGGCGACCTGGAAGGAAGCATCCTTGGCGGTGGTCGAGATCAGGTGAGGCGAAATGCTGGCGTGATCGGGCTGGTTCTCAGTGCCGTAGTGAACGATTTGGCTGGGCAAGTGACCGGTACCCATGTTGAGGTTTCCGTAGTTGATGGGTGCTTTCTCGGTGTTGAGGGTTGAGGAGAAGGCCGAGGGGGTCGAGAGGCCGCCGAGCTGGAGCTTGTCGATCTTGGCATCGAGCTTCGAGCCGGGGGCGAGCAGAGACGAGGGGTTCTCACCGTAGGCGACCAGGGGGACGGCTGAGACTGCAGTGGCGGCAAGGGCGGCGCCAATAGCAACAAAGGACTTCATGGCTTGGGAGTAGGTTTTTTTTGTTGTAGGTGGTAGGGGTGTGTGTGGAAGAGAAGAGCAAGAATGATGAACAACATTTGCGGCACGATGGAGTAGGTATTTATACCTGACTGGCGACTTGCCGTTCATATTTATCTGTTGCAATATTGTCTCCACGGACAGCACCAAAAACGGTGGTTGCTTGCTTGGCGTCAACTGTCGCCATCATGGTCCAATAGATTACAAATAAGTCTGCTTGAATTTACGCAGAATGGCGTTATGTCGCGGGGATAGCATAGACTGATGGGAAACATAAAGGCACGCGTTTTGTCCCGAGAGAGAGGGAGGTGATAGATCGGAGGCGCGTCGTCGCGATGTCGTAGGAATACCACGCACCATCATACGATCATACCTGGCGACGATCAAAACCGCCGATCAACCACTTTGATCCTTATGTGCCAACAATTCTCCGACAAGTTACCCGCCATGGTTACTGATTAGCTTTTTCTATAAGACAAGGGTGCAAATGCTACCTTATACCAACTTCAGAACAGCTTACACATCATGCTCTCCACCTTCTTACCCACACTTTTTGCCCTGATCTTAGTCAGCCTTTCCACTTCAACTCTAGCTTTGACCCTCCCAAGATTGACCCCTCGCTACGACTCTCTCATTTCCACACGCGCTTCTTTCGAGACTTACACCGCCCATCCAAAACTGTTCACCACACCTGCAACAACGCCTTCTGATTCCAAGGCCGAGACGAACCACCTACCAGTTTACAAAGTGACAAAATCCCAATTCGAAGGCATCCTCCGCCAGACCTTCCACATCGATTTCCGCCTCCAAGTCGTCTCTGACTCTAACAAACAAGCGGACGAGAACGAGAATGCGAGCGAAGAACGCGAGGTACTGGGCGAGATACCAGTCCAGATCACGATCCACAACCTCCGTCTCGGTGGCCTGTCCGCACCCCAAGTCCATTCCCAGACCTTGAACGGGCAACGCGGTCCCATCAACTATGGCAACATCCGCACCTAATCTCCTTCCTCCCCCACCCTTTCTTTCATTCTTCTCTTACCTATGTCCTTCTCGTTCGTCCTAGCTTTCTCTTCCTTCCTTCATGTCAGGCTTCTTTGCTTTTTGCTTGTGTTCTGGAACTTTGATTGTCAGGATTGTGCTGTCTGCCTGTCTACCTACCCAACCAACACGTGGGAAAATAGAGTTTTGGCATGACTACAGCTTCTGTTCATGCAAAGCGAAAAAATGGTGTGAGAAATAAAAGCTTGACTAACAACAATGCTTGTTGATGTCTCTATCTTGCGTTTTGGGGGAATAAACTTGGCTTGAGATATGATAACAATGTATCAGGTTGAAGGTTTTATTAATGCGTACTAGTCCAATTATGATTAAGTATGGCGATATGGGTATATGATGAACGGGGTGCATAGTCGTTCGACCAAAGAGACGATCAATGAAAAGAAAAAAAAAGATAATAGCCTACTCTCGGGCCATACTGACAAGAGGCTCCAAATCAGATCCCTTACCACCCAAAAGCCCAACTTGATGGTTGTGGTGATGACTATGGTGACTACCATACTTCTGGGTCGCACTCTTCCACAACCTGAGAAGCTTGTTGCCAGACTTGGTCTTTGGCTCTTCAACCATCGGACCCTGACCAGCCTGCATCCTCTTGGGGACATGAGACGATGAGGAAGAAGACGTAGACTGAACAGGCATGCTCAGGTTGCGGCGGTGTCGGCTGGTGCTAGAAGAAAGAGGTTCATCGGCGACCGATGATGATGGTGGCGAGGACTTTTGTCGAGTCGCTTGGATGTTGCGGTGCGCTGACGAAGGAGAAGAGGACGAGGACGACAAGGTTGAGAGCATTGTGGAACCGCCCGACAGAATGGGCTCGGACATTGGGCGGCGGACGGTCGGGGTCGAAGCGGATGAGGAGGCTGAGGTCGACTGCTTCTGTTGCTGCTGTGGCTCGGTAACCATAATAGTAGGAACGTCGAGACGAGTAAAAAGCATGCGGGCTTGCCTGGTGTCCTGACAACCCCCTTGCTTCTCTGTCTCGGCCGACGAAGACGATGACAAAGAAGATGGAGGTTGATGCGAAGGTGGTGGTGGCGTGACATCCCTCCATGGCTCGGGCTCCTTGAACGAGACCATTTTGGCGCTCTTGCCGCCATTGGGCTTCTTCGTAGAGGTTGGCGAGGAAGTAAGGGGCGAAAGTATCGATCCCTCCTCCTGGGTCTGGTCAGACGATGAGGACAAGGAATGAAAGCGCGCTCGAGGCTGGGGTTGGGGTCGATACTGGTAGAATCGCTTCTCGCTCAGTCCGGTCTTTTCCTCCTCTCGGGGTCTTGGAACCTCATCGCGCATATGGAACACCGTCCGGCACTTTGGTGGGATCGCATACTTGTTGCTGTTGATGTTGTCGACGATGCAGGATGTTGGTGGGGAGGAGGAGGCAGAACGACGGTAGGACGCCAGGCCATCCTCAGACGAATGCCGTCGCTGCTCTCGCTCTACAACTCTGTCTTTGGCGGACTTTTGTTGTCTGGTCGGGGTCTGCATAATTGGATTGGACGAGTGGTTGCTGGTTGTTGAAGTTACGGTGCAGGCTGTGGAAGTGGTGGTGTTGGTGGTGGTTGTGTGGGGTACAGCAGGGGGGTTAGCTAAGCCCGTAATGGTCTGGACTGCCTCAAAAGAAGCGGGCGTTGCGATTGGTGTATCCAGGTCGTCTGTTGTCATCGCTGATGTTCGTGTTGTTGTCGTCGATGTTGTTGTTGATACCCCTACGAAAGACTGTTGCTGTGGTTGTTGCTGTTTAATGATAGTTGAATCGTTGCTCCGTGACACCCAGCGCTGGCGTTGTTGTTTGAGGCTGCTGTCTCTGCTCAGAGGTCGCTCTCTCTTTGGTTGGGGCGTCGTTGCCTCTGTATTGCCATTGATATCACTATCGCCATTATCGTCTTCGAATGAGCTGAAGGGGCTGTAGGTTGCAATTGAAGAGGCTGAAGAAGGCGCAGAGGAGGAGAGATACTCAGTCTTGTTATTGGCAATGGCAGAACGACGGTTTGAGGCAGAAGATATGGGTGTTGATGGGGAGGAGAAAGTGGTGGAGTTGTGGTTGTTGTGAGTCGAGATAGATTGTGATGGGGATGAAGATGGACGGCTGGGATTGGTTATGTCGCACTCGAGCGAGGAGCGGCCAGTCGGCGAAGGAATCGACCGTGGTAGTTGGTGTTGAACTGACATTATGGAGGAGGTGGTTTCAAAAGGGGCATAAAGGATGACGAAAGAAAGAACGTGGAAAGTGAAAAGGAAGAAGGAGAAAGGGTGACAAACGAGGATTGAAGAAGAGGAAGAAGAAAAAGAGAGTGCGGAAGAATGTACGATCTGCTTCGTTGTTGTTGGTTGTAAACTTGTGAGACTGGCTATATGCGTGAAAATGAGAGCAATATGGATTTTCTATTTGGCAGGGTGCAAAAAAAGAATAATGTGAGGAATAAAGGATGGCAATTGGAGCGAGTGGGTTATGCTGGAAAGAGGAAGAGAAGGCGGGCAAGGAAGAAGAAGAAGAAGAAGATGAACAAGGGGAAGTGATGAAGAAGGAAATAGTGGATTGAAGGAAAAGGAAAAAGGAAAAAAGAAAAGAAAAGAAAAGAAAAGAAAAGGAAAGGAAGAAGAAGGAAGAAAAAAAGAACACGGAATGTCAGTTGGGTGGTCTAGAAAAATAACCTTTTTTTTAGTTTTTTAGCTCATCATCACCCTGCTAATCCGTGTGTTTATGTATCTCTCCCTCTACTGCAACACCCCTAACCAGCCCTCTTCTCCTTATTCTCCTCCTTCTCACTCACATGTACTTCCCTATCATCCTTGGTCCATTTCATGTCATATACCATTTCTTTCACTCTCTCGCTCTCTCTCTCTTTCTTCCAAAAGATGAATGAATGCTCACATCCAAGTATCCATTGATAGACAACTACCCATCCACACCCCACTCCAGACACCCACATACACACACCATTGGCATTTGACACCGCTTTGCCTTCTGACTGTTTCGTGCTCACTTACTTTTCAATTGCACGACGATGCTCACTCTCTCTCTCTCTCTCTCTCTCGTTTTTTTTTATCTCCCTACTTTTTTTTATCTCCCTACTTTTTTTTCCTCTCCACCACATTCCAACGACTGACAAACTGCTGAACAGCCACGACCTCCCACCACGACTTCTCCTTTGTTCACTCCTCCTCTTGATCTTTTGTCTATCCCCATTCCCTGTCCCTAGGCTCGTGGCCTGATCATTCGTTCTTTTCGTTTCATACTCTTCCTTTGCTCATCACTCACTTTCTTATCCCTCCACACTCCCAAAAGTTTGCTCCTCCCAACAACCCAAAAAAAAAAAAAAGGCCGGTGCAAAAACACACACACAAGAACCTTAAAGAGGAATCCGCCCTGTCTCGCCTTACTACTCGTTGGTAGTGCTTATTAGAGGCTTTTCCTCTCCTTAAAGGATCACCATCTCACCCAAGACACACCACAGGCTGAACAAAGATAGAGTGACACATCGGGCATCCTCCTCCTTCCTCCCTCATCATCATCATCATCATACATCCGAGCGAGTGGCCTGATCGAAATTGAATGCTAAAATATGCTTTATGCTATGATATTGTTTGTATGCTATGGAATGCCAAAATAGTACGTCTTCTGTCTCTCTTTGTTGTTATTTTTTTTTTTTTTTTTTTTTTTTTTTGCTTCATCGTCTTCTTTGGTCGTCGTTGCCGCATTTTTTGTTTTGTTTTGTTTTGTGGTTGCAAAGAAATAAAAGAAAAAAAATACTAGGGTATGCTTTTCGCTGGTCTGCGTAGAAAAAGGAAGAGAAAAAAAAATAGTAGGAGAAGGGAGGAGGTAGCCATGGGAATACTATCTGCGTTCAGTCTTGATGGGGTAAGAGCAAACAAAGAACGCAGAAAAAAAAAAGAGAGAAGAGATATACGAGTCGTCATAATAAAATTGTCGATGGAAAAACTTGTCTGGTAAGAGGCCAGGATATGGAGAGAAAAAGAAATGCAAAATGTATGAGATGAGTAAATGAGCAAATAAAAGAGTGGAGTGAAATGCAAGGTCAGATAAAAAAAAAAGTAATAAGAAAAAAAAGAGGGTAGGACAAGGTCGTTACTCGTCTGATCCAATCATGGGCCATGAATTCCCAGTTAATAGTGCTGGTCAAACATGGCGCTCATGCTATCACGGCGATCCAAAAACGGAGTGCCATTCATGTTGTGGAGATGACCAAGTCCGCTGGGCTGGTTCACACTCGAGTTGCGCACTCCCAATGGGTTCTTGGAGAAGCTGAGGCGGATGCCTCCCTTGACAGAGTTGCTCAGCGGGTTGCCGTACAAATCGTTCAGGGCCTGGGTCGCGCACTCCACATTCTCAAACTCAACGAAACACATCGGTCCGTTCGACTTTGTGCGGAAGCACATGCGACGGTATCCAACGCAGCGTGAGAACAATGTTCGGAGCTCGTCCTCGGACGTGTTCATCGGGAGGTTGCCAACATAGAGCGTGTTGCAGGGTGGATTCTGGTCACCAGGGTTGACAGGTGCGCGGAAGGCGGGCGAAGCAAGACCGGGCGAAGCCATGCCAGGAGAAACCAGGGCTGAAGAGGCGACAGTGTTGATCGGCAATCCTTGGAAGCGACCGTTGGCCATATCGTCGTTGTGGAAAAGCGTGCCATTGAAGCCACGCTCAGTATGAGCCGGGATCGACTTTGACAGGAATCCCGAAGTCGAAATAGGCGCCTCTGCATCCATGTCCAAGAAACTTTTGTTGAAGCGCTGCGAGGTGGACAGTCCGGCAAGGCGGTTGTTGCTAAAGGAGTTAGAGATCGAGTTAGGGAACGATCCTGCGATAGATCCGGCAAGACCTCCAGGAGCGTTGCTCAAGCTGCCCATCGACAATGGGTCCACTCTCATCTCAAACGTGTTCTGGCGACCCAGGAAGGACGACGACAGATCCGACTGTTGCTGTTGCTGCTGGAGGTTGGGCTGGTGACGACCTCCAAAAGACTCGGCAAAGCTGATCGCAGTGTTATTGGGTGCGTAGACGTCCGCGTAAAAGTCGTAGCTGCTGGAGTAGTCGTGGGGCGAGAGGAGATCGCTTGGCAGGGCTGGGCTGGGAGGCACAGAGTGGAAGGCATCGTACGCTGCAGACCCAGCGAGGCTGTTGCGGTGCTGAAGAGGGTGAGGCAATTTGCTGTTGTTGTTATTGATCCCGTTGAGGTTGCTGGTGATGCCAATCGGGGTTGGAGGCATAGCGGCGGCTGGGTTGGGACCTGGAGCGACGGTCAATTCGTTGGAGAGACCTCGGCGGGTGTGGAGGTTCTTCTTGGCCATCTCGGCCTTGAGCAATGACCCCTTCTCGGCATCGACTCTACGGCCACTGAGGACCTGGATGGCTTGCAAAGCTTCCTGGTGAGAGCGAAACTTTGCAAACCCAATCTATAAAAGAAGAACGAAAGTTACAAATATGGTTAGGAAAGTTTTTTTGGTGTAATGCCCGTTACTGTGTCTGGCTCAGAGCTGATTAGCCTCTGGCGTTGGTTGATGCACTATTTTTTTTTCTGCTGTTAGTGTGTATGTCCAGGACACCACAAGAACAATGTTTGCGTGGTTTTTGTGGACAAACTCATGCGTTGTGTCATCTGTTTACTTTTGGCTGAAAATAGGGCCGAAAGGACAAAGAGCCAAATAACAACAAAGAAAAAAAAAGGGAGGGATAAAAAAAGCCTCTGATCAACTTGGCCCATCCGCAAGTGGAATGGGATCAAATAAAGTGGAAAGAGATGGTGGACCAAGAGGGAGAGCAATAACATAAAAAAAGAATGGGCAGGGTGCTTACAATCTGCTTGCGAGGGTTAACTCCATTGACATCCAGGGTTAGAGCATCGTCTTCCTGAGGTTCCTTGTTGGGGATCTTGAGGGTGGCAGCCTCGAAGCCAGGGGTGAAAACAAACATGTTTTGGAACTCTCGCTCGTGCATGTCGTCGGGGAAGCCCACGACAAAGATGGTCGAGATCTCCTCCTGGACGACTCCGTTTGCGGTAGCGGTAAGAGTGGTACCATTGGCCCCAGCGGGAGGTGTGTTGCTGTTGGTGACGCTGAGGAGGTTGCTAGTGTTGTTGATGGTGGCAGTGGAGCTGTTGTTGTTGTAGCTGTAAAGACCGGAGCTGAGGGAGGAGGAGGTGGTCGGAGCATAGTTGGATAAGCTCAGGCCACCGAGACCGTTTGTCAGACTGCCGATATGGACGCTGTTGTTGTTGTGACTCGACTTTGGGATGCTCGAACTGAGGCTGTCTGGAAAGCCAAAGGCAGAAAAGCTGGACGAAAATCCGTTGGAGTAGCTAGCCTTGGTCTGACTGTTGTTGATGGCTGCACCGTTATCGTGGATGTTGTTGCTGTTATTGTTGCTGTTGTTGGTATTGATGTTGATACCCTTGACAGCCGGGGAGGAGGACGGATAGTCCTGGTGGGCCGAGAAGTGGCCATTGGAGACCATGTTCAGGGTAGCGGTGCTCATGGAGACGGGCGAGGAGCGAGAAGTAGCCGGAGACGAGGAGGTGAAGGTAGGGGATGAGGACGACGAAGAAGAGGCAGAAGAAGGGGAAGAGACCGAGGTGATGGCCATCGTCTTTTTGCTTTTTTTTTTTGGCTTTTTCGCTCTGGCCCGTCTAATAAAAAGAAATAAAAAAGGGGTGACAAAGGAAAAAATGGGAAAGAGGTAAGAGAAGAGTAAATAATAATAACAGATGGAGGATGACAAAAGAGGAGTGTGGTGGAGTGGAAGGAAGGAAGGTGGTAGGGTAGGGATGGAGGTTGTTGTTGGTGGGGTGCGGGGATGAAGGAAAGGAAGGGAAGGAAGGGAAGAAAGGAAAGGAAAGGAAGGAGAGAGGATGAAGAAGGAAAGGAAGGAAGGGAAGGGAAAAGAAGCAGAGCAGATAAAGAAATCAGTCAACCTGTCTGTGTGTATGAACCAACCAATCAACCAAACCAACCGACTGACGGAAACAAGCTCAAAAAGTCACTCGCCTGTGATTAGACTCGCTTGCTTACTGGCAACATCTTCACCCAGGCTTGTTCCTGTTGCTGTTGCTGTTGCTGTTGCTGTTGTTCATGTTCTTGTTCTTGTCGCCGTTATTGCCATTGTTATTGATGTTGATATTACTGTTGTTGCTGTTGTTGCTGTTGTTGTTGTTCGTCATCACTCATTGTGGTTGTCAGATAAATTGTACAGTATTAGAAGCCCCTGTGTCTGAGTTGTCAGACTAGGGTCGTGCGAAAAATGGAAACAGGGCACCGATCCCAGCCAATCGAACACTCCTTGGCAAGGACAACATTCGGAACCAGATATGATAAAAAGAAGGTACCGACGTAAGGAAGGGGAGCAGCCAAGTCAATGGACAAAGGAACGATAGGAAGAGAGCAAGGACCACCTTTTCCTTCCTTCCTTCCTTTCTTCATTTTTCATTTCCTCTTCTGGCCGGTGCTGCATCGTTCTCATCTTATCTCCCCACAAATACACAAAAAGATTGCTCATCGACCTTTTCATATTATTCATCTTCAACCCTTCCGTGATGTTCTCTCTCCATCCTCGTATCTTTTATTAAAACTAACGACTTTTTTTAAGCTTCCTTCTGCAGGATGATCTGGATCGAGGTGGAATCAGAGTCCTCTCTTGCTCCTCTTCTTCTTTCGTCCTCGTCTCCGTACCCTTTGTTTTCGTATGTTCAATTGCTCACAGCTTGACCTCTTTTCACTTTTCCCTTCCCCCTTTCCGTACATCCATCGCTCCACTTCCCTCATCCTCCCTTTCACGTTTTTTTCCCGCTTTTTGACTCTCCTGACGTCGGATTGACTCCAATTGATGAACTAGGTAAGAAATCAAGAAATCAGCAACAAACCACCTCTCTCTTATGGGTTGTGATGACGATCCGCATGAACTTCAAGGGGGAGGAAGAGAAGAAGAAAGCATGGGTGTATGAAAATAGAAAAGGCGGTGCGGGACGGATGGGATGGGAAAGACGGGACAAAGCAAACAAGCAACAGTGCCCTTTCATTTCGAGAATAAGAGAGGTCCGAGCATGGCCTCTTGAATGGCCAAGGCGGCACGTGCTCGATGTCAAGAAGCCAGCCTTTTATTGGTCACGTGTGGAGTAAGCACTAGCCCAGATCCAATGCTCTCATTTTTTTGATGGTGCTTTGGGCGGAGGCGAATTTCTCTTTAAAAAAAGGAAGGAGGGAACAACGTTTTTCATAAACGCGAGAGTGGAGGGCGTAGGATCATGGACAGAAAGAATAAACAACCGTTGCTGCTGTTATTGCTGCTTGCGCAATGACCGGAGAATGCTTAAATAATAAAAATAAGTACTGGTATGCCTTCAATTCGTCCACTGGATCGATCTCTTTCGGGTTTGGAAAAAAGTAACCATGTAAGAAGAGAAGGGCTCTTCAACCCCCATGACACACTTCATCCGAGCAAAAGGCAAGATGCTATTTTTTCCAACACCAATTACCGGGGGATAATGACGGTCTCTCTTCTCTTCTCTTCTTCCTTCGAAGACAGACACTCAGTGGGCGCGGATGAAAAGGCCGAATGTCACAAAGGCACTCAGGTAAAAGTACAATGACGAACCAAATGAACCAGGGCAGACACCGTATTTAGCACACCGCTCTGAAACCCATGTGGACGCCGTTGTAGCCTGGCCAAGGTATTTATCGATGCCCTCAACCTTGCTTGCACTGCACGCCATCAAAGGGTCACTCCGGGGACTTGGCGATCACGGTTGACACACAAACGTATAAAAACCCACTGAGCCTCGCTCGTACTTTTTTCCTTTTTTTTCTTCACCTTTCCTCCACCCTTCCAACCTCACCTCTTCCCCTGCACCGCCTTGTACATTTCAGCTCTTTCTCTTTGCATTATCACTCCTATATACCCATCCATTTGTTTTCAAGCACTTTTATATTTTTTTCATATCATGGCATTCAGCCAGGAACACCCTCATTTGTCAGCCATTGGCGACTTTGTCTCCAAGATTGGGGACAAGATCAATGACTTCCTGGGCAAGGAGACCACCAAGGTCGAAGAGGAGGAGGTTGTCGAGGTCAATGATCGCGAGAACATCGTCGTCGACCCCCTTCTAGAGGATCAGGACCAATGTGACGACTGCAAGGTCGAAGCCGACCGTCAAGATTACAGCCTCATCAACCCCTCCAGTCAGTTCAAGTGCGGACCCATCCTTCGCTACCAAGATATCCACACCGCGCGTCGTCGCTGGATCGGATCAGTCCTTATTGTCACCGACAAGGAGGAGCAACCCCCTCGTCTCGTCCTTCGTGATCCCACCAAGGCTCGAGTCGGTTTCTCACACGCACGACAGCTCGAAAACTGGGAGGGCAACCGCTTCTACCGATACGACATCCAGTTGCAATTGATGGCTCATCGCGAGAAGAAGATCGAGTACTGGTTTGAGAAGGAAAATGGGGAGAAGGTGGCCGAGCCCCAAAAGTGGAATTTTTACGTCCCCGCGCTGGAGGAGGGCCACAACTGGGCCTTCTACTCCTGCAACGGCTTCACCTCCGATGTTGTTGATCCCGAGGGTGACCACCATGGCGCCAACCCACTGTGGAACGATCTATTGGCGGCCCATGACCAGAACCCCTTCCACACCATGATTGGAGGCGGAGACCAGATTTACAACGACGATGTCCTCGAGACGCCCGAGATGGTCGAATGGCTCAAGATGGACGGCGATGAGCGTACTGCGGTCGAGTTCAACAACGAGAAGCGTTATGCGGTCGAGAAGTACTACTTTGAGCATTATGTGCAGCATTTCAACACGGGTTCCTACTCCAAGGCTCTCTCGCTCATCCCCTCTGTCAACACCTGGGACGACCACGACATCATCGACGGCTATGGCTCCTACCCTCCCAAGTACCAGACCTGCGAGGTCATGCAAGGTAAGCGTAACACGAAAACTCACTCTTCTCAACGTTCATCATACTCGTTTCGAATTCGAGCTCAATCTCTCTCGTAACAAGGTTATTTTTTGAGTTTATATTTGCCTCGTTGGCAAAAGATATTAACCAAATCGCACTTGTCTTTTTTTGTTCCTTCCTCTGATAGGCATCGGTGCATGTGCGGCGAGATTCTACTTGCTCTTCCAGCAGCATGCCAACGCCAACACGACAGACCACGCTGGACTCCAAACCTCGGCCTCCGGCAAGGGCTGGAACTGCATCACCCACTTAGGCAAACGTACCTTGATGGTCTTGCCCGATACCCGTTCAGAGCGCTCCAAGCAGATGATTCTCTCGAACGAGACTTACGAAATGCTCGAGACCGAGATCCGCGCCAAGATGTTGCCAACCACCAAGCACCTTGTCATTGTCCTTGGGACCCCTCTTGTCTACCCTGCCCTGAAGCTCTTTGAGGAAGCTCTGGAGAAGCTCGGCGACAAGCTGTCGCGTGGAAGCGTCATTGGCAAGGTCTTTGGTAAATGCAAGGCCTTTGATAACGTCCTTGGACAGTTTGGACCCGAGCTCTTGGACGACCTGGTAAGCATATTGTTCTTATTTTTATTTGAGAATTTATTTCTTGCCAATTGATACGATGGGACATTTCTCTCTTTTCTCACACATACCGTCCCATTTGCTCACCATGTCTCTTGTTCTTTTTCATAACTCTTTTTCAGGTTGACTCATGGGCATGCACAATTCATACGGAAGAGAAAAGGAGGATGGTCGAGATGCTGCAGGCTATTGCTGTTGAGCGCAGTGTCCGTGTCACCTTTGTCGGAGGCGATGTAAGTGCTTTTTTTGGTTGCCATCACGGCTTAGTTTTTATTTGGTTGCAACCAGGATCACTACCCATTCTCACTCCGACATCGTCTTGTTTTTTACCTTCTTTTTTTCTACAGGTCCATGTTGGAGGCGCTGGTCGCCTGTTCGGCAAGACAAGCCAAGACCGTTTGACTGATCCTTATGACATGGTCCAGATTGTCTCTTCCGCCATTGTCAAGTAAGTCTCCCTTTTCCCATTTTTTATGTTTGTCTTATTTCACGATGATTGAGACAGCACTTTACGTATTTTTTTCGCGTTATGGTATATACCAACTAAGACCTTCCGTGGCTTTTTATTTGTCTTTCCAGTGCTCCTCCTCCTGGTGCTGTCATCCATGCACTCCACGCCAGCTCCAAGACCTACAGCCTGAACGATTCTACATCCGAACAAATGACCGAGGTCTTCCACAAGGATGTCGACGGCAACATATTGGAGAAGAAGAAGTTGCTCAACCGTCGCAATTGGTGCGAAGTCCGTGAGCTCCTTGGAGATCACCACCACCAGAAGCAGCACCAAGAGGACCAGCTGCTGTTCACCCTGCGTGTTGAGAACTTGGATCACGTTAATGTCACAAAGTACCCCATTGTCGTTGACTACCTGCATACCCGCGAGGATTAAAATGATACCTACCAGTAAAGAACATCAAGTACAAAAAGAAAAAAAAGAGAGAGCAGACTTGGATGTGATATTTACAATCGCGGTTTAATTACGTACAACGTTGGAGTTTCTACTTGATACTGTGTTTGCCTTGCTCTCTCAATCAATTATTGTAGGTGTTTGGTGGGGTGAGATGAGAGAGTGAAAGGATGATTCTTCGAGCTTTGGATTTAGAGGACAAGGGCCCCAATGAAGGCGGCAACTCCGAGGAAGACGGAGGACTCGGGGGTCAAGTAAGAGGCACCATTAGGCTTGTTGGTGGGGGAAGTAGTGGGAACAGAAGTTGTGGAGCCGGTGACAGTGGCAGTACCCGTGGCAGAGCCAGAGGCAGAGCCAGAGGCAGTACCAGTGGCAGTGCCAGAGGCAGTACCAGTGGCAGTACCAGAGGCAGTACCAGAGGCAGTACCAGAGGCAGTACCAGAGGTAGTGCCGGTCCCGTTACCGGCAGTTCCAACGTTAATGGTTCCGACGGCACCCTTGGCACAGTTGGCACCGACACCATCCTTGTAGTTGATGACACCGGCGGTGGGGAAGACGCGCAGGTAGGCCTGGCCGTTGGTCTTGGTACCCGAGTTGAAGCCTCCAGGGAGAGAGTTGCAGGAGCGCGCACCGGGGACAGTCTGGACGATGGCATGGTTGGCACCGTCGTTGTTGGGCCAGTTGACAGAGTCACCGGGGGCGATGTTGAGCTCCTGGGGGGAGAAGAGGCCGTTGACGACGTTGACGTCCCAGGTCTTGGCGGCAAGAGCGGGGGCAACAAAGAGGGCTGCGACGGAGAGGGCGGCGATCTTCATGGTTGTTATGTGTTGTGTGTTGTTAACGGTTGAAAGAGTACGAGCGAGAGTGCGATGGAAGAGTATTAGTTGTAGAGTAGAGTGTTGATAAAAAAAATCAGAATGGATGGAAGTCGTTGTGGTTTTATAGTTCTTTTTTTTTCCGTCTGTTCGGGGTTTCTGTCAATTGTTCATTATCCTATGTGTGTAATAATCTTCACCACGCAACACGCGACGTGCACCTCAGAAAAAAAAATGTTTCGAAGTTTTGGTTTCGGAGCCGGATGAATGAACCCTGCACACCATCGATGGCCACTCCCTCATATTCAATTGAACTGTAACAGCTTTCCTTCGCCCCATAATGGGGCACCCCACACACACAAAAAGACGACGACACAAGTATTTCGTGATTGTCACCTTTTTTTTTCTTGTCAGACATTTGTGTCAAATTGAAGAAAAAAAAAGATTCAGACATATTCCTTCACACTCAATGCACTAGCCTCAGCCACGAAAAAAAGAAGCTAGCCCGCCAGCTTCGGAAATGTTGCTGCGACTGTCTCTGGCTAAGCATTAAGAAACACTTTTTTTTTCCATTGCGCCAATGATTCCACACAGAACCAATGACGTCGTGAATTATTATTTTCTAGATCCAAACGCATGCTATTGCGGTTTCGTGTATGTTTGGTTGGGCGTTGGACACACTATTCTTTTTGTAGCAACCATGTAAGCAGCGCGGGATGGCTATGATCCGACCTATCGTTGCTCTCCCATAAGCCGGCGCCAAGGGAAAAAAAATACTCAGGACCTTGAGGTGAGCCTATTGCATCTCATTTATCCTCATGTACGCAATATTGAGAGATGATCAGGTAGCGGTTCGTGGGTACTTCATGAGTGACACAGCACAGCATGGATAGCTTCCTCCATTTTGTCACGATTATAGATTTGCGGGGGGGACTTTGCCAATTGCTTCGCCCAAGCGACCGTTGAATCATTTGTTGTGCGAATGAGTACAAAAAGAAATGGGAAGATCAGAGAGTGAGATACTTGCCTCCTCCATCCAAACTTCAGACCAGCAAACATCCGATTGTCGCTCGAGTTCTTCTGCTTGTTAGAATCCGTGGACGACGGTGAAGAGGGACAGATCGTGTACGCTTGCAACGTCTCCTACATATTTTTGTCTTTGTTCAAAATGCAGACAAAATTGTGTCAGTGCACGACCTCAAAATACACGTGCTTTTTTTTTTTTTTTTTTTTTTCGTACACAATTTTATTTCTCCAACAAACAGCATAGAGAAGATATTTGGGACTACAGACCAAACTCTTCAGTGCACCATCCACCAGTCGCAGTCCGGTCCAGAACTCAAAATACACGTGCACCTTTCAATACTCTCCGGTTAAAGCTAATCTCACGTGATACTGACTGGTTTGGTTCTCTGCAGTCTAAATACGTAAAGGAATAAGGGTTAACATCGAGCTTCTGTGGCGCAATTGGTTAGCGCGTCTGACTGTTAATCAGGAGGTTGGTGGTTCAAGCCCACCCAGGAGCGTTCTCTTTTGCTTTTGCTCCGGCTTTCTTCATGAATTGCCGCTTTACTTTTCTAGCAAAAGATGGTAAGCGTGTCTATGCTCAATGCAATTGTATCGCATCACTACACGTTCTCTTTTTTTTGTCACGTAATTGCGCGCATCGGTGAAGGGTGACGCGATGCATGGTTGAGAGAAACGTGCTTGGCCAATGGAGAAGTACCAGGAGTTGAATTTTTTTTGTTTGCAGTGCCGGTCGGTCCAGCCTTTTCTTTTTTGTTCGTGAACGTAAGAAGACGCGAGAGCAAGGGGAGTATTCGCCTACCATACTTGTTGTTTTTTTCTATTAAGAAGAACGACCGTTTTTACTCGTGGTCATGCTGTCTGTGCTTGTTTGCGTTTGTTTTACTTGCACCGCCTAACTGTAATAACCTTCCTGTTAAAATAAGCACAGAATGGTCAACAAACCCCCTTGAGAGTGTGAGCCGAAGGGAAGTGGCAGTGTTTGAGCTCTCAATAAAAAAATCATATAAAACGTCGCTACATTCCTCAGGTCAAACCTGTAAACCCTTCTTCAGAGCATTTCACAGCAACTCCTCTTTTCTTTCCCTTTATCTCCCATTCTCTCTTTCCACGTTGTCTTCTACCGCTTCACAAAAATGGCTTCCTCCGCGTTCCCACAGCCGCCCAAACTATCCCTAAGCACAATGCGAATCTCTTTCAGTGGTCCCGCAAAATGTTCCCTCATCTTTGAATCCCTTAAATACTGCCCCTGCCCGACCTGCGACCCCTGGACAACACTCGAGACACATCCCTTCAAGGACGACTTCCAACGCACCTACGGCATCATTGATCTTGAGGGGTACGACCGGGTTGTCTCGTTCAAGGTCTGCTGGGACCATCAGATGTTGATGAGCTTGAATGCGTACCCTGACCGCCAGACTGCCAGAGCCTCGGACCTGGACCTGTTTGTCTGTGGATGGAAACGGAATACCCGCTGGACGGATAACGTTGTGCTTGTGGGCAATATGTGTGTAGTTACGGTCGAGGTGTTTTATATCATTGCTGCCCTGGCATCCCCGCCTACGTCACCGCCCACGTTTGTCGCCCCTCCTTCGCCGCCCTCTCCCACGATCACTTTCCCCCGTCGCGGCCCACAGATGCTTGTTGTCGACCATCATTACTACGATACGGTTATCAAAGTCGAGGTGAATGACCGCTACAACCAGCAGCCTGAGGCCATTAAAGTCGAAGTTGGCGATTTCTATCAGCCCAGGATCACGCTCTCACACATCTCCATCTCCATGCCCATCCTACCGGTACCCCAGAAACGAGAAATCGACTGCGCCTAAGACTAATACACATCACCTTCACCTTCCTTCCCTCCTCGCCCTCGCTTCCCTAACGACGAATACCCCTGCGACCAATACAAGCCTCCACCTCCAACTGCCAAAGAAGAAAAAAAGATCGAGTGGGAGGAGTATCCACCCCCTCCCCCTCCTCCCCCTCCTCTTCCTCCACGCCGCCTTATCCAAGAAGATGCCACCAATATCATCAGCAAGTCGTATAAGCATGGTGGTGTTATCTGGCGTCGGCTCAATGCCCGTATCCGTTCTCGTCTCTGATACTCTTGATCCCTTTCATGTCCGCCAGTTTTGTACATACCCGTTCCGTGCATTTCCTGTATATATTCCCTTGTAATGACAACGAAAATAAAATAAAACCAAAACAAAACAAAAAAAGTAGTATTCTCCTCGTACGTTCATGATTACCAGGTTCTCGTTTCACAAGAATTACTTTATATTGTATGACAAAAGTGACGCTTGGTACATTGGTCTGTCCCTCTCAGCCTCTGTCACTGTCTTGTGCTGTGCAGAAAGAAAGAAAAAAAAAAAGTACCCCAGCCAATGTTCAATTGGCCACCATCACAAGCAAGTGGCAGTGCAAAAGTGACTAAAAATACATGTGGAGAAATGTGGCGTTACGAGGGAGAGAGAGTGAAAGAGATTTAACGTGCGTTTTGATGTGAACTGTCCTCGTCTCACCTTCTCACAAAACGACCCCTTTTTTTTTAGTCTCAACCAGCAATTAGACCCCTAGGTCAATTGGACCCCTACATCGATGACAATAGCAATTGGGAGTTCATGAATGTCTTGGTACAATTGCCTACAAGTGTCCATCTTGATTAGAAGTTAGTAAGAAATAGGCGATGGTAATCCACAAAGGTTCCTCTAGTCTGCTAGCGAGAAAGAATGGAGGGCGATGGCTCAGGGACATGTAATTGTTGCTATCATTGCTGAAAGTGACGAAAGAGGGGTTGGTATATTTTCCAGACAATGTCCCAGGAGCAAGGGTAGTAGTCATGATGATGATAATAATAAAACAAGTGATCGCTGTCGAAGCACTATTTTTACATGCAAAAAGATGAGCTGGGCAATGAGAACCACTATGTCATTAGATTGTGCTTTAATAGCGTACCCAGGATTGTGCCCTTTTGTGCTTATTAACAAGTATCAATGGCTATGCATCCAATGAAAATAGTTGTGTGTTTCTACGCCTCCTCTGCTATTATCTCACTCACAAGACCTAGCCACAATTTTTGTTCCATTTCCCGGCAAGCCTGCATCTGCAGCTGCGGCAGCAGCAGCAGCTAATTAAATTGTTGTACAGAAAATAAAGAGAGTTCTTTCCCGCCCTTCGCCCATCGCCCAGCTGACTAGATACTTGCTTGAAGGTTTTAAAATAATACAGGCGAGCGCGGGCGGTGCAACCCTGTTGAAAATAGAAGAGTATTATTACTGTACACTTGTTTGTTACCACAAGCATTTATGTTCCCAAATGGAGGCTCTCATTTCACCTTCGATCGCGCGCCCGCGGGGTTAGATGATTTTGTGGCAGTGTACAGGCGTTACCCAAGGTGCTAAAATATATAAAAGGGCGGACGTGGACGCGTTTATTGTTAACTACAACAACAACAAGAAAAATAGTAGCCAGCAAGGCACATCACTCACCAATAGCAACAACCGATACCACTATAACCAACAACGCCACAGCACAACTACACACCCTCTGCTTTCTACCTCCTTCTTTCTACCATCTTCACTCTCCTATCTACCCTTTCTACTCTACCCGCTACCCACTCCAATCTTCTTTCTTTTGTGTCTCTTCTTCCATCCTCCTTCTCCCTCTGCCACTTTTTCAACAGAGCATTCATCGAAAAAAAATGACCAACAACACTATGAGGATCACATACAGGGGCGCCACAACTTGCTACCTGGCCGTCGACACAATCTACAGCTGCGGTTGCCCGACATGCTCCTTCTTCACACAATTCGAATCCTACCGGTTCAAGGACGACAAGGACTGTAGCTACGCCGTCATCGCTATGGACGAATTCGAAAAGGTCCTCGACTTCCAGATCTGCCCCTCACACCAGATGCGCATGAACCTGGTCCCCTGGAAGGACCGTGAGGAAGCCCGGTCTGCAGATATGGATCTGATGATCCATGGTGGGCAACGCGACAGCAAGTGTGTGGATTCCGTTATTATTGATGGAGCGATTTGTCAATTGGCGGTTGAGATCCTCCAACCCCCTCCTCCCATGTCTCAGGAGCAGTGTTATCAACAGCAGCAGCTCTATTACCAGCAGTATATCCAGACGAACCCGATGGCACTCTAGCAATCCAATTTTTAAGTTGGACAGAATTAGGGTGCAGCTCTCTTTTTCATCCATCTCATAGACGCATCATTCTTCTACCCTCTCCATTCTCCATCTTTTCTTCTTTGGAGCCCATTGTATTTTTCACAACTAGATTGTACCATTACCATTAAAAACTTCCTTTTTATCTGAAAGCAAATGCATGTGTACAAGCACCTCTTGCAAGAGATGCAGACGGGTTCTGACAAAGACCTAATACGATGAAGGACAAGGATGAAGCATTAGGCGGACCATTTTTTTTTCTAATTGGGGCCCAAACCAGCAACGAAAAATGCGAGGCCGACATCGACACCCGAAGGCGGCCTTGCATACTTTCATTTCAATACCACGTTTGTGCCCCCTTTTTTTTTCTTTTCAGATTCATCCCCTTCGTCGTCTTCACCATCGCTATCATCTCCACTCTCACCGTTGTCATCAGTCCAAAACCCGCGCCATCACCCCCATCCTCTGTCTCTGATTCTCGAGACAACATCGCTGTAGATAGGATGGATGCGATCGCAGCATTAGCCAGAACCCAGCTTCCGAATCTTGACGGACATAACACCACTGCGCCAGGGAAGAGAATAAAAGTAACATCCTCCAGCGATCCCGTCCATATTGGCTGTAATAAACATGGCAAACATTTTGGTCTCTTCTATATCTGCGCCCTCGATCAAGCATCGTATAACTCCACCATTGCTGCCCATCCTCTCTTTCTCTCTGCTCCTTTTTTTTGTGCGTCGTGGCAAGAAGAAAGCAGGCCAGGTCTAGACCCACACACACATCCATACCCCCCAAAAAAAAGATCGCAGGACATGGTTGTAGGGAAGAGTATGCAAAGTGATAAAGATATGAAATAGGAGGTATCTGCAGAGGCGGCAGGAGCAGACTGTGCTTATGAAATCGAAAGAGCTGCGGTGAAAAAGGAGGTGTAGTGAAGCTTGAGTGGATTCGGAGATGGCAAGAGTTCTTCATCCTGTTGTGAATACCTCTTCAAACATTTTGCTGCAAGGATCAAACAAAGCAAAAAAAAAAAAATAACACGCATTGTCTGCGCGCGACACTGAATCAGCATCACATCCAAAGAGAAGCGTCCAAGCCAACCTGAGCAAAAGTCTACTACCTATGTTCAAGTACAACGTTGGTAAAGAAAACATTTACCTTTTCGTCTTCGATAATAGCCTTGAACAAACTAGGAGAAGACAGGATGCTGTTCCTCTGTTGTGATATCACTGCGCAGAGGAGATGCAAAATAGCGTCTTCGCCATTTTTTCTTGGGAGAGGAATGAAAAATGGAGCAGGTGATGGCGAAGATTTGTTCAGATTCCAGAACCACCACCCTTTTTTCTTTGCCAGAAAGCTGACTGACTGCTCTTGTTGAGGTGTCTGACCAATGATTTCTTTCTCACTCCTTCTCACCATCAAAAAAGCAAGGGGGTTTCGCCCGAGTTCAGTATATACAAAGGAGTTTATTCGTGTAAAACTACAATCATGAAGAGAAGAACTGAGAATCGTGAGGGTATGAAGTGGGACATGAAATGGGCATGAAAAGGGGTTTACAAAAGAAAGGAAAGAAAAAAAAACTACAACCAAGTAACTAACAACCAAAGAAGAATACCTTCCCCAGGTCGAGGGTAAGCTCAAAAGCTGCCTCGACTAACGTTTCCTTGACGACATCATAAAGCATAGAACCAGCCACCTCAGAAATATTCCTCGAATGTCTCTCCTCTACCTGCTGTTGCTGATTGCAATGCTGCTGGCGCGCAAAACACTGCTGGTAAAAGACCGGCGCCCATTGGACCGGACAAAAGATCTCAACCGAAATCTTGCACATTTTCCCCCCGACCACCACCATATCCAACCACTTTGTATTCCGTTTCCATCCACAGACGTACAGGTCCAGGTCCTCGGCGCGGGCACACTCGAGTTCAGCCCAGGGGATGAGGTTCATCATCATCCGGTGTTCCCAGCAGATGTCAAAGATGATAGTCTTGTCAAATTGGTCAAAGGGGATGATCCCGTAGGTGTTACCGGGCGAGTCTAAAAATTCAATGGTTTCGCATTTGGTGAAGACGTCGCAAGTTGGGCAACCGCAGTCGACGGTGGTGGAAAAGATTAGGTAGCACTTCATGGCGCCCCTGAATGTCATGAGAGAGAGAGAGAGATGGAGAAGATAGTGTGTTAGTTTGTTTGTTTGTTTGTTTGTTTGTTTGAATGGATGGGAGTAAGAGACTGGTAAGTGAGTTTGAGAGTAGGGTTGGTGGACAAGTACCTGAGTGAAGGAGATACAAGAGAAAAAAAAGAGGCGAGGGAGAGCACCATCCTTTTATATGTTCTTGTGAAAGTGCAATGCCGACGGTTAACCCACTACATTAGATGAGGGCGAAGATAAAAAAGTGACAAACATAAAAAAGTGACAAACAAACAAAAAAAAAAAACCAAGCAATTGGACGGGCTCCCTCGTTCGTTGCTGGAGTTTGGGCAGTGCAAAAAAGAGAGAGAGGTCACACCCCTCGAAAGTTACGTTGCCTACTCTGTCTACATTGCATCTAGACTTGGTCTGTTCCTGCAGGTATAAGCAGTGTCCAGTAATGATGTTTGTGCACCATTCCTTTTTGTTTGCTCATGCACCCTAAAGACCCAATGAGGGAGCTGATGCAGGTTTCATAGGAAGCTTTGCCACACTCGCCAATGTTGTCCGAGCGACGTAGAGTCGATTCAGGTCTAGATCTCACCGTCAAACTCTCGACACCCCGATTCGAGAACACGAACCAACAAGTGTACATATCACCCTACCTTTGTAAGGATTCATGAATAGAACTCGTTTTGTTGATTTTCGCTCAATGGTTGTAGTTTGTTCTTCCTTGTCTTGTTGACATGCACAGCACAATGTCAGTCCATCTAACCCTCCTTTACACACATAAAGCGCTCTTTCGGTTTGTACTGGAAATAGCTCGCCTAGGCGAATAAACAAAATCCCTATGCTCGGTAAGATGTGGCAATGCTCTGTTTTGATTTTGGTCTTTCACGCACGAACAAAGAAAAACAAGATTCGTGTTTCGAACACACACACACACCAGCAGAATGTGGCAGTGCTTACATTGCACTCACAAGAGCACAGAACCTCTCTTTGACCACTTTCTCGCCCCATCTCCCTAGATACCTCCTTTTTTTTTTCTTTTTTTTCAGCTGTTGGACTCTATCCGATAAAATGACTTGAAAGACATCATAATATCGTTACGATTGTAAATAATGTCGAAAAACCTTGTTGGCATATCTGAACTCTTCTTGCTTCGCCTTATTTCAAACCACCGTTTATCTTCTACCCGACGCCCTGGGAGACCTACACATTATTGTGCTATGTAGCGGGATCTCCACCGTCATCAATGAACTTTAGATATCCTTTTCCCCACTTCTCCATTCGTTTGATCCGCATTGACCCCATGGTGTGCGCTCATTATTGCACCTCCCAGTATGCCACTCGCCTGCCCGTATGCCACTCACCTACCAAGCAGAGCAATACCCCTGCTCTGGGCCGCCGCTAAAGCATATATCCACGATATTTACAATGTACTGACAGTTGGATCCCTCGCGGCGGTTTCATACTTCAACAAAGACCAGACCTCCCGATATGTGAAAGCTACATACATTCCATTGAACGATAAATGCTGACTGTCAATTCCTTTAGTAGGTAAGGTCTGAGTTGCCCCGCTTTCTTGCTGACCTGTATCCTGCTCGCTCCGGAGAATAATATAGTATCAAAGTAGGAGCAAAAACCACACATTGAATCCTTGTATTGAATCGAGTGTGTTTATTGTCAGGTAGTGGTGGTGGTGGTGATGGTGGAGACAGGGTTGCTAGTTTGGCGCGTCAAACGGCGGCGTTTTGTGTTGTGTCGGTATGTAGAAAAATGGCGATTTGCCTCCATTGTTTCCTTGGCGCGCTTGCCCCCTCCCCTTATCCCGCCTCCGTTGTTTTCCGCAGACTGTATCGTGCCCTAGATCTATTTGCTGGATTCTGAAGATGAGCTTCCCGATGATGCTGAAGAGGCGGCAGAGTTGGGGAAAGGGTTATCTTTCCGGGCGTCCGCGAGCAATGTATCCAGCTTCTTTTCCTCCAGTGTTTTCTATCGATTTCACAATAATAAAGATAGGGTTAGCTTTGTTGCCATCGCTGTTTTTTTTTATATTTGGGGTTCTCAAACGAATGCATGTCTGCTGTGAAAGATAAAAGGTATACGAAGAAAATGGAGTCGTTGTCTTTACCATGAGACATTCCTTATACTTGAAAAAGAGATCGTCGCATTTGGGAGTGGCATCGCCCTTAAGGAACTTTTCCGAGTACCACGAGTTGAAGCAGGCATCGTACTCCTGCTTGATCTGTGTGCACTTTTCTCCGATGCTTGAGGACATGGTCGCTTTTGTTGATGTTGGGTATGTGTTTGAAAGATGGGTGAGTGCGAGTGTTCGGGAAAGTTGATTAGCTTGCCTCAAAAAGGGAAAAAACACACCCGCCCCGTCCAAAGGACACTTCGTGACTGTTCAACAATGGGCACATCGGATGGAAATCGGATGGAAATTAAGCCGTGGATTTTATTCAATATCTTTGCCGATTACTTGGAAAAGCCCGCGATGCCAGCTTGGCGGTCGTTAGCGTGGATCTGGTTCTGCAGACGGCGCTCCATATCAAAAAGCGGCTTGAAGAGCTCGACCTCAGCCGGGATGTTGACATTCAAGGACTCGATCACAATCCGGACCGCAGACATGACCTCCGACATTGTGGGCGTCGGGCGAGTGGTGGTTGCAACACTTTCTGCTGCTGCTGCTGCTGCCGATACTGCTGCGACAAGGTCAGTGTTGCTGCTGCCTCCTGCAATAGATACCGTAGGCTGCTGGAGGATTGTCTGCAATTGCTGTTGTTGTTGTTGTTGAAGCTGATGCAGTGCCTGCGCTGGATGGGAAAGAAGTGCTGGCGACTCCGTAGGCGAAACCCGATCTCCTGCCGCTCGGGCTCGGAAGTTGTTCAGCCCTGGAGTTGCTGGATGTATCTGATGTTGTGCTGGCTGCTGCTGCTGTTGTTGTTGGAGGTTCAGCGACTGGAAATGTTGGTCTGCTGCGTCTACAACATCTTCCATGTGTGCTGCTGCTGCCGCGTCTGCCGTCTCTGCCGTCTTGGCTGCTTTGCCGCGGCGGCGAGGGGTGGTGGTGGTGGTGGTGGCGGAAGCGCCACCGCCGCGTGGCTTCCTAGCCCTGGTTTTCTTGACAGGAGTTTCAGGAACCGGCGGAGCTGCCAGGACCTCGGGCATATCTGGAACAGCGGACTGGGTCGTAGAGTATGAACTCGTGCTAGCGACGGCATGAATGACTTGATGGTGAAGGTCGGTATGCATGTCAGAGAGTGCAGAGTCTATCTCGATATCGCCTCCATGATCCTGGTGATCGTGGTCATGGTCCATCAAGCTGTGCTTGTTCCGCTGCGGCTGAGTGAGTACTCGCGGGCTGAAGCGGGGTTGCAAGACGCGCTCCACCAGCTGTTGGTTGGTCGAAAAGGGCCTGAAGGATTCCGATGCTGTAAATTCGTCCTCGGGCATCGCTTGAATAGACGTCGCTGGATTCAAATTTGCTCCAAGCAATCCGTTACGCTTGGTGAAACCAGAGACCCAGCCATTGGAGAATGACGGCAACGCAAAGGTCTCCCTCCCGGGCATGGACCGGATGTGTGTTCCCAAATCAAAGCCTTTCTTGGTGATCATCCTGTATGAGATATGGATCTCTCGCTCCTGGCACTCGCGAATCCACTCCAAAAGGGCATCCTCCAGTTCAGGGCAGAGAACCGCCCGTTTTCGTTGCACTTGAAGCTCCAGGTCGTTCATGCTGCTGTAGATCTCGTTCTTGTGGACGATGCGCGAGAGGGTACCCATGGCTGGCGCGCGAAAGAGATTATACTCTTTCTGGGCCCACAGGCCGAGGGCGGCAAGGGTCATCTCTGGGTTATCGATTCGCATCTGACAAATAGCCTTGCGCTGATTGTTGGTCAGGTTGACGTTCCGTCCCACGGCGCCGTTGCTGCGAAGGGGAGGCGCTGCTCGGATGGTTGCACTTCCTCCAGCCCCATCAATTTCCTTGTCATCTTCATCTTCGTCATCGTCCTGCTCGTCATCGTCCTCTTCGTCGTTGTCGTTGTTGTCGTCGTCTTCATTGCTGGCTGCGTTGCTGGCTGCGTTGCTGGCTGCCGGCTGACCTTGCTCTGTCTGAAATTGTTGCAGCTGATGCTGTTGTTGGAACTGCTCCTGTTGATGCTGTTGAAGCTGTTGTTGGTGCTGCAACTGCAGTTGCTGCTCGAGATGTTGGAGCTGTTGGTGTTGGTCGAGAGGTGTGTGGTCGAGGTGGGAGTGATCGACCGCGGATGCGCTAATGGCGATCTTTTGAGTATTTGCCTGGGATCGACGAGGCATGACGGCGGTGGAGTTGATGGTGGCGGCGGCTTAGAGGGTTCCCTGTGTAAATGATGAGTCTGGGTGGAGCTGCTTTTTCAAAGATGGAGGGAGGGTTGGATGAAGAGGTTGCGAGAGAAAGGGAGAGAGAGAGAGAGAAGATTTTTGACAGAAACGAGGGGTGGGCATTTGAATTCAGTTTAAAGGGGTTTTATTTGTTAAGTGGCGTTCAATAATCTCTCAATCGAGGAGGTAGATTCTAGATCCGATATCGCCTACAACCCAATCCATGCCCTTGAGAAGGTGCGCGCCTGTCTTTGCACTGCATCCGAGGATAGCCCAATGATGGGTTGCAATCGAATCCAGTTCAAGTGCCTAATCAATTGAGCGAATGCATTGTTAACCTCGGAAGAGAGAGAGAGGGATGTACACCCAGAACAGAACACGGATTCAACAAGTAAATGCTCCTTACCTCTCGGATCTGGTCGTCTGTTAATGCTCCAGGGAGATCCTGCTTGTTTGCAAACACCAGCAGTGATGCACCCGAAAGACGCTGTTGATACAATCAGTAACGCGAATATAAAGTCAGTGATAGTTATAAGGCGCATTGAGGTAAATCAATTGTCATAATAACTGTACACGTAAATAATCGAGATGTGTCTCTAAGCATACCTCTTCCTGGAGCAACTCATGCAGCTCTTTTTTACAATCATCCAGACGCAACCTGTCTGCAGAATCTACCACCCAGACAAGACCGTCCGTTTGCTCAAAGTAGTTTCTCCAGTATGAACGAATCGACTTTTGTCCACCAACATCCCAAATGTTCATCTTGAACCTACGTATCATCGTTTTGTTCAGGGACGAAGGGGTTAGAATGTGTGAATGAATGAAGTGAATACTCTCTGTCTCCGATCTATTCGACCTAGGATGCCATGACGCTAAACAGCCAAGGTACAGGAATAAAACATATTGAGCAACCAGGCTCGCCTTTCTTACCCGTTGTGCTCGAGGGTTTTGATATTGAAGCCGAGGGTGGGAGAGATGGTGTCAATGTCCTCGCCGTTGATTCGCTTTAGAATGGTGGTCTTGCCGGCATTGTCGAGACCGAGCATCAACAGACGAATCTCCTTTTCCTTCTGGCGGTTCTTTTTGAGGATGGTGAGGAGGCCCATGTTGTGATTTGCTGTAAGTGTGTTTGTGTGTAAGGGTGAGAGTGGCGCTTTTGTGACGAGAGTGATGAGCAAGCGAGACAAAGGGAGTGGGTATATGTGTGGGTGTGGGTGAGAGAGAGAGTGTGTGTGTGTGTTGTTGAGAGTGATGTGAAGGAGAAGATTCCCTTTCTCTGTGGTGCCTGGGAAGCCCTTTTTTATTAGAGGGCGTGACTGAACCTTAGTTGTTGAGGAAAGTCCATAGTAAAATGCCGCGCATCGCCCTTGTAGAGGGGTTATTTCTGCGCGGTAGATTTGACTGGACCAGACATTGGCTGATGCTCATACACACCCTTCACAGATGACATATACACCGTGCTAGAGTCTTAGGAAAGAAAGAAACAGGGCTCGTGCATGGTATTCATTCTAATAAGTTGTTCTTTCATCGAGGTCTCTGCATCCGCCTAGAGTAAATGTAACTCGATAAGGTACGTCAAATGCTCATTGTTCGCTCGATAGATAAGCAGGACGTGTCTGTATAGCAGACATGAACGTTCTCAGGCAATTGGGTTGTGTTTCCAATAGAAGCAGTGCGGATGCGGAGAGAGCGTCGGTTGAACTGTTCATGATGGCACACGTGCTTGTACGGTCACTTTAGAAGAGAACACTTTATTTCTATCGGGCATGATCGAAATGGCGAGAATGGCCCCATGTCCTTGAGATAACCAAGAACAAGAAGAAATGAAAAGAAATGAAAAGGTGGAGTTGGGGCAAAGTGAAAAGTGGAGCGAGAGAAGGGGGGATGGCTGGTGCAAAGACGATTTCACCCGAAAAGTGGCGCGACCGTATGAATTTAATATGTGGGTGTATTGTAGCACTTTTTTTGTTGGAATGTGTGCGAGATGGATAAATGACCTTCAGGGCTCGTTTGGGTTGAGGCGACAAAGATAATTTTTGATGCGATGCGATATGAATTGACAAGGCGGGAATAATGCATGCATCTCCCCCCGATTGAGGATTGAGGAGCAGTTTTAAAGAAAGAGGGGTGACAAGGTTGTTGTTGTTGTTGTTGTTGTTGTTGTTGTTGTTGTTTGTTTTGATATTTGCTGTATTGGCACGAGGGTCCAGATGCCAGAGATGTGTGTGCCTGTTGGAAGGAGTCAGGGATAGATCGATCTGATTGGCGCAAAGTGTGGGGAAGTCAGTCACGAATAACATGCAACAATATGTAAGTTTTTGTGCAAATCCCATGTATCGATCTTCCGACTCACATTTCTTTCTTTTTTTCTTTCTTTTCTTCTCTCTCTCTTCTTCCTTTGCACATTCACTTCTTGACCCCCGACTCTCTCCTCACTCCCCCTTCCTCCCTCCCTTCCCTTTTTTAACCTTCTTCATAATGCCCGCTACTCAACAGAAGGCTGCTCCTCCCAAGCGTAAGGAATCGTATCTCTTCAGGCACATCGTCAAACATCATTAAAAGACACCATCAATTCCTATCAGCGAGGGAATCTTATCGCCCGCCCATTCATCATCATTCCCGATAAGCAATTATCGAGACACAAACCAATCTACCCAACAACATCGACAATGATGCTGCAGATACATTGGAAGTACGGACAGACGGACTCTGATCTGCATTGAGACACCACCATTCTCCGTCCTCCTCTGTGCACTATTTCGACCAAACAAGCATGAAAAATAGAAAGTGGGAACACTGATCAGCTCATGACCTCGTGGAATTGAATCTCCCTTACAACGCTGAATGCCGTAATGACTGACATCCCTTTCTTCATTCCACTTTCTTTACGACCCATTTTCTAGCCCTGCCCTTCCAGTGGCAGTTTGTTGCCGGAGCCGTTGCCGGTGTCTCTGAGATTCTTACCATGTATCCTCTTGATGGTGGGTGCTACAGGAGCCTAAATTTTGACCTTGCCTGAATGCCCTTTTAATCCTAGTGCATCGGAACCTTTGCGAATGCCCAAAGGGTGCGATTTCCATTCTGACTGACCACATTTCTTTCTATAACCTCAACTGTATGGGTCATGTTAGTCGTCAAGACCCGTTTCCAGCTTCAGGTCGGAACCGGAGGTGCTGACGGATACAGCTCCATTGGCGACTGCTTCAAGAAGATCATCAAGAACGAAGGGTAAGCGCGCATGCTCACTCACAGGCGGTGGATGGTCTCATGTGTGTGGTGGACTTGTGCGAATGCGTGCTCGTGAGCCGATGGTGGAGTGGGTGCTGTTGTATGACCATGTGGATATTGGTACACCAACTCAAGGAGAGGGCATTCGGCAGGCTTCTTCCGTCTTGGATCACGGTCCTCATTTCTTCGTTGCATGATGCAACCGAGCAAGAAAAAGAAATACAGGAGCAGCAGCAGGGGCAGAGCAATGTCGCATTGATCTCTTTTGTCCGTCCGTGTTTGTTCACTTCTCATGGAGCGGACAAAATAGAAGAAAGAACGGAAGCCAAGAGTGGTTGTTTTTCCTTTTATTGCGAGCCGTGAATGGGATGAAAGAGGAACGAAGGAATGGAATGAAGGGAGGGATGTTTTATCCTTTTCGCCTGTGTATGCAGTTGAGAGCAATCAGAAACTAATGAATGGTGTCACACCTACTCTTCATCTCTCTCTCTGTCTTTCATGTGGTGGCGGATCGAATTATGTTTTGTTTCTCTTTCTTGCAGGTTCGGCACACTTTACCGTGGAATCATCCCTCCCATCATGGTCGAGGCTCCCAAGCGTGCCACCAAGTTTGCCGCCAACGAACAGTACACCATCCTCTACAGGAGCATCCTCGGCGAGGATGTCAACAAGCAGGGTCTCTCCATCTTGACCGGTGTCAGTGCTGGTATTACCGAGGTAAATCCTACGTAAAAAAAAAAAAAAAAAGAGAAAGGCGGCGGAGATTCCGCTTCAAATTGGATTTTTGACTCTTCTTCCCACACTAACTTTTTCTCCCACCCATATCACACCTTTGATACATAGGCCTTCCTCGTTGTTCCTTTCGAGCTGGTCAAGATTCGTCTCCAAGATAAGGCAAACGTAAGGAAAAGTGAAAGAGAGAGCCTTTTTTGATTCATGATGACACGTCGGCGTTCAAGGAGACATCCATGTATTCAAAAGTCATACGCCCATGTCATTGAGCTGATGTAGAAATTGAATCTCACAAATGTGATTATGGGGCTTATTCAACCTTCTTTTTACTAGGCTGGCAAATACAAGGGCTCTTTGGATGCATTGACCAAGATCGTCAAGGCTGAGGGTACCTTGGCTCTGTTCAATGGTCTCGAGGCTACTCTCTGGCGCCATGCCAGCTGGAACGGAGGATACTTCGGATGCATTCAGGGTGTCAAGAACATTATTCCCGAGGCTGAGGTACTTTTTTCTACCAAGCAATACTGTCATGTTTAGCTGAGCCAAGGAATGTATGTATGCATGGACCAAGGAGCAGAGCAGAGAGAGAGCAAATTCCTAACACCTCGCCCAATTTGTTGCACGTTATCGGATAGACTTCCAACGGAAACTTGGCCCGTAACTTTGTTGCTGGTGCCGTTGGAGGTACCTTTGCCACCATGTTGAACACTCCCTTCGATGTTGTCAAGACCCGTATCCAGAACCAGGCCAAGGGATCCGTCTTGAAGTACAACTGGACCTTGCCCGGTGTTGCCATGGTCTATCGCGAGGAAGGGTACGTGTCATTGAAGTCGCTTTTTTTTGATATTGACAAAGCAGGGGCTTATCTCAGAAGATGGAGGAGACTCGCATATCATCCAGACAAGGTCTCTAAACCAGCCTCTTTATCTTTATCTTTATTCGCGCTTTATGTTAGATTCCGGGCGCTCTACAAGGGATTCGTGCCAAAGGTTCTCCGTTTGGGACCTGGTGGTGGTAAGTTGTCGTGTGTTTTGTGCTCGATCTCCAGTTCGAAGGTGTACGCGTGTTTTTTCTGGGAGCCAAAGCCTATTACTGATTAGCCTTTCTTCCCTCTGATGCATATGTGTATAGGTATTCTCCTTGTCGTCTTCGATACCGTATCAACCCTGATCCGCAAGCACGTTCTTCACGAGAACGTTTAAGTGCATTTTTAATGAAACCATAGACTTGAATTTTTTAATACGACCTGTTCAACTTCGACCGTGACGTATGCGATCACGTTTTTTTCCTTTCACAAAGGACCCTTGACCACTTTTTTAATCAGACAGTACTGTCCTTCTGGTGGAGACGTGGAAGGGGGTGTCAGTCTCCACCACTTTGCGCCTTTTTTCTCCTGCGACCTCTCGTTTCTTTTCTTTTCTTTTCTTCTCTTCTTTGTTCACCCATCCTACTTTTCCCATTCCTCATTGACGTTTTGTGCGTGTTTTTTGTTTGCACCCCGTCTGTACCCTTTCTGTGCCCTTTGTTTGTTTGTTGTTTTCTGTGCCTTACTTTCTTTCGTCGTTTGTCTTCTTAATTCCTTACTCTCTTTCACTTTGTGCCTCTTGTCTGTCTGTCTTTTTGAACATTCATTCTCTCTGTATTCAGTGAATTAGTCTTCTCTCTATCTCTATCTCTCTCTCTCTCTCTCAACCTTCATTCCTTTCAAGCACTTTTTATACTCCCTCTTTTACCTTTTCTTTTTTCATTTTGTTCAAATACACCAACAAGGAAAGAAAAAAAAATGTCTGCCCCAGCTGCTCGCAGGACCGGAAAGGTCAAGTTCTTCAACAGCCAGAAGGGATTCGGCTTTATCATTCCCTCAGAGAGCTCTGAGGCTGCCCCAGTGGACGAGAGTAAGTTGCAATGCCCATAACCCCCCCCCCCCCCCCCCCCCCTCCCTTTTCTTTGATTCTCTCCTCCACAACTCCGTTCTTCATTTCGTGTCAATCGGCCGTCATTATCGAACTCTTTTGTGGGCCCGTGGAGAACAGATCCGATTTACGTAAAAGGGAGAGACAATAGGGAAAAGGAGAAGATATAAAATAAGAGTTGGGCGTTTGGGGACTAGGTTGGGTGGAGGAGCCAGGTAGGAAGCATGCGATATGCGATGTGATGCGATGTGCTGAATGGAGAGAAAAGAGTGGGAGGAAATGAAGAAGTACGACCAAAACAAGGAATTTTTTAAAAAAAAAAGGGCTTTGAGCTCTGCGGTTTGTTTTACCCGCCTCCACACGATTGCATATCTGGGTTTGGCCTGGAGTGAACAAGAACAGCATGGTATCCACATCCTTTTTTTCTTTGTCCCCTTTCTCTTGATGTTGTCCCTTTGCCCTGTCTTTTTTCAAAGCACACAGAGGCGAGGAAAAATGAAGCAGGGGCTCGTAAAGTACCCCATCCCTTTGTTTTCTCTCTTTTCTCTCTTTTCTCTTTCTCCAATTTCGTTAGTTCCTTGTTGGATTTTCTTTTTCTCCCCCCTCTTTTTGCAAGTCTCGTTTTGATGTTGAGTCCTCCCCTATTTTTTTTTTGTATTCCAGTCGATCTTTAACGCTTTGCACCTTTTCTTTGGTTCAATTACGGCCGCGAGAGTATGTGCGTGCCCAAGAGTGCTTGTACGCAAGGATAGTCTGAGTGAGCGTTGTGCCATTCGCCAGATTGATAAATGATGCTTGGGCGGCAATCTGATGATCGTGCATCACACTTCACAAATCACTTTAACAAATCACTCTTCCATCATCATATCTCGTCGAAGGAAAGGGAGGGAAAAGGAAGGGCAGTGGAAGGAAGGAGGGAAAGGACAGCACAACAAAACTGTTTCATTCACTGCAGGAAGAGAGAATTGAGGGGGGAGAGATGAGAATGGAGGAAAAGCAAAGAGGAGACGCGGGCTCTGTGCGCAATTACCACTGTTGGCTCGATCATCATCGCCTCTCTCTTTCACAGACATTTTCAACAGCTGCTCTTTTCACACACATTGATCACGTACATGAAATAACCTTGTCGTGCGTGTCGTGCCACAATCTTTGTGCTTATTCAAACAAAACCTGCGCCCGGTTATTGCGAACTGCGAATGGCTGCAGGCTGACCTGTCGTTGGTATCGGCGACTTTTTTTTTATAATATTCTCTTGCCTGAGGTCATAAGAGAACGGCTTACGTTGCAAGTAGGGTGTTCGGCACCTTAGGGGATCGTTATCCGTTTGTCTGTCTGCTCAAATCAATTCCATACTAGGATAGATTAAAAAAAGGAAAAGAAAGAAAGAAAGAACCCCATCTGTACTTCGTGTTAATGAATCTTTACTCTCAATCATTCTTTTTTTTTATTAGTCTTTGTCCACCACACCGCCATCCACAACGATGGGGGTTTTAAGAGTCTTGCCGAGGTACATTCAAGGCGAACGCCCACTTGCGTTATATCGATCCACAGACAACAGCAATAGATCTAACCACCATCTTTATTTTCTTGTTCGATTAGGGTGAGGATGTCGAGTACGACATTGTCCCTGGACCCAAGGGCATGCAGGCTGCCAACGTGACAGGCCCCGGCGGAGTGTCTGTTCGTGGTGACCCCAACGTCGGCGGAGGTGGTTTCCGGTGAGTCTCATCGCTTTGTGACAGATCGCATGGTGGAATCACGATCAGGATTATAAATCATCATTTGCTAACTGTCAACATCTCATCCTCTAGTAATAACGGTGGTCGCTTTGGAGGCGGTGGATACGGAGGCGGATATGGAGGCTTCGGTGGACCCAACGGTAAGGCGCGATTGCAACATATATGTTTGCCAAGAACTATTCATGGGTGGCCAGTTTGGATATTTGGTTACAATACAGATCTCATCTCTGACTGACGTGCTGAACTGATGTTTCTTTGCCTATATTAGCTTATGGCGGTGGATATGGTGGTATGGGCAATGCTCCTCTTGGTGCATATGGACCCGGCCACGGCCAGCAGGGTTACGCCCAAGGAGGTTACAACCAGCAGCCAGGTTTCGCTGCCGGAGCTGGATTCCAGCAGGGCAGCAACCAGTTCCAGTATGGCGGTTACCCTCAAGGGGGTTACGGCGGCGGAGCCAATGCAGGAATCCAGGGACAGGGCCAACAGCAGAACACCCCATCGTCATTCGGTCAACAGAACACTCAGCAGGGCTATGGCCATGCTGCCGGCGGCCAAGGTGGCTGGAACGCCGCTGCCCCTGGTGGCGCCGCCCAGCAGCACTAAGCGCTATGATCTCTTAGATCTACTGTTTTGTCCCTTGTTCGCTCTTTTTTGTGGACAAGGTAGAGTGGTGCTGTCTCCTCATACGGTCTCTCCTCTTTTGCGAAACCATTGACCCCACCCATGCACCCTTCCCATGTACCCTCTTTTTGCCATTCAATCTCGTTCGTTCGCTTGTACGATCGATCGTTTTCGTTTTGATACTCATTTGAAAAATAAAAAAAATGATGATATCACCATTTTCCCGCTCTGTCTTGCTTGCGCTGGTCTTCCTAGCATTGGCATCGAGGTGTTACAGAGCTGTCAACATGTATCATTTCTTGTCTGGTTTATTTCGAACCAGCTATTGCTTGCGCTTATACTTCTTGGTGGGACAGGAAGGAGAGGAACCCCCAGCGTCGATGAGTTGTTGACAGCACTGTTGAAGTTGCTCGATGACGTGTTGGCAGCGTGATTCCTGGTAGTTGTTTTTTGTGAGGCAGGATTGGATTGCGCATGCCTGTTTGTGACATGGCTGTGATCCGGAGTTGGAGTTGTTTTGGGTGTCTGGTGATGGCATTGTTGTGATGTTGGTTGGATGTGATGTTCTAGGGTGGGTAAGTAGCAGATCGGACAGTTGGATGCAAGGTGAATGCAGAGAGGCGAAGGATGTGAAGTTGGTAGGAGGAAGAAGGAGAGAGGTCAAGCAGGTATCCTGTCTGAGACGAAGAGAGTGTGCAGTCACGGTGATGTGTGGTGATTGATGGGTTGATATGATACTGAGTGTATGAGTGTATGGTGCCAACTGTAGGTGAATTGTATATCCCTTTGCTGCATGCAGCAGCAGAAGCTATTTCCGCAGAGTGTTTGTTGTGAATGTTGTTTGTCGTCTGTTGTCTTGGCCAAGTCTGTTGTATGTGGTGATTTGATGCGGTGTACCCGAGTGCGGTGCGGCTGTTGACGATCTCCTCGTTGTTTGTCTCGGTTTCCTTTCGCCGCCTTTTATCCCTTGACATCGACGACAGACTGCTCCGCTCGACCTGGCATCTTACTCGTCTCTTGTAGCTCTTGGGTGTCGTCCACCCATTTTGTAATTTGTCACCCTCAACTACTGCTACTTCTTCTCTGTCTCTACTACCCCTACTCCCGCGCCGCTTCGCTCTTTCTATTCTGCTTCGCTCTTTTTCTTCTTGGTCAATTTTAAGTGTTCAACAGCACGACCCCACTCGCTGTTATTTTTTCCCTCCCTTTTTTAGTCTCTCTCTCTTTCTCTCTCTTATTCTCTCTCTCTCCCTGCTGTTCTTCCTCTCTCCCTTTCCACTCACTCTCCCCTCTCTGTCCCCCTCCCTCCCTCTCATTCTGCGTCTCCCCTTCTTTCTTTTTCTTTTCCATTGTCGCTCACTTCCCTTCTTCTCTCTTTCCTTTTTTGCCCCCACCCCCTCTCCTCCTTCAGCTTTCTTCCGACCCGTAACGAATCCACCCCCCCCTCCTCACTCTTACACTCTCACTCACACTTGCACAACACTGTAACGACCATCGCATTTGCTCCGTTATTACACTTTGCCACGAGGTAAAAATACCATCTCCCCTTCCTCCTCAACACATTCAACAAAACACACAATCGCACCTTTGTTATTTTGTACTTGTTCACCACGCTCCCTTCATCGCCTTTTGTCTGTCTGTCTGCCTGTCTGTCGGTCTGTCTGCCTTTTTGGTCTGCTACCCAGACACCACCAAACGACTGGGCCCACTGGACCCTGTGTCTCATAAATTGCATTCTCTCGCTTTTTATATCCCTTGCTGCTGTTCTCCTTTTCTTCTTCCTTTTCCTTCTCTTTCTTTTCTTTTCCTTCTTCCTTTCTTTCCTTCAACCCAGCCAAGTGGGCTGCGTGTGTTCATTTGTCCGGAACCAATACAGCGCCGTTAACACACTAAAATACTCATCCTCGTCCTTCGATAGGTCTCTCTTGCTCGCTTCTCGCTCACTCGCCTCACCTGAACCTCCGAAAACAACAAGCGAAAACAGAACGGCCGCAACACACTCTAGCAGGAGATATCTCAAATATCTGAATAACTGGGACCCGACCGACGACGACACCTCTATTCTCTGTTCAGTTGGCTGGCTTCCAATGTTGCCTCGCCTTCACATGGATGATACGATCATAGAAAGCGGACGAGTCATCTCGAGAGAGACAACTATTATCTTGACAGGAACTACAACAACCACAAAAACGAATGGTCTCTCAGCAGGAGGACGAGAATCCCTTACGCTCTCCTCATTCACCTCTACTACTGCTGTTTGCGCAGGAACTGGAACAGGATCAGGTGCTGCACGATCAGGCGGTCCCTTGCCGTCGACTCCGCGGCGGACTGAATTGGCGGCTGCGGCTGGTTCTGGATTGGACTCTGCTGAACGATATGCCAATATGGATTCTGCAGCCAACATGACCCCTGAGCTCGTTGATGGTCACCAGGAAGAGCACAGTAAGGAACTACGCCTGTAGTCGCCGTTTTGTTTGGTTTATCGGGGCATGTCTTGTTGTTATTGTGATAGAGGGATCGAGTCGAACAAAGATCGGGACAAGAGCTGTTATTATAGCATGGTCAATCGAGCAACAATCAGGACATGCCCTATTGATGTAGGATGGACAAGAGGACAAAGTCAGCAGTGACTAACTTGTCGTTATGACTCTCTATCTCCCAACTCTTACTTTAGACGACCATCACCATTACCATGAACAGGACCAAACACCATTTGAGCCATTGGTCGACATCGAAGGCAGCCCAGATCCAGAGCCAGTACAGCATCGGACGTCATGGCGGATCCGCACTCCAGATATACCTCCCCCTCCTCCCCCACGCAAGTCGTCATCGTCCTCGGAACCCTCATCACAGAATGGACGGCTCTCACCCCTCTCAAGGCTCTTTGATATGGACGAAGGCGCAGATGGACCAGATCGACTTTTGCAGAACAATACAGAGAGCCGACCACGAGTAGTATCTCGAGATAGCCGGAAAGTCGATTCGAGAGGGAAATCATCGTCCCCTTGGCGATCGAACGGGAAGGCGTCGGGTTACAACCAAAACAACAACGACGACGACGATGAAGAGATTCATATTGATGATGATGACGAGGAACAAGACTTTTATAGGAGGTCAAGATCAAGGCGGAATATCAGAGTCTCGTCGTCCCGCTCGCGCTCACGCTCACGCTCACGTTCACGCTCATTCTCACGTTCACGATCAACTTCATCCCCACCTCCACCACCGCCTCCTCCAGCACCGGTTGGTCCACCGTCAATCAAAAACCTACCCTCGGTTGTGGAAGAGGCCACCAGGGGCTACCAGACCATCCAGGATAACATCTACAAGGGCGCTAATACCGGAAACTCTCCTGTGGACGACTGCTTGCCCTGTCAGTGCAAGTTCAACCCACGTAAGCCTCTGGGCGTGATTTACTGGCGCTGTGATTTGTTATAGTCGAACAGGAAAAAAGAGATGATTTGGAGTAACTCATCACAACGTGCCTTTTTGATTTTGCATTCTTGTTATTAGATGTTGACCCACGGTGGAAGGCGTGCGGCCCCGACTGCATCAACAGGAATCTGCTTGTTGAGTGTATCGAGGACGATTGTCCATGCGGATCGTACTGTCTCAACAGAAGGTATGGTCATAGTCACTACAGCATCCACATCGTCCTCGATCGATAGTGGAAATTGTTCGATAATGCAAAAACAGACCTAACCACATATTTTTATTTTTACATCTCTTAGATTCCAGATGAGGCAAAATGCACGGGTCGATGTTGTTAAGACGGAAAAGAAGGGGTTCGGACTTCGGGCCAGGGAGGATCTCCCGACGTAAATCGTGTTGCGTAACTTTGCGTAATGTTGATTTGTTTTCGCTAATGGTCGTCCGCTCTTGACTGACCCCTCTTATCTCCTCTACTATGTTTTTCTCATTTTAGTGGGTCATTTGTGATGGAGTACATTGGAGAAGTACTTCCATACGCAAACTTCGTTAAGCGCACGCGGGAGTATTCGAATGCTGGAGTCGAGCACTTTTACTTTATGTCTCTGCAGTCTGACGAGGTCATTGACGCCACCAAGAAGGGATGTCTTGCCCGATTCATCAACCACTCTTGCAACCCCAACTGTCATCTGGAAAAGTGGGTAGTAGGATCCAAACTAAGGATCGGTATCTTCACCATTAAGCCAGTCCGAAATGGCGAGGAGCTCACCTTTGACTACCAGTTCGAGCGATATGGGTAAGCTATTAAGAAATTTAGCTTTTCTGATTATGCTTTTTTTTTTTTTTTTCTTTTTCTAGTGGCGTACACGGTTGCAATACTAACTGATGATATGGACTCTTCTTATTTTTTCCTGCCCATGTGTAGTGTTGAGGCCCAAAAGTGCTACTGTGGCTGGCCCAACTGTAATGGATACATCGGAGGCAACAAGAGAACGTCAGCCATGCGGATGAACAGCTTCAACGATCTGGTGGAAGACGAAGATGCTGACGAGATCGAACTCGACGATGAGATCGTGCTGACTATACCAAAGAAGAACAAGGTTCGGGATGGAGACTATGAGGATTCATACGAGCCTAGGCGGACACAAGGTATCGAGGACCCAGCACTAATGGAGCGGCTGGCCAGAGTCATGTTTATGAAGCCCAAGGTCCAAAAAAGCAAGCGTCTCCTCGCCAAACTGATGGCAACCACAGAACGTGCGTGTTTGCGCCGGTTCCTAGTGCTGCATGGGCTGGTCATCTTGAAGTCCTGGCTCAGACATTTCAAGGACGAGGAGGACATTGTGATGGGAATCATGTTTGTGTTGCCCAGGATCCCCTTGCTCTCCAGAAACTCCATCGAGGATTCTCAGATCGAGGAAGCTGTCCAGGAAGTTGCCGAAGGTCCCGAGTCTCCGTCCAAGGGCATGGCACAAGCTGTCCTTGCAGAATGGAAGGAGCTCAAGTCCACCTACCGTATCCCCAAAGCCAAGAAAACGGTTAGTTACTAGTCTCTTTGTTTCCATTGTGGCTATCGGGTTAACGTCCTCTATTTCTGACACTATCTACCTGCTGTTCTGATGTTCTTCCATAGCCCGTGGCTACACCTACTGAGGCTGTCAGCACACCTAATTCTGATTCTATTGGAATCTTTTCGCCCACAGAGAGGGACATTGGCACCAACTCACCAGTGGATGTGGCTTCGAACTTGGGGAAGCGACTGTCTCGCTTTGATGAATCCGACGCGGTCTTTGGCGGTGCAGGTGCAGAGAAGAGGAGTCGGTTCGATGAGCATCCAAATCAAACAACAGTGCCGACCTATGACGCAGGATCGACACCGACACAGTACATGACGGACTTCAACCAACAACCACAGGAGCATGAGCAGGCCTCCAACCCGGTTGCCCTTGGGCCTAACGACACCTTTGCTAGTGCAGAGACATACGGAGGAGATCACCATGATCTGGAGTATGAACGACGAGAGTACTACCGGCAGGCAGAGTACAGGAAGGAGGGGTACTATGATCGGCCACACGGCCCAAGCTACCCTCGCTCAGAGTCGTATGGCAGCTCAGGAAACTACGAGCCGACTCAAGGACGAGCCCAGGAAAGCGAGCGTTACGAACCCTACCGAGTTGATCGGGATCGCGACCGTGACCGTGAACGTGACCGAGAGCGCGAGCGCGAGCGTGAGAGATACCGAGACTATTACTATGAGGACTATGAGCGTGATCGCGAGCGCGAAGGCAGAGGTCTCCCACGTCGGGACCGACGGGACAAAGCACCAAGACAGCCCATTGCGTTTGACTTACGAGGACGTGAGCCAAGGCAGCGTTCTCCTCCAGCTGCAACTGTCACTGATGGCAGCGCTGCGCAGCCGGTCGCACAACCAGTCGTAGAGGCCGATTCCGTCCCTGCTGCTCAACTGGATCTGAATGAGGTAACCACACCAGAGCCAGCCGTGACCGCAATAGCCGCGCCATCTGACGAGCCTCTTCAGAGAACTACAGAGGCAACCGTCGAAACGGCAGCACAACCAAACCAGGCGGTCTCTGTTGCGGAAGATGTTGCCCAGTCTACGACCAAGGATTCGGAACCACAAATTTCAGGACCAAACGACTATGATCGGCCTATCCGTGCGCGCGATTACGACGATGATGAGGACCGTTACTCGCGCCGTCATTCCTCAAGCAGCCACCATTACCCACCCTCCCGTCGGTACTCCCCTTCCCAGTTCCCTCATCCCCGCTACTTTGCCAGACACCCGCCATCATACAGGAGTTCGAACAGACATTCTGGACCTTCTGCAAGTGCACTACCTGGTTTGCCTCCTCACTGGCGGAAGGCATCGGATACTGAGGGTCGGATCTATTACTACAACGAGATCAGCCGGGAGACTCAATGGGATGCACCAAAAATGGAACCTGTTGAGACACCGCCTCCTCCACCACCACCTGCCCCGCCTGTCCACCCGTATTATCAGGAGGCTGGACCTATCCCTCCTACGCAGCCAATGTCGATGCCAATGTACTCGACAGCTGGACCCTCAAGCGCCAGGACTCCCGTGGAGCAGACCCCATTCGCCTTCACCTCTCCTATCCCACAACCTTCAACCAGCAGGAGCGCCTCCAAGAAGGGCATGTCAGAGAAGGACCTCAAGGCTGCTGTAAGTGTTAATGGCAATCTAAGGGACACTCATGTCAGGGATTTCTTTCTTTTCAATCCACAAACTAATGAAGCCTGTCTTGTTCATGTGAATTAGATCTCTGCTACCGTTGTCAAGAATCTGGCAAAGTACAAAATCAAGTTGGGATCGACTGAGGCTTTCAAAAAGCATGCACGAAGGGTAAGGCTTGGTCTGAGCGATCTTTTTCAGACTTTTCGGCATACATGTTGATACGATTTGGCGTTACTGCTTGTCCATGTTTGAACTCCAACTAATGATTATTTGTTCGACTTGTTGTAATAGATGACCCACTTGATTGCGGACAAGGAGATGAGGTACAAGGCGTTCCGGTCGGGCCAGTTGAGCGAGATCAGCACATCGATGAAGACCAAGATCCACAAGTTTGTCAAAGACTACATGGCAAAGTTGTTCAAGAAGCAGCCGCTGGAGGATCAACGATCTCGGTCGTCGATTGTGGAGCTGGTCTATGGCAAGAAATCGGCGGACCCTCATACGATTTTCCATGGAACCGATACAACGGTGATCCCACCTGTAGTCGCTGCGGCGATTGGGCTGCAACTTGGAGGGACCGGTAGGTCCTCTATGGCGACTGCCAGCAGTACTGTTTCTGGATCGTCGTCTTCATTTTCGCTAGCAACAACAACAACGGCGGCAGGCAAGGCTGCGGGATCGGGACAACCAGGTGGTTTGAACTATGGAAATGTGGATGTGGACGATGAGGAGGATGTCAAGTATGGCGACGATGATGAAGACGACGATGTGGATGATGATGATGTGGTAGGTCTTGGAAGAGATAGAGATGAGGATGACGACGACGAAGGTGGCATTGCCGCCGTGCCCTCTGTATCTGTTTAAGACTTATTTTCTTTTTTTTTGTATTACTACTTTTTTCTTTTCTGTATATCACCTTTATGAACCCTATCCTTTGGGGAAATCACGTCTTCTTCTCCTATTTTGAATACACTACACTCGACAGCAATGTTATCCTCCCTTCCCTTCCCTTCTTTTCTTCTTTCCTTCCTACCTCGGACTTCACTCCACTATCATATTTTTGTCGTAGACTCATAGCATCGACACCAAAAGGTCAAGGGAGCAAGAGATAAAAAAAACCCCCCCAACAGGCATCTTTCTGTCAATCACTTCTTTACATCAATGAGGAATGTGTTTATTGGAAATTATGTATGTACAAAAAAAAAAAAACAACGAGGATGCATAAATAATGATTGCTGTGTATTGCATTGCGGTACCAAAGAAACAAAGAAACAAAAAAAAAGATGCATCTAAGTGGCAGCCCTGCCTTTGGTTTCGATGGGCAGGAAGCACATGCAGACGGCCGAGACAAAGAACATGATCGAGGCTGTGTACAGTGGGAAATAGGTGTTGACGGACAACATTGCTCCTACAATCAATGGCGTTATGATTCCGGCTCTATTGTTTAGACAATAATAAGGAATGATGTTGTGCATTAGGGCTAGATAATCCAATGAGGACAACAGAGAGAGAGAAGTTTCAACAACGCGTGACCGCGCAAATAACAGAAAACAGACTTACAGACGAGACATGGCGGCGGCGACACCGCAGGCAGTGCCACGGATATCAGAGGGAAAGACTTCGGGCGTGTATGAGTAGAGAACAGCATAGTTAAGGGTTGCAAGGAGACTCAGGATCGCCGAAAAGATGGTCATGGCCGCACGACTCGAGAGGACTGCAAACAAGATGGTTGCCAAAGCTGTTCCAAATGTCGATACTGCCATTGTGTACCTCCTCCCCAACCTTCCCTCCACCATAACCGTCGCGAGCTATTATCCGACGCGAAAAATAGTAAAAAAAAGTGAATGAGTATATGGATCCACGGAAAAAAATATAGTACCATCGTTCACCAAAAAGCTTTTAGCACAAAAAAGTAGTTACCATAGAGCCAGGAACACCAGCGGCGGCATAGATCAAGATATCCATATACACCAACTGCAGCGGCTGGTGGCCGCCTTGGCCATGCTCTTGCAAGAACTTGGGATAAAAGACATTGAACGCGGTGTAGGCAAAGGCGACCAGCGCCCAGATGATCCAGATCAGGATCGTACTCAACCGAAACTCGGGAACAAACAGGGGCTCCAGTCGTTCCAATGCCTTCTCAATCTTGTGCTTCCACCGCCGGCTGTATCTCTGGAACGTGATCCATGTCTTGCTATGGTGGTCGCCGCCGCTCCCATTGCCGACGCCACCTGGAGGACGATGGTGCTGGATCCCGGATCCCCCATTTCCGCTCTGTCTTCGGATTCGTCCATGACTGTTCGATTCTGTCCTCCTTCTCCCACTGCTAATGTTCCTTGAGTTCTCAATATCGCTCATATCAGCTTCAGAGGCCTCTGATGCAGAAGACTCGTCTGAGGAAGAAGCATCACCAGCATTCACGGGACGGTTGAACCGTAGTGTCAGCGTCTCAATGTTCTCGTCAAATGCCTCCGACTGTGTCTCCTTATGGTTGATCTTGTATATCCTGCACAGAACCACCGCTGCTTCTTGGTGTCGATTTTGGTTCAACAGATACTTGGGCGATTCCTCTAGTCTAAACAGTATCACCCTTCCCACCACCATCGACAGCGTCTATGTGAATAGAATAGGTCAGGAAAGAAGGCGAGTCGGTTAGAACACGACCCGTTTGTGTTGTTGGATCCAACCAAACTACACATTAAGCCAAGATGAAAAAGAAAAGAAACTTACGAGGCCGCCCATGGCGAGCAACATATACCGCCATCCTTTGCCCTGACATCCTCCCTCGACAGGAGTCTCACAGCTGTAACGAGGTAACAAGAAGTACCCCAGAATCGAAGTCGCCACCGCACCGAACGAGAAGAATATCGACAGAAACGTCAGCAAGTACTGGTTCTTCTTTGGCGTAAACTCCAAAAATAGCGCCCCTATTTAAAATATAAAATAAAAGGATTTAGCGATTGAGTGCGTTTTTGAGACCGAGTAAAGGACAAAGGGATTAAAGAAAACGCGGCAAGGGTCGGATATGATCCGGGTACTTTACCATCTACCTATTGTATCGAGAGAACCACAAAGTCAGAAACGAGGGAAACGAAAAGCGTTTTTGGGTCAATTTGTGTGGTAACTGTTAACTTCAATTTTTTGCTCCCTTGATCTGTTAGTGTTGGACACCTTACCGGCATATTTCCGCCAACCTTTGCGCGAACAAAGATTCAGTAAAGAGAGAGAGCGCGTTAGTTAACTATTCTTCACACTGATCAAACATAACACTTGAAAACTTCAGCGGTAAAAGCCCCGATCCTCCCTGCTGCTCCTCTTGCTCGTCATTCGTCCTGCATCCAGAAAAAAGGCAAAAGATGCACATACCCCAAAACCGAGGCCGAGGATCAATAGACAAAGAAGCCAATAGCTGTTTGCGAAACTGGAACCAATCCCAAAGACAGTAGTGACAATCAGCGTGAAGTTGAAGGCCTGCTTCCGTCCGTAGACATCCGAGAGAGTGCCCCAGAACATGGCTCCAAACATCATCCCGACAAACATCGAGCTCGACAATATCCCGATATACTGGTCCCTGATCTCAAATTGTGCTGTTGTTGTTTAGTATAGCAGGTCAAAAGGGGTGGAACAATAAGGGTTGAGAAAGATGAATGTGTTACTTTTTGCATAGAGTGAGAATAAACGATGACCGTTTTTTAATTTACCTTGCACACGGGGTAGAATCAACGCGATGCACTGGGATGTGGCAACAAGTCGAGATCAGAATGGGAGAGTAACAGTCAATACTACGTCCAAGGAACATCCTCATTGAAAACACCCATCGCGTTTGCAGTGCTTCTCGTTCAATTGTACCTGTAACCACATCTATAATGAGTAGGACACATGAAGCAAGAATCATTGTCAGTCGCTTGTTCAAATAGTATCCTGGATCCTGGGGTAGTGCGGACACTAAAATAAACGACTAGATCGACTTGAACATTTGTGACAACAAGGAAACACACTGGGAACACGAGGAAGAGGGTCTACTTACATTATCAGCAAACCAGCCTAGTCCACATAGCACCTATCCTCACAGAGGAAAGAAAAAGAAGAGGATATGTCAATGGAAACTTGGTGATACCGAAACCACAAGGTACATACAGCCCTCGAGGCAGCGCCCAAAGACACCCCGACCCTTTTCTTTTTGTTGCGTATGGTGCGATATGTTTCCATCAACCCATCCTGCAATTGCTTTCAGTTGTGTTATTCCCACGATCCAGCTCAATTGCACAACTCAATTGTGACAAAACACGACAACAATGCCACGAAGACAATGACGTACCAGGAGTTGCTTCTGGAACTTGCCCATGCCAATATCATCCATAAGATCGTCCAGGACCTGGGTCTGCTCCATCAGTTCCTCAGGAGAGAGTGACCGGAGTGGAGGGGAGGACGAGAACTGCGAGATAATGGGAACTGGTGCAGGTGGTGGTGGTATATTGACAGACGTCATAGTGTGAAAGGAAGGCGACGATGGTCTCGAACCAGACTTTGTTGATGCCACTCTTGCTGCAGAACCGGGTGGCATCTTTGATGTAGTATGTGGGTGTTAAAAGAAAAGTTGGAGAAGGGGGGACGAAGAATGAAGGTGGTGTTCGGAAAGGAAGGAAAGAAAGGAAGGAAAGAAAGGAAGGAAAGAAGGAAAGGAAGGAAGGAAGGAAGGACGGACGACAGAAGTAGAAAATAACGAAGGCAAGAAGAAAAGAAAGGGAAAGGGATATCTATTTGGGCAGGGACACTCGCCAGGGACTGTTTGGCGAAAAAGGAAGAGGAGAGAGAGCGCAGTTTTTCTTTGTTTTTTTTTTGTCAACGCTGTCGCCAGCAGGAACAACCGCAACGAGAACAGGAGGTTTTTTTCTCGCAATTGCGAATGGCGAACGACGATTGGCGAATGACAAAGACAAGGCGAGAGAGAATGGAGAGAAGGACAGCGCAGTTTGCGTTTCTTTCGGTCGGAAAAAAAGGAGAGGTGCGCTCAAACGCGGGGGCAGTGTGGGGTGGAAAGGGACGAAAGGATGAAAGGATGAAAGGCACAAGAACAAAGGGGACACTCCAGTTCGATCTTGGGGGACAAAAAGTCAAAAGGTGCGAAGTATGTGAAACAGTCACTCTTTAGAGAAAGAATCCCTGCACTGTGCTTATTCACACTACCTGTGGCACGCAAACAAAAAGGTGATAGACATGTTCTGCGCAACCAACGCCCCAGATGGCAAGAGTAGAAAAGAAAACACTTCTTCAAAAGGGATCGTCCGCTATTTCGCATATTCCCATCTCGCGTCTCAATTCAACTCATCGTCCTCCTCAAGAGATCCCCTACTTGGGCGAAGCCCGATTCATTTCTTGTTTTTTTGGTGGTTTTATTAAGTAATAAATAGTGAATTAAGTTAGCGAAAGTGCTGATATCAAGGTTGTACTTTTTTGTACTTTTTACAGAGGGGCAGGAGCAGCGTCAGCAACAGGGGCAGGAGCAGCGGCAGCAACAGGGGCAGGAGCAGCGGCAGCAACAGGGGCAGGAGCAGCGGCAGCAACAGGGGCAGGAGCAGCGGCAGCAACAGGGGCAGGAGCAGCGGCAGCAACAGGAGCAGGAGCAGCGGCAGCAACAGGGGCAGGAGCAGCGGCAGCAACAGGAGCAGGAGCAGCGTCAGCAACAGGAGCAGGAACAGCAGCAGCAACAGGAGCAGGAACAGCAGCAGCCACAGGTGCAGGAGCAGCGTCAGCAACAGGAGCAGGAACAGCAGCAGCAACAGGAGCAGGAACAGCAGCAGCCACAGGTGCAGGAGCAGCAGCAGCAACAGGAGCAGGAACAGCAGCAGCCACAGGTGCAGGAGCAGCAGCAGCAACAGGAGCAGGAGCAGCAGCAGCAACAGGAGCAGGAGCAGCAGCAGCAACAGGAGCAGGAGCAGCAGCAGCGACAGGAGTAGCGGGTGCGGGGACAGGTGATGCTGCATCAGAGACAGGAACAGCGGCATGGGAGACTGGAGGCTCCTGGTAAGGGGGCGAAGGTCCCTGGGTATGGTCTGCTGGAACAGCTGCTGTAGTGGCGGGGTTAGAATGAATGCCTGACGACGATCTCACAACCGATCCTGCCCGAGAGATTCCCTCTCCGGGCTGAGTGAATGTCGAAGACTGGGCGCGCTTCGAAATCTCGCTCCACCACTCAATCATCTCCTCTCTCGAGTGTGCGCGGAGACTACAGGTAATTTTTCAATATTACAGATGGAAACGATGAGACGTTAGAATATTTCAGTTGGATTTGATATGCCATTTGACAAGTGAGCAGTCGGATCCAGTATGCCAGTTGAACACTGTCAACAACAACGAATCGGATCCAGCATCCATTGAAAGTAATGAACAAGGATGAGTTGAATATACATGTCATGGGAAGGCAACAAGAGACAAGAAAGTCTTACGTGAAGGTCTGGGCTTCGCGGTGAAGAAGACCGCCCTTGCCCTTGCCGTCCAAGGAAAAGACGTGCTGCTTCTGACTAGCGTCGGAATGAGGTCCGAGGGTGGCGGTAGGAATATAAATAGAGTGGTCGGGGACGGCATCCTTCTCTTGATCGGCAGATCCAAAGACATGCAACCATCCAGCCAAGGTGAGGACAAAGTAGCCGTCCTTCCAGTTCTTGAGGACAGACGACTGCCTGGAGAGGTGAGCGGTCTTGATGGGGTGGACATAGGGGCTGTCCTTGCAGGGGTAGTCGAGGCCGTCAGGGTTGGCGTCGACGAGCTCGGAGGGGAAGAGGCGGTGTCCGTGGAGGCCAAGGAAGTTGTTCCATTCGGTGTCTTCCTGAAGGGCATTCAAGGCCTCCTGGGTGGGAGCCCAGGACTGGGAGAAGGCAGTCGAGGCATTGGCGAGCTGGTATTCGGCAAAGGCGCTCAGGATCTGCTTGGCCTCCTTGATAATATGAGCCTCGAAGGTCTTGATTTCGTCCTGGCATTGCTTCAATGCGCGAGCAAACAAGTTTTCCTCATGGACCTGCTTGGCCAACTGGCGTCTCAATGCTATTTAGATACAGAGACAATTGTTGTGTGAGATTTCGACGGACAAGTAATCGATTATGCAAAAAAAAATAGTTTTGGAGTGAAAACGGAGGCAAGAAAAAAAAGTTCCAGCAAACGTGCATGGGAAATGGCGACAGTTGGCTGAGTGGGAAAGACAACAAAGACGAGATACTTACAGATGTTGATAACGTAAGGGTCCGACTGCACCTTCTCCATATCGTGCTGGTGCTGGCCAGACATGTCAAAGAGTCCGATTGCCTTGGCCAAGGTTGCGATCCTCTCCTGGGTGGCCTCGCGCTCCTTGAAGACCTTGCTGCTGTAGAGGCCGGTGTCCGCCTTCAATCCCTTGATCTTGTTCTTGATGTCCTGCTTGAGGCGTCTGATGTTCTTGACAATCGTCTCCTCGACAAAGCGGGCCGCGCTGGCATGCTGCTCGCAGCTGGACTTTGCCGAATCCCTGAGACCAACACAGACATCCTGGAAGCCTCCAGCACCCAGGAACTGCTGGCCGTCCTTGAAAGGAACAACAAGAACACCCGAGGCCTTGTTCATCGCCTTGCTGACACCAGTCTCGACCTCTGCAATCTCGGTGAAGTACTGCTGCAGGTTCTTGATAACTCCCTTGAAGGCATTGAGGCGGTTGAGGAGAATGTCGGCAGGGTTGAGACCCTCGCCGTCCTCGCCAGAGAGACCGTGGCGGCTCGTGGCGCTGGTGTTGGAGAGTCCGGTTCCGTCGCGGGCGTGCATAGAGTTGTTCTGGGGCGACTGAGGAGCGGTGGTGGGGGAGGTAATACGCGACTGGCCGGTCGAGTCGGGAGGAGAGGTTGATGCCATGTTGGGGGTTGGGATCGAGATGGGCGAGATGGGGTTGGTGGCGGCAACAGGGGCAGGGACAGGGGCAGCAGCGGGGGTGAGTGCACCATTGGAGGGTTGGCTATCGATGGGCTTTTCGATGGGCTTCGCAGCAGCGACGGGCGAAGGGGGCGCCTGGTGGGACTTGCGCGAGAAGGTGCGAGAGAAGGCCTTTCCTAGGGTTGATTTCTTTTTCTCTTCCATTGTGGTGATGTTGTTGCGAGGTTGAAGGGGAGTGAAGGGTGATGAAGTGAATGAGGAGGCGAAGAAAGAAAAGGGAAGAGATGAGAAGAGAAGGAAAGAGAAAAACGGTTGTTTTGTGTGTTTATATCGAAATGATGGTTGCGGTATGACAGACAGTTGCAGCAGGCGGCAGAGGCAGATTCACTCCAAAAAGATTAGCAAAAACAAGAGCTGCTGGTTGATGCTCTCATCTCTCTTCAGTTGTTGCGAGTCAGTCCACCTTTGAACCCAATTGCTTGCTTGCATGACAAAAAAAATCACCGCTCTCACTTTCATTCACCAGAGTGTCCGCTCGCTGCTTAGCATATCTTTTTGGCCGTTACACGACTGGTGCCACCTGGCTGTGGACACTCAACTCATTCTTCTCTTCTCTTTTCCAGCAAGTAAAAGTCAGCTATTCGCTCCCTCCTTCCTCTTCTCAAATAGGCCCGGAAAGCAGTAAATACAGGCACGAAAAGAGACAGCTGGGACCTGGGAAGAGAACCTGGTGCCCTCGAATTTCTATCAACAAATAGCCGAATTGGTCCTGATTCAGATCCAGGTTCGTGCCGTAATGACCCTCCATTCAGGCGTCACCCAAAAAGAGACAAATGATAAGTCCATTGTCAGCATAAACAAACACAATCATAGTCAAACATCACACAAATGATGCTCTTCAAGGGTCCGACCAGAAACAGTACGTACCACTGTCAACTGCACACACTAGTCCTTGAATAAAAAGTAGTAGTACGCTTTTGCCTGTCATCATCCCAACGCGAGCTCAGAAAAAAAAAAGATAGTGCGATCGCATTCCGCGAAGCAGAGGAGGGAGGTAAAGATAGGAAGGCTCCTGGAGGGGGTGGGCGGGAGGCATAAGGAGATAGGAGGAGAAAGCAGGAGCGCAACTCAACCCAAGAACAACGGAAAATCCATCACTCCAAACTCCAATCTAAGGGGTGCGTGCGAACCATGCAAAAAAATTAGCAAACTCAAAAACATACCACCGACCAACAAGAACCCGTCAGGTTGTGACCAATAGGAGGTCTGGACTGGATCACTTAAAGATATTATGGATATTTTGTTTGTTCTTTTTAATCTGCCTCGTCCCTCAGCCAGCCAACCAAAGCAACATGACTTATTCCTACAGGTCCAGGTACAAGTTACGGATCTCCTCATGGTCCAAACGGCGCTCCTGTTGCATCTCCAACAGACCCGTGATGACCTCGCGAGCACCCATGTCTGGGATGTTTTGGATCTTCTGGATCTGATCCTGCAACTGCTGACGGATCTTGTCGTGCGCCTTGGCCTTGTCCAAATTGTCTGCAACGTCATCCCCATCCTCGCTGTCCTCTTGCTTCTCGAGCGCAGACGTCAACTTCTCCAACGCATCCTCGGCCGACGTAAACATGGGCTGAGTCGTGTGCATTTCGTACACGATCTGGCCCAATGACCACATATCCATCGTCTGAGTCGCCATCAACTTCTCCTGGTCCTGGCTACGGATCACCGTCGCGCTGCCCTCGGCACTCGAAGACTTGATCGTCGTCGTCTTGGTCACGACTCCATCGGGTGACACTGTTGTTGTGACATTTGTGTCCTGGTTCGGGTTCTCGGGTTCGGACTTGACAGTGGTGGTCGTTCGAGAGTGACGACGGGAAGTAATTAGGATCTCGGGGGAGGTGTAACCACTCGTGTCCATCGTCAGGTCGACAGCCTCGCCCACAAACCGTGCATTACTGAAATCCCACAACTTCCACTGCTGCACAATAGTCGGTGCATCACCATCGTTAGCAGTCGAGTTGCGGCTCGAGTAGTTCGAGTAGACAGAGGCGCGGTATCCGCCCTGACCATCAGGCTCGGAATAGTACTCTTGCAGGAAAATGGATGAAGGCGAGAGCGACAGGTGGACGACATGATGGTCGTGGCACCACTTGAGAGCAGAGGCAATGCTGTCGGTCAGACTCTTGATCTCTTCCACTCTCAATGGACCCTTGGCTTGCAACGAGGCCTGCTCGGGTGTCAGAGGCTGCGAGGAAGGCGTGGTGCGGATACCACGGCGCTCCTTGATGTAAGTATCCAAGGTGCGCGTGAAAGGACCCATCACAGACACGTAGCGATACTCGGCGAAGGACGGCAACGAGTACAGAGTGAAGAGCTCGGCAATGTGCACATCGGATCTCAGGTGCTGCAACATGCCCGCCTCACGCTTCCACTTAAACTCGTTCGTCATCCATCTCAACGACCGCTCACGAACCTCAGACTCTGTGCTTCTAGTTGCTCCAGAGGGTCCAGGCACCACAGGGGAGGGCAGACCTTCCTCTTGGCCAGTGACCTTGGACGCGTCGCGGACATGCGAGAATGCAGAGCCAGGGATACTGACATCAGGAGCACCCTCCAACATCTCGACCTGAGAGAACATGAGCGTTCCTGGCTTGGCATTGGGCGTTGCCTGGGAGGCATCAGACCGCTCGTAGCGAATGATGCTCAACTTGAGGGTGATCTGGGTCTTGTGGATGGTTGGGGGTCCTTGCTGGCGCTGAAGCAAGATGTGTTGCTGCTGCTGTCCTTTCTGCTGCTGTGTCAACACACCGGCCGCAGCGCCTGCAACGACCATTCCGCCGATAAGACGTTCAGCCGACGACGACGTAGTCACAGTCGTCTTTCCATTCGAGGTGATGATCTGGTTCCCGCCGACGACATGCATACTTCCAATCGAGGTAGTCGAAGTCGATCCGCTCTGGTACATGACCGAGGAAGAACCAGAGTTGTTCATACCAGTACTGGCAGTGCTCTCAAAGCGACCGTGGCCTGGAATCACTCCCTCAAGAGTGTCGTCGGTTCCGTGGAGGACTTCTGCAGTCTCATGTGGGCCAGAACCGGATCCGGTCACTGTCGTAGTCGTAGTCGTCGACTTGCCGCCGTTGGTAGTCGTCGTCTTGGACGATGTACCGTCGACATGGGTGTCCTTGTTCGAGTGATGGGCGGTCGCAATGGCACCGGCAGCGAGGGCAATACCAGTAGCGGCGCCGGCAAGGATGGCACCATTGTTCTTCGACGACGAGGTGCCGGAGTTGGTTTGAGTGACAGTGGTAGTGCTGCCCTGGGTAGTGCTACCTACAGCGCTTGGCACCACATGCTCCTCTCTTGGCTGGACTTCAACATTATCGAGGGTATCGTCAACAACCTCAGTCTTGGATCCGACGGTCGTGATAGGAAGCATGGGGGTCGTGGGTTCGGGGAGGACAGGGCTTGGACGACGGAGTGGAGGCTTGTAATCACCGCCGCCCATAAAGAACTTGGCCTTAGAGCTGCGCTTGGCATTGAGGACGCTATTGTTCGCATTATCAGTTGGTGAGTCCTCGCCTGTTACATGACCGGCTTCAAAGGGTTGGTCTTGATGTTGGTCCTTGGGGCTGAGGGACTCCTTCCGCTTGTGCTTGTTGGCAATCGCTCCAGCAACCAGACCACCACCGATAGCGGCCGCAGTTCCGATCGCCAAACCAGATGGACCGCCGGGAGCACCAGTTGACGACGAAGGACCACCAGGACCGGTAGCATACCCACCGCCAGTGGGACCGCCAGGTCCAGAAGGTGCGCCAGAACCGGAAGCATACCCACCATCAGTGGGACCGCCAGGTCCAGAAGGTGCGCCAGAACCGGAAGCACCAACGGGGGCCAATGGTGGAATACTTCCACCAGGTGCTCCAGGAGTATGCTGCTTGGGAGGAACGATTCCAGGACTGTAGAAGGTACCATCAGGACCCATTGAGCCACCGCCGCCAAGGGTGTCGTCACCAGGACCAGCGGCGCCAGGTCCACCAGCATCAGCTTCATCATCGTCGTGACGCTCGCGTCGTTTCTTGGCCAACACGAATAGCAATCCAACCAAAGCAATGAGACCAAGAGCACCAAAAATACCACCGAGAATCTTGGAAGTATTGGAATGGGATCCATCGCCGCTTGTCTTGGCCCCTCCCCCAGGGAGAATACCACCTGGGGCTGTGGGGACAGAATCAATGGTTGCGGTGACAGTCGCGCCAGGGGTGACAGTGGCTGTCTGGTTGGCACCGACCATGACCTGACCGCCGGCGTCGGGGTTAGGATAAGGCGATCCAGAGATGGGTGCGCCAGGAACACCTTCAGGGATAGTGCCGCTGGGGATCCCAGAGTCAGGAGACCACGATCCACCAGAGCCAGTACCGCCGGCACCTCCGCTTCCGCTCGATCCACCAGAGCCTGCGCCACCGGCGCCACCTGAGCCTCCAGAGCCAGAGCCAGAACCTCCGCTGCCGCCTGAACTGGAGCCTCCACTACTGCCAGAACCACCAGAACCACCAGAACCACCAGAACTGGATCCACCTGATCCCCCAGAGCCACCGCTGCCGCCAGAACCGCCAGAACCGCCAGAACCGCTAGAACCGCTAGAACCAGAACCACCAGACCCTCCAGAGCCGCCAGATCCTCCAGAACCAGAGGAGCTAGAGCCGCCTGAACCAGAGGAGCCAGAGCCGCCTGAACCAGAGGAACCAGAACCACCAGATCCTCCAGAGCCGGAGGAACCAGAACCACCAGATCCTCCAGAGCCGGAGGAACCAGAACCACCAGATCCTCCAGAGCCGGAGGAACCAGAACCACCAGAGCCGCCAGAACCTGCAGATCCTCCAGAACCAGAAGAACCAGAGCCGCCAGATCCTCCAGAACCACCAGAGCCACCAGATCCTCCAGAACCAGAGGAGCCAGAGCCGCCTGAACCAGAGGAACCAGAACCACCAAATCCTCCAGAGCCGCCAGATCCTCCAGAACCAGAGGAACCAGAGCCGCCAGAACCAGTGCTTCCACCGCTTCCTCCAGAGCCGCCTTGATGGCCACCTTCACCACTCTCACTGCCTTCATGTCCCTCGCCGTTCTCACCTTCCTCCTCACCCTCATCATCGTCGTTATCATCATCCTCATCTTCGCCATTACGAGTACCAGGACGATAGATCGAGACAGGAGCAAAGCCGCCCAGTTTGCCTCCCTCACCGTGGGCAAGGTTAGTGCTGCAGTCCTCATTGCGATCGCAGCTACCGTAGACGATGATGCCGTCACCGCAGCTGGCACAGGCCAGACCGCCGGGGCTGGGTCCGCCCTGTGACTGGGCGACGATCTCGTAGCCGTGATTGGATTCGGTGGTGTCGATGCTCCATACACCTACTCCCTTGGGGTTCTGTTGTTGTGAGAGGCAGCGAAAAGGTCGTAGGCAGTAGTAGGAGTAGAAGTAGAGAGGATAGGGAGTGAGGGTTGGGAGTGAAAAAACGGACGGGTGTTAATTATAGAATTCACATGCACCATCATCCTAATTTGTGCATGAGCGTGCGTGCGTCAGTTCTGCATTACCTTGCCAAAGATCCAAAGCTGACCTCCATAATGCACAGAGCGTGGATACTCGACCTCCAAGTTAGGCAAAGGATGGAACCCTCCCTTCTCCTCATGGCCCTTATGCTCATGGTAGAGGATATCGACGGGTCGAGGGCTTGGACGGTCAGCGATCGAGATGTCGAACCAGCCAGAGCCATGTGGGCCAAAGAGGAATAGGGTTGTGTTCTCACAGCGACTGCCGTGGTCACCCTCGTGCTTGTACTTTTTGGGGTTCTTGTGGAATGTATAGTGGTTTGGATTGAGGGGCGCGGTGATGAGGGTCAGGTTGGAAGGGATCACCTCGCGACTTTGAGAAAAATAGGGGGAGAAAGAGTACGGGTTATGTTAGTCGTGTACACAATTGACAGACAGCACTGCTGAGCGAGGTAGACAGGGGTAAGGGCAAACTAGGATAACAAATCCGCGAGCAGGAGCGCTCAGAACAATAACGACAGAAAACATAACAAAGGGAAGAAATGAGCGCGAGAAAGGGAGGGAAGGAAAAGGAGGAAAAGGGTGATATCACTTACGCAACCTTAATGTCGTGGCAAGAGTAGACCTGATGGTTTACCAGCTGGACACCCGTCAAATGGTCCCTCTCATTGGCATCCTTCCAATGGATGACCACCGTGTCAATGACCTCCTCGGAGCCGGCACTAAGGCTGTCATGAGCAGGAGCCTCTTTACGGTAGGACTGGTAGACGACAGCGAACTGGTTGGGATAGTCAAATTTGATCTGCTTGGCATCGGCCTTGACTTTGATCTTGTTGCCCTTTTCAAAGCTCTCCTCATGGCAGGAGCACTCCTTGTTGAGACGCGCATGTGTCCAGGTCCGTTGGTTGTGGTCCCAGACCGAGAAGCCACCCTCGCCATCGCGCTCGTAGCTGGGGACCATGAATTTGTGGTCGCTGGAAAGGAAGCAATGCTCCGTGTCGAACCTGCGCCCCTGATGGACAGCGCCACCTGGATAAGGGAGTGAGGTCCACTGGGCATGTTGCCAATCAAACCCTTCGGCCTCCTTGTCTTGCCATTCCTCCTCGCTGTCTGCCTGGTCTCCTTTTTGCTTTTCATCCTTGGTACTGTCGCACGCCTCGGTCGAGTTGATAAAGTTGAAGGTCAGGACCTCTTTGGAGTCGTATCCGATGATGAATGTCCGTCCGTTGGCCTTGTCGACTGCCAGACACGCCGACTTTAGCACTGGCGGTGGCTCTGCATGCCAGCGTTTGCTGAGTTGTTGTCGTGCGTCGAGGGCTTGTGAGCCTGTTGGGCGAAATGGATTTTCGTGTTGGTTGTTGATGAAAAAGGGCAGAAATGGAGAAAGACAGTGTCAGGGAAAGGACTTTTTTCATGGATACATATCAGATTACGGAGTCATTGTTCAATTGCGATATTGGTGGATTGGATGGCTTGTTGACGGTGGCGGAGGTGTTGGTGGTGTTGGTGGACGAGAAGAGGAAGGGGAAGGGGAAAGGGAAGAGGGTTCCTGACTTCCGTCAAGTCATTTTCTTTTGTACACTTGCCTGATAGTGATGATACTGGTGCTGGAGATGCTGTGGTTAATGTATAGAGGATACAGTTGAAGGTCAAGGCTGCCAATAAAAGAGCAGCCTTCATGGTGGTTGATCGAGTAGTAGATGTACAACCCATCGTATTCTAACGCGGGCGAGGATTAAATCGAGGTGATGAAAGGGTGTGTAAGATGGGTAGGACTGTAACGAAGGAAGTTGGTTTTATAGGCGGTTGAGAACTCTCTCACCCTCGGGGTGTTAAAGGGAAAAAAAAGAGGCGAGGGTTGGGGGTTGGGAGACTGGCGTGGACGGGAATGTGGATGACCAAAAGTCGAATAATGGAAGAAAGGGACAGGAACGAAATAGACAATGCACAGGTTGGAAAAGAAAAAGAGAAGAGGAAGAAGAAGAAAGAGGAAAGAAGAGAAGCAAAGCGAAGAGAGGGATCAAGAAAGAAAGAAAAAGATTAGTGGTATGGGATGAATGGTGGGATGAATCGGTGGGATGGGGTTATGCTCAGATAAAGAATCGAGGATGGAGAAAGAGAGCGAGAGAAGAGAGAGAGAAGAGAGAAGAAGAGAGGGGGGGGGAATGGGGCCACGCAGCTCAGAATATCAACAATGAGCAATAGCATGAAGGAGAGAAGGAATTTGAGTCTTGAACTTGAACAAGACTGACTGCAGGAAAGAATGGATGTGTTGCTCATTCCCTTTTTTTTTCCTTTCTTGATTTTGTTTCTGATTGTTTTAATGCGGTGGTGCCCCAGGGAGACATGGACACATACAAAAATGTCCATCTTGCCTGGCTCCCTTTTTCTCTACTCTCTCTTGCTCCTTCCCTTTCCTTTCCTTTCCTTTCCTTGTCTCCTTCTCCTTCTTTCCCTTTCTCTCCCTTTCATCCATCAACGTCTCTTGCAGCTTACCATGTCACATCTTCGCCTCCTCTCCTTTCAATCTCTCATTCTTCTTACACTTATACTAAAGGGATACATCAAAGACGTCGCCTCGCCCGTCCTGTCCCTTATTTTTTTTCCTGTCCTTATTTCGCCGCGTACCTTTTCTTTTTTGTCTGCCTATGGAGTGTGTGCAGCAAAGACCACCTCCTTACTTTGTATGCAACCCCGTTATTTTTTTGGGATTTTTCATGCCAGTCGTCCACCTACCAAATGGCTTCTGAACACTACTATCACATACGCATACTTCAAGCGCTCCTTTTTCACATTTTGGGTCAGACTCCTTGAATTTTGGTCGCTTGTTCTCTCTGCACAGTGGTTTACTCAGACACTTTTTTTTTTTTTTGCAAATTCGCAATGATGATATTGCTTCATTGTGGTTTGTTCTCTGTTACTTGTGTGCTACGGGAAAAGTTGACACCATCATTGCCTAGACATGCAGATCGTGCCTCTTTTTGCACATTTTTCCTATCACTCCCGTGCACACTCCCATTATGCAACTGGCACGATCAGAAAACGTACAATGTTGCTTCTATCTTCTTTCGTCTTTTGCATCTTTTTTTACTAGAACCCCTAGCACGGACCAAGAGCAGGACAGACAGAGCAGGGAAGAAGATAAAAAAAGAGCGAGAACGAGAGGGAGATAAACATTTTTTACTGCCCTATTTGTGCCGATGGCGCATCGACGAACCCGGCATATTTCTTTGGATTATATTTGTTATCAGCCAGCAAGGCGCCGAAGAAGGGGTTTGTCTCTTCCGACTTGCCCTGTCAGAAATGTTGACTTACCCCTTTCGCCCTTTTACAAAATGCGCTGTTCAACCCTTTCCTGCCTTCCTTCTCTCCAGTCCATCCTAGATGAATAGACAACACACATACTTTAGACGCATTTGTTTCCTCCCTCCTCTTACCCCTTCTCCTCACTTCCCCCTTCCCGCACATGCACATACATACACCCTCCCTCTCTCAGAATAGCTACAAGCAAATAAATCCATCCCTTAATTTTTTTCATATCCCTCTGCCGCCTTTGACATTCTGCAAGGCTCAGATCCCAATAAAGCATATGCTGTTTTTCGTTTGAACGGCTCATGGCTAGGTTACTAGCCAAAAGAAGAAACTTCGCAGCCTAGGGAATGTTACCTGTTACCAAGGAGAAGGGGTTTCATCACAACAACCGTAGCCTCCGCCATTAGTCATTTCTCTTTTCCCCTCTCTCTTCGTTCCTCTCGAGGGGCTTGAAATTCAGGAACACAAACAAGCTACTAAACAGCTAAACAAGCCTTGGCACGCTCTCACTATATATATCTATCTTATTTTTCCACACCTGAAAGATCGCTGCTTGGCATACACGCCCATCTTTTGTCCAGGTTGTTTTTCTAGATACCAGAGCTGTGCAAAAGCGCCACTAAATACACTTTTGGGAATAATGATCATAAGCGCTGTTTCAGTTCGCGGCGATAAGATTGTTGATCCTTGACCCGTCATCACCTCTTGTTGATCAATTGGCCAAGCTTTTAGATTTCGTAGGTTCTTTTTTTTTTTTACTTTTTGGGAATGGGTGGTGGAACACGACAATGGCATGAACCTTGGCACACACATCATATACACACAAACGCACGGGCATCACTCTCATTGCGATAGTGAGAGTGAAGGGAAGGAAGGAGAAAATGTATTTGGGTTATTAGATGAGCTACATAGGCTGCCTTGTGTCCAATTGTAGAGAAACCGACTGCGAGAAAGCGAAGCATTTAAGGTCGTAGGAGCAGGATTTCTTTTTCCTTCTTTTCTTTCTATCGTCTACGGCAGATATGTTTATTCGCCACACCCTCTTAGAGTGCATCCGTTTACCAGGTAAGAGTAGAAAGCAGTATATGCAAAATAGACTCTTTTGCTTACAATACACCTTTCATTTATTTAAACTGCATAGAAGGCGCGTATTATCTTTTCTACTCTGTCTTGTGTCACGAGAAATAAAAAGAGGCGGAAGGGGCCGATAAACCCAAATCAGGATAAGGTGTTAGATGTTGCGGAAAAGTAAAGCAGAAAGGGTTGAAGGAAGATGATAGAGCGGCGTACTTCATGTCAGATGGACTAACAAAGAACAGGAGTTCTTGTAACAAGGTCTACACAACCCTCTCCATTGGCTTCTGTCGTTAGTTTTTTTTTCTTTGCTCGTTTCACGCGTCTGGACTCAAAAGAGCAACAAAAGAGAGGAAAAAAAGGACAGACACGCCGCTTTTTGTGCATATTTGTTTTGTGTTTTTTCCTTTTTCATCCTCTTGTCCTTTCGTGAGTATTTGTTTGCCTTCCATGTCGGCTTTAAAAAAAACAGCGGAGAGAGAGGTACAATAGGGGTGGACAAGTCATGATGGATATTGTCGCCCTTTCGCGGCATCCTCGGAAAAGCCCATGTCCTCAACGTTTATTTGCTTTTGCCTTTTTCGCTTTCTTGCCCGATGGTATTTAAGACCGCAACAATCCTTTCATTTCTCTGCTCTTTGTCTTCTCTTCTCCCCCCCTCTCCTCCCCTCAACACCTTTCATACCCTACCTCTACCCCCAAGCATCCTCCTTCTCCTCCCCCTCCCATTTTATTTCGACCGGAGCCTCCTGCACATACAACGCCGCCGTTTCATTCACCTTTCGTTGACCCACCTCAATACCTTAGTTGTAAATTGCCAGCCGTCTCCTGTTTGTGAAGTAACCCTCTCCTCCATGATGACAAAGGAAGAGATCCTCGAGGCCAGTAGCTCAGAGCTGCACCAACTCAGTTGTGTTTCTGAATCTAGTTCGCACCACAAGATCGATACCGAAAAGGCAGAGATATATTCTACTACTGCGCCTGAGGAGTCGAACGTGGACACCAACGACGATGTCAAGACGACGACAAAGAAGGAGAAGAAGAAGGAGAAGGCCCCTGAGGAACCCAAGGTTACATACCTGCAACTCTACCGTTTTGCTGACACCTGGGACTGGACCTGTGTGGCGTGAGTGCCTTTGCTTATTTGTTTGCATTTCTTTGTATGTGTATGTGTGTATGGCTGGCCCTCTTATATTCGGGGGTGTATCCGATGTTAACACAACGCAAATGCACATACACCCCTCTTTTATTTTTCATTCTCTACCTTTCACCCCCGCCTTCTCTTCGTCCCACTTTCTATCCCTCTCGGCAGAGTTGGTACCCTGTGCGCGATTGTCAACGGAGTCGGCAACCCGCTGATCGCCCTACTGATGGGTGCAGTCATCACCAGTATTGGATCCAACTTCAACGACACAGAAAAATCCGTCGCCGAGGTCAAGCACGTCGTCATTCAGTTCACCTACGTCGGAGCCATCATCTGCGTGACCTCTTACATCCAGATGTGCGCCTTCTCCATGTCGGCCGAGAACCAGACCAAACGGATCCGCGAAAAGTACCTCCATGCGATCCTACGACAGGACATTGCCTGGCATGATACTTCGAAGAACAACGAGTCGCTCAACTCGCGTCTGAGTGCTGATACTCAGTTGATCTTTGAAGGTTTGGCGGATAAGGTCGGAGTCGTTCTGAGCAGCTTGATCTCGTTTGTCACTGGATTCGTAATTGCCTTTTGTTATGGATGGAGGATGACACTGGTCCTTCTCGGTGTGGTACCTGTCCTTGCTGGTAAGACTTTTATTGTGAACAGTGAGCGCGTTAAAGGTCTTCATTCACAATAATCATAACGACTAAACGCGATGCATTTCCCTATGTGTAGTGTCGATGGCGTTCATGATGAAGTTCAACACCGAGACAACCACCGATGGTCAAGATGCGTACGCTGTAGCCGGAGGTATTGCCGAGCAAGCAATCGGATCCATCCGCACCGTCCATGCCTTTGACGGCCAGAAGCGCGAGATGAAGAAGTACACCGAGGTCGTTAACCAGGCCTACAAGGCCGGCATTAGGAAGTCCATTGGCACCGGTCTTGGCATGGGTCTTTTCATGGGTGTCCTTTTCCTCAGCTATGCGCTCTCGTTTTGGTACGGCAGTCGCGAGGTCAAGGAGAAACGGATGGAATCTGGTGATGTGTTGACGGTTCTCTTTGGTGTCATCATTGGCGCCTTCTCCCTCGGAAGCGTCGGGCCAAGCATCACCAACTTTTCCAAGGCTCAGGCGGCAGCCTATCACATCTTCAGAACCATCGACCGTGTCCCCAAGATTGACTCGTCTAGCCCCGACGGTCTCAAGCCAGAGAAGATTACGGGCCATATTGTTGTCAAAGATGTCGATTTCGCGTACCCTTCCCGTCCTGATGTCCCTATCTTGAACAAGATGAACATTGAGATCCAGCCTGGTCAAACTGTCGCATTGGTCGGTCACTCTGGATCTGGAAAGTCGACTATCATTGGCCTCATTGAGAGATTCTACAACCCCTCCTGTAAGTTTTCACAGCGCCTCTGTGTAGAAGTGAAGGCCTGTGCCAATAATTTGATCCGCACTAATTAATCCAACTTCAAACTTACTCCTCTGTCACAATAGCTGGGACGATTACTCTCGACGGCAACGAGCTCAAGGATATCAATGTCCGCCACCTTCGCGACACCATTGGTCTTGTCTCCCAGGAACCTGTCCTCTTCAACGCGACCATCAAGCAAAACATCATATATGGTGCCCGCAAGGACCAGCTCACCCCTACCGACCAAGAGATCGAAGCAGCCTGTCGTCTTGCCAACGCCCACGAGTTTATTAGTCTCCTCCCCGAGAGATACAATACCATGGTCGGCGAGCGTGGTACCCTCTTGTCTGGAGGCCAGAAGCAGCGTATCGCCATTGCCCGTGCCATGGTCAAGAACCCTCGCATCCTGTTACTTGACGAGGCCACCTCTGCCCTCGATACCGAATCGGAGCGCATCGTTCAGGCTGCCTTGGACAAGGCTGCTGCTGGCCGTTCAACGATTGTTGTTGCCCACCGTCTCTCGACCATCATGAACGCCGATCTGATCTATGTCATGGACAAGGGTGTTGTTCTCGAGTCCGGTACTCACTCCTCACTCATGAAACTTGGCGGCGTCTACTCTGAGCTTGTCGAGAAGCAGCAGCTCAAGTCTGGCGGGGTCGATGTTGAAGCCCAGCCCGAGTCTGAGATCTCTGCCTCTACCATCACCATCGCACCCACCACTCGCGTACCACTCGGTACTCGCACCAGCACCCGTTTGAGTGGTTTACTCCGCCGCATGTCGTCCCACCACTCTGCCACTGGTTCTGAGAAGAATGCTGAAGAGGTTGTCTTAGAGATCCCCGAGGACGAGGAGACGGCAATGGCTCGCGAGAAGAAGGAAGCTGCCCGAAAGCTCAAGCTCCAAAAGGCACCCATCTCTCGCACGATCGGATACCTCCGCGGCGATGTTCTCCTTTGCGTACTCGGAATCTTCTTTGCTATTATCCAGGGCGCTACCTTCCCTTTGATGTCCCAAGTCATGTCGAGAGCCATCACGACTCTGACAAAAAGGGACGAGATCGGATACGACTACACTGGCGACGCAAACAAGTTCGCCCTCCTCTTTGTCGCCACCGCCGTCCTTGCCTTTACCGGATTCTGTTTTGGCCTCATGCTCCTGTTGATCACCGGTGAGAAGCTGACCCGCAAGATGCGTCTGCTGAGCTACCAGGCCATCCTGGGCCAAGAGATAGCCTTCTTTGACCGACCCGAAAACTCGACCGGTGCCCTTGCCAGTCGTCTTGCCACAGATTCCCAGCAGATGTTGGACATGGTCTCCCAGGTTATTTTGACGGGATTCTCTGCCTTTTCGACCATCACCTGCGGTTTTGTCTTTGGTTTCATTGCCAGCTGGAGGATGACGCTCATCATTCTCGCCTCGGTTCCCATTATTGGATTCGCTCAGTATCTGGAGTTGGCTGCATTGACCGGGTTTGGTGAGAAGACTCGCAAGGCCTATGAAAACTCAGGTCAGGTTGCAGGAGAGGCGATTGCCAACATTCGTACAGTTGTATCGTTGGCCAAAGAGGATGCCTTTGAGGCCCGCTATGCCAGTGTCTGCGTTGAGCCCCACAAGTACTCAATCAACAAGGCTATCTATGCTTCTGCGGGTTTCGCTCTTGCCCAGGGTACCGCCTACTGGTCCTACGCCATTGGATTCTTTGCAGGTATACATTGCACCCTTGATCCTATACTCTCATGTTTTTCTTCTTTTTTTCTACGATCGGCTATGAACCTGACACTCACATACCTACTTTTTCATTCTTCTTAGGTTACAAGCTGGTGGGTGCTGGTTTGATTGATTGGGGCCAGATGTTCAACAGCATGTTCGCGATCGTATTCTGCGCCGTCTCCTTGGGTCATATCACGTCAGAACTTCCCAAGTTCGCCAAGGGCAAGCAGTCGGCCATCAACGTCTATGAGCTCCTCGACAAGAACACCACCATCGATGTCGATCGTGATGGAATCCAACTCTCCACTATCAGCGGCTCCCTTGCTCTTGAAAAAGTCGAGTTTGCCTACCCGACCCGACCCGACCAAAAGGTCTTTGACGGCATCGATATCGCGATCCGACCTTCCGCGACCGTTGCCCTTGTCGGTCCCTCTGGATGTGGCAAATCGACCGTCATTGGACTGTTGGAGAGATGGTATGATACCGATGGTGGTCGTGTCGCCGTCGAGACCTACAACCTCAAAGACTTGCAGCTGCACAGTTTTCGTAACCATATGGCTCTTGTCGGGCAGGAACCTGTCCTTTTCGACATCTCGATCAAGGACAATATCCTGTACGGCCTACCGGACGATATCGAGGGAACCATGGAGCAGGTGGAGGAGGCTGCCCGATTGGCCAACATCCACAACTTTGTCGCCTCCCTCCCTCAGGGGTATGATACCCGCGTAGGCGACAAGGGCTCTCAGCTGTCGGGCGGTCAGAAACAGCGTATTGCAATTGCCCGTGCACTGATCCGCAAACCCAAGGTTTTGTTGCTGGACGAAGCTACCTCTGCATTGGATTCCGAGTCGGAAAAGTTGGTCCAGGAGGCATTGGACAGGGCGCGTGCTGGCCGGACGACCATTGTGATTGCTCATCGTTTGAGTACTATCCAGGATGCAGATCTGATCCTTGTTGTCAAGGATGGTAGGGTTGTCGAATCAGGTCGGCATTATGAATTGATTGCCCTTGGAGGTGTCTACGCCGAGCTCTGCAAGAAGCAGAATCTCTAAGAAGTTAGCTTTCGAGACTTTTCTTATTTTTCGATAGTGTTTGACACGTCATATTCTTACTCTTCTATTCTGATTTTTGTTGGGTGTGGGAAGTGGGGCGGACGAGGTTTACGCGATCGGGATGGATACGACGGGTAGTAAATGTTTATTTCGTCGGATGATATACAAAATAAAGCTATGAGCTTACATGAGAACAGAGTAAAAAACATGATCGAATGTGTAGGCAACTGAAGGCGCTACGCTCGCCTTGGTCATGGCTGCGTGTAGGCAAAGTGGAAGACGATCAAACAACCCTATCTCACGCCGTCAACATGCAGACTTACCTCGTTTTAGTCATTTTTATTGCTCTTTATATCACTCGCCGTTGGCACAACTACGCGTCCTCCTGAAGAAAACAAAAAGAAGAACACGATAGAATTTTTGTTCAGGGTAACGTTTCCATGCGTGGTAATAGAGAGTGCGAGGATGAGATGAAGAAAAGGATAAGAATTCACCCCCCGCCCCCTTTCTCTGTGCAATTGTGCATTGCTTTATTATTTTTCGTGAGAGCTGCAGTGTGGGGAGAACATGGAGTAAATTTAGCCGTTGTTGCTGACAATTGTCCTAAACAGGAAGGTTGAGCCTCAACATCCTCCGCTGTTCTCTTTCTCCAGTGTCTGCTTGCTACGCAAGTACCTCTACACCAATTGAGCCTCCGTCTCTCGCATGATAGAAACAACAACAGACTGCCCAAGCGCTCAGCTGGTCCAAGGGACCCCTCATCCCTCATCGTTCATTCCCCACTTTCGCCTACACACCGCCCGTCCTTTTTTTTTTTTTTTTTTTTTTTGCCCCTGCGGACGGAGGGTGTTCTGATTGGCAAAAAGGTAACCAACCCACAATCAAGCAAAATAAAAGCCGTTGCAAGGAAAATAAAAAAAACCAACAAAAAGGCATGCCCAAATGAAAAAAAGGGCAAACAAAGGCACTTATGAGTGCTGCATTTGTTGTGCTACCCTGTCATTGAAAACATGCTAGGAAAATAAACACCATCGGAGGTGATCGATCCTAACAAAGGACGGCGGCAAAGGGTAGAAAAAGGTGAGAAGAAATGTAAATTGCTCCTGCGCCGTTAACCCACGAAAACCACGAGATCCACAAGATGGCAAAGGAGTTTTTGATCCTTTGGCAAACAAACCATAAACGCATTGGTCGCGGATCTGCTATTTTGATTGTCGGAGACAAGTGCAACGAACGACGGTGTAATGAAAATCAAGAACGAAGAACTCGTCCTTTGCAAAAACAAACAACAAAGAAACAAACACAAACAAGTGATATAATTTGGATGTCTTCATTTTTCATCAATGCATCATGAGCAAAGAAGCGCAAAATGTCGTTGGAAATGTGCAATTGTTCGAATAACAAAAAAAAACCGCTGTCAGCGTTTTTGTCAACAAAGAGGAAAAACGAAGGAGCAATGGTTTCATTTACTCAAAGGAGCCACGTCGTCGTTGTATTTTATATCATTCGTTTGCGTCACCTCCATTTCTCTCTTAAGTGTAAAATGAAGAAGAACGGAGTAAGAAAGGTCAAGAAGAATACCTTGGCTATCAAATGCGTTGGTTGGTGAAGTGGCTCCTAAAGTGTAGCGTTACGTTGGAGTGGAACCTCTTGGATAACCTTGGAAGGTGCAAAAAAAAGATGAGCAGGGGTGTTTTTTGGGGAAGGAAGCTCTAGAACCTAGCAAGAGCCAGAAACAACCTTTGACCTTGTTATCTTGGGCGTAACCGTTAGAAAGGGACGAGAGAGGTACAAGGAGTTTGTTCAATATCTTTGACCTATTTTTTCTCTCCTCAGAGATCCTCTGTGGATGGTTTTATCCCGGTAACTGATACAATTCAAGAGAGCTGGCTCCTGGCTTCTCTATTGATCAGGTACTTGAGCTTTCCTAGTACCCTGAATGGTTACAATTGAACAAATAATCTAGAAAACGAGGTGGTTGAAGTGATATGGTCAGTTGAAGGTCATACAACATTGTTGACAATGGAGAATTTCTTGTATTTCTTGCCCACGCGGACCTGAAGTGAGGGCGTACAGATTTCTTGGTCTCTCCTTTTTCCACTCAAAGAGTGAGGAAGGCAAAATTTCGTCCCGTTTACGCCAAGGCAGTCGTGTCAGTAACAATTGAAGGAAAAGAGGAATGCAAAATGAAGCAAGGTGCGTGTGAGTGTAAGTGTGCGGTGCTAATACAAGTCGAGTGAGAGGAAGGCCAGGGTCTCTCGCTTGTTCTCATTGGATCGGCTGACGGACAAATGAATTGCGAGCCGAATGAATTATCAGGCGATATTCAATCTTGAACAATAATTATTACACTTCTCCTTTCGCCTTCTCAACGGACCAAAAAAGAACATTTGTTCATGGATTCAGTTCAATTCAATTGCCTCCCCTTCAACTCCTCCGTCCTCCTTGTCATTCCATCTATCATCAATTACCCCCCATCCAAAAAAAAAAAAAAAAAAGTACAACGGACAACGGACAAGGCCAAGCCAAGAATACTGTTGCTGTTGTACTCTGCTCCACACACTCTCGACTGACTGACACGCGTTGCTCCTTTTCCTCTTCTTCCCCACCCCTCCTCCACGTCCTTCATGTTTCATTCCCAACTTTTTTTTTCATTTCTCTTCTCACCTCCACTTTTTTTTTCTGTTCTCTCTTTCTTTTTCTTGACTCTTCTTCACTTTTCTTCTCTTTTGTCTTCAAACGAAACAGAAACGACAATCTATTCTTGATCCCTTTTATTTATTTCATATCGCACTCAACCCTACTCAACCTTGTCTCTCCACTCCTGACAAATATACCCTCTCACTTGTACAAAAACTCAACTCACGACCAGCATATTTCACACTCATTCACCCACCCACTCACTCCACATTTTCTCTTTCTTGCACTTTTCGTCAACCATCCTAACCCACACACATCCTCACTCTCCTACTTAACGACAAACACATCCACAAAAATGGATCTCGCTCAAGCTGTCCGCCAGAAGCGCCTCAAGGCCGGTACTGCCTGCACCAACTGCCGTCGCAAGAAGCTGCGGTGCACAGGCACCCCCAACTGCGTTCGATGTGTCACCCACAAATTGGACTGCATAGTCGATGAGGCCCTGTTCCTGAAGACAAACTCCAACCCCCTTGGCAAACCCTCCCGTTCAAACCGTTCTCAACAACGCACCAAGAGCCTCAACAACAACCCCAACGACAGCAACAACAATAACTCACAAACAGCATCGTCCAATCGAAAGAAAAGTCACCATGGCTCTATCTCGTCGTCCTACTCTGGCGATGAAATGATGGACAGTAGAATGTCGCCCGACTTTTTGTCCGATCGTCGAATGTCGACCAGCAGCTCCACAAGCTTCTCAAGTCTTAGCCCCTCCCCTTCCCCTGCCTACACCTACAACTATTCACATGCTGACAGCATTAATGGCAGTAGCAACAGCATCTTCAAATCTTCCTCCCCCATGTCAGATCACCACTCTTCATCCAAAAACAACGCCTCTTCCCACAACAGCAACTTTTCCTCATCCTATCGATCCGAATCAGGGGTTGGCCCTCTCGACTCTCTTCCCTCCTCATCTCCCAAACACTACTCTTCCTCTTTCCCCTCCACGTCATCCTACATGGACCCTGGTTCCTCCCTGTCATCTTCATTGCATAACGGCATGAACGTGAACAAGAAGCGAGCCTCCAAGGACCAAGAGACGACGAGCAAGCCCAAGCAGAAGCGGAGAGATGACTCTCATGGCGATCGCGACAGTGATCCTGGTTCCCATTCTCCTTTTCTTGCGCCCAACGACTCTTCTTCTTACTCCTCACCATCCTCTTCCAAGGTTCCCTCCTCGTCGTCTTCTTCCTCGACGAAAAATATTCACAACAATGGAGAAGATTTCAAGTCTGTTGTGAGCACGATGAGCCTGGATGGTCATGGTCAGCAGTAAGTGACACTGTCCAATCAACTTTAAATTCCCACATGCTTTCGAAGGAAAGGAAGCCTCAATAGGGGTGCTGCTTTGTTGTTGTGTGCTTGTTTCTTTGTTTATGTGTGTGTGTGTGTGTGTGTGTGTGTGTGTGTGGCCTCGGGTTCGAACTCTTTTCTCCTTCTCTTCGTCGCACACACTACATCTTTCCCTCTCTCTTGTCTCCGATCGATCGTTAACAAACATCACACTGGCCCCTTCCTCACCACCAACAACCATACACGCCCTTCCCTCTCATTTCACTTTCGGGGAAACCTTCCTTCCTTCTGATCTGCACAAACCTTCTTCACCCATCGCCCCACTCACTCCACTTGGCGTCATCATCTATCCCTTCCATTTCTCAATTGAATTTTATTTTTATCAAGAATCGCCCCAAAGGAAAAAAGGTTACTAACCCAAAGCATCTCTCTCTCTTTCACCTTCGTCCCTGCTAACCAACATTTAGTTTCCACGGAAGCAGTTCTGGCTTCTATGTTTGCCAACTCAGTTCCCGCTACCGTCAAGGTGTCTGTAAGTGCCACTTCGCTCTCACGTCTTGTTCCAAAACAACCATTCGCACTTGACAGTGACTCACCAGTTACGCATTATGTTGAATAGACCCCTTGCCAATGGCCCACCTCAACGACAGTGACCTGTGGTCGCACTCACTCCAGATGACCAGCGAACGCGAACTGCCAACAAGGGCCGAGATGGACACCCTCCTCAACCTCTACTTCCGGTTTATGTACCCCTTCGCACCAATGTTCATCCGCAAGAACTTTATGGAGCGACACCAACAACGGCCAGATCTCCCCCATATCCTGATCCTCAACGCGATCTTTTGTAACGCGTGCTGGTACTCGGATGACCCATTGATCAGACAGGACTCGACAAAGTACTTCAACCGGGCAAAGATTATTCTTGACGAGACGTACCATGTCTCGAGGATCAGTGCCATTCAGGCATTACTGTTGATGTCGCATCATCAGCATGCTGTTGGCAACTACTCTGGTGGATGGCTTTATACTGGCATGGCTACGCGTATCGCACATGTAAGTTGTAATGAACGAATAATTGCGTTGAACAAGGACGTCGCTTCTTATTCAGAGTCCCATTCTAACCCCTATTCGCCTTTGTCGTATAATTAATTAGGATATCGGCTTGCATCGCCAGGACTTCCAGGTCAACGAGCCGATCGAAGCAGAGATCCGCAAACGTGTCTGGTGGGCTGTCTACATCGCAGACCGTCTCGGGGCTGGAGTCCTTGGCCGGCCGTTGAACATCCGCGACAAGGAGTACAACGTCGAGATGCCATCGGACGACTGGATCTCCGCTGAAGGTGGGGACAATGCTGTCGAGTACCCCTTCGAGCCCGAGAGGATCGTCTCTATTCGCCTGCTCTGGACCGTCAATCTGTTCAATCAAATGGGCAAAGTCCTAAACACGATGCACTGTATTGAGGCCGAGATCAACGGAGCCTTCTTGGCAGATATTTCCAAAACACAACTCCCACAGCTGCACAACAGTCTCACTTCCTGGTTCCTGTCGCTCCCCAACGAGCTCATGTACACGCCCTACACTATGTCGCCCAACTCGAACCACCCACCTTCTCCACCAACGGCGCTGATGCACATGTTTTACTATACGACCTTAACGATGCTCCACCGACCCTACCTTCGACCCGTCAACTCGGCAGCCATCGACTCCAACTTTTTGGTCTCCTCCCGCAACATTTGCACCGCCGCCGCGACTAACGTCTGTCACATTGCGGACTCCTTGATGCTCCATGGCCAGCTGCGCGATACCTGCTACTACGGCATGGCCTGTCTCTTGGCCGCTGGAACCGTCCATGTCCACAACGCCATCACGCCTACCCCAAGCAACCGTGAGGCGACCCGTGCAGGACTCTCCAAGACTATCAAGGCTACTCATGAGCTAGTAAAGACGTTCCCTGTCGCCGAGTCTTTGATTGCAGTGGCACTCGATGTCTTTGCGAGCCAAATGACTTCAATCCCAACAGAGATGGCGGCTTCCTTTATCGACGTCTCGACTTTTGTCGCGCCCTTCATCGACGTGAGCCAGCTGGCTTCAACCTCGATCGGAAATATCTATGAGGCAGCCAGGCTTGCAAAGATGGCCAAGCATGGACCTGGCCCTGCGCCCTCGATCCAGCTTCGTCACCCCTATGGCAACTTTTCGATGCCTCTCCCGGAACAGGACGAGGACCAGTCGTCTACAAACCTTAGCTCGATGTGGCAGAACCAGATCTCGACTGCGGTGGCCATGGCAGCCATCGCCTTTGGTGGTACGGATCCTCAACAGGAAGAGCAGCAGTTATTTGCCAACCCGCTCGAGTTGCCTGAGGCCCTTCGATTGGCTCCTATAGACACCATGACCTTCCATACCGATGGGTCTACCAATGTCCTTGACTCCTTTGATGCCGATCCGTTCAAGTTGGCTGACCTTTCGGGAGTCACTACTACTTCGACACCCGTCACGACGACATCAGGATTCGAGATTCCTCAACAGCAGGCACAGGTTCAGCACACACCAACATTGCACTCTCAGCTCTCACAGGATTCTAGTCTCACTACCGCACAGACCATCAACCTGATCCAGACCTCACTCCAAGTCTCATCATTGTCCTCCCAGCTGGAAGAACCACCTGTCGTGCAGATAGAGCAGTTGCTGCACACAATGATGGAGGGTGACACTGCCGACCCACCCTCCCCTCCCGCAGTCTCCTCAGACGACATGGACACCGAGTCACTGCTGTCGAACGATACTCCCAGCCCTTCGTCATCCCCTTCCTCCTCAGCCGGACTAGCATCACGTCACGATATCTCGATTCAATGCGGCACTCCCACCCCGCACGAGTCGTTCATTGCAGCCTTGGCGGAGGACACACACGACCACGGCAGCAACCTGGATTTCTTTATCGATGACCACCACTACCAGCACAAGCCTTCGGAATCGCGGTCGCCTTCTTCGAAGGACAGCAGTAGCAGCAGTGGGGGGTATAGTTGTCAGAAGGATGTCGAGAAGGTCAACACCTTGCTCTTTGACAACCAAGTCATGGAGTGCTGAACAGTAACAAAGAGAAACACATGCTCAATTGTAAAATAGTAACAAATAATATCCTTCTTCTTTCAACTTCTTTTGCATGTGCACGTTTCCACCTCGCATATTATTATTTTTTCACCTCTCTGGAAGGTAATGGCTGGGACATGTTAGCTTGTTTATTTTTGTTCTCATATACACACATGTCAATCAACTTGGATCCCATTCCGTTGAAACAACCTCGCAAGTTCTTTATGATCCCCCTTCCGCTCCCCCAACCGCCCCCGAACGACCTCCAACTGCAGCCAATGCTCAATCATCCAAACCGCCGCACTCTTGGACATGTTCATGGTCTGGTGGCTCGAAAGACACACCTTAGTCAGGCGCGTGAGGGTGACAAGTTTGTCCAACCCTTTCCTGAGACGCCAGTCAAGCGCCTCTACAGCTTTGAGAGCTGCGCGGCCTGTGATGGGGTAGTGCCGGTCGAGGTCTAGGTGCTCCAGACGCGTCAGAGTTGAGAGGCGTTCGAACACGCACTGCTGTAGCAGTTGTTGCAGCTCGTCATCCTGTTGGTTGTCGTTGTTGCGGTTACTGCGGTCATACGCTTTGGGCTTGCCTTTCTGACCCTGGCGTCGATTGTGGGCCTGCTGCTGCTGTCTTCCTGATCCTTGTAAACGACTGTCACTTGATGAAGAAGAGCTGGACGGCCGCGAAGACGGCGATGCCACGGAGAGATCGATAAAGATAGCCCACGACTGCAGGCCCAAACACACCCAGGGGTCTCCATCCACGATGTCCGACGCATGAATCGAGTTCGCAGCAACAGATTTCAACCCCGGGCAAGAAGCAAGGACTTGCTGGATCATGTCCCCCGTAACATTCGAGCACAGCCGCAGATCCAAATCGACCATACCTTCAAAGAACCGTCTTATGGATCGAAATGTCGCATCGCCAACTAGAACATTCCCCAAGGCCAGTCGCTCCATGGTATCGCTAGCGCGATCTAGCAAGATGGCCAGCTGCTGATCCGACACCGCCAAAGACTCCTTCCCGCTCGTCAACTCCAACGAGGTCAACTCCATCCATTGTTGGAGAGGTTCCTCCCTCTCTTGGCCACGATAGTCCTGCCAAAAGTCATCCTCCGTCGTCACCCACAATTCTCTAGACGCCAGTCCAGCATAACTCCGATGCAATTGCCAAACAAGACTATTCAACCTCGGACTGTTCGCAATAAACACCTTGAACTGCGTTCTGGGCATCATCCCTCGAACCTCGACCAACTTCAAATGTCTCAACGCGCTGGGAGGCCTTGGTTCAGTCTCCATCACCATCGCTGCCGCCTCCGTGATCTCGGTAACAGATTCGCCCCACAACGGCGCCTCATTCTCAACACTACACCGAGCCAGCTCCAGTCTTGTCAGGTGTGGACAAGCAGCCCTCCAGATTAACATCAAATCCACGCCCCTGATCTCCCGGCCAACCAAAGAAAGACTCGTGAGTATCGAGGACGAATACGACAACGGCGGGGGGAAACAATCGATGACAGCCTCCCAGAAGGAGAGATGAGGGATCCCGCAGGGTGGCGGCGAGAGAAGGACAATCTCAAGTTCCCTGAGTGTTGCCCGGTTTTGGAGAACCAGCTCCGCCAGCCTCTTCCACATATCGATTCGGCCACCGCTCCTGCCCGGTCCAAGCGAATTGATGGGCTCATCGTCGCTCTCGTAGTCGAAATCATACGCGCTGCGGTTCCAGTCACTCCAAAAGCTATCGTCACTGCTCTCTCCACCACCACCACCACCACCACCACCATCCACGCCTATAATTCTTACGCCATCATCATCCTCGTTGTCCTCGTGATGGTCCTGGTTGCTGCCACTGTCACTGCCACTGTCACTGTCGCCTACAATGACCTCGTCACCACCACCGTCGGCCAGCAACAACAAATTCCATCGCCCAGCAGTGCTCACGGGATTACTAGGTCCAGAATTCTCATCATTGTTCCTGCGACCATTGTTGTTGTGGTTAATGTAAAAGTTGTTGTTGTGCGCATAACTTGACGATGGCACCGAAGGAACAGTGGCCGAAAGCCTTAAATGCTCCACCCTCTTACACCCCTCTACCGCCAACTGCACCTCCTCCGCCGCCACAGGTCCCTCCAACGTCAACGACTGGATCAAATGTCCATGCTCCCGAAAAACAATCAACGGCGGCGGTGGCAGATACGTAACCCGGTTGGGGTTCTGGGAGGATCGGAGTATGGTCTCTCTCCAGATGAGCGGCTTGAAGGACTGTCGCCAGGCGTGGGAAACTATTGAGGCGTGGATCAGGTCTTGTCGGGTGAGGTATTGGCCGATGATGGATCTGATCTCGGGTAGGTTGAGCGCATTCTCCTCCTGGTGCATTGTTTTTTGCTTCCTTCCGTGTTATTGTTCCATGAGCGTGGCAGTGTTATTGGACTGATTAAATGTGAATGTGTGCGATCCAAAACAAAAGACATGACCCTGCTGGCTTTCTAGATCAAATTACACGTGACTCGGTATTCAACAAGCGGAAGATAACAATTGTCAGTAGATAAATTTCTTAAAAACAAAAAAAAATTAACAACTGTCAGTATGACTCTTCCGGGCTGCGGCACTTTGTGTTTTTGTTCAAAAAAGTTTTATTTGTAGCTTTGGAGCTGGTAATGAAGGGCACATATTGATTGAAAGGTATTGAAGATTACAATGAAAAAAGAACTATTATGCAAGAGAGATTGTACAGAAGAGAGGAGAAAGCGCTCATGGACGAGCGGTGAGGGCAGCGTGAGCCTCGGCCAACTTGGCCTCGAGCTGGGCAATACGAGCGTTCTGCTCGGCCTCACGGACAAGGTGGGAAGTCTTCTCAGTCTCCAACACGGCAACACGCATGGTCAGACGAGTCTTGTCCGCCTCGAGCTCAGAAACCTTGACTTCCAGACTCTCGAGCTTGACAAGCTTCTTCAGACGAGAGCGACGGGCAGCGTCGGTGTTCTTGGCACGCTTGGCAACCACCTCCTCGGGCTCATCAGCAGGCGAGGCAGCACGCTTCTTGTTGATCGTCGACGAGAAAACATAAGACTGCTCAACAGGCTCGATCTTGGGTACAACAAAAGCTGCAGCGGCGGTGAGAGCGGGGGCCGAGGGGAGGATAGTGGTGGCATGGTTAGCGGCCTGGGCCATGACGGCAAGCTCCAAGTCATGGCTCCAGGGGATGTTGAGAGCAATGGCAGCCTGCTGGACTGCGGCAGTGGTCAACATGGGAGGGGCCTTGACGGGGGGGAGGGCGACAATGGGAGAAGCGGGGGTAACGGGCGCAACAGTGGTGGCGGGGATGACGGGGGAAGCAGCGACGAGACCCAAGGGCATGTCAAAGAGCGAGGGGTTCATGGCCGAACCGAACGACTCGAAACCCAGAAGGGGCGAATCGTCCAGAGCGGTGTAGGGGCTCGAGGACAAAGAGGAATCATCACCGGAGAGGGCACCGAACTGGAAGTCGGACGCCAACCACTCATCAAACCCACTGCCATTGTTGGAGACAGCAGCAGTGGCGTTGATGAGGTTGTAATTGTCGCCGGCCAAAGGAGTAGCATTCTTGCCAACTATTGTTGAGAGACAGAAGGAGAGTTAGAAAAGGGCTTATGGAAATGCTTATCGGATAAAAAAGACAGAAATTCTTATCGGATATGTAGAAAGAGATACTTACATTGGGCAAGAGCAGACTCCAACGAGTCGGCCGACTTAGAGAGCTTGGAATCGGTCATATCAAACATTGGGATATTGATAGAGATGGCCATTGTAGGAGAGGAAGGGAGGTGTGTTGAAAAGGATATGTTGTTCGTTTGAACCGTTTGAAAGGGGAGCTGGATCACTTTAGGAGTGTAAGGCAATTAAGGCGATGGAGGGGATTACTACAGAGATAATCGAGTATACGTTGTTGATATTGATATTATAGTTGTTGGTGGGGGTGTTAAAGGAAACCATCTTGGGCGAGATTGGGGGGAACCGTAAAGGTTGAAAAGCTTGGGGATTGGGGGTTAAGGGTTTAAAAAAACTATGCGAGTGCCTGGGGCGGGGGGTTGGAATGCGATTGGATTATTCTTAATGTTCTGGTGCGATATGGGGGGTCTTGTACAAGAGTACAAAGGCGTTTAAGCGGAGAAGGCCATCTTGGCTAACAAGGCTGTTGTTGCGTGGTGTAAAGGGGTAAGGGTAGTTTTAAAAAGGATGGAGAGTACGTCCACAATAAAAGAGAAGAGGAAGAAAGAGTGCTTGAAAGAAGAAAAAAGGCGCAAGGGTGTGTTATAGCAATAGCTTAAAAGTGTTTGAAGAATGGAGTGTTATTTGTGTGTGTGAAGGGGTGAGGAGTAATGTAAAGGAGAGGAGAGAAAAAGAGAAAAGAGAAAAGAGAGAAGGAAAAAAGGAGAGAAGAAATAGAAAGAGAGAGAGAGCATTAAGGGGTGCAATGCAGAACACTCAACATTATTGTGCTGTTGTCTGATTGGCCCATCGGTCTTTGCCCTCCCGCCGCTTTTTCTTTTTTTCTTTTTTTTATTTTCCTTGCTCGGGATAGCTGATCGCTCAGGTCCTGTACCTTGATGCTCGTAATGTGCAGATAGGCCTTTCCTTTGCTTCTCATTCCATAGTCTGCGCTCTTTTCCCTACAATCGGAGGTTCAAAAGGCATGTCCCCACCATCCATCTCAAACAACTCCATTCGAACTAAAATAAACTAACACAAACTTGTCCTTTCTACAAATATCTCTTCTACCATCAAAGAAAAAAAGAGAAAGTCCCAAGACCTGGTTCCTGAACCCTTTACTCCAGTAGCCTTCTTTGCGAGGATCGCTAGTTACCAAAGCATCACCCGTAGGTGAGCTTGGAAAACTGTATTTCCGAGAGTGCTTTGGTTGAACTAACGAGAGGCTAATGGTTCAGGGTACCACATGCTATTTGCTATTCATGCCATACCTTTTTTTTTTCTCTCTTGTTTTTCGGTCAGGGTCGTCGTTCCTTTTTTTTTTCTTTTGTTGTTGTGTCTGTCACCTGCAGCCACTTCAAACTTTCTCGCCCCCCTTTTTTTCCACAGTCCCCCCTTCTCTCCCATGCCTTGCGAATGAAAAAAGACAAAGCAAAATAAACAATGAGGTCAGACAGCTGCATCGACTTTTGTTGTGGGTGTGCGTGCCCTGCACCAAACTGACAAAAAAAAAAGAAATACAACTTTAACCAGCAAGGCAGGCAGGCAGGCATGTGGACGATAATTGATGGCGTGGGTCCTTCCTTGATTGCAGGGAGAAAGGAGGGACAAGATCTGTCCTGGGGCATAAAGATAGGTACTCACACGTTAGCGTCCTTCTTTTTTTTCCTCCCCTTGTGAACTTTGTTCTTTTCTTTTTTTCATGCATCTTGCCACTTTAATCACACTTTATATCCGCGTTCGGAGCAGTCGGATAATAAATCAGCGGTTATGAACAGTTAAAAAAAGGAACACAGCAGATGGCATGGCATTGACGGTGGGAGGAAAACAACTATCGTCATGCATTGATGTATGGGTCTTGATTCTTTTTCACTGTCTCGTCTGTCCATGACGTTTGAACAAGGGTGTATGTAGAAAAATTTTGTGCCACAGTGACCCTGCTCGCCTTGAAGAAAAAAAAACCTCCTATTGGGCCTTGCACATGAAAGCATGAAAATATGAAAATATGAAGGATGAAAGGGCGGCCAGAGTCAGGGTACGATTCAGGAACACGTTGCATCCTTTTGCCTTTGACCCTAGATTGGCAACTATCGTTACTGTTGATGTTGTTACTATCGTTCTTGCGACCATCCATACCTTGATATAGCTCCTTGCTATCTGTCCCTGCTCTGTGGTCAATCGGCAAAAATGTTTGTTCCTGAGGAGTGAGACATTGATTGGAAGAAAAAAAAAACCACCGACGCCACCAAGTTGATAAAGTCTCCTTCCTGTAAACATACACCGCAAATCTCACTCGGAATCCTACCTTCTCTCTTTTTTTCTACCGTTCTCCTATTTGACAACCCACATCCCCGTCATTGACCAAACTCCATTGTTTATTTCGACGATACTCTTGCGAAGAGAAAAAAAAAGGCGAATGATCATGGTTCAGCCCCAACTGCATTGAGAAAGAGCGAAATCCGTCAGGCACTGCTCGCGGCGACGATTATTCTGGCCATCAAACCATTGAACCAGCTTCTTGACCCACGGTTGCTCCATGACATCTTGAGGACCCTGCAAACTGATATCCACATCCTCCAAGCCCGGTTCATAACAGTCAAAAATCTGGGTCGAGACCATCTCGGGTGTCAAAGGTCCGGTACTGGCAGCAACAGCAATGCGGAGGTACCGCAGAGGAGGTTGGTTTCTCGCCAGACCGTCAAAGACAGACAAATCGGGCAACAGACCTCGTTGGAACGAAAGGTGCTCGAGATAAGGCATCCTCTTAAGGAAGTCACCCAAGATCGATGTGTGGTTTGTCGTGAGGTCTGTGGGCCATCTCGAGATGTAGGCCTCCAATCGCAGTATTCGAATGGTGTCCAGAAAGACCGGAAGTTCTGCTGTCTGTGGTGTTGGCGGTGCAACCGTTGTTGTTGTTGCTGTTTCAGCTGTTGCTATTAGCGGTGTCGGTGGTTGTGTAGGGTGCTCCGATCCTGCTTGGATCTCAGAAGGCTCTTTGTACCAATCGCCTCCAGAAACGCCTGGCCCGAGTCCCATAGCTCCAGTGACTCCAAAGACCGAAGACACTCCAGCCGCGTAAAGTCTCTGAGGTCTGCCGCAGTCCACGGGAAAGGGAAGGATAGTAACTTGAACTGGTTGCGCACACCGATGCCCTTGAAAGCCTGCACCATCGAACACACATTAATTTACCAGCGTGTTCCATCGACAAGCTTGTCGTCCGAGGTAGTATAAACAGGAGAACGACAATACTGTCCGATTCGACACAGGTGAGTGTCACTGTTTTGAAGGACAAGGTGACTGAAGGATCAATGGGTGGCAATGGGCAGTAGTTGCTCCTGATTTGGATGCTGACGCGTTCAACGCTGGGAAAGATTTTGTTGAGTTGAATGAGCTCCTGGATGGTCAATGAGGTTGTGTCGAGGAAGAGAGCGGTGATTGCTGGAAAAACGTCTGGATGTGGGAAATTCCGTGGCGATAGTGGTGTGGCAGTGAACGAGGGAGTGGAGACAGATGGCGCGGCAGCATTGGGCTCGACCTCCAAGGGGATTTGGTAGACGCTCGGCGTGGTCAACTTTGGTCATACGTTCCGAAGGATATTGACCATGGTGGACCATCGCATGGGTCAGGGACTCGGCTCATACACGTTGAAGATCTCCAAGCTCGACAGTCGCCAGAGGATCAACCCCAAATGACTCTCTAGGCCGCTTTCGCGGTCAAAGAGGCATCTCGGACTGACAAGGGTGTTCCATTCGTCCAGTGTGCCATTGAAGGGATGGCCCAATGAGCCATTGGAGGGTTGGCCTGAAACACTGATATTCAGCTTTGTCAGGTTAGCTCCCAATGTTGCCCCTTCTTTGAACAGCGATCCAAAAACGCGGTTGATGGGCAAGGCAGTCGGTGAAGGTTTGTCAATGGCGAGTCGGAGGCGTTGTAGATGAAGCGAAGTTGCAAAGGCGTCGAACGAGTCGGAGTCGTCGTTGGTGAGACTGAGAGACCTGAACAGGCGTCCTGCGTTCTGAATGATTTGAAAATGATCTGAGGAGAGAGGGCGCCTGGAGTAAGGGTAGTGCTCAGGGATGCGGATGAAGAAGTAGGGTGCGCATGCTTGAAGGAATGAGTGTGAGACTAGACGGAACTTTGAGAGATATCGTTTGCCGGCTGAGATGAGGATGTATGAGAGGACCTCTGGGACGGCGAGAGCTTTGTGGTGGCGGATATGTCTGTGGGAATGGCGGTGGCGTCAGCTGGGCAGCAATGGGTGGTAATGGTTGAGGAAGGGAGATGGAAGAGGGAATAGAAAGAAAGAAAGAAAAAAGAAAGGAGAGAAAAGGATTTGTTTTTCAGAGAGCGCACAACATAGCCGCAAAAGGGAATAAGATCAACCCAAAGCGACATAATACGCATTGTGAGAGCAAACACACTCTGAATGCCTTTGTTCTGACCGTGGCAATTGACGTTACTGTAGCTGCAACCCTAGGTGGCTGGACACTCGTGAACATGTTACGCCGGGGATACGTTTTCCGTAGTTATTGTTGTATGGAAGGAAGTAGCCAGTGGACAAACTGACACGTCTCCACAAAGCCGATGTCTGCCCTTGTGACCGTTTTGCTTTTAGACATAACGACAGGTTAAAATGCTTATTCTTCCACCCTTACTCCTTTTTTTTGTTACCTTCCCTTCTCTTTCCATTACGCTCAATTGAACCCAACAATCCACACACTCCTACTCTCCCTCCTCTATTCGGCAGCGCAGCACAACAAACCTTCTTGTCCAACAACACACTCTTCATGCGCACACTCCATTACCTCTTGGCATGCTCCGCCATCCTGGTCTCATGCTCCGAAGCATGGCAATGGCCAAACCCTGCAGCTGCAGCTCCAAGAATGCCCCAGATACCATTCTCCTGGCCCTACCACCGTCCTTCTCCTCCTCAACAACCTGATTCAACCACCTTTATCCCCCAAAAACAAATCTTCAAGTTGCAACACATCCTCGCCCACGGAGCACCAGGCGCCAAAAGCGCCAAGGTTTTCCGTAGCCTGGCCGTTGATCAGGTGACCCGACTTCAGATGGCCCAGGTCAACAGCCTCCTTGCTGCCGAAAGCTTCAGCCCTGGAACGACTTTCGAGCATTCTGTCACCGATACCTTCTTCCCTATGGACGGAGGCGAAGACGATGATGATGAGGACACGACTCGTTCACAAGATACTAGCAACAACAATGTTTTCCCTCTTCCCTGGAAACGAGTCCCCAATGCCGAAGATCACGCGACGGTGGTATCGATGGTTCGAATGGCACTTGATTGCTATATCGATCCCAAGAGACAGGGATGGGTCGACATTGGAGACAACTGGGATGTATCGACCGAGATTGGATGGCTCGAGGCTGGTCTGCGAGGATACATTTTTGCATCGGAGGATCAGAAGACGATTGTCATCGGTATCAAGGGTACCTCCCTCAAGCTCTTTGGCACTGGTGGTGGTCCCACCGGCAACAACGACAAGCTGAATGTACTTTGTCTCTGTGTTTTTGCCGCCTAACAAAAACGATGTCTGTTCGTTCGAATTAGTGGAGCTAAACAACCTTATTTTCACCAATAGGACAACAAAATGTTTTCGTGCTGCTGTGGCAAAGTCGATCGGACCTGGTGGGGAGTTTGCGGATGCTACATGGGCGGGAATAGCTGCAACCAGCAGTGTCTTGTCGACGATGCAAAGAAGGACCTTGACGAATCCGAGAGCTACTACGCTGTGGGCCTTGTATGTCTGGTTCAATTTTTGCCCATTTGTGTCATTCTTTGTTTATTTGCCTGCTTGTGTACCTGCATCCTTCTGACACTATGATCATTTCGTTTTGATTGACTATAGAAAGTTGTTACGGCTGCAAAGGTGTTGTACCCACATGCTAGCATTTGGCTTACAGGTCATTCTCTGGGTGGCAGCGTTGCCTCTTTGTTGGGAATCAGACAGGGCTATCCTGTCTTTACTTACTCATCCCCTGGAGATGTTCGCTACGGCCAAAAGGTCGGACTCGTCAAGCCTCACCTGAAGGAGTCTGATCTCAAAAAGATGCCCGTCTGGCAGTTTGGACACACCGGTATGATTGCTACTTTTTTTTCTCCCTATGCTCTATGTTTTTACTCCTGTGCTGGTCCCATCTTTTTGCCCGTTCAACCCCTCACGTTCATATACATTGCTATGACAAATAGGCGACCCAGTTTACATGGGAACGTGCAATGGTGCGGCATCGACATGCTACTCTGCAGGCTACGCGTTGGAGACCAAATGCCACCTGGGCAGGGCCTGTGTCTATGACACCATGACTGAGCTCGGCTGGGGACAAGACATCAGGGGTCATACTATCTTCACATTCATCAATGTGGTCGAGAACTGGTACAATATGACCAAAGGACGGGAAAAGGTCCCCAAGTGTCTCCCCCAGACGGATTGTCAGGACTGTGTTCAGTGGCAGTACGTTTAAGTGCCAGCTGGAGTCACCTCTGGTCAAAACTATTTCTTTTTTCTTCTTACTCTTGCAAAGCACAATTTGCAGTGGCGAACTCTATGGATTCTCTAGACGGAATAAAAGAATCAGCTCAACAGGTGCCATTGAGCTGCTTGGGCATGTCTTCTCAGACAAAAAAAAAGATGGAAAGAGCAAAGTGTGAATTGTTGCAAAAGAAATGTGGAGAATGAGAGACTTGAACTCCCGACCTTCCGCTTTGGAGACGGACGCGCTGCCAATTGCGCCAATCCTCCTTATTTCGATATTTTATGGATATCGAATTAATATTCATACTTCCTTAATTTAAATGAATTAAGGGTCCTTTAAAGAAATCCTTGAATTTTCCGGGTGAAATTAAATGTGCCCAACTGGTGCTTGAAGGTTAGGTAAATTGGGTAATTCTTTTCTCGATCGAGACGAGAAACCGATGTGGATTGTGTCGGATCTCCTCTGCGGCATCACCCCCTTGAGCATGTTGACTGAATGGTCCGCGGTCTTCCGGACCCCAATGTCCATCGCCAAGACAGTCCTTCACAAGTTTGTTGGCTACCTGGAGGCGCAGGCCTCGGAGCTGATCTGGAAACCTCGGTGCTCCGCGACGATCGCGTGGGAACAAAGCCAGGGCATCTCTGCCAAGGACAAGACATCCAAGTACACAGGCCCCCGAGGTGACTGGAGTCAAGGATACGGTTACATCACGCACGATGGTTTCTGCCCGTGTGGCGCTTCGCTAGCCACACATTGTGAAGGAAGGTGCCCTGGGGCGACCAAGGACCCACGCGCTGCTGACGAGCGGTTGTTGGAGAGTTTGTTAGGAAGGAGGAGGTTATCAATGATGGAGAGGATGGGAAGAATCCCCTTCATTCGTATCTAGTTTTATTTTCTTCCGTTTAAGCTGTAAAGAGCAGCGACAATTGTTGCGCAGAGCCAGGTTCTGGACCGGACTGCGACTGGTGGATGGTGCACTGAAGAGTTTGGTCTGTAGTCCCCTTTTTACTTCCAAATGACTTCTCTATGCTGTTTGTCAGAGAAATAAAATTGTGTACCAAAAAAAAAAAAAAAGGTAATTCTTTTCTAATGGCTACTTTCCAGAATAGTGGAGCGCTTCTGAGAACCTTAGCGCGCTTTTTCTCCTCGCCCTCGGCAATTGCTGATGAGGTGAAATGGTATGTTGTTCATTAACTACGGAAATGATACAAGGACACGCCTCTGTTGTTCGTCTGGAGTGGATGAGTGGGTATCAGAAACGTGAGTGAGTAACATTCGGTTGAAACAAAACTACATTGAAAGCTAGAGACGGATAAGCAGTTTCTAGAGTAGCTCCACTCCAGTACCTCATCTCGGTTCAGTGTTCTTTGTCGACATTCTCGCATTGGTATTTAGTATGTACATACTCTATTTCTTTGAAAGGTTAACCCGTTATCATTATCGGCTGCTAAAATAAGAAAAAAGGCTACAGGGAAATCTGCTGCGTTTCACGACTCGGACCAGCTGGTCCATGCATGTTCAATTTACTCTTTTTTATTTTTCTTGATTTCTCGCGCTGAATTTTCTCGCCGTTTTGTTTCCAGCAGGGATGAATGAGGCAGGTGTTCGTTCACACGCAGGGCCATGATGGTATGGTATGGTATGGTATGGTGGTTTGGTGGTTTTGGCAATCAACATCACCTCCAATATCCGAGGAGGTGTGTCCGGCGAATGCAGGGCTATATTCCAACAGATGTCATTGATTTGGGAAAATGGAGGGAGGGGAGCCATGAGCCGAGCGAGGAAAAATAATGTGGGTATGGCAGTGTGGTTGCTCCTGGGCAAACAAATGCATGAAATGGCGGTAATGCGGAGTTGGTACTGACCTGATGAAGGCAATTATGATTGTGCAGAAAAGGGCATGGAGGGAGAGGACGAGGAATGGATCATGAGGAGGTGGTACAGACATGTGTCATTAGTTCTTTGTCCTCCAACCTAGCTATGATAGTCTGTTTGACTCTGAAGCGGGAAACGTAATTGTGCCTCTTACATTGGTGCGGGTTATTTTAGTGTGTTTGCTTTGTGGTGTGTATATATGTGATCAGTCAACTCGGGGCATTGGACCGTGTCCTTTTGTCTGTCCCCGCATATCCTTGTCGATTTGTTCATTATAACTTGCGACAGAGGACTAGTAGCGCGTGCTGCTTCTCAGTATCACGAAATTGCGTACATTAGAAAGAAAAATGAGGAGGTGGGGGTGTGTGTCAACGATGGTTCAAGAAAGTAAAAGAAAGTGGAAGAAAGGCTAGCTCCTGACATTTCTTGGTGAGAGGTGTACCGTGTCGCAAATACCTTAGACGCTCGCTTGTCCTAAGAGCAGGAGCATGGGCATGACAATGCCAAGATGCGATAGGATAGAGGAATAGAGGAAGGGATGATCAAGCTATGTCCAACTGTTAAGGAGGAACTGAACGAGTACCTGGGTAAGCAGAAGTGTCACCGGGTCTTGCCTCCTGAAATGTTTACTTAAAGTAGAACCTAAAAGAGAAAAAAAAAATAGCTGGCCAAAGCATTTCTAGGATTTTTCCTTCTCCCTTTTGAACGCCACCTTCTTGTGGCAATCGCCGCACATCCCAGTTAGTTTGGCACCCTAAAAAAGAGATCTTGTTCTTGGTGTGTGTTCGGCATGATCAATCGCAGAACAAAAGAAAAAAAATGCACAGGCGGTGTTTGTGCATTTGCATTGTTGGTTATTTTTTCTGACTAAGGAGCAATTGCGTCCATGTGTTCATAACTCAACACCACTGTGTTTGGTTGGCTGGGCGCAGAGACACATGTTTGTCGTTGGGGGTAAAGGATACGTTGCACAAAGGAGGAAAATAACGCTGTTACGCTTGGTGCTGCCTGTATAAAAACAGACAGTGCGAACCTAAGGTCCAGTTAGCTATTTGAGTATACGTTTATCTGTCAGTCATCAAGCCAGGATATTGTATGTCATTAAGCCTCTTGTCGTTCACCCTATTGCTGTCAGGACCCGAGCTGATTGAGGCGCGAGAGGAAACGGCGTTCGTAGTAATTGAAGTGAACAAACAAACGTCAACTTGAGCTGCTTACTGCCTCCGAGGCAGTTGGGCTGCTGCATGCAAGTGCACGAATGACCTTTCTTTGAAAGTAGAGAGGGAAACAGGAGCGAGTGAAAAATAAGGGGTGTACTATGGGATTGTCCTTCAGAGTATCGCTAATGTCCGAGGCGTAGGGGCCAACAAGGAGAGGCGGAAAAAAAATTGTTGTGCCTTTTGGGCGTGGAGTAGATGATGAGAATCCACTTTAAGGTGAACCAATCTGGCCAAAATGAGAGAGATAGGGAGGAAGAGAAGGAGTGGTAGAAGAGCGCGAAAGACAGACGAATGAAAAGTCGACCTTTTACAAGTGTCAACTTGCACAAACAAAGAGAGCCCTTTTTCCTAGCAAAAGTGACAGAAGGAAAGAAGAGAAGAGAGAGAGCGAGAGGGAGAGGGAGAGATGCTTTGGCTGTTTCTTGTTTGAAGGGAGAAGGGAATTGACATATGGGCTCGACTAAGGGTGGGTTTGTTTTGGTGGGTGGGAGGGTGTGAAAATGAAAGAAAGAGTGAGATGTTCGATGTGGGAGGAGAGGAAGGCGACACTTTACCCCACAACTCATGGGCCAAAGGGGCACAACATATTTTATTCCTTTGAAAGAGAACAGTGCCCACAGACCCTTCATGACAACGACACTTCATGACAACTCCCTTCTCCTGTACTCTGTGGTGTTGACGACTAGATTGAAGTAAACTAACAAGTCCACTTGACCGCTCAATTCTCTTTTCTTTTTCTTTTCCTTTCCAACGACCCTTTGTCGCGCCTCTACTCCCTCTCTCCCCTTTACTTTCCCTCTCTTCTCTCCTCTCCCTCCTTCCCTTTCTCCTTTACCTCTCCTTCAGTCGAATCAGATTCCTCCTCCTTCGGTTCATTCCTTTTCCGATTTCACGACCACACGACTTTCTTTCTTTTCATCTCATTCCCTTCACTCCATTCCTTACTCTTCACACCCTCCTTCAACTCCTCACCTTCGACAACTCGACTCCACTTCCCTTCCACACACCAAGCTTCAGTGAACCCCCCTTTTATTTATTACACGCCATTCATCCAACCGCAAGCTGGACCGGGAATCAAACATTCATTCTCTCGTATCATCATCCCGTTGCTCCCCGACGCCCACTCGCCCTCCTCCTCGTGCGCTTTCATATTCTTTTGTAAATAGGTAACGTATTCATCAACAAGCGGAAGACCAAAATCAACAGCCTTTTTGCGACACATGGCTTATCATCAACAACACTCCTCTTGTTCTTCATCGCACGTTTTTTCAATCCCTCAATGGTGCCTTCCTCATGGTTTTCTCTCCCACGCCGCCCTTTTTCATATGCTCGGCTGTTCTTGCGCCCCATAAAAAGAGCGGCCGTTATTCTATCCATGTCACGTTGTCAGCACACTCGCGCACACAGACATGCCCTCATCCTCACTTGCATAATTTAAGATACCTGGTGAGGTATACATGAGCGCTCGCATCCACCACGAATCATTTTTGTATCTCTTTTCGCATTACACTCTTCCCAACCATTTAATTGCGCAAGGGAGATTGAGATTGCCCTTTTGTCAATTGGCTTTAGAAGGTAGCCCGATTATGTTACGTTCCTGTAGCTACCAATTGGCGGAGCATACATTGGTACATGGCTTGGGATAATGGGCAATGGTGGAAAGAAAAGAGTGGGGTTGATCAAGAGAGGAGACAGCCAGGTCTGGACCGTCTCGTCTTTGTCATGCTGTTCTCTGTTTCTCTTCGGTTCTCGGGTTTAGTCGACCCAATCGACAATTGTTGCTGGGTTAAACATATCTATTTCTTTTTTTTACTTTGGCGTTAGTTCTGAACTTGTCGATAAACAAGAAAATCAAAAAAGAGAAGGGAAGAGAATGTGAAGAGAACAGCGGAATAACTGATGAGAGAGAGAGAGGAAAAAAAGACCTGCGGGGGTGATCAATGGATGAGACTAAGAGAGTAGGTGATTGATCATCCAAGGAACCGGGTCTCAAATTTCAGGCACGGTAAATTTCTTTTTTGTACTCAGACAATCCAGGTACAATACCCCTCCACAAAATCGTAAGGTCCATTCAGAAAAAGGCAGATCAATTGATGTGGGGTGGGTAGAGTTGCAGCGAAGAAGGAAGAGGAAGAGATATAGAACTGTAATAGAACAAAGGAGAGCAGTGAGAGAAAGATGATTACGGTATGCGTAGAAAATGAGAACAAGCGAACAAACAACAAACAAGAAACTCTCCGGTCCAACATGTGGAAGGTGGCAGAGCTGCTTCGATCATTATTCTCAGACATCATTAGGTGCGCCACTTTCTCCATAAGAGAAACTAGTTGTCTCTTATTCTTGTGTTTGTTGTTCCTTTCTGTCACACCTTTGTTTGCTGCTCACATGCTAATATTCTTTGACCGGTGGGAATAAAGCACTCTCAGCTGATCCTTCAGTCATTCGCTACCTCCACACCTCATCTCTCTCTTTTCATATCATTCATCACCCTTTCTCGTTCTTATCCACCTTGTTTTTGCCCACTTCATCAACTACAGCGATCTCACTCTTGTGTGTGTGTGACATCACGACCTTGGTCACCTCAAGAAGCTAACCTTGTCAATCCTTTCCTTCCTTTATTGAACATTTTACTCACTAGCTTCTAGAGCAATCATATATATATATATACCATGAGCGAATCTACTTTTACCGAATCTTCCGCTTCCGCAATCACAACCTCTTCCTCCTCCACCGCCACAGAAACCATCACCTCCAGCATCATTTCCTCTCTCACATCAAGTTTCACAGCAACAGCAACCTCCTCGTACGCCCTCCCAACACAAACACCAACACCAACATCATACCCAGACGCTTCCGTAGACGGAAACTATCCAGGCTATCCAGACCCATACAGGGACCCAAGCCTGCTCTGTGACTGGACGCGGACAGCAACTGCCTGCAGGGATGCGGAATTTGTAAAGTATATGCTGATCACCTCCTCGGTGGCCCATCTCCTCGTGACCCTGTTCGGACTCTGGTTGCTCGCCTACCGGAACCGAGGATTCAACAGGAAGATTGTAACTGAGCTGTTTAACTATGTCGGCACTGGTCTCCGGCCCAAGCCTGTAAGTTATTTTTGCCATGTTTGCAGAATGCACCGGTACATGCAGGTAAGATAAATAGAAGGGACTAACGCGTCGTTTCGCAATTAATCACGAATAGATGGACTGCATCATCTTTTTCACGTCGATTGCTTGCGTAGTCAAGGTGGCAGCAAATCTCATTCTTGTCTTTGGTGTGCTTAGTGACCACATGTGGCTCCGTATCGCCATTGAGCAACTCTTCTGGTAAGAATGCACGTCTGCACTTGGATGCGTTCGCCAAACGCGTTTATTTCTTGCACACCTTTCTAACCATCGCTTGTTCACTTGTCAAATATAGGATTTTCGTCGCGTTCGCATTCTCGGCATACTTTGTTGGTTTGCTGTATGCCATGCCCGTCACAACTCGCGAGGGCATCTTTGCAGTCTACCAGCCTGAGGTTGCCTACGGCGCCACTCCCCTGTCTCCTATCCATGTCTTGACACCTACCACGGTTCAAAAGAACGTAATACTGGCCATGGGTCTCATCTACCCAACGGTGTTTGGCGCTGGTCTCGGAATTGCCTCTGGAGCACTGCACGACAATGGCTACGAAGAAGCCTCCAAGGTCTTGCTCTACTTGCAGTACTCTAACTGGGTCTTGATCCTCTGGGCGATGGCGGCGATGTTTTTCTACTATGGTCTCAAGTATACCTTCATTCTCCGGGCCAACATTATTATTGCCGAGGCTGCTCTCAAGGCTCCCCGTGCAGCTTTCGGAATCGGTAACCTCAAGTCGCGTTCGCCTGCCCGATTCTTGTTTATTCAACTCCAGATTACTGGATTTGGCGGCTGTGCGGTCACTGTCCTGGCTGGGTCGCTCTGCATGATTTGGGTCATCTGTCGGGATAGGATTCTGGAAATGCAGGAGGACCGGTGGCCCCATGTCATGGCTGTCTTTTGGACATGCGCCATTGCCCTGGCCTTCTTTGTCTTCATGACCTTGATTGCCGCCCAGTCGATTCGAAGCCGGAGACGCAACCTGAACGAGCCCTCGACGACGACTCTATCTTATTCTGGACCTTCGAACGGACAAAGGAGTTCGAGCAACAAGACCTCTAAGCAAGGAGTGCAGCAAGGTGGAGTTCATGGATCAGATCCCGAGGCTAGATTGACGCAGCAGTACAGCTACGACGATTTAAGCACCGTCGACTCTGAGAAGCACTCCTTGGAGCGCATGGACAGGCACATTGGCAACCAGGATGACCTGGAGAGAGCCGCCGCCGCCGCTTCCGTTGCTGCTATGGCCCATCTCTCCGAGAGTATGGACCGTGAAGGGAACGGAACAATACCTCGCAACGGATCTTCCGGTTCGGCCGGTCGACCCTTGACCATTCAAATCAACAGCGGCAATGCTTCGACCAATGTCAACGGCCATAGCAACATCCGTGAGTCTGTATTTGGAGGACGAACTGTTAGGGAAGAGACTACCGGCCCAACCTCACCCTCGCATGGTTTCTCGCTGCCTTCGTTCCCTCTGGTTGCCATGCGTTCGGGATCTCGCAATAGCGTTCAGCCTAGACCCTCGACCAGCTCTACCAACCAAACATCCTCCGGTAACCACACGGCCTCGACCACATCCTCCCGTTTCTCGCTGGGCTCTAACAAGCGTGCATCTCTCATTAGCGCTCACGGTCAACAACAACAGCAGCAACAGCAACAACCTACACCACTTTCCCCTACTAGCCCCACTTACGTCACGAGCCCTACTCATAGCCTTAATTTGCACCTTACTCTTCAGCAGAAAACTCAACAGCAATTGCAGCAGTTGCAGATGCAGCAAGATCAGAGTGGTCAGGGACGTGCTACGATGCAGCGGATACAGGTCAAGGCGGGTGGCGCTTTCCAACCCATCCCTGAACAGTACAACCCAGCAGAAAGCAGTTACAGTGGCGATCTCTTGTATGCCGATGCCTTGCGACTTCAACAACAGCAGCAGCACCAATCACCACCACAGTCGACCACCTCGCCAAGGATCTCGGCCCAGCGCGGCAAGCCTTCTTCGTCGTCGGCCAAAACCCAGCCTTCCCCCAGCTTGGGTCCTTCACCCAACAGCAGCAGCAGCAACACGCGCAACGAGTACCCAGTATCAAATCGACCCACCAGCCCTCCCCCAAGAGTGTCGACCTCGTCCGCCAGGAGTTACGGCAACAACAACAACAACAGCCAGTTCCAGGATCCTGATATGCAGCTTCAGCAGCAGCATCCCTTCCACCAGGTGGCCTACACCGGTCTCTCACCCCCACCTCGATCGACACCCCTGACTCTGCCTTTGGGACCATCCAGCCCATCTGGTCCTATTCCTACCAGCCCTATCCGTCGCAACGGTCCCGGTTTACCTGCAGTTGGCCCCTCACCAGTGTTCGCCAACTCTCAGCCCAATTCTCCACCTCTGTCACCTGCCTCGCCTCCTTTCGCTGCAAGCAGACACCATGAGCACCACTCACCCTCTCTCCGCGACCGCGTCTTCGAGTCCACAGCGGCACCCTTCGCTCCCACTTCGCCCTCAACCTTCCCAATGGGGTACAACACCGACGACCAGCAAGCCCCTAAAGTTGGTGGCGCCGTGAGACGGTCAACCCATAGCACCCAACCTACCAAGGATTCAGGAGCTCCTGCTTTGGCCGCCGCCCCACCCATGTCTCCTACCATACTGGCTTCTCGTGGCCCTGGTGGTGGGTACCGCCCTACCGAGCCTTCTTCCAGCACCTCCGGTCCCATCCCTTCTCTTACCCCTGTCCCTGCACCAGTCGCCCAGCAGCCTGTAAAGTCGCTGAGACAACAGAGCTCTAGGTTCCAACAGGCTCCCGCACCCGCACCAATACCAGTACCTTCCTCTGGTAGTGGCGGAGCATACCAACACCAGGGACATGTACACTATAATCACGGTGATGAATATGAAAAGGGCGATCGGGATGTGGACGGTATGAGCATCGAATCTGCTGGCGACGATTCCTGGCCTATGCCTCCTTCTTTCAAGTAGATTATCATTCACCCTTTTGCATAATAAACCAAAAAATAATACGCTTAATTCTTAATCATAACCACTTCCGCATGTCAGTTACTTTTTTTTTTTTTTTCTCGCCTTTGAATCTTCTCCCATGTGGACCTTCCCAGTTTGTCGCTTTGGAGAGTAGACAAGTCTGCATTCTTGATCGAAACCCTTAGGTGTTGACACAGTAGTTTTCCCATGCGCCGCATAATATTACCCTCGATGCTCCAAATCCGAAATGTGAATGTTTGTGAAAATGTGTCTTGTTTTTAATATGCTGAATGATTCTCCTGTATGTCTTTCTCCAAAAATCCTGTAATGGTGCATGCTGCTTTCTGCACTTCTCTTTTTCCATGAGTTGTTCCTTGGTAGATCCTTTAACTGTTGAGCTTTGTCTTGTAACTATTATCAATTGCAAAAGATAGGGGGGGGGGGGTCAAGTTAACAGCTGTTCTTTCCCATTTCACAACATAGCTGGAATCCAACAACAACAAAGAAACAGCAACAAGGGGTGTATCTAAGTGAGAAAAGAAGAAAATGAACGTACGCGCATTTGGGACATGTGTAGAAGACAGTTTGACCTTCATCAGCCGAACGAAGCTGCATTGTGTGGTACTCCATCTCGGGGTTACCGCACTTTGGACAAGGCTCCTTGACCTATATTCATGCAAGATCAAGAGAAACAAATGTCGAGCTCGTCAGTAAAAAGGGTTGTATAGAAGTACATAGGTGACAAATGGTGGATCGAAAGGTCCCCGAGAAAGAGCGTTCGTTTCGTTCCATGCTTTTCGTTCCTTCTTTCCCATTCCATCCTTTCTTGCTCCATTTCTTTTTGTCTTCGATCGTCTCTTACCAAGGCAGCGGCGGCATCCTTGACATCGCTCTGGACATCATCACGCTTATTCCTGAGTGCTGAGGGGAATGCTCCTGGTTTGCTGGATGTCACGACCTCGAACGCCTCAAAGTCTAATATGATAGTATGCCGAAAAGTAAATCCAGGAAAAAGGAATGTTAGCATCTCAGTGCATTCTTTTGAGCCTTTCAAGGGTCAACGATCTGCCCATTGATCATATCCTAGAGCACTGAACAGATCGAAGGAGTAAGGGCAGAAATGTTGACATGTAGTGCGAGAGTTGCGGGTCAGACTGGGGCCAGTTGCAATTGTTCCGTACCAATGCTCTGGTGGGTGTAGCTGCAGAGGTTGCAGACGATAAGATCATCCTCGCCGGGGATATCGAGCAGGTTTCCGCACTCGGGGCAGAAAATAAGCGAGCCAACCTATTATTGCAGAGCGAGATCACACCAGAGTCTTAGTGAAGTTGTAATGAGTTTCCATGACATTCCTTGAAGTCGGTCGGCGTATAGTTTCCCATGAGTGCGCCTCCGTTGCAGACGTCCTTACGGTGTCGGGCTTGAGTGATGGCGTTGACTTGGACATTATGTCGGGTGTGTTGTAAAGTAAACGTTGTTGATGCTAAAGAAAAAAAAAAAGTGATGCTTTGATGCTCTCTTTAAAAGCACAACACAAACCTCCTATTTTCCGAGTCACAAAAAACGTGACTTCGATCTCAAGTTCCCCTCCAAAAGGCGCGTGTGCCTTTCTAAAGAGCTCATCACACCTTCTTCTCTCTTCCCTTCTTTCTTTGTTCATTCCCCACCTCATCTCCAAGCACCAATAAAAACGACCAAATGTCACGCGCCGCACAACTCAGTACATTCTTGAAGTCGGCAACCTCAACGTTGTCCCCAAGAGTCCGTCACCTCTCCCTCTCAGCACTCCAAAGTTCCGCCTATCACCAAGGAGCAAGTGGCTTCCGCGCTCAGTACGGAGGAGCTACTACGACTTCAAGTGCCGCCAACATCTTTTCTGACTGGTCCCAGGAACCCTCTGCCCAGACCCTCGTTCCCTTTGTCGTCGAGCAGTCTGTAAGTGTATCCCTGTATATCGCTACCGTCAGGTTAACACTCGTAGAGAAGAAATACAGGTCCAATTACTCACTCTGCGCACCTTGCTCCTACATCACAAACTTACTAGGCTCGCGGCGAAAGATCCTATGATATCTATTCACGTCTTCTCAAGGAGCGCATCATCTGTCTAAATGGCGCCGTATGTCTCAGTCTCAGCAGCCCCTTCCACCTTTTGCAATATATCGATCCTCCTCCTTGAGGTGTGGTCAACCGATCATTTCCCTTGCCTCATGAACTGATACTTTTCGTATTCTTCTTTTCAATAGGTCCATGATCATTCAGCGGCATTGGTAGTCGCACAACTGTTATTCTTGGAGTCGGAGAACCCAGAGAAGCCCATCAGTTTGTACATCAACAGCCCCGGAGGAAGTGTTACCGCAGGAATGGCCATTTACGACACAGTACGTTTGTATACCATTTTTTCGTCCCTACCATTTGTTGTGCGGAGATTTTGAGGTATTAATTGATAAAACAGAAAGGACAGTGACTAATCTTTGTGCAATTTTGTTTCTTGCTTTGAATCGTTAATAGATGCAGGTAAAGAAGAGACAATGACAGGCTGGACAGGATGGGCAGAACAGGATCATAACGGTTCCGTTGGGCGTATTTGAGAAGGGAAAAGGCGGAGCTTCTAAACCAATCAAGTCACTAATAATTTCGCCTTTCATTTTATCGTTTCTGTAATGTTCATCTGAACTATATCTCCTAACTGGACCTTATGGACAACCACCTCCGCCAACAAACCAACAAACGCCAAACAACAGTACATCCAATCGCCCGTATCGACCCTGTGCAACGGACAAGCATGCTCCATGGGATCATTGCTCTTGGCAGCAGGAGAGCCAGGAAAACGATATGCCCTCCCCAATGCCAGCATCATGATGCACCAGCCCAGCGGAGGCGCCAGCGGACAGGCCAGTGATATTGCCATCCATGCGCGTGAAATCTTGCGTGTCCGTGAGCGACTCAACCGTATCTACCAGAAACACTGCAACGTCAAGGACCTCGAAGCTATCGGTATTACTATACTAGAAATGTTACAATCTTGTGTTATGTCTGTGGATCATGATGTCATGACAAGGGACCCTAACCCTATACCGTTCGATCTATATTTGAATTTTTTAGAGAGAGCAGTGGAGAGAGATCACTTTATGGATGCTGAGGAGGCACTCAAGTTTGGATTGATCGACAAGATCCTCGAAAAGCGACCCTCCTCTGCAGGTGCGAGTGGCAGCAATTAAGTCCCCGGTTCATTTCGATTACGATTACCCTTTTGCAGGTTTCTGGCCGATAGAAGAAACATGTATAGTAATGAAATCAGCAAAGGCGAAAACAATGTGACGATTCGTTTATTGAGAAGGAGAAAAGATTTTATGTGCTTTTTTGTTCGGTGTAGGCCATAAAAGAAAAGAAGGAAAAAGAGAGTTGTACAAGTGTAAAGGCGAAAACAGAAAGAAACCAACTAGTTTTTTTAAAACGTGTGTGTGTGTGGTGAAAAGGTGCATGCGGAGTGAAGAAAACCATTCTAACAAGCGGCCTTGTAAAGGATGTATGAGTGGAGAGGGAAAAAAAAAAGTGATCATCATCAAAGGAAAGGGGGTGGGGGAAAAATGTACAAAAGGAATCAACACTTCTAGAGGAACATCCGGGAGTATCGGCGCTGGCTTTCGTCTTTTCTGGAGGAGGGGTTTCTTTTTTTCTTGGGTGGTTTTACATGAGTTGGTGAGGCGGCTGGAGCGGATGGTGGCGGTCATAGAACGAACCTTGCGAGGGTTCATTGTCCGTGGGTCCATGGTCCTGCTGGAAGCTGCTGTTGTTGTAGAATGGCTGGGGCTGACCAGAAAAGTACTGAGTCTGCATCTGCGTCATCATTTCCTCCAGCTGAGCAGGATGAGGGTGGTAGCCGATAGGAAAGTGCATCGCATGTGGTTGCGGCTGCTGCTGCTGTGAGTGATGTCCCTGATGGCGCTGCTGAGGGTGCTGCTGGAAGGATTGCTGCTGAATTGTGGGGGACGAGAGGTAGTTGTACGTAGAGTGGTAGGCCGAAGACGAATTTTGCAGTGGCAGTGGGGAAGCAGGCGATGCCGACGGCGGAGTGATATCGTGAGGTGGGCTCGACTGCCTAGGAGCCTGCAAAGGGCTCGTGGGAGCAGCAGACGACGACATGGTGGGGTTCACTGCGTACATCCAGATGCGTGTCTTGTAGATTTTGAACAGCTCGCGGACCAGCTCTCGGAAATCGATGCGATGATCTGCATGAAAGTAAAACGTCAACTTGCGTCGATCCCTAATCAGAGGCATCGCACAAAAAATACACATGCGCACAAACCACGTCAGTATTTAAATAGATCGATTTCCCACAACAATCATATCCAAGCAAGCAAATCCACATCCACTTAAAAAACCTTACCATTGGAACTCAGCATCAACAACCTCCATAGGGAGCTTCTTCTGTCGAACCTTGGTCTGGCAGACCAGCATGGCCTTGACCTCGTCCTGGTTCTTGGTCACGAGCTGAGTGATCTCGGAGGTATGCGCCAACCGGAAGATACGCTTGGGGTGAATCTCCTTGGGTGCACGGGCACCATCGTGCTGAGATGCAATCACAGCTGCCTCGGCGTGCTGTCTCTGAAGATCCTGAATATTCTGAGGGGTAATGGAGTCGTTGGTAATTTTGCCCAAGTCCTTTCCACGATCCGCCTCGACTATCACCAAATCGCCTCGCTTCAGCGACAAGCCACTATTGTCCGCCACATAGAAGAGATCGTTACGGCCTGCCTTGAATTCGACAACATAGAGTGACCCATGATGAGAAAGCTGGCTCAAGGTCAGGCCCTTGCCGAGGTTATGAGAGTTGCTGGAGTGACTGGCTTGGTAACCGTCATGCTCATATTCTTCCTTCAAATCCCAGCTGTTGCTGTCGTCGTTTCCATCAGAGGTCAGAGAGTCGAGTGACGAGGCAAGATTGAAAGGCGCTGCACTTGATCGAACATATGGTCCAGAGTGTCCTGCATCTGAATGTCGACGCTGCTGAAGGCTGTAGTCACCATCAGAGTAACGACTAGACAAGAAAAGACGACATATCATACACGTATTAGTGTCTGCTGTTTTCCGTCTTTAAAATAACTGACATCCAAGAAAACATGTCGGGACTCAAAACCTAGGACGGAGTTTCTGTTTTGCATTTTGACCAAAATCAACATGATAATACGCGCTTTTGAGAATACTATCGTCAATGCATACCTTCCGTTGTAACCACCGAGGACGGGAGACCCACCAAAGTGTTCGTTCTCCAAGAAACGGTCATAGTTTTGGAATCCCGAGGAAGGGGCTAAGGAGAATCGACGCAGAGGACGTTGAGGCTCGACTCGCTCTGTTTCCTCTGTGGGCCGAGAGGAAACATAGGCATCGGGAGATTCCCAGATGGGCGAGACATAGCTATTAGACGTGACTGACCGACGGTGGACTGGAGGTGCAATCGAAGGTCGTCCTTGGTCCATGCCATGATGAGGGACGCTAGGCCAAGTCAAACCAGCCGAATACTTGCGTGTACGGAAAGAAGGTTGCTCTTGAGGCTGAGAAAATCCCATTGCGCTAGGCGACGATCCCGAGTATGATGACGACATGAATGGATCCGAGGGCTCCACGGACGAGAAGAATGCGCTTGACAGACCTCCGTAGTTTTTGCCAGAAAGACCAAAGGTGGCCGAAGTCGAGTAACTTCTGTTTCGGCTCGCACGGGGTTCAAAGTTCTCTTCGTACTCTTCTTCCATGGTTGGGAGGGGTGCTCTGAAAGGGTTGATGGATTCTTGCTCATCCTGGGCGACGAAATCACTGTTGCTATTCCTGCGTTGATGCTGGTGTTGCTGTTGCAAAGTGTTGTGATTGTTGCTGAATCCTCCAACTGGGAATCCGAGGGGTTCTGACAATGAAAGGCTTCTCGAGGGGCGATAGTGCTTGGGGACAAACGGGTCTGCGTTGAGAGCCGAGGACATGGGGAAGAAGGTGCCTCCCTTTCCAGAGCTATCGTCATTGCGACCGTGAATAGTCATTCCGCCAAAACCCGCTGCAAGGGAGGCAGCTGGGTCTCTCGACTCCTGGGTTTCCATACGACCATTCCAGATAAACGACGACATACTCAGGGGGGACTCTAGTCCTCCGACTCTACCACTGGTTCGGCCTTGATGGGCATTGCTGTCGCTTGGTCCAAAGGAGAGGCCTTGGTCAGGTCGAGATCCTCGAGACAGTCCAGCACTGGGTGTTGTCTTGATATGGAGAGGAGAGACAGGTTCACCCAAGAGCTCATCCAGGCGAGTGGACGACGACACACTGGCGAATGTGCCGCTGGACAAGGCTTGGTTGGTGGGACAGGGCGTGTTTGGTGTTTGGGCCAAGGTCGTTGTGGGAGGCAAGAGCGGAGTCGAAGTTGATTCAGAGGGCGAGAGAGGGTCGTGTGGGGAGGAAGGGGAGTGGTTGTGAGCACCGGGAAGAGCAGCGAGGGGGTGATGCTGGTGAGCAAATGCTTGAACGTGAGAGTATGCACTAGCAGACGACGACAGGGACGATAATGGCGCCGAGGAGGACGAAGACGACAGCGACAAGACGACGGAGGAGGACTGAGAGTTCTCACGCGGAGCAACCGCTCTTACTGCATCAGGAGAAACTTGAGCTTGAGTGGTATTAGCGGATTCATGTTTGTCAGTTGGTTTCAAGGAATTGTCCGAGGCGGATATTTTCTTGAGGTCTTGAGTGCTTTTGCTGTTAGCGTTGGATGCATGTGCCAGTGTTGTTGTGTTGTTGATATCGCTAAACGCAAGGTTGCTATCGTTATTGCTGTCTGTTGCTGTTCTTCGGCGTTGCTGGTCAGCAGGAGGCGAGAGGGACGAGCGACGAGGGGGACTGCCAACCACCTTCCAGGTCGAGTCTGCTGTGGTGGGAGATGTAGGCGAGACTGGCGTGTGAGTGTGGTGAGTCTGGGGGTGGATGGGGTAGGGCAAGGTAGTGGGAGGGGTGACCATGCCGGACGACGACGAGTGCTTGCCGTCCATTGGGATGTAAGTTGATTGCGTTGAGGGTGAACGTGATTGTTCAGCAATGCTGATGGTTAGCTGAAAGGGGACTGAGAGTGAAACCAAAGAGAGATGTCCGAGATAGTTAGTCCTGGTCTTGGCGTGAGTAGTCGCGAGTTGAGAGTAAAAAAAGGGATTGCGTGGGCGGCAAAGAGGACGGAGTGGAGAAAGAGGGGGAGCAAAGGGGGGGGGGGTAGAGAGAGCGAGAGAGAGAGAGAGAGAAAGAGAAAGAAAGAGAAAGAGAAAGAGAAAGAAAGAGAAAAAGAAAGGAATAAAGTGGTGGCGGAAACAAAGAAGAAAAGGAGGAAAAGAAAGACAAGGTAAAAGAGAAACCAAAGGGGAGAAGTGGGAGTGGACGTGGGGTCCGCGAAGTGAACGTACAAAGAGAAAGAGACGAATGGTTTGAGAGCAGTCACCCCCCCCTCATTTGCCAGTGGTCTGTGTGTGCAATTTGCATGACCACAAGAACTCAAGCTATCCCAATCTTGTTTTTCATTATTTCATTGTTTCTTGCTCCACAACAGTTGTACCCACGACCTTCATTGACTTCCTCACTATATCTCTTGCTGCTTTCCTGCTTACCTCTTTTTTTCGTCCTTAGTTTGTATCGCTCGCCTCCTCAACCTTTCTTTCTCTCTACTTCCTAGACCTTCTTCTCTCCGCTCATCCTTCTGCCGTTACCTTTTTTCTTTCCGCGTAAACAAATCCCATCCAATCTCGAAGCTAAACTGCTCTCATGCCATCTTCAATTTGCAGGAATAACAACCCAAGTGTGAATGCACCGACCCAACACTCGCAATTGACACAAAGGAGACAGGCCCACACTAGGGTTACAACATGACAATAAAAACGCGCTTCTTTCTCTTTGCCAGGGGTTGAGCACAGGAAAGAAAAACAATGTCTCTTTCTCTTCCCTTGCTCGTCTTCATTTCTTCATTTCATATCTCTCATGTTCTCCGCTTTGTACTCCCCTTCCTTTTTTCCTCTTGGCCTCGATCCTTCTTCATCCGATGGTGATACTAATTTTCGCCTGTGATTGAGACAATCAAAGCTCTACCCCTTGTAAAACTAACTTTGTTTTTTCGGCGTCCATCACTTCATCGCAAAAAAAAAAGGAACTCCGAACAGGGCCTGATCCCAGGAATGAAGACTGGTTGGTCTGGTGTGAGCATTCAAACCCTTTCCCTTATTCATTTCTCTACTTTTCCTGCTCCACTTTGCTTGGACAATGTGGTTTTTTTGTTTTGAGTTGGGCCGTAGTCATCTGTGACCTTGCAGAAAAAGAAGAGATCCTGAACTAATGATTGGTCAATGCCGCCCATACCATGGTCTGTCACTCCTCCCTCGCATGAATTTCTGCGCTTTGCCCTCCTCTTCCTCTCGTTCTCTCTTTTCTGTCTCTCTTTTTTTTTTTTTTTTTTTTTTTTTTTTCCCTGAGAGCTTGCATGCACCCTGTCCTTCCTTGCAGCCCATGACCAAGGACAAAAAAAAAAAGCTCCAAGGGAACAGCAGATGATAAGCACAAAATGTGGAGAAGACTCAACCTACACAGACAGACGGACAGATATGCCAAGGCAAGGCAAGGCAAGGCAAGGGCAAAACAAAAAACAAATAGGCAGATCGAACGACAACAGAGCAGAGCAGACAGACAGGCAGCGATGTGAATCCTTGTTGCAAATCTCATCAATTTCGTGTTTGCAAAAGAAAAAAAACAAATCATTTTTTTTGATGCGTGTGTGTAGCATGTAGCGTGGCGATGGTCGATAAAGATAAAAACGACAATTCGAAAAACAACACATCGACCGTTATTTTTTTTTTTTTTTTTGGGCTTTTTGCTTTTATCCGCACGTGTCCATCGCTGGCCAAACTTATCGACCAACCTTCCCAACCCCTGAACCACATCCTCAAATCACATAAAAAAAAGAAGCAAAAAAAAAAACAAGGACTGACAGACTTTACTAACGACCCTAACGCCTTCAGTTCTAAATCGAATTCAAAGCCTCGCTTGACCACCTCCGTTCATCGTAACTTGGACGACTACACCGGGTGTCCTTCCTACACCGGATTTCACCTTTAACCCCTTTGAACGCTCTCCTCTTTTTTCTTGTTCTTTTTATTAGTACCTCGTCTTATCTACTGTCGTATGTATGTATGCATGTATGTGCTGTGTGTATGCAAGACGTGTGCCGTGCAGACTGCATGAAAAATATTATTTGCCATCAATTTTTGTTCACTTCGCCTCGTCTTATGTCCACTGAACATCGTTTAGGGGTGATATGCATGCATACTGTCAATAACACCTTGTCAACAATAAACATAATATTAAGTCCACTCAAACATTCATAATTGTCTCCATCCAATTAACCAAAAAGGTTCTTTTGCTAATGAATATTTATTTGCTTTTGAGATTATATACAAGAATAAAACACAAGTAAGAATGCTTAGTACTTGTTGGCGGACAACCAGGCGCCGAGGCTCTCCTGCTCCCTCTCGACCCAGGCAGAGTTGACGTTCAAACCCTCAATGGCCTGATCAAGAGCACGCTGGAAATCCTTGGTATCCTTCTCGGCAAAGAACTCGGTCACATCCTGGACGAGAGCCTTGTCTGCCAATTGGGCCAGGGGGTACTTGACACAGAGACCCAACAGACCCATCGACGACTTGTATCTGTCAGAGATCAAGGTCCAGTTCTTCTTGACAAACTCCCAGGTCGACAAACGGGCCTTGGCATTACCAGACAATCCGGCAAGGACGTAGGTGATATCTTGGGGACGGACGTCCTTCGAAATGCCCAACTCTTGGACCTCGGCAATCAACTCGGGCTGCTGGACAGATCCAAGAGCCAACAAGGCAACAACCTGCTGATCTTGCTTGGGGGCATTGTGGAAATACTTCAACACCTGACGGAACTCTTCCTCGCCGCCGTTGATCAAGACCATCTCAAAGGCAGTCTGGCGGATTGAGGGGTGCAAGATCGACTCCTGGGAGGCATCCGAGGTAAAGATCTTGAAGCGACGCTTGGCCTCGGCAACAGTAGCAACATGTCCGGCACGGCCAGCGGTACGCAAAATGACGTTGCGGAGACGGCTGGTCAAGTAGTCCTCTCCCTCGGGGTACTCCCATCCAAGCTTCTCGACCATCTGGTCAATCAATTTGCGCTGGAAGTGAAGAACCTGCTGGTGAACAGTCTCGTTGGCGGCAAAGATGGCACCAATCTCTGCAACACGCTGGGCAAGCAACTCCCATACGACGTAGGTGTTCTCATTCTTGTAGTACTGGACAAGATCCAAAAAGTTCTTGGTCTCGGTGTGACCAGACTTGGCCAACGACGAGATGTCGGCAACCAGACCAGCGCGGTCGCTCAATCCAACAAGATCCGATCCAGAGAGGATAGCCTCTCCAATGCGGGCAATGACGCTGGGAGGGTAGTTGGTCCTGAAAACTCCGCTGTAGTTCTTGTTGAGCAAGTAAGCGCCCTCGGGAACCTCAAACTTGAGCGAACGAGTCTTCAAAGTCTGGTTGGGGTCAGCAATCGAAGCAGGCTTGGGGTGGACACCCATGGGGACCCACCAGATGGTCTCGTCCTCCTCAGGCTTGACATCGTTAGTCGACAAGTAGCGGTGCTGCTCGACAGAGACGACACCATCGACCTCAGTGACGTCGATGATGGGGATACCAATGACACGGGTCCAGGTGTTCATGAACTCGCGAACATCAATCTTGGACTCCTCCGAGAGAGCGTTCCAGAGATCGTCGGTGGTAGCGTTGCTGTACTCGTGCTTCTTGAGGTAACGACGGATTCCAGCCAAGAAGACATCGACGGTCAACCAGTTGCTCAACATGCGAATAACAGAGGCACCCTTGGAGTAGGAAATGGCGTCGAAAATTTGGTGAATCTCGTGAGGGTCGGAGACGGGGACCTCAATGGGGTGAGAGCTGCGGAGAGAATCCAAAGCAATTCCGCGCTGAACATCCGAAACAATAAAAGTGGGCCAGGTGTCCCACTCGGGGAAGATGTGGTCGACAGCCAAGGTTCCAACCCAGGTGGCGAATCCCTCATTCAACCAGAGATGGTCCCACCACTCCATGGTAACCAAGTTTCCGAACCATTGGTGGGCAAGCTCGTGGGCGACAGTAGAGGCGACCTGTTCCTTGAAGCGGAGGTCAGAAGTCTTCTCGTCAAAGAGCAAAGCGACGGTGCGGTAAGTGACAAGACCCCAGTTCTCCATGGCGCCCATGTCGAAATCGGGAACGGCGATCTGATCCAGCTTGGGGAGAGGGTATGCGGTTCCAAAGATCTCGGAGAAGTACTCGAGGATCTTGGGGGTGATGTCGACTGCGAATTGTCCCTGCTCCTTCAATCCTGGAAGGGTGTAGACACGGCAGGTAACGGGGTTCTCGAGCTTGGTAGTGGTCGACTCGACATATTCAAAGTCACCGACAGCCCATGCAACCAACTACAGAGAGAAAGAGAGACAGATGCACGAAGTAAAAATAATGGGGTGTGAATGCCAGCCAGCCAGATAACGTCCAGATTTCCCAATAAAGCAAATAAAGAGAGACGTACGTAGGTCGACATGATAGGGGTCTTCTCGAAGTGGAAGGTCATCTCCTCGGGCTCGACAGCGGTGATCTGCTCGACGGGCATGTTGGAGAGAGCAATGAGCTCAGATGGGACGCACAACTTGATCGAGAAGGTAGCCTTGACAGCGGGTTCGTCCCAGCAGGGGAAAGCGCGACGAGCCTCGGTGGCCTCGAACTGGGTGACACCCATGACCTTGGCATTGCCCTCGGCATCCTTGTAGGAGGAGCGATAGAAACCAGCCATCTTGTCGTTCAAGATTCCCTGAAAGAGGATGTTGAAGACTGCGGGTCCCTTGGGCAGCTCCTGGTCGAATGTGAAGGTGGTGGTTTCGCGATGTTCATCAAACGAGGTCGACGAAGCCTCATGGCTACAGTTGCAGTGAACAGAAATAAACAATACGAGTTATTCATCAGATCGAAGCATAGCTTTGATAACTGAACAACAAATGAATCCCGAGTTGCATTCCGCTGTGGTCCTTACGTGGTCTCGCCAATCTCGACTCTGCCGTAGGTGATGGCCAGCTCCTTGGTGTTGATCAAGATGGTCTTGGTGGGCTTGTGGATGTCAATGCTATAATGAGTGAAAGAATGCAACGACAATAACAATATTAGAACCAATGTTTCTCGGCGTTTTATGGAAAAAGGAGTAACAATCCCTTCCCATGTGAGATCGATCAGCTTTTCCTTGTCTCTTTCTTTCTTTCTTTCTTTCATCGACCAAGAAACAGTTTCAGGCCCTTCCTTCATCCCCTCTTGCCCCTTGAAAACAGAAAAAGGGCATGTCACTTTGTTCAAAGCTCTCTTAGTTGGTCAGGGTAACCTGCAGCTTCTTCTCACTACTTTTCTCCCGTTGTTCTTTATCATTTTCTCAGTAGATCTATTCCCACGCACCCAAACTTTTTTTAAACAAAAAGAATCCCAGTCCTCGATGGAATTACATTTGCACACATACGTAACACACACACTCATCAAAATGCTGTCCCAACACGCTAACAATCCAGAACTCAAGTGTGCATCCTTTTCAACCCACACCTACATCACACATTCGCGCACTCTTTTTTACGCGCTCCGTGTTGGGCGTCACGCTCCCGCGCCATTTCCTTGGTTGTTCGTTGTTTCCAATATGAACAATATGAAGGATATCAGGTTGTGTTTGGCAAACAGACAGGTGGGCAAGAAACTTACTTAATCTCGACATATCCGCCAAAGGTGTATTCCTTGAGGTTGGGGGTGATGGTGAGGGTGTAGTGGGAGGGGGTGACGTTGGTAGGGAGGACCACACGGTCAGGGTTGGTGGGGGTGTTCTTGCACATGGTTGAAGATGGACGCGAATGAATGAAAGAATAAGAAGAAGAGAGGAGAGGAAGTGAATGAGCAAGAAATACAAAAACAAATAAAGGGAAAAGAACAGGGAGGAAGAGGGGAGGAGGAACGAAGGTTGGGGAGAAGGAGGGAAGGAAAGAGTGGAAAAGAAGAAGAAAGTAACAGAGAAAGGGCTCGCGACACTTTTTAAACGCCTCTGCTTGTCCAATGGCATTGCGACCATGGGAAATCTTTCTCTTGACTGCCAAGTAAAATATAAAAAAAAGGGCGACTCGGTGGAACCAAAAGAGGAATCGATCCATGCCCACACAACCAAAAACGCTATCTTCTACTCCTATGGACTCCTTTTTTTTTTTTTTTTTGGCCATCGTATAACTTTGCTTTTCTTTTCACAGCCACCATCGATTCCTCTCGGTTAATCATCGTCGCCGTTCCCACAAAACTCCTTCTTACAGGCACACTTATGCAAAAAATACATCCTACCATATTGACTGCAATGCAATACATGCAGGCATGAAAAAATCGTTGGTCCAATGAACATCAACCCTTGACTGTTGAGGTGACAATAATATGCAAGTCGCTCACAAGGAGTGCCCTGGGAAAAAAATGAGTTCCCCGGTTGCCACAATCGTTCCTGTTTTCCTTCGAATCGAGAAAGTGGGTGGGGTGGGGTTTTAAAATATTCAGGTACGGACCAAAATAGTTTCATAGCCCCTGATCAATAGCGTCACCAACTGCCTTGCAATTGCAATGCTCGCTTCGATCCACAATGGTCTACGCTGATAGTTACCTTCTGCAATGCATCCTCCTGCATCATAGACATTTCTTCTACCTCTTCGACTTCCCTTCCTTTCCCAACACACACTTTTCTCAGGAGGAAGATGCGCATCATTGATAGAGAGCATCGCTCTCAACAATCTTCTTTCTCTACCCTGCTGACCGACTGCACAGTAACTTCTACTGCATGCTTTCCCCACGATTTTACCTTGCCCACTTTCGTCCTAGCCTAGCCCGCCTCGCCTCTTTCCCATCACGTTGTTCAGCCAACTGGGTAATGTCAATTGAATCATCGTTCAGCCTTGGCGTCCGTGTGAACCTTATGAAAACCAAAAAAGGGAACCATTAAAAAAAAACGGCAAGGGCGGGCGGCGATTGTTTTCTCTCGTATTGTTGATGTCGACAGTTGGTTTGGTCACAGACTTAAACATTTTCGCTTCTTCTTGTGTGTCGCTTTTCTTCCAATATCAACTTTAAGACCTTCAAGCTTCATGCGAATTGACTGACAACATACATTCTGCATACAACTAAACAATTACTTTCTTATTTCGCTAAACTAGCACAACCAACAACCCCAGGAGGACTTTTAGTAGCCCTGTTCGACCAACCATGACTCAAGAGCAGCGCCATCTCTAGCAACCCACTTGCTACGAATCCTCAACCCCTCCTTGGCTTGCTCCAAATCACGCTCAAAGTCCTTGGTATCTTTATCAGCAAAGAACTCCTCCAAATCCTTCAACACCGCAGGGTCCGCCATCTTGTTAATAGGGATCTTGATACAGTAACCCAACATGCCCATGTTGCCCGTGTATCTGTCAACAACCGTCTGCCAGTTGGCCTTAATCCAGCGCCAAGCCGCATGGCGAGCTCCAATGTTGGTCGACAGTCCCGAAAGGATATAAGGGAAATCCTGGGGACGGACATCGTCCGAGAGAGCAAACTCAAAGACGCGCTGGATCAACTCCTCTCCATGGACAGCACTTCCGATCGCGACCAAGGCCATGACTTGCTGGTCTTGCTTAGGCGTCGTCTTGTAGTAATGCATCACCTGCTCAAACTCCTTGACGCCTCCGTGCGACATGGCAACCTCAAATGCCGTCCTGCGGATCGTGGGGTGCAAAGCCTTAGTCTGGTCGGCGCCCTCCTGCATGAACAACGCAAATCGTCGCTGGGCCTCCTTGATGGTCTCCTCGTGATGCGATCGACCGGCGCAGGAAACAATGACCCCACGGAGAAGGCTGGTCAAGTGGTCCTCGCCCTCGGGGAACTCCCAGCCGAGCTCCTGAACCAGGTTGTGGACGAGTTTGCGCTGGAAGTGCTGGATAGCACGGTGGGCACGATCGTTGACACTGAACAATTGGGTAATGTTGTCCAACTTGGCAAGCAAAAGGTCCCACACACTATAAAGAGTCATATTAATAAGAACCATAAATTTGAGTTAGAAATCTTTGTTCATCTTGCTCCCAACCTCAGAAAGATATGCGGCATGAATACAAAAGTGTAACTTACACGTAGGCCTTCTCGTTCTTGTAGTACTGGATCAAGTCCAAGAGACGGTCAACACCGCTGTGACCCGAAGTGGCCAAGCTGGACTGGTCAGCCAAGAGACCAGCACGGTCAGCAACACCAATGTCGGCATGGCCTGCAAGGATGGCCTGTCCGATCTGGCGGATGGCGCTCGAGGGGTAGTTGGTACGGAAGACTCCGGTGAAGCCCTTGTTGACCAGGTAGAAGGCCACGCCGTCCTTCTGAACAGTAGGCTTCTCAAAGGTCAACGTGCGTGTCTTCAAAGTCTGGTTGGCATCGAGAATCGAGGTAGGCTTGGGAGAGACTCCGAGAGGAACCCACCAGACGGTCTGGTCCTCCTCCTCGGTAGTGTCGTTGGTTGACAGGAAGCGGTGCTGCTCAACCTTAACATGGGTCTCGGTCTCAGTGACGTTTAGGATGGGGATACCAATGATGCGGGTCCAGGTGTTCATAAACTCACGCACATCAATCTTGGACTCTTCCGAAAGAGCGTTCCAGAGGTCATCGGTGGTGGCGTTCTTGTACTCGTGCTTCTTGAGGTAACGACGAATTCCAGCCAAGAAGACATCGACGGTCAACCAGTTGCTCAACATGCGAATAACAGAGGCACCCTTGGAGTAGGAAATGGCGTCGAAAATTTGGTGAATCTCGTGAGGGTCGGAGACGGGAACCTCAATGGGATGAGAGCTGCGGAGAGAATCCAGGCTGAGACCCTGCTGGTACTCGCTGACGACAAAGTTGGACCAAGTCTGCCACTCGGGGAAAAGGTGGTCGACAGCCAAGGTTCCAACCCAGGTGGCGAATCCCTCGTTCAACCAGAGATGGTCCCACCACTCCATGGTAACCAAGTTCCCGAACCACTGATGGGCAATCTCGTGAGCAACGGTCGAAGCAACTTGCTCCTTGGATGCAGCCGACGAGGTCTTCTCGTCAAAGAGCAAAGCGACGGTACGGTAAGTGATAAGACCCCAGTTCTCCATAGCTCCTGCATCAAAGTCAGGGATGGCGATGTGGTCCAACTTGGGGAGAGGGTAAGCGATGCCAAAGATCTCGGCAAAATATTCCAAGATCTTGGGGGTTATCTCGAGGGCAAAACGACCCTGCTCGACGAGACCGGGCAGGGTGTAGACGCGGCAGACGACGGGTTTTTCAAGCTTGGTGGTTGTGGTTTCAATGTACTCAAAGTCACCAACAGCGAAGGCAACCAACTATTGTATGCAGAAGAAAGTGCCAGAAGTTGAAACCAATAACAAGTTAGGTTGAGATCAATCACATGGCTAGGTTGAATGTTCAATTGAACCTGAGCGTGAGAAGGAAAGGGCATCTTGCAGGTCTTGGAAGTGGTGTGGACTTGAGACCGATGGTGCACATCTACACAACATTTTTTCGGCGAGCGTGTGTACTATTTTCTCCCAAAACGGTCAAAAAGCAAAAGAACCATCCTTGCCTCGACATGCTTTCATTGTAGTTCTTCCAAGATTGCGTCTGGACCACATCTTTTCTCGAGGATGATTGTTCCTTGAGCCAAGAAAAACGATGTAGTTGTTGTATTCAACCGCAATTCAGACACGTTGTCGAGGTGGTCGCACCCATTTCTTTTGTTGACTTCCTAGAATGGAGGGATTCCATGTATAGCACACGCAATACAGTTGGTCCTGCTTGACGCCGTTGAATTGTTTGTGTTTGTGTGTTTTGTGTTTGTTCCTGAAGGGATAATGTTTTGATTCCTCCTCTCCTTTTCATTTGGTCCTGTCCCACAACACCTCCAAAAGAAAAGAAAAAAAGTACGCCAAGAGGTCGATGCATGATTTTTTTGCCCGAACGACACACACACGCCAATAACTCGTGGGAAAGGACCGTTCTCGATCGTTTCTCTCGTTACCTTTTTCCTCCCTTCACCCCCCCAAAAAACAAGAACAAAACATCAAAACGACAGGGTACACTTACATAGGTGGACATGATGGGGGTAGTCTCAAAGTAGACAGTCTTGACATCGGGCTCGACAGCAGTCATCTCCTTGATCGGCATGTTGGACAGAGCCTCGAGCTCAAAGGGCACAACCATCGAGATAGCAAATGTCGCCTTAACAGAGGGTTCGTCCCAGCAAGGGAACGCTTGGCGAGCATCGCAAGCCTCGAATTGAGTCACGGCCATGTACTTTGTCTCGCCGTCCTTGTTCTTGTACTGCGAGCGATAGAACCCGTTCATCCGGTCGTTGATCTCGCCATCGAATTCAAGTTCGAGAACTGCGGGTCCCTTGGGCAAGGTGTGGGGGAACGTGAGTGTGGCAACCTGGTTCTCGGCAGCATCGATAGACGTCGCCTTGTGACTAGTATTCGTTGAAAGAGAGTTGTAATAGCTTCGTTTAGTTAAACGTTCTGAGAGTAGTGTCGTTTGGAGAGAAAAAGAAGCATCTGCCGTGAGGGACAGACTCCCCGCATCTTTGACGCCACCACACTTACGTTGTCTCGCCAACGATGACGGATGCCTTGCTGATGTTGAGTTTCTTGGCGTTCAGCTGAATCTCGGCAGTTGGCTCGTTAACATTGATGCTGCATAGTGAGAGTAGAGGTAGAGCAAAAGGGAAGACACAAAAAAGTAGAGTGTAAGTTGCCGTTACATTCGATATTTCATTCTTGTCCCCACGTAATACTTGTGTGTTTTGAAAAGAGTAATTTCGTACGTGATAGCGACCTCTCCGGTGAAGACAAAGGTCTCCAGGTTGGGGACCAGCTTGAGGTTGTAGTGCACGGGGGCGACATTGGTAGGGAGGACTACGCGCTCGGGAGCCATGATGGGTAAGTGTTGTTAAGAAGTGTGTGTCGGAGGGTGGGAGAACAAAAGTAAAAAGTGGCGAGATGGCGCCTTTTTATGTCACCTGCGGTCGTGACTGTCATCGCAATATCACGAACCGAGTTAAAGTAGCTTTGCGAGCCTACTTTAGCTTTTGCTATGAGAGACCAAGAGAGGGTGGTTCATCTCCAGAAGGCGTTAAACTCGATATCGGGTCTCATCTGGCACACCAGGTGTTGTGCTCGCACCGCAGTGCCAACAAAGACATCGGGGAGCCTCTCCTTTTTGGCAATCTCCAGGTACTCCATACGGGTCCACCAAGTCGTGTTTCCACTCGAGATCCGATGCTTGCAGACCTCCACAACACCTTGCAATTGACCGAGATATCGCATGTCGATCCCGTCAATCACATAGTTCTGAACAGTGCCCACCCCTGCCGACACGCTCGCATCCGTTCCGTGTCCCCAGCCATCTCTGCCATGATCGCCGGCATTGGCCTCTCGTCCACGAACAAACGCGACATTTGTGTGTTGCAGAGAAGGGGTGCCCGGAGCCGCGGGTGCTTGATAATCGAGGGGATAGTGTCTGTAGATCGGATTGAAGACCTCCTCAGCGATGCTCTGATCGATAATTTTCGTCAACTCGTTCGATTGACGCGACGACAGCTCATGCGCTATCCAATCCAGTCCCGGTGTTGACTGCCACACACCATCTCTCGCCGCCAAAGCTAAGCTTTTCAACCGATCCAGTCTGGCGAGCAAGCACAGTCCTCTTTCCATCGAAAGGTTCAAATGTTCTTTTTGAAGTCGAATCTCCTCCAAAGCGGGACACACCTTGCTGATGTACCCGAACACCAGCCTCGAACTCGCAGCCGACCTAATATCACCCTTTGGGCATTGCACTTGTATATGGAGCGTACGCAGGTTTCGGCATCCCAAAATCATAGTTCTTGAATTGCCCAGGACATCATCCGGCATCAAAGACCATGGTGTAGGATCAGGCTTGCGATACGCTCCATTACTGCCCAAGACTCCCTCCATGTCCAAGCAGTCCAGAGGAATCATCACTCCGGGGGCCTTGAGTTGGACGAGATGTTGAAACAGTAGCGTGAGCACAAATAGTTGTGAAGGTTGAATCCAAGGTTCAAAGTTTCCACACCAGAGTGTCGCACCAGAATCTCCAAGCTGGTCAGCATAGTCACCCTAGGCAGATCAAAGAAGCTATTCGACCAACCACAGATCTCCGCAACTTCCAAAACCGAGGTAGCTGGGAAAACCCACGCGGTCGCCTCCGGGAACAAGGGCAGGATCGTCGCTTGCACTGGCTCGGTTGTGGCACTGAGGACACAGGGAGAAAACCGAACCGTTTCAGACCAGGTCGAATGCGTGCAATGGATTGAAAGACTGGCGCAAGTCGAACCCTACCATCTCGCATCTCGACCTCGTTATCAATTACTACAAAGACCTGATCCAAGACTAGATCCTCTAGTTCGGGACACATATCAACCAAGCTCAACAACGACTCTTCATCCACCGCGACGCGTCTGAGTGTTAACGACCGGAGCGACGGGTGTGCCAGTGGGATCGCCTGCGAAACGGGTGGGCTCCATGGTTTGCTGTACAGCTCTTCGATAAAGTCTTCCTCAGAGCACGAAAACTCCACTGTGAGTTGCTCCAGCTTGGGGCACAGGCTCAAAGTGGTGTCCAGCAACGTGAAATCGCGTCGTGAGACCTCCAACCTCAGTTTCGTCAACAGGCTCCCGATATGTCTCAGCAACTCGAAGGCTTCCAAAGCAAAGTCGATCGGACATAAAACTTGAAGGTCCAATAGGTTGAGGAGATAGGGTGTGTCCGTGATGGCCCCCAGCAAAGCCTGCCAGCTGGCGGGCGAAAAACTGCTCTTCCACTCGAACGGTGTTCCTGAAGCTGGCTCGCGACGATCAGCTCTGATGACCAAGCGCTGTGCAACACCCAGATACTTGAGGGTTGACGACGGAAGTTACTCCTTGTCCAGATCCAGTAGCACCAAAGACATGTTCATAAAGGGTGTGGCGGGAACCGTCGTCGTAGGCGCCTTTGTCCAGGCACCATGCGATGGACCGGAAGGCGTGTGGTTGCGCGATGATGTGTCATTGGTGGCAAACGGGCAAGACTGACTGTCGGATCTGGTGACTGGTGAGGTTGGAGAAGATCATCTCGAGGACCTGAGTGACCTCCAGGGCGCTGTCCTTGGTAAGTGGGGTCTTCTCTGGCGACCTGCTGTTGCTGCTCTGTGTTGGAAGTGGCGGTGGTGTTGTTTCTGACATTGTATTTTTGTATTTTTATTGTTGTTGTTGTTGCGATGAGGAATGAGTTTGTGGAAGGAATGGAAAACAGAAAAAGAGAGGGGGAAGGGCGAATTTATTTGACTTTGCCCATCCCCATCAGTGATATAATAAAAAGGCAACAAAATTGATCACAGCAATCGCCGATTGATCCGTGGTCATATACGGCCATGGGTAGGCAAACGACAATTATAGCAGACGTGGAGAGCAATTGGTCGGTGAAGCATCTTGTCGACGACAAGTCGTTCCTAACTCGTCCCAATGATCGACAACAATGGCAGCAGGTACTTTTGCAGGTTGAGCAAACATGCTGGATGTAGGCCGAGTCGTTTGTGCTGTGCATTTGGGTTTCCCATAATCTCCTTCAGCGCTCCTATCAAGGCCTCGTAGCTGTCAGGTCGAAAGTCGTAATAAGGGATCTTCGGTTGAGGATTTGACTTTATCATCGTGAGTGTGCACCCTCCATGTCCTGACTCGAGCCAATTGCCTCCACCGTTCTGGTGTGTCCGGCTGTTTTGTCCAATCACTGTCATCCTCCTTGTAGACATCTACCCGTGCCAGCGTCCAGTCAACCTCCCTGTTGAGGAGTCCTGTTGCAATAACCCCACATTAGCGACAAACCCTGCCCGCAGCGAAACGAAGGTGGTAGTCGCTAAGGAAGGACAAGATCGGCTCCACGAGTTCTGGAAGGTGAAGCAGAAAAGGCTTAATGGGTCCTTTGGCTACAGCGGGGTAGAAGGAGTAGCAGGAGTTGTATTCCTGAGCTTGAGAAGAGTATGCTTGATGGGAAACAGAGGTATTGTGTTTAGCGGGTGTCTGAATGGTCGAATAAAGAAAAGAAAAAGGCTGTAAGGTCAGCCACGCCGATCACAGGATTCAAGGGGAGGCGAATGGTTGAAATGATTTGGATGGCTTTATTTTTGAGGGTGCACGACAAAGACATTTCAATCCAGGCGTCTTCGGCTTCGTCTGTCTGGACTGTTACTTCTGCTCCTGCTGCGGCGGTTGCCCTTACGACGATCTGGTGATCTGCTTCGGCTCCTGCTTCGGCTCTTGCTCCTGCTCCTGCTTCGACTTCTGCTCCGACTTCCGCTTCTGCTCTGGCTTCGACTTTTTGACAATGATCTCGAACGTCTGCGATCCTGTTGTCTGGGCTGTCCTGGCGAACGACTGCGAGATCTTGATCGTGATCCTGACCGCGAGCTCGAGGCTGACTTGGATCTCGATCTTGATCTTGACCGAGAGCGAGAGCGCGAACGGGAGCGGGACCGTGATCGTGAACGCGACTTTGAACGTGAACTTGATCGACCTCGCTCATCACGGGCCGCAGCCTCTTCTGCCTCCCTTTCTTGTTCCAGTTCCATCTCCACCGCCTCCAGTGCGCTGATCCTAGGGTTCAATTCTCCAGTATCCTCAAAGACGTATCTCTTTGTCAGGCGAGGCAAGACCACATCGCACACACGTTCCTCCCGCAGCAATTCATCGATGAATTCGTCCATGTGGATAATCGAGTAGCCACCTATTTGCGATATCCATACGAAGATAAATTTGATTAGCATTGTGGTTTTACCAAGGTTGATGCGTAGAAGGCACGATATTTGATTGTGAAATACGTACTGTTGCCTCGTTTCCTCAACTTTCGACCATCGACCAGCAAAGGCTCGAGATTCTTGTAAATGTCAACAGGCTTCCCGACAAGTCGCAAGTAAAACGCTCCCAATGCTCGCAAGTACCTAGTAATCACAAAGACAACAAAAGATAGGTTAGGACAAAGGAAATCAAAGACTAACACACGCAGATCCTTAGTCCATGAATCGATGCTGGTTTGCTGCAAAGTTGCTCGTGTGCTTACTTGTTGCTATCGTTCTCTGTCAACCCTGTAATGTACTTGATCACAATCTCCTCTCGGGGTTGGAGCTGGAGCAACTTGAGGACCAGGCAGATAAACTCTGTTGGCTTTTGAATTCCATACTGACCACCGATCGAATTCAACTCGTACGCTTTTTCGATAATCGACGACTCTAATAGAGGTTGAGTGAAAAGGTGGCATTGAATGTGTTAGTTCTCATGAGTATTTTTGAAGAAGTAGAAGCTACGTGTGTGAATAAGATTGCCTTTGCGATTTGTTCATCGCCTGTTGCAAACACTGCATACCGGTTAAGCCAAAGCAGGATTCCTTCCAGTAGGTCGATTCGTAGATGCGAGTCCTGAGAATCTTTTCAATCAAGAACTGGGGGTTGGTTCCGTGAACCTGAATCGCGTCCCGCACGGTCTTGTTGTCCATGGCCATGGTGGATGTCTTGTTTTGAAGCTGTGAGTGTGGTTGAGGAGGCGATGGAAGTAGGGAACAAGAAGAACGCGCTGCTCTTCGTTGGCCTTAATACCTTTCTCTCGCTGGGCGTCTTACTGTCTCCAAAGGACTGTTGTTTTGCTCAGCCACTGCACTCCGAGGTGAGACACAATTATCCACTTTTGAGCTTGTGGCCGCAACGTTTTGTTCCTGAATCACCTTCCCCCTCTCCACTCTCTCAACAACTCACAAAGCAATGGTCGTCAGGAACATCGCAGTTTTCACAGGAGGAGCCGTCATCGGCGCCGTCGCCATGACTACTTACTTCAAGTCACAGGAATCCCACAAGCCCGTCGCCGTGACAGCCCAAAGCCAGCTCCCCACTGTTCCTACTACCCCTGTCCCCACACCAACACCCACCCCTACCTTGCCCCAGGTCCCCTCCAAGCCAGCACCCATTACCCCTCCCCCCGTCGTTGCCCGTCCTCCCCTTACCTCTGTCGGCAGCCCACGCAAGATCATGCCTCATGGATTCCCAGGTACGATTTCAGCAAGGAAGCGTCTTGCAAGAATTTTGATCCGTACTTTTTTTGGGCTTTCAGTTTCTTCCTAGTCCTTTCCGGCAGCTTTGTCTAACGGCTTTTACTTTCAATTGATGTGTAATAGGTCCTCTTAACGATGTCTTCATGAGGGAGGGATATGTCGCCTCCTACAACGTATGTTACAAGTCTCACTTCTCTCTCAATTGCACCACATATCACTCAGGCCTCAAGGAAAACTCAGGGAGGAGGCATGACGGTCTTACCTCAAAGCCTTGCAAAACCCCATGACTGACCATCCATCACCCACCCGCCCTAAACACCCACTAGCGTCAATTCCGTCACCCCAACTGGGTCGCAGAACACATCACAGCCGAATCCCTGAAGCCCGGCGAGGGCGTCGGCCGTGGCAACTCGACCTTCAAGGAAGACGCCACCGTCCCCGATCTCTACAAGGCAAAACTCTCTGACTACTTCCGTTCAGGATATGACCGTGGACACATGGTCCCTGCTGCCGACTGCAAGAACTCCCAGGTGGCCATGGATGAAACTTTTTACTTGTCTAATATTGCACCCCAGGTCGGCGAGGGCTTTAACCGTGATTGTAAGTTTTTTTCTGTGATCATGGTTTTGGAGAGGAGACGAAAAGACACAACTGAACCTTTTTGTTTGATCCCTACTACTATCTGTTTACATCACTTTTTTTTTTTTTTTTTTTAATTGTTGTTCTGTATCGTAAATGGCTAACATCCATCCTTCTTTCCACGCCACCTAATCCATCTTTTAGACTGGGCACATTTCGAAAACTTTTGCAGAGTCTTAACAAAACGCTACCCAGACGTCTACGTAATCACTGGCCCCCTCTACCTCCCCTACCAAGACCCAACTGACAACAAATACTACATCAAACACGAAGTCATTGGCAACCCCCCCAACATTGGTGTCCCCACACATTTCTACAAAGTCATCCTGACCGACCGCGGAAACGGTGACATGTCTGTGGGGGCCTTTGTGTTGCCCAACAATGTTATTCGTAACGATGTGCCATTGACGGCGTTCCAGGTCCCTGTGGAGGCGGTTGAGAAGGCTTCGGGACTGAAGTTCTTTGAGACTTTGGAGCGTCGGGCGTTGAAGAATTTGTGTAAGGATACCGATTGTAAGATCATGCCCCATCCTAAGAGCTTGAAGGGGAACAACCAGAACCAGAAGGCTCTTCCTGCCCAGTAGAAGGATAGACAGGAGTAATTATATTTATTAATACATTCAAGGGAAGATACCCATACATACACAGAGAACAGACCATCATTTCTTTGCTAAAGTTGAAAAAATAACCAATGGATTGAAAACGGAACAGAAAAAGCACACAGTGTTGTTACAGAGAAGTGAGGAAAAAAAGGAGAGGAAGAGTTGTATCCTTCTACTTGTCGTCAGAATGCTCGAGCTGGTCTTCAAGTCGCTTCATTTTAATCGTGGCTTCAGTTCCGCTTCCTGCCATCGAGTTCAGCGTCAGGTCTCCGCCAAAAAGTCTCGCGTACTATGTAAGAACGACATAGAACAGAAAGGCAAGCAAATGTGAGCGTCAGCGCTAAATATATCTAGTTACATTCGTTCGTCATCGTCAATTACAAAAGGTAAAGAGATCGCTTACGAGTTTGGAGGTGGCCAGGCCGAATCCGAATCCACAGAGGGGAAGGTTCTCTCCCATGGCGGATTTTTGTGGCTTCTTCTCGACAGCAGTCATAATGGACGGAAAGTCGATACAAACAGTGCTGGATGCCGTTGTGAATAGGTAATCGAACGGCTTCACAATGTGTCCAGGAGGCATACCTATATGAAATACATGTCAAACAAGAATTAGAGCCTAGTACCCAACAGAAAAATTCTCCACCACGATACACTCCTTCATCGAGACTTACCTCCACCGTGGTCCTTGATCCGGATGTCAAGATCTCCTGCAGGGTTGGATGACAGGTAGATTTCAATATCTAGCACAACCATATAGAAATAATGTCAGTTACGCGTTATGACACTTTTCTATGCTTGTTCATCCATTCATTTTCACCAGCTTCTAGAAAATGATCGCTCACCTGGATAGGAAGACTTGTCGAGACCATGGAACTCTGCGGTAGCACGCATCGAGTTTTTGAGCAACTCAAACAGGATGTGGTGCAGCAATGCTGGTACAACCGGGAACCTGACCTTCCTCCCTCCCAGTTCCTTTGCGTGCACAATATGAACGTTGGGCGGAAAGACGCTGCTGTAGTGTTGGAAAAAGACAAACTGGGCCGATTGAGTCGCGTTCTGGATCAGCGCCTCGATATCGCACTGAGGCTCAATAATACCGACTCTCTTGGACTGTGCACTGGTCGGCGTAGAGAGATACGATGATGACGAGAGTTCTCCTGCTGGATAGAAAAGCTGATTCAGAAGAGCCAAGTGGTGGCCGACCATGATCCGGATCCCGAGTCTGCCTCGATTGAAAGAGTTGAGAAAGTGCTGGATCTCATCCGATGGTTGACTGCGGGTGTTCTGATATCGCTTGAACAGACTGATGCCATGGGCCATGTAGATCACATCTATTCAGAAGCCAGAAGTATGACGATAATTTGTACCGAATAAAGTTAGGTGGGTCCAACCAACGTAAGGAAAAAAAAAGTTGCCCGCCCCACACGAACTTGAACAATGGCCTCGTTCTATCATTTTTAGTTCCGACGAAAGCTGAGAAGAAGCTGTTACCTTGTTTGTGGCGATTGGTGACTTTCTGCAAGAGATTCGCGTATTCCTTTTGAACGGTTGTCTGGAAGGCCTCGTTATCTTCCAGTTCCATGTCCTCGTGAACATGTGTGTTGGGTGAGAGAAACCTAATGACATATTCATGTGCGAGAGGGAGCAACTTTGGTCAGAAACAAAATAGGGGAGTGTGGGAGGAAATGTGGAGCAAATGAACGAAAACATCAAATTAAAAACATTGGGAGAAGTGTCTTGTGTGTGGCCCATCTGCGGCGAGTCAACATAGTCATCATCCATTCTTGTTGCTTGCATGAAAATATAACACACCAACGGACTCAACAACAAATACAATGCAATGACATGGACATACCATAGATGACTGTTGTCAGAATATGCCTGCAGTTCGTTGAATGAGGTCGTATAATTCTTGATCAGGTTCATAATCGGCTCCGTCTTGCGCAACTCACTCGGCAGGTTGCTCAACTCAACGATTCGTTTCGAGAACCGGACGGGGAGCTCTCTGTTAAGGAAGGAGAGGTTCTTGAGCAACGATTTGGCGTTCAGAGTCTGGCCCAGCATGAGACATTGGGCAATGGAGAGCGGTGTCTGGGCGCGGCTGGCCGTGAGTTTGATACGTTGAAAGTCCACATCATCCTCCATGCTCAATTTCTCGTCCTGCTGGTGGTGGTCTGTTTCGTCGGAGTTGAGTTGCTGCAGAGTCGAGGCGGCATTGACATTCGACAGACTGGTGCTAATGGGCGCCACGCGGAAAACAGACCTCGCAGAGTAAGTGATTGACCGGGAGAGAGAGGAGGGACTCGAAGCTGAGGCAGCCCGCGTGAGGGTTGATTTTGTTGTTGCATGAGACGAGGGACGGACGAGGACAAGTCCTTGTCGCCAAGGAGCGGCCTGGCGCGCAACCTTGAATGAGCGGAGTAGCGAGAGTGGAGTTGAAACCATGTGCGCATGCAGTCGCGAGGAGAATCAGAAACCCAAAGAGGGAGAGGAAGGGAGACAAAGGGAGACAAAAGGACACGAAGGGACAAGAAACGGTAAGAAAGGAAGTAAGAGTAAAGAAAGCAAGAGGGAAGAAGAGGAAGAGGAAACGAGTGTGTAAAGAAGGGAGGCAGAATTAAAGGGTTGTTTGTGGTTGATTGTGGTTGATTGTTTCCTGTTGGTCGCCGCTCCTCTCCTTTACCTCTTCCTCTTGTTCTTGCTCCTTCCTTCTGGTGCCCCTATCTCCCTCATTCATTCTTTGTCTTTCCTCTTTCGCTTCCTCCCTACTTGACATAAAGCGCCCAACGTGCGAACTTTTTTAAAAAAAAATGACATGGCCCACATCGTTCCGTTTTCATCCACATCTCCCGTGTCTGTCTGTGTCAAAGTTGGCTGGTGCACAAGCCGAGTAAACCCCTTCTTGTTTGCTTGTTGCTCACAACCCATGCACCTCCAACCCTAATACACACCCCACAGGTTCAAAGACTCAATTGACTCTAATCATTTATTTGTCACGAACGCCGACCTCGCCTGCCAGATCATCGTCATCTGTCGTTATCCTAGGCGTAGCACCACTTTCACTCAGGGCAACCACCTGGGCATCCCATGCCTTGACCACAAACTCAACCACCTCCAATTCGAGTGGCGAACTTCCCTGATCTTGGTGGGGAATAAAAGCTGTCGCTCCTCTCTCGTTCATCTCTTGGACAAACTTCCTTGCTGGAGCTACCACCTTCAACTCATATTCCTCCAATCGTCTCTGTTCCTGCCACTGCTCATCCTCCGATACTGCTGTTTCATCTGCCGCGGTTGTCGTAGTTGTTGTTGTTGTATCCAAATCAAGGCCACATTTCCGCTCAAGTTCTACACGTTGTTCGTCCAAGATACTCATCTCGTTGTCGTAGCGTGCCTGTGCATAGGGCACCTGAGCCCATGTCGATATCCTCATCAAGTAACGTGCTCGAAGAATACACATCAAAGCTAGGATATGTACAACGGTCGGCTTTGTTGTTGTTGATGATGGTAATGAAATCGCGAGGGTATCCAACGACGAAGGCAACGACTCTGTCCCTGCTGCTGCTGTTGTTGATGCGGATGTTGAAGCTGCTGTGCTGACGAATGATCCCAATGGCCCTGAGGGGGATGCTGTAGTTGACTGGCGAAGACACTCACCCAACGTCCTCCAGATCGAGTAGTTGCCTGTCCTTGACCTTTGATACTGCACAAGTCCCAATGCGGCGTCTATTGGTAAGGATAGAATTCATCGCGAGTTAATTAAAAAGTGACCATCGCGCTCAGATAATGCAGTAGAAAACAACAGCTCCATACCACTAAAACGACCAACTGCCACATAAGCCTTGGCTTTCAAAAAGACAATTCCTGTATCGTGCATTGCCTAATGAGCAGGTTCCCCATAAGATGCGCAACAAATCAGTATCGACTGTACACCGTGATTTGTTCTTGCCCCAACAAACTAGTCCGGAAGTGATCGGACCCATGTTCCCGATAAATCATATTTACCAGCTCATCGGCAAGACTAGCAGCCACGTCAAACAAGTTCAACTTGAGTGCACAGCGTAAAGCCATCTCCTGCATCTCCTTGGGATCGGACACCTTGAGGACACCGGCGTCTGTTGTTGCCCCTGCTGCTGCATCTGTTCGTCGAAAGCCTCCATCGTTCTGACCTTGTGAGACGCTGAGGTTGCCACTCATCCGCACAAGTTCACAAAAATCTTGTGCAATGTCAAATGCTTCTTGGTATCGGTGCAGCATGTAGTAGTGATCGGCTCGCATCTTGACTTTGGTGGCTCCTGTTTTGCTCTGAGTCATCAGTTCGTACGTCGTCTTTCGTGTGTTATGGAACCACTATGGTCGAAGAAGCAAGGATGCGAATGTCCAATTGTTAGGTGAGCTCATTGATGTTCACTAGTTGCTGTGTCTGTAGCGTGGTTGTTGAAAAAATAGGGGGAAAGAGATCAATTAACTCACGCCATCCTCGTCGATTTGAGCATGATAGGGTCCTTGGTTGAGGAGAGCCTTGGCCTTTGCAGCGGCCTTCTTTTTGTCCTTGGGCGCACAAAAGAGTCCGTCGTCCCCGCTGTTGTTCCCTTCCTGATCTGATCCGCCTCCGAAGCTGAATGGAAAGTCGTCCTCCATGTCGTCCTTGCGATGTGAGTGTAGGGGTCAAAAGCCGGAGAGGGGTGTTGGAGATGAGAGAAAGAGGAAAGATAAGACAACTTTACTCGACTGGTTTGCTGGCCCTTAAATACTTATGAAAATTGGTGGCGGATCTGAAAGACCTGTTTGGCATTTGATCAATTGAAAAAAAATCAGGCCACCCCACCCAAGGAGTGTGAGTTGGAGCCAACAGCTGATGATTCCTCCGACGCCAGATCCCTCTTCATCCTAATTGCATCCCTTTTCTCTTTTTTTTCTTTCTTTTTTTCTTTACTTCATTCTCATTCTTTCTCACTTTTACTCTCTCTTAGTTGTTCACTTTCATTGTTCCTCTCTCATCTGGCTTCCTTTGAACTTCAACCCCCATTTCATACGACCAACAAACGAGCACAAAGATACAACAAAAAAATGTCAAAGAGGCCAACACCAGTGGTAGCACGGAAACGTACCCCTCCCAACCCAAACCCAGAATACGAGTTCCTCGGACCACCAGGCGCCGTGGCAATGTGCATTGTCCTCCCCCTGATCACCTACGGGCTCTACTACAACTGCCGTGCCGGATTCGGTTGTATCCCTGCCTACTGGGACTCCAAGGATGGCTTCTGGCCCTCGATCGGTTCTAACCCCACCAGCTACCACAAGGATCTCTGGAACTTTTTCGTCTCGACCTGGGATTTCGATGCTTTCAAGGTCTACTCGGCTTTCATGGTCTTTTTGTTTGTCACATACTTTGTCATCCCCGGAAAGGTGGTCGAGGGTGCTGTTGTTGGGGGAGTCGGAGGAACCCCCTTGACCAAGGATCGATCCAACTACAAGCTCAAATACAAGGTCAATGCCCTCCGGACGTTGGTGCTCATGGCTCTCATGACTGCCGCTACCCTCTACACCCAGGGTGTCAAGCCCTTCCTGTTCCTTTATGAGCACTTCATCGGCCTGATCACCGCCTCCCTCATCTGGACCTTTGGCGTGTCGATCTTTGTCTACATCTGGTCCTTCCTTCCCGATGGCGATGGTCAAGAGAAAATCCTTTCCTGCGGAGGAAATACCGGCACCAAGGTCTACGACGTAAGTTTGTGTTCTTTGTGCTCTTCAACTCTAGCTGTGGTGTGCAACGAACGCATTTAATTCGGAGTCAATTTTTCTTTAATCCAATTGACCCCCAATGCCGTTGTTGAAATGCATAGTTCGTTCTCGGCCGTGAACTCAACCCTCGCTTCAGCTCATCGCCCGACTCGACATTCGACATCAAGTACTTTATCGAGCTCCGTCCTGGTCTCATCGGCTGGATCTTTTTGAACTTTGGCATGGCCTGCCAACAGTACCACACCCTCGGACGCATCAGCAATTCGATGGCCGCCGTTCTCTTCTTTGAGACCTTTTACGTTGTCGACTCTCTCTGGAACGAATCAGCTGTCTTGACAACTATGGACATCACCACCGACGGATTCGGCTTCATGCTCGCCAATGGATTGTTGACCTGGTTGCCCATGAACTACTCGCTTCAGGCTCGTTTCTTGGCTGATTTCCCTGTCGATATGAGCTTGACCCATGCTCTGATTGTTATTGTGACCCAGTGCGTTGGATACTACATTTTCAGGAGCGCCAATGGACAGAAGGATAACTTTAGACGCTACGGTGCCGATCATCCTGTGAACAAGGGTACGTCTCCCTTTTTTTGTCTTTTGCGATCTCGGAAAGGTTAATTCTCATAATCCACTGTCAACTCACATCCATCGATTATTTTAAATTGTCATTGTCTAGGCCTAAAGTACATGGAGACAAAGACGGGATCCAAATTGCTAATCAGCGGATGGTGGGGAACTGCTCGCCATATCAACTACTTTGGCGACTGGCTCATGGCACTTGCTTGGTCCTTGCCCTGTGGTAAGTGCTATTCTCCGAACTTCAAAGATGAACCCATGCCTTTGCGGAGATAAATGGCGTACCTTCATTCATTAGTTCTCTAACGCGTGTTGCATTCTCATACGACTATTTTTTCTCATACGATTGTTTTCAATTGCTTTATCGTACGACATTTAGGCCTGTCGAGCCCTCTCCCATACTTCTACCCAATCTACTTTGCCGTGCTCCTGATCCACCGCGGGTTGAGAGACGAGGAAAAGTGCCACAAGAAGTATGGCAAGGACTGGGACAAGTACTGCGAAACTGTCCGCTGGCGCATCATCCCATACGTCTACTAAGCGTGCAATAACTAGACGCGCGTTCTTTTATATTTCTATCAGTTTCGTTCATTGTTCAATGTTCATCTAAAAATAAATATCATACGATAGAGAAGTAACGCCGGAATGTTATCTTTCTACGGCGAGACTGCTTGAATGAAACTTCTCCATTAACGGCTACTTGAGAAGATATTTCTTTCTATGGATGAGAAGGAGGGGAAGGCAAGAAAAAAGTGGGATGATGTCTATTAGGATGCGCCACATTCGTTTTCTTCTTTAACGAAAGTAGCACTTTTGAGCTTCTTTAGGGGCATGAAAACTAGGGATGCGAGAAAGTATGCCATTATGTGTGTCTAGGACGACCGACAATGCGCGCTGGATAATATACGCGATAACTCCTAGTTCATCACCACCTCATGGCCCCGACCCAGATCCATCTTCACGTTTCCTTTTTCATCGATATTGTACGATTCTCGGATCGACTCCATGCCATTACCAAATATGCCATTACCAAATATGCCATTACCCACATATGCCATTACCCACATATGCCATTACCCACATATTCTTCCTAGTTTCGATAAAAGCCATAGTTTTCTAGGCTCACGTAGTAATTGTCTAGAACTAGAAGAAAAATGAAAAAGGTACGATGCGGATCATACAGCTACTGCGTTTTTATGGTTAGGCGGGAAACGTTGATACTTTTTATTGTTACCCGGTAAGATCCTTTCATGATCGTGTACGGCACCACGTCGCTCCTTTTCATTTCTATGCATACAGCATACATCATCTTTTTCGATCTTATTTTGGGTAGGTTTGTAGTTGTCGCATTGCTTGGGAGGAAAGGGAAAGCGCACTAGTTGACGCTCATTATTTTTTTTCATTTGGTGGGTTATACTAGGGGGTGAATTGCATGGGGGTGAAATGAAAAGGGCAGTAAAGGAGGTAAAAAAGAAAAGCTCAAGACTAAAAGGTGAAAGGAGAAGAGAAAAATGAGGTGGTGGTAAGTAAGCTACAGGTGTGAGAAAAGTGTAGAAGGAGGATGAAGAAGAGGAAGGGAAATCCAGGGCGAGTGCGAGAGCAGTGAGTGATATGCCTGATGTTACCAAGAGACTGCGAGGGGACAACTTCGTCATTAGCCCCTATGTTGTGAAAAAAAAGAGGGCGAGAGAAGATAGAAACCTTCTATTTCACATACCTCTCTACCCCCACCCTTTCTTTACCCCCTTGCAATATTGTATGATGTGTGTGTATGTATGTGGGGGTCTAAAAAAAAGGGAGGAAGGAGAGAAAACATCCGTTTTCTAGAAACCCAGGAAAGAAGAAAGGTGGGAAGGTAGTCGTGTCTCGTAAGATGGCTGACTGACTCGCGTTTCGAAAGATTCACTCACCTGCACTTCCGTACTACTCTATTGTTTTCCTCAATTGCTCGCGGATTGATAAGCTGAAGGAAGAAATGGAGGGTGGAGGGCGGGAGATGAAGCTAGTAAATACTTCCATCGAGAACATTTGACCCCGTGGTCTAGGACGAAAAAGTTCCACGACAGAGCTATAGACCGAAAAAAAAACGACATTGAGCGAGAGAACGGAAACCACTAGCATTGTTTTTCCTGTCAATGATCTCAGGGACGACCAGCCAACGACGACAAGGTTAGATTAGCTCCTACTTTCAAATGGAGGCGGGGTGGTCTAGCTAGCGCGAAAGGTGCAAAAAAAAAAAGCCTTCTCTCCTCCAAAGAAGGTACCTGCCAACAGCGATTGACAGTAAATAAGTGTTGCCTGTTCACCAATCTTGCTTTTTGGTTGCTCTTCTTGTTGTCGGGCTGTCAATTGTCGCATGCGTTTGTACAACCCTCGTACGAGTGTGCCCTCTTTTAGAAATGCTGTGTGGAGTCCAGCATGACTTTTTTGTCTAGTGACACAGGGAGGACTGAACATGCATAAGATTTTTTTTCTCCATGTTACGAGCATAGGAGTATGCAACAACCCCCCCCCCCCTCTTGTCCGCGTGCTACCCTTCAACCAACATATCTGTACCCGACGTCATGGTCCTTCAAGACTCCACGTTTCTCCGCCAACTTCCTCTCTTTCTCTTACATTTTACTTTTGAAGGTGAAAAAAAAAAATAGGGGTCGAGGACAATACGTCAGGGCAGGCAATGCAAGTTTAAAATGGCAAAGGGCGCGAGCGAGAGAGAGAAAGCAGTAATGCTGTCCGAATCGAAAACCGCCCCTTCACTCCCTCACTTCGCTTCCACCTCCTCGACTTTTTTTGTTCATCCACTTCATCTCTGTTGCGCAATATTTCACCCCTACTCGTGGCCCACTACGTTGAAAGTGCACTAAAACTATTTGATCTAGAAAAGAAACGAGAACAGGAGTGCCAAATGAGAGTTGACCACACCGACCATAGAGAGAAATTCATTTTCTATTCATTTTTTTTTTTTTTTTTTTTGGCTGCAGAATGCACTTTTTGCCTAGCAATTGGCTCCACTTTTGGGTTCTTCTTTACCAGATTATTGCTTTGAACTTCTCCTTTTTTGATGCGCGGCGGACATCCTTGTTGTTGGGCGTATGTGTATTTGTGTGTTTATGCATTGTGCAGCTCAATGCAGCCTTAGGCAAGCAAACAAAGGGATCAACAAACGAAGGAGCCTTGAATGGTTTGTTTCTCAACATGAACAAAATGACAACGAAGAGGTGGATAGGAGTAGCGAGATTCTATCGCGTTGAATGAATGGTTGATCCTGTGGCTGTTTCTTTTTTTGTTCATAAGAATTGAAATCGCCAAAGGTTCCCGCTGATGATGCCTGCCATGCTTGCCTGCCTACCGAAGTAAGGATGAGAAAGTGGCCGTAGTGACTCTGTAGGATAGGACAGGTTAGTTGTTATGTTGAAGTTGAAACCCCCTACTCTCTCTGACTGTCCCCTGTCTTTCTTTTGGTTGTTACCCCTTTTTTGTTTGCCTGGGGCACGAAAAATTACCAATGTAGCATGGTCTATGTATTGTGAAGAGAAAGAGTCCAGGTCGAGGTCCTTTTTTGTTCTGTTTTTCGAAGGATGACGAGCAGCCAATCCAATGCTCTAGAGGGATCCTCGTGGATTGTTCGGTGCTAATGTACGCTAAGTACATAACGGGGCATAGCGCCAAAAGGTTAACTTGTCCAGTTCCATCCACATGTGCGTCCACCAGTAGCTGCAGCCTGCTTGCTGCTTTATCCCCGTCGATTGAATCGGCAGGGTTTCGAATCCTACCTAGCCTTGGCCGGGATATTTATTTTCTTTCGATAATAAATACCCCGTGGCCCTCCTTTAATAAACCCGCAACCTGGCACCCTTCCCCAATCATTCTCTCTCTCTCTCTCCCCTCTCTTCCTCATCCCTCCTTTTTGCTCGACTTATATATACCCTTCCCCTTCATTCCACTGAACTTGCTTTGTTCCCTCATCGCCACTTCCCTCATTTCTCTCATCTGTTCCCTCATTAAAAAAAAAAAAAAAGAGTAATCAATTCACACTCTCACTCCTTCACTCAGCTCGTCTTTTGACAACATCCCACTCTTTGTAAGTGAGACCAAGACTTTTTTTTTTTTTTTTATTCGTTACGACGACCGTCAAATAATCGTTTGTCCCGCAGATCATGTTCGTTTGGATCGAGGACACAGCATGCTATTGTTCCGAAGACAAGAGGAAACAAATTTCTTCCGGGCGACTCTTTAGCTTGTTTGTGTGTATTGCAACCATTGCTTCGATAGATAAGAGGAATTAGGCTGGCTTTACTCTCGTGGTTCATTGAACATGACATACAATTAGTCCAGGGGTATCAAAAGAGAGGAGCAAGGGGTGTCATGGATTGCGAATGGTGTGCTTATCATCAAGTAATACAGACAAGGCAGACGGGGCGCGGGAAGCAATGTGAAGCAGGCAACAAAACACATGCATACTACACATGATGCATTTGGCGCAGCTATCTCTTGCAACACCCTTTTGTTTACCTTTTGTTGCCCCCTCTCCCTTGTCTTTTCATTATACCCCCTGCATTGTGCTCAAAAAGGAGAAGAAGAACAAAGAAGAAAAGGGTAATACTCTTTCACCTTTACCTTCCCCTTTCGCGCTTTCCTCATCCTTCACCATTCCCCCTTTACTTCCTTTTTTCCTCTCCTTCGTTTTACAATCCTCGCAAACATACTTGTACCACTCCCTTGGAAGTTCTCCTGCTAACCTTATTTATCTACTCGTCTCTTCTTTTTTCCATTTCTTCCCATCAACCGTGCCTGCATTGCATCTTTCAAACCTCCATCCTCGTTTGCCCCCTACCTCGTAACCACCATTCTTCAAGAACAAAAAAGGTCGGATCATAACCACAACAACCCATCAACCCTCGACCTCCTCCTCATCACCTTCCTGTAAACCATTATGGGCGGTGCTACAGCAGGCAAGTCTCCTTATTATGCATGCACACATCTGTCAACATGGCGAAACAGACACAAAAAAAAACTAACCATTTATACTGTTCTCCTCTCATTTACAGGAAGCGTAATCACTGGTCTTAACCCGACTCATGTCAACCTTTCGGACCCCTTTCCGCTGTTTGTCATCCAAGTAAGGAAAATGGAAGGGCCTGTGCTCAAAATTTTATGTCTGTGTGCAGGCAAAATGTCCACAGGGACAAAGAAAGGGAGCCATGCTTGGTGTATTCACAAGCCATGCAGCAAAACAAACAGCCAACCAAGAGGCCCTTGCCACCATCTGTGCTTTCAAGCAATAGGACTAACAATTAATTATTCTTACAAATAACCATAGGCGGTGATCATTATCGGTCTATGCTACTTCCTTCATCTCGGATTGAGGCGCCTGAAGCAGCCTCGCGTCATCTCTGAAGTCATTGCTGGCATCATTCTTGGGCCCTCCGTCATGGGCCGTATTCCCGGATTCGCCAACACCATCTTCCACCCCGACGGATTGCCCTTCCTCAATCTCGTCTCCACCATTGGTCTTGTGATGTTCCTCTTCTTGGTCGGTCTGGAGCTTGATCCTGGTCTGGTCTTGAAACGTGCACGGTTCGCCCTCGGGATCTCTTTCGCAGGAATGGCCCTTCCCCTCGGAGTCGGAGCAGCGGTCAGTTACGTCTTGTACGAAGAATTGGGGCCCGACACAACCGTCGGCTTTGGACAGTTCCTGCTCTTCTGCGGAGTTGCCATGGCTATCACAGCCTTCCCTGTCCTCGCCCGCATTCTCGCTGAGCAAAAGCTTCTCCAGACCAAGGTCGGATTCCTCACCATCTGCGCCGGAGCTGTTGGAGACATTATCGCCTGGATCCTCTTGGCCCTCGTCGTGTCCATCATCAACAGTGCCAGCAAGATCACCCCTCTCTATGTCGTCCTTCTCTCGATCGCCTGGATCCTCATCCTCTGTTTTATTGTTCGCCCCGCCTTCAACTTTATGATCCGCGTCACCAAGTCTCAGGACGAGCCCAGTCAGACCATGATGGCGTTCACTCTAGTGGTCGTCCTCATCAGCGCCTTTGTCACCGACATCATAGGTGTCCATGCCATCTTTGGCTCATTCCTTGTCGGTCTCATCATTCCCAACGAGACTGGATTCGCCGACGGAGTCACCAAGAGGATCGAGGATCTTGTCAGTGTCATCTTCTTGCCCATCTACTTTGCCCTCTCTGGACTCAAGACCCAGGTCGGATTGCTGGACAATGGCAGGATCTGGGGATTAGTCATTTTGACCACGTTTGTCGCTTGCTTTGGAAAGATCGCTGGGTGCACCATCGCGGCCAAGGTCCAGGGCATGGAGTGGCGAGAGTCGTTCGCCATTGGTATCCTCATGAACTGCAAGGGTCTCATCGAGCTGATCGTCCTCAACATCGGATACGACGCCGGCGTCATCAACGACAGGGTCTTTGTTATCATGGTCGCGATGTGTCTCATCACCACCTGCATGACCACACCCGGTGTCACTTGGGTCTACCCTCCCCATTACCAGCGTGCCGCTGCAATGCGCGCCCTTGCCAAGGAGAGGAAGCTGGCTGGAGTCGTTGTGCGCGATGATGCATCGGACGTCATCGACAACAAGGGATTCATGCTCTGCCTCGACAAGATCCACAACCTGCCCGCCATGATGACCTTCCTCGAGATGTTGAACCATTCCACCCCCGCCGCAGGTGACAATGCCACAGCAGGATCCCACTCGTCTCTCAGTGTCCCCGGATCTAACCTCTCCATGGTCAAGTCAGCCACAGATGAGAACACCTCCAGCCCCAAGATCATGGCTCTGCGTCTCTTGCACCTGACCGAGCGTAGTTCGTCTGTGCTGATGGCTGCTACTGAGCGCGCCGAAGTCCTCCGTCGAGACGCACTGATGACTGTCTTTCAGGCGTTTGCCAAGCTGAACAACATCCTCGTCCGCCCACGGATGACTCTTTCGACCGACCCCGACGACTTTGCCAACAGTATCTGCGACGAGGCTGCTGAGAGCGGATCTGGAGTCATCATTATCCCCTGGAACTCGACCTCGCTTCCGGACCCACCCATGAACAACGCTGAAGGAGGCGATAACCCTGTCTTGTCGCGCCCCCTTGTGACTTCGAACACCCAGCTGGTCAGCCGTCTTCTCAACACAACTGCCAATTCGGGTCTTGTCACTGCCGTCTTTGTCGACAGAGAGTATGGCGGAGCTGGACACTTCACCAACATTGTGGTGCAGATCTATGGATCACTGGACGACGAAGAGGCGCTGAAGATGGCCTCTGCACTGAGCCACAACCGCCTCTGCAACATTGTGATCATCCGTGTCGACGCTTACAAGGAGCTACTTGACGAGAAGGACGTTCGAGTGAACATTAATGACAATGATTCGATTGTGTCGTCGGCGGAGGAGCATGTTGAACTGCCCCATGACAACCAGATCCTTGTCCATACCTACTTTGCTCACCGCGCCTTCGCCCATAACGACAAGCGAGCCAACAGCAAGCGTACCTCTGACTCGGGAGCTGTCGAGGCTGGCTTGGGCATCTATTTCCACGTTGTCCCCACCCTGCAAGATTCGATTGGACTCGCCAAGACCATTCTAGGATCCCGCGATCTGTTGATTCTCGGCCGTGGACTGACCACCAAGCAAGGCCGTGCAGCCTCGACCTTCTCGCCCGACACCCATCAACAGGTATCCATGGGCGTTTATGGAACCTCGACAAGCGCACAGCACAACATCTCTAACTCTCGCCTGCCAGGACAGCACTACAACCTGCCTACTGGAATGAACGCATCGGCCGTAGGAACGCCTCTGCACCCCATCGACAACCCATTGGACACCCACGAGATTGTTCAGACTGGCACCAGCACCAGCGATGTACGCCATCGTTCGCTCCGTGCCCAGCCATCGTCTCGCGACATGCACAACTCATTCATGACGGTGACATCGATCCTTGGTGTTGTTGCCCAAAAGTACCTGAGCTCTGGCATCGCCTGCTGTTTATTGGTAGTCCAGTCTGGTACACGACCTGCAGGTGCCATTGTGGCGCATGGAAACGAGATATCCCGAGCCGGCTCTGCTGTGTTTCACGAGTCCGCTAGGAGTGCCCAGCCAGGTCCAGTTGATGCTCATCACAGTAACCGGCCTTTGGGATTCGAGTCAGAGCATGCCCCGGCATACAGCCCGGAGCAGCATCACATCCGCATTGTCCCCGAAAGCGACAAACGCGCGTAGTTGCTTGTACATAGTCATGTTTATCTTTTTGTACATCTATTTGTATTCCACTTCACTACCATCTTTTGCAACATTCAATACAGACACGCGCATGGCGCACTAACAACAACATTACTTTTTGAATGTGCTTTGCCACGAGTGTTAACGTCTTGTGCTCAGATGCAATGCCCTTTGCCACTACTTCATCTTGCCCATCCCAAATTTTCACTACTGAGGGCTGCGACGAAATTGAGCTTCCCAAGGTCACTGCGCCGTATTTGCGTGCCACATGGCATAAAGAGCGATATCCTTGACCAAAACTGTTGTTTTCTTTTCTTCTCTTTCTTCTTCACTCCTCTACCTCTGGAACCCGCCTGCTGACCTGGTAAGGAAACCACCTTCCTTTCCTTCCTTTCCCTTCCCTTTTCTCCTTTTCTAAGGAACAGAAAACGAAAGAGGGTGTGTGTATGTGTTTCTCATGGCCACACTTTCCTTTCCTCGTTGTTTCTCTTTGTTGGGTGCACGTGCGCGTTATTTTTGTCCTAGTTTCTTCCTTTTTTCTTTGTTTTTTTTTTGCTGGAGCACACGCCTGCGTTGTATAATCCTTCCTTGGTGCCCTTTGACGACCTGCCAGAGCCACCAGCAGGATTGCAACCCCTCAAGCTCAAGAAGGTCACTCTTCCCTTTGTCTTGGCCGTAGATCTGGTGATCCTCCTACCGTTACTGGAACACTGCACCGGCCTCCAACTGGACAATGTCCAGGTGGCTACCTACTGGTCCCGGTTTATCCTCCTGGTTTTCAAGAAGATCAAGAAGCGCAATCAGTTCAAGCACTTTACGATCGGGATTACGAGCATGTTCTCGTACGAGATGATGACCCTACTGCGGTTGAACTGTTTTGTAGCCCTCGAGAGTTTGACGACCAGGGGGGGGGGGGGTGCCTGTTAAGTGGCTTCTGAGAGCGCTCCAGGATGGGGTTGTGAACGATTACACGAATAAGGGTTGGGTGCCTCGCAGTGTTTTGGAAGACCTTGCGGCGGGTTTGAGTTGATGTCGTTGAGTTGGTCTCGTCTTTCGAAGAATGCGTCAAGGCTGACCGCGGCCTTGCGAAGGATGCCGTGGCTGGAGTATTTGTATCTGGACCATGCGATGGAGACCCTTGATGGTATTGCTGTAGAGAAAGACGAAGAGTATGGAGGAGGAGAACATGGGATGTCTTCAGCTGCGAGAGTTACAGAATCTGTTTGGATGTGATCCCCCAAATCACACCAGAGCCGATCCAATCTGGGAGGTCGTGCCTTTTTTTAATAAAACGACACTTCTATCTGCCCAACTTTTATTTCCCCTTACCCCAGCCTCCAAAATATCTTATTTCTTACAATTAGCAAGGGTCAACCACGGTCGCCTGTGTTGGCTGCATTGTTTAAGCCTACATGGGTACTAAAAGATTGGGTCCACTAATTTACAATACTAGAAGAGGCCCTTTGAGTACTTTGTGTGTGTGGGAGAGAGAGTGTGTGTGTATGTGTGTGCGTGTGTTTGTGTTTATGTGCAGATAGATTGCACTGAGTGTGTTTGCAACTTTGCATGTGCGCAGAACAGGAATACAAATTACAGAGAGCGTAGCTTGGGCATTTTTAAAAATACCTGGGTCACGGTCCCCCCGCCCCCACCCTCCTCTCGTATTTCTAGTCTTCCGTACTTCCTTCTCTGGTGATTACTGGTTTTTAACACAAAAAGTATCAGGACCAGGATTGACGGTAAAAGGAACGCGTCACGAAGTGTTAGCCCTAGCAAAGTATGTGGTGCTTGATCGGCAATCCATGTGTATCTGGTGCCGCATGGAAGATCGAAGGTTGCTAGAGGCGTTCCAGGTGGCTGGTCGCCTGGGAGAATGGATAGGGAATATGAAGGTATGCCTCCCGTCCAAGTGATAAGCAGAAGCTCACATATAACTGGATTGGTTGGAGTATTAATCGATCGTGAGTTGTTCACCCTTTGCAAAAACAAGCACGAGTGTGAATAAAAACAATGCTTTGAGTGGTGATAGCATTGACATCTTGGGAGACTTCAGAGGAGGAGATGGAGGACAAAATGCAATATTGTAGAGGGAAAACATAACGAAAATCAGCCAGCAATGTGCAAACATTGTTGCTCAACAAGTAATATCACGGACGTCCCTGCCATATATCCCTGACAGGAGGTTTGGTCAAGAATGTGCAGATGTGTATCTGAGGAGGAGGGGCGTGCGGATCTTGCTTGTGAGCGTTATGGTGCGCGTTAATGATGAGCGTTCTTGATAGGGGGTTTGTGTTGGTGTGGTGGTTCTTGTGATGGGGCTTGCGGTTGTTCCAAGTCGAATTGTTCTTATTTGGGCAGAGAATGCCAAGGAAAGGATGAGGTTGGAAAGAACCAAGGGATTGGGAAATCCAAAGGATCGCCCCAAGGGCTCAGACCAAGGGGTCAGACCAAGGGATCACCAAGGAATGACACCAAGGAACGACGAACAGAAAAATCAATGGGGAATATCAAGGGGTGAAAGAATCAGGGCACAAGAGACATCAGAGGGTGAAAAACACTGACTCGTGGTTCATAGCGACAATGCCTTTTCGAACATGATCCAAGCGCAGACTGTGACGATGAGCCCGAGGATTATTGGATTTTCTTCCCCTATTCATGCCTGCTCTCGCTTCTTTTCTTTTCTTTTTTTCTACATAATGCTTTGTCGCTTTTAATCTATTAAAAAGGACCCTGAGGCTCTCACATCTCTCTATCTCTGTTTCTTAGCAATTGAGATTGAAATAGGCACAGGTGGACATGGTGTGATAATCAGTTTTTTCCTTTTCCTGACTCCCATTTTGTGTCTTGCACATGTGTCTATTTCTTGCTTTGTTTATCAGATCCCGATGTGTGCAAAATTAGAGCATAACTTACACTCGTTCTTTCACCCATGTTTTTAGTTGACACACGACCCCGGTCCCGGTGAGTGCATCCAGTTATTGTAACAGACGTTCCACACTTCCATTATGGCCAAAGGTACGAAAGGCGGTTGTAGTAAAAAAAGGAAAGATAAAGAGAGGAGACATAGTTCAAAGATCTGAGTGGAGGGGCTGGATTGGACCGGAGAGGGCTGGATTGAAGGGGAATGAAAAAAAATGCGAGAAGGTTTAATGAAGGGGGTCCAGGCCCATTTCCCATTTAGCACTGCAAAGAGTAGTAAATCCATCTCTGATCGTGCATAGATAATAATCTAAAAAAATGAGTCGCGTGAGAAGAAAAAGCCAACAATAGATACAGCCAATCCTCGTAGGACTCCCTCCTTCACCTAGTCCACAGCGACAGGCCATGATCATGATAGACAGAGAAAAAGGGACATCGTTATTGCTGGTTTTTTATTTGGTCATACGTTTGCAATCCATTCCAACCCTGGAACATCGATCGGCAAAGACAGTGAGCAGGAGGGCAACAACCAGGACAAACCAGACCGACAGGACGACAACCTAAATAGCTCTCAATTTCCCTCACTCTCCTCTCCCTTTCCTCTCTGCCTCGCCTGGGTAATCAGTAGTTATGTACACCTGAATCGGTACCTGGCGTTCGAACTGCGGGTCAAAAACGACAAAAGTGAGTCCGGAATGTGGTGGGGCCGGACACCGTATTAGGAAGAACGAAAGGTGGCGCATGTACACTTACTGCAGCCTTTTTGCCATCAACTGGGCGGACCATCCTTTTTATTCCTCTCCCCTCGTTTTCTATCCCCTTGAAAGGAGGGATGGCTGTCGTGGAGGACAGAACAGCCCCTCCTGAAGTTGTGGAGAGAAGGAGAGAGACAGATGGACAGATGGACGAACGAGTTGATCCCCAACCAGGAGATCGACCTGCGCAAGGAGAGGAGGAGACGCATAGAAAGTTAGATAGCAGAAGAGGAACGGGATGTGTACATGGGAATACTTCGGTCGAAATACGAGGATTTTTTATGGTTCGAAACATAAACACTTCAGCCCGATCCTGGCTTCTTGTCTTGTGTAAAGTAATCAAGGTAAATCAATCGTTCTGTGCAAGAGACACGGCATTCATGGCTTCTAGGTAAGCGCCATGGATGAATTTCATGCAAGGCAATGTCTTGCTTTACTAATAGAACCTTTCCTCCCTCTCCCTTTCTCCAAAAAAACACAGCAGGAAAAAAAAAATAGCTGAAAGGTCTGCTTGACCTTCCATCTATTCTCCATGTGATGGGCGTAAAGAACTACAATAAAAAGACACCACACCTAGGCGAATATGTATGGGGCGAGATGGATAGGAGGAGGGGGACAAGCAGGAGTCGCATTTTTATTCACTCCCCTTCTTTTTCTTGGTTGCAAGAATTTTTCTGCGGTCGTTTGAATTGGGAGGAAGAAAATGTAGAGAGGAAAGTGAGTAGTTCAGGGGTGGGACGATGATGATGAAAAGAGGGGTCGTTCTAGAGAAAAGGGGGAAAGGGGAAAGAAAGAAACGTCCAGAGGTCTGTTCGTATTATTCTCTGTCCTTCTATTCCGTGTACATTTCTTCTCTTGATGCTATTATTATCGTGTGATTCAGCGACACAAGATGGAAAGTAGGAAGGAGGTAGATTGAGGGTGATGCGAATGCTATTTTGGTACTCTTCGTCGTGGTCGGTTGGGTTGTGGCCGTGGGTCGTGTGCATTTTCTGGTTGGCAACACGCGACTGCTCCAATGTTTGAACTAAACGCCGAATTGCGAGTAGAATGGAAAGTCTGGAAAAATACCCTTTTTTGCAACAACTCCCCTTACACCTCATTATCCTGGCGCACCATCATCATTACCTGATTTTCGTTTGTGTGTGTGTCAATGTCAGTCTACTAAAAGGGGCGCCAATAAAACCTCATGTGCGAAAAGCAGGTCCGGGAGATTCTCCTTTTGCAAAAATAACCCCGGTAAGACGGAGCAACCAGCAACCAAGAAAGCGAAGCAAGCGCCATCAACAAAGCAATGGTCGGGTGCTTTGTTTCTGTGCTCGCTTCATTCGGTTAGTCTTTTACCGTCTGTCGCTAGTTAGTTTTCGCATGTTGAAAAAAATAAATAAATGCATTAACACGAAAAAGGCACAATGTGTTGTTGTCTTCTATTTCGAAACTTGGTTGTTCCGCATGCCTGTGTGCTTCGATTATTGATTGTTGATGCTGTCGAATGAAGCTGATAAGTGTACAGTACATGGTTGTTTGAGCGTGGACAAAGAGGCGAAGGCATGGAAGGAAAAGGAAGGGGTTTGTTATCGTTTGATCGTTAATATTGCTGTCACTGACCCTTTCGCTGGGAAAGAAAGAAGAGATGTGCTCTTCCCATCTAGGCTGACTGATGCTATTTGAGTTGGATGAACCATGGATGGATTGTAACTGCAAGAAAAATAAAGCGATGAACGATAAAAGAAAAATGAAATGAGCAAAAGCACAAGCAAAAAGAAATCCTTCGGTATCTTCCAATCCGTTCAGCCCAAACAAACTGCGAAACGAGCACACGACCCTACATGCTCAAACGGTAGACAGGAATGGGCAAGAAAAAAACGCTACCGCCATTGCAAGTTTACCATTGCCCAGAAATAAAAATAAAAATAAAAAAGTTGTTCATGCATGGAAAAAATGGATGGATTGAAAGGGAAAGGAGAAAGGTATGTGCAATCCATGTTCTTCCTTTTTTTTTGGGCGTCATCTTTTAGGGCTCCGCCTACACCTCTAACGTAAAAAATGTCAACAAGAGAAGTAAAAATCGGTGGCCACAAACCAAATGTACAGGGCGAAAGGGAAATAGCTTCAAGGTTCATGTCTAAAAATTGCCTACAGGTGGACACAACACCACGAGACCTTTTCTTGTCTTGACCGTGGTTGTTCGTTCTTCACTCGTGTTGCAAATGGAGCTACCACCAAAAATAGAGTTTTCTTTTCTCACTCCTGCAAGTCTTTTCAACCCCTGGGCGTATTCCAGCCCAACGGATGCCTGTTGTTCCTTGTTTGCTATCCAACCCCCTTGCAAAAGGAGGAGCGACAGGACGGGGTTCATTAACTGCTCTCTCTTGATGTCGACTTGGCAGGACAACCCAGGTTGTGCGACAGTTTGTCTCTCTCTCTCTCACACACACACAAGGCAGTGCACTGTCAGACAACAAGGGAGCTGTCTCTCTCTTGCACGTTCCCTCTTGTTGTTTTTTTTTCCTCCACTCTCCCCCTCATTTTCCCAAGCCATGCGCTTTTGGCGCATCCTTGAATTACACTATGTTATTATTTATTTATCTTTGCTCGTGTGAGTGTGTGTGTACGCCGAATCGACAACACTCCACCTTTTTTTTTTTTTTTACCAAGGTATTAAAGGAGCCCGGAGGCAGGCTCTCACCCGGGAAATACCTTTCCAGACCTTCTTTTTTTTCTATCTTTTACATCCTTCCACTATTGATAGCACACCCACTAGCATTTCGTCCTCCTCTGTCGTCTGTGCCAGTATCTGCCGCCTCGTTTTCATTTACTCTCATTCTCATTCTCGCTCTCACCTTCAACTCTCCGCCGTCCTGTTCATCCCCTATATAACAGAGGCATCCCCCAAAACAGCACAAACCAACTCTTGTTCCCCCCACATAACAACAACACCCTTACCTCCCCTTACCCTCTTCCCTAACACAAAGCGACAAACGACATTCCCGCCTCCTCTTAAACCGACCCCTTCCCAATTGCAACGCTATATCAACACAACCCTTTTAATCTACACAACCAACAACGATGAAGATCGCTACCATCTCTGCCTTGCTGGCCTTGTCGGCCGTTGCCCAGGCTGCCCTTGTAAAATTCAGCGTCATTGCCCCTGACGCAGCCACTGTCGAGGTTCAAATTGGCGGAAAGAACACTGCTTTAACGAAATCCGACCCCAATATTCCACTCTACACCGGTCAGGCAGAGACCGGTGCCGAGACAAAGTACAAGTACGTCGCTGCTGGTCGCGCAGAGGCCTTTGACCGTACCGTCCCTACCACTGGCGCAACATACAACGAGTTCTTGGATCGTCCCATCACATATGCCAACATTCCCGAGCTCCCATGGCCCATTGAGAAGGATGTAAGTTATTATTTTCTTCAATTTATTATGTGCAAGGACCCACCTCACACGACTTTTTTTGTTCCTGCAGTCGTGTGTCGTATGTCGTGTGCCCCAACCAACCATCCACCCTCTCGACATTCATACACGAAAAAAAAAACCAGCGGGATCAGAAATGATAATGATAACATTACGGGGAGAGAGGAGAGAATGCGGGGCATGAAAATTCCAGGGACCATTCATCGCCTTCACATTTAATCAGTTTCTGAGACTGATTGACAGTAACCGAACTGACACACCAAACAATCTCACTCGCTTGAAACGAATAGCCTCAATGGACCCGCGCAGCTCCCAAGCAGGCCATCTTTGACGTCAACTACATCCCCACCATCTTCGCCAACGGACCCGCGGCTGACCTCGACTCCCTCATCGCCACCCCTACCTCGACAAAGATCCCCTGCACCATCACCATCGTCCTCGCCAACGAGGTCAAGGTTTTGAGCGTAAGTTTACATCAACATCAAAGTGGCTGGCAGCATGTTGCTTCTCCTGTCCTTGCCTTTGTTTACATTGCCTTGCTTTTGGCCCCATGCGATCCTGTCCGTATAACAAGTGACCCCTGAAATACTAACAACACACACTCGTTTCTATTTTGACCTTGCCTCCCTCTTTCATCTCCTTCCTCATCTCTTTCTCTTACTCTCTCTCACCCCCTTCCTTTTTTACGTATAATTTTCACTCTCCTCTTTGTCTCCCTTACCCCTCTTGCATCTGTATCTTTTCTCCCTCTCTCCCTCTCCTTCTACACCCTCTTTGTTTTGTCCCTCTCTTGAATTATATTGTTTTTACCTATATTAGAATGTCAACTTCGGTATTCACGGCGCAGGCAAGAAGAAGAACAACTCCAAGCAGAGCTGGAACTTCCGTCTCGCTGCTGGTGAGACCTTTCAGGCCCGTAACTTCTTCAAGCTTCGTCATCAGGAGGAGGACCCCACCCAGATCCGTGAGAAGCTCTATGCCGATATCGGTCGCGCCATGGGATCCTACACCAACGAGGCCAACATGGCCCGTCTCTTCATCAACGGCCAGGGCTTTGGAACCTTCAACCTCTTGGACGATACCACGGAATACTCCTATGTCGACGCCATGTTCTACGGTGGTAAGCCCCCAGCTCAGCACGGTGCCCTCTTCGACGGAGCCTCTGGAGCCTCCTTTGCCTACTCACCCACTGGCAGCGAGTACTACTCATGGATCGTCGCCTCCGTCAACCCCATCGGTACACCAACCGATGTTGGACCTCTCTGCGAGCTCTGGAGCAAGACCGTCAAGACCGACGATGCCGCCGTCGCCAAGGTTGACGAGATGTTGGATTTGGATCAGCACATCCGCCTCATGGTCCTCGAGTACCTCACCGGTAACTGGGACGGCTACTGGGAGCAGCAGACCAACGACGGTCTTTACCGCGACCCTTCCCAGAACAACAAATGGTTCTACTTGGCCCAGGACTTTGATGCCACTTTCGGTGTCAACATCCCCACTGCCGACCCGGCCTTCCCCCAGTGGTCCTACACCAAGTACCCCGCTGCTTTCCCCGGCGCAGTCATGATCAACGGTCTCCTGGAGAACCCCACCCGCAAGGCTGCCTTCGAGTCCTACCTTAAGAAGACTGTCGAGGTCCTCTTCAACAACGTTACCCTCACCAACCGCATCCTCAAGTACCACGAGTTCATCCTCCCCGACCTTGCCTGGGACCGCAACATTACCCAGCGCTCGCCCGGTATCGACTATGGCTGGACCTTCCCCCAGGTCACCCAGAATTTGTGGGAGGGTGTCCAGTCGCCCCTCGCCACTGGCGGTGGAGCAACCATTGGTTTGATCGAGTGGATCGTCACGAAGTCTAACGCCGTTGCCAAGGAGTTCTCGATCACCGTCAGCCCCACCCCCGTTGGTCCCCCTACCACCGGAACCAGCCCCTCTACCGGCAGCGGTGGCAGCACTAGCCCCACCAACCCCAGCACTGGCAAGCCTTCCGGCGGAAGCGCTAGCAACGAGAGCAGCGCTGCCGGCCATATCCTCCCCCAGGTCTTTGCCACCCTTGCCTTGGTCGGTGGTTCGGCCCTTGCTCTCATGGCATAGATGTGTTGATGGAATGAAGACTTTTTAAAAACATAGCATTAGCAAAATATCCCAATAATCTAGTAAAATATGTCTTTTATGCGTACTCTTACATCTCTGGAATGTACTCTTTTTTCTTGGTGGTTGGCATGCATGAGTGTGGGGGTTTCAGTTGTGGAAACTAGTTCATAAGAAGCATAACGCGTTTAGTTGTCGGTTCAGCAATTTTATCCTTCGAGAACTATTCACTCCATGAGGCGAAATTAGAAGACTGGATATTGTGCCTCAGTTACTTTTCGTACTGCCTTTTCCCATCCTTTTGCTCTGCAATGCTGCAAAAATGCAGTCGACGTAAAGTTATTTCAACCCTTGGATAAGACGAGAGAGAGATATATATATATATATATATGGATGGTCCTCATCTCGACTTTTGAGAGTCCTTCTTCCTCGTCATCACTCATTCCTCATTCCTCCTCTCACAGTCTAAACACGCCCTTCAATTTTTTTTTCCTAGCGTTGGTTTTAAAGGAAGTGACTTGCCGCTACTGGTAACCGATGAACCTCCTCGCGTTCACGTTGCCGGAGCTGGTCTTGCTGGACTCTTCCTAAGGATTTTGCTTGAGGAGGCTGGTATCCCTTGTGAGATGTTTGAACGGTCTGCTGAGTGCTGACAGTGCTGAGATCAAGCCTGCTTTGTAAGATAGTTCTGCCGATTTTTTTTTATCCGGACAACTCCCCATATGAAGCGTCCGAATTGATTTTGTATTCAATGAAAAAGAATACGTAGAAAAATTATCAGTCACAATCAGTCACATGATCGACCGTTGCACTCCTTCGTCCTTGGTTTGGTGGGTTTTCTCATTTCTTTTTTTTTTTGTTTTTAAGAAATTTATTGTGTCGTGGGTGTGCGTGCAGTAAACTAACTCCCTTTCACCGGGCAGTCCTCACCGTTCAAAAGGATATAAAAATTAAATGCCAAAGAGGCATGAAAGTTACATCTAAACTGGGAAAAAATAAGTGTGCCGAAAACCGAAGGATAAAACATGATAGATAAATTACAAAGATGGATAGAGTACAAGAAGGTTAGGTAGGGTGGTTGGTGTCGGCAGGGGGCGGCCCGACGGGGGGTGGTGGTTGTTGTTTCTCGTTCTGACGTTTTTTCTCCGCCAGCTGGGCTCGAGCCTGGGTGACGGCCAGGTCCACAGCCGCCAGGACGATCCGAGGTTCGAAGGCCTGGCCTTCGAGAACGAAAGCAAAGTGGTATCTCCAGACGGTGGCCAGGATGGCGCCGAGTAGGAGAAAAAGAGGGAAACCGTCGCGGGGTTCAATGCACTCTGGGCTGTGGAAAAAGAGGCTGCAGACGAAGTCAGCTGTCCATGTTCTTTCCTCCACATATCTCGAGAGTGCTCCCTCCCAGATCTCCAGCTTCTTGGGACAGCTGAAGAGGAGGTGCCGACTCGTCTCCATGTGCACTTGACAGATGCGACAAATAGGGCTCTCGACCATGTCGGGGAGGATAGAGTTGAGGAAACTACCAGACGGGAGCTTATTGATCAGCAGGCGCCACCAGACATTGCGTGCGTTGTGAGAGAGCTTGTTCTTCCAGAACTCCTTCCAAAAGGCAGGCGTCAGCGGTGGGTGAGGTGCGATCATTGGTGGGTGATGGGGTAGTGGTGTCGGGGGCTGGTAGACCTTGGAGAACATTGCTCGTCGAAAAGTCCTTGTACTGGCCAGTCCAAGGGTACCGTTCTCCGATTGGGTGATGGTGATCTCATTAAGGCGCTCTGCAAGATCATCCTGTAGTGATAGCGGACCCGGTGTGTCCAGTGCGCGTTGCAGAGTGGGGTGAGCCTTGAAACGGTCCTGGGCATGGTTGTCCTCCAGACCTGGATGTGATCGGTGGCCTGTGGTGCGTTCAGCACGGGGGATGAAGGCCAGGGTACCTTCTGTCCTTGCTTCGTTGGTCCAGACAGGTCTGAACACACGATCCATGCGCCAGTTGGGTGGATGTGGCCGAGGGACATTGTCTGCCTTGAGCCAGAGGGGGAGTAGGGTAGCCATCATGGTGCCGACCGGTAGGGTCTCGGCCGACTCTTGATCCCATGCGAGCCTTGGAATCAGCTGGATCGCCTGTATTAGACCCTTGAGAACTGTATGCGGTCGAAAGTGCTTGAACCTTGGCGTGAGAAAGAAATCTGGGCTGGCAAAGCAAGCCAGAGGGTGCTCTGACTCTGAGGCAGAGCAAAGGAGATCCTTGAGGACGGGGACCATGAACGACCGTGTGTCGGAGCAATTTTTTTGCACCACCCGGAGTTGAAACGCAACACTCTGAGAGGCAATGTCGACGAGACCAAGACCACCTTGAGACCGACGGAGGCAGAGGTGGTTCCAGGAAGGGGCGGGAAAAAAAGAGACTGTGAACTTGCGGATCGTGCTCTGGACTTTCTTTATCCACTGGCGTGTCGGAGGCTGGACAGCAATGACATGCCAGAGGCGAGAAAGTAGAAGTGAGTTGGCGATGGTGCTTCGACCTAGAACCGAGAGCTGACGACCTTGGTGTAGGTTGATATGGTGTTCGATTTTTTTGTGGATGTTGTTGAAAAATGTGTCCCGTTGTGCTGTGTTGAGGGCGAGGGGGTAGCCTAAGTAGGTCAGAGCGTTGTCCACACGAGTGGAATGGATGACGACGTGATCCCGCTGAAGAGCCTGTGAAAGTTCGCCGACCGTCCTGTACAAGGGAAATGCGACCGTCTTCTTCAAGTTGAGCTTAGCATTCGAGGCACGCCCAAAAATGTCCATGATCTCCTTCAGACAGCGCCACTCCTCCGCCGACTTGATGAAGGTGGTAAGGTTGTCAGCGTAAGCCATCAGCTTCAAGAGGGTCGCTGTTGGGCTGTTGTTGAGTCGATAACCAGATATTCCAGGGCACTGTAGGATGGTGTGAAGAAGGGGCTCGAACGCGATGTTGTAGAGTAGTGGTGATAGTGGGTCGCCCTGTCGTAATCCGCGGCATTGCTGAAACGGTGCTGCAAGGTACCCATTAATGTTGAGGTGGATCTCTGTATCGAAAAAGAGGGTGGAGATGGAAGTGATCAGCTGCTCTGGGAATTTCATGTGCCTCATGACCGCGCGCAGATAGTCCGGGTGAACGCGGTCATAGGCCTTCTCCTGGTCAAAGAGTATCCCTACACCGCCGATCTTGTGTCTCTCACAGTGCTCCCGAAATGCAGCCATAACAAGGCCATTGTCGGCGATGTGACGACCAGGAACAAATCCTGTTTGGAGACGGGTGATGAGATGGTCCATGGGCTGACGAAGGCGGATGGTGAGAATCTTGGTAAAGAGTTTGGCGTCGGTATTGATTAGAGACAGAGGTCGCCAGTTCCCGAGGTCTGTAGCATCACCCTTTTTGAATAGGAGAATCATGCAGGTTTGCTGACAGGATGCGGGCATCGTGGCGGTCAGTAGAGCCTGCATCATAACTCGGGAGAGGAGCGAAGCGACTTCCTCAATTGACAGCAGAAAGGTGTAGAGCTCGAACGGAAATCCGTCAAGACCAGGGGCCTTCCCGCGGGCGCTGTCTGATAGGGCATCCAGTATCTCAGAGGGGTCGATGGGGCGCATAAGTCTGACCTGGTCCTCTACCGATAGAACTGCCTGATCTGGTAGCTTGGAGGGGAGGAGGTCGACGGCGTTGGCGTCAATGGGGTCGGGTGTGTAGAGTCGTTGGTAGAAGGCGCGGCCTACATCGCATAGGTCTCTCGGGGCCGAGACGGTCTCCTCCAATCCTGATGGCCGTAGAGCTGTGATGGTGCGTTTGGCCGCTCTGGAGTTAAGCACTCGAAAGAAGTACTTGGTGCAACGCTCGCCAAACTCCCGCCATTTCAGCTGAGTGGGTTTTCTCATTTCTGCGGACAACGAGCGCAACGGTCGATCATGTGACTGATTGTGACTGATAATTTTTCTACGTATTCTTTTTCATTGAATACAAAATCAATTCAAAAGTAATTAAACTGTTATTCGGACGCTTCATATGGGGAGTTGTCCGGGTAAAAAAAATCGGCGGTAGTTCACGTTCAGAGCTAACGAAACTTGGCGCACGACTCTAGAACATGCACGAACGCATTTTGAGACACGTACTTTTTAACTGGGCGCCAAAGTCCATGCAACACGCTCAGATCATCAAGGGATTCGGCTTTCAGACCCCAAGCCAACTTTTTGCCTCAGGCGCCTAAACGCGGGACTGTAGATGTTGTTTCCCAGCCACCTTCGAAGCGTTTGTCGAAAGAGAAGGAGGAGGGTGTGCAGGGAACAGTTGCTGTTTAGGTCGATGATGATACAACCAGTCTGTCATGCAACAAGATCTCCTCATAGTTGGGAAAGATCTCAGACAGAAAAATGGGAGAGCCCAACAACCTTATATTCTTTGTTCACTTGTTTTTGTTGGTACTTGTATCTCAGGTTCATCAACGACTACGTTCAGAAAGGGAACAAACATTGTGAAGGGATGAGCTGAAGACTAAACTCAAAAACGGTGGACGACTTATTTTTGAATTTGAAAAAGAAGACATTGGTGAAGTTGGCCAGAGAGTGGGGAAATAGGGAATAAAACAAGGACGCAGAAAATGAAAAGAAGGGGAACAAACAACAAATGGCATTCAGCGTTTCCGCTGCCATACTCCTGAAAGTGTCATGTCGCCTGCACATGAAAAGAGTTTGATCCATCCATCACTCTCAAACCGATCAACTACGACGGTCGCTTGACAATCATCAAAACGAGACTGGAATTAAATAATAACAGTGTGGTTTATTTAGCTGAAGGGATGAGATTGTGTGGCAACGCATTTGAATTCGATCCGGGGTCGAATGGTCCGAACCCACTTCATAATTGTGTCGTTATCGTCCAACTGATGATATGGATAATTCCGAAATTCCAGGTACTCGAGATCTGGCCAGCATTGCCACCGCTGTTTGGCCCGATTCAGGAACATGGCGCCAATATCCTGGAGATGGCCCAGACCTCTCATGTCCGCTCCTGACATCATATAGTCTGAACTGTCGTCGCCGTCCTCCACGGCAGGAGAGGGTGTCGAACTCGTAGTCGTGGAAGACTTCTTTGTCTTCTTGAATAATGTGGACTGGTCAACCTCTGTGTCTGAATCTGTCTCTGTATCGCTCCCCTTTCTCTTTTGCTCCCGATACCGATGATTGCGTGACAGGGCTTCCTTGATTGTCGGGTTCAGATTCTTCTGACGACCCTTCAATGGCTGGTCCTGAGAGAGTAACGTCGACTGGAAGGGCGTCCGCGAGTAAATGATATGGTCCTCGACAGTGACAAACCGCTCCAACAATTTCTTCTTCTCAACCTTCCGTGCAGGGTCCAGATCTAGAGCCAGCCAGTCCAAGTCGTCTTTCTTCAGATCCTCCCTGCTCTCTGTGATCACCACCGCTCGCCTCAACCCCTGCAGCCTCGACAACAATGAGACTCCGCCTTCCAGGCTCAACAATAGACCTGTGCTCGAGATCAACAAATCCTGGAGTCGAGGACAGGTCTTGCTGATGTATCCATAAATCATCCTCGAGCCCTCATGACTTTCGAAACTCATGTCCCCACTGCGTCCTGCTCCAAAACTCAAGTGAAGCGTCTTAAGGTTGCTTGTCGTCCACACTCGGGTTTGCAGCTGCTCCTCGTGCTGGCCTCCAGAAGAATAAGGTGATGATAACGACGACTTATCGTCATCCCTCCTGCGACAATACCGCCCATCATTGTTTAAAACACCCTCGACATCCAACCAAGCAATCGACACCTGTATCCCAGACGCCCGCAGGTGCTGCAGATGAAACGCCCCGCAAAGGTACTGGTGCAACGCCTTCCCGACAATCTCCTGGTTTAAATGTCCGGTAATCTCAAGACTCGTCATCCGGTCGGCAAACGTACAAGTCCTGAATGCCTCTAGTGTCTGAGACGAGATGTCAAAGCTGGGCGTGACCCAGTGTGTGAGTGCGGGGAACTTTTGCAAGACCTGGACCAGCTCTGCGCTCTTTATCTTGGAGGGCTTAGTCATCGAAATAGAGAGTCGGGTGATCTGAGGGCTGACGGTCGCTATCCTCTCGATGCCTGCCATGTTTGACCAAGAGACAAGATCCTGCTTCCTGAGCGGCGCCGATGGTGGTGACGGCGAGGGTGATGCGGAGTGTTGGATATACGTCTGGGGTACAGTGGTAGATGTCGTCGTTGGCGATGCTTCGCTTTTGAGCCTCTTCAGCGCCAGATCCGTCAGAGCCGGAGCAACACGCAAAAGTCGCAACAAGCACTCAGTCTCGACCCCGATTCCTTCCAACGACAACGAACGAAGCGGTATGCGATCCGGTAATGAAGGCGGTGGTGGATGATCCGAATCACTCGTGTCCACAAGTCGATAGTACGAAGGGGTGGCCTGGCTGATCTCAACGTGGAAGAGTCTGGGACAAAGAAGCAGGATCCTGTCCAGAGGAAAGAACGCAGCAAAGTGCATCTGTTTGAGCTGAAGGTTGGTCAACTGGAATCCGGTGATGGTGAGTAGAGGCAGGATGTCGGTCTGGTAATCCATGTAATAGAGGATCTGAAGGTCAGTGACCCGTAACTCGTTCTGTTGCGCAAGATGCTCGAGCTGCTTCATGAACGCCTGGTGGTGAAGAGGTCCAAGTCGAGGGGGTCCCAATCTGCCCCAGTACAGGTCGGTGACAGGAGGTTTGACGACTAGAACACGCGCGCCTCGGATATTGTCGATCGCCTTTAGGTCAAACTTGTCCCTGTCCTTGTTGAGCGGGTCCAGTTGGGCTTGGTTGGCTGGGTCGAGGATAATCGTTGCAGGTCGGACCAAGAGAGGGAGAGCGACTTTGTGCCATAGACGACAGACGAGGGAGGCTGTGAGACAGAGGGACCGTTGGTTCAGGAACGAGAGGATGTGCTCGACCAGCTCTGGGACTTGGGTGACCTTGGCATAGTTGTGGTCAAAGATCTTGGGAGTCCGCTCCTTTTTCTTCTTCTTTGCCTTTTGCGCCGGCTGTGACATTGCTGATGTTGTTGATGATTAGGGAAGAAGGAAGAGGGGAAGAAGAAGAAACGAATGGTGATGAGAGAAGGAGACAAGAGAGGATGAACTGGGATGAAATGAAATAGGAATGCGGAAAGGCGATGGGCGATCAAATAGGTAAATAAATAAAAGAGGAAGGGGCGCAACAGGTGTTGGAGCTAGAACATTTTTCTTCCAAAAAGGGACGAGACTGATCAAATGGGGCATTTTTTGTACGACTAGAGAGCATGGAGGATGATATCTTCCTAGACAAACAAGCAAAGTGATGGAGCGTGTTTGATAGGATTGCATCTCACCCTCACGCGCGTCCCATGGACGACCCATTGTTGAAAATGCAATGTTCTTTACTTTCTTTTCTTTTCTTCTTTCTCCCTTCAAACCAACACTACTCCCTACCCGTCTCTATCCTCCAACAGATGTCAATTGCTCATGGGCGCACCTTGTAAACTAGTCCCCGTGCCAAAAGAGACGAACAGGGCCGTTTGTTGTCAGTTACACCGACACATGGACCCCATCCCCTCCCTGTTTGGAGGAAGAATGTACCCTCCGCGCCAAGAAAGAGAAAGCCATGGCAATGCACATCAAACCACTTGGAATCAGACCTGTCCAAGCACCACGTATGACTAAACATCCAGGATGTTACCCTCTTCGAAAGGCATGCCACCCAGTACTACTAATTTGTGTGCGGGTATCTTCGACTATGAGAAACCCTTCATGACAAAAGACAATTATAGCAAAACCCAACATTATCAATGGTGAAGACCTGGCCTGGATGATCGCCGGTTGTAGAAACAAACTCGGACCAACGAATGGCAAGGTTGATATGTGAATGTACCTCTTGTTTCGCATCAACAGTAGTTCTCCTACTGACCAGACAGTAAGTTGACGAAGTCTTATTTCCGTCCAGCTCACATCCTTTTCCACACATATATCCTTTTCTCTCACATACCTTTATTCATTCCCTCCGTTGACACAGCACCACTCATACCAACCTTACTCCGTCTTCAGCTTTGCGCCCTTTGATCAAGGCCAGAGTGGCGATGGGGTGGCAGCGTCAAAAATCTCCAGCCTGGTGGCGAGCGCTGTCATTAAGGCTGGCGCGGATGCTAAGCTGGCCAAGCAGACAGTGGTGGAGTAGCGAGGACGATGTTCAAACTCAGGCGACATTGCCCAGTAATTCGACACTCTATACTGAAGGCCAATCGTTCATTCAAATCCTCGGCAACAAGAATCTCAACAAACCCTTGGAAGCATTAACCTGACCCTGTCAACGTACGTCGCTGCAGAAAACCGATACGTTGTGAGCTTTATCAGGCAGGAATTCACGTCTCTCTGAAAATGGTAACTGAGCACCTTATTTCTTTCTGAGTAAGGTTGAAAAGAGGAGGAGTATGTGAAAAACAGAGGTCGATGACGAGTTGTTTACTTGTTGGCTATCTGTTGTTGGTGGTCGATGCGCTTGAGACAGATAAGCTATTTGGTTGCCTTCATTTCCCCAGGTGAGGATGAATTGGACGTTGGGGGATAGGGCACCCAAACATGTAGAACCCAATCAATGTTAGTATGCGCATCATTGTGAGTGTTCAACTCAGAAAATGTCCGCCAAATGGGGAAACCTCTGCCGGAAGTTATTCTTCCCTGCCTTCCCTTTAATGCAGTTGGCTGTCCAATGACGCTCACGTCCAATCTCACGGATAAATTTATCCGTCCTTCATGCTCTTTCTTGATGCCCACCCTTTTTTTGTCTTTTGGCTCATCTTACCTTACGTGTATACAAGGCTGCCATGAGTGATGCAGATTCTCAACATTGTGCAATGCAATTGAAAAATGAAACATAGGAAAGAAAGAAGCATTTCAAACAAACTCCAAGTTGACAAGGTGCCACAGAATTCTTTATGGCGGCCCCTTGTGCGACAGCCAAACCCACGGAATTAAGAATGGACCGAAGAGTGACAGGGTGATGTTGAGATGGGTACGATGAGAAGTCTTTCAGTCTGTGTATTATCTCTCTCTGTGCCTCTGTACCTCTCTGGCTGCATGTCAGTCAACCCCGACTTGATCGAGAAACATGGACAATTTCGGCCAACCAAACTCAAAGAAAGAAAAAAAAGACAAGACGGGGATAAATCCATGCCCGATACTCCCTGAAACACGCCAAACGGCGATACCCTCGTTGTTTTTCAACAGATAGCTGCCACGGAGGAAACGTTATGGCTGATTAGCAAGATGGTGCATGGCTGGCTATCTATCCTGCGCAATTCTCGTTCCTGGGGAGAATGTGATGTGTGTGTACTGGATAAGACAGAAAAAGGATCACATCGGTTCAATGAGAACGTGTCCCTTTTGCCGATCATAACAGACGAACGATGTAATGAAAATAACAAAGGTGGGAAAGTGGATCATATTTCGAAGAAAAAACAAAGAGATCGACCCAGGAAGCAACAAATAGAAACGCCCCTTCCTTCCTTCCCTATCATCAACGTGCTCAACAACCATAACAAGGACAATACTAACATAAATAACGCACATCATCTCCTTTTATTTCGTCTATTGCCCTTCTGCAGGAACATGTACAAAATGAGCGGGACATGAACCTCGCACATTTGATTAGACCAATGGCCTTCCACCCCCTCTTACTCCTCTCACTTTCCCCCCCTCCATTTTCGGGATTTGAGATGTCCCAGCGCCCTTGAGTTGCTGAGTAATGAAAGAGCACTGGCGGTGGCTGGCAATGAGAGTGAATGGATGAATGAGGTGGCTCATACAGAGTTTTTCTGGAGCAATTGGCGCCCCCTTTTCGATATTTTGATCCCATCGGTCCACAGAACACCCCATTGCCTATCTCAACCACCCTCTACGCCCTTTGTGCTTTTCGTGTATCCTCTATCTTCCCTCACAAACAGCCCAAATAAAATCGCTATTCCTGCATATTCTTCCTCTTCTTCGTTTCGGTTTGCATTCTCCCCTTGGGCCATCGGTTCGCCCTGACATCCAAAAGGGCAAACATATTTCCCTTCTTCCATCAAATTTTTGATATGAGGTCCCTGATCAAAAAAAAAAAAAAAAAAAAAAAACAACCCCCATTCACCTTTTGTTGGACCACTCACTCTCATTCATTCTCTTTCCTTCGCACGTTGACACGTTGAGGGATTTCTATTTTCATTCCCATTCGCACAGTGCTGGGCGATCTTTTGTTAAATTGTCAATGGGTTCATGGAGTTTACGCCATAGAGTTTATTTCACTGCGAAACTGTCTATTTTTGAGGTAGATAGACTACCATAGTTCATATCGTGGTATACACATGCACAGCTGGTGCTCATATTACATCCTGCTGGACACAATTAGTTTGAGCCTCACTCCCAACCTTCTCCTCTTTCCCCCTCTCGGATAATTTGACTGTGTGGCACAGAATCCCGACCACCGATCCTTTGACTCTCTTTTTGCTTTCTTTTTGCACGGTTCGTCTTTCCAATTGATATCAGTTTTGCATGGTTCCTCTTCCCCTTCCCAGCTACGTCCTGTAGGATCATTATTTGTTATCCAAAGAAAGAATTCCAGCCCAACAAAGGCATGTCTTGACTCATTGCTAATCATTGTGAGACAAGGCGCAATGGCCGTTGCAGGTCTTTTCCTTTCTTTTTTTTCTGAAGAGTGCTTGTTGAGGTGACTGGTGCACAGTGGTTGTATATGATGTATGTGGGGAAGTATCGGATGGGATGGATGGGAGGAGGATTTGTAGTTCATCATAGCGCTGCTTAGAAGCGAAAAGAATACATCAACAGAAAAAGAAAATGTGGGGGAGAGGTAGCAGAATGAACATTTCCAAAAGGGAAGAAAAGCAGGCTGAGGATTAGAAATGGCCATGGTGTGCGCAGAGTGAGAGAGTGAAGGGAAATGACGATTTGTCGGGAATCTTTTTTGACCGGGAGATATTTACCCTTTTGAGTTTTAGAGGCTACTTTATCTTGAGGGGGTAGGGGGAGATGAGCAATCACCTTGTTCGTTCCTGTGAGTGTTAGGGAGCAAGACTGGGGAAAATGAAAAGAAAGGGGGGAGAGATGAGAAAAGAAGGGACGGGTTAAAGAGAAGAAGAGAGGAACGGTAAAGAGCGAAAGAAGGGCGGCAGCAGTCATGGTTGTTGTTCACTGTACCTGAAGCCATCGATTGTCGATAGGCGGTCATTGTTTCGTTGATGTTTTGTGTGTGTGTGTTTGTTCGTTATCGTTTGATGGTGTGTTTCTGAAATGGACGACGACAACGAAGATCTGTGTTGTCTGTGTATCCCGGAAATATGAGGGCCGGACGATAGTAGGTGATTGAATCGAATGAATTGAATAATCACTGATACTGATTTTCTATCCCCGACTGACACACCCATCCCCAATATCATCATAATCATTCTAATCCTGGTGGACAAGGTTTTCTAGAGTCCGCTTAGAAGGGAGGACGCCATTAGTGTACAGTGCAGCCAGCACACACGGCCTTACAATTGCCGAGGAGGAGAGAAGGGTAAACAATACCCATGGGAGAAATGAGCACCGATAATAACGAGCAAAAAGGTATAAAAGATAGCCATCCCTCATCCTTCCTTCCAATTTTTTTCTTTCTTCATCATCATTCCCTTTCTTTTCTTTTGTTCTCTTTGCTTCTTTTTTTTCTTCTTCATCCTCTTTAATTCTCCCTTTACTTTGTATTCTACCACCACCATCCACCTCTCTTTTGCTTTTGCTTCATACCATCTGCACATACCTTTTTCTTTACTTTTAATAACTTGCATTTTCATTCATACCTTCTTCACTACTCCACACACTCACAACCAACTCCCCACTCCCCACTCTTTTTTGTTTACTAAGCACATCTCACGCACCAACCACCTTCACTCTCAACCCTTGTTCAACCACACACATACACATCGTATTTTATCCCCCTTTTTTACATTGAACATCCAATCTCGCCATGTCGAACCCAAGTGAACACACTTCGGGTGCACCGGAAGCCAAGCAACCCACAGGTATCTTGCGCAACGCAGCATCTTACCACCAACCTCACGACACCGTCATCGCCTTCAACAACGAAAAGGCTGAGATCGACGACGATGACGAGGACTCCCGCTCCGAAACCGGTACCTACGAGGATGCCGTCAGCGGTCGTTGGGGTGAAGGCCCCTCCCGCGTCAACGTCATCGGTGCCGAGAAGGACTTCAAGAAGCTCGAGCGCCAGCTCACCCGTCGTTCATCCCTCTACCGCACCCAGACCGGCGAAAAGACTACTAACGACGGCATGGATTTCGATCTGACCAACTACCTCAAGGACATCATCCCCCGTGCCCAGGACGCTGGTATCAAGCGCCGCAACCTCGGTGTTGCCTGGGAGAACCTCGAGGTCATTGGTGAGGGTGTCGGAGCCCAGTACATCAAGGACTTTGGTGATCCCTTCATCGGTCTCACCAACCTCATCAACCCTTACTTCTGGGCCAAGAAGGCCTTCTCCAAGTCCGAGGCTGCCCCAAAGTCCATCACCCGCACGATTCTTCACCCCATGAACGGTTTCTGCAAGGACGGTGAGATGATTTTGGTTCTCGGTCGTCCCGGTGCTGGATGCTCGACTCTCTTGCGTGTTCTTGCTAACGATCGCAAGAACTACAAGGGTGTTGATGGTGAGGTGACCTATGGTCCCTTCTCTGCCGAGGAGATCCGCGACCACCACCGCGGTGAAGTGTTGTACAACCAAGAAGGTAACCTAACACTTTGCTCTCTCTCTTTTCATTTTGCCTGCCTGTCTGTGCGCATTTGTTTGTGAAGTGGGCCATCGAAATTAACATTTCTTTTCATCATCCCTTTTCCCTCTCAAACAGATGACTTCCATTACCCTACCTTGACTGTTCGTCAGACTTTGACCACCGCCTTGAAGACCAAGACACCCGGCAAGCGTCTTCCCGAGCAAACACACAAGGAGCAGTTCGTCGACGAGTTCCTGGACGTCCTCACCAAGATGTACGGCTTGACCAAGCAGGTCGAGACTGTCGTCGGTAACGCCTTCATCCGCGGTGTCTCCGGAGGAGAGCGCAAGCGTCTCTCGATTGCCGAGCAGATGGCCACCCGCTCCTCCGTCAACATGTGGGATGGCTCCACTCGTGGTCTCGATGCCTCTTCGGCCCTCGACTATGTCAAGTCCCTCCGTGTTATGACCAACTTGATGTCCAAGGCCACCATGGTCTCCATTTACCAGGCTGTAAGTATTTTTTTTCCTTTGTATTGGTCAATGCGATGCTTGGTCAAGCAACAACAGCAACTAATCCAATGCCTTTACGCCATCGTTTAGTCTGAGAACATCTACGATCTCTTTGACAAGACCTTGCTTCTCTACGAGGGTCGCTGCATCTACTTTGGTCCCGCCAACCAGGCCCGCCAGTACTTTATCGACCTTGGCTTCGACTGCCCTACTCGTCAGACCACCGCCGACTTCTTGACTGCCGTCACTGACTCCCACGAGCGCAAGGCCCGCGCCGGTTTCGAGGGTCGCATTCCCCAGACCCCCAAGCAGTTCGAGGATGCCTTCAAGTCCTCGACCTTCCACACCGATGTCGAGAAGCAGCGTCTCGAGTACCAGGCCTCGGTCAGCGAGCAGAACCCTGTCGCCGACTTCAAGGAGGCTTCCAAGCAGGTCAAGCAGAAGCATGTCTCGGTCAAGAACCCTTACACCATCTCCTTTGTCGGTCAGGTCAAGGCCTTGACTGTGCGCCAGGCCCAGCTTACCCGTGGTGACATGACCTCAGTCATTTCCCGTTACGCCTCGAACGTCATCAAGGCCATTATTGTCGGATCCGTCTTCTTCAAGCTGAAGGCCGATGCCACTGGTACCTTCACACGTGGAGGTGTTTTGTTCTTTGCCCTTCTGTTCAACGCTTTGATCTCCCAGGCCGAGTTGCCCATGGCTATGCAGGGCCGTCCCATCCTGTACAAGCACAAGAACTTTGCCATGTACCGTCCCTCTGCCTTTGCCATTGCCCAGATCTGTGTCGATATCCCTTTGATCACTGCCCAGATTGTCCTCTTCGCTGTAGTCCTCTACTTTATGGCTGGCTTGCAGCTCGAGGCCGGCAAGTGGTTCCTCTTCTGTCTCATCCTGTTCCTGACTGCTCTTTGCATGACCGCCTTCTTCCGCATGGTTAGTTAACATCACTCTTCATTGTTTTGCATGCCAATTGCTCATTTACAAAAAGAAACATGAACTGACCCTATTGTCCTCGTCCTTTTTCCTCTCTCTTGTAGTGGGCTGCTGTTAGTGCCACATTCGATGCCGCCTCTCGCAACTCTGGTCTTATCCTCTTGGCCTTGATCTTGTACTCTGGTTACATGATTCCTTACCAAGCCATGCATCCCTGGTTCATTTGGATCTTCTGGATCAACCCTCTCGCCTACGCTTTCAAGGCCTTGCTCTCCAACGAAATGAGAGGACTCAGCTTCGACTGCAGCGGACGCGGTATGATCCCCCACGGTCCCACATACACCCAGCTCCAGTACCAGGTCTGCGGCCTTGCTGGTGCCAAGCCCGGTGAGACCTTTGTCGATGGTTCCGATTACCTCTATGCCGCCTACCGCTACAACACAGATCAGCTTTGGTACGACGTCTTGGCCATTGTCCTCTTCTGGCTCCTCTTTGTCGGTATCACCTGCTACGCCCTCGAGAACATTGAGTTTGGCAAGGGTGGTTTCTCTACCAACGTCTTTAAGAAGGGATCCGTCATTGTTGGAAAGAACGCCGAGGATGAGGAGTCTCGCCCTGCTGCCTCGGTCTCGACTGTTACTGCCGCTGGTCCTGCCAAGAACAACTCTGGCATCGAACTTGAGATGGCCAAGGGATCCGTTTTTGCCTGGGAGAACCTCGACTATGTTGTCCCTTACAAGGCCGATCCTTCGGGCAAGAAGCAGCTGTTGAACGGAATTGCTGGTCTCGTCAAGCCCGGTACCATGACTGCCTTGATGGGTTCGTCTGGTGCTGGAAAGACCACTCTCTTGGATGTCCTCGCCCAGCGCAAAAACACTGGTACCATCACTGGTCAGATCGAGGTCGACGGTGAGCCCCTTCGTCGCGACTTCCAGCGCACCACCGGATACTGTGAACAGTTGGATGTCCACGTTCCCGAGTGCACTGTCCGCGAGTCCCTCCAGTTCTCTGCCCGCCTTCGCCAGCCCGCCCATGTCTCTGAGGCCGAGAAAGATGCTTATGTTGAAGAGATTATCAACATTCTCGAGATGCAGGATATTGCCGATGCTTTGATTGGTACCACCGAGTCTGGTCTTGGTATCTCGGTTGAGGAGCGCAAGCGTCTTACCATTGGAGTTGAACTTGTTGCCAAGCCCAAGTTGCTCTTCCTGGACGAGCCCACATCCGGTTTGGATGCCCAGGCCTCGTACAACATCATGCGCTTCATGCGCAAGTTGACCGACCAGGGTCAGGCCATTCTTTGCACCATCCATCAGCCCTCGTCCCAATTGTTTGATTTCTTTGACGACCTCTTGCTCCTTGCCAAGGGTGGTCACACCGTCTTCTTTGGTGAGCTCGGTCACGACTCTAAGGACTTGATCAACTACTTCCAGAAGAACGGCGCACCCACATGCGCCTCCGATGCCAACCCTGCCGAGTACATTCTCGATGTCGTCAACGCCCGCCACGTCAACCTTGACTGGCCCTCCATCTGGAGCAAGTCGCCCGAGAGGGAGCAGTTGCTCAAGGACATCCAAGCCACACGTCGCCCTGCTGGAACTGTTGCCACCCCCTCTGCCCACGAAGATCTCGAGTACGCCACCAACACGACGACTCAGCTCAAGTATGTATTCAGCCGCATGGCCATGTCCTACTGGCGACTCCCCCAGTACAACTTTGGTCGGATCTTCCTCATGGTCATCTTTGCCCTCCTCAACGGTTTCTCGTTCTACAAGCTTGGTTCATCCACCGTCGATTTGCAGTCACGTGTCTTTGTCATCTTCCAAATCATGGGTAAGTTGTTTCTCCTAGAAAAACATGGTCCATGGTAAAATCTGTGCTTTTCTATCCGTTTTTTTTCACTCACACTTCTCTCTTTTTTCCTCTTTCTTTCCAGTCCTCGCGGCCCTCCTTGTGAACATGGTCCAGCCTGTCTTCATGATGCAGCGTCAGTGGTACTACCGCGAGTCTGCCGGCAAGTACTACGGTTGGATGCCCTTCGCCGTCTCGATCATCCTCATCGAAATTCCTTATATCGTCCTCTCGGCCACTGTTTTCTTTGTCATCTTCTATTGGACCGTCGGCTTTGTCTCGGACTCGGTCTTGACCTTCTTCACTTGGTTGATGATCGTCCTCTTCTGCATGTTCGCCGTCACCATCGCCCAGCTTATCGCTGCCCTGACCCCCGCACCCCAAGTCGCCGCCTTGTTGAACCCCTTCATTTTCTCGTCTCTCAACCTCTTCTGCGGTGTCATGATCTCCAAGGAACTGATGCCCAAGTTCTGGTCCTCGTGGATGTACTGGCTCGACCCCTACCACTATGTCATCGAGGCCATTACCACCGTCCAGTTGCACAACGTCCCCGTCATCTGCAAGAACGACGAGTTCTCGATCTTCTACCCTCCCGCCGGCCAGACCTGTGGCCAGTATGCCTCGGCTTTCATGGAGAAGGCTACCGGTTACATCAACAACCTCAACGCTACCGACTTTTGCCAGTACTGCCAATACAAGGTTGGCCAGGACTTTTACGAACCCTTGAGCATGGACTTTGATAACCGTTGGAGAAACTTGGGTATTCTTTGCCTTTACATCTGCTTCAACATCTTCATGGTCCTCGTTGCTATCCGCTTTGTCCGCTTTGATCGTCGCTAAACGCGATCATATCTACGATACCATTCCTCGTCCACTTTTACACACTAGAAGAAAAAATAAACAATAGAATAGAAATTAAACTGTACATTATTTACGATTTCCATTGTCATTCTGGTCTGGATTTTTTTTCGCTTCTGAACAAGGTCGTAGGTAGGGATACATTGTCAATTGCCAATTGCATCAATGCAGAGAATCTACCCTCCAGTGATAGGTGCGTGCACAAAAAAGACGAAAAGGCCACAAGAACAGCGGGCAGTTCAGTTCAAAGAGCAATGAATGAAAACTGAACGAATGTTGTTTTACGCTCCTCAACGGGTAAGTTGCACATCCTAAGAAAGAAAAAGTCCATGGTCAAGTCTATGCTTTTCTACGTTTTTTTTTTTTTTTTTTTTTTTGCTCACACTTCTTTCATTTCCCTCCTCTTTCTTTCCCAAAAAAAATGTATTCGCCGCTTTGATCTGCAATATGGTGGAGCCAAGGTTCCATACTGAGAGACAATGGTTCTATCGAGACCAGGCTAGCAAATTTTACAGTTGACGTCCTTTTGTGATTTCGATTGTTTGTATCGAGCTGCCGTACATTCTCTTGGCGTCCACGATCTTCTTCTACGTGTTCTATTGGACAACTGGCTTCTCCATCTGGTTGATGGTCTTCTTCTTTACTGTATTCGCCATGACCCTGTGGTCAGGCGATTGCCGCATGAACACCACCTCTACAAGTGGCAGCGTTTTTGAACGAGTTTGTCTTTTCAACGCTCAACCTATTCTTGGTGTCATGATCCTCAAAGAATCCACGCCAAAGTTTTGGTCGTCTTGGTTATATTAGCTTGATCCATACCACTACTCGTCGAGGGGGCTGTTGTCTTCCAGCCTCGCGACGTGCCGGTCAAACTACAAGCCTAAAGAGTTTTCGATTCTTTCACACTCCAGTTGGTCAAACCTGTCGACAATATGCGGTCATGTTCTTGAAGACCGCGACAGGTTACATCGCCAACCTCCAATGCGACCTCCGGATGCCAATACTGCAACCTACCAGAAGGGAGCCAAGACTTTTACAATGGATTGAGCATGGAGTTTGACCACCGCTGGAGAAAACATAAGTCGTTCGTTCATCTACTTGTTGTTCAACGTTATTATGATCGTCGTCGGTGTTCGCTTCCTTAAATGGAACCGTCAACAAATAAATAATCCTTTCGTTTGAAGACTGTGCAGTCCTATTATTTTGAGCCATGGAACTACAGACACTAAGGGAAGATATGACAAGAATGTCGAGTTACCATGGCAGAAACCAAAAAAAAAAAAAAAAAAAAAAAAAAAAAAAAAAAGATTAACAGGAATGAGGGTAATGTTGTGGTTGTCCAGTGCAAAACTTGGGAGACAAAGAAGCTTACCTTCCATCGGAAGGCTCTTGATGCAGATTGTCAAGAGGCCTTTTTTTTCAGCAAGCCTTGGATAAGCTAGAAAGGGATCAGATCAGTAGAATCAGCTGAGAGTGGACTGATCTTTTTTTTTTTTTTTTTGCGGAAGGTAGATATTTTCAAGTCATTTTTTCTTTTCGTTTTCTTTTCTCTTTGTTTTATCGACACTCCTCCCTACTCCTATTCTCCTCTTCGCTGCTAATACATATTACAATAACTTTCCGCCATGTCCCAAGAACTTCGCTCTTGTCAACAAGAGGACTGCGGAAGGATATTTGATCCTGAGGAGACCAACGGCACTGTGCGACGACACAGGAACTAAAGCACATCGACCCCACCTCATACCGCTGTCTCGAAGATGTTTGCCCATACACCACCCTCAGATACAATACCTTGCAAATGCACATCAGATCCCACGGCATCAAAAACAGCTTCAGTACAACATGCGACTATTACACAAGGAACGCCAAACTCTTCCTATCTCGCGTAACGACCCATTCCCCATTCGTATGCACATTCGACGGTTGCTCAGCGCCATTCACCACAGAGAAAAGAAGGACCGAGCACGAGAACGACACCCATGGAAACGACGTTGTTTGAATACCAGTTGCTCGCAGTGACAAACTAGGCTTGCGAAATGGTGAGTTTCAAGTTAAACTCGATTACACATTTCAGTTTTGCGCCATGGTCATTTTGTGCTTTTACTTATCGCGTACTCGCCATTTTCGATACAGGTCGATGCAAGATCTGTTTATTCCAGTTCATGGAGGAGTACTCGGATACCCGCCGTCCAACGCCACCAAGACCAACACGACAACAAAGGTAGTTTTCCTTGCCGAGAAGGGGGGTGTCCGTTCGTCCAGGTATCGACGCCGGGTTACTCTCCTTGGGGGGGGGGGGGGGGGGTCACTAGAATTCATAGCATTAAAGAATTTTTTTCCTCCCTGATCAAACTCTTGAATCAGTACGTGTTTTTTTGGCATGCTTCCACCGTGAATCCTCTCCTCCCTGATCAAACTTTTGAACCAGTGCGTGGTTTTTTTCTTTGTCATGCCTCCACCGTGATAACAAACGACCCCAAATAAACCAAAAAAAAAGATAATACGTACCGATGGCTGCGACGATGCGTGTGAAGCCGATGTGTCGTTGTCCTGCGATGGAATGCTGCTGGAGGTAGTGTTCGATATTATGGTCTTGCCTCGAGCATTTCTTGTTTTTTTACTCGTAGTATCCGTCACGTCGTCGTCGTCGTTTGTGCTGTTTCTCTTTCGACGCCTGGCGGTTGATGGTTGAGTCAAAGAGTTGTCCTGAGAGGCTATGTTACTGCTGGTTGCTGTGTGCGATTTTAAACGACTGTTCCTGCTCATGTTGGTCGAGAAGCGTTTGTCGCATCCCGTAAACGGACATGGAAAGGGAGGATGCGTTATGGTGTGCTCGATGAGATCGGCGTTGGTCGAAAAGGTCCTTCCGCAGGTGACTAACGAGCAATCATATATATGATGCTGTAGTTTCAAATGGTTTGTCAAGTTTTTTCTCCGCCCCTGGACGAACGGACACCCCTCCTCTCGGCAAGGGAAACTACCTTTGTTGTCGTGTTGGTCTTGGTGGCGTTGGACGGCGGGTATCCGAGTACTCCTCCGTGAACTGGAATAAATAGATCTCGCATCGACCTGTTTCGAAAATGGCGAGTACGCGATAAGTAAAAGCACAAAAAGACCATGGCGCAAAACTGAAACGTGTAATCGAGTTTAACTTAAAACTCACCATTTCGCAAGCCTAGTTTGTCACTGCGAGCAACTGGTATTCAAACAACGTCGTTTCCATGGGTGTCGTTCTCGTGCTCGGTCCTTCTTTTCTCTGTGGTGAATGGCGCTGAGCAACCGTCGAATGTGCATACGAATGGGGAATGGGTCGTTACGCGAGATAGGAAGAGTTTGGCGTCCCTTGTGTAATAGTCGCATGTTGTACTGAAGCTGTTTTTGATGCCGTGGGATCTGATGTGCATTTGCAAGGTATTGTATCTGAGGGTGGTGTATGGGCAAACATCTTCGAGACAGCGGTATGAGGTGGGGTCGATGTGCTTTAGTTCCTGTGTCGTCGCACAGTGCCGTTGGTCTCCTCAGGATCAAATATCCTTCCGCAGTCCTCTTGTTGACAAGAGCGAAGTTCTTGGGACATGGCGGAAAGTTATTGTAATATGTATTAGCAGCGAAGAGGAGAATAGGAGTAGGGAGGAGTGTTGATAAAACAAAAGGGAAAGAAAAGAAAAGAAATCAATTCAAAAGGAAACAAAGGCTTGGAAATATCTAACTTGCGCAAAAAAATTATCAGTCCACTCTTTCCTGATTCCACTGATTCCCTTTTTTTTACCTTATCCAAGGCTAGCTGAAAAAAAAAGCCTTGTTGACAATCTGCTTTAAAAGCCTTCCGATTAGAATTTAAACTTCTTTGTATCCCAAGTTTTGTTTTGGACAACCACAACATTGCCCTCATTTCTTATTGTGTCTGCCATGGTTATAGCAACTCGTACTCTCTTGTCACGTCCTCCCTTAGTGTCTGTAGTTCCATGGCTCAAAATTAGTACTACAATACTTTCAAGGTCTGCGGCAAATTGAGGAAGAAAATGATTTGCCCGATTCTGGATGGCCTATTCGAGCAAAGCCAATGCATTTCCCAGTTCTCCCACCTTCCACGAGCGATGGCGATGCGTACATTCCGCGATGCAGTGATCTACAGCCTGCCGACAGCGTTATATATCCCCGGCCGAACAACAGAGGGTGTCGAATATCATCGATACACTGGGGCTGGTTCTGTTTGCTTTGAAAGATGCCCTTGGAGCGGAGCAAAATGCTCTTGCTCACCCCTGGGTGATCGCCAAGCTGTCCGCCAGGACAGTCAGTGTTTGTCCGATAATACCCCACACTCGCGAGCGAAAGCATGGTGAGGGCAAAGCGGTTTTGACATGTTCATGCCCATCAGTCGCGACGCTGGGTTTGGAGCACATATTATCAGTGGTCCCCTACACAGCCTGGCTCGTACGCCGCAAGTTTGTCGAACTCGATGGCCGCTTGTGCGAGCTGCTTAATCGAGACTGGGAGTTTTCGCCGCAACTTCGATACGCATGCTCAAAAACCCTTGCTGGCTGCATCACTTTCAACAAAGGCCAGTCTTTCATCCCAATCCTCGGCAACACAAATCTGAACAAACGCCTGGAAGCATTGGCCTGACAGCGGATCGATCTGTTGTGAGCTTTGTCAATTGGGAATTCACTGCATCTTGCAATACTTTAAAATTATCCCATTCTAGCAACTTCCCACATTTTCTCCCTCTACTTCTTCTACCCACAGTTCCCACCAAAAAAAAAATGCACTTTGGCTATTGCGAACTATATATTGTGAACGATCGATTCCTTGATCTTGGCGCTTCATGACTTGGCCACAACTGGGCAAAAGGTATCACCAACCATGAACCACTACTTTTTTCTATTTCCTCTTTATTTTTATCTACCACTCAGTACAGTGCAAACATCCTCTCCGTAGCCACACTCAAGACTCAGATTCTGCAGATTAAGTGTGAAAAAAGGGGGGGAAGTCTGAACAGATAAAGTTACACATGGAGTAGAACATCAATCCTTCTACCATCCTGTCCCAACTCTTCGCTCCAGGTCCCGGTCACCAACCTGGACACCCACGAGGAGGAAAAAAAAAGAACAATGGAGAATGAGAGACTTGAACTCCCGACCTTCCGCTTTGGAGACGGACGCGCTGCCAATTGCGCCAATCCTCCTTCATGTTGTCCATGTTTAAGCATTTTTCTGCTCTCGTCCTTTGTATCGGATGGATAAGATGGGCTTTCTGGGATGAAGTAGAGGGAGGGGCGGGGGGGGGGGGGGGTCAGGGAACCAATCAGGTAGCGCGGATTTTAATCATGGTTCCTGAGTGTGATAGAAAGGAATGGAATGGGATTGAGAAAAAATAGGAGCCTCAACTTTGTTTTCTGTTTGGCAAACTATTTGGCAGTGATAATTGAAGCACAAAAGAAAAAAAAAAGAGGCGTAAAGAATCAGAGTGCAACAGCGATTCACACTTTTCTGTGAGAGAGAGAGACCAAGAGTGAACCAGAAGGGGGGAAAAAAAGGATGGATGAAAGCGCGTTAATGAAGACATGTTGGATAATGATCGTCGCGATGAGAAATAAAAATGAGCAGTTCAATTTTTTATTACTTTGTGTTGAAGAGAAATAATTATTGATGGGTGTGGGTAGTTAGAGCGAGAAGAGATGATTACTGTGTATGAAATGGCTAGATACGAAAAACGAATTGCAAATAAGAACATAGAGGAGGCAAGTAGTGAAGCGAAGTAGGAGACGAAAGAAGAGTACTCTACGAGCAACAAACGAGTGGCGTTTTTCAGTCATCCCCGGTTGGAGTCAAGAGACTGCCGCTTCCATCATCTTCGGGCACCTGGGCGTCCTCCTCAGCGTCCTCCACAGCGCCCTCCTCTTCTTCATCCGGCGTCGAGGAAAATGTAGTACCTTGTCCTTGAGTTGACTCGGCCAACGAAATAAAGGATGGATCAGCGACTTCAGCAGGGACCGCGGTGGATCCTGGGCCTCCACCCGTCTCTATGGCTGCTGAAGGCGGCGTCGCCGTGACGGGTGGAGTGGCCGCTGCTGGGGTGTGCTGTGCTGAACTCGTGGGGGTCATGAGCGAGGTTGATCTGTTCACGGCCGAACCAATGGCAGCCGACCCTGGGTGGTGGAAACCTTGCTGTTGAGTCGATGAAGAAGATCCCTCGACATTTGGGAAAGTTGTAGATACAGAATGCTGACTAATAGGAACACTACCGGATGTCGAGGTGGCGACGGTGGCACCTGTGGACGAAAACGTGGTGGCAGAGCCGGGAGAAATCGAGCCCACCGACGACAACGACTGAGAACGTCCATGGGAGGAAGAGACGGATGCTAGTGGAAGATCACTTGCAGGACCCAACCATGCCATTGAAGGGATTGAGGATCCTGCAGAAGCGTCAGTCAGGGGTGATGGACCAGGCTGATTCGAAGTCAACAAAGATGCCGCCTCAAAAGTCTGGGTGAGCTGGTTACCCTGCTGAGATGGCAACATCATACCTGGGGCTTGGTGTTGAAGCTCATCGCCTTGATGGAATTGTTGGATGGCAGAGGGTTGTTGTTGGTGGTTGTACATTGTGTCAACAACCCCAGGTGTAGTTGGCAAGTGGTGCTGCAGAGGCAACGGGACCTGCGACTGTTGCTGTTGGTGTGGTGGCGGCTGAGATGAGCGAGGAGGGTAAGGACGGTGTCGTTGGTCATGGAAAGCTTGTTGGTGAGGGTCTTGTTGCTGCTGTTGCTGCTGTGTGCCCTGCTGTCTCTGCATGAGGATTTGTTGACTGATGAACTGCTGCTGCTGCTCTGGAGTGTAGTTGGTGTTGGCGAGATGCATGTCGCCTCCAACAGGACCGATGCCTCCTTGGGCCTCGAACAATGCCTGAAGTCGATCCAGCTCCGCAATCTCGTGCGAGGTCAAAAATCGCCCTCCTGGGCCGCGGGGTCTTCGCATCGCATGCTTGTGTCGCGATTCGTGCAAGTAAGGCTATTGCATGTATCAGGAGGACCATTTTAGCAGCCAAATACATATTCAATAAAACGTTCATATAACATAATATACTTGAGGTGAAACAAGTAACAACTGATTACAGCAGAGACATACCTTGCGGATCTTGGCCATTCGATTCATCTCCTCCAGCTTGGCACGGGCAGCACGTCTCTTCAAGATCCGGTGGTACTGCTTGGCATTTACATACAATGGCTCCTCATCGCCACCGCCAGGTTGCTGGCCTTGACCACCCGCAGATCCTTCTCCATTGTTGGCTGGGTTTGGAGGCAAAGGAAGATGAGGCTGATGCATATCTGGTGGGTATGGCGGGCCCTGCTGTTGGTGGTGAGGCTGGTAGGGCTGTTGAGAGTGCGAATGTGGGTGGCCAAAATCTTGCGACGAACGACCCTGCGAATGAGGGGACGAAGATCTGGTTGGGCTCTGAGGTGCCATCATTCCCTGCGACTATGAAAATGAAATGAAGTCTGTGCGTTAACACACAATCATATACTCATGAGAAGGATAGCAAAGTTCTCTTATGGTAGAGACATGTATGCTTCGGTTCTTACCATAGCAAACTGCTGTTGCTGAAAGTCAGAGTACCGTCCACCCTATCGTATTTTATTAAAAAGAATACACACACAAAAAAATAAAATATTCACACGGACCAGTCAGCTTTTGATTGACAAGGTAAAAGGAGACATCATCGTTGTGCGTCATTATTTCAAGGCTTACTGGGTTCTGGCTGTAGACGACTCCTTGCTGGTAAGGTTGCTGCTGCTGTGGTGGCTGTTGTTGTTGCTGGTGGTGGAGCATGGGATCTTGCGGTTTTCTGTTGTTATCGGTTGAGGTTGGAGGTGGACGGTACTTGATTACTGGTGGGTACACGACAACTGGAGTTGGTAAGCACACGTTCTCGGGTAGAAACAAAAAAGAGTAAAGTCGTGAGTTGAGTGGTCTGTTGAAGTAGGATGGTTGGGAAGGCGAAGAGGTGTAGGGCGAGGTGAGTAAGGAAAGGGAGGGGAGATGAAAGTGGGGTGAGAAGGTGTTAAATCGATCCTTGGGCAAAGCGGGGTAAAAGAAGTAAAAAAAGAAGGGTGTGCGGTGTGAGATGGTGGCGCGCGGATTCTGTCGTTTGAAACACTGTGAAAAAAAAGACGATCTGTCACGGGACAAGCAGTCTCACATTTTTGAGTGGCTTTGTTCTGTTTGTCCCTTCCTCTCTTTTTTTTTTTTTGACCTGAAGTGTATTGCATGCACAAAGACAAGGCATCCTCTTTCAATAACAACCTCGACCTCCATCACACACAACAACCGCCATGCGTCAATTGTCCCATCACGAACAAAAACTTCTCAAGAAGGTCGACTTCTTGCAGTGGAAGTCGACTGAGAACGTGCGCGAGGTCAAGGTCATGCGTAGATACCACATCCAGAAGCGCGAGGACTATATCAAGTAAGGAAAGGCACAAGGATTATACACAGGGAGCAAGAGCAGGGCAATAAGGACTATTACTTGTAGCACTTGTGGATAGGAGCACAGGAAGAAACATTGAACTCTACAAGCACATAAGTTAACACTGAGCCTACTCTATATACCTCACTTACTTAGATACAACAAACTCTGTGGAAGCATCAAATCTCTCGCCAACAAAATCTCACTTCTCCCTCCTCAGGATCCCTTCCGTTCCAAGCAGGAGGAAGTATTGCTGGAAAAGTTGTACAACATGGGCATCATCACCGCCCAGAAGCAGTTCTCGCAGGTCGACAAGATCACCGTCTCGGCATTCTGTCGTCGTAGACTCCCCATTGTGATGTGCCGTTTGAAGATGGCCGAGACTGTCAAAGAGGCTGTCACTTTTGTTGAGCAGGGGCATATCCGTGTCGGACCAGAGACTGTCAGTGATCCAGCATACTTGGTGACCCGCAACATGGAAGACTTTGTCACCTGGGTCGATACTTCCAAGATCAAGAGAAAGATCATGAAGTACAACGACAAGGTAAGCAATTGTACCTCAGTGTTGTTCCTGGGTCTGAAGTGGTTTGTTGTATTAGTAATGCAAAGACTCTAACTCGTTCTGTCTTTCTTTCTATTAACTTTCACAATGCTATAGTTGGACGATTTCGATCTTTTGTAAAACAACTCTTCATCCTCTGTATACTATCATTCCCGCATTCATTCTAATAAATTCAGCTCATAAGCACTTGCATTCCATGGAGAAGAAAAGTTGTGGGTTCTCTGGATTTATTCAGTACTCTTTGCCAACGCACCAGTATCAGTATTCATCGATAGTTAGGCCTGAACAGTTGGCCAAGTTGGCTCAGATATCCTGCATGGAGATAGCGCAGGATAATTTTCAAGGCAACCAGAATGCAAATGATTCCGGGCCAAGCCACAGGTCCGTGGTTTTTCGGTGTTTTTTGTGTGCAGCCTCCGACAGCGAACGATTGATCCATCACACCCTCCCTCCTCTCTCTCCCTCTCCATCACATACTTCACCATGTCTGGCATCACCCTCATCAACCAGGTCAAGGCCTCCAAGTTCTTGTCCGGCGTCCTCCAGCCCGTCGCCAACGCCTTCGTCAACGCTTCCGGCTACCGCAAGCTCGGTGCGTTTCCCTTTCTCCTTCTATTCTCCTATTGAGCACTTTTCACGATTTTTTCCGAACGTGTCTCCAACCACGGAAAAGCCGACAAACGAGTCTCCTACTTGTCCACGCAGATCATCGACATAAGGCGACCCTATTTTTTATGGATTCGGGTGCACGCATGGAGACAAAGGATGATTGCGGTGATTGCGGTGTCTGGTCGGCAACACTTGTTTTGTTTAAGGCCAGATGAGTTCAAGTCGGTATCGGAGCCCTGCATGATAAGCACCAGTTCGGACATTCCGCTAACCAGGAACGGAGTGACTGATCCAGGACGTTTTAATCGAACAAGAGATGCCAGGATCGCTTTTTTGGAACACAGGACATTTTTATTTACGATCACTACGCGCGGAAAACCGACTTGTGCTTACAGGACCCTCTCAGGGCACTCTTTTACGACCAGTCGCAGTGGATAAGGCTTTTCATATCAAAAATAATCAACGACAAAGAAAGCCAATGAGCAAGACTGTTTACGCCTCAATCGATCTTTCTTTCTTCGCGTCCCCAATAGGTTTGCGTTACGACGATGTCCTCCGTGAGGAGACCGACATCATCCGTGAAGCTGTCAACCGTCTCCCCGATAACGAGGGTTACGAGCGCGTCTACCGCATGAAGGTCGCCTTCCAGTACTCCCTCTCCCACACCATCGCCACCAAGGAGAACGCCATCAAGCCTGAGGAGGATATCCGTTACCTCACCCCCGTCATCGATGAGGTCGCTGTCGAGTTTGCTGAGAAGGAGGACTTCAACAACATCAAGTCCTACTCCAAGTAAATTTGACCCAATTTCGTAACAATCGCCTCGCCCATCAACCACCAACACCAGCACCCACAACCCGACTCTCCCCAACAATCAACCCGACAAACTCGAACAATTGACACACCATTCAATGCGAGTCAGTTCATAATAGACCGTCAAATGGCAGCCGTGTAAGGATCCTAATGTCACCACGCTGCGCGCAACATTAAATTATCAAAACTTTTTTCATGACAAGTCGTCGGATGCGGGTGCGCGATGGATGTCTCTTTATGAGTGTGAACACAATGTAGTGTTTTATTAGATATCGTCTAGTTTTCAAAGGAAGCAATGGTGCCGTCCAAGGCGATCTCGTGGGGGACGCCCTGGAGACTATGCACGAGTTGATAGTCCCACATGGCAAAAGGACCGCTCTTAGGCTGAGCCGTAGTGAACGAAGTTCCGGTCATGGTCGTAGAGTGGTTTACATGCGTCGAAGTAGATGTGTTTACCGCGGCAGTCGTCTCACCCTCTTGGATATCCTCTACTGGCTTGCGCTTGAGGTATATTCTTCCATAGAAGGGGTCTTGTCCGTTCAAAAGCATGGGGAGCCAGATCTGGTCATCCTCCCACATCTGGTCGTATGGGACATTGGCGAATGCGAACCACTGAGGGCGCATTTCTTCGCATCTATGATATTTAGGCATTGCAGAGTCAGTCAATCGAACCAGTTCATGTCTTGCTTTCTTTTCAAAGTACCTTGACTTGAGCATTGCGCCAAAGGATAGGTTGAACATACTCGCGGATTTGACCTTGAAATTCGTAGGACTTGTAGACATGAGTCTCGAGCGCAACGGGATCGTTCTCGAACTGGAACAACAGGATTCCGGCCTTTTTGAAATCCTCTGACTTGACGGTGATACCAGCCTCCTCCTCGAGTTCGCGGAGTGCTCCTTCCCTCGTAGTCTCGCCAGGCTCGACCTTTCCTCCGAAACTAACAAAGGTGGAGGAGCAACACTGTCAATTATATGAAGAACTGATACCTCGTAAACTTCCAGCTTGAGCACGAAATGGACAATGCCCTTACCCGTTCCAGAGATGGGCACCGAAACCTCGCTTTTTGTAACCAAGGAGAACCTGAAGACAACAGTAAGAAGGAATAGAATGTCAGTCAACGTCCTGCATATATGAACATATCCCTTCAATTTTGTTTCGAGCAATTGAGATAAGCTGACCTATCCTTACCATTTGCTTGGCCTTGTCGATAACGAGGACAAGGGTCAAGACTTTCTTGGAGGTGATGGTAAATGATTCCATTGCGGTTGAAAAATAGTAACGAGTTGAAGGAGGATCAGAATGTCGGTTCGTCGTTAAATATTGTACCTGGAGTGAGTGTCAGTGTGACTGGTGGGAGCAGAAAAGGAAAAATTGAATTCCGTTGCCACCAACATTTGAAGACGCGCCTCGTTTGTTTATGTTTTTGGTAGTGTGATTCGCTTCTTTCTTTACACCCCCGCAAACACAACAACTGTAAGGACTCATCCAAACGGCTTCCAGGAGGAACTTTGCTTGCACCAAAACACCTGCACATATTCTACAGGAGGACAGACAACCAGAAAGATCACCTAGCCAGTCTTGTCAACCGCAACCACACACCTGTCCTGCTTTGCGTTCCTGCGAGTTGAATGGGCAACAAGACCCTTCACATTCCTCTTCCCCCACAGACACCTACTCCACTCTCACCTTCTTCATCTTCACCACCAGCGAAAATCTCACGTTCACTTCCCACCTGCACAAAAACTCATCTATCTCTTCTTACCCCTCCTTGCTACCACTACTCGTTCTTCCACACAGAATCTACCGCCATGGGAATTCACGGTCTCTCCAAAGTCATTGGAGACAATGCCAAGGAGGCCATCAAGGAGGACGACATCAAGAACTACTTTGGCCGCAAAGTTGCTATCGATGCTTCCATGTCCATCTATCAGTTCATGATTGCTGTCAGGCAACAGGACGGTCAGCTTTTGCAGAACGAGAACGGAGAAACCACAAGGTATAGAGAATTGCTGCAGAAAGAGGATGCAGCTTTTGTGAGTGGTCGAAAGAGCACATGTCTAACAAATTTTTTTTTTTTTTTTTTGGTTTGTTTTCAATTTAGTCATTTGATGGGTATGTTCTACCGGACGCTGCGTATGGTCGACAACGGTATCAAGCCTGTTTATGTCTTTGATGGAAAACCCCCTACATTGAAGTCTGGCGAGGTATGTTGCCAGTCAAATATAGGACATCTGAAGGTCAGGCGGATGAGTTGAAGACTTGGGTTCTCAATACTCACCTCCTCGAACCGTTTTCAATTATTATTGTAGCTCGCCAAGCGTACTCAGAAGCGCAAGGAGGCTAATGCAAGCAAAGAGGAAGCAGAGGAAGTTGGTGATACAGAGGCTATCGACAAGTTCAACAGGCGGTTAGTCAAGGTCACGCCCGAGCACAACGCCGAGTGCAAGAAGCTGCTGAAGTTACTCGGAATCCCATACGTCGAGGTACGTACTGCCTTGGATTGAACACTTGGATTTGGACCGCGATTGCACCGTTAGCTCGCAGAGTACTAACGTTCACATGCATTTCATTCGGAGCATAGGCACCGTGTGAGGCTGAGGCACAATGTGCGGCGTTGGCAAAGGCAGGAAAGGTGTACGCTGCAGGATCCGAGGATATGGATACACTTACTTTCGGATCACCCATCTTGCTTCGCCATTTAACCTTCAGTGAAGCTAAGAAGATGCCTATCAGCGAGATCTCATTGAGGAAGAGCTTGGACGGACTCGGTTTCAGCATGGACGAGGTTCGTTTCTCTGTGTATTTTATTACTGCTATCCAGGAATGCTCTTGACATATGCTCGTTTTACTAACCGACTCGTCTAACTTTTGAACTTGTACTAGTTCATTGATTTGTGTATTCTTTTGGGATGCGATTACTGCGACTCGATCAAGAACATTGGACCTACTCGAGCCATCGCGTTGATCAAGGAACACAAGAACATCGAAACCATCTTGGAGAACCTCGACACAAAGCGCTATCCCATTCCTGATCACTGGCCTTACAAGGATGCGCGTGAATTGTTCCGCAACCCTCTCGTCACCGACCCTGCCACCATTGAGGTAACTCCTCGATGACCGTAGATTACTACTGTTCTCCTAGACTTTTCAGCACAACACACAAAACACGGCACTAATGCTTCTACTCTTACATTTTTTGACGAACCATTAGATCAAGTGGGAGTCGCCTGATGTTGAGGGCTTGGTCGAGTTCTTGGTCAGGGATAAGGGATTCAGCGAGGAGCGTGTCCGAAAGGGATGCGAGAGATTGGAGAAGAACTTGAAGACTGCAACACAGGGACGTCTGGACGGCTTTTTCACCATGACACCCAATGCCAACAAGCGCAAGGCTGAGGAACCCGCTGGAGGCAAAGGAAAGAAGGCCCCAGCAAAGGCCAAGGCCACTTCTGGACGCGGTCGCCCAAGGAAATAAATCGCGTTCCTCTTTTATTTCGTTTTCACAACATTTCTATTCATTTCAGTTTTCAAAGCAGTCACTGTTGTTATTCGAAAAAAAGAAAAAAGAAAAAGTACACCGCTTGGTGGTAGAACCACAACCCTTCCTTTCTTCACCGTTACTTTCATACACATCATGTTTGTCGAGTTGGCATTAACATCGTCCTCGGATGCCGCCGACGGCACCACATACCTCTGGAACCTCCACACCGGGTCCATGCTCGGCTCATTCAAGCAGAACGTCACTCCCTTGCAGTCCCTCGCCCTCGTCAACAACCACCGCAACCTCGGCAGTATCTTCTTGAGCTCTCAGGCAGAGAAGGGCATGATGCATGTCTACAACTTCCAGAAGGTAATAAACGGCTCATAGGACAAGGATGATGGCATCTCGAGTAGTGGGTTGTGTGATTATACGACTGACGCTAACATTTGTTACGATTTACGCGATGTAATATGTAGGACCAAGTGTTTTTGAAGTTCCCTCTCCCCGACAAGATCGTCTGCCTGGCCACATCGAACAGGGGAACCTATTGCGCAGGAGGAACTGAGAGCGGCAGGATTCATGTCTGGGAGGTATGTTCTGTGCCTTCGCTCTACCATTGAAATGGTATCCTCGGCTTTGACGCACATGTCTCCTTCTAATGGGAACACGATGTACTCACACCCACTCTTTGCTGCTACTTGGACATAGATCGCGACAGGAGTTCTCCACCGTACATTCGACGCTCACTACAAAAAGATCACAGTCCTTCGATTCTCGGCAGACGACACTGTGCTTTTCTCAGGAAGCGAGGATGCCTCTGTTCACGTCTGGATGCTCAATGCGCTCTTGGACGACGGACAGACCGAGTCGCCCGCCCCACATTACTCCTGGACCGACCACACCCTGCCCATCACAGATATCCAATGCGGCGTTGGCCGGTTCCACGGCAGTCGCGTCGTCACTTCTTCTATGGATCATACCTGCAAACTCTGGGATCTTTCAACAGGATCGCTCTTGACGACCTTCTTGTTTCCAACAAAGATCACAGCCTTGGCTTTGGACCCTTCTGAACGGTACTTCTTGGCTGCTTCTGGAACACCGGCTTCGACATCGTCTACGGCGAACGAGGCTGATTACTTGATTTACCAGGCGCTGTTGTACAAGGCTAAGCATACTCAGCAGGGATACACGACTATGGAGGCTGTTGATGGTGATTCTGGCTTGGAGCAGATTGGGTTGGGTGGTGCCAAGAGACATGGAAGCGGTGGTGATCTGGTTTTCAGGGGACATCATCATCCTATCCAGAGGATGGCTCTCAACTTTGATGGTTCAGCGTTGGTCAGTGGAGATAACAAGGGCCACTTGATGGTCTGGGATGTTGCCAGTAGACAAATGGTCCGTGAGATCAAGCAGCACAAGGGTAAGAATCGTCTTTTTGACATTCTTGTTGTAGTAACAGCATCTGGTCAAACTACATTTAGTTCAAAACTAACGCCAAATTCGCTCTTTGACACTTCCTAGGCGCGATCTCGTCGATCCACACGTTGTTCCAGCCTGCCGACCTCTACTCCAACACCACCTTGGCAGACAAGCCCAAGGTGCACTCGATCACACCGTTCAAGCGCATCCCACAGGCACGAATTGGCGAAGGCGGACCCGAAATCAACGGCAACAACACCATCGCCGATGATCCTCTGATCCTGATCCCCTCAACCGTCTCTTCGACCTACTCATCTTCATTATCGTCCGCAACCTTGTTGGCGCCTTCATCGCAGGAGCAGCAATTGCTCGAGATGGCTCGTCGCGCATTTGTGGGCGCTCGCTCAGGATCTGTCGCTGCCGGATCTGCAGCATCACCGGCATCTTCGACTTCTACAGTCGCGTATCAGGACTTGGAGCAAAAGTATCGGGAACTTGAGGCGCGTCTTGCAGCCTTGACGCCGGCACCTGCTGTCCAGCCTGTGGTATCACAATCTGACATCAGTGCTGCTTTGAGTGGGTTGAGGAGCTCTGGCACCAAGAGGCGAAAGGCATAGAGTCGCAACTGGAAAGTCAAAAGCAAAATAATAAAAAACATTAGCATCCAGAGATCTTTTCTTGTGCATAATAAGTGAAGAGGCAGATACTATCGTACTTGACACGTTGGAGGGAGATATGCAGGGGATGACGGTTTAGTGTTGGGTCAGGGATTGGCAGTCCTGGTGGCGTATTCAAACCACGAAGCGACACAAGCAGTCAGCTCTTGTCTTTTGCGCGCACAGACTTGCACTGCTCCTTCAAAAGGAGTGAAAGAGCGAAAGACAAGGACACCACCCGCCACAGTTCTTCTTTCTCTTTTCGTTTCCCTCTCGCTCTACACTCATTCCTCTTACTCCTCTAACTCCTCTAACTCTTCCTACAAAAATAATAATTCATCATACCCTCAATGTTCGTCTTCGACATCCCCGAGATTCGAGACCACCTAGCCCAGTTCCTCAACCCATGCCAACTGGGTTCAGCAATGCTAGTCTGTCAAGACTGGCACACAACCTTCTTGCCATTCCTCTACCGGTCCACCTCTGTCATCGCAACCTCGGAAAAGAACCCGACCCCGGCGACGATTGAAAAATATGCGCATTTGATTCAGGCGCTGCGTATCTCGGGCTTTACGGAGTCGTTGGAGTATTATGCGGTGCCTTGTAGGAACTTGCACACCTTGACGTTGGACGGTAATTGGATGATGAGTTATAATGGCAGTGGCGGCAGTGGTGGTGGCGGTTTGTTCAGGAGGATGTATGGGAGCACGGGTAGCGACAGCAGCAGTGGTAGGAACAGGGATGACGCTCCAAGCAAGGAGACTGTTGCGGCAGAGTTCTCGTCGACGGTAGCCGATTTGATCCGCCGAAACCCTAGGCTAGTGCATATCCTCCTCATAGACCAACCCTGCATTTCTTCGACAAGGCTCTGGAACGCGCTTGCGGAAAGTCCTAAACTCAGCTCGATGCATCTGACAGGCTGTACGATCCATCCCAATGACACGCCTGCCTTCTGGGAGGCCTGCTCCAATACTGAGACCCTCCATCTCTTGCGACTCAAACTACCGGACGGCGAGGCGTTCTACCCGCCATTGAAGAGCCATCCACTGTCGGACCAGAAGCTGCTGTTGCCTGTAACGGATTCGTCGTTGTCATTGCCGCCTCCTCCTTCACCGCCGAGTGGAATTATAACCTTGATGGAGTCTTCGCTTTCGTTGAATGAGTCTTCAATCCCACCTAAGGACACTAATAGCAACAACAACAACAACAACGCCACCAACAACAAGGGCAAGGTCAGGGACAAGGCGCTGTTCTCGCGGCTACAGGTCCTCTATATGAACGGCATCAGCGATGGGTTCCGGATCATCTCCCAAGCACCACTCCTCCGCTCCTGGCAATGGGCCCTCGGCACCAAACTCTTCCCCCGCGAAGATATCGAACTAACCTTCCCGCGCCTCAAGCCTTTCTCTTTCTTCAGGGACCTCGACATCCAAATGCTGGAGCTGAACGATACACATATCGAGGATCTGTTAGACAGGATGACGGATGCGCGAGATGTCAACCTCAACTGGACTGGTTTCGGACCCAAGTCGTTCCAGGTGTTGATGATACGACATACGATGACGTTGAGGAGTTTGAATCTGTTGTGTGTGCAGGTCCAGAGCAAGCAGATCCAGGCGCTGTTGACGAGTTGTCCCGGGTTGGAGTCGTTTGTTGCGGACGTGTTGTTTGGAACAGAGTTGGTCCGATATGGTGCTCCTACGAAGGAAGGGTCTGAGGATAGCAATGAGGTTGATTTTGCGTCGCCGGATTATGAGTACGACATGAGCGTGTCGGCGTTTATGGGATCCGGAACGGGGACACTTCTGGGCGACGATTGGGTCTGTCTGGGCCTAAAGTCGTTGACGCTCAACTTTGCACTCTGGGGCAAGAATATTCATTTGAAGGACACCAACCCGGACTCCCAGGCAGCCATGCAGAAGCAATACGATCTCGAACAGGAGCACACCTTCCGGCAATTGGCTCGGTTGACTCAGTTGGAGAAGTTGCAAATGCTTAATGCGACGGGGAAACCGCCGTTCGTTCAGGGGGTCAATTTGAATCTACGGACAAAGGGTGGGAGATTGGAGGATCTGGCGCCATTGACGAGGTTGGATACGATCAACTTTTCGGGGACGCAGCAGTTGTTGGATGAGGAAGAGCTTGAGTGGATGTGGGACCATTGGCCGCGGCTGTTCTTTATTATGGGTGTTTTTAATAAGGATCCTGTGGTGAATAAACGGGTTGTTGCGGCGTATAAGGAGCGGCAGAAGGAGAAGTAGGAGTCCACGCAGTAGGTAGATATTAATTGGTGAGGAATAAACAACATTGGTTACGAATGCAAAAATGGGTTCCCCTTTTAAAGTTGGTTTGTTTTGTTCGCTTAAAAGCAGGTATCTAAAGTATATTTGCTATGCTCTACTCTCAGATCGAAAAAAAAGACTAACATTTGCCGTTCTAATCCTCAGAAGCAGCAATCTTGGCAGCCAAGGCAGCGTACTTGACCCACAACTGGCGAACAATATCAATAGAATCATACCCATTCGATGCCCAGCTCTCGCCATTCCTATCTCCCCACCTCTGAGCCTGCCAAGCCGTCTCATGCTTCGAAACCAGGGCCGAGAAGGCCACAGGGTCAAAATCACGCTTCTGTTGAGCGGCCAACTCGAGTTGGGCAATGAACAACTGCCAGCGAGGGACGTAATAGGACGAGATGAGACCTCCCCACTGCTTGGAGCCGTAATCTGCGAGTCCTGCAGGCTCAGGGCCCCACCAGGTGACCAAGTTGCGGGCGTTGGATTCCAGGAACTGTTGGAAGCCGTTACGGTTGAAGGTTGATGGGGTGGTGCTGCCAGCGGGGAGGGGGAGGTTGGAGGAGGCGCGGGCTTCCTTGACCCAGGAACCGAAGGAGGATAAAGGGTGGGAGGAGAGGAGACGGTCGGCGTCGTTGGCGACTTCGAGGAGTTGACGGCCGGCGGTGCGGATCTGGACGACGTCTTGGCGGTTGTAGGCAGCGATCAATGAACCATGGACAGAGGGGAAGACGGTTGCCAAGAGGATCTCGCGGGTGGTATCGACCAGATCAAAGATGTAGGATTTAGGCAAGGGGCGACCATGAGGAGCGTTCCGTTCCGCAACACCGCTCTGAACTAAGGTATCCCAAGCATGAACGACGGTGGTCTTGTTATACCAAAAGACTGTTCCCAACCATCCAGGGTCAGTCATGTTCAGAGCTGGGGGTTTTTCAATATAGGATTTCGAACCGGTTTCCTTTTTGGTCCGAGAATCCCAGACGGTCTCCGAGAGGAGCTTCCAAGCCTGTTGGACTTTAGGTGTAGCACCGGAGGGACCATAGCGGCGTTGAATGAACTGTTCGAGGCGTTTGGGAATGTTGAGGGCGGGTTGGTCTGGGTTGACCCAGGGGAAGGTGTAGGTGAGTTCATAGATGAATTCGTTGTTGTTGATGCCCTCAGCAGTGACTCCGATGCCGCGGAGATGGTTAGGGTATTGGGCGAAGGCGGTGTAAGGGAGGACTGTGATCTCGGAGAGCTTTCCGAAGAGACCCTGCGAGGCACCGTAGTTATTGATACTAGAGAGAAGGGGAATAAGAAAGAAAGATAAAATGGTGTTAGCCATGGGCACACAAACACGATGCAGATTACAATCAAGAGAACCCAAAAAAAAAAAAAAAAAAAAAAAAAAAGGCCGATAGAAAGGAAACTTACACGCTCCAGCCAAAGTCACTGCCAAAGAAACCATCATAAGAATCCCAGACAGGGACAGAATCCGAAGCCAAATCATAGACAAACGACTTTCCACCAGCCTCCTGGATACCTTCAAGGTAAGCTTTACCCCTAGCAGGGTTCCATGCAGGAGCAGTCAAGAACCAACCCTGCATGACCCAAACCGCATCCTTGTCAGCCGTCTGCAGAGTCTTCGAGACCGCCGTGGAGATGGCCTTGAGGCAGACCTCGGTCAAGCAGGAGGGGATCAACTCGTTATAGAGATCCAAGAGGTACAGATGGGAGCGATGACCATTGTTCAACTTGTCCTGGAGTTTGAGGTAATCAATCAACAGCTTGGCGAACAGGGGGTCGGTGGGCTCGACGTAGGTCACATTAGTATACTGGATGGGAAAGCCTGACCAGGTCGACGAGTTACGGATATCCGCCTGAGGATACAGGTTCTTCAAAGCGCGGGGGACAAAACCCTGAAAGGCCGGGAGGACGGAAGTAATGTTGAATCCATCGAGACGGGCAAGAATCTTTTGTTGAAGTGCCCATTGAGAATCAATCCAACGATGCTTGTAGGCGAGTTCGTCGGCCTCGGTACCGGCACCGGTGAGCTTGTAGGTCCAAGATCCTTGCATGTTGCCCATGCGTTGCCAGGGTTGGTAAGTGGGTCCAGAGAAGAAGCTGGAGAAATCGGCATCCTTGACGCCCAGGCTGCGGAAGAACTCGCGGAGGACGTATTCTTGGCCGACCATGGCTGGCAGCTGGTTGACGCCGTTCAACATCATCCAATCTTAAAAATTTAAGTTAGTGTTGGGACCCTGTGCGAAAGTGGCCAGAATAAACACATCCATGTGCCCACGAACGAACAAAAATAATACAAAAAACTTACCGAGCTCACGCTCCCAACGGCTCCAGTCCCAGAACGCAAACTGGTATCCAAAAGTAACAACATTGGTATAATACCTCCAAGGAACAAAGCTTCCATGGACATGACCCGTCGTCACAACATTACCCGAGTCCAACTCCTGATCAGGCACACGGGGAGGCTGGTTAGGCAGCTCATTGAACCGGCTACCACTCCAGGTTAACTCGACCTGAGCAGCCTGCTCAAGGTAGTACTTGAGTCCGACACCCAAGGCCGAGAGAGTAGTACCCTCGATCAAGACAGTTGGGCGACCATGCCCTGTTGCACTGGCATCAGCAGCGGTGGCCGCAACGTTAGAAACACGGTAGACATCGTACTTGTTCTTGGGGGAGGAAAGGGGTATGGCCGACTCGGAGACGATCTGGAAATCAAAGGTGGTGTGGTAGGCCTTTGGAAGAAGACGTTCGACGAGGCCGTAGAGGGATTGGGTCTGAGCGGTGGGGGCTGCGGTTGCGGTAGTGTTGAGGAGGGCTACGACTGCGACTGCGACCAGTGCGAGCGATGACGACCAGGATCTGGTGGTTCCTTTCGCCATTTGTGACTCGGTTGTAAAGAAGAAAGAGAGGGAGGTAGGGTCGTAAAGAGAGAACGAAGGAGGGAAGACGAAGAAGATGAGGAGGAGAAAGGTGGAAGGAGTGACGAGTTGTGAGGTTTTTTCTGTGGCCTCACCTAGGGTATATATACTTTCCATCTCTCGCCCTTATAAACCCTTTAAAACACGAAAGCGAGAAGATGATTACATGAAACAGGACATAACCCTTCTACCATCGCCACTGCCGTCCCCATGGCCACACATCGGTCCCTCCTTTCTCTCCTTCCTCTTCTTTTCTTTGCTAACGTTTGTCAACAAAACGTACCCCACGGATGACGGCGCTATTTAGCAATCGAAAAGTGAGCCCTTGGGTTTAGATCATGCACGATAACGAACGGCAAAGTCACAGAAACAACATTAGGTCCGGCGTGCGATTTCAACACTTTCAGGTCGTACAGAGACAAAGAACCTGACATACTTTTTCTTCTCTTCCCTTCTCTTTTGGTGATATATGTATGTCCCTGAGAGCACGCCGAAGAATGACAAGAAATGGTTCAATGGAGAGAGGGAAGGAGGGGGAACGACTATGTCAGCAACATAACAATAACGCGGCGGGGGAAAAGAGAGGTGTGCAATTACTCAAAGACCAGCGGACAGGGTTCAATGTACGAGAGAGGGAGAGAAAAAAAACAATTGTCTTTAAATCGAAGGTAAGATAAGTGAGCAGCATCTAAGAAAACATCCAATACACCATTAGCATAGACAATGAGATCAACATCGTTCTTCAACGCCGAGTTTGTTTACCCTTCCTTCGGTCCAATATCGCCATTGCTCACCTTTGTCATTGTTCTCTCTCTCTCTCTCTTTCAATTCCTCATGCTGTTATCCACTCTGGTTCTCTCCTGCAAATCAAGTTGAGTTGAGCGATGAGGAAGTGTGTGATGAAGATAAAGCATACCAACAACATCCAGCACATCGATGAAAAGGGTCCGCAGCACGGGTGGTGTGGCGTAATAACAACGAACGAGTTTCGGTACATTGTTCGAATAGGAGGGCTGGACCCTGTTCGAATAGGAGGGCTGGACCCAAGAAATCAGGTCTCTTCACACAATGAACCGCCAATGGCTGACACGACATGCATGTAGAGCAATTTCGCGCTCATTTTTTTTTCCAGGGACAGAAATAATCCGACATGACATGAATGCACGCCTGCATGCACGCGTACCATTCCTTTGTGCTTTTTCTTTCTTTTTTTTTTCCTTTTACATAAACAGAAATGAAGATGAAGAGAATTCTAAAAAAGAACATTGTTTGCAATGGACGATGGAAAGAGAAGGACCCCGATCGATGAGAGGGTGTGTGTGTACCGCAAGACCAAGACATTGAAGAACATGAATATCGGGGAAGAAGGAGAAGAAAAACGTGCCTCCAATCGATGGCAACAGGCGCTCAATCTTGCTGCAGACAATTCATGATTACTTGCAACATTTGTATGGTATATTGTTTTTCTGGTACAACAATAACAAAAAATAACGGCCAGATGTAGCATGTTTTTTTTTGTTCACTACCTCATTGTGGTGTACGTTTTAATATTAGAATTGTGCGAGAAGAGTGATAAATTAAGAGTAGAGGACAAAAAAGAACGCGAGAAAAAAATAAAAAAAGTGTGGACAACTTGTGAAAGAAAGGTTTACTCCTACCCAGACTCATCAACCGAGGGCAAGTTGACAGGATACCCCAAGGACGTACAATACCCAGGACCACGGTCATTGGCATCCTCTGGCAACCATCCACCTTCAACACCATCAAAGTACGACCAGAGTGGATTGCTCTCCGTCTTGAAGTTCCAATAGAACCATCCTGCTCCTTGCTCAAACGCCTCGATCTGCGCTAGGAAGAATTGCTTCAAGAACGTCTTGTACTCGGCTGTGTAGGTCGACGCGTCGTTCTTGCCAGCACAGGTGCTGTCAGGAGAGTGTCGGTAGGCGCTGTTGCCAAAGGTTCCGTCCCAGCGAGCGCCAACATTGATGCCGTTCAAGTACGTCGCGCAATCGTTGACGGCGACAGAGAACTCGCCGACCATAGTTGGACCGAATGTCTTTGTGCTTGTTGTTGCTAATGAGCCCCACGACTGGCACGCAAATTTGACCTGGGCCGTCTGGTTTAAACTCATCAGATCCTCGGTGAACATGATGTACAGATGGGAATCTAGATATCATTGGAAGAAATCATCAAGATTAGCACTACTTGATTTTTTTCTGATGCTGTCCATTGGCACAGCATGAGAAATTGACCAAAAAAAATGAACCTACCAATCATTAGGCGGTCAGTCTGTGCCTTGAAACCGCTAAAGGCATCAACACTCAGGAACCCATCGTGCAGGACAGCCCAAGGTCCCTTGCCAAGTCCGGTTGCCTGTCGAATCGCCGCCACTGCCTGTTTGTACCAGTTCACGACCGCCTCGCCACCGATCAGAAATCCTGCAGGCTCGTTGAGTATACCCATGACAGGGCTCACATGAGTGTACGCAGAGCCAGAAAAGAAGGCCGTCATCTGTTGGAGATATGGCAGTGTCCTCTGTGCGTTCAATACGCCGTCAGTGCCATTGAGCCATCGGATCTGGCCGACGCGACCGGAGTGGTTCCATCCGTTTTGGGACCCAGGCGCTCCATGCAACTCGACCATGACGCGAATCCCATGCTTGCGCGCCCATTCAATCGCTCGGAGAAGGTAGTTCCAGGAGATATTGGCGACATAGGGCTCTCCCAGGACCAAGCCCCCCATAGCCCAGAATCCAATGGGAACACGGACGTGATTGAGACCGAGTTTCTTGATCTGGACAAACGTATCTTCGGTCACCCAGGAGGCATAGTGATCTTCAAGGAGTTTCCTGGCTGCATCCGGACCGAGATGCTCACAAAGGGTCCATTCGTCGACAACACCGTCCATGATGTAAGGGTCGAAGAGCGAGGGGGTGATAAAAGGTTCCAGGACAAGCCATCCTCCAAGGTTGACGCCACGCATCTTAGCAGTTCCGTTAGCATAGTCGAAGGGTTGGTTGAGGGGAGGGGTGTAACTATTGGGCTGAGCAGAGTTGTCAGTCGAAGGGGTGATGGTTGTGCCTGGCGTGATAAGGTCTGGTTTGGCGCTTTCTGATCCCGAGAGACCATTGTTTTCGTTGTTGTTCTTGTCCCATGGTTTGAGGAGTACGAGCGGTACGGCTATTGCTGCGGCGATGACGAGGAACATGAGTGGGAGGAGGATGCACCGGTAGTGACGGAAGCAAGACCGTTTGTCGATTCTTGATCGATCTATATCTCTTTGCATGTGTGTGTAAGATTTACGAGTATTTATTTAAGATTCTACTCGTTACGGTGGGGGGGGGGGGGGGGGGGGGGTGGAAAGGGGAGCGTAAATGAGAAAAAGAGATGAACAAAGGAAGAAAGAAGGGAAGAAAGGGAAGGAAGAAAGAAGAGTAAGGTCAGGGAAATAAGAAAAGTAATTTGACAGGCACATGGGAAAAGGAAGCAAGGTCGCCGTTGTTTTATTCAGGAACCAAACAAAACACAGGACAAGAAGCCCGCAACCGTGAGTATTAGCAATCAAGCCAACAAACGGACAAGGGTAAAAGATGAGGGAGTTTATCGCTGCCGTTGATTATCTCGCTTGAGGCAATCTCTTTTCTTTGACTTGGACTGCACTCGATCTGCAGGCATACACATCCTCACATACAGTACATCCACATTGTTCCTTCACTACCGAATCATGGTAAAAGAATAATCACAATCTCATCGTTGAATGTAAAGTTGTGAGCCCTTCGTGTGATTTACTGTTGAACCCTTGTCCACCTCCACTCATCCGACAGCATGTCCGTAGCTTTTCATACAGGAACACATACACACATATATCCTTAATGACGAAGACACCACCACTTTGACCTCTAGTAAACAAAGTATGAACTTGTTCATGACGACACTTTATTTTCCCTCTCAGCGATGGTGATTGTTGATTGTGATGAAAGGAGAAAACTAGCTAGTTACCATGAAGTAGTGAACAAAAGGATAAAAAAGAAAAAGAAAAAGAAAAAGAAAAGGGCAAGAGCGCCTTGGTACTTCAAAAAACTGAAAAAAAGTGGAGTAAAAAAAAAAGGTAAGAGGCGTCTGAAAAAGCAAATCACGTGGAGAAGGCCGAGTCCTCTCAACAAGAGGAGCAGTTCTGCAACTACTTGGCGGCCTCCGAGAAGTCGTGGGTGTGGGCCACCTATTCGGGCTTTTTCTTGGCCATGTTAATAGAGTCCATGGTCGTTCGCTCGGACGGGTACATCTTGGCTCTGATCGCGCCGCGGTAGTAGAACCCGCCCAGCCCGGTCACCAGCGCGCCTATTCCAGAGGACACAGGGTATGAGGAAAAAAAAAGTGAGCAAAATGAAGATAAAAGGTGCATGCACGCAGACAGGGTTCAGTCCAGGAGTCGAGACAGTTCAGCTTATCCTTCGTTTTCGCGAGGATACTCAAGGAAGGATGACATACCAAGCTGGATGTAGTTCTTGGTCATTTGAGGCAAAGCCTATGCAAAACAACAAAAACAAAAAGTCGTCGTCTTCAGGTAAGAAACTTTGTTGTTTTGCTCTCGGCATGTCGACATGGGAAAGAAGCGCACCGCCATTTTCCTTCTAATTTAGGGTTCACGACATTTTTTGCTTTGTTCGTAAAAATAAGTTTCTATAAGTTTACCTTGTAGCGGTGCATCATGGTCGACATGGTGAATCTTGAATCAGTCGATTTGAAAAAGGTGGGATGGTGTGTGTGTGTGTGTGTGCGTGTGCGTGTGAAAGAAGACAAGAAGCGTTGTAGTGGCTTGAAGGTGAAGAAAGAGAAGAAAAACGAAGAGCGACGAAGCGATGGTGGGTGGTCTTAGACATGTTATCATGCCTAGTCAGTCAGTCACGGCTATCATCATCATTATGTAATGCACAAGGGTCACGAGGAATCAGCCCTCTGCGCGTTTATAATTTTCTTGCTATTATCATTGGTCGTTTGTACACGTCCTGGTCGGTTCACCGGTTCTTTTGGGAGATATCGATGGTGTGTCTCCTCTTCAGTCGCTTCTCTACCTCGGCTGTCCTGTACTTGTTCTTGAGCCACTCCAGAATAAACATAGCCAACTACGATCGACGAAAAACAAAGAATGACGAAAAAATAAAGTCAGCGAACATTTCACATGCATATGTACAAATATATCCAGACGAGCAGGCGATATGGACAAGAGAAACGTACCACAATAGCAGTGACAACTCCACAAATAACCCAAAAGTAGCCAATGCTATGCCTCAACTCGGGAAAATTTTCAAAGTTGGTTCCGTAAACTAGTCATTCCAGGTAGTAACAACAACAAAAAAAATATTAGTAGGCTTTAGTAATAGGAAGCATATTCATTCGCATGGACAACAGAGACGACGAATTACCTCCAGCAACGAACGTGATGGGAAGGAAAATGATTGACACGAGCGCAAGCCTCCTCATGGACTCGTTGGTGTCGTACGCGATAATGTTGAAGATCTGTGAATGGAAAGAGGCTAAGCATATTAGCAATCGACCTAGAGCGCCTCTCGTGCTCCACTTCCACCCTGTTCCAATACGTATTAATGTTCCTATGGCCGTTTGCCTACCATATCAATCAACTTGTCGCACAGGGCTAGCATTGAATCAATGTCCTCCACCATCGTGTTACAATGGTCCATGACATCGCCCATGTACGTCCGCGAGATATCTGTCAAGGGGCTACGCGCATCTCTTCCTCGCAGAGCATGGACCAGTGCCTGTGTTGGCGCCAGAGTCCGCTTCAACATGGATAACTGAGCCGTCAACTGGTGCAGCTCCTTGGTGAACTTCATCCTTGGAAGCGCCAAAACGTGGGTCTCCAGGTCGTTGATCTCCTGTCGAAACGCGTCAGTGATAGGAATCGCATGGTCCACAATGCCGTCCATGACCGACTGTAACAGGAAACTGGCATCGCCATGCTTGCGAACGATCGAGTAGTCGTGCGTCAGTCGCTCCACGATAGGGTTCACAACGGATGCGCCAGAGACTTGGAAGAGGGTAATGAATGTCCCGTCAGGAAGCAGGAACATGGTAACTTGTTCCATATGAGCCTTGAGGACGTTTGGGCCGCGTTCGCCAACGGGGTACTGGTATCTGAAATGGTCAACACTTTCGAGGGGCATTCGCTGGCAGAGCATCTCTGGGTCGATTCCGACCGGACTCTTCAAAGGGTCCACCAGCTTGAGTTCTCCGTCCTCTGTGACTTCCATCAGGGTGAGGAGGGTGCAGGCGATGTACGTGTGTTTTGGGTAGATGTCGACCTTTGTTCGTTGGGGGATATGCAGGAGATCCTCGACAGCAAGATGGTGCAGATCTGCGCGACAGGTCAGGGTTAGAAACAGCAAAACGTCATAAGAGTAAGTTCATGTCATCCCCTACTTTTCTCTTCTTGCTGCTGTTTCGCTACAAATGCGCGTCTAGACTCTTCGAGCACATCGAAGAAACGATGTTAACATACCGTATTTGATGGCAATAGCTTTGATGACATCCCAGCTCATTCCGTTGATGTTAATCCACCGAACCGTCGACCATTCAGGCCTCTGTACACAGGTAAACGAATAGGCAAAGTAGAGTGTTAGTAAGGTGTTATTCTTCTGTGCTCGAAAAAAGAGAACTTATGATGAATTTTTATTACAGGTTGCTGAAGCCAGGCTAAGAACTCGCTGTTCGCCATGCCTTGCTGTTTTGTGTATTGGGTCTGGTTCATATCCATCACAGTGGCATCAACAGTTCCCTAATGAGTGCAATATTCCCGCGTGGGGCGGTGGCAGCACGAGGACAAGTGGCGGTGTTAGTATTAGAATGAGTCGCTTTCAGCCTTCAGCTCACTTCCCACTTTCATTTCCTCAAATCTCCAGTAACCGCATCTTGACCAAACACTCACCTCGATGCAACTAAAGATGCTGTCCATGTCGGACACATCAACACCTTGTCCTCGCAACGCAAAGGCTATGTCACCGATCGTTCAATACAAAGAAGAGCAATAAACAAAAGGAAATTAGAGGCTGTGCAACTATCGATGCAGGACAAGCTAAAAAAATGAAATGATACAACCAAACGGACGAGGAGAGAAAAAAAGAAAGCGTGGCATGAGGTCAGTCCTTACAGGAGAGGCGTCTAGCCGCAACAGCTTGGTTGGCAATGGCTCTGAATCTACTCAAGGCCTGCTTGCCTCCAACGCGAGGGGGAGACGTTGGCGAACCCATTGCGTACGAGGGTGGCGCTTTGTTGGTATCGTCGCCGAAAGTAATGGCGGTCGCTGCGGGTCCCGATTCGTCGCGGTCGATGCTGAGGGTTCGGGCGGCGTAGTAGTGGCCCCCAGAGGATGTAGGATGGTGGGTGTTTGAATTGGGGTCTGGGTGAAAGTGAGCTGGCTGAGTGAGCTGGTCCTCGGCGAGGTCTTCCTCATTGACGCTGGAGTAGTTGCTGTTCATTCCTCGTCGTGAGAAGGAAGCAGATGCGCGTCTGGCAAACGTTTGAACGTTAATGGTGGTGGGAGTTTTGTTGGAAGGATGGGGAGAGTAAAGAAAGAGAAAGAGAGAGAACGTGGAATGAAGAACAAAAGAAAGAAAGAGCCAGGCTTGACGTCCAACTGACGTCCAATTGACCCAATTGAAGGAAGAAGGAAGCTTGGAAGGGTCTTGCGCCGTCTTAACGCACACTGGAAGACAAAAAAGAAATAAGGTCATTCAATTGAAGGTCGTGCAAGTATACATCGAAGGAGGGTTGATCAATTGGAGATATCGTCAATTAGAGATCCTCTACACCTCAACACCCTTGTTACACGTGATTCTACTGGAAACAAGGTTCTGTCCTGTCGCGTTGCCCACCGTTGACCATGACCACGGACTCGGTCTCTCCCTCTGTTCTCTGTCTCTGTCTCTGTCACTGCTCTTCGTGTTCCCCACGCCCACTTTTTCTCCTTTTTTCCCTTACTTTTACCCTTCCTTTTCCTTTTCCTTTTCTTCTTCCTGTTCTTTTTTCTTTCTTCTTTTCTTTCCGTTACTCCTCCCTCACCCTCTCTCCTTACAACAATGCTTTCTGCTGTCCGTCGCGTGGCTTCTGCCAACCCCGCCGCCATGATGCGTCCCTTGACCTCCATGACCATGACCTCTGCATTCTCCACCTCCTCCTCCGCCTATGCCCCCTACAACGTTAAGAACATCACCGTCTTCGGCTCTGGTCTCATGGGCGCCGGTATCGTCCAGATCGCTGCCCAGAACGCCTTCAACGTCACCATGGTCGACCTCAACCCCGAGGCCCTCAAGAAGGGTCAGGACATCATCACCTCCTCTCTCAAGCGTGTCGCCAAGAAGCAGTTCCCCGAGGATGCTGCCCAGCAAAAGGCCTTCATCGACAAGACCATGGCCCAGATCAAGACCAGCACCGACTCTGAGGCCGCCTCCAAGGATGCCGATCTGATTATCGAGGCCATCGTCGAGAACTTGAAGACCAAGCAGCAGTTGTTCTCCATGCTCGACAAGGTCGCTCCCGAGCACACCCTCTTCTGCTCCAACACCTCGTCCCTTCCCATCGGCGATATTGCCAAGGCCACCAAGAGGGCAGATCGTTTCGGTGGTCTCCACTTCTTCAACCCCGTCCCCCAGATGAAGTTGGTCGAGGTCATCCGTACCGAGGAGACCAGCCAGGACTCCTTCGACTCTTTGATGGATGTCTGCACCCGCATGAAGAAGACCCCCGTCTCCTGCAAAGATACCCCTGGGTAAGTCTCTCCTTCTTGTTTGTTTATTTATTTGTCGATGTTGTCAAAAAGGAGAACAGGACTGCAAGACTGCAGCAGGAGAAACAAATCAATGAGACGGACAGAGAGAAAGAACAAGGAATAGCAGAAGGAAAGAAAGGGTGTAAGCAAGATGGCAGTGTGAGAAAAGAGGAATGAAGAGTGTATCCCGAAAGTGTACTTTGTTCTGTTCTAATGTCCCTGATCTTTGGTCTGTGGTCAGCCAAAAAAAGTGAACTCCCATGTGAAAAATAAAGATCTTGCTAATAACATTTTACCCGTCACCCGTCCCTCGTCTCTGTCTGCTCATATAGATTCATCGTCAACCGTCTCTTGGTCCCCTACATTATGGAGTCCCTCCGCATCGTTGAGCGTGGCGAGGCTACCCCCCAGGACGTCGATGTCGCCATGAAGCTCGGTGCTGGTTTCCCCATGGGTCCCTTCGAGCTCGCCGACGTAAGTTTTTCTTCTTCAATAGATGCTCTCTTTGTTTCTCCTCTTTTCGGAGCATTACTTGTGGTTCCAGGCAATCACCGATCATTCATCAAACTAACACACGCCTCTTTTGTTTCGCCACCTGTTCCTTTAGTTCGTTGGTCTGGATACCATGAAGTTCATTGTCGATGGCTGGCGCAAGGAGGGCAAGATCGACGACAACTTGGTCGCTCCCGTCAAGTTGTTGGACGAACTTGTTGCCCAGGGTAACTTTGGACGCAAGTCTGGACAGGGTTTCTACCCTTACAACGGCGTCGGAGGCAAGAAGTAAAATAACAAAAGAAGTGCACTTGACTGAATTAAAAAAACCAACAATGTAGATTTACAACTCGCTTTCTTCATCAGAATGAGCGCGCGTCTTTTTTTTTTTTTTTTTTTTTTTTTTTTGGGATCATGGCAGAAGGCAGACGGAATCGAGCGTGGGAGGAGAAGTCAAGATTTACAAGGAATCATTGCACACGCAGACATAGCGGGGTATTCTTTTCCTGCAAGAACGCGGGGAAACGAGGAAACGAGGAAACGAGGATCCAAGAATGATTAAAATTCACAAAGCAAGAGCTTCCTGCGGACCTGTTAAACAAGGCTCTGACAGACACAAAATGAAGAGCAAAGACATAGTGAATGAGGAACTATCACTTTGGGCTTTTTACGCGTCCGTTCCACTTGTCCCCAGATACTACGACCTGACTATGTTCCAGCGATTTCCAGGTACAACATCTCACTTTTTTAGTCTCTTGAATCCAAGCAAACAGTGGTCATTCGTAACCGCCACCACCCAACTGGATAAGACCATTCATAAAGAAATCGACCAGCGATCCATTTATTCTTTTTTTTTTAGTAGATTTTTTTTGTTGGTCTCGTAGTTACTTGTTACTTGTACCACGGCTGAACTAGACTGTGCTTTGCAAGAGACAATGGGGTACTAGGAGGTGTGTGTGTATGAGAGAGCAAAAGGATGGCCAGCTCAAGAGCGAACGAGGCCGAGGTCAAGGCCGTGCTTGCCAGCAGGTCCTCCACAGGCAAAGTAACCTCCCAAGTTCAACTGCTTCTCTCTACGATCAGGGCCCGAAGATTTGGCAGACTTTCCATCACCAACAGCATGGATATCCATCTTCTCGCCCTTTGACTTGACATCCGCAACCGTCATCTCCAACTCTGGCAAGATTCCCTTCTTATCATCACCATGGATGATCACATTGGCACAGTGATGGTAGAACTGCTCAGTCGAGTAAGCAGTCCACGAGAACGAGAACAGACACTTGTTGGAGTCTGTGCAAGAGGGGACGTTCTTGGGGATGAGGACGGGCCATTCGTAGTAGATGTCGGGGCAGGTCTTGGTGTATTGACCAATGACGTTCCAGGTCTTGCCGGCGTCGTACGAGAGTGAGAACTCGCAAGCGCCGCCACCGTGGCGGGATTGGCTGAGGCCCTTGGGTGGGGGGAAGGACTTGTAATCCTTGACTTCAAAGTTCCAGAAGCGGACTGGGATCACCTCGCCGGCTTTGTAGGTCGAGACTGGACCCTTCTTGTACCCGCCTTTTTTTTTGTTTGTTTATAGTATGCAAAGAAAAGGAAGGTGATGAGAAGTATTGAAGACGATCGAAGACAAAAAAAAATGATGGGAGAGAGAATGAATGAACAAAGTATGAGTAAATGTGATACGTCAAGAAGTTGTCCTTTTTTTTATGTTTCAACAAAGGGAAAAGGAAATGAGGAGATGCTTACCGCAAGGGAAGGTCTTCTTGTCGTAACCGATCCAGGAGTGGACATCGCTTTGGAGATCGTTCGACCAAGGACCAGCCTGACCGGGAGGGTTGGACATGGCCATGTGGGCCGAGGTAGTGGACAGGAAGGAGAAAAGGGTGGTCGTGGCGACGAGCACGCTGCTTGCAAGAGTAGTGGCCTTCATTGGAGACAAAGAAAAGGGTGAAAGGGTAGGTGGAAGGGTGGAGTTTTGTGGGTGGGTGGGGTTTTGTGGGTGGGTGGGGTTTTGTGGGTGGGTAGGGTAGGGGTAAGGTTGGATAGGGACTGTGAAGACAAAGTGAAGAAAAAAATGCCTTGCAAACAAAAGGGCCTTTTATAAGAACAACATTTCGTTCTTTGCTGCTAGACTTTACCCGCTTTGGTTGTGGAGTGTCGGATAAAAATGAGAGATTAAAGGATCTAGGCATAATAACGGTCTGAAGCTACTGTTCATAGAGTTCACAACAACGAAGGGAGAAGAGGACTTCCCCTACCACAATTGCACTGCTGTCTTGTCAGCAAACAACCTTGTCGTGATGTTCTTTGGAATTAATTAGCAATTGACCCTAGCGCCGGAAATTTATCGATACTGCCTTGGTAATGTGGTGAGCCCTTCTCTCTCTGTGTGAGTGTGTGTGAGTGTGTTTGTGCAAGTGGTTTCGGGCCGTTGTGTGGATGATCTCTATTTTACCCATTTTCTCCCTGTCCTTGCCTTCATTTGTCTTTCTTCTGTTCCTCCCTAGCATTCCAGGTGGACGCGTCTTGTTGATTCAGGCACACAAGGATCAAGCTTTCTCCTGGCATTTGTTTGAGATATGCTTTTTTAGAAGGCCCATAGGCCTTCACATGAATGACATCACCGAATTAAATCTTCAAGAATGATCGCAAACACTACAGAGCGGTTGTTTATTTTGATTTCAGTGCTGATTTTTTCTGCCCAGTGGAAGTGCCTCGCACTTGAGGTGGGTTTGCCTTGAGGACCATGGGTCGGCCTCTTCCTTTCTTTCTTCCTTTCTCTCTCTCCCATCAAAAAAAACTTTTTTTTTTTTTTTTTCTTCACTTCTTCTTTTGATTCGCCATTGCCCAGCGCATTAAAAAAGGACTAAAAAAAAGAAAAAACTTCCTCCAAAAACACAAAAAAAACCGCCTAGGATTCTTCACTGAACTCACAGGTCAACCCCCTCTTTAACAAAAAAAAAAAACTCAACAAAAAACCCTTCAATATGTCCGCCCCCGTTACCACCGCTGACGTCCAGGCCGCCGCCGCCGCCCCCGTCGCCCCCGCTGCCGCCAACCACTTGAGCTTGGAGCAGCAGCAGCAGATCGCCGCTGCCCAGGCCCAGGCTGCCCAGGCTGCCCACTTTGCTCCCGTCCCCGCCGCTGCCCCCACCGCCTCGGCCTCGCTCTACATTGGCGAGCTCGACCCCTCCGTCAACGAGGCTATGTTGTTCGAGATGTTCAACTCGGTCGGACCCGTTGCCTCTATCCGTGTCTGCCGTGATGCCGTCACCCGTCGCTCGCTCGGCTACGCCTACGTTAACTTCCACAACGTCGCTGATGGTGAGTCTCATTGGTTGTGCTTGTTATCCAAAGCTGTTCAAATGCATCTTGCATATCTCTCCTGGGCATGCATATTGCTTGCATTTTGAACATATCATCAAGTCGACTAGAATGCCATACCGGCGCAGGGGCAGGATCGAAGGACTCGAGATATTATTACTATCAACGCAGCTTCTTTTGGGGTATAATCTGGAGTCAAGGAGGGCAAAGGAAAAAAAGGATCGGGAAGCGATCAAGATCGCATCAGTTTCCTGGCTGATGACCGAAGGAGAGCGATCCAGCCTTAACGGACAGGGGGATGGATGGATCAGTTCAGGCACAGGCGATCGCACTCATCTCAGGATCTCGGTGCGACCGTTGTTTTTTTTCACAGCCCGCCTTCAGGACCTAGAATTTTCTTTACTGCGGGACGAGATCTTTTCAAACAAAAGAGAGTCAGGCTAGAACACAGGGACCGACACAACCCGACTGGCTGAGGACAACGTTTTTACTTCGGCAAGTCATTGTTCCCGACAGTTCTCGATAATCGGCCGTCAATCGGAATAGCACACTGGGACAGGATCTCATACAAAGCATGTACCAAGGCACCTGCGTCTGGCTTTGCTGCAACAATCAGGACGGCATATTTGAATATAGCCAGGAGTACTATCTGTCACCTGGCCATTCACCATCCGCTGTCTTTTGGACTGGCTGGTTCATTTTTCACATAAGCAACAATACTGCACAGTCAGCTAACTGGATCAACATTTGAAATCAATAGGTGAGCGTGCCTTGGAGACCTTGAACTACACCTTGATCAAGAACCGTGCCTGCCGCATCATGTGGTCTCAGCGCGACCCCGCCCTCCGCAAGACCGGAACTGGCAACATCTTCATCAAGAACTTGGATGCCTCCATCGACAACAAGGCCCTTCACGACACCTTCTCCGCCTTCGGTAACATCTTGTCCTGCAAGGTCGCCACCGAGGAAGGTCAGTCCAAGGGATACGGTTTCGTTCACTACGAGACCCACGAGGCTGCTGAGAACGCCATCAAGCACGTCAACGGAATGTTGTTGAACGACAAGAAGGTCTACGTCGGTCACCACATCGCCAAGAAGGAGCGTCAGTCCAAGGTCGAGGAGATGAAGGCTAACTTCACCAACGTCTACATCAAGAACTTGGATCCCGAGGTTACCCAGGAGGAGGTTGAGGTTCTCTTCACCAAGTTCGGACCCGTCACTTCCTGCGTCGTCTCCACTGATGAGAACGGCCGCTCCAAGGGATTCGGTTTCATCAACTTTGAGAACCACGAGGATGCCAAGCGTGCCGTCGATGAGCTCCACGATTCCGAGTGCAAGGAGAAGAAGTTGTTCGTCACCCGTGCCCAGAAGAAGGGCGAGCGTGAGGAGGAGCTCAAGAAGCAGTACGAGCAGCAGAAGATGGAGAAGCTCAGCAAGTACCAGGGTGTTAACCTCTACGTCAAGAACTTGGACGATGAGATCGATGATGAGAAGCTCCGCCAGGAGTTCTCTGTCTACGGTGTCATTACCTCGGCCAAGGTTATGCGCGACGAGAAGACGGCTGCTGAGGGTGAGGATGCCAAGGGAGCATCCAAGGGATTCGGATTCGTCTGCTTCTCTTCCCCTGATGAGGCCACCAAGGCAGTCACTGAGATGAACGGCCGCATGCTCGGCTCCAAGCCCATCTACGTTGCTCTTGCTCAGCGCAAGGAGGTCCGCAAGTCTCAGCTCGAGGCCCAGATGGCTCAGCGTTCGCAGATCCGCATGCAGCAGATGCCTGGCCAGATGCCCGGTGGCATGTACCCTCCCCAGATGTTCTACCCCGGACCCGGTGGATTCCCTCCCCAGGGTCGCGGTATGGTCTACCCCGGCCAGGCCGGTATGGTCCCCCGTCCCCGCTGGGTCAACCCCGGTCAGCCCCAGCAGATGCACCCCGGTGCACCTATGCCTGGCTACCCCATGGGCCAGGGCTTCCCTCCCATGGGCCAGGGCCGTCCCCGCGGCCAGGGTCCCCGCTCGCAGTCCCAGCGTGGCGGTGCAGCCGGTCAGCAGGGTCGTCCCCAGGGAGCTCCCCAGCAGGGCGCCACTGGTGCTCCCCGCGGTGCTCCTGGAGCCGGTCGTGGTGGTTACACCAAGTACACTGGCCAGGCTCGCGCTGCTAACGGTCCCTCTGCCGCTGCCGCTGCCACTCCCGCTTCTGATGCCAACACGTTGACGGCCGCTGCTTTGGCTGCTGCCGACCCCGACCAGCAGAAGCAGATGGTTGGTGAGCACCTGTACCCCAAGATTGCATCCCGCCAGCCCGACTATGCCGGCAAGATCACCGGCATGTTGCTCGAGATGGACAACGGCGAGTTGTTGCACCTCTTGGAGGACAACGAGGCTTTGGATGCCAAGATCGAGGAGGCCGTCTCTGTTCTCAAGGCTCACGAGACTGACGCCGAGAAGTCTGCTTAAAGCGCTTGCTTCTTTTCCTTTCCGTCCCAAAAACCAACACCCAAATCGATCGGAAAATCATCAAATCCACGGATGAAGAAAAAAAAAAGAGGAGGACAAAAAAACTGAGGCGTGTAGGATTGTGAGGTGGTTTTGGAAAGAGGATGAAAGCAGGGAGGCGTCCGTCAAATGGCTGGTTCCTTTGTTCGTTGTTTGATACCACCACCTTTTTCACCTTTCTATTATTATTTTACCATTTTGCATTCTTTTCTTTTCATTTGCAGCCTTTTTCCTTTTTTTTTTTTTGTTGAAGAACTAAGAGTACGAGGAGAGAAATAACCAACAAAGAATAAATGATTCAGCCTGGGCAAAGGTTTCTCGAAAGAGAGAAAAAAAAAATACTAAACGCATTCCACCCATTTAGTTGACATGTGTGTTTTATAGGATCTGCTTGTGATTGTGAAGTGGTTCTCTACTAATTACCTTGGTGAAACACACAACATGTTGTATCAATATCGTCCGCAAACGGATAGAACGAGGATGCTACGATGATAGGGTTGTTTCTTTTTTCTCACCACATTTTGGCAACCGCTCACATCCTCCCTTCGTCATTAGAGCAAAAGACAGGGTCCAATGAAACATGTGGAGTATAAACTTTCATCTTTACTTTTTTTTCCTCAGGCACTGAGGCACTGGGGGGAAATGACGATCTATCCGTTGTTGACAACAGCTCAGAAAAGAACTCCTTGTTTTCCATCATTCTCATGTTCGAATAAAAGGATCTCCTCGCTGACGCTAGTGGTTATTTTTGGTCTCTTTACCGCTGTATTGGAGCAGTGCAGGTATCCAAGCTACAGACTTGATTGACGGAAGATGAAAAAAAAACGTGACGCTTTGCTCTTCTATCTTCTATTTTCATTTGAAGTCCCTCTGTGCTGTGGATGGGTTTGCCCTTTCTACAAGTAAGAGGGTGTGACCGTTTAGGCACGGTCGCTTTTCTCAAGAAAAGAATACCAGGTAAATGTTTTCTTGAACATGGTTCGAGCGTGGGAGGGGAACGAGTAAGGGGAAGTGATGAGAACGACAGAGAGGAATATGGGCCTATGATCACATACCCTTATATTCATTATGGTTCACTGCGTGGTGCTCTTTAGATTGGTTTGCAGGGTGACATGGGGTACGAAGGAAAGTAGGGGTAATTTTTTTTTTTTTTTTCATAAACCAGATGGTTGTTGATACAAAGAAGATGACATAGACCTTGTTGGACTCTACAGAGTTCTCCTGCTGGTGGAGTTGAGCTTGGTGGTTGTATTGCTATCCTAGATGATCTTTCTTGCATCGACTTCATCGTCGACATTTTCTTTGTCCTCGGCATCCTAGGTCCAGGTTGTTGTAGCGGTGGCAAGAAACCCATATCATTGATCAAAAAACCATTGATAAAAAACGCGTTTCACTCGGAATCAACGTGTGAAGGATTAAGCGTCCTTGTCTCAGATATACTCGTCCAAGGCGATCAGTCGCGTAAAATTTGTATCAGCTGGACCTACTTTCTTCTCCATCTTGACTTTGTGATTTTCTGGAAGACTGTTCATCGCAACAGAAAGCGAAGGAGAAGAGAGAAATAAAGAAAGTGGCAAATGAGAATGGATGAGCAAGAGTGAAGTGAGGAAGACCAAGATAAGAGGGCGACACATGGAGTAGGTACAGGATGTATGTGCTTGTGGGTGTCCTCAAAAGACACAGTGGATTCGAAGAAAAGTTCGCTGGTCTCTATCATATGTGCAACATGTGTATCTCGTCTTGACCATGGAGTAGAGAATTGTGGCGATGGCCTAGCTAGCAGAAAAAAAAAGAGAGAAGAGTAAATGAAGTGGGAAGGAAGCCCTTCTGGTAATAAATAAAATGGATAGCATTGTCGCCAAGGTGAGTTTAGTTTCCACATGAGAAGGTAGTTCATTGATAACGCATACGTGCTTTCTGAACATAGATTGAAACGAGAGAGGCACTTGGCAAGGTGTATTGTCTAAGAAGCGCCTTTTTCCTTTACCCATGGCCCCCAGCAGAGACAGACGAGGAGAAATGATACGATCATGATAGTTTTCCTTGTGAGGTGTTCTTTTGTGTGGAACAGTGGATAGTCGTGGGCGTTGAATCTAGGTATTGGCATTTAGGGCGTCGGACGCAATCAAAGCGAGAGGGCTACGTAGGTTTTTGTAGTTTCTCGACATTGTTAGGCATCCGAAGGGAGGTGGATGGAAGGAAATGCGCGCAGTTTCCGAAAGCATTATTCCTTTTCTTTACTTTCTGCAAAGAGGGATCGGAAAGAGCGTGTCTGTGTAATGATCCCGAGGAGGAAAAGAGTCGCGACGAGAAAAAAGTGAAAGGAGCACGGTCCACAAAAGGAGATTTTTTTCTATTATGGTTTTCCGTTCTGTCTGAGCCAACAAAAACAAGGACAAGGTTCCGGAGAGCAGACAGCGGCCAGGCCCGGGAAGATGACGCGCTGAAAGTGGCAAATGAGGGAAGGTGGTGGTGGTGGAGACTTTCTTGCCAGTTATTCCTTTATTGAGAAGGGTGGTATGCATTGATCGCTGGATGGGTGACTGTGTTCCTTCCTTGTTCTTTTGACTCGCGCTAAGCGACACAAGGTAGGCATTCTCCTGTATGAGTCTCCCTCCCCTGGACACAATGAGAGGTGGCGATGCGGAAAATGACAATTTTTTGCAAGCACTTCCTTATCGCTGCCCTTGCTAAGCCAAGGTCGATTGACAAGGACAGAGGAACAGACATAGTCCGCGATATGAGACACACACAAAGACCGAACGAGTGCACGTCAGTCAAGAATGACAAATACATACAGCCATTGGACAGACGTGGTGAGTCCTCAATTTGCCACCACTTGTTCTTTTATGCCTGACAGAGCACCGCCCTCTTCGACTGTCTACTCTACCTCCAATTGCATGTTCTTGTGAGCATATGGGGAAAAAGAAAAGGCAAAAAGAAAAGGGCAAAAAGAAATCTACTCTATGGCCCGAACCTTCTTTTTTCCTGCACCCTTGCCATCCATCTTCCTCTGTCTCTCCCCTCTCCTTTTTTCTAAATTGCGATATTTTTTTGCCCTGTATGTCTCCTTTTGACTACAAGATGACAACATGTTTTCTATCTGTGTGTCCCTTGTGTGCCTGATACGCTCTGCTCGTTCACCATGAATGGACATCAAACGTCGTTGACCCAATCCATCCATCCTCGCATCCAAGACGATAACCCTTGTAAACCATTACATCTCGTCAAGCAAACGTTGCTCTTGTTCATTCCCCTGCTTGGGCTGTCTCTTTTTTGATGGTGCGTGCGAAAAGGAGAGGAAGGGTCCAAAAGAAGGAATACGAGCAAAGGAAAGAAGGGAAAAAAGCGCCGGACTTCTTCTGTCTTTGCCATGCAGTGTGACCCTAAAACGACAACGAATTATGCGCTTTATACTTCTTAGCCTGGCGAAGTCGATTGAGTCCAAAGGAAAAGTGTGTTGTGGAGAGTTACGTGCACAAAGCTCCACCAAGACAGTCAAGAAGGTGTCCTAGCAAGATAGATTGCAGAATAGGAATCGGAACTCTACCAACCATGTTCACTCTAATTGACCAACGACGATAGAGAAAGAAAAAAAACGAGGTCCAATTGCAGCTGCGGCACTGTCGGCATTTGGTTATCATGTCTTTTCTACCACCTTATTTTCTTTTTGGCAGAATTGCCATATGTATGATAATGTGAAGCAATTGAAGGTGTACATGGTTCCCCACTGGCATGATGGGGTATTTATCAAACGAGAAGGCTATAGTATGGATGTCCTTCGAAGGGGTAGCTGTTGTTTATTTGTTTCTGTTGTTGAGGGAGTGTCGTGTCGATTTGTATGCCAATTATTCTTCGACCGGTTTCTACTGCTCTGCCTTCAGACCACTAAAAAGGAGCGATATCTAACTGCACACGGCCCTCGATAACCCCTCACACCTTCTCACTCGCCTTCGTGCTGCACCCGTGTAACAATTGCGCGGTAGAAAAGCGCCAAGGGTATAAAAAGGGTGGGTCAATTGGCCCCTCCCCCCGTCCCTTTTTCTTCTTTTCGTCCCTTCCTTCCTTTCCTTTACCTCCGCTTCTTCTTTCACTTCTTCCACTTCCTTCCACTTCTACCTTCTTTCCCTGCTTGTACTCACTAGCACTCTGCTCCCCTACTCACTCAGTCGTTCACATAAACTCATAGCAACTGCTCATTTTTACCCCTCTCTTTGCCAACTCAACCCAAACCGTGCTTTGCCACCCTCAAAAAACACACACAGATAGAATCAACACGCTGTTCGCTTCAATGGCTGACTACACCTCGTCCACTTCCTTCAACCCCTCCACCACCAACAACAACGCGTGGACTGCCTCCAACATGCCCTCCACCCACGCCTCGCCCGTCTCTGCCACCTTCCCTCTCGATGGCTTCACTCAACACACCCCCCAAGCTCCAATTCTCAGTCTGGCCCTTGCAGTCGACATCAGCGCCTCGCCCGCCTCGATTGACGACACCAATATCACCACGGGAACACCTGCTTTGTTTGACTCTCTCAATCCCGACGTCAACACTATCGCGGTCTTGAACAACACCGTCGCCCCTCAGGACTTTTGCCTGTACGAGAGAATGGATCCCTCGGCCTTCGACTTTCCCCTCTTTGGCGACTCTTTTAAGCAGCAAAAGTTGAAGCAGGGAGGCTTGTTCCAGAACCAATTGACGGACGAGGAACTGACCCTGGCACTCGACATGCAGCACCAGCAGCAGATGGGGCAACTGCGCTATATCCAATCGCACGCTATTGGATCCGACGACCTGTCGACAGCAGCAGCAGGCACCTCCTTTGGCGAGCACCCTCTCATCTCAGCTGACATGGGGTTCAGCAGCCCCATGTCAACGTCCGCCTCGAGCAACAAGGTCTCGTTTGGGTTCGACAGCCTCGCCGCGCTGATGGACGACTCCGCCCTTGATCTTAGTCATGTCACCGCTGCCATGAAGATCCAGGCCCAAGTTCCTTTCCACGACCACCAGCACCAGCACCAGCAGCAAACTCATGTCTTCTACACTCCTGGCCATGCTTCTGATACCCCTCTCCTTGACGCACCTTCGACCCCGTGCCTCAGCTCGCCCTTCAGTCCTTCCTTGGATACTCCGGCGATGCCCCACCTTGGCTTCAAGTTTGGCGGTGACTTTGGATGCGGCGACCAGATCCCCCTCTTTGGTACTGGTGGACCGATGTTTCCCTTCCAGTTGCCGATGCCCATTCAGCTTGGCCATGTGATGCAGTCAAGAGGAAGCGGCATGGTTGCGCCCCAATCGACCCTTCTTAATGCCAGTCCCAATCCGCCTGCGCCACTCACATTCGGGGGGCTTTGCGAGTCTGAGTGTAACCTTATCACGTCCACCTCGTCCTCCATCAAAAAGGAGGAAGAAGACACTGCAAAAATCTCCCACTTTTCCCTTTCCGACTTGTCGACTTCTTCCAACTCTCCCCTCTTCTCCGACTTTGACGACGACAACAACTCTGACGACGACGATATGGACTTCAAGGACGATGCCGACGACGAGGATATGGAGTTCTTCGACGTCAAGTCCTCAGCCCCAGACCACAGCGCAGCAACCTCATCCTCCAACACCGTGGTTAGCTTCGTCTACAGCGGAAAGCGCAAGTCCACCAACGACGCTCCTCGTCCAGCCGCCTCGATCGCATTGGAAAGGCACTCGTCCATCTCTGGCAGAGACAACGACAAAGGCAACGACAGTGAGATCGATGCCGACGACCACCAAGCCGACTCGAACTATATCCCCGTCGCCACCTTCATCCACAACCGCAAGCGAAAGGCAGTCCCCGCGCCCGCTTCCCCCTTCAAGAGGACTCGCCCGACGTTGGCGAGTCATTATGGGGGGAACAATGGATCCTCCTCCTCCTTGTCCTCGTCCTCATTTGCCACCACCAAGCAGCAGTTCGATATGGAGACCGGCCCACTATCACCTTTGTCGAACCAGGACAAGCCGGACAATCTGCCCCCAGCCCAACGGAGCTCCAACAAGCGAGGACCCGGCAAGAAGCGTCCCACCAGCAGCGATTGCCACCGACCCTTCGTCTGCGATCACCCCGACTGTGGCCGTGCGTTCAATCGCCTCTTCAACCTGCGCTCTCACGTACGAACCCACGACCCCAACTCTGAGCGCCCTTTTGTCTGCGAGGCGGACGACTGCAAGAAGGCCTTCACCCGCAAGCACGACCTCCAGCGTCATGAAACATCAGTTCATCAGGGCCAGCGTCGATATGTCTGCGACACCTGCAAGAAATCCTTCTCTCGACAGGATGGACTCCGCCGCCACTACAGACGAGAGGTCAACAGGTGTGCTCCTGGCCAATTTGAGGGTGTCGAGGGAGAGGAGGACCATGTTGGCTTTGGAGAGGAGGACCATGTTGGCTTTGGAGATGAGGATGACGATGACTTTTCCGACGCGTCCGATACAGAGAATCGACATTCTGCGACTTGAATTCACGAGCCAGCCTGTTGGCAACTCGACTATTACCCGACCAGCGACTCTAGACGATCAACAACTCATCAAGAAGTCACCCAGCCACGACGACATCCAGGCCTCCAATGGCCTCGATCCCTCGTCTATCACGACCCTGACCCCGACGTTTCCCTGGAACCCTGGAGATCAAACGACCTCCTCCCCTCAGAGTCGCTCTGACCCCGTCCACAACCAAACATCAACCTCTGGCTCCTGCTCGCACCTCCTCCCCCCAACTCACATATCTTTGGGACGAATGGCATATGTACAATAGCAATTCTTTGCAGACAATGCTTTTATTTCTTTTTGAACATCGAACAATAAATCACAGCGCTCTTGGTGCAATTGTAGCATTTGAAAAGTGGATTTTTTTAAAGTTCTGGTGGTCGGGGGGCGCAGAAAAATCTTTTTTTTTTGATTTCGCTTGAGCCGCTGACGCTGTGAACAAAACACGAGAGACTACTGCTTGTCGATGGTAAGATGATGTTCTTGAAGCATACAAAAAGCTGTTATCCATGGTCTTGTTTTTTTTCCAGCGTCCTAGTCAATGAATGTGTCGGTAATGGAGTTCAGAGTCAGGACGACCTTGACTGTAGGGTGTTGGTTGTCCCAAGGGTCAAGGCACCCATCATGGGTTGTGAAGCAGTCTCAGTCCTACCTAAGCCACTCAACAACACTTTCTTATTTCTTTTTTTTTTTTGGTGCTCCATGGCTTTAACAAACCTTGACCTCCCCCCAACCAACCAAACCCTCCATCCTTTCAACAACAAGACATCAGCCATGGTTGTCATCACATATTGTGTCGAATACGCCGAGTCACAGAAGAGTGTCTGCCTCAAGTGCAACAAGGTCATCCCCAACAAGTCCCTCCGTGTCGGCCGGATGGAGCGGACCTCTGAGAAGGAGAAGAAGAAGTTTGCAAAGTTTCGTTGGTACCATTTCAAGTGCTTCGAGGTAATCATGGCTCCCTTCCCCACCACCCTAAGAACGGGAGGAGGGGCACAAAAAATGAATATGATGAACCAGTGATTTTGTGCTATGCTACTTTGTTTTTTTTTTTCCAGTTTTGCCCTAACAAAGTTTTTGTACTTTTGATCATTAGGTCCCCGAGATTTTGACCAAGCTCCCTGTGCATTTGATCCGTGGACAAGTTAACCTGTTGGACAAGGTAACGGGAACAGCACATACACATACAGGATGTAAAAACCATCTACAGGATTATGGCTTCTCTCAAATCCAGGATCCTTTTCACTGACAACGAAAAATCCAATTTTGTCACTTCCCTCTATCAAACAAAAATAGGACAAGTTGCGTCTGGAAAAGGTGATCAAGTTGGGAGTAGGCGCATCATGGAGCCAGATCGTGGACCAGCACAAGAAGAAGGCCAAGGAGGAAGAAGAAGCCGCCGCTGCCGAGGCTCTTGAGAACGGCACGCCTCTCCCACCCAAGCCCTCAAAAGACGACCTCATGGATTCTGACGATGATGGGGCCAATGCCAAGGATTTCACATCACAGTTGACGGGTGAGGTCGACCGGAAACAGGAGCGCAAGAACCGAAAGGTCAACAAGTTGAAGGCCAAGACCGATGGTGCCAAGGTTGCTAAGAAGGAGTCAGCAGGAAACAAGGGAACGAAAAACAACAACAAGGATACCAAGCCCATGTCGGCCGTTGCTATGGCTATTGCTGCAACGCGGGAGGATAGTCAGAAGAAGATGGAGCAGATGAAGAACAAGTTCGGCAAGAAGTAAAAAAAACGGCTGCTCTTTTCCCACCCTCTTACTGTTATTCTTCATCTTTTTCACCACCCTCACTATTACTCTTTGCATGCAACATCAATTAAATTTCATCCACACACACAAAAAGAAACGCAGCGTGATACAAATATGCAAGGCCCGATTGTTCTGTTTGTTTTTTTTTTGCTTTTTTTTAATACAAGTGCTTGAATGTACGACAACTAGACTGGGAAGAGGGAGATTGTCCTATTTACACAGACCACTTGGTCATTTCCTCTACCAATCGATCGACATTGTTACCACTCGGACCTGCTCCTGCTCCTCCATTGTTTCCAGACCCATTGCTTCCTCCAGTGACTGATAGATTGGTCTGGAACAAATTGGCAAGTCCACCTCGCTGGCTCAGCCATTGACGTCCATTGCCTGAACTGCCCCGTAGTGAAGACGACGACGAAGAAGAGGAACCTCCTGACAAGGAAGTGGTGGGTGCCATGATGCTTGACGATTCGTTGCTGGCAAGTCGCATCACCATCCCTGTACGCTGTGGATCGCCTTCCCGATCAAAACTCAGAGCCGTCACCCTCTTCCAGTCCGACAGTTTTTCCGATTGGCCGCAGACAACGACCCTCGGCTTGTTGAGGAAGAAGATTCGCCTCCATGGTTAGGAGATCCATCCCGATCTGTGAACTTTGACGGTGATACGGCTGTTGATCCTGGTCCCGCTGACGGTGGTGGTGAACCCTGGTCCCGTGGATCTAGACTTGTCGTCGACGATGAGCCTCCTACGGCATTTGTGAATGAAGATAACACAGATGTTGAGTGCCGCTTCTTGTCTCTGACATCGTCCATATCTCCATCTTCACGCCCCTCGCCACCATGGAACGGAGTCAGACAGATCGCCGGTCGCCGGTTGTTTCTTGAGGTGATGTGGCGAAGGTGTACTGGTAACCTGGATCGATAGACTGACTTGTTGACACCTCCTCCACTGCTGCCTCCAAGTGCTGCTCTCAAAAACAGATCGCCCGTTCCTCCTCCTCCTCCGCCTCCACTTCCACCTGCGCCTCCTGAGCCTGGTGTTGATGATGATGGGTCTATTACTGATCGTGCTCCCGAGGGCGCTGAGAGGACACCGATCGTCGAGAGATGGTAATCTCGCTGTGCCGAAACTGCCCAGTACTGGTATGGTGGGAACTTGCGGTTTGTGAAGGGATTGTATTGGTGGCGTGGGGATGCATGAGGATGGTGGTTGCCGCTATAGTACAGAGTATGGCGAGAGTGTCCAGGCTGGGGTGCCTTGCCTGCGTTGCTTGCATAGGCTCGATGACGATGGCTTCTGGGTAACGTTGCCAAGAGCGATTCCCGCTGCAGGGTCATTTTGCTGTAGTCGTAAACTAAGGCTGTTGAAGGCGACGACCTATTGTTGTCGCTACCATTGTCCTGAGAGACACCAACCGCTAAAGACGACGACGAAGTTGACGCCAATTCGTCGGTATCCATATCCTGATCACCGTCGAGGTCTTGTCCGGATTGGCCATCTTGTCCGTCTTGGCTATGCACATGACCACCGTTCTCCTGTCCTCCTCCCGGGTTCAAGGAGAGCAGCAGTGGCACTGACAGACTGCGCTTACGCTGGAAACCCATCTCCATCGATCCTTGCCGGCCCCTTGCTGTAACTTCGACCAGGTCCTGCTGGTCTTGCTGTAACTGTTGCGCTTGCTGTTGTTCTTCCCAAGGTGTCTGTCGTTGGTACTGTTGCTGCAAGTGATACACACTGCGGTGGTGTTGAAGCGATTGCTGTTGTTGTTGTTGTTGCAGGTGTTGTTGGTGTTGCAGTTGGTGAGAGTAAGGGTGAACGAGGTGTGGATGCATTTCCTGATGCTGGCGTGCTCCTGCTGTCGAGGACATGAGCTGTTGTTGATGCAGTGAAGACTGAGAAGGGACGATGATTGGGTTGAGCATGAGGGGTGATGGTGGCATGAGTGACGAGTCTTGGAGATGATGGTTGTGGGTGTAGCGCTCTTGGACAAAGCCTGCTGCTGCTTCTTGGATGGCCGAAGAAGGGTTGGAGGAGGATGTGCTTGCGGTAGCGGCCATGAAGTCTTTGGATGATCTCACTAAGTGTTGTTGTTGTTGTTGTTGTTGTTGCTGTTGGTGGAGTTGCTGTTGTTGGAGAACAATGGCAGCAGGGTCGGGGTGATGGAGCATGCAAGTACACAAAAAAACGAAGAACGACAAAAAAGGAGGAGGAGGGGGACGAGAGAGAAGAATAAGGAGAAGGGAAAGGAGAGAGAAAAAGGAGTATGTGAAGAAGGAGTTGTAAGTGTGAAGGAATAAGAAGGAGGAGGTAAGAAAAGAAAAGAAAAGAAAAGAAAGAGAGAAGCTGTGTGTCAAGGGGGGATATAAAAACAAGGGGATCAAGAGAAACAAAATAAAGATGGACGATGGCAGGGACTTGACTTGCTGGACTGTGGTCACAAGGGGGAGGGATGGTAGGGATGCAGAAAATGATAGCAATAATAATGCACACTGCTACTGCTGCACGAGGATGATAGGTTTACAGCCAGGGAAAGAAGGGATGAATGCAAGAAGGGAAAACGGGCATGCAAGAAAGAAACCAATGGGGAGGCAGACAGCATTGGGCCTTTTGGCGCAGATTGTCCCATTTAGACCTCAGGCTGATCTGCAAAAACCCCATTATTCAGTAATGAACATATATATAGATGCGTGAGAGCAGATAACAAAAAAGGCGTTCATCGAATCGTAACGACGGGCAAGGATAGAAGGTCATCATCATTGGAGAGGAGGGAGATAATACACATAATCAATTACAGCGATGGACAACTACAACTCCTGTGGAGATCTACAATCCCCTAGAAAAGGAACGGAAAAAAAAGAAAAAAAACGGACGCGTCTGAGTGGCTAGGATTCAATTCTCGTTGCGCCTCTTTCGTATTCAGCGCATTAGCTGCATGCTGCTGTTAATCAACACATCCTCTCGTCTATCATTCAATTGCTACACAATTTTAATGACATGAACGAACCTTGACTCTCTTTCCTTCCCCTACTAGAACGCACGGATCATCCACATCAACACAGACACCAGGCCCGCAACGGTCAAAAAGCGTCACCAAAATTGTAAATGCCAATCAAACAAATGTTGCCTCCAAAGCGACATCGTTTGTTTTGTTTGCCTTCTCTTTCTTCATTGCAATATCGCATCTCCTTGTCCTTTCTCTTCTTTCTTTACTCTCGCTCTCTCTCACGACCAGCAAATTCTCCTTCACCTCAAGATACTCACTCCTCTCCTCGTTCTATCAACTATTTGCTCACATCCAATCTCGACCTCGTATTGCATACCTTACCCTATCCACCTCCAACCAAATGAACCCATTGACCATCCCCGAACTCCTTAACTCCATCTGCTATCAGCTGGACAGACCCTCGCTTGTCGTGGCCTCTCAAGTCTGCAAGCAATGGTCCGAGACTTGCACCGTCCTCCTCTGGGAATCCTGTCCATTCTCCGCAGACCGTTACAACGCCTATCCTACCGCATTTGACGACCATGCTCACCTGGTCCGTATCATGGACGCCAAGATGCGGCTCATTGGTCGAGAGATGCGATTCATTGCTCACCAATGCACCAATATGACTGAGCTCGCTATCCGACATTGCCAATTCACCTCCGCAAGCCTTGATGTTCTGTGCGGAGGAATTCCCCGAGTCGGCCATCTCACTTTGGAGCTCTGTCGTGGCGTCAACAGTACGATCGCAGCACGTCTTGTCCGGATCCCACGACTGACACACCTCGAAATCATTGTCCATACTCAAGAACGTGGGAACGGCGATTGGCGTGAGGAGCATATGGTGACGCTGTTGACACGATGCCAACTCGAGTACCTCAAGATCCTCGGTCCCGATTTGTCGCATGTCCATCTAGCTGGTGTCGCAAGGTACGAGAACCCTCTGCCGCTGGTCTCCTTACATCTGATCGGCACATACATCCCAGATGATGCCCTTGGTCGTCTCCTTACCAAGTGTCCTCGTCTATCGACCTTTGTTCTTTTGAACAACGCCAACAAGAACTCGACTCTCCAGACCATTGCCCAGCACGGTTCTAGCCTGCGGATGCTAGAGCTACGGAATTCTAAGAGTGTGACAACACCCGCATTCGACGCCGTCTTCAAGACATGCCACCTTCTCACCAGTCTGGATATCTCGGGAACACTGATCCACGATGCAGCCATCTCGACGTTAGCCCGACATTGTCCGTGGATCCAGTCCTTGGATCTGACTGGTTGCTCACGCATCACAAGCACGTCTTTTCTGGAGATGATGGTGACTCTGGAGGAGTTGAAGGAGCTGAGAGTTGGAGGCTGTACACGACTGTCAATTGCCAGTTTCTCGGGGGCGATGGCATGGGCCTGCAGAAGTAGGCTCGAGGTGCTGGATATGCCGTCGGTGGGCATCAAGGTGGAGAATGATTCGTTTGCGGGATTGATTCAGCACCTGGAGTCGTTGACACGGTTGCGGCATTTGACGATGGATGAGCCGGTGGGGGGGCACAAGGCTGTACAAGAACTTTTGTTGAGGCGGCCCTATGTTACGCTTTCGATCAACGCTGCGGCCCTTCGGGTGCTGTGGGAGTCTGAGAAGCAGGCTGCCGTCTGACACATGTGCAGTAGTTAGTTATCTTCTTGTATCTACAAATCCATTTCCACGTTTTTTGCGATGCTAAGCCACCGACCTGCCACACGCACCATGAATCATTTTATTTTTCTTTATCATTCGTCGCCGTCTTTTCTTTTCTTCTTCTTCCTCGCCCTCAACCCTCGTTCCTTCCTTTCCCTCCCCCTTTCGCCTTTCATCCCCGAAAAAAACCAAAAAAAACCTCTTTTTCGATTGCCTTTGCCCAGCGCACTCCTAAAAAAAAAACATCCATAAAACATAAAAAACTTCTCGATCTCGCCCCTTGTCGACTCAAGAACTCACACTCCCATCAGATTTCTTCATTGATCTCACTCTCTCATACATCACTCCCTCCCTCCTTCGACACTCTTTATTCTACCGATAATGTCCTCTCCCGTTGCCCTCGCTGACGTCCAGGCCGCCGCCGCCACCCCCGCCACCTCGGCCGCTCCCGCCGCTAACCACCTCAGCCTCGAGCAGCAGCAGCAGATCGCCGCTGCCCAGGCCCAGGCTGCCCAGGCTGCCCACTTTGCTCCCGTCCCCGCCGCTGCCCCCACCGCCTCGGCCTCGCTCTACATTGGCGAGCTCGACCCCTCCGTCAACGAGGCTATGTTGTTCGAGATGTTCAACTCGGTCGGACCCGTTGCCTCCATCCGTGTCTGCCGTGATGCCGTTACCCGTCGCTCGCTCGGCTACGCCTACGTTAACTTCCACAACGTCGCTGATGGTGCGTACAGAAAAAACTCTTGCCACGGCATAGATACGAGAGCCCTTTGTTGTTTTGTTTGTTTGTTTGTTTGTTTGTTTACTTTTTTTCATGGGTCATCGCTCACAGGAAATAACGGCACGTACACAGGAGAACAGGACAGGCAGGCAGGAAAAAACGAACATACTCCTTCCTTTTACACGCACACCCGTACTGGCGCTTACACTGCCGCTCACAGACTCTCGATTCGACCCAAAAGCCACAACCACAAAAAAAGGGATGGAACTCACAAGCCCTTTTGTTCCCTTGCCAAGGGAAATTCACCGTATCAGCTTTCCTTCGGACGTATTTTACTGCGGGGGGATTGATCATCTGACCCAGTAAAGGGCATTGGCACGCCGGCAATATCCTATTCGCCTCGCTAACGCAACGAGGATAAACAAACTGACGTTGACCATGTCGACAGACTAAATACAAATACAAACAAAGCAAACAACGGCGACCAAGGCAGCAATACACTGGAGGAACACACTCAGTTCTAGGACCATCGGGAATCGGGCGCAATCGATATGGCTACGCTGGATCGGCGTTGTGATCGTTATCTATGCAGTTGCAGGACGACTCTGTGTTTGTCAGCCAATGTTTGTTTTGCCCCGGGAGACAAGCGAGATCTTACATACAGCAACACTACACAGAGTCAAGAGCAACACGCCGATTTACCATCGGACACACAGATTGATCATTGTCAATGGCGTACCCTTCCACTAAACACAACTCTCATCTCATTCCAATCGAACTCAATAGGCGAGCGTGCATTGGAGAACTTGAACTATACCTTGATCAAGAACCGTCCTTGCCGTATCATGTGGTCTCAGCGCGACCCCGCCCTCCGCAAGACCGGAACTGGCAACATCTTCATCAAGAACTTGGATGCCTCCATCGACAACAAGGCCCTTCACGACACCTTCTCCGCCTTCGGTAACATCTTGTCCTGCAAGGTCGCCACCGAGGAAGGTCAGTCCAAGGGATACGGTTTCGTTCACTACGAGACCCACGAGGCTGCTGAGAACGCCATCAAGCACGTCAACGGAATGTTGTTGAACGACAAGAAGGTCTTCGTCGGTCACCACATTTCCAAGAAGGAGCGTCAGTCCAAGGTCGAGGAGATGAAGGCCAAGTTCACCAACGTCTACATCAAGAACTTGGATCCCGAGGTTACCCAGGAGGAGGTTGAGGCTCTCTTCACCAAGTTCGG